AAGATGGACGGACGTAATTAGCTACAGAGTTTGCAGTGATGCTGAGAACAGACCTTTTCTACACTTCTGCCGAAGCAATGTCTTGCCGCTAAATGTGCATTCGATACGAAGTATATTGGTTGAACCGGGATTTGGGCTGGCCGTTGGTATTGAGGACTGACTCGCGATTCTCCGTGAACAGCCAAATTGTCCTATTCGTATCCAAAGCTGCCGTGTAATGATCTGTTTTTGGGTCGGTTGGCCGATGATGTGATGCAACTAGTGGCTTCCCTGCTCGATTAAGCATATCTCAGCGTCTCATACGAGTTGGCGAAAGCATTGCAGCACGCATCAACTGATATGTATGTAGTCTTCCTAGCTTAACACCTGCCTGCGCCACCCCGAGCAAGTCGACAAAGTCGATTTTACTAAGAAGTAAGCCTGTCCAGGTTGGGTCAGACTGACAAGACTTCCAAATTGCTGCCAGGGCTGCCCGCATAATAGTTAACATGTGCGTTGCCGACATCCGGATGTTGCCTATAATGTCATTTTCGACTCGAAGATTATCGAGGAGCTGTCTGTCCTAATGATGAAATAGGCATAGAGTCTGGTTCTCATCAGGGACGTCTTCGCAGCAATTGGATGTCAAACCATCCGTGCACGCGGTAATTAGTACCCATGGTTCCATCGCTCTTACTTGAACCCGACAGCTTGTTGGAACATGTAAGGCAGGAACTGCGGTTGTCGTGCTGTAATGTCGATTCCATCAGCTGAATACCAACAGCAAAGTCCGGCCAGCACCGAAGATTGCGTTGTGTTATAGTACGGTGACGAGGCTCAACAAGAAACTGCAGTTAGATATACTGATGGAAGGGTGCATGAACCATGACACCGTTTCCATGGCATCGATTGGCCGGGAACGACGCCGTCGAGATCGGCTCGACCAAACATGGCAGAGTTCTGGTCGAAGCGACGGCCTGGACTGTAGAGAAGCTACAGAAACGTGGGATAGCACGTGTATCAATGTGTGTGTTACATTGACAGGAAGCTTAAGCCCGTCACGAAGCCGTAACTGTATAACCCGAGCCCAAGGCTCAGGCTACGGGCGTTAGAGCCGAATAGGTTGAATGTCCGATGCCGAGACCTGTGTCGAGGTTGGCTCGGATCCTAAACTTGGATGCAAGTCATCTTCGCGCGCCAAGGCAGTTTGCTAGGCCGGATTGCATTGTCGGCGCCAACCAGGTTTACGTTGTCGTTGACAGGATTGGGAAGTCGGCCGAAGAGGGGAGGGGCACCGCTTTCATGCAGTGCTGATGCGCGTGATATTCGACAATGCACTCGGTCTGAAAGGAGTGGCGCTACGTGTTGGTGATGAATGCAGACTGCAAATCTAACTCTGTAGCTGTGTTGATGCTGGAAGATAGATTAAAGTCACATTCTGTCATATCATGAAACGACAGCCCAATCTCGCGAACGATACTCGCCTATTAGGCTCGCGGGACAGCAGCGCAACGGCTGGTACCGACGACGCTAGATGTTGCCAGACACGGAAGAAGTCGCCGCGCGGCAAAATTCATGGCGAGGATGCAGGACAGAGGTCACATTCGCATGACTGACATCAAAATTGGTAGTCGTCGTTTAACCAGGCTGGTGACTAGACTCCGTGGCGGGAATTAGGGCGGTGGGGCTCATAAGGTCGATTCATGAAGCGAGATCATGCCTCTTCTCCAGTCAGAACTTGTCAGGTGTTAAGTTTTGATTCCGCAGCTGCACGATATCCGCCCGTCTTCACAGACAGGTTGCATGGGGAGTGACAGGTTTTCACCAGGCAACGATAGGACCCTGTCTGGTTTCTCTCGCCGCTTTCCGACTTATGAAAGGAAAGCAAGACTTGCGGGATCTACTGGGAAGGAAACTGCGACCGTGTACCTACCTATTAGTGCCCAGGTGTGATCCGGGACACTTCTATGTATCGAACCTGACCCCTCACTAGACTACTGCCTGCCCCTCATGCTGACGACGTACTTTACGCCTCAGCGTAGCACTGCCAATCCACCCTGAAGATCCTGGGCCCGGTGCTGCTGTTTCTCGCTGTCACTTTTGAAAACAGGACAAGCTCCTTGCAAGCCAGCCCAGATCGAACCCGAAACCCTGTCAAATTAGCACCTCATGTCTCCTCCCAATGGCCTCAATGGGGAAATACGTGTACATGACAAGGCCCCCCCCCTGGTCCAGCGCGAAATCACCCGCATGTATAAGAGCGTCGAGCTATAACTGCTGAGGTCCTTCATACATGAACCTCATTTCAAATACAATTCAATCTCGGCAACCCCCAGTTTTCCGTCAAGGGCAGTTGAGTTTCCGGAATGGGATCGCCTCTAGCAGGACGGAAGTGACGCGAGTTGATAAAACCATCGTCAAATATGGCTTGGATGATCTTTTCCTCTATTTGAGCGTGGGCCATCGCTTTGTAGAGCCGTGAGTACTTCGCACAGAGAAGGGAAGCCCGGCACTCGGTCCCGAGCACTTGTTGATGCCTCGACTCATTTCAACTATTATCATGGGATGCATCATGGACTACGTTACATTAGTATACTCATTGCGGCAACTCAGCAAGACACAGCGCCGCCGCAGATTCACAGATTCACCGTGGTTTGTCTTGTCCGACTTCTGGAAGACCCTCCCAGTCCACCAGAAAAAACCTTGATAGTCGTCCACTGCTGTACTATTGCCTGTGCGTATCAGACTGGTACATCCGGAGCGATCTTATTGAGCCCCGGCTCCGGCAGCTTACACCCTCTTTGTGGGACTCTGACCGGGAAAGGAGCGCGGAGCAGCCCCGCGAAGTAACTTTGCATGTTCAACATCTTACACTGTAGATCGCAGGATCCCGCCGCGAAGGGCCTGGAAGTTGGCACCCTTGCAAGTCAGCAAGCACCTAGCCCCACCTGCCTGTTAGTACCGGCCGAGTTAAGTTCTGGGCCAAAAAACGGCTTCGCAGCCTGGGCAGGCCTTGCAGCGCAACCCGAGGTACTTCGTACATTCGCAGTGAACCCCTACCTGCATTCATCGACAGTAACTTCCTAGATTTGCATGACAAGGTGTATGTCCTGCAAGCGCGCACCATTTACTATATCATACATCCACAACATCGGACACCCTGGTTGACCCTCATCCCACTTGAGCAGAGAGCCACAGCTACTAGCCACCTACCAAGATGCTTTCCGTGCTTTGTACTACCGGAGTCAATTCTTCGAGATCTGTATGCGAGAAACACGCCGCTCAGCCATGCCGCTGTACTTCATGTAGACCTTACGCCGTGTTGCAGTCCTCCAATTGTCATGTCTCCAGGCTCTAGCTGTGAGCAGCCAACCTTTCAATCCTCCCTTGCTCTTGTCCAACACTCCAACACGCCCCGCCCAAGGAGAAGCTCGGGTTTCCCAGTCTCTTTCCAGCTCTCGTGCCCACTCGTTTGCGAATTGTCGGTCACCCTTTTCTGTTGCTCTCTATGTAACCAAGTGGCTCGCCCTCCACTTCGACTCACCTACTTTACTCGCCTCTGTCAGTCTTTTGCAGGCTGGACCACCTATATTCTCTAATTATCTAGATGCGGTCTACTTACCTCGAAAAAACACCAACCCGGCAGCACACACCCAAACCCCACTCTAGTTGGATTGTCCGTCACGCCCCTTCATCTTCCCGCCGCGAGGGATCGACCCTGCAGGACAAAGTGATCCCCCGGCCTGTCCGTGCTTCCCTTAAGGCCACGATCCCAGTCTTCCAGAGACTAAACGGCCTTCTCGCACGAAAAGACACGGGGCTTGACACGCCATCCCAAAAGTGCGAAGTTTGGAAACCCTTGCAAGACCATTCGCAATCCCGGCTCCCTGATTGTGCAGAAGGGGGAAACAGGGACCAGCGCTTCTGTGTCGTTCTCGACCCGTTCGTCACAGCCTTGTCGTTGAGTCGCTGGTGCAAAGTGGCGCGCAAAAAGAGAAAAAGGGAGAGGAAAAAAAAACCCTAGCTAGCTATCCCTAGCTAGCTATCCCTAGCTAGCTATGCTATTTGGTTGTCAATGTATTCACCCCTCCCCTCTCCCACACCAAGTGTCTCCGGCACGTCTTGCCCACTCTCGAGCCACATTTTCTGACCCTGAAGCGCCTCACCACTCTTGCGTCTCGACCAGTGGCCCGTCCACACGCCGTTATATGAGGAGCCGCTTAACGAGTCTTAGCCACGCCTCTCTGTATTATTACAGTCTATTCGATCAGATCTTAAAACACGACTTTTAGCACCGAAAGTCCCTGGTCACCTTTGCCCTTACCCTTGACCACTTATTACCCACGGCCCTTGTATCATGTCTTCCTGACACGCACTGCTCCCAAATTGAAATAAGCCAGGCGCTGTCTTTCTCCACACTTTAGAAGCACGTCGTCTACTTTCCCCTTCGGGCATTGCCTAAAACGGCCGCAACTATCATCCATCTCAAATTGTCGTCCCGTTCCCAGCAACTCTCTTGATTGACTTGCTTCTTCCGAGACGAACGCCCGCCTGCTATTAGTCGGAGAGCCTCGATTGTCAACAACAACAACAAAGCCAAAACAACAGTCCAGGGGTTTGTTCCTCAACGGCTTCCGCGCCGGCCCTGGAACGGTCCAATACCACCGTCGTCCACACGCACATACGCACTCGCACCCACGCCCCCCCCCTCCCTAGCTAATAATCCTGTTAAAATATTGTTACCTACATATGTATGCGGGACTGATGATCAGATGCGGCTGGGCTTGACGACCCAAAAGTTTCATAAGCCCCGCTTACTTCCTTCCCACATACTACTGAGCTGGCCGTCCTCTCCAGCTTACTTATGCAAAGGTTATTAGCTCCCGTATCCAACAAGCTTGTTCTCTTGCCACGAACTATCCTGCTTCCTTCTTTCAGTCCTTACTGCCACTTTTCTATTTTTTTTTCTTTTTCTTCTAGATGTCCCTTACAACACAGCGGTTTGAAGATCAATCTTCGAGATGATGCTCACACTGAAGCAGCAGCCAGTACACTACGGCTACCGCCCCATCCATGATTTGCCGACTCCGCCCTCTACGTCCCGATCATCGCCGCCGGTGACTGTACAGGAAACTACCCAGAAGCCTCTTCCCGCCATTCCCAGGAAGAGCAGCCCAGCCCAGGGAATGTCGCAGCAACCTCATCGAGGACTGCCTTTACCGGCGGCAATGACATTGCCCCAACCAGCACCACCACAAGGACAGAACCACCCCCCGGGTCCACCTTTGCATTCTCAGGCACAGCAGCAACAACAACAACAACAACCGCCACCACACCCTCCTCTTTCGCAGACGCTAGGTGCGTTGCCAGCACCACCGCAATGGCAGGGGCCGGGTTCAGACGAGTCCATGAGAAATTGGCTGATAGCCAAGACGGAGGAAGAGAGAAGGAGACAGGAAGAAGAGAAGACGCGGCAGGAAGGATATCGGTTGGAACAGAGAAAGCTCGAGCACGACATGTTGCGAACGTCGCTGGACCGAGGTATTCCTCCGCCCATGGTGCCCGTAGTGTTCGCTGGGATGAGCGGAGGACTGCTTCCCCAGGCGGCCTTGGAATTTGCGCAGCAGTACCTAGTACCACAGCAAGGGCACCCACCGCAGCTGATGCCAGCCCAGGGCCCTCTGTCGCCCGAACACCGGAGGGACTCGCAGTCGCAGCAATACGCCTCGTACGCCGGCTCTGTCGGGGTGCCGTCTACCCCAGGCTCGGGTCCGGGTCCTCAAGGCGGGTTTGTGCCGTACCAGGGCCCGGGCTCGCCCACGAGAGCAAGAGCGCACACCATGTCCATGGCAGGGCAGGTGGGCCGATCCCTCGGCAGCTCCCTGCCGCGCCTAAGCACCAACGAGCCAGGAGTTCCGCCTCACGGAGGGCACCCTCTCGGCCAGCAGCAGTCGGCACAGCAGCAGGAGACGCAGTCGCCATCTATCTACTTCCATCACTGGCAACCACCGACTTCGCAGGCCAACGCGAGCGGAGGCTCCAACCAGCCCGCGACGCCATCCGGTTCGTCCAAGTCCAAGAAAGGCCTTTAAAAAAATGATGGCGTGGCTAATATTGCCTAGTGGACTCGCCGAGGAAGCGCAAGGCTACTGGGCCGCAACAACCAGCGCCTCTGCCCAGCACCCAAGCCAGATACCGATCGCCGCCGTTCAACCCCTCTGTTGGCGGTGGCGGGCCATCGACCCTTGCCAACCCGCCTCCCGGTCGTCGGCGCGGCCATTCGCGTCAAAGAAGCGATTTGGCGTCCTACAGACCCCCGGGTCGCGGACGGGGCGACAGCTTTGGTCCGAATCGGGGCATGTCGCCCAGCGTCCACACGCCACGAGAAGCTGCACCAGCGGCAGCATCTGCACCCTCAGCAACCGAAACATCATATCAACGATCAGGTGGCCACTCAGTTTCGTCGCTGCTGTCGGAAGAACCGTCGCCGCATTACGCACCGGAGATGAGGAGTCAGCCGCAGGGGGAAGCCGAGCGAAGACAATCCCCGACGTCTTCCGAGGAGAGATCGCGTGGTGGTGTCGCGGGATCAGCGCTTCCGCGCGAGCGAGACAACGAGTAAATAACCCAGCCCAAGCTCGAAAATATCGAATTTCGAACCCAAGTCCCGTAAACCTTCATCTTGGGCAATTTTTTTTTGACTTTCACGCAGCTTTCTTTACCGTGCAGCTTGGGGCAAAAAGGCCGGGCCTTTCTGTGCCTCACGGAAGAACAAGAACACATAAACCTCAGGGAAAGAAGGCGCCATTCAAAACACAAACAAATCCACTCGATATTTCTTCGATTCTATTGTATCTATTTGTGTCAAATAGTATCTGCATCCTAGGGCTGGCGGGGAAACCACCTTTTTACGACGACGGTGCAGGCAGGTAGGAAGGGGCAAAGAGAAGCATTGAAGACCTGGAAGATAGGGGACACAGGCAAAGGAGTTCTAAGGAGAAACAACATTTTTGGAGACTTGAATCTGGGCCGCCAATTTGATGGCTGGACTACCTTACTTTGGGGGGCATTGTTTGTATACACTTCTTCGATATCGATACCCTGCAAGACAGATTGGACTGGACTGAGTTAGCTTCCAAGACAATGAACAGGATCTGAACATTTCCACACGAATTCTTCGTCTCGTCTTATACCTCGTCTGCGTGTTTGGAACGCTTCGGGGCGTCTACACGCTAGGCCCTGGTCAGACTGGACCACCTTTGCTGACTGAGCAATTGGACGAACACGTCGTATCCAACCAACAATCAATAGCCTCGTGTTTCAATTCTCGTGACACCATATCATTGCGAGCGCCATCGGACAATTTTCTCGCCAAGCATCAAGCCACTTCTGTGATACGGAAGGTGGGCTGTTTTTAGGGCCGTCGTCTGCCCTAGTGTAAGACACTGCATCGGGGCTGTGGAAGGAGAGATGACGTTACTTAATATAGTACGCAATGGCGTACACAACATAATATATGTGGGGCGGCGTTTCTGGACGAGGAAATGTCATACCAACATTTCTGGGGGTTGAGGGAGAGCAAGGCGGCGGAGTGATTAGATGCATGCAGTATGCATGTCCGGTAACTGTTTGTTTGTTTGTTTGTTTAGTTCTTCAGGGCGGCACAGATACTTACGCGTCAGCGCTTGTCGGCCTTGTTGCTTGTGAAATGGGCCCAAAAAGATGTCTTGAGCCACACTTTGGACGGACTGGGGGATCCGGGTTTAGGTGGGGGGATATCCGGTCGGGTTGGTCGGTCAAGCCATACAGTCCATCGGCATTCCCATCAGAGGCGCGCAAGCTGCAAATGTCGGCTAGCTGTGTTCAGATTTCTATGCACGACAATAGAAATGAGCAAATGAAGCGGACGCGCGCCAGGCGCTGCTGCTCAATGCGGCTTCAAGAATAATGTGACGGGGGGGGGTTCGCGCTGAATCGAAACAAACGGCTGGCGATGGTGTGTAGCATACTGCGAAGTACATGTTGTGGGTTCTGCAGCTCTGCTGCGTGGAACGTGGAATACAACTTCGGACCCGAGAGAACGTCCCGTATTACGGCACGGCTCGAGGTCCGAGAGAAAATCGACAGTGTTGGTGCGACAAGAGTACTTCGCACTTTGGCGACATCGACGCTGGCAAGGTGGAGATTCCGAGAAAGTTCGGGCTCCTCCCATGCCCTATTCTCAGCGCTGGTACAATGACCCGTTGTCGTAGAAGCATCCCAGAAAGTTGGGGTTCTTCTCAATTGTGACATCCGATGCTCCTTTGGGACATGTGATGATACAGTACCGAGCGGACGGTTTGGTAATGTCTCACGGAATACGGATCGGGTTGTTCGTTAGGTTCGATTCCCCGTTTGTGATCAATCAAGTCGAGAACGCGTGGGGTGATGGAGGGTTACAACAGCGCAACGCAGCACTGCGCCCAAAACTTGGCTGTCTTAACCTAACGCCCTATAATACAGCGCCTCGCCTATATATATGCCAACCATCTTTCTGCGATTGGCTCGAGGAAACCCTCGCTTGTCTCTCGCTACCAAAGATTTTGTTGGAAGTATTAATAGGCAGGCAAAGACGCTACGCGATTCGCAGATCGTAAGTCCCATTGGCTATACAAGCAATTGTTGGGATGCAGGTTGTTGTTGTTGCGCCAGAAATATGGATAGTTGGCGGCTGGTCATTTCAGATGTTGCACTTATCGCGACAGAAACAGGAATTGGTTTTGCTTCCAGACATTGGACACTCTACAGTGGCGGTGGTGCAAGATTACCAACCTGCATAGCTCATATATGCAATACAGGCGCTTTCAGAGCGGGGAACGACGAATTAGGCTTCAATTAGCAAGATGTCTTCCTGCTGTGTCCTGTCATCGTACGATATCCGTGTCGGTATTGCATGTGTTGCCATTTGCGCATCAAAGGGGGCAGTGACCCTGACGCTGACGCTGCTAGAGGTGGACAACTGCTCTGGCCGCATCGGCCCTTCACTGTTCACCGGGAAGGAAAATACACATGATATACCGACTCGGTAGTGACGGTATGGCTTGTGCGAGACGAATCTGCATTTCCGGGTTCTTCATCCGGTCGTTCGAAGATGCCAAGTGGGCCAAAAAGGGGTTGCAACAAAATCCATCCCACCGACACTTATTTATATCCCGCACACACAACTCGCAATCCGATCTCTCGAAATCAAACCGGTTGCGAGTCTCTGTGCCGTGTTTCATAGCCAACCTGCGGGCAAGAAACGCGTGCAATAGCGTTGCAGTACCAAACGGGACACCTCTCTCTGTCCATATGTCGGTCTGACAAGCAATGCAACGGCGGAATATGCGATGCTACTCAACCACATTAGCAAAAATCGGGGGTTTTACCAAGCCGGGTACTCCTCATTTCGTTCCAGTTTCGAGTGCGGTTTGGGGTACAGTACAGTACAGGGTGGGTGCTAAGTCGAGGCTTTGTTAGAAAGTGGTGGGTTTACAGACCTCCATGGTAGTTGGATACATGTTATCGGCAGTTCTGCGTGTTTATATCTTGGTTACGTATGGCTGCAGCAATAAATCGGTGAATGCTATGCGTCCAAGTGTCTCGGATGCAGTATTCGGTGGGGGATACAGGCATGTCGTTACTAGGTTGAAGACTCCATCTTACTCGCTGCAGTGTTTGGACGGCCTTCCGCGAGGCTCGTGAATGACTGGTCCGGCATCCAGTGGTTTGGTCTTGGCGCAGGCAACGGGTCCGTGAGGAACATCAGGTGTTGTCGTCAGTCATCTTTGATTATCGTCGTTCATGGCCCATTCTCCCATTGCGGCGAGAATGAGGCTGATGCAAGCCCGCAGCGTCTCACGCAAGTCCCGCATGCCGTTCCCGTCATATCGCACGCGAAGCCCATAAGCTTAGTCCGAGGCTTTACGACACATTTTACTTAAGCATAGTGGCTTATGCGGCGGCCCAAGAGTCCCGTGTGTTTCATATGAAGTACAGCGTACTACTCAGCTGTTGTTGGACGGGAGTCAGGTTCGTAAGAGGTTTCTCGCTCGCATGAGTAGACATGCCTGGAGTCGACAAGTATTGTTCGTTGGGACATTAAAATAATCTTTGTGGCGGTTAGATGAAGAGGTCGCATCCGACATCCTTTGAGTAGCCAGTGGGAAAATCAGTCCCACAGCCCGTGTTTGAATCGCGAATGTTCATTGAAAACGATAGTGGATGTCAACCAGCCAACCCGGTAAAGGGGTTGACAAGATGAAATCTCAGGGTTCAGCGGCTCCTTGGAATATGTACATTTGACAAAGTGTCGCATGCATTCGTTAGGAAAAGGTACTGGCCAAGGGCCTGATCGACTTCGAATCAAGGCAATTGCAGTATATCGTCTTCAGGGTCAGGGGAACAGGAACTTCTTCCTTACCTTTCCTCTATGTCCCTCGGTCCATGCACTAGGCATCACCTGTTAACAACAATTAATCTCATACAAGCTGATCTGTAATGGAAGTCCTCAGTCGTGTCTTCTAAGAAAAACGGCAGACAAGCTCGTGTCTGGTAATCGAAACTTCAAATCTTACCTATACCAGCAAAGGCAATCTATAATCATCGGAAGCATGCATATGGCTTGGTCATTTCCGGTGCCCACGCCCCAGCCCAAGCTGCTTCACGCTTCCAGCACCAGGTGAACATCCGCGACCCTTCACCCCATGCCCCTGAACTTCTTTCTAGCCATTACTCCACATAGGACCATATACCAACGCACTCACCATTCGATCAATAGTGCAACACGAGGCAAGCATACACCCCCAGCTCCCCCCTCCCCCCTCCCCCTTTTCCTCAACCTCTACCACCTTCACCAAGAACCCATCTCAAGTCCCCGAGTCCAGACCGCTACTTACAGGCTGCGACCGGAGAGGCCAGACGGTCTGTCGTCATGCCTGTCCCACATCATAATACATATACACCAATCCCCAAGAAGACGGGAAATGTGGACTGACTAAGTGGCATGATATCGGACGAAGGTTGCCAGAAAGCCAGGAGCATACGATATGCGGAAATAGACATAGCAGACACCAATGAATGCATATACATAACAACTTGGTATGAGAACAAGCACATGGCCACTCACCAGGGACCGGCGATGACGTCCCGTCACATTTAGTATCCATCATCTGGCCACCAATGGCGGGCTTCATGAAAGATTCGCAAAAGACGCCTAGTTAGAAGAGCCTGCTTGAGCGAAGGATTACTTGTTGCATTCAGCCACAAGCAGTAGAGTACCCTGACAGTGTTCATGAGTATATTATGACATTAGCGAATAAATATTGTAGGATACCGTACATACTAGACATCATCGTCACGAGTCCAGCCCTCCATCCTTCCTAGCTGTACTGTAGCTTAAAGGTACTTACTTCATGAGAAGAGACCGTCCAACCAACCAACCAAGAAAGACAGGCAGACCCCTTCCTTCGTAGAGCCTGCTTATTCATTTCCCTGGAAGCCGCACGCACAAAAGCTGATGGCCCTTAAAGAAACAAACTAAGCAGCAAAAATCGCGCGTTCAATCATGCCCGGTAAGGGTGGTTGATTGATTGAGCGAGCGCACCGGGGTATATTGCAAATGTTCTGTCCTTCCGTTTTCGCCCTTCTCTCAAAAACAAAATATGGAGAAGCATAGGTCCTGCATCCTCCTTCGTCCACAGGGATGGGACTCGCATTCGTATAACAAAGGAAATGTACAACAAGGATAATAACCAGACGTATGACCAAGTCTGAGAGCCATGTTCGTATTAAGTTGATCGTTCGTGACGAGGTCTGGCCGAGGTGTGAGAACTGGCCCAGCTGACTTCGCGGCTGCTTCGTGGGCTTGGGTTCTTCGCGTGGAGAAGGTCACGGGTGTAGGCCCCCAGGCGCTTGGCAAGAGAGGCGAGCTAGGTGTCTCCCGAACCAGGAACCAAGGACTTGAGACGGACCTCCTAAGTCTTCTTTGACTTCATGTGCTGTTTGTACTCGACCCGGACCACCTTCATGAGCAATTCCTCATTCTTAATCGGAACCCAAGAGGTCAATGCCTTCATGGCGTTCTCAAAGTCGGAGTCGATGAGTTGGTCGTGCAGAGCGTGTATGATTGCTGTACTTGTGGCATGCAGAATCTCCAGACCTTGGGACGAAACTGGTTCGGGCGCACCCTTGCCCGCCTTACCCGACAACATTGAAGGAGCGGGAGGATCTGGGGGCGATTGACCGAGCAGCATAAAAACATCCCAAACTCGGAGTTGTGCTGGGAAGGGTATCGACAGGTTGAAAAGCGTCAGGTACCATCTAGTTCCGTACGCGGTCGGATCGATAGAGAGCTCTTGAAGCTTCTGCGCTACGTCCTTGTCTGCCAGCCAATACTTTTCGAAGTCCTTCAATGCGCCCATCAGCTCCTCAAATCCAGGTTGGTAGAGGCGATTGAGACCACGCAGCTGCCATAGGCGCACCAGCATGACGAAGCACCTCTCCTCGTCGTAGTAGTTGAGCAGCGTCGCGGCTAGAGATGCCATGCCTTGGACGTAACCTGTCTCAGGGAAGTAGAGAGACAATGCGTGCAACACACGAAAAAGGAGTCGTTGTCCACCGCGGTATCTTCTTCGGAACATGATGTGTTGGTTGATTGTTCTCGGTACGTCGAGGTCGATCTGGACATCATCTGGAGAAGGCTGTTCCTGTAGTGTCTGATAATGTACTACGAGCTCGTCATCAGTTTCGAGGGGCCTTTTGCTATCGCGGGCGCTTGTGGACAGGAATGAATGCCAGGCCGCGGCGCGCCACATGTCCGGAATACCCTTCCATGTGCGTTCAATGAGTTTCGGGTTTTTGGTGTCAAACTCGAAGACCATGCCCTCGCCATCCTTGCCTGGCTTGACGACTTTGGCCATCTTCCGCCATTTCTCTGCGCGTTCCCACTCCTTCCGTTTGTGCTCCTCAGCAAGCTTCCCCGCAGACTCATCTTCGCCGATGCTTAGGCCGGGTTGCAAGGCAAGCATTTCTCCAGCCTCGTCGGTAAACTTCCGATCCCTATTATGGGGCAGTAGGTTGGCCGCTTGGCGTGCGGCAGAACGATTAGAATACCGAGACATCGACGACATCTCGGACGCTTGTGTATTTAGGGAGCGCGCGGACACCTTCCTACTAGGTCCGCGTCTAGCACCTAGATATCCAGCGTACGCAATTTCTTTCCGTACCAGCACGTTGCGCTGCTTCCGCGGCGAGTACTGCACCGAGGCATTGTCGGACTCAATAGGCATGCGAGGCGGCGTTTCTGGTCGTCTGATATGAATGAAACCGTAACGATCGACATCTTCACCATTGACGTCCTCCCAGTCCTCTATTCCTCCAGCCAACTCGTATGCGTGGCGTATGGAATCATCGTGTCGCGACGCAGTACATGCCACGGACGCCGGGATCCCAGCTGCTCGAATACGGCTTCCAGATTGATCGTTTGGACTTCGACTTTGACTTGTCGTCGGACTGGTGGGATTGTTCGGTGACCTGTCATAGGCATGGCTGTCAGTACGATCAAAAAAGTTTTTTTGGCCGGATAGTCAAGGAAACCATACGCGTCGTTCGTCTGCACCTCATCATCATCATCATCATCATCCTCGGACGGGACCTCTACTGTGGGCTCAAGTCGCCCCCCGTCCTCCCACCGCAGACCTTCTCCGGATTCATAAAGCGATCTCACCTTTTGAGATTCCCTTTCTATATCTACCGATATGACACGAATGCTGGGTGGTTGGGGCGATTTGGGCGTGGATGGCTCTTCGTCGACGGCGAATGGCGACGCCGAAGTGGATGCGGTAACCTCTACCGGCGGAGGTGGCACCGGCGTCGACGATGCGGCCGCCACCGGTGGAGACGCTGGGAGCACTGAGCTACAAGCTGGTGCCGTTTCGTCTTCCTCGGCGATGACATGATTTTTAGCGTTTCGATAGGGTTCCTGGGCGTTCGCGCTCGAAGCTACAGCTCCATCGACCTGCGATTTCGACATCAAGGACGGCGCAAGTGGAAATGCGCGAATTGGGAGCTGCCGGGCAGGAGGACCATGGCCGGTAGCGCTGTCGCTGTTGGTCATAGTGATGGGTTTCTTATCCTTGGTCGGTCGCTTGCCACCAAGCATAATACTCCCCCGATTGCTAAATGACATCTGGGTGATGAAGTCGGCGAATTCACCATCGCCAGCAGGCGCAGGACTGCCGCCGTGAAGATTTGGCGACTCCAAGGGGCTCGGGATGTCGTTAACCAACAACGGGGTTTCCCGTCCACATGGGTAGTGGATTGTCATTGGCATTCCATTTTCGGGAGGTGGGGTTGCAGGGGGTGTGGCCGTGGACGGAGCTGGATCCACCGAGCGCTGCTCGTGTGGAGGAGCATGGACCTTTTTCTGGAGTTTACCTCGTGACGACTTCATTGATGAGGACTTGCTGTAAATGGAAGACCGGAAACTGAAGGATCGCGAAAAGATGGATGCAGGTTTCTCCGCAAAATTTGAGATTGGCGTCGTGGGCGATGTCGGTGAGACCGTGTTACTATTGCTGTTACTCTCCGATAAATCTGGCGAGGACAGAGGAATGCTGCAGTTGGTTCCACTCAGATCATCGACTGCATGTGGCGGCTGGGTATGCTCATTTTCCGAGCTCGTCGAGGCAAAACTGGCCCGGTTCCTAATGCACAGCGCTCGAGGAATATCGTGGACGTTCACATGGAGCTCTGGAGTCACTCTCACTCGAGGCACCTTGTTAAGGTTTTCGTACGGAAAAGGGTCGTCGTCGTCCTCGTCGCTCTCTTGGTAGAAGGTGAAGCACTGCGGTGATGTTGAAGTTGGCGCGTGCCCCGAATTCCGTTTTGAGTTGTTGGTGTCGTCGTCGTGGCCGTAGAATTCGTTTGCACCCGGGGTGGTGATGGTTCTCAGAGCAGGATGCGTCTCCGTTGGCCGAGGGGGACGAACAGGAGGAGGAGAATTGAGAAGTGCGCCTGGATTACGAGAAAAAATACTGGAAGCAGGGTGCGTGCCTGACTGTGAACGGTATCGCAGCGGCGATCGTGGTGGAGGAGAGGGCGGACTCGGCGCAAGTATAATAGGAGGTTCGGCCTGTTTGGTCTGATCGTATCGAAGGGCGACTAGCTGGTCGTCTCTAAAGGGTACGAGCGCGCCAGTCCGTCCTCTGTAGCGCACGCTTGCAGACTTTGGGGGCGCCATTTCCGCGTCCAATTGACCTTGTGTGACGAAACCAGGGTCCGGGGATTTGCTCTATCGAAAGCCTCCAACCTTGTTCGGAAAAGTTCCCCTGCAGTAGTCGTCAACCGGGAGTGAGCCCTTGGTTCAACGGTCCCAACGCCTGGAATAGTCCAAGTCGGGTCCCAATTCCGTCCAAGGAAAAATCGATGAGATAGTGTTGACTACACTCTGGAGGATTGACGATGTTGATCGGCCCAGGCGGTTCCGGGGATGCCTAATGTGCGTCTCTATTGTGTTGGTTGCGAGGAATGCCCTGAGGTAATTGACTTTGACGGGCGTGCCTCGAGCCTTCCCGGTTATACGGAATCAACACCGACCCAACAGTGCTCAACAGAGTGACGTGAAAACCTTGTAAATACCCGGAAGTCAAACCGCAGATATCAAGTGTTGCTTAAAAATAGGCGAAGAGGAATAGAGTGGAAAAGCAGCCAACGTTACTTGGGTGGGAGACATGGGCCTTATGACCTGGTTTACAAGCAGCGCATAACTAGATGGGAATGTGTTCTAAACTCATGGCTCTCCGCCGGAAGGGAGAGTCACTCCTTCCCGATTATGCACCTCCGCGCAACTACCTCTGTTCTCGCGCATTGGTAGCAGGAGACTAAGGTATTTTTCTTGTTTTTTCCTCTTCTCGACAAGCTCGGCGTCCACATCGAGTCATTCGTAAACCCAAGGCTCGACAGCAGTGGAACAACCGCCATGCGTTTTCCAAAGGGTCCAAATCAAAGACCAGGGTCAGTCGAACGGGTGTTGAGGTGAGCGAATCAGCAAGCAGCCACCATGCCCAAAAAGAACAAACGGGCCGTTAGAGAACCATCAAAGATAGTCCAGCACCTCTGTTAACTTGTAATAAACTATACTTCGTTCCAATTGGCGGTGACTCTGTTTGCCGGGCAAGCGGTCAGCTGGTTATCTGCAGGTGTTGGGACGGCGGCTTTTTCCTTTTCTGCATTGGCAAGATTTTATTTTCTTGCTGCGCCTGTCTCACCTATTTCCTGACATTAGGCTGAGAAGGAAATTTGAATAACACCAACTTACTCCAAGCTGACTTGGCTCCTACTCCAACAAGTGTGCTCTATACTCCATCGAAGCCCAACACGGCAACATCTCCCTTGATTCAGCCCTATGTGGACGATGGTTGTGGCCCGCCTATCTTCAGCTGCCAAATTTCGCTTCGGTATTGAATGCTAGTTTGGTCAGGATAACCCAAGCAATCTCTTGCTCGATAGAGTATGATAGAGTATATGCTGACTCGGCTTTCCTCGTGGCCCGTGAGCTCAATATCGCAACACGATTGCTCTAGCCGTCCATTTTTCTCTCCGCATCGGTCGACCGGGAAGCCGGCTCTAGAAAAACCATCGCTCTTAGCACTAGGACTGGTTGCTGACAAAGCCGAGGCCTCATCATCCAGCGCGTGACACTCACAATTTTTTTTTTCTCTTTCTCCTTCCGTTGACCCTCCGGCAGTAGTCGTTGTCTCCTCCTCCCGAACCCTATATTCTTTCTGCTGAAGGGGAGGGTTATTCTATCCTATTGGAGGTAAAACGTTCTGTCTAATGCGTGCGCGTGACCACGCATACCTTTCCAACGGCGGTAGTTGGAATCGACCGCCACGACGGAGGGAGCGTACCGAGTCTTTCACGGCACCATAACCGTCTCTAGTTCGACAGACTTAACGCCAGCAAATAAGAGCCGCCGAATCCGGATTGCAACTGCCCAGTTGGGAGTGTACTAAGCTGCTAGTATAGTGGGGGGTTGTTGGGAGGGAGCACAGCAGCACCCACCTTTTCCCAAATCAGCCAGTAGTCGTGGATACGGTATTTGTAGCGTTAAGTGCAAACGGAGGATTAACCCCCGCGCAGCTGTGGGTCCGGAGCACTTGCATCTCGACGCAATTTTTGCAGCAATCTTCGACGTGGCATTTAGCCAGCTCATCCAAGTCCCGATTCCACAGAATAAAAGATGGCGCGAAGATCGTGAACGTTGGCATTGGGCATTCAGGCATTTATTCATTCATCATGCAAAGGAGAAAAAATCCACGGCAGTGGGAATTACGCGAGCAGTCTGTGTGCTCATGCACAGCGCTTGTGAATGTTACATTTCTCTTTGATGGATCACTGGTCTCTGGGAACAGCAGCCGAATGCTAGGTTCCGAGACACTGATTTGAATTAGAAACACCTCCCAGGCTCTCTTCTAGCCAACGGCTGGCCTCAACTGACCACGGCGCACGGATTTGCTGTTCAAGGTCGAGTCGAGATGCAAGTGGCGCAAATGCCAACCGCGGTCAACACTCTGCACTACGCAGCCGCATTCATATGACGCATTAATATCACACGTGTCGAAGCTACCTCGCAACAAATGGGATCTCCGCAGAATTCAAGTAGTCTGCTATACCCTTACCGTCACAACATCACGTTGGTTCCTTTCCAGATAGGCAAGAAGAATACAGCCATCTCGTCCGTGTTCGGTTTTTCTTTCAAAAACTTGCTAGTTCCAATGGGGCCTGATTTGCAGCCACTGCGCCCAAAAGCCTCAAACCGCAGTCGCGCATCCCAACGCCTCTCCCGTAAATGCTATGCACCAAGGCCCAATTGCCCCTGCGCCCCCGCCCCTTAAAGGCGGCATGTCGTGAAAAAGCAAACAACGTGTTCTAGCTTGCGCTAATAACAGCCTGATGTGGTGTCACGATAACATCCAACGTGTCTCGGTTCGATGGAAGATACTATTCACCGCTCCAGGGGATGCGCGACAGGCATAGTCATCACACTTCCTCATTCTCCCAATCCTTCTCCCCAAACATGGGCCCATCTCTGGAGCCACCAGTTTCCAACTTCTCAAGGAATTCAGGGGGTATTGTTGGGATGTATTTCCTTTCCCGCTCGCGGTTCACTCCGCCGAAGCCAGCACCGTAGGATACCAGCATGTCCGTCACAGATGGCAGGGAAAATGGTAGCATGACTGATGGGTCAAGGTTAATGCCTTCGGGAACGTCGTCATCAAATTCGTAGTCTGGATTTGGTGTGCCCTGCACACTTGTTGCAACCTCTGGTTCGTTGCCATTCGACATGCCTTTGACAGGTGTTGACGGCATACTGATTAGCGAAGGGGACGCGGTCTTTCTTCGATCTCGCTTGATTGCGGCCTCCCTTTGAATTGCTTCGAGGTACTTAAAGGCACTTTTCGGTAGTCCCTTTTCGCCGACTTCAGGTCGATAGTTCTTGGCCGAGTAGATAAGTTGTTGTGGATTGAGCCGGGGCAATTGTTGAAGTGTCCCAACTAAAGCTTCGAGATCATCGGGGTCAAGCGATGAGAAACACTGTAGCCATTGCAGCAGTTGAATGACTGGGGCCAAGTGCCTTCGTGCGGCCTCGACAGTCGTTTCTCCACTTGCATTCGTCTCTCCATGCTCGTAGTGTTCGGGCTTGCGATTGTTCGTCCTGGCCCAATCCTCAAGAACAGAGATATTCATTCTTATTTGCATTGCCTTTGTTCGAGCAAGGAATTTTCTGTTGTCCATAATGCGGTTGAACAATTCCGCGCCGAGCCAGAATATGAGTTGCGAGATGATCTGCGATGTGATGACGGAGTGGATATCATACAGATCTAGAACGAACAAGGTGGAAGACAGGAGAGAGGTAACATTTCGAGGGGCAGGCTTGGCTCTCTGCTTGGGAGACGGCGGTCGATAACGCTTCTCTAGCGGCTCTGCTTTCACCTCCTTTTTCCTCTTGAACAATTTCCATTCGTGCTGGAAAGTGACATCCTCAAACCCCGGGATGGTTTCGTGGTCGAGCATTGCTGGTTCCAAGACCTTGTCCAACCGTCTTTCCGCATCTCGAACAATGAGGATGAAGATTTCATTGACCAGTTCGGCCAGCTGAGCTTGGAACTCTGTCGTTGCCTCCACGAGCCCGGCATCTTTCTTCAGATAGTGTAACAGAAGTGTCGCATTAGACATCCAAAAAGCGAGAATTGTCATATCCCACTGGTGCTCCTCGACAACGTCGTTGATTTTGTCCTGGGCGCGGATGAGAAGTTGGGCGAGCAGCTCATGGCTGGAATGGTAATGCGCATATCTTGCGCTTAAGAAAATCATGTTGGCGGGAACAGGCTTTTGCGATGGTGACCGTTGGGGAGTCATTTTGGTGATGATAATGTCAAGTATTCTCTCAAGCTCGCTTTCTTGGAAAACGAACATCTGGTCGTGTAAACAACGGTTCCAATCAAATTCCTGTCCCTCTTCCTCAAATTCATCCATAGCCTGCGCAACATTAGACGTGATATTTGATTACGGGTTTGTGGATCAACTTACCTCTGGTTGATCATCCATTCCGACGTTGCCCAGATCGACTTCAAGATCCCTCGCACTTTCCATCATCATCCGCCGCCGCGTTTCTTGCTCGGCCAGCTCTTCTTCGAATCGGTCTTGGGAGAACCCCGGGTTGTAGAAGTCATCGGTGACCCCGGCATTCCCAATGTTGTACCCGTTGTCGTGTAGGTAGAAAGATATATCACTGTCGGGGGGCACGAAATCAAAAGCAGTCCTGCCTGAAGATGTCTTGGCTTCGGCAGAAGCACCATTATCCAGTAGTATCTTGGCGATACCTTTGTGCCGATTCGTCATGGCCCACATGAGAGCACTCCAATGATTCCGGTCTTGCTTGTCCACATCTACCCCGGCATCCACCAAAGCTTGTACTACACTCTCGTGACCCTAAACTGATCAGCGATCGTTTATTCGTATTGATTCCCACGTCACTTACAAAGCAGCTCGCATAGACCAGGGGCGGAGTTCCATCCTCGTCTGGGGCATTCACGTCTACGAAGGGCTTGGCCTTGCCCTCGACGATTTTCTTCACATGTTCCAGGTCGCCATTGCTTGCAGCCATGGCTAATGACTTCTGTAGCATCTTGTGCTTCTCATCTTCGGGAATCTTGTCGTCACTAGCTATCGCGTCGGCATCGCCCAGGCCAGCGCCTCCGTGTCGTTGTGCTTGCGCGGCCAGCATCTCCATTAGTCTGGTATCGCTATCGGGCATGCCCTTGGCTAGGTCTTGTTGGTCGTAGTCGGGATCATCTAAGGTCAAGTCGCTGAACTGCAAAGGCTTTGCGAGAATGGGGCTCGTTAGAAATTGAGATTGACCTGGTGGGAGCCATGAATGTTAGCAGCTTGTAGCCTCGGATGCCGTAGTTACATGGACGAACCTTGCCAGCCATCGTAATATTCGGTCTCTGGGACTAACTCGGTGCGAACGGCCTTGCGGTCGTCCAACGATTTAGGGAGATCAGGCGGGAGTTCTCGCGGCCTCCTAGGCTGGCCGCCGAAACCCCCACCATCGCCGTCTCCGATATCCATTGCGAAAGGACGAGCGGTAGGCTGCTCATGAGCTGATCGAGTCGGGTCTATGCAGGATCATACTTCTCAAATCGTGTTCGGGTCTTCGTAGTCGTTGTGCCGGTCGACTTGCTCGATGTTCTACTTGTCGAGATCTTGAGGTCCCCTTAACTAGTGGTGGGTCCTTCATCAATGTTAGGTAATAAGCTGTCCCATCGTCATTGCCCATTCGATCATTGGAATTACCTTCAGTGGAACAATTCACGGTCCGTGCGCATCGTTCCTTGCGCCACCAACCGCCGTCTCAAACGGTTTCAAGGACGAACTCATTGTTTCCAACCTCATCAAATCCATTGTGTTGGTCAGAACTCGACTTTTAAGTATAGCTTACCTTGACCTGCCCTGAGTTTAATTCATCCCTTGCTTGAAATCAAGTAGCATGGTAACAACTGTTTGACAATGTGTATTTGAGGTTGGAACTGCCTCTCATATCCGTCGACAACATCAAAGTATTTTCCACGATCACTAGTGCCTAGACAGCTGCAGAAACGACGAATGATGTTCACAACGGAACGGCAAGGAATTTCGTCAGGCTCTCGTTGATCCTAAATGCAGTTTTATCTCATCTCTGGCTTGGATATACGACTTTATAAGGAAGTTAGCTGCCCTCGACATTTAATCTCCTGGTAGCTTTCAGTCAAGTCTCAACTCAAACCGCCCTCTTCGCCAACACGCGTAGTCTCTTCACCCCACCATCCGGAATAATAGTAAGCTTGACATGCGTAAACGTCTTATCCTTTATCGCACAAGCCCAAGTATGCTCCTGATCAGGCCCACACTTGGTCGCCTCCACAACTTCCGTCCACCCCTCGGCCTCCGCGCCCGGCTCACCCTCACCCTTCCACTCAATAGCATCCAGCCTCGACATCTGCGGGAAGTTACCCCTGAAATATGCCGTATCCACCACAAAGCTCTGTATCAGCGCCGGAGCACCCAACCGAATGATGGCCCAATCCACATGCCCCTTGGTCCGAGACCGTGCCGTCTCCCAGCCGTCTCCCATGTCCTTGCCCCGACCCGGCAAGACGAGGTTATCCTTGGTGCCGAAGTGCTGGTCGCTGCAAGAGATGGCCACAGCGCCATTCTGCGCCGCGCCCAGGTCGAAGATGGCGTCCTTGTCGTCAGGGAAAACGGGTACTGCATGGCCGAAGAGCCGGAACCTCGCAATGCCGCCGTCGGGGTACATGTTCAACCTAACATGGGTGTACTGCTTCTTCGTTGGCTCATCGAGCTTCCAACCAAACCGCTGTGAGGGGCCACACTCCTGGATACCTAGGATGGGCTCCCATTTTCCCTTGGTGCCCTTCCATGACCGAACCTCGGCGTCGTCTTGGCTGAAGCAGCCTTCGACCGAGATGGCAGGGGCGTGGTTCCCGGAGAAGAAGGCAGTGTCTACTTCGACGCCTTCGACTGTTCCTGAGGCTACGCCGAGACGAATGACGACCCAGTCGAAGGGATCCGTGTTGTGGCGGCGCGTCTCCCAGCCATCGTACCAAGCGCCCGTGTAGACCATCTTTCCTGGCTGCCGTATGGGGGCCGTGGGGGTAAGGAGGTTAAGGGCCTCTGCGAACCACTCATCCGAAAAATCTACGATTTTACCCCCTAGTGCGCCGGAGACGAGATCTGGAGCTGTGGTTTAGCCATATACTTGGGACGGCATAATACTGCGGGGTATTGGCTGCAATCAAACAATTCTATGTGAATTCATAAAGAGCTGATATATAGCCACATGTTGATATTGAAAACATACGTACCAATAGAACCCGAGCGGAAGGTCTTGTCAATGTCCTCGGAGGCAATGGAGGTGGCCCTGACGGCCTCCAGCTTATACTCGATGTCCTCAATCATTGTGCCGTCGGGGGGTTGGGATGGAATTTAACGAGTTAAATTCAAGACAAGAGTTCGGGCAATATGGCGACAACACTTGCATTTAAAATCCAAATCACTAGAAGAGAAACAACGCGACACCTTCATCAGGGTCTCTCCGGTCGAAGTCGAGAGGCATAGCGGGGCTTCGTCCGGGAACGGCGCGTAGCTCGGCGGGCTTGGAAATTCGGCCAGATCCGAAATCCCCTGAAGTCTCAAGACCAATCGATAAGACGGTCCTCGCCAGTACTCGATGAAATCAAGTTAGGCAGCTTGGCTTTCAGGGCCGACTCGACCCGCAAAGGCTGTAAGCCGTTGTCATTAATAGCTCGATTGTCCAATGAGTTCTAAGGAGGCGGTCTCAATAGGACTCGTTCCAATTCTGTCTTACCGATTCCCTTGTCTTCCGTGCCACTGTATTGCTCAGTAATGAGCACAAAGACCTTGACATTGGGGAAACCCCAGAAAGTGCTTAAGCACACCATCGATAACTTCCTGCCCCGCAATGAGCAAATGTCGGCCATGTCGGGGCTGATGAATGCCGAAGCGCTGATAGGTCACAGCTATGCATAGGTGCATCTGTACCACATAGGATCATTGTACACAGCGTCATCGATGGAACGAGATTGGCACCAGCTTGAGAAGCTCATCAGCCTGGTGCATTGAGGGCAAGGTTGTCGTAATCATTCTAGCTATGCAGACAATCAATCCATCCATGCATCATTAAACTCTCGCTCCCTCGATGTCATCTCTCGTTGTCTCCCCGACTCGTATGCCTACCCGCTCGGATGAATAGAGTTTTTAAGCAACCAGCGCCTACTTGAAGCCAATCGTCCACATTTTCATCTTGTTAAACCATGCAACATTCATTGAAATCTCGCTCAACCAAGCCCCAGCAGCCGAGCAGCTATCAACACAAGTGAGCCACTGATCTCTTTGCAAAAATGGCCTCCGCAACGGGCATACCCCAACACACTCCGGGCACCGAGTCGCACGACGAGATGGAACCACTCCTCGGCCGTCCGGGCGACGTATGCCAAAAGGACGAAGCTCCCATTGTAAAAAACCTCATTATTGGTACGCTTATGTTTGCCTCGCTACTTACTGCCTGAGCATATACTTCGCCTTCTCTCCTTCCACGCTGTTCCCTCTCCTAACACAGCGACAGCTAGGTTGGCTTGGGTGTCATCTTTCATGTGCGCTTCCACGGAGCTTGTCCCTCCTTGTTTCCAACCTCGTTGATATTCTGCCAATTTGTCATCTTCAAGTCTTGGATACTCGCTCTCTCTCTCACTCTCTCTCTCCCTCAATTCCACCAAGCAACCAATCTCTCCACCATGGCAAAGCTCATCCAATCCTCAGGAACGGGCGTGATCGCCGAAGCCGCGGCTCTCCTCCTCGTCGCCTCAGTCTGGGGCTCTGTCTTCATCGCGGGCAACCTCTCCCTATTCTCAGTCCACCCACTCGCACAATCCTTCGGCTTCCTCGTCCTCATCCAGTCTATCCTCGTACTTCAGCCCACCCACACCGCCAAGCAAAAGGAAGTCGGGCAGAAGGTGCACGCGGGCCTCAACCTCCTCGCCATCGCCACTTTCATTACGGGCGTCGTCGCCATCGAGATCAATAAATTCCGCCAGGGCCCTGGCTCGCACTTCCACTCCGTTCACGGCTACTTGGGCGTAATTGCGTCGATTTGGTTTCTTGTACAGTACATAGTTGGTTTTACCATGTTTGCGGTGCCCAAACTTTACGGGGGTGAGGCGAAGGCGAAGGCGGTTTGGAAGTATCATCGCGCGAGCGGCTATGTGCTTCTGTTGTTGTTGATGGCGACTTTTACCAGCGCAACACAGACCGACTTCAACAAGAATGTACTTGGATTGAAGCTGTGGGCTTTGATCTTGATTGTGGTCATGCTGGTCATTGGCGTATATCCCAGAATCAAGAAGCAGAAGCTGGGGCTTTGACGCGCTTTGGATGGCTTATCAGAGCTTTGAGTTGCGAGCCGCACAGGTCTATCAAAGACCCGTCATTCATACGCAAGTGGTATTTTAGGGTGCAAAATGAATGGCATGGGAATGCTTGTTGGAATGGACACGACAATCTGGATGGTCTATACTTCGGAGTTCGTTTCATGATGCACTGCGACATGCTTAGTGATCGATACCAAAATACACCAGCAAGAGGCTGCAGGCTCTTCATAGCTGTTTAGTATACTCTACTTGTCCACACGGATTAAGCTGTCTTTGCGTCGCGTCGACAGTCAACGTGATAGCAAAAGCGAGAATGTGCCATAATGTCGTGGGTAACCCCTGTAACCCGCCTATAAGAGCCCGTTTGGGTAATGGTTGGTAACAGTTCCACACAAGTAGAAGTGGGCTCACCCAGCTATTATTCACTTACCCCTTACTTACATACATACTGAAGTAACCCAAGCAGCTTCTCTTGATCCTCAAGTACAAAATTGCAACAAGTATTCAACCTATAAAATAGGCTATTTCTGATATTGAAGGAGTCTACATATTCATTGCTATCAGTGCTTTTATACATACAACACTCTTTCTTGATTGAGTCTCCATCAATATTGTCTTCCAATGCTTATATTCCGAAGTTCCTGTGGAAAATATGGCCTCAGGCGTAGAAGGGTGCAAGGTAGGCAGGCATGGATTGTAGTATTTAGGGACCCTCGGAGGCAATTTGGGATCGGTCCCCCTTGTCGCTGCCATCAACTAGCCTAGTACCTATTCATATGATTGGAGTTATCTCGCCAGAAAACGAGAAAGTATAGTTATAGCTAACATACAGACCTTTCCAAATTTTCATGCACATGTTCCACATATCGTACATTTGAAGAACTCCACAACATTGACTATCCTACCATAGCTCACACGTCGGCGCCTTGACAGGACAATTATAAGCCTCACGGAACGCCCGCGAATTAGCCATAGTCCCTAGTATACGCGCAAACGCCGGCGAGTGAGGATCAGTGTAAATGCGTTGGATTAGCTGCTCCTTCCGACTTTTATTACACCAAAATTGCGAGTAGAAGATGAAGAAGAGCTGCTCGTGACTGAAATAGTCTAGGCCGGGAAGATCCTCGTCCGGCGTCGATTGCTGGCGTTGCTTCCACGCGGCGAATGCAGCAGAGATGCCGCCGGCGTCGGCGATGTTCTCTCCGAGCGTCAATCTCCCGTTTACGTGAAGAGGCTCCCCGTTGGCACCCGGGACGGAGAAGTTGGAGTATTGCTCCACGAAGCAATCTGCCCGCTTTGTGAACTCCTTGACAGTGTGGTTGGTCCACCAATCGGTATAATTGCCATGTTCGTCGTAGTGTCGGCCTGAGCTGTCGAAAGCATGGGATAACTCGTGCCCGGCAACAGAGGCGAAAGCACCGTAGCTGACGTATGCGGGAAGGTCGTACTGGAAAACGGGAAACTGCATGATCCCAGCGGGGAAAACGATTTCGTTTCCGACGGGCGAGTAGTATGCGTTTACTGTGTCGGCTTGCATGTACCATCGGCCATGGTCAACTGGCTTCCCCAGTTCGGACCAACTTTGGTTGATAGAAAACCGATTGCTTGACACTGTATTGTTGAAGAAAGAGTTGGTAATCTCCAAGCCTGCGTACCAGGCCTGCACATCCTCAGGATTTGTGATGTCCGGACTTTCCGTTGGATAGCCAATCTTCTGGTCAATGTTATTTACCTTGTTGATGGCCAGCTTCTTCACGCTGTCATCCATCCAGCTCAGCGCATTCAGTTTGGAAATGAACTGCTGCTTAATATCTGTCACGATGTGATCGCCGAAGTTTTTGGCATCAGCAGAGAAGGCAGCTTCGATGAAGAAGCGACTCAGTATCCAGCCAACCGTCGAGTCGACATAGCTCACACAAGTCTGCCAGCGCTCAGCCTTTGTCTCGGGATCCAAGCCATTCATGACATTGTAAAAACGGCTAATGGGCGCCACTTCTGGTCCCTGGACCGCATCTGCGTAGGTGTCGATGGTCTTCCAAATCAGATAGCTTTGTACGGTTGCCTTGTCAGTTTCCGTCAAAATCTGGGAAACGTTTGCCAGAAATTCGGGAAAGGCGAGCAGCATTGAGTCCACGTTGTAATCGGATGGCACAAGGCCCTCGATGACGGAGTCTAGGCCGATGGCTGGCGCAATTGTCCTGGCCTCAGATACCTTGATGATGTTGTAGTATTTCGTAACATCTTGCTGGTCCTCCGGAGGTGGGGTTGCCTCGGCAATCTTCCGCTCGAGGTCAACGACTGACTGTGCTAGCTTAGCCGCATCATCCCGGGAGGAGTTGCCGGGAATGAATGCGCTGAAGACTGCTTGCAACATATCCTGATACTGTTGGGTAGTGTCCGCATCCTCGTAGTATTCAGGAGACGGAAGAGTCAGCCCTGCAGGAGAAGCTTGGATTATGACGACTTCCTATGACGGGCTGTTAGATCACATATAGAGCTGTTCTGCCACGGTTGAACATACAGGGTTCTTGTCGTCGGCTCCCGTTCCAAGGCTCTCGAATGTAGTTACCCCAATCTGCTGAAGAAACAGGATCGCATCGCTCAGCTGGGGGAAATCATTCTCTCCAAGTTTTCCACTTTCCCCGTAAGAGTTTCCTGGGCCCAAAGGGAAATGGTTGGCGACTTCTCTGACCAGGCTGAGAAGGGGCTGCACTCCCAACTTCTGCAGTGCGGTCTCGTTAATACAGGAGTTGTACGTTTCCTGCATCATGTTGAAATTGTCCTCATCAGTGGAGGCGGCAACGTTGAGCAAGTTTAAAGGCGAAAATGTAGAGTGCTGTGCCATGTCAGTCTACAATCCCCAAGCGGAACACCTGCTTGTATAGCGTGGAGCGGTATCTGGATGCGCAAACCTGGGATGCATTGGGATACGGAGACTCGAGAATGTGTCTCAATATGGTTTTCCCGTTGTCGGCCATGGAACTGATGGTTGACACGGCGCTACGATCCGCAGCGATGTCATGGCGAGCATCGAAGCCATCGCAGACAAGATGGTTGAAGTCTGTGCATGCATCGATGTTTTGGTAGTCGGGCGACAGGTTGTCTATCGACGGTCAGATTTCGCAACATTGGAAGCAATGAAAAGGTCAGCCCTACACAGAATTTCCGATGCTGCGTGGATGCAGCTGGGCGTCAAACAGATTGAGGACCCCATGTGTAATTTTCCGCGTGAACGCGAGAGGACTGCGAGTAGATTAGAATGACAGAAACATCGTCTAGACAGAGAGAGAGCGAGGCGAGGGATTTAAAGCAAGGAGTAGTGTAGTGCAAGCTCGAGGTTTGATTGAACTATGATGTCTTAGAGTTCAACGCATCCAAGGAAAGAAGGAATAACCATCATGGAGGTAGGTGGTGTCTGAGACTCAAGCAAGTTCCGTCTCCACTGATTGTTCCATCGGAGGTGGTGCTGCCAGGTCTTTCGCATTTATATCTTGCAAGCGCGTATACTTGCACAAGCATGTTTGCTACAACTGCTCCAGCTTCATAGCGAAGGCGACCGACAGAGCTGAAGCACTCGTGATGAACAAATCATGTCTCTGCAACCATGTAGGACACTGGAATGTCCATTACATGATGTATTACACAAGAAGTATGGAACAGACGTATTTACCTCCAGATAGTATTAGAAGGGCGACAAACCCGAGTATGAGGAAGCCAGAACAGACGAAAGAAGCCCAGCGGCGCCTCCTCCAGATTTTGACTTGCCGGTTGAGATGGGCGAAATCCTCATCGGGCGTGGCAATTCGATCTGCATTTCGCCCGGTCTCGCTTGTCCTGCGCAACAGCGGCGTCCTCTCGTCGCGTCCATGGTCGGTCATGACGACAACACGTCGAAAGGGTTGAATCCCGCCAGATATGGGTGCAATTAGCCGGTAAGCAGATCGACGCAGCTCGAGCAGCTGTTCAGGCGGGTAGTGAATTTCGCTATCGTGTATGAGCCCGCAGCTAGGGTGCTTGGTGGTGCAATGGTAATCGGCGATGCACCTCCTGGAGTAGAATGAGGTTGTCGAACGCTCCAGATGTCATTCTCGTGGAATGTTGTCCCGCTTGGCATGAGCTCGGACGCAGGGTTCATACAAGCTAGGCTGCCGTTGCAGGGGTAGCTGCGAGCTTGGTGCTTGGCGCAAGGCGGGGTCATGGATGCGGGAGATCTATAAAGTACTTCACTTTGGGGTATCATAACTCATCTACTACCTCACTCTTGACATCCATGATTTACGTAATTATCAAAACCGCATATTGCTACTGGCTTAGGCTACAGCGGTAGAATATTCTCCGTAGGTATTTTCCTCCAAGTCTCTCATCGGTCTTGCCAATGCCGCGAATGTTACACAATACTGTCTACCTCACCTACGGATAAGTCGGAGGAGACTCATCCTTCATTATTTGGAAGTCTTCAGGAGTTAAGACGAGATATCAGATGAATTTGGGCTGTGTATTGCGAATGAAGACTTACCAAATGATCATTTGAGTCGAGAATAGTAGGCTGCCGCTGGGGTGGTAGTACAGTGCATATTCCTCTGTGTATTTCTCAAGATGCACTGTCCGGGAACCCCCCAATCCTAAGACACCTTGAGAGGGTGACTGCTGCGGCTGAGCGCCATTATAGCAACATCTCTACTTCACAAGACTGCGCAAAATGAGAAACATCGGAAGTGGTGGAAGAAAGCGACAACATTACGTTCTAAGCCATCATTCGCTTGCGAGCTTTATCGGTCTCAACGCTGCTGTTTAACTCAAACGGGTGGCAAGGCTCCATGGAATCCGGCCCCACGACGGCAATTGGGGATGTTGCGACTACCTCGTATGTGTTAAATTTACCAATATGAGAACCTGAGACACTAACATCCAAACAGATGTGAAAGATGTAGGAGACGCAAGGTTTGGTTGAGCATATATCCCAACCCCTCCTCATAGGATACTGACATGAGCCACATAGATTAAATGTGACCGACAATGCCCCTGTGCGAGCTGCAAGAAGGCTGGAACGCAATGTGTCGTGTCTGGATCTGGAGAGAAGCAAAGGTTACTCATCCACCATTGTCGACTCACATATCTGACTTACAAGTTCGTATTGCAACCACTGACAAACCATACTCAGACCTGTTCCAAAGAGTTATGTTCAAGCCCTGGAACGTCGAGTGGCCTCGCTCGAGCTCTTCATCCAACAGCTCGCCGCCGCCGATAAGTCGCGTAGGGATGAGCTGCTCGCTAGCTACATACCGGAGCCGGGCAAAACTGGCGACTTTGGCATCATCCCTTCCCGGAAGACGGAAAGCAGCCCCGAGGCTGCAACCGAGCACGAGCTCGTGCTGGCCCGGGCAAGAACCGGTCAGCTGAGGAAGCACAAGGCCGGCAAGTCGTCGCAATTCTTCGGGGGCACGAGTCTATTCCAGATCCATCACACCAGCGACTGCACACCCTCTACAACCTCTCTCGTAACAGACGATGAAACACATGATGGGGCTCTCGGGGCAGACGAAGATGGCTCGCCCCCTCTCTTTCCCGACCCAGCCGCAATAGCAGCGGGCCATTTCCCCTACTCCCCCCACGATGAAACAAGTCAAAAGACTATGACCAGTTTCTTCCGGGACCAGTACCCCTACCACATGTGCGTGTACCGCGAGTTCTTCCTGCGCGACTACGACATCGCCATCGGGCCCTACTACTCCGAAGTCCTCCTATACTCTATCTGCGCCATGGGCGCCCTATCCCTCTCCTCGCCAAATATGCTCGCCATCTCCTCCACCTTCGCTCTCCACGCCGAGACTCTCGTCTACGCCTCATTGGACAAACCGGACCTGACGATTCTACAGGCCCTGATGCTGCTTGGTTATCATGCCATCGGCCATGGCAAGGCGTCTAAGGGGTGGCTGTTCTGTGGCATGGCGTTTCGGCTCGCTCATGAGATGGGCCTACATCTCGACCCGAGCAACTGGAATAACAGCTCGGCGGCGTCTTCCGAACCGCAGATCGATCGCGAGATTCTGCGCAGAGTCTACTGGGCTGCTTTCAACGCCGACAAGCAGCTGAGTCTGTACTTTGGCCGTCCTCCGGCGCTGTATCCACACGAGTCGGATGTAAGGAACACGATCCGGATTCCGTATCCGGCCGACTGGCAGGGACTTTTGGAAACGTATATGGCGTCGAAGGGCATCTCGGCGACGGCGTACGAAGATGGTATCAGTCTGGCGGGAAGTTTCATTTACCGAGTCGAGCTGTACAAGATCGTGCACACTATGATCACGGACTTGTTCGAGAACCGGCGACACCACGCCGATAGCGGCGTGTTGGCGGCCACGGCGCAGCGTATTCACGTCTCGCTGAATAAGTGGCTGGCTACTTTGCCGGGTAAGCTGTATTGGAATCAGTGGAGTAATGGAAGGGTGCAGCCGTTTGTTCTGCATTTGCAGTGAGTAACTAGCCTCAAGCGGCCCCCTACATACTCATGTTATTTTATGTGATACTTACGTGCACTAATACTCACTCCTTCCCCAGTATGCTCTTCCACACTACCATGATAATCCTCCACCGTCCCCCCCGGCACCTCTTCCTGAAACCGGGCATCTCCACCAGCGACGATGTCGAAATCTGTTTCGAATCCCTACAAGCACTCCTGCGGCTCCTGCGCACCTACTCCAAACTCTCGTATCCTTTTTCCGCTCTTCCCATCGACGTCGTCCATACCCTTAGCGTTGCCGCAGGGACTATTGTCATGAAGCGCATAATGTTTTTGCGCACTGAAGAGGAGAACGCCGGGAGCAGGGAGATGGGAGATGATGATGTGGGTACGAGGAAGTCTATGGAGGTTGTCTTGAATGCGATGGACGAGATTCAGTATACGTGGCCTTGTATTGTAGAGATTAGGGAGAGTGTTGTGAGGGCGTTGGAGGGTACGACAACGGCCGCAACGAGGGATGCTTCCGGGACTGCTTCGGGCGCTGGCACCACTACCAATGCTGGTGCTATTGATACTACTATGAGTGGCCAGCACAACCCCCCCGGCCCGGACCCCATCCTCGACTTCGGCTTCCTCGCCGACTTTAGCGCCAGCAGCAGCGGCGGCGGCGGTGGTGATACCGGTGTTCCTCCTGCTTCAGGGACAGTGGTCGCCGGGGACGCCAATTTTTCAATCTCGGAAGCGGATCTGGGATTGTTGCTGACTGATGATTTCTTGATGGGGCAATTTTCATGGGATGATCCTTCTCCGGATGACCCGACATTTCGTTTTGGTGAGACCTTTTAGAGTAATACTTTTTTGTGTGTATGTTTTGCTTCGTTCCTCTGATGCTAAACTTGTGACGATGCACATCAAGCAAAAGGAATAGTTCATCTCAGTTGAACACCCCAAAACCTAACATCAAATAAATACTCGCTTTGGCTGACTGACTGGCTGATACTAATGTTCCAGTCAATCAATTCGCCCACGGGACACCAAAAAAAAGAATAGTTACAATCAATCCCCCTATATTCGCAAACAAAGACTCCTGAACGGCCAAAACTGGACCACAAGGGCAAAACAAGAATATGCACATTTCCCAGACTCCAAAATCCAGGTACTCTTCGTCCGTGGCCCGTCCCTGCCCCTCAACACCTTCTCAAGACGTCATGCCAGATTATGTTATGCGCCAGGAGACCGCCATTATTATGCAATCATGTAGTAAGTAACCCATGGTATCGTGCCGAATCGAATTTGCGAGTCGTGCCTGGCCTCCGGCCCACCTCCCCTCTCGCCCGGCCTGGGAAGAGAAACAAAATGTTCCCGTTCCGTCGTCCACTGATAGACACAAACAAAGAGTCATCCACACAGATTGACCAGAATGTATGTTCTGAATCCTTACCTCTCTGCCTCTCTCTCGATCTCTCTGTTAGTCCCCGTCTCCTCTATTGTTCTACCATTTGGTTGTTCGCTCGCCTCAAAGTATGCCCTATATGACATCATCCCTGAAACCAGATGCTCGACTCCTGCCGCCGCTCTGCAACAGTTAGCCATGCCATGCTGCTGACTTTCGCGATGCGGTTCTCTCTAGTCTCTCCAAAATAACGCCGTGGCGATGCAACAATGCGCATGCGATTGATTGGGTGTTTGGGTGGTTGTAGGTTTCGGTCGATCCACAGACAGTCGCCGTCATCCATCAGAAGAACTTGGACATGGCGTTACTCAGATCGATAAAGTCGACTGGCTTCGTGACATAGTCGCTGAAGCCCGCCGCAACACACTTCTCCTGAACGTCCGACATTACGTTTGCCGATAAGGCGATGATGGGTAGCTTGGGGTATTTGCCTTTCTTTTCCCATTGCCGAATGTCTCGACAGGCTTGATAGCCGTCTTTCCGTGGCATGTGAAGATCACACTGCATAACTTTTTAGTATTGGAGTTTGACCGATTTGGGGACTTGTCTCAACTTACCAGAATCAATGAATAGTACCCGGGAGGATGCGAAAACACCGCTTCGGTGCATTCAATACCATCTCCGGCGATTTCGGCATTGATGCCCACCTTCTTCAAAAATCTGACCAACACTTTCTGGTTGACTGGATTGTCTTCCACCAGAAGAACGTGGTAGCCCTTGTTCCCAATGCGTTTCTCGACATCGATGTAGCTCTGCCTTTGGCTCTCCACCATCTGGGCGGCGGTGGAGCGGTTCCGGTCGATGCTGAGGTCTCTCAACTTGGCCGGGTCAAAGACGCCGGCAAAACGAGACGGCTTAACTGGCTTGTAGATGAAAATGATCTTATTCTCAGCAAGAAGCTGCTGTTCTCTGTCCGACGCCAGCTTAAGTACCTCTTGTCGCTGCACCGAGTCGATCAACACCAAGATCAATGTCTTGCCACTAGATGTAGACGTTATTTGATCAACCATGTTGATAATGTACTCAGCTGAAGGCAAATTGAGGACTATGTGCGTGAAGGTGACGGATTCCGTGCCGCCAATCAGGTCTTGTGCTTCCTCGATACTTGCCAGGGCAGTAATCTGATGAGGAACGTCCTTGGGCAACGTCATCTCGATGTGCTTGGTCGTAGCCTCCCGACTGTAAGTTTGCGGACAAATGATGAGGATTGAGTACATCGGTGGACGGAATTCATCCGGTAAAACTCCTATTTTGGATCCATTAGGAGTAGGCGATCCTCTTGGTGATGGCTTAGAGGGCGGGATCTCGAGCTTAATCTGGGACAGTTCTTGCCCGCTTGCCCTAGCAGCTTCACTGAAGTGAACAAGACCGACGTTGACGGACGACACCGATGATCTGGCAGTGTTCTGGGACAGTATCGACCTTATGGAAGGGTCTGAGCTGCCAGACGACCTAAGAGCTGGAGACGCCGCGTCGGAACTTGAACTGGGACTGGCGGTGAATATGCCATCGGTAGCCTTATGAAGGAGCAAAGGTTTCATGGTCAACGTGGAGCTGTCATCCGAGCTTTCATGCGAGGGTTGTCGCGATCCTAGCAGGACGGGAGTGCCGATGGCGTCTGGATGATCCGAATCGCTGGGTAAGCCGAATCTCGCGGAGAAAGTGAAGGTTGAGCCCTCGCCGGGAACTGCAGTCCCGTCCATCTTGCCGCCGTGAAGCTCCACGAGCTGCCTCGAAATGACAAGGCCCAGCCCGCTGCCACCGTGCTGCCGAGTACTGCTTCCATCAATCTGACTGAATGGTTTGAAAATCAACTCAGCCTCCTCCGCGGTAAAGCCTCGACCTGTGTCGATAATGGAGAATTCAAGCATGATGTCATTCCCAGTTGTATTAGATGTCAAGACCTTGCATCGACTGAAGACCTCCCCGTGAGCTGTAAATTTGATGGCGTTTCCAATGACATTGAGTAGAACCTGGCGAATCCGAACTTTATCGCCCTTTACCCAGGAAGGCACGTCTCCTTCTACAACATAGTTGAGCTCGAGGCGTTTCGCAATCGCCATTGTTGAGACCAATTCATTGACGTCCTCGATGAGCGAGCGTGTGTGAAACCATTCAAAGTTCAGCTTCATCATGCCAGCATCCACCTTTGATAGGTCGAGAATATCGTTGATAATCATCAAAAGGCTATTGGCGCTCGTCTGAATCGTGTTGGTGTAATCTCTTTGCTCCTCGTTGAGTGTTGTGTCCTGCAGGAAGCTAACCATACCAGAAATGCCGATCAACGGGGTTCGGATTTCATGGGACATATTGCTAAGGAATCTGCTCTTTGACTCCATAGCTTCTTTCAACTTGGCCTCGAGAAGCTTGTGGTCGTTAATATCGGTTGCGGATCCGAAGTAAGAGCTTGCCCCGCTGCCAAAATTGATGTTATCAATTGCAACACACCTTATGAGGTGCCAACGATATTCGTCAGTTTTGGACCTGAGCCGTAGTTCGGTGGTATAAGACGGCCGACCGTTACTGTCCTTTCCAACTTTTATGACGCCCTTCTTCGCCAGTTCTGTCAGGTCCGGACTGAAGAATTCCGACGAAGAACTACTGCAAGAGCTGTTTTCTCGAGATAGTGACTGAGGAAAGCCTCTCGGGGTGTTAAGCGAAGAGGTCCCAGCTTGTGTGGGTGTAGCAGTAGCAGAAGCTGCCGTCTTGACACCGGATAGAGTAAAAAAATCGGAGCCCTTGCCGGTCTGTTTGTCCGGTGGTATCCTGCACTTGGCCAGATCGTCAGGATGGACATAGTCCATGAAGCCGACGCCCATCGCATCTTCAAAGCTCTGCCCGGTGTAGGAAAGCCACTGCTGATTTGCAAAGGTTATGCCTTCGTCCTCGGTTGCCGTGAAGATGATCTGGGGGATCAGATTTGCCAGGAGACGGTGCTTCGCCTCCGACGCTTCTATCTCCTCCTGGCGTGCAGCTTTGACTTCTGCTGTATGCTGATCATGAATATCCATATACGAGCCGATGAAATGGCGGACAGAACCTCGTCTGTCGCGAGAGGCAACGGCCCGAGCCAGATGGTATCGGTATGCGCCATCAAACCGTCGCAAACGGACTGTCATGGAGAAAGTTTCGCCGGTGTGGAGAGATTTGTTCCAATTGCTGAGATAAGAATCGCGGTCGTCGGTATGTATACTGCCCCAGGGGTCTACAACCAAGTCAGCGATGGTTTGGCCCCGATATGTCAGGTATCTGCTGTTGACCCAAACGATCTCCCCATCGCCGGGCAATGCCACGAAAACGTGGGATGGCAGGAGGTCTAGCATGAGACCTTTCAATTTGTCTGACGGTGGCAACATGGTGACCTCTGTCGTTGAGGCGGATCCACTCCGTTGCAGCACAGAAGCGGGCGATGGCCGTTTCTGTGGTATCAAGCCACCGGACGGAAGCGACTGTAGTGTCGTGGCAGTATCCGCACCATATGAGTGTAGCATGCTGTGTCTGTTGCTGCTTTGGTTCGCAACAACTTGTTCGATCACTCGATTCCGTCTCTCTTGAGCATCATCGTCATTATTGGCATTGTCTGTTTCCTTAGCTACCTTCTTCGTGGCTATGGTGGGCGTGACCTCATCAGACGTGTGCCTACTGCCCGTTCCACTGTCGATATCTTCCGGTTCAGTGGACGGGGCCATCTCTGGAAGATCGTGTTTCCAGCTGCTGGTTCTCCTGTGTCTTTTCTCGGCCGCAGTCAAGGGCTCCCTGGTAGCCTTGGAGGAGCGCAGGCCCGAGCTTGAATGTCCGCCGTGAACAAGGCCTTGTCCAGGTCTCGACTTGGTGCCAAAGTATCCGTCGGAACCAATCTGGCCGGGACTTGTGCCATTCGATATTTTTTCCATTACCATACCAAAAGAACCAGTATCCCAATTAGGGGTTACGCTCGGAGATCCAGCGGTACTTCGAGAGGGTATGGAGTAGTCGCTGGGGCTCGCAAGACTGCCTCCCATCGACCGCTGAGACGGATCTTCAGATCTAGTATAACTCATCCGAGCGAATAGCATTGGGTCTTCCAGCGGTCTCCCATCAGGTGCCAGGGCACCAAAGCCTGAGGTGGATGGTCGTTTTCGGTGAAGCCCAGCGACTTCGGTCTCGAGATTCGAATAGTGACGCGCCAGAGAGAAGGATGTTGCGAGGTGGGCGGCGAGATGCTCCAGAGAGTAGCGCAAATTAGATGGATAAGGTATGATGGGGCTGAGTACGGACAAAATAGCGATGGGGCGCTGTTGGGTCTTCTTCATATTGTCGTATGAGGACGGGCGCGGACTCGGGTTTACGTCTGCCTTGGACCCTGCCCTACCACGCGTTGTTTTCTCTTCAAGTGCTGCTGAATTCAACTTGAAGCCCGGAGTCGTCTTGGACAACAGAACATGCTTCAGAGGAATGTGCAACACGGTCCAGGAGTTGTCAATCCCTATCGTCTCCGGCGCTGACATATTGGCGTAGTCATGCGGGCTGGGACCAGGGTTGAAAGACTCCTCATCGACCATGGCATCCGTAAAGAACGGGTTGTCTTTCGGTTCAGCTCGGACGGCAGGGGAAGGTGCAGGAGATTGCGACCAAGGTGATGGTGGGGCTTGCTCATACTCCTCGTACTTGGGTGTCGCTGACCTCGGCTCTGCATCGTCCATAACTGAGAGCAGGCTCGGTTTCTTGGTTTTGTCGCCGGCCATCGCCTTCCTAGATCTGCCCGCCGTTGTCATTGGCGCGGTAGCATTGCTCAACATTGACGACAGCTTGGCTCCCGATTCTGTCCTGAGCGACTTCTTTAACTTCCTTTTTGTCTCTTCGCGCGCCTGATTATCTGACTTGGGGTCGAGGTAAGGGTAAGAACGGGTGAGAGCAATAACTTTGCCTCGCTCAATCACGCGCTTGACGCCATTGTGGTCGATGAGAGGATCAGCTTCCAGGTCCAAGCCTTGCAAAACTGGTAGGATACGGCCTTTGGCATCACGCCGAGCGACCAGTGGTGCCTCCCAGCTGGGCACGTTCCGGTGGCTCTCTTCGGCGTCGTGCTCCTCGAGCGTTTGCTTGTTTAAACTGGGACGGATGACATTCGGGACGCCTTTATCAGTCGTTGGGAAATAGCTTTTGCTACGGGGCATCGGGCGAGGTCTTAAAGGCATTGAGGCTCCGCCGTGGCCTGATCCCAGATAGCCCTCGCGCATTTCTTTCCGGTCCTCGTAAGATGTGAATGAGTGCCGGCTTTGCATTCCAGGCCTATGCGAAGACATGTCACTTCTTTGAGAACTTCCCATATTTGACGTCATCTCGAACTGCTCATCGGTGCTGCTTGGCATCATGCTGCTTCCCCTCCCTAGGTATCCCATGCTCAACTCGTCCCCCTCAATGGTGTTGTAGGTAGCCTTTTGGCCCCAGGGCACGTTCTCGAGGTCAGTCGCATCGGCAGGGATCGAAAGTGTCACCCGTTCAGCCATGTAGTGTTCCTTCATGATTTGAGTAACGGCGCTCCACCATGCATCAAGGCCAGGCTCCGCTGAGAGCATCAAGGCCAAATCATAGAGATTGGGCGTAGGAAAGTCGAAGTTCTCTAATGGGTGAGGGACGCCACCGGGCAGGAAAGTCATAGCCGATTGTGGCGTCGATGGATCAGACCGCAGTTGGTCATAGGCGGCAACACTGTTCTCGAATTGCCCGCCGGCAAATTTCAACGTGCCACTCTGCGATCGGTTGCCGAAAGCCTCGCGCAGATTCCAGGGCAAATGGTTATAAGTCGGTGTCATGCGCGGGAATGGGTAAGACGGCGTTCTGGCAGCCCAACCGGGCGCCGTCCCCGGGGTTGAGCCGGGCCGTATCGTCTTGCTCGACTCGGTGGATGCCGTGGGAACGTCAGAGCCAGACACTGCTGTGGGGGAGGTTGCCAGGCCCTCTTCGTGGATCGGTGATACGCGCACCTTCTCGGTGAGTGCAGATGGAGGACTGCGGACGGCCGCCTCGCGTCGCTCTAGATCGCGCGCAAGGAGGTCGCGGTACTGCTTGATGGGCAGTTCCGGGTTCATAATCTCGGGCGAGCTCTGCGCAATGGTAACCTCCTTTGCCTTCTTATCGTCGCTGCCGGCATCGCCCAGGGGCGAACACGATAGATCCTTCTTCCCTACGTCCGGTCTCTTCGGGGTTTTCTCCATGTTGATTCCACCGCCGCCACGGAGCTCAACTGAATTGGCATCCAGAGTCTTGCCATCGGGTTTTGGCGCTGGGCCATGCGTCGCAAATCGAATTGGCAGACTAAGCCGGTGTCCTGGAGCGAGGGCAGCTGCGTGGGGTGGAATATCTTGTCCCGCTTGCACTTGGGCAGGTTTGGTGGTGGCGAGAAAGATCCCGAGTGCAATCGCGTCGTGAGGCTCCAGGTGAGGGCCTGTTGCGTTGAGATGTTCGCGATCAGGTCCTCGTGGTGAATTAGGGGTTGGCATGCCTCACAAACACGCCCCCATGCAGAACGATCGGGGGGCTAGTTCGAGGAAAAGATCGTGTTTCGGCATTCGCTTGGGACAGCCGGTGGTAGAAAGCTGCACCGCACGAGTAATGGGGCCGTTACTGTGTGGGATGTCCGTCTAGGCCTTTTGCTAGAGGGCAACCGCCGTTTGGTGGTGAAGAGAAAAAAGCTGACGGGACCTGAGCGAGGCGGGTTTACGCACAAGTGTGATGCTATGACGTAAGGGGGATCTCTCGGATCGCGCCTTGGCCCTTTCCGTCAGCTAGTCAGGCAAAATGTATGGGACTCTGAGTACATGACAAGATAACGAAAAAGATAGTATAAAGGTCTCCTTAAAAACGATGCAAAACTCCCGGGGCACAGTCGGTACGAGTAAAAAAACAGAGTAAATAATTGACGAGGGACCCCTCGGGAATTGGTGTTGCTGTGCATCGTGGTCCATATCCACACCTGGGCAGTCAACTCCAGAAATCAGTCATTGTCTGTCTCCATTGTTGGTCTTGTCCTTGTTCGAATCACCACACCCTTGCCAAAACCCCCCCCACCAGTCACCCCATGCTATGCGGAATGCCATGCTTTTCTGGCTTCTGTTCCTTGAATGTGCTTATTACCGGCCTCTGAATTGGCCTGGTAATCAGAAGCAGCCTCGACGGCGGCAGCGAAGGCAAAGCAGGATGCACCCAGTTGCCCAATTAATTTGTATATTATGGAGGAGCGTCGTGTCCAAACAACACTCAAGAATCAGGCGTCGTCGCGGCGAAGTTGGTCAGCTGAGGAATAAACCCAAGGGTCTGGCAAGAAGACCCTTCAGAGCCTTGGCAAGTAAGCACTGGAGCAAAGTCAGTCCAGCGCGCTCAATTACTAACGTGCCACTCTACGAGCCGATTAGGCTAAGCGTCAGCCACTCTAACGACGAATGCATTATAGCACCGTTACTATCGTTCGCAATTGAAACTTCCAAGGGTGTTGACAGCAAGCTCGTTGAGAGAAAAGGAGCGTTCGAAGTAGGTGAGACGCAATGCCCGTACAGCGGCTTCCAACGTCATAATCATTGACTTCAAAGGTCTTCTTCGGATGGATCGGCAATGTTGGTAACGCAAACCCGCTCTGCAAGGATTGTGTTGGCTTACACGTATATAATTGCCTTTGATTTTGCCAAAAACGTATCAATCCAGTGCCGCAATGCTGCTCTCTGGTCTTCTCAACTAACGTAACCCACCCATAAGCGGGCCACCCCCCTTAGCGGGCCACCATTTTTGGCATAATAAGAGGATGATCAATAACAGCACAACAAGCAGAGTTGAAGCTATTCACAACGCTATTTTCAACTAAATACATCAGAATCGAGCGGTAATTCATTCCAACCGCGTTTAGCAAAGGTAACAACGCCCCTAAGGGCTTGTCTACGCTCCTTTTCACTCATTACCTGAGCCTCTCGCTCCTCCTCCGGCGCTGTTGATCTTGAATCTCTTTAACAGTTAATACACGTGCAGTACCACAGGCCTTCTTCGTCCTTCTATTTCTACTCTCCTGTTGTTTCTTAACGAGGCCCTCGTTAATCTTCTGTAAGGCTAGATTATCTGCTAGAGCTGTTAGGCAAGTCTCTTTAATAAAAGAAATCTTACGCTGTAAGGGGCTATCACAAACAGTGACAAGCTTAGCTACAATCTCATTGATCTGCTGAGCCGTATCCCTATCAACTTGAATATCAACGCGTACACCATTCTCGTCGGTAAGGCTCGCAAATGGAGGGGTCTTTGGCCGGTACTTGGCGAGGATCTTCGACGGATCTAGTGGGAATAAGCCAGTACCTCTCCAAGCGCCCGGGATATTGCGGTAGATAGTAGATCTATCTTGTTGATATGATAATAAGAACTGCTGGTTGTCGACTCGTACGGCACCGAAGATAGACCGTTCAGTGATCAGGGACTTGTACGCCTTTGCCAGAGGGCCGAAGATACCCTTGTCAAGGGGTTGAAGCTCGTGGGTCGAATGGGGGGGCAGGCAGAGAGGAATGACTTGATTTGCTTCGCAGTATTCGACGAATTCAAGGTATACGTGGCTTGTGTGACCATCTAGAATAAGAAGGCGGTATTGACCACGACACTGTTGACGTGTATACGTATCAAAATGGCATAGCCAGGTCAAGGCAATCTGTCGATCGGTCCAGCCATTTGGGCTGACCTGAATAACAGTCCTTGGATCGATCCTCTCGTCTATCCAAGACGGCAGAATCCTCTTGCCCTCGAATATGATAAAAGGCGGTAGGGAGTAGCCGTTGATTCCTATACATTCGATGATAGAGACCCATTCACGGTTACCAGGCTGGTTAGCAAAGGCCTGATCGTCCTCTCGAGAGATAATAACTTTAGGGTTATCACCGATCCCTTTGCTAATCCCCTTCTCGTCCATATTGTAGGTATCATCGTCCGTGATTGCGTATTGTTCTTTAACTCGTCGGTAGAGGTCGAACCATTCGGTGAGGATATCGTACGTGATACCATCCTTTCGAGCTTGATCTAGACTACGAACCCTATAGGTCTTCAGCTTAGGGTGGCGATCTAGAAAGCTAGTGTACCAGTTGACCCCTAAGGGGTCTGTATCTCCTTTCGCTTCCAGCAGGTTCACTGCTAGCCCTTCCACTGATTTGATAGTCAAGGGCCATCCCCACGCAGCTAACTGAAGCAAGGCTCGTTCGATCGTAGCTTCTTCGGCAGGTAATAATCGCTGTCGGTGTTGGTGGGGTGGTCCGGCTCTGGCGGCCTTGAATTCGGGCTTGGAGGGTTGTTCTGGGGACCCCAAAGAGCTCGGCTGCTTTACGTATACTAGGGACTTCCCCAGGACGAATAGACTTGATGGCTTTCTTGATCTGGTCTTCCTGATCCATTTGACGAAAGAATAAAGACCTAGCGATAAGAATCGACGTAGAAATTGATGATGTTGTTGTTAAGTTGAGCCAATTCGACAGAGCCGAAATGGGTGGCCCGCTAAGGGGTGTGGCCCGCTTATGGGTGGGTTACGTTACCTCAGGACCAGCTATTCACACCTGAGTCGGGGCTCTTTCTGCTTGTGTCATCGATTGCTTAGCATAGGAATCAGCAATAGGCATTTGCGCATTTTGCACTATCGAGTCAGGTGCCTAGGTCTGTAGTGAGGTTGCCTAGGTGACAAGTAGCGACTAGCCGGACTGTTACTGCAAAGTAACACTATGTAGATGTCAATCGTGAAGTGCTACTCTGCATGTGTTATGATGCGCTACTTAGATACGTTATACTGCCTTGACACGGGTACTCCGCACCCCTTATAACTTCTTCGGACCCGATCTGGTGTGTTGCACCAAATCAGTATCACCTCCGTATCTATTATAACGTATCATTTTCATATCAGACCGGGGCAAACATCTGGAGTTGTCAACATCGACCGAAGATCCACATTCCGATAGCCCCGGTCGTGCTGCACGTAGTCTATTTTGTACACTACCGCGAGTAACTTCACAAATCAAGAATTTGCATTATGTCATCCAGAGGGTCGTTACGAAGCTTTCTGAATAAAATACCGTATTACTCTTACAGCCTTAAGGCCGCAGCTGGAATATTAAGGGCAACAGTTCGACAATGCAGAGAAGCATGTACGATTACGTAGCGTGTGACAGTGGTTTGGGGAGTCGCGGCCGCAACGTCATTCTACTGTTATCTCATACAGCTCCGCCACGTTGCATTTTGTAAATCATTAAAATTTATTCCGGGCTGGAAAAAGCGAAGCCGTCGCCTGATGCGGCTGAGATGCCAAATTGGGGTGGCCGTATTGAGATTTGGAAAGAGACCTAGAAGGTTTGTGTCTCCTGCTTTCGTACTTCGTAAGAAGTACTCCTTCCAACTTCAGATGACAGAGAATCAAGAAAGAGGCTGTCGAGTCGCTTCCACGTTGGGATGATCGTCAGGTCCAGGTGTCGAAACGAGTTACGTCTGTCCATCTCTATTTACCCATCCACAGCACGTTTGTTGCCTCGAAATAGGAGGCCTACCCACTTTAGCAGAGAGCATTTTCCCTGCACTTCCACTGTTGGAGGAATCTAGTGGGCTTTCGGTGCTGCTGGTTTGGTGATTGCGCGGCACATTTTGTAAAATTCCGACGACTACAGACGGTCAGTGGGCTACTGAAACCATGCCAAGAGCCTTTCCCCTGGGCCTGTCCACCCCACACTCAAAGAAGGCTTCGCTTTTGGGTCTCCGGCACTTGGATATGGAGCGATCTTCATTTGCATGTTACGCAAAGCGATGCAAGCATCCTGGAGTAGCAGGATTTGCATGCGGATTGGCCGGCCAATTTATTGTGTCCTTGGACACGACCGGTCTAATAATGGGAATAAACCGTCCTGCATCCGGCTTGGGTTAGATGGCGTGCTTTGAGCCTTGTATTCGTTGCTTCGTGACCCGTGACCATCCTGATGCATTCATTCATTGTATATACCGTGGCCGCCTCGCTCGCGAACTTGGTCCAGTTCGCAGCGGCGGACCACCGCTTGGTCTACGACGCCGAGGGATATAATGGGGGCGCATTCGGGCGCCGGCCCAACCAGACCTACCTTTCCACCAAAATCGCATCACCTCTATTCCAGATCAATTCTTGGAACCGGACGACGACAGACGACTCCAAGTACCTGTTCCTCGGGTTATGGAATCCTCTCGGCGGATCTGCCGGGCCCATGATCTTCTCGACCGAGGACTTCAGTCTGGTCTATGCGGATTGGAGTTGGCCGAGCACGCACAACACGCGAGTGCAGAAGTTCAAGGGAGTCGACTACCTGACCTTCTACGAGGGCGCCCAGAAAGATGGACACTCGTCCGGGAACTGCCTCATGCTCGACTCGTCATACAACGTTGCCTACAACATCACGACGAGAAACGTGTCGTCAACGGTCGACATGCACGAATGTGAGGTCACCGAGGACGGCACCGTCCTCATATCTGTCTACGAGTCCATATGGACCAATTTGACTGGCGTCGGCGGCCCGCAGCGAGGCGAGCTTTTGGACAGTATCGTCCAGGAAATCGACATCGAGACCAACGAGCTCCTCTTCATGTGGAAGGCGTCGGAACACACCAACGTAACCGACACATATTCGCATTATCACAGGAGCGAAGGAGGATGGGATTTCTTCCACTTGAACAGCGTCCAGAAGGTAGGCAATTTCGACTCGTCTCTCGCTTCGCTTCATCGAAAGTGTCGTTATACTAACCCGCGATACCAGACCAAAGAAGGCAACTACCTCATCTCAGCTCGCCATTTCCACACGCTCACGTACGTAAACGGCTCAACGGGCGAGACAATATGGACCCTGGGCGGCAAGCAGAACGACTTCACAGACATATCCAACGGCAGTGCGACCGACTTCGGCTGGCAGCATCATGCACGTTTCCGTGACGACGATCTCACGCAACTGACTTTCTTCGACAACCACGCACTGAAGACTGAAATAGGCTGCAAAAAGGATTGCTCACGAGGCCGACACGTGGAACTGAATTACGACGACATGACGGTCAGGCTTGTTCAGGACTATTTCCACCCCACGAGCTTGACCAGTACTGCTAGAGGCGGCTACACGGTTGTGCCTAACGGGAATGTTCTGATTAGCTGGGGCGTCAACCCTGCTTTCACCGAATACACCCCCGATGGAGAATGCGTGCAGGACGTGCAATTCGACCTGTGGGACCCAAAGGCCGAGGGAAGGGGACATTACCGTGCTTTCAAGATGGACTGGGTGGGGAAGCCGTCTTGGGACCCTAGCATTGCATCGGTTATTGAACCTTACGGCGGCTCCAAGGTCGCTGTCAGCTGGAACGGTGCGACGGAAATCGCCTCATGGGAGCTGGTAAGTCACTCCGAATTTACCGACTCAACCGTGAGACTAACGGTGATTTATACGTAGTACACGGGCGACACGCAAACCACAGTAACAGAATTATCACACACCATCAAGAAGACGGGCTTCGAAACCATCATGGTTATTGGACCAGGACCCAAGTATGCGCGAGCGACCGCCCTCGACAAGGACGGCCACGTCCTCGGCAAAACCCCTGTCATTGATTTATGGTCAGGCGAAACCACGCCCGTAATCGAGATCCCGGCGAGCGTCGCCGTATCGGACTTCCTCAGCGGATTTTACCTGTACTTTTTACGCATAATATCGTTCTACAGATGAGATACCCAAACGGCATTAGACGCTACTAGGCACCATTTGGGAGCCGCGCGGCTGGCCCGCTGGCGGCGACACGGCGACATCGAGGGCCACAGATTCAGGATAGAGTCAGGATACACACCGCCTAGCAGATGGAATGATGGAGTTCGTCGCTTGGATGACGACTGTGGCAGTGCCAGCTCGCGTAAGTGGAGCCCGGCGGAAGAAGAAGCATGTACACTATTGATAGATAGCCAGAACGCACTGAACGTCTGTATCATAGATAAATATCAAATAAAATAACTACTTGATCACCTCTGTCTCTTCGAACCGGCTTCATCATGACCGTATCGAGATCCCCCGATCTCATGCAAACTAGCCCTAAACTTATTAGTGGTTCTCCATCGACTCGGCACAATCCGAACTAATTTAGCCTCGCGCGCTGAAGTGGACACTTGAACGGCCGAGATAAATCGCCCTAACTGTACCTAGTCCTATTTCCCGTTTCGCAGGGAAATCAGGGTTCTCTTGGTTTTAACTAGTGCAGAATTCTCTGATTTTAGAAATTGGGAAACCAAACTTTGGGATAGACCCCTGTGAAACCGCCGCAACTATACTATGAACGGCCAGTCTGCAACCGACATCCTTGCAGATCGGATGATTCTAGAGTCATGATGACGACACACTCTTTGCTTCCTAGCAATCTGTGTATCCACGTCTCGGACACTATTCCGAGGGTCGTGTCGGTGAGCGAACGGATGAACGAGACGATGGAAGGACTGCGATATATCTCTTCTGCCATGCTTCAGATATCAATAAGCGCGCCGCAGCACCCAAGCTGTCGGTGATGCGGTAATCGATCACAGTCCACGGTCCCCGATTTGGATGTGCTTGGTTTGCTCCCCCAGGTTTCGACTCGGCGGCCTTTTGGACGCCAAGTAGTGGGTTTGATTGCCAAGTTATCTGTACATAGCCTTGACTCAACGGATTCATGCAGTTGGGAAAGGTCGAGGTTATGTCGGGCTGATATCATGGCTTTCGGTCAACTTCAAAAGGGAGATTTTGCGTCATCTATCAGCTATGAACGACTCAGGCAGCCGTCGACTATGACTTGTGCAGATCAGTACTGTTCTTGTGACGTTGGGCAGGGTATTTACTATTTAGGAAAGCTTCAAGTTGCACCAACCCCCACAAGAGGTGTATGCGATCAGACTAATAATTCATTCGACACGTCAACCCGGGTTTTATGACCGCCTTGCAGCTCTGGGTCTTGATACTGGTAGAGACCACACGAGCGAGTACATAAAGTCGGAAATCGTGGTGGGGCTCTCCGATCCTGCGAGATCTGCGTTATCAGAATAGAGCCGTGAAACCCCATGAATGAGGCCAGATTTTATATGGCAACTCTTCTCCAGGTCTGAAGGTGCAGTTTCTCTGCAGCTTGACCTATCCCCGAAGATAACGAACTAGATATCAAGAGCGGAGGCGGAAGTCCGTCTCTACATCATGTAGAGTAGAGCACGCCACATGGCTCGCATACTTGGAGCCCTCTACTTCAACTTCAACTTGAAACAACATTCTAAATTATTTGAAGCCGCCTGTCTAACGTGTCCATCATGGCCGCCGCCGTTGATGTAAATCCCCCTCTGGAGGATGAGAAGCAAATCTCAACTCAACCCCCTTCACTGTCGCTCAGCACCGGTCTCGCCGTCCGTCTCGCATGCCGCTCCAACACCCTCACAACCGTGACCTCCGGCCTGGCCCCCACACATCTCCAAGCCAACCTCATCATCCTCCCCTCCCGCTACGCCGCTGACTTCCGACTCCTCTGTGCCCGCAACCCGGTCCCCTGCCCCCTCATAGCCGAGTCCTCCACCGCCGGCTCATACACCTGCATTAAGTCCTGCAACAACGGTCTATCAGACGCTCAGATTCTCTCAGACGTCGACATTCGCCGCGACGCTCCACGGTACATGGTATATCGGGACTCGCAACTCGCCAAGAAGGACTGCCTCGACATTTGTTCGGAGTGGACGGATGACCATGTGGCATTTTTGATCGGTTGTTCATACAGTTTTGAGTCGGCGCTCAAGGAGGCGGGGTTGGAGGACAGACATACGAAACTGGGGAGGAATGTACCAATGTATCGAACAAATGTGCCGCTGTGTCCGGCGGGGGTGTTCACAGGGGGTACTTATGTGGTTTCAATGAGACCATACAAGGCTTCTGAGATTGAAAGAGTGAGGGAGATTACGAGGGGGTATAGTGAGACGCACGGGGAGCCGATTGCTTGGGGGTGGGATGCGGTGGCGAGGTTGGGGATTGGGGATATTGATGCCCCTGATTGGGGTGAGGTGTCGTTGACGTTGACAAAGGACGGGAGGTTTTTGGGGGATATGGTGGGCTCGGAGGAGGAGGTTCCTGTGTTTTGGGGTTGTGGTGTTACGCCGCAGGAGGCGGTGATGAGGGCGGGTATTGAGGGAACGGTTATGGCGCATTCACCAGGGCACATGTTGTTGTTGGATGTTAGGGATCATGATATCATTCAAAGCTAGGATCTGGGAAGACGTGGAGTGATTGATGAAGAATGCATGACTTGACTTCATCTTCACTCAGATAGAGATTGCTTGGTAGCGCCTGCTTGGAATGAGACATACATATATGATAAGGGCCTCTTAATAAGTGAAGCAATCACATTGGCAACCAAATACGCCTTGTGGTTAAAGTGGGAAAGAACTATTCTCCAAAAAGCTGAGATTGGAACTCTACGACCACTTGACTGAGCACACTCCCCTACCCAAATCTTGACTCGAGTGGCAAGCAACCTGGGGCTATGTACAAAGTATTCCCGGCCGCGGCAATCTCAAAAGAGACATTTTCTACGTTTTCGATGATAATTTCGACTGGGACGAACTCTACTACGCCATTCACAGCACCACAATGCTCAATGGAGAGTGGTGGGTTGACGACTTCCCCAGAACTGGGCACAGTTGAATGGAAGGCTGACTTATCTCCCCACGTACGCCCCCAACTATATTCTCACGGATGTCCTCAAGACGAATCACTATTATGCATGCAAGCCGGAAAGCAAGACAACCAGACGATTGAGAAAAACGACGCCAGACCTTTTCAAAAGAAAGACCACAGGGTACGGACGGTAAGTATTTCATACCGGGTCCAGAGTGGGATGAAAGTACTGATGATGAATCCCAGCCCTCAGAAAAGAGACGTAGGCCTTCTGCTCCATGCACCAATGGTCAAATTTAGGAAGAGTCAGTGTGCGCAATCTTGGATCTCCCAAACGCATCAAACCATTGTCAGCAAATAAAAATGCAGCGAGAAAACGGTTTAAGGTTTGCACTATCAAGCAGGGAACTAATGGTCGGTGTTGCCGCCGGCCCAGAAGCTACGACTACAGGAACAGAGTCGCCGACGAGGTCCTTCACTGAAGGCGTATTGGGCACCCGTTACGACGTGCTGAAAGGAAGAGACTTTAGACATGCAGGCTGATCAGTGGCTTCCATGACACCACATACTCTTTATCCGTGCCAAAGCAATACACGCCATGTACTATTCTCGCCCGTATATTACAGGTCAATTAAATTCCTGTTGGAATTATGTATTGCACACTCGAAATGTGGTTATCTCATCAAGAGCAAACACAACGTGGCCTCTGAGGGATTCAGCCCGTTATTGATGACTCTGTATGGGTTTCATATTGATTGCTGTGTCTGCGCTCTGCGTTGTGCTGCATTAGCTGCCAGAAGCGAGCGCTCTAGCTATGTGGAAGGAAGGACGAAGGGTCGGACCCACTAGCTACACTTGCCGCTACACCGTCTTCGGCCTAGGGCATAACTATGGCGGTCAATCCCACAGGTTCCTGGAATTATCTCGGAGGTTGTAGGATTGAGCGTCATAGTTATGCCCTAGGCCGAAGGCGGTGTAGCGGCAAGTGTGGCTAGTGGGTCCGACCCTTCCTCCTTCCTCCTTCCTTCCACCTTCCTTCCACATAGAGAGCAAGAGCGCTCGCTTCTGGCAGCTAACGAAGCACAACGCAGAGCGCAGACACAGCAACCAATACGAGATCCACACAGATTCATCAAGAGAAGGCTGAATCCCTCAGAACCGCACTAACACTGCTCAGGGGCCATCCTTCCAGCTGCAATAACTTGATAAATAGTGAAGTGACGTCTACATAAGTAACACTGATCACCAATGTAAGACTATAAAGTCCACCCTTCATTATCCAGTTCAAGATATGTTACACAATCACTACCTTTCGATTTGAAGACGGGAGCGCTTCGTCTACTATATTGCTTACTACAGCCAGAACTCTACACACTAATCAAAGAGCATGTGCTATTAATGAGTAGCTGTGGGAAACTGTGGCCTCGGGTATGGACGGCTACGAGGCAAGCAGATACGGACTGTGGTATGTAGGGATCCTTCGGGGCCAACTCAATATTAGTTTTCCAACCACGTTCGTAGTACTTCAGTGATCGGTGAACCATTTGCCACGAAAAGTCAACGTGCTACTAGCGTATAATAAAACGCCGATCCAATGGCCAACAACCGCCTCTCTAAATGATCAGGTCCTCGCAGTTTTCTTCATCTCTCAACATAATCAGGCAAACAAGATCGCCCGTGGTGACTTTAAATGCACGAACTCTCGCTATATCTACCTCGACAAATACCGCCAACTCTAACTGCAACATCATCTTAGTTGCTGCTGCTGTTGCGTTACAGTGAATATCTATCGAGTGAAAAAATGTACTCGAGATGCCAGAAACCATCTCACAGGGTAACCAATCCCTGATCAACGCAAGAGGAAGGCCTCTTGGACCGAGTTTGTGCACTCGAGTCCAGTAGACCATTCACTTACAATATTGTCAGACCAAACTGTGAGCGAGATGAACTTCAACAACACCAAAGTCAAGGTTTAGAAGTCAGTAAATGTGGACTGGGGTATTTATGACTATCACTAGCTTCATGGATACCGAATCTTGTTCTGTATCTGGAGTCAAGGGTAGAGCCATTGAAAATCAATTATTCTGTACCTTGGGGCCCGCCGGGAGGTGATTGTGGGCTCCTTGGAGGAATAGGAGCAACAGATAGGCAGGCCTCGAGGCGCTTTTGAAGGACAGTCACTACTCAATAGGAGTGTGTCTCCTAAATGCGGCGAAGCAGCGAGACCTGGTGAACTGCGACCTGTTTTCGTATTCGCGAGTATTATGCATCTAGACCAGTGCATAAAGCTGCAACATTATGCTGCGGGCCTTTTACCACCAACCTATTGCACTGGACTCATTGCTAGTACGCAGTTGCTAGTTGAATCAATCTAGTTCAGGACAGAATCGCTTGAGACTTTTGGGAGAACGCCACGAAACTCTGAGGATATTAATATAGAAATGGAGGGTTTGGATTCTCATTATGCTGTGGTGAGTAAATCCAGGCATTTATCCAGTTGGCATACAGACGGAGAAAAATTGGGATGAAAGACGTCTAAGGGTACAAGGATGTAAGAAAAGAATGCTTGCAGAATACAGTTGCGCGCCTGTGTACCCTGGGCTGATGTGGTAGATTACAACAAACATAGAACACAACAGCTTCCACCAAAGTTGCATGCGCTTCATCCTCGTAGAAGAGGGATATCAGCCAATACCTACAAATATAGACGGCAGCATTGACGTTAACAGGTCAGAGATTAGAGTATGGATGGCATTTTTACCACATCGATATTCTATGCAGCACACAAGCACTCAGGCTAGCACATATTAACTCTTTCTCCCGCCAACAGTAGTCCAAACTCAGTACTTTCACTCGCCAATGATGCGAAAACGCCGTAACCAATCCCGCTCCCTGCCAGTATATAAGAAAGCAAGTCAGCCGCCCTAACTTTTTCTAGTTTATTGTACTATCTTATAGAAGCCTAGGCTTATGATTATTATTATTATTATTATTATTAAATACGCCGTAGGCTCGAAGCCCCCGGTACCTCTACTAGTACTCCCGTATGTCAAACCGTGCCCTAATGGCTGGACTAAATACATACGCTGCGTCGTCGGTTCGCCCTATTGGCGACTGCGTTGCGTTCACTACCATACTACGTTGGTTCTCAACCTACCAACAAAGTCCCCCCTGAGAAGATCGATGCTATCTGGGCCTTGAAGCTGTCCGACCCGTCCCTAGCAGCCATCTTACAATAGTCCCACTAACTACTGGTTCTCCTGTTGCCGTTGCGAGGTCTCTGCGAGAGTATAGTGGCCGTGGTGCGATGGCGGCCCGTAATCGTTCCCTCGGTCCTTCCAACAGCCCGCAAAAGAGGATTACGTGCTCTGCCGTCTCAGGGGCGTCGCCACACAGGCTTATGAAGGCAGTGAAGTAGACTAGCTATTATCTATGAAAAAATTAATAATAGGAGCTTGTGCTCTTATCATCTCTCCTAGGCTGTTAAAACATGAAAGAAGTATAAATCCCGTATCATGTTTTCGTCCGTAAATACTAAAAATGCAGTCTATAAATACCAATTCCTCATAGTCCCTATTATATAATAGCATCTGAAACTATAGAGTATATCCTCTCGAACTACCTAGAGTACCCCATCATCTTCACATCTATTTATGGTCATCTCCAGCCTGAGAGAAAGGGAAAAAGTTAAAATATAAAAATAAAATAAAAAATTCAATGATATCAACATGGTGCGTCGAACCGGGATTGAACCGGTGACTTCCAGATTATTGAACTAAAGTATGCTTCAGTCTGGCACTCTCCCAACTGAGTTATCAACGCATGAAATAATCGTAGTGTGAACTTGGGTTATCAATCCGCTGGCATAAGCCAGAAAGATGAGACCCAGTATGGTTGGCGACAACGAAACCAAGTCTCTAGCTCCACAGTGCCTCCTTCCACTGCTCGGTTGTCATGACATACGCTCCTATCTTCAACAACACGCGTAAGAATGATCCCACCGCATGGGACTTGAGTTGAAAGTTGATGAGGGCCACCCTCAAGCGCTACATGAAGATACTAATGAGAGCTGGGTTCGGGTGTAGCGTGATTACGAGGGCAGCAGAAGCAGATAACGCAGCCCGGTAGACCACATCTGCCCAAGTATCTCAAGATAACCACGGCAGGTTGTTTTCTTAAAGGCGTTCATGAAAACTTTTACTACCCGTCATCTAAACTTCCCGGAGCACCATACAGTTCATTTTAACCTGGCTTAAGGGGCACCAACGTATCCCTAAGCCAGCAAGGCTCTCTAGAATTCCAAGGACAAAACCAGTTCGATCTACGAAGCCATGAAATAAAATGAATTATCATTGGATCAACTAGCACCTATCTAGACTGCTTGGCAAATTCTGTTGCCGAGTATTTGAGTCGAGAGCCCTGGTCAAATATTTAAAAGTAAGCCATACCGGTATACTACTGTTGCCAGTCTTGCAGATTTCAATTTCTACAAACACAGAAGCAATTTTTTTTGATGATTTGTGGATTACTACAGAGAAAAATCAACAGAAATGCAAAGTGAGACACTCCATGTTAAGCTACGGTGTTAGGAGTAGCAAGCCCTCCGCCTTCAAGATTATGTGGATATGTACGTCAAATTATCCAAGATTAACTTCTCCCGCACCAAATTATGCAGTGCATACCAACTGTGTAACGTCACGGGAACTAATGCGCTGAACAAACGTGCCTTCTAATCAGCTGGGAAAGCCGTTGGCTTCGCTCACCGTTATACGTGACGCTTTCACGGTTCCAACTCTCCATAGGCTTCATGTCGACTATATCGACTATGACAAGAGAGACAAACCTCATATTAACCCCATGGGAAGATAATGTGCTGCCGTGACTGTTCAAGAACGTTACCACTGTTCTAGTGTACGCTGTTGGCCTGCCTTCTATATGTAACATGAGGATCTACTGATGATCCTGAATATCCCACTTACACATATACGATGCCCACTCAATGATTCAAAATATTTCTAAATGCCTCCAAATTTGGGTTATATGACTAACAAAGTACATGCAATGATACACCTGCCGGAAAGTTACGATGACCTCCCCGAAGCTGACTTGATCAAGCTGATCTCTCCTCGTTTTGACCAACTGATCTATCCCCCTTAAATCTACAACGTCTCCCGCAGCATCCCTGACACTGGAGAATCTTCCTAAGCCAGTGGATAAGCAGCATCCATTTCCCGAGTGTGAAGCTGTTGATTCCGCAGTCCTTGCGCCCTCGAGCTGAAAGGCGTGCGTTGCGGTGTTCAGATATCGAGGCAGATAACTTTTCAGCTTACCTTGGCGATAAGTGGGCGGGTGATTTCTATGCTTAAGCGAAACGAGCCGGGTTTCTATGCGGATGGGCTCAAGGAAAAAGGCGACTTCGACTTGAAGATGCCGCCGCTGGAATGGGACAGCGCACGGAGGTACACCGAGTACATCAAGGCGGTCTTCTATGACGGCGACCAAACGGCCGACGCCATACTCGAGATCGAGGCCAAGGAAGTCAAGACGTGTACCAGGAGTCCAAAACTTCAAATTGAAAATTTGGGGTTGGTGCGAGTCCAGGGAGACGCTGGCGCTTAAGTTCAGCCAGAGGACCTGCATACACACGGTGTTGGCGCCGGTGCCTACCACAGGCAAGTTTGGATTGTGGACGTCTTCGTGCGTTCCGCTTCTTGTGCTGCCCCCCCAACGCCCCCCCCCCAACGACCATATTTTCCGCGAATTCTTCCCGTTATGGGCAGAGGTGTCACGCCATGCAATGATTGCTGGGGAAAAGGATCTGGAGGCCGAACATCCTGATGGAACTCCCGAACTATTGCTGGACAAGCCCCCTGCCTCGTGGACGCCAACACGACGGACACCGCATGGTGCATCGGCTTCTACTCACGGGCGGCCATGGGAAATTAATAAAGGTGGAGCAAGAATTGAGACAGCGCCGATTTATGGAGATGTGGGACAAAGCGGCCGAGAACTTCATCGAAGTACGATATATTCATCAGTCACCGCAAGTCACATACTGCCTCCATCCTCAAGAGATCCGCAACTATCTTGATAAACTACGGGTAAAATTATTAGAAGTGTGCCCGACCCTCTAAGGCGTGCCCCTTTTTTGTACCTCGTCTTGTCATGACACGGTGTATCACATACAGACATCGCTGGTCACTGGTAATACTTCCAGCCCATACGGTATACAGACATGGATGACAACACAACTCCCAGACTGGAGACCTTTGGGAAAAGGACTTAGCGTTCAGCTTATTTCAAGCACCGGAAGCTATATACTCATATGAGTATTTACTAATGGTGCCACGTGCCACTGAGCGCTTATTGCATCTATAATATGAGCTCGCGCATCTTCGCAACGGATACATCAGAGTTCCTCGCGTCACTAGTTTTGGAGATAGTTTCGACATTGAATATGACGACGTCAAGATGGCCACCAGCATCCTCACCTAGTGAGCCCCGGTCACCCCTGGCACCTTTAATGTCTTTGCCGCCCTTTAACATAACCTCTTTGAGACTGGGAGGGCGGCGGTTTGTTTCACACCTGCAGCACATTCACCGCTCCTGATGATGGAAACTCGCGCAGGAAGGTCAAACCATATTAATTTTAGATGCTGGCTGAAATGAGCACGGCACAGAGATAGATAACCATGAGGGTAAGGGCCAATGGGCTACTTGCAGATAATCGACACAATCCATCCAACTAGACCGGGAATATGTCCAGTCGATTAGTTCAACACAGAGATATTGTCGCAATAAGTGGAACAAATTGAAACCATTTTGCAAGCCCGAGAGAAGAGCAAGTCACTTGTGCACTGTATGATCCGACCAAAGGTGCACAGAGTTGAGATCGATATCGACCTTTGGCCGGCTCTCGGTAGGAAGCACACTTTCCTAGTATCTGTGGACCACCTTCCAGCTCCGAGATCGACTTGAATTCGTCGCTGGTTACCGATTTGTGGGAAGGAGCCACGTAACCAAAGGGGAAAAGGGGAACAGCAGTGCTTGTGATTCGACATAGAAACCACCTTGCCGGGTCACAATACGGGCTGAGTTGGTTGGAACTGGTGGTAAAAGGAAGCACCATCTCTGCAAGAAACAACTACAGAAGCAAGACCAAGTCCAGCCTACTGAACAGGAACGCAAAACATTCCGATTAATCATGGCCAACTTACGCAGCCGCAGATTCTTGTACCGTGGGATCCGAAGTGGAAGAAAGCCACGAAAAATTGACCTTGACGAGGTCGACATTCCCGGTGAAACACCGACAGACGCCGTACGCATCTACGGGAATCAGCAGAGACACGGACTGGGAACTTTTTATCAGGGGGTTCTGTTCTTCGGCTTGCCTAGTTAACTACATTGAGTTAGAAAGATGTATCATTGCCCAGTGAGAATCATACCCTCGCTTCGTTATGTGATTATGCCTTCCTAAACTTCTCCCTTCACTAGGCGCTGGTGAAGTTCAGCATATTGAGCCTGATGCACATAGCTGAGGGTATTCGACATAGCAAAACTGGCTGTGATCTGGATCCTCAACAGAGTAAGACAGCAAGCCTCGATGAGAACGCACCGCGCTGGGTATATTCAACTATCATGACTCGTGAATCTATGTAGCGCATGAACCGACAATCAAGACACGCAACCCTGCTTGTCTGCTCACCTACCTTGTCTTTCCCATTTCCATTCCCAATCACCCTTCCTTAGCCTGCCTTGTCTGCCCTCGGTATTTCCTAGTAAACACTCCCCACTAAACTCCGATCTTCTTCCTCTGCCTTGCCCAGTTCCTCATCAGGCTCCCTCTCATCCCCACCGTCCTCAGACGCGTGATCAGAACCGCTCGCCGGCGCATCGCCAAGCCTATTGGCAAACGTGCGGCGCCCCTTTCCGTGTTCCAGGTAGTCGTCTTTCCCTGCTCCATTGACATCGTTCGCAGCGGTGGTAATCCCATTTGTTGCTGCTCCTGCCTCTGCCTTTGCGCCTCTGACCCGCGCAGGCCGCACAGCGAGCCGCTGTCGCGCGTCCTCCTCGGATGTATCGGCGTCGCTATTAGCAGCCGAAGGGCGGCCTGAGTATGTGCCGCCGAAGTCACGGCCGACGTGCAAAAAGGGCGGTTTGTTGAGCGCTGGAGACTTGAGGTGGGACCGCATGCGGTCTTCGACGGTGATGTATGACGGTGTGCCGTCGGGGGAGGACACGACCTCGTCGCGAGCTTTATTGATATCAATTTGCGGCACGGAATGGCCGCGTGGGTCGTCCGAGTCATCCTCCGAATTGTTGGGCTGTCTGATGGCATTCGGGCGCCGGCTGGCTATAGTGCCGCAGTGGTGGCCGTTTGTGATGATGATGCTGTGCTTCGCCGAGTGGATTTCATCAACTTGGCGCAGCTCGGCAAGGTCGCCGCGGACTTTGAAGTGCTTGCCATGGTCACAACCCTCGGGACAGCCACCCCAGCGCCGCTGGGCGACGACCTGGGACGAGTTCTGGCGCTCCAGCTTGAGCCCTTCGATCTTTTTGCTGACACCCTCGACGTTTTTCCCCTGTTCGGCGTCTTCCTTGGCCTTGATGGCAGCACGCTCGCGGCGCAGTTCTGACCATGTCCGTAGCTTGTTCTCCAGGATGTATTTGCCACTGTCGGCTTGCTTCTTCATGATGAGGAATTCGCAGTGGTTAACGTTCCGCAGATCTTCAAAGTACTCCACCGAGAAGTGGTACCATTTCATCAGAAAGACGCGGGACATGAGGCCGTGTGTCACTGTTCCTCCAGTTAGCATTCTTGAAAGCTACGTCACGATTTTGGTTCCTAGGTCTTTTAACATACCTAGCACACAGACACTCGCAAAGTCATCCTCGCCAAACTGCCGCCACAAACTCTCGTTGAAGCCGGAGACACGATCATACGCATCGGCAGCGCTCTCGCCATTGGGGATGCGGTAGAAGAAGTGCCCATAATCGGCACGCTCCTGCCACATGCGCTCCATTTCGGCGCTGCAAGGCTGAAAGTTTCCGAAATCCTGCTCGCGCAGCCGCGGCTCTTCATAGACCTTAATATTGGACCGCTTGAATGGCGTGGGCTCGGGGTCGTCGGACGTCAGCGTCTCGAGGATGCCCTCGGTGGTCTCGCGCGTGCGCCGGTACGGGGATGTGAAGAAGTGGAGGGTGTCGTCGGCTCGGAGCAACGAGCGCAGACGAAGACCAGCTTCGTGTGCTTGGGCCCAACCATCTTGTGTGAGCTTCACGCGGTGGTCAGGGATGCTTTGGTGGATTTCGCGGTTTTCTGGGAAGGACTGGTCAGCAAACTGGCTGTGCAAGTGTGGGCATAAGACAAAAGCATACTGTTCCCTTCGGACTGGGCATGTCTGATTAGGATGATGAGTCTGGGTCGTCCCATGGTGGGTGGTGGTTTCCAAGTTGAGTTCGAGGCTCAACTTCGACGGCTCGAGTGATCTTCTATACTGAAACCCAGCAAAGTTTTTTTGGGGAAAGAATATATGAAAGCCTGGCCTTCACGGAGTTATAATGCTGTTCTATAATTTTCTCAAGGGAATGATGGGATATGAGTCAAAGGGAGTCCTTGATATTTACGCCCAACCTTTCAGACTCAGATGTAGGATGTTACCAGAACGAGAAGAACGGCAAGAAGCAGGACCAATCTGCAGTGTCACCAACAACGAGGGAAATTAGTTGCAACAACTAGGTAGAAGTATCGGTGCGAAAAGCATGTGGTTAGACTAAAAGTACGATGTTGGAAACCGTCGAGGGGTTCCAAGCCCCTGGTTGTACTCCACTACCTGGCCCCTCCATTCGCCCCTGTCAGCCTGCTTATCGTATACATCTTGAGACCGTGAAACTGGATGCCAAAGCAACCCGAAACCTTCGGACAGAATAAGGACCTGTGTCATTGGTTCCCTTCGCCCTTGGTCATTCCGATTTACGGCGAGGCTGAAGCGCTAAGTCGGCAGATTTCAGCGCCAAGGCCTGTATGCCACCTGAAAAACGCTACCCTGCATCGAGAGGCTGCAACACTGGCCCAACGTCAACCAAGACTGTGGGGATCCTGGTTCGCGACGTCAAAAAACCACCATCTGTCAGCCTTATCATTCGCGACCACCTCCTGCGCGTTGGTTCCATCGCGACAACTCCCCCGCAGCTTGCATCGCAGCCTGCCATTCCAGCCTGTTTTCCTTATCACCTCGCGCTTAGCGCTAACCAAGCAAACGCGACTTGTCATCTCCGAGGGTCCCAATACAATGGTCCATCGTTTATTGTAACCAATCTATCCCCCCGAGCCAGCTACTTTTGATATTGCGTCGCATCGTACGAGGGATCAGCCCACGACCATTTTCACACCTTTCCCCGTTTCGCTCCCACCCGCATCGCCCCTTTTCAAATCCACGAACCCAACAGACCCAACAAGCAAATCACCATGTCCGGCGAGGGCCCCGAAAGCATACCCACTTCCGCCGATCCGCGCTCCAAGCGCCCGACCAAGAAACGTGCCCTCACACCAGTCTCCGCACAAGCCGCCACCGTCGAGGCCCTCTTCTCCCGCCCTGATCAGGAGGTCCATATCCCGCCATCCAGCTCTGCCGTCGCCAAGGCGCGCCTTGCCGCGCCCCCCGAGATAGTGACTAACGTACAGGGTTCGTCAGCGGGTGCCGGGTCAGGCGAGTTCCATGTCTACAAGGCGAGTCGGCGGAGAGAATATGAGAGGCTGAGGCAGATGGACGAGGAGGTGAGGAAGGAGAAAGACAGCGAGGAGTTTGAGAAGGAGATGGAGGAGAGGGCGAAGAGGGATGAGGAGAAGACGAGGCGGAATCGCGAGAGGAGGGAGAAGCAGAAGGCGAGGAAGGCGAAGGTAAAGGGTGGGTGTGGTCCTGGAGGAGGAGGAGCAGGGAAGAATGGGGCTGCACCGAGCAATAAGGGGCCGAGGGTCGTGGTCACTAGGGGAGATAATGGGGAAGAGATGGACCCAGATATCGCAATCGCGGATGCGCCAAGTGCTGTTGCGGAGGAGTCGAAGGGCATCATCATTGAGGAAGACTGAAGACTGACGAGGCATATACCCCACGAGAGAACCAAGGAAGCTGGCCACGCTGTACAACAAAGGCGAAGAGGGCGAGAGGGTGCGGATCGCGCGATCAGTGTGAACAACAGTTATTTGTACAAATAGAATAAACACTACCAGATATGCGATCTGAGGATGGCAGTCAAGCAGAAGGACGGATAATACCAGATGCTAGCGGGGCTTTTGCACAAACAGTGGTTTGTTTAACTTCGGCTTTGGAGACGACAATATGTTGTTGCCAGTTCTCGATATGATACATTCTGGTGAGTTGCACCGACTTACACCTCGGCAGCAACTCTAGTGAACCGCAACTGCCGAGCGCAAAGTTTGTCAGATACTCAAGTCAGTCGCATGTGCATGCCATGAAACACGTGCCACCTAGGCCTTATACGCTGCTATGCCGTTCAAGTAAGGAAGCGATCTCCAGTACGGGATGCCGCCTTCAGCTCTCCAGTGAAGACAGCCTACAAAGGGTCGAGTGCGAGATCTTAGTGTACAGAAGAGGAAAGAGGTTATTTGCAGAGATTACATATCGGAGGAACTTGGAATTCTTGAAGGACGGCTGGCTGATCAGCCAAATTAATGCTGGAGGGTGAAACTCTCGAATATGGTTCATCGTTACTACCTTTTCATAACTCAGATACTTTTAGTTGACATTTCACATTGCCGTGTAGTTGACAAGTTCTCAGCAGTTACCTAAACGTATTGTGTCAGGGGGGGGGGAGCGGGGGGGGATGAACAGATCTTGGAGCAACTCCTCCACTCTCGGCTGAATTCACTCGTGGGCAAGTGAGCTCTCGTTCGCGAATGGATTCTTAGTCATGAAGCATGGAGAAGGCAATAGCTATGTTTCAAAAGGGACTGGTAGGGTTAGTAATAGACCGGCACGAGTGGAATCAGATTGTTGGGTGTAGACAGAGGCCCCTAATGCTTGGCAGTAAAGCCGTCTAATTCATCTATTCTCATCACTTTTTTGGACCAAGCTGTTGGTACACGGGTATGACTTCTATGGCATTTCTCATTGTGACCAACCACCCAAACCAGATCGTCCCTTTAATCGTCCCCACCACCCAGTCCAGCGCCTACTTGTTGTGCCTTCTTCGCGCTGCAGATGTCGTCCACTCTCAACAACAGGCAAGCAGACTAGAACATATGTTAGTGCTGGTGACATTAATTAGTATAGGGGGCTGGTCGTCGTACCTCAATAGCCGTCTTGATACTTTGGAGCTTTATTGCTTCAGGCTCCCAGATACCGTAATCCTTCATATCAGCCAGCGTACCGTTATCGCCGTTGATCCCCCAAGAGCTCTTGCCCTCGGCTTGCTTGGCCCGAAGTTCAGTCAGAACTCTCACCGGGCTGGCACCTGCGTTCTGGATGAGTGTGCGGGGGATGACCTCGAGTGCCTCCGCCACAGCCTTGTACGGCCATTGCTGAACGCCCTCGATGCTCTTCGCCAGCTGGCCTAATCTCACAGACACGGCCATCTCCGTCGCACCGCCACCTGGGGAGAGTCGAGGGTGGAACATCACATTGCGGGCCACGCCCATGGCGTCTTGAAGGTTACGTTCGATCTCGTTCAAGACATCCTTTGAGGGACCTCTCAGGAGAACCGTGCAGGCCTTCGGCGACTTGCACTTGGTCAGGAAGGTAAAGTACTCATCACCAATCTTCTCAATCTCGAACAAGCCGCACTGCGTTCCGACATCCGACTCTTGCAGATCTTCCGCTCGGTTGACAATGGTGGCGCCTGTGGCTCGGGCTATTCTGTTGTTGTCCGTCTTTCGTACCCTTCGGAGGGCGGTGACGTTGGCCTTCATGAAGTAGTGCTGCGCAAGATCCGAGACGCCCTTCTCGGTAATGACCAGATCGGGGTTAAGCGCCAGGATGTTTTCGCACATGGCTTTGACCTGCTCCTCTTCGATCTGCAGGATGCGGTTCCAGTCATCCTCCTTGGTGATCTCGATATTTGTCTGCGACTCTCCCTTCTTGTACTCTAAGGGGCAGTCCAAAAGCACGATCCTGGGGTTCTCGATTCTCCTTCGCATCTTGGGGTGTGTGATGTCCTTGTTTAGCATGACGCCGTCCAGTACTCTGCTGTCCTCGATCTCTCCACCGGGCACCTTCTCCACACGTGCATAGCGCTTGATGTCGACCTCTTGCTTGCCGTTGCCAACCTCCCAGGCTACAGTCCGGACAGCGCTAAGGGCCAGGTCGCACATAAGATCAGACCATCTCGACACGAACTTGGTTCCGATTGATGAAGATATTAAGCTGTTCATGGCCTTGTTGTCGTTGATGTCGATGGGCATGGAGATCTCGTCGATGATCTCGAGGGCGTCCTTGAGGGCTCGCTTGAAGGCAGAAATGATGACCACGGGGTGGATGTTTCGCTCGAGCTGGGGAAGGGACTGCGCCAGAATCTCACCAGCCAAGATGATGACCGTCGTTGTGCCGTCGCCAACCTCCTCGTCCTGTGTTCGACTGAGCTCGATCATGCTCTTCGCAGCAGGATGTGACACCTCGATTTCTCTCAGGATTGCGTGGCCATCATTCGTCAGGACGATGCCGCCCATGGGGTCCAACAACATCTTCAGCATGGCCTTGGGGCCCAGACATGATCGGATGATATCGGCGACTCTGAGGTTAGGTTAGCCGTGTCTGGGTAGCGATGTTGGGGGTAATGTACGTCTTCGCAGCAGCGATATTAGACATCTGGGCTTTGCGACCCGTCTGTCTCTCACCCGCCTGGGTGTCTGCAAGTCATTGTCAATATGATATCGATATGTGGGAGCTCCATGGCGGGGCTCACTCATAACTAAAACTGGCGCCTGCATCTTGAATGGCGCTTCCCGGGGGGGGAAGTATGGAATTCGGGAACGTCGAAAGGTGCTATTATAGTCGTAGGGGAGCTCCAGGCGTCAATCTCAAGAGGTCAAATCGTCAATATTCTGCTGTGATGCGACCCGGCAAGCTTGTGTCGACTTCCAAAAAGTTTCTGGGAGCCTGGTCAAAAGCTCCCATGATGGAGAAACATTTTTGCTAGCTGCACAGCGGGGAGATGGTAGATGGTCTGTGCATTGACACCCAACCTTGAGAACGTCAACCTCAAGCTGAATACAATCAACTCGTCGAACTCGTTGTCGAAACATGGAGGTATCAACGTTTCGAACTGTTTGTCATTCAAGAAATAGACGAGGCTCAATTTATACAACGAATTTTAAGGCAAAACCTTCTTGAAGCCGGCCGCGAACGCGATGTTTGTTGCCAAACTTCGCTAAGCCGCCTGGGCTCATTGTCAGAGACTCTAAAGCGTTGTCGTGTGCCTTCGACTCCATCTACTTCTCTTAGAACACGGTTCAAACCAATGTCGGTATCTGCTGTATGAAACCGTACCGTGTGGATGCACTCGCTAGTTCTCTGTCATTTAAACTCTGAAGTGGTACATGCGACTTGGAACTTCAACCCGTCGACGCTCTGGGGTGTCCCTCAAGTCAAACTCGATATCCAAAGGTCACTCGTCTCATAATATAAGTAGGATCGATGTTTACCGCACTTAAAAGTTGCTGGCTGCAGTTTCGATGTGCATTTTCCGGAGACTCTAGAATCCACGCTCAAATAACAATAGAAGGATTTGGGGTTGCTACAAGTGTAGCTCCTGCGAAAGGTGTTTCCTCACGGTGTTAATGCAAGTGATGCGTATCCTGTGATTTCCACGGCGGAAATATGCGGACTCTTACAGATATGTAATCATCACATGCTGTCTTTACACTCGAGTGTGGTTTCCACCTTCGTCACATTCACTAATTTGATTCAGTTGATCGACGTCTGGTCAGCAAGATGCCGATTCGACAGAGCACAGCTATACCCCATAGCACGTGCATGGGAACAGCATATTTTATCACACCCTTCGCCGTATTAACAGGAGCCATCGGTACAACCTGCCTCTTTCAGCCGTTATTGAGCGTGGAATCCGGAGTCTTGACCGGCACCGGGCCGGTGCTCGAGAAGATCAAGGCCGATATAAAGCGGGGGAGCTGACCACCAAATCCTGTGTGTCGGACCCGATCCTATCTACTGTATCTCATAACAACGACAACTCCCCGCGATCCAGCTACCAGCTTTCCGTCTCCTGGTATAACAACTTGAACTTCTTTATTCAGAGGCAAAAGACGATCCACGGGGCCAAGTCTCTAGATTTCCACCAAACCAACTGCGTCATGGCACCCTCAGCGATTACGGAGACGGTGGCGAGTGTGTTGCCTGTCATGAAGAAGACTGAAGCACCGGAAGGCAAAGGCCAGGTCGTTGCTCTGGAGAAGACTCCACTTGAAGCTATATCTCACGGAATCGTGATGCCAGGTAAGACCGAAATTTCTACGCAAAGACGACCAGCCAGGTGTCTATGCGTCAACACTATGTTGGCTGTAGGGCGGGTGTGCGGAAGCTTTCACCGCATACCTTTCCTGCGCTCGCGTGAAACACCAAGCCAACAAGCGAACAGGCATCCCGATATTCCCCAGTTTTGTCGAGGAGCGAAAACACACACTGGTACACATGGCGGCGACCTTCCGGTTCTTCCACCGCTGCGGTTTCACAGAAGGCATGAGTGGACACATCTCCGTCCGCGATCCCGAGCACCAAGGCCTGATCTGGATGAACCCCCTTGGACGCCACTTCGGCCTAATAACGGCCGGAGACATGATATGCCTCGAGATTGAAACCGGGCGTATCGTAGGCGGCAACCTGACCCGTCCGGCCAACTCAGCAGGGTACCTCATCCACTCGGCCGTGCACAAGCGCCGCCCTCACGACGTCCATGCTGTTTGCCACGCCCACACCAACGCGGGTCGGGCGTGGTCTGTTTTCGCGCGACCCCTAGAGATGCTGAGCCAAGATATCTGCAACTTCCACAACGCACATGCCGTGTACGCCCGGTACGGCGGGATTGTATTCGGTGACGAGGAGGGGCAGGCCATCGCCGATTCACTGGGCGAGCATAACAAGGGTGCCATCCTGATGAACCACGGTTTGATCACGGTTGGGGAGACGGTAGACGAAGCTGGTTTCATGTTCGGCCTGCTAGACCGCGGGTGCCAGATGCAGTTGCAGGTCGAGGCGGCCGCTGCGGCGGGTATCAAGAAGAACATCATCAGCGACGAGGAGGCGTCGTACAACTTCAAGATGGCGAGCGAGAAAAATGCGCTGTACCGCGAGGCTCAGCCGGATTTGGAATATGAGTTCGAGATGGCTGGAGGCGAGGAGGTTGTGGCAAGGGGGTTCGAGGCCCTGTCGCCGCTAAAGTTGTAGAATTCCCGCAGCATACTTTACCTATCCAATCCCAGGAGATGATCGACCGCATGAGACTTCGCGAGGTTTCCACGACAGAAGGGGTGTTCCTTGGTTCCCTTCGGTGTGTGTGTGTTGCTGATCGATGGGGTCAACCGAGTTTGTTTCAACGGTGAGAAAGGTAAAGAGAGCTCTCTCTGTAGGTGGACCCAGGAACAACTGCCAACATTGTTGTATCACATCGACGAGGGGAACGACAAAATCTTCGATCAACCCCGATTTTCGCCGCGATCCGCACTGAACGAGATCACATAACATATGATTTTTTTTTTTCAATCTCTGCCCTGGGACCCAGATTTACTACGGTATCAGGCCAAAGTTTTCACCCCCTTGACAAGTACCTGTGCTAACGAATTCGAACCCTCCATTTCGACGGTGGTAAATCGAAAGCCGAAATTCAAACTACTACAACGTTTTCTTTTAATCTGATTAAGACAGCTGTTCAGGTCGCTTCAAGCCAGGTAGCTAAGAGTTGGCTCGTGCCTAGGTTGAGCACGGTACAAACACACAATTGAAAACTTACCCATGATACCATAGTAGGGATTTAGGCGTGGACCGGATGCACTTCCGCGGGGGGAAACCTGCCAGGGACGGCCCGCCTTACGTCCCAGGCTGATAAGAGGCGTTGATATAGAAACACAAACGAATTAATATCTCCAATTTTATTTCTGTATGCTCTGACAACGCCCCTGGTGTGATGTTCAATATTAACTGAGGGCCGCGGTGAGAAGTACGAAATACGAAGTACAGGGCAGCTGTTAAGGAAGGGTTGGGCCGGGTATGTGTCACGGAGCCGAAGTATGCACTCCGAGATGAGCCTATATCGCGGAGTAGTCGATTCAAACTAGACCTTTTGCGGAGGGGCTCGTACGGAACCATGGTCCCATATTGTCGACCTGTGATTCTAGAGGCAGCTGGGAGGGGGTTGTTACCTATTCATTAGGTCACCAATTTCTAGCTTTCCCATACGATGCTAAGAAGTCGCGTAACTTGCTCGCTTGCTTACTTGTCTGTGTTTCTCCAGGCAGAGTCCAGGCCTCGATTCAGTCGAAGTAACATTATTATGCTCTTAACTACATACTTGTTTGAAACCGTGCGTGTAGTACAAGTTGGTTTTATTTTGGCAGCGGCAACGTACCAGCACCGTGCGACCTCGGGGCTGAGTCTTATGGATGGCGGGCTCTGAGGTATGTGGGCGAGACATGAGATTCCGTCCCCTGGAAAGTGGTCCTATTTGTCGCCTGATTTTCTCTATAAACGACGACAGTTTTAATGGAACCCCAGTACGAAAGACTTGGAGTTTTTGAACACGCAACACACCCTGCTGAAACAGTCCACTGAGTGAGTGAGCGAGTGGCTGCTGAGTCACTTTTTGGTGGACCTCGTGTCATACATAGCCTTGGCTCCTCTGCGGGAGTGATGAGGAAACATTTTAATGGTTGTTTGTGGGTTATAGTTCATCTACATAGTCTCAAAATGGTTGTCATAGACAAACTCTCACAGTCTCGTCGGTGAGAAGGAATAGTGGAACTCGGGCACTAGTGCATGCATACTTGTTCACGTTTGCGCCTTGTGTAGCTCTCCGTTTTGAGGCCAAAACGTAGACTCTGATCAGTATCCGCTTCAATACAGGAAATAGGGCTCCTCTTTAGGCTACAATCCGATTGATTGAATGCTGGTCTTTGAGATCCCTGTGGCTTGCTCTGACTGGAACCATGTGGTGGCCTTACGACTTGTGAACATCCTCTCCTTTTTACTTATTTGTTATTTTGTTCTTGGGCTCTGCTCCGCTCGGTGTTATCCGGTTGATGAGAAACGATAATAGATACAGTGACACTGTGACACAGTAAGATTTTCGTTTTCTTTCCGCAATTGGCAGGGTCCAAGATCGAGTCCCACGAAGATGGACCTCCTCTCGTGTCACGGTGAAAGTGGGTAAGACAATGACTATGTAGTGGAGAGACAGCACAGTGTGTGAGGACAGTTCGTGCGCTGTCTGTACTCATGAGCCTTGCATCCGGAAAAAGAAGCCAAATTCCACTTGTCACTAGCACGACACCCTGGATCGTGGCAGAAAGACACTTTTGCTCGGCAAAGAAGAAGATTTGACGATGACACATCTATTGTCTCTTTTCTTGGTGGCTTCTAAGCAGATATTCCGTTCGAATGTATCAGCCGGGTCTGGAAGATGGGTTCTCGACGCCTCATGGAATCGTGGCTGGACACGTTGGCAGAAACCAAGGCCAGCCCAGCCTGAAGCAGCATGAATTTGGACCGCAACCAAGCAACCCAAGCGAACCCGACTTCGGACAACACGTGCAGGATGTTTTGTACGGTTCCGGCAACTTAGCCGCTGCTGTGTACCGTGTTGGAAACGTGTAGGAACAAATATTGAGGCTGGAAACGAGAAACACAACAACTTCCTTGCAGTTTGGTAGGCGAGCAACCTGCAGGACGAACTTTACCTCTGGACCCACCAAAAATATGCGGCTGTAAAGCCTGTTGGCCCCCAAACGCGGGACTACACTACGACCTGCTGGACGGCCGCGGCCCAATGTTAGCTAGGACTGGGATGAGAGCAGACTCCGGCTCCCTGTAAGCCTTCCCATAGATCCATTCTTGGATTTTAGAAATGAGGAAACCACAAAGTTTGCTACCTAACTCTTGCACCGATGGGAATTGGGAACCCAAAAGACCCCTTCAGGCCTCAATGTATTACGCAAGTGTGATGATTAACCCCCCAAAACTCCAGCACTGTGGTTCGAATGTTGCAGATTATTTTAGCGTTCCCACGGGCCGCGACGCCAGGGGACGCGGGCGGCAGCTCCCCAATGACGACAGGGTGGTGTGTAGGGAGAAGAGAAAATTACCCGATGGATTGACGATATCCCGGTCCCCTTGACCCGGCTCATCTTTGAGACTTGTGACAGACGCGGCAGCAAGAAGAGGATTTGATTATGAGAGGTGAGAGTGACGAGTGAGAGTCTTGCGGAAGTATGTAAGTGGGCTACAGGCACGACGTCAATTGGTTCAGTGCCGAAGTCCTTGAAACCCCGACATGCATGTCTGTACCGGTCAACAATGAAGAATGGTTACTGCTGTCGCTGTTGCAGCCGCTTGGAAGTGGCTTCATATTGCGTCCTTGATCGTGTTGTTGCGTTGCACCCCGACCGTAGGTAGCAGTGGGGGATATCATAATGCGCTTGAGTATACACGTTGGCACAGGCCAGAGTTATGAAGTTTGGATGCTCTCACTCAACAACAGGCTTTGACCCCAACACATACCCGAGGAAGTTGAGTTGAAAAAAGCTCGAGTCTCTGTGAATTCTCGCTTGTCAGACGAGATGAAACAATCGGCAGCTTACATCGCACAATATCTCGTCATGATTAACGTCATCAGATCTGCAGAACACAGAAAATGTGCTGTCACTCTGCGGGGGGGGGGGGGGGGGGGGGGGGGGAGTTGCTGCGAAAGGCAACGAAAAGGCTCAAACGTAGCACGGTAACAACTTAGGCTGACTTTCATCTTGAAGGGATGCCCAGAGCTCGCACAGCTGTTTAAAGTAACTCTGTTTTTCTGTTGACCCAACATCAGTCTTCTGGAATGATCTGCGCAACCCAAGTGGCAATAGTGTAGTTTTCCACTCGCGCACAGATGAGCACCTCGTTTTGGGGAGTTGTACAATTCATCAAGAAATCTCCCCCCCCCTTTCCCTCTCTAATGAGGCGTCCATGAGAACACTTCATAGTAATACGGACACACCGAAAATGAGGCCTGAGCTATTGATGGAATAAGCCTCTCCGCTGACAGGAGGATCGAGGCTGAGCGAGGAGTGAAAAATTTTTCATCATGGTTCGAAACATTGCCTTTGGTCTACACAGAAGCGAGCAGCTGGGATATGCAAGTCTGTACCTAGACAGACGCCCAGTCAGCGCGTGTTGAGTGAGATAATTCCAGATCTCATGCTGGCCGACTTCCCGACCTCTGAATGGATTGCTCTCGAACGTCTTGCTATTGCGACATGTTCGGGAAATATATGCGCCTCTCCCTCGGCAAAGGCATAATAATTATTATTCACCTGCATAATGACAACAAATACAGAGTTTGAGAATTGAGGGACGCATTTGAAAAATTTTCAGAAAAAGCTTTCCTTTTGCCATCATTTTGACTTTGAACATGGGAAGGCTCGGCTTCAGGTACCAGAAACGCAAACGGTTCGATCGGAACCTCCCACGTTGAATGATACTCGACTGAGCGCCGCATTAGCATAAAACTCAAAGAATGCTGTCATTGGCTTCCAACAGCCTAGTACCCTGACAAGTTGTAGATACAGTAATACCAGTTTCCCCGACAGGGATGCCAAGGACGGAAGATAAGGCGCTTTTTTCTCTTCACTCCAAGGTGATCGATCGCGATCTTAAGCTTTCATGTCACAGCGGGCTGGAGCCCTTTAGATGAAAAAAGTCAAATTTATTGCGGTGAACTGTTTAGACGTAACAACGGCAAGAGTTCGGGGACCTATAGAGTTCGGAAAAGAAGCCGTTGTCGGCGTCTATTCTGTTGTACAGCCGCCACTGACTTAGTCCCTGGATTGTTTACGTTACGTGTATTCTTGGCTTTGGGAATATACAGTAGCGGTAGTAAAGGTGTCGTAAATTCCCATTCGTTGATGCGATGAGGCGGGAAAAGGTGCCTCACACTGTTTGCACGTTTTCTGGCTCTGCCCCGTACTGTTACCACAGCTGCATTTCCGGTCAGGTCAGCTTGTTCTCTGGACGTTCGTCGTCATGAGGAGAAGTCGGCGGAGGCGGACGGTTCCTAGACGGCGTGCAGCTCCGTCATGCCATGGACTATGAATTACACACAATGGTCTCCTCCACTAAACCAGTTTCGGTAGGACAGGTCTGGTGATGGCCCCCAACAATGGGCAGATTGATGGGCTAGACAGGCTTTCAAACCAATACCACTTAGTTAGTCCTCCCCAAACCCCAGGTCGGTCAGGCGCTTGTTGATGTTGGATAGCAATCTTGGGGAGGATCTACTCATGATCGACTCTGGGGAACATTAAGCTGCCTGTATGCCTTGTGTCAACCGGTACCCAAGGTCCACCCATTGAATCCATCCTTAGCTCCACAGCTCGCATTTCTCCTTACAGTGCTGCTGGAATCCTCCAGAACAACGGAGGACGTTGTATTCGTGACACAGAAGTTCCACCAGCGCTCGACCAAGTGCTGGGACATATGTGACTGCTCCTAGAGCTCTGTAAAATGATGTGATTCTGGGAGCAAATAATCCCAACATCATGAAACATCACGAGTGGAGACATAGGAAAACGAAACTATGTGTTAAGGGTTTGAATGAATTTTTGGTTCTTGGTTCTCATTCTGATGACCCGTCTCGCTACTAAGGCTCGCAAGCCTGCTTGGGAGACAAGTGTGTCAGCTACTCTAGTTGCCAGTTTCTATCCAAATTCTCCCTTCTGTGGAGTTTCCAGTTCGGAAGCCAGACAGAGCTGCTGCTATGAGGAGCGATGCCCAAGTCCCCAACGCCATTGTTGGTTCAGCCTATGATGAAAGCTCTCGGCCCAGTCATCATCAGGAAACGAGAAGGGGGGGGGGGGACCCGACGGTTATCCCTTCCAGTTCCCAGGACCCAAGCCTGGATGTCCCAATATGCCATGCTTCTTGTAGAAAAACAGTTATCCTCCAGGTGTATCGTAATACAACATTGCCATGTTCCGCGACCAAGCGCCCCAATGTACGCCCTGTGGTGACTTCAAGTCAAAGGACCAAACCCATGTCACCTAATCAAAACTTTTTCGTGAATGCTGAGCTCCGGTATAATGCTTTTTGTACAACATAAAAAAACGGTGTTGAGTGTTTCTTCAATGTAGATCGTTTGTGTTAAAATCAAAAAGAAATAGTGAGTCGTGTGCCCGTCTCTGAAGACCCAGTAAAGAGAGTGTTGCGTTGTATGTGTGTGAATGCGAAGAGGGTTGAATTCAGACCGACTTCACAGGAATTTCGACTTTAGTAGGACCGGCGGCGCTGAAGTCGAGCGTGCTCGAAGGAGCTGGCGTAGTCCCGTAGTTGTTTTCTCGCCTTGTCCGACAACTGCTGGCTGTCGCTACCGGTTGAAGATGTGCTTCGTAAAGAGCATAAGCTGCTGTGTGAGCTTGAAGGTGTGAGGGCACGGCGGGAAGAAGGGCTTGACATTTCCGAGCGTTGAGCCAGGGAGGCTTGCGGTTGGGGTGTTGAACCATAGGGTTGAGCGTTGCTAAAGTCATATGCTGGAGAGAGGTAGAATTTGGTCTGATGTTTCGACGTTGACCAGGCGTAGTTCGGTTCAGAGAAGCCAGACGAAGTCGCCGGTGAATTTCCTGCCGATGACTTCTCGAAGTCGGAGAGTCTACACGACTCGGAGCAGTAGGTGTCGCCATCTGTTTGCTTATCACAGGATAGGCAAAATTGGTGGTCCCATGACAGATCCGAAGACATTTGGACAGGCGGTTTTTGGTTCTCGTAGAAGGAAGTGGATTTGTGACTCAGAGTCGAAGCAGTCAGTCGTCAAGGTGCTTGGGCAATGTCCAATTTGTGGCGGTTGTAGAGGATCGCTGGAGGTACTGCGTGAAAGCCGGGACTATTCGCAGAGTCGAGGCTGGATTGATCGAGTAATGCCTTATTGAGTCCAGACTGGCCGTGGCGAGATGATTCAGCAGAGATACGAAGAGTGATTAGGCATTCGAAGATCGTGTTATATGCGGATTTGGAGGTTCCTAACAGGACACTGGAAGAGCTGAGAAGGAGCGAGGGTCGTGAAGTGAAATATGGTAAAGACCAAGATGGCTCAAGACACATAAAGAAGTGGAAGAAGAGAGGTTGATATGTAGTCTTGGACGGTGCATACGCCAGTTGACGGACGGGCTTCTCTAAGACACAGCCCACTTTGTACTCTGTCAACCATATTCATGCGGGACGGTACTTCTGCCCATCGATCTTCGACAAAGATATGCATGGCTGTACGTACTGTACGTACAGCCCCACCTTGTATAGCATTAGTGCCTGGAAACCCTGCATCTACGCTAGGCCTGGAAGAGAGTTGGCTCACGCTGGCTGGCGGCACACAAATGTGGGCAAGGTATCGTTGGGCAAGCGGAGATCCATCAGACATGGGCGTGTGATATGTAAAACAGCCAGTCCAAGGCAAGAAAAATTTTCTGCTGATCTCAATGGGCGTCAAAGGATGGCACGGTCCAGGTGCATCCATGCTGGGGCCAGAGAATCAAAGAAGGGGGGGGTGTGGTCGTTGTGGTGGGTGTGGTACCGCCGATCATAGGCTGCCATCAAGGTGGTATTATTTGGGCTGGTTCTTGGCCTCCTAAGCAGACAGAGAGGGTGATTGCAGAAGTCATCGTGGACCCTGGATGGTAGGCGACCAACGAGCATGATTGATAATCTGACGCCCATAGCACTGTTTTGGGCTTAGCGAGTCGCCTTTGAAGCTTGCCTGCCTCTTACCTGCCTGCTTGCTTACTTGCCTGACGGCCGGCGTGGGTTTTGTGTGTATGGATCCCTAGACGGGGATACGGAGGAGATGCAGATTGATGAGATGCTTTCGATGGATTGTTCCCGTTGGAGTATTTCGGGTTTTCTGTCTCTCGTTGTCGAATCGTTCTGAGCGTTGTGCCTGGCTCGCCGGGCGCGCTGCACAACGGTCCAGACTACTCTCACTGCCGAGAGCAATGAAGATGATCAAAGGTTTTCATCGACTTGTTCTACCAGATTGGTTCAGTGGCCTTCCCATCATTGCCTATTCTTTATGCTCCTGCACAATATGATCTTGGACCGTCGCAACGCATGGCAGACGACGAAGATGGAGTGGAACCGCATGGGGTGGGGGGTTCTCAGCTTCGTCAACCATCAATCGTGGTAGAGCAGATAGCAGAGCCACGGTTGAAGCGGTTGTCGCAATTCCCAGTTTATTCACCCAGGATATCTGATGATTGATGGCCTGGCAGGCAGACTGTGGACTGACTTCGGATGATGAGGCAGATACTACAGTAGCGGGTTGGCAACCTGGCATATTCCGTAGTTGTGGAGTCTTTGTCAGGTCAAATTGCAACTCCCCGTCTTGCAAACCCCGAGAAGGACGCAGTGCGACACGCAATGCACAGAGACTAGAGTTTTGGTCGCTCAATCCCACACCAGCGGCCAAGACCAGTTGCTAGCTAGCCTCTCATAACATAACGTATCATGCTATGGGTAACGGGTAAACTGCGTGCTGCATTCTGCTGCATTGAGCTCGTCATCGCCCCATCTGATTGGCTCTTGCCCTTCCTCTGCGGCATGGCAATTTATGAGGATATCGCTTGAGGTGGCACTTTGTTCGCGATCACGATAGGACGTATCTGCGAGCAAATGCTTCCAATCAACTGTTCTGCTTCGGGCTGCTGTGTTAATCTCAAGGTTTGTAGAGTCGGTAACGCACACATCCCAAACTACCCTCACCATCGCCCTAGACAGCACTGCGAGAATACTACGGATGCATGTCATAGCTGGCTCATATGCGACCATTATCAGCTACCGGGAGAGCCGGGTTTAATGCCCCAGAATTATTCCTTATGTTCTGCCTGAGTTAGTTTCTGACATCATGGTGCCTACTCCCAGACTGTTAGCGCTCTGCTGCATCTCTCATGTTGGACCCCGGACTCCCTTCGGATATCTATGTCGAGCTACTGACCCAATCCCATGACCCGTACCTTACATTAATGGGCCAGTTATCTTGCGCCGTCGCCAATGGCATGGAGAGATGAAGACCCTCCTGGTCAAGCAGGTCTCGGGGGGCGATGCTCACGGGTTTCCTAAACGAGACATTCTTCACCTTGTCGGCCGGCCAAGGGTACCGTGGGATCTGCACCTGCCTACTCAGCTCACCCTTCATCCCCATTCTGCTTCGTCGTCATCGTCAGTTCACTTTGCACGTGTAGTGGTTACGGACTACGGCCCCAGTAGAAGAACTATTGATGATAGCAGCTGTTGTTGTCGGCATGATTCTGAGAAGGTGGACTATGCCATCCACAGATATTCAAACAAGTCACAACCACACTGCCTGCAACGAACTGGCTGGCAGGCGTTTGATGATCGTTCGACTGATGTTCCCCCAGGTTGAAACTCTACGAAACCCGCAGAGAAGGTCTGCAAGTTCACGCAGCTTGGCATCCAAGCAAGTGCAGAACTCACCACTGAGACACCCCAGTCCATTCTCCACCTCCGTAAATGCGGGTTGGATTGCGAGGCCGGCGCTACTGGGTAGAAAGGGCCCAGTAGGACGCCATCGCCCGCGAAAGTGGAGCTATACCGCATTCTGTTCCACCTGCGTAAAGGCGGGGGAATTTGAGCAATACTCCCCCATCCTGCAGCTGCGTCGCGCTTTATCAAGGGTATGTGCGTATGTGCTCCTTCAAGCCTGAGACCTTTCAGCAGACTGCTGGGAGTTTCTAGCCTCTGGGCAGGCTACTCATGAGTAGACCACACATGCACACCCTCTTCTATATGTTGGCCTTGGCTGTCGCCACCTGTTCATATGCACCAATCCTGCTTCAGCACTGGCGGACAGACAGAGGGCGACGGGCGTCGTTGCATATTGCGGAGACCAGTAGAGGGCATGATGGATGCAGGTGATGACTCCGCAATCCAGCTATCTCGTCGTTATCAAGCCGAGTCTCTCCGGGGCAAACTTTTCGCGACCTTGAATCGGCAGGAGCCAATGTCTACGAAGTACTAGTGCCCAGCCCGACGATGGCAAATCCGTCGAGGCTGCCGGCTGACGATGCACGAATCGTCGTCGGCGCTAGTTTTTCAGTACACACGACAATGGGGTTGTGAGTGCACCATATCTGCCTATGCTATGACGGATTGCAGAGTCGATCCCTCGCGCGGACGGCGCAGTAACCGCGTAGTGGCGTTACTCTAAAGACTGTCTCACAGGTCATTCTGTGAAATAGTCTGATTATGACAGCACCGGTCCATCTTGTTCTCATGCCTTGATGCCACATACTTATCTCATCCGTCTGGCCACCACCCACATGCCGCAAGGCTGTCGCGGGTAGTGAGAAAAATGTGGCAGCCGCACATGTGTAGATCCCAACCCTTCTTTCTTTGGCGCACTCGCCCCATTGACCAACACAATGCTCAATGATAACACGTCGTCCAATCACGACAACGGCCTACAAATTCAGTCCTCCACTGATTCTTGTTTGGGTCTCCTGCCTCTTCGGTGCTACACACATAACGCCACTCAATTCGATATCAGGGCAGAATTCTTCCATTCATCGACTTAGGCTCCCACTGCCCGCCCGACACTTCAAAAAACGACTTTCAATTGATCGAGCGGTTATCTCATGGTATGAGGTAGGACCTGATAGGTATATCACTGTGAGTATATCACATAGTAGGGTGGAGCATGGCTATATCGACACTATCGGCAGATGGTTTCCCGGAGTTCATTCTCAAACTGATATCGGCTCCGACAATGTTCTGATGGGTTGAAATCGCTTGTTGTTTTAATGGAATATGCCGTTGGGTGTATGCAATAGAGTGGTCCCGCGCGCTCCTCCACGTGGGTGGACTTTTTTAGCGTTGCCTGCTATTATCATCTCGGCTAAACACGAAACTAAACGGAATTTGCCTTTGAACACCTTGATATGTTGAATGCAGCGGTCTTGCAGGTCAAAGATCTGTTTAATCAGTTCTGTGGGGGTTACCAGTGTTACAAGGTGATGAAGCACAGCTATCAGATCGGCAGGCGGGCTGGCGGGGCTATCAACAGGGACTTGGGTGAGCGACACGTACTATGGAGCCGTCACGAATGGGGCTTTGCTGGGGCCTTGTTCGCTATCTCCAGTATATTTTGGCCCGAGTCACGCCGCGACTCTTCGGAGCAGAGCTCTTTAAACGGACCGAGTATCAGTAAAGTTTGGTGAACATCCCACGCTTTTGCGACTCTCCACCAACTGCAAATATGGGAAACGGCCGAAACTTGATTCTGGTTACCCAGCGGCCCCCACGTAATGCAAGTTATATATTCGATTCCAGAGCTGGGGAAGGGTCGGTACGGTGCACCCACGACAAGGACTCGTCACGTAACAACCGTGTTGATCTTGGAAACCCACGGTTTCATACAGTTATCCAACTCCTCAGAAGCTGCCCTGCCTCTACGAAGTACGAGTACCTAGTGTATTACGGTCTGGCTATAAGCGGTACGACATGCCCGCAAGTTTCGGCGCGTTCGCAATGGCGCGAAGATCAATCCTATCATCAATGCCCCCTTTGGCCCGGGATCAAAACGGCATAACCTGAGATCGCTTATTGGGGACTCGGCCGGTTGCTACTGTCAGCATGATATGATACAATGCATGTCAATATAGGCTGATAGTCACCCAGAGAGCACTTATCATTGTGGGAAATGATGATCCTCCCCAGAATATGACGGGCGTATCTTGAAGTCAAGAAACAATACCTTCGGGAGATTTGGTGAGTAATTACAGCATAGAGTATTCATATTCCGAAGAGTCCAAATGCACTTCGTCAAGCGAACCCGAGACCAAGGTAAAGGGTGTAAGGGACGGGACGCGCAAGCCCGTCGGGTTTTGGTGGAGTCGTCGAGTTGATTGTCCCCATCAGCTGGGCAACCCGTGTGCACACCTACAGAAAACTCGTTGGGAGTTGTTCGCTGCAGTGTCTCATTTCATCAGCGGCTTTGTTTCGGCTCAGGGCCCCCATGTCGTTTATCATCAGAGGCTAGCGCCAGTAACTCATTCCAGACGTTAGCAGCTGTGTATGCGTATCATCATGACATCCAGCCAACGGCGGCGTGTGTTTCCTTTCCCTCTGCAACTCTTCCTGAAGTGAACAACGTGGTTATCAGGGACGGCTCAGCTGACAAGACACCAGCCACCGGATACAGCGAAAGCCGTTCGGCCGGGTCTGGATCGTCAAGAAAAGATTCTCCATCCAGCTGATCTCCTATCGCCAGGTTGCCAGGGCCCAGGGCTTCGCAAAGCTGCCGGCCGGCATGTATACGTGAACAGGTCCATCAAATCCCACGAACGCCTCCCAAAGGCGGCGGGTCGGTGACTTGAGGTGAGCCGTACGGCCTTGTTATTGACCAGAGCTCGCAGCTCTCTACACCCTTTTGGATATTCACAGCTTGGTTTGTAGCCCCATCGCAGACTAGTTTCTCAGGGCTGAATCGAGATCAGTGTCGTGCATGGGTTAATAGGAACCCTCATTAAGATGGCCCCAATGAAAGGAAATAATAGCCCACAATCTCATAAGGAATGAGTCACAACGTTACAAATACGTTGCCAAATCTACAACTGCTTCTTGGCATCGAGAAAGACGTGAAAATTTTGAAGCTGCCAATCAACAGAAGACTCATAATTCGTAATTCGTAATCCATGTTCAGAATGCTGGCAGTAATGTCTTGACGGGCGTCCAGGTTCCGCTGATGACGGTCCATGAACTCGACACGTTTCCCATTTCAGACACAATGGTTATTTGGAAGTCATCGAGGCACAATAAGCAAGGACTGTACGATAGCCCGAGTTGGACCTTTTCCATGTAGCACGAATGTCGATCGATATCCCTAACATCATGAACTGTTGGATGGTACCTTGCAGTATTGCCCGACTCTCCCGCAGCTTGCTGAGCTCAGCCGAGAAGACACACTAGAAGTCACATGGGCACGACCATCTGCGAGGAGCGACACACTCACGCTAGTTTTGCCTGAAAAGCGAACTACTCAAGGAAGTTATTTAGTTGTATGATCCTTCTGAATGCTCACCGCATCAATTCTCCATCCCGTGATGAAATCGTAAGCCGTAAGATCCTTCTTGCCGCTTTTGGATAGGGTGTGCAACTATTGGCAATCAAGTTATGTCCGTAAACTTATCAACACCACCCTGGAAAAATAGAAAAGTCCCAAGATTTCTTCAAGGCTCTCTCATGAAGCGAGGTCGGGCAGCGCTAACTCAATGTGCTCATCCGATGATGATCACGACAGGGCATAGGCTGCCAAAATGAACCCTTGCTTGGGGGGTGAAGGGGGTGGTGAGATGAGAGAGTGGCCCCTCACCCCGCAATCTTATCCCGGATGCCCACTGCCACGGGCCACAGACCACAGACCCAAGGTTCGTGAGGTGGAAAGTCGTCTCTAGAAAGAAAATGGTATATTGCTCACCTTGGTACTCTCCGCAAAATGGAGTCGAAGTGGACGAGCATGTTCGATAGAAGATCCAGACTGGCGGGAGTGTAATGACTTACCAATCAGCAGTCAGCTCATAGCTATCCCAGATGAGGAATCTTGTCCCCATGTGGCCCCAAACAACTCTGGTGGTTAATCCGTCCTACGAGGAGACGACCAAGTGTAACCGCGAGATATAACCGGTGTGGCCAATAGTCGCAAGAGGCTGAGCCTGCTTGACCATACAAGCGCGCAACCTCACATAGCTTTCTTTTTTTCTTGCCCCAGAGAACCAACAGCAGATAATGGGCTCGGACAACATCCCCTCCTAGCGCTTTGACACGGGCGTTGTGTCATCCAGAGCATCCTGGCCTCGGCAAAGGACTTCTAAGCGATTCTGGTCCACGGGAAGAGAAAGTCCCCTACAGATGGCACTTGGCACACAGACTAGACTTGGGTGATTGATGAATCATCTCAGCTCTCCGATTAATGCCGAGTATGCCAAGTTGAAGGTCAAGGCTCACGAACCCTTACTAGCCCAGTCTTGGCCTTATCTTGCGAAGGGAAAATTAGGGTTCTGCTCTTCAACTCAATATGACTCTGTCGTGGGCCGCCGTTGAAGATCGGAGGACGCGTTCTAATAGAGAGGTGCAATTTCCGGGTTACGGCGCACTGTGGATGAATAATCAGATATTCCCAGCTGGCGGGCCTGGCCTGGCAGAGATGCAATGGCCACTGGAAAATTATTGGTGTCGATTTGTGTGACCAGCCGTCGAACAACACATCGGGATCCGTTAAAGGAGAAGGAGCAAAAATTGGAGAGACCCTCATGATAATTATTATTATTATTATTAAATACGCCGTAGGCTCGAAGTCACCGGTACCTCTAATAGTACTCCCGTATGTCAAACCGTGCCCTAATGGCTGGACTAAATACATACGCTGCGTCGTCGGTTCGCCCTATTGGCGACTGCGTTGCGTTCACTACCATACTACGTTGGTTCTCAACCTACCAACAAAGTCCCCCCTGAGAAGATCGATGCTATCTGGGCCTTGAAGCTGTCCGACCCGTCATGATAATTGAAAATGGTGAACGACAATCATAGGAGGTCACAATATTCAACCTCTCCCCTGTCAGAAAGAATGTACTTCTTCAGATCATTGTCTCCCGTAAGGTTTTCGGTGACAACTGCCGGTTGCCAATGCTTCCGAGGTGCCCGTGGATAACCTCACGCCAAATGCTTGGTGATTGATGCCTGTCAAAGTCTGGGTTGCAACTTTTCAGATTTGTGCTAGCTGGAGTTCTGATTGGCTCGAAACTTCAGACAGCCAGGCTCCCATTCTCTTTCTCCTCTTGCCTGCGGCAAGTTTCGCAAGAATAAAATTTTTCCAATATTAAAACTTTTCATTATCAGGGCCCAGGAGCTCGATAACGCAGCTTCCATTGTCACATCACCTAAAGTGGTTCTCTGCATTTTATTTTGGTTGTCGTGCCTGCCTGCTAGTGGCTCATGCAACTGAGGGCAAAATCCCCTTCCCCGCATTCTGACTTCTTGGCGTCTGACTGCTTCTGGCAACACTTCGCAGCTTCTATGTGACCATGAAGACCATGATATGGATTTCTTCTTTCGGAAACTAACCACATTGACCACCTTTTTGCATGCACCCTATTTTGCAGGCTCTAACTGAATTAACCTAAATACTTCGTCCGTATTTATTATGTACAGAACATACTTAATTTAAGCGTCCGAAGACTTAGATGTTCGGTGTCAGAGACACTGAACGCAGGACACCGGTGGGGTGCCGGTGGGGTGTTTCGGACAAAAGCCTCCCGAGTCATGATTACAATCTATGTGAAGTTTCGGGATGCCGAGAGTCAGGATTCCCGGCATCGCCAAACCTGCGGCTACGCCGGGTCCAAGCGGCGGCCTAGCTATCTATATACGGACCATCTCGAAGTAGGATAGGGAAGGAGTAGAGATCAATGCATCATCGTGGGCACCCCTACCTGAGACCGCCAGTGACCACCCGGTGCTACGTAGGAGGGACGCCCATTACTCTCTGTCACGACCTGGGTTGCATCGCATTGGTAGAGACCTCGATTAGGTGCTATCGACGAAGATTCTACTCTAAGGAGCGAAGGAAAGAAGATGACAACTTAGGTTTGAGGGAGCGCGACTAAGTCATCCACGCTTGGCGGGGCTCCTACAAGGGTTATGATTGGCTTCCCATCTGACACTGCCATGGCAGGTGTTCCAGCTGTACGTCACCTGGTTGTAGTGAGTCTGCGAGGATTGACCTTCACACTCTCCATCACTCTGTACTATTGCCTTCGGCCTAGCCGTACCCTGACATTCGGATCGCTAATAAGTTAACGAACACTTTATTCGTGTTAGGCTTGACGGGCTAGCGTATATCTGGAGCGTATTTATCGAGTTCTTTATATAGTTACTCGTTTTCAATACGTTGGCTAGGTAGTTACTACGCTTTCTGAGGCGTAAAAGTAATTAGAGGCAGTAATATATAAGGCGGAGGAGGATTATAAGATACGTCGACTAGTCCTTCGGAGCTTAGGGGCTATATACTAGTCTTCCGCTAGCTAGATTTAATATTTTCCGTAGTAAAGGCTCTCTCCGAGGCACGTAGATATGCTTCTAGTATATGTTACTTGTAGATTAGGGCTGTAGCCTTGTTAGAAGCGTAAGCCCTAAGCTCTTAGCGGTAATAGGTCTCCAAAGGTGAGAATAGCCCGATATCGCACGGCCAGAGATCGTTACTATAGTATAAGGGTAAATAAAGCACGGCGACCCTGTTCGAGTAGGCTTTCTATATAAATTCGGTATAAATATATATCTAGTGGCCGTCGAGGATAAGGAGTCGCTATTCGGTACCCCTAGGCTTCGTCTCGGGGAGGAAAACCTGATCTAACTATCTATTTACGATAACTTTGTTACTCTAGCCCTTACTCGTCGCGGTATATTCCTACTTAGGGATATTTTAGTCTGGGAACTATTATACTTAGACTCCCTTACCGGAAAATACGTAGACAGGTGTGCCCCGTTAGGTGAACGAAATATATGTCACAGCGCTGGCGATTACAGAGCCACATAGTGCTGTATATAGCAGTTAGTGGGACCAAGTGTCAGTGATCCACTGGCATTCTCGATCTTTTGGTCTATTGGCCTAGGGGCTTGGTCCTCCCTTGTGACAATATACTCTAACTAGGAGTACTACGACAAAGCGTCCGACTTTAATACGCGTACCCAGCGTAAATTAGACATCCTAATAACCGTACTATGCCCAGATTCCCCCTCTTGGACACCTGTCTTATCCATATTATACTCGTTATCGGGTTTGATACGGTACTTCGTGTGAAGGTCAACCCTCGCAGACTCACTACAACCAGGTGACTTACAGCTGGAACACCTGCCATGGCAGTGCCAGATGGGAAGCCAATCATAACCCTTGTAGGAGCCCCGCCAAGCGTGGACGACTTAGTCGCGCTCCCTCAAACCTAAGTTGTGATCTTCTTTCCTTCGCTCCTTAGAGTAGAATCTTCGTCGATAGCACCTAATCGAGGTCTCTACCAATGCGATGCAACCCAGGTCGTGACACTTCGTACGTAAAGCGTTCGAGGAGGGTGTAGAAGTCTCGGATCTTATTCGAATCGGACGCTCTGACTCGGCTAGTACCTACGCGCCCAATTTTAGTACAACTTTTGTTGCCCGGAGGCCGCGTCGCGATGCGAATTACCGTGACGAATGCGGTAGGACAGTGTAGTCCCCTTGATACTGTACCGATAGGCTGCTGCGGCCTGGGAAGAGCCCTGACGGATAAGCTCTTTAGCGCGTTCGATTCGCTGCTCAAAATCGTCCGGACTATTCTCCACTGGATCAGCCATTTTGTACGTAGCTAGGGAGCAATTGCGAGGTAAATTGAGAGACGTCGTGTTGTTGAGGCGTAGAATTTCCCTGCAAAATGGGGGTGCATGCAAAAAGGTGGTCAATGCGGTTAATCACGTCCAACAACCTGAGCCTTGATCATTGAGCTTCCGGTTCTGCCCGTCAAGCCGTCAACCACGTTGTATATTGACGATGTGACCACAGCTGGGCTGCATCATTGAACATTCCTCCCCCGCAATCCGCTGGACCAACAAACATGTCACCGTCGGAAGTAAAGTGGAAGTCGGCACGGCTGAGCAAACAATTGACATGGGTTGCATACTTTGAAGATAGCGCCAACTCCGCAAAAAGTCGTAGCCGCCCCCCGGATGTGGAATCGCGCCTTGCGCCACAACCGTTTCCCCAACAGTGCTTGGCATCTCGTACTCAGCGCAAGTGTCGAGGGATACCACCCGTTTCTGGTCAAGCTCATATGTGCCACTAATATTGATATCAGTTTGAAGATCACACTGATAGTTCGTACTAGTACCGAGTATGCTAGCCTTGTGGTCAGGTACCCGGATGTCAACGATATAGTCTTGGCTGGATCTTGACTGTAGACTCGGCCAGATCTTTCTCAATATCACGATACGGAGCTCGTGAATCTGGCACTAAGTCCAATACCCAGTACCACGATGTCACATAACTGTTCACAGAGAAAGACCCGGCAATGTTCTCTCCAAAGGCCGAGACACCGAGCTGTCGTGTGATCACCGATATCCAACCATGCCATCTTACACATGTCGAGCGTTTATATCGCAATATTCACACCCGGCCGGTTCATTTTCAAACGAGGCTCTCGAAACATGGCCTCATCTATTTTGCGCCTACCGCAATATCCAAATCGTGCGAACCATGGGCGGACGGTTTTGGCAAGACACCCGAATCCCAACTTTCTTAGCGTCTCACTGGACCCGACCAATAAGTAATTCGTCACGTAGCACGGAACTGCACGCTGCAGCATTCGAATTGCTAACTACCACCCTGCGAGAAATTCTTGTCTCGCAGCCTTTTCCCTCTTCCCAGGCTATCAGGTCGCACAACACCCCCCCCCCCCCCAAAGGCCAGTCAGCGATTGGGTACTATGTGCATGGTGCGGAACATATTACAGCTGCCACACCGGATGTGGCCCTGGTCCTGTCTGGCCTCCCACCCTCCTCATGCTGCCGCTGGTTGAGACTCGCAACGGCGATTCGTGAAACCAGACTTCGCCCCTCCGGATGCAGCAGATGCACGAGGCCCAATTCGGTCGATGGTCGTCGGCAACGACGTGTGTAGGAATCAATCGCCTCAGTACACATGGACACATTAACTATGCCTACTCATGCAATAGGCAATCGACACGACGAATCTATCGTTGCAGTGCGCGGCCAGTGAGTACCAAGAATGCATCTTTCGTCCGAGGTTTCGCGATGCTCCTCAGTATCATATCATGCTTCCATGAAGAGATAGCTTGGTCCCGTCTTACATGTATCGTCATATCATGCCCCTCCAGACCCTCGCTCTCAGCTCAACCACGTATCCCATCACTAACCGTATTCGCCACCACTCACGGACTATATTCAATCCTAGCCATATTCCTAAGCCGAATACGCCCAACTTGGGAGTGCCGAGCGGTCACGCCTTCAGTCCGCATCCCTCTTACAAGGCATCCAGTCGTAATGTGATTTTACGCTTTCTGCCATTGGTTGACCCCGCATTAAATATGTCCTTCATCATCGTTAGATTACATCAATCACGGACATGGATAGGGAAAGGGCGCCATACAACGTGGTAGCGCCGAAAGGCGCAAAAAAAGGTACAGTACTGGTTGACCTGGGGACAGGTCGGGACCCAACGAGCTGGTAGCACAGACGGACACCTGCCGTTTCTTGGGATCTCCCTTCCCTTGCGTCTGGTGGGATGTTCCAGACTCAGGAAGCCCCGGAGGACGCCGGAGGGAAAGCGCTTGTTAGTTCGCTTCGTGTCTTTGCCTGGAAAATAACCCGAAGCCGGAACAGGGAGGCAAAGTTAATCGTTTCCCTATTGATCCAAAGGTCTATTCTAGCAGTGACTCGTCTCGTGGTCACTGGCCAGTCTGTGTGCCGAAACCGTCGGTCATTGTTGAGTCAACTAGGTAGAACCCAGCAAGTCTATTTTCAATCTATCATCATATGTAACTCGAGCGTGAAACTTGACGCTACCCTGTTCCGTCCCAAACATCACGAGGTCAACGGTGACTTCCATCTGTCACACCTTGGTCTGAAGGCAAAGGCCAGTTCCGATAGGAGGCAACATGACTAGGTTTCTTCCTCACCAAAGAGAGCCCCACGGAAAGCATAGGGATTTGCGAACTTCTGACAGGTCCCGGATGACCGCGACCGAGCACGGAAAGCGCTGCTTTTCGATATCCGCTCTGCATGACCTTTGTTTTCACTTATTCGCTTCATCAACACCGGAGGTCACGACAGACAGTATGCATATAGTGTTGGCACACCGGCTGTGTGCTTGGTGCAGCGCTTGGGCCAACTATAGATTCCTGGGAGTTAATCCCATCAACATCACCAACACAGCTCTCTTACCTATATTGCCCACACATACGTGCATACATACTCAACAGGGACGGTTCAAGTAGTCGCCATCGGGTTATCGAGAACAATGGCAAATAACCCAGGTTTCATAGAAGATTGATATGTGTGCCATTTCTCTCTTACTCAGAAGCTCAAATACTGAAGCATCATTATCACAGCCACAAGTGGTTAAAATGTTGACAAATGAAGCAAAGAGAGGGGAATTAAGCAGCAGCTCCACGTGCAAGATCTGTCAAGTTTGGTAAGGTGAAAGACTAGCTTCCGTTGGAAAGAAACAACCCGATTATGTAAATATGAATGTGAGTGGTCTATGGGTTCACTCACGGAGTGAGTTGCGGGTTTGTGTTTTTTAGCTTATTCAGTATGTGTGTCGATTTGATCAAGTTGGCGGTGAATATTGTGAATGATTGGCATTTTTGTTCATGGAAGGAGTTCTCTCCAAAATAATTGGGAACGTTGGCAAAGGGTTCGTCTTACTTTACTAACCTAGATGCTCAGCAAGCAGACTAATTTGTTTTTTTCCTTCTCACTTCTCCATTAGTCCGGTCTAGTCCATGTGTAAATCTCTGTCTGTTAGAACTCACAAAGTCATATCAACAAGTACAAGATGGGAGTATTAACTCTTGATTGCTGCCGTCTCACCGCCCATCCGCTTCTCCGAGGCTTGAGTAAAGTTGCGTCTACTTGTGTCAAAATGCGTCTTCGATACTTGCTCTCGGACTTCCATCATATAAATTGGTTATCAGGTAGTCTTGTGATGGCCAGGTCTCAACTGGAAGGATGTGACAGTATGAAACCAGAACACCTTGGCCAAATGTGTATGACTGACAACCGCAGCCCCAAGCTACCGAGGAGTAGATGGCTTCTATGAGCAGTCGCAGTCGGTGCCTTCTAAAAGCAAGCCATCTTCGTTTAATTTCAAGACCTCAAGACCTCAAGACCTCAAGACGTGTATAGGCCTTAGTACATAGTTCATCACGTGGGTTTCATTTAACGGCTTTCAAAGCACCACAGGGGTATTTGCCAGAGCTTTACTCCAGGGCAGGGAAACATTAATTCTCATACTCTCGTTGCATATATCTCAACCATTGGGTCCTCGAATTTTTGTGTTGACATCCTGTTGAATATATGACCGTTGGGTGGCATTGGGACACCTGCCCGTCGTCGTATGGAGTGTAGCGGTTAGGCCTACTGAAAGTGTATATTTTCGCCCTGGCCCGTATATCCCACCAATCATGAATATCTAAGGACATCTTGATAGACTTGAATGACTGTAAGGTATTTGGGAAGGTTTCGGTGAATATTGTAACTTGGTACCACAGTACTTCTGAGACTCGGGGAGATGAAAGCATTTTAACCTAGGTGGCCTGTTCTGTTTCAAGGTAGTCTGTCAATACTATTAGCACTAGCTGATTGCAGACATACACACCATCGGGTTCAGAGACTAAGAGAGGAAGAGTCCAATGTCAAAGACTTGGGTAGAGGTGCAATATGTGGTAGTCATGAGCCAATCGGTATGGGGTATCGTCATTCTAGACAGAATGCGTCCTTGACGTCGATGCGATGCAACCTGATCTCTTATGTTTTTCCAGGTCGGCAAGAGGACGGCGGTTGATCATTCAAGAAGAGGTTTAGAAATATCCTCCAAGTTTGCCCATGGGTCGTTCAGACCAGTCTTTCAGCGCTTATTTCATCGTTGCCCGCGTAACCCGGCACAATGTATTGCCAGATTTCCAAATGGATAGTGAAGCTGTGTGTTGCTGATTGAGAAGAGCTATAGTGGCATGCATTGTTGCCTAGTTGGCTATTTCACCAATGTCCCGAGCCGGTATATCTGCACCCCAAGGCCTGCAGCTGGTATTGGTAGAGATATTAATACCAAAGGGCTTGTTAGGCTCCACGCAGATCTTCGCGGACAAGTCTCCCTGATTGCAGGAGATCTTGGCTGTTCCGATCTACAGTACTACTCAGACTTGCTTCAAGTGGATCGGCTATTTAGTAAAAATGTTGCCAAAGAGACGGGCGACGGTCGGAAGAGGAGCTAGATTTCTACTGAATTCGCGTCGTTAGCTTTGCCATTTAAGTGAAGGATCAGCTTTAAGTTCGGGTTCTATTCCAATATTGCATCTCGGTGTATCTTATCTAGCTGCGAAGCGGGACAAAGTCCTTGAACACTTGCTTCTATCGACCCTTTCCCTGATCATAAGCAAACACGGCGACTGCAAGAAGAGCATACTTGCGAAGGGGTGATACGATCAGACCAGTGGAGGTCCTGGTTGAAAGGGGACGATCGTTTTCCGTGAATCTACGGCGTAACCAGCGCAGGCAAAAGGCTCTTATTGTCATATACAGGAATTGTCGGGTCCATCTGCCAAGATCAACAAAAGGCTGGGATTATTGGTATTGCTATTATGGCTGGACGCACGATAGTAAAGTTGAGCCCTTTTTGGGATGGGTTGTTGGTCAACTGTCACGACAGGCCAGTTTCATCCCCCTAGTACTCCAACAGGCGCACTGGTCAGGTCAACAAGCGGACGCACAGAAGGACCTCGCTGAAAGATTCGAGTCCCTTCATATTCGTGGATGCCTTGGATGAGGCCAAAAATCGCCCATATTTGTTGAGACTCATCCAGAGTTTGCCGTGGTCGCCGCATCTTTCATATATGCCTCCCGATGACGAGTAGAGACGAAGTCGACATTAGACTAGTTCTACGACCCACGTTTACAAACATATCGATGTCTAATTTCCTGTTAGATGAGTATATCCCTAGTTTCATTCGCCAGGAGCTGCGGCAAGTCCCAAAATTCACTCGTTGGCCGCCGGGGTTGTTCGGGGAGGTCGAAATGACCCTAACTCAAGGAGCTCACGGAATGTGAGTTTCCCCTGAGCATCGAATCAACATAGAAATTGTAAATACGCTGACATCGGTTTCAGATTTCCCTGGGCTTCTTGTCAAACACAGATATTGCAGAGACTCAACCAGCCATCTACAGCTTGGAAGGCTCCGAAGGAACTGCCAAAAAACTTTAGACGAGACGTACAAAAGAATTCTGAACAGTATACCAGAGGAATCCGAGTCTATTTTGTATACCACCCTTGCGTTGGTATGAGAGGAGCAGGGTCAGAACAGCCAACGGTTGAGAGGCCACAACTGGACGCGTGAGCCTAACTAATATCAGGGCACTGATTGGTCTTTTGCACGAGGAAAACCAGGGATAGCCATCAAACACCTGTTATATGTGACAACAAATAGATAAGACTGTCAAACACGAATCTTTACTGTCTCAACATCATTCTTGAACGCTGACATCGTTGTCCTAAAGTACGCTTGAATAATCCAACTTATTGGACACTTGTAAGCAATCATCCAACTAGATAGACGGAACAATGACATTCAAACGACCGATAACAATATTAAAATATGAATAGCAGATACTGCCCGCAATAGGAAATTGTAACGGTACTTTGTCTTATTCAATTTGTAGTGTTGAGCTCAGGTGAGTAATCCTCCGCTCCACGGTAAGCCAATCACGTTTTCGGCCTCGCATCAACTTTCTACAGCAGGTAGACCAGGTACTCACATACAATGCAAATCACTTTAAATGCCTATGCTTCACACCAGAAACTAGGTCATCTCACGTTGAATCTGCCACCCTTGCCTTGTAAAACGCAACCGGAACCCCAAGCTTCGGCCTCCCAACAATATCCGCCTTATAAATCTGGGCGCCCCAATCCCCCCTATACTCAATCCTTTCATACTTCTGCAAAATCCGAACCACTAATTTCCAAGTCAGCTCCATACGATTCAATTAAACATCAAAGCCTTCGAAAAGAAAAACAACTTACTGAAGTACGCCATCTCTGCCATCGCGAAATTCTGCCCAACGCAAATCCGTGGCCCCGCATTAAACGGGATGAACTCCTGCGACCTAGGCTGCCACCCGTACCAGCGCTCGGGGCTGAAGACGGCTGGATCAGCGAACCTGTCCGAGGCGGGCGGGTATAAGTCCTGGCGCCGCTGCATCATGATGGGTAGGTAGATGATGTTATCACCCTTGCAGACACCGATGTCGGGTTGGCCGGGCAGCGTCGTGTCAGTGACGGCGGTGCGCATGTTGTAGGGGATGGCCGGGTAGAGGCGCAGGGTTTCCTGGAGGGTGAAACGGAGGTATTTCAGTTCTCTTAGGTCGGCGTAGGTTGGAGCTTTGGTCGGGCCGATGGTAGAGAGGACTTCGGATCGGAGTTTGGTCCATATTTCGGGGTAGGCAGAGAGCTCGTCTGTTGGTGGATCGATATCAGTTTGTAATGTAACCCCTTTGACCAGCTACAGGAGGTCTGCTCCCGGCTGATGGGCCAGAGTCTCTGCGATTCACAGCCGAGGTTCATGCTCAAGGATGAATACCACTTACAAAATGCCCAAGAAAGAGTCGCAGCGATGCTGTCTCGGCCCGCGAACAGGACCGCCATAATGTGGTCTCGAACGACTTCAGGGTCTCGAGTATACTGCAATATTTGGTGCAGAAAGGTGAAGCTCTTGTCCGATCTGGTGGTCTTCTCGAGCTCTTGGGAAGGAAGTGCTAGTGCTGTCTGAATGAAGGGAACGACGAAACTTTCGATCGTCCTGATATGGCGATGGAATGTTTTTCTCCCGATAAAGATCTCAAAGGGGCTAGTTGAGAATTAGCCCCTGTGCAGTTCCGGACCTTGGGAAAGTTTTTCTCTCATATCAAGGGCTTACCCTGAGGTCGTAATTTGCATCTGTATCTTTTGAATTTCATCAAGTGCGTGAGCGAATTCGTTGTTGGGCCTACTTGGCGTCAGCGCCCACCTAACGCTCAACACTCGGTAATCGAGTCAAGCCAGACCTACTTTATAAGGCTGTTCACACTTGTTCCCAACAGAAACTCCGTGGAAACATCGAGTACCATACGATAGACCAGATCCATCAGCTGTACCGTCTCCCCCGAGGTAGGCAACTGGTCGATGAGAAGGCGCGTCTTCCGTTCGAAAATTTCAAGATCGCTTACTCTATCCTTCGTGAACATGGGCCGGATTAAGCGGCGGCTATTATTCCAGAGATCACCATCCGTGGTGATGAGACTGTTCCCTCTGCTCATGTTAAGTAAGCCCCTTGACTATTCGTCAGTAGGATGAAAGCAGGTGAACGGACAAGAACGCTTTCCACAGCCGATGGAAGTCCGGCCCCTTTCCAAAATCCCAGAACTTCGTCCCCAGGACCGTCTTGATCACTTCGGGGTCTCTGGTGAAGATGAAGCGATGAGACGGTGTGATTTCCAGCTCAACGACGTTGAGATTCGGGTTTCCGGAAGCTGTTCGGCTGAACAGTTTGTCATAGAACTCTATAGTCCGGTCCTCCGCCTGTGACTTTTTAAAGCCCATGAATCTTCTAGTTGCTAGAATTTGTTAGGTTTAGGAGATGCGACTTTAAGTAAGTAGCTTCCAGTGCTACCGAACTGACCGCTAATGGGGTTGTTGCCAACCGAATATGCCCGTACTCCAAGTTTGCGGACTTTGGCTTCTTTACGAGCTTTGCTTATAGCATACAGTCCCGCAAGGAACACAACGATAGTCAACACAAGAATGGCGAGATCCCCGGCCAGGGTCCCGGTGGTCAATCTGGCGAACATGGTGAGCGACTCAATCGCGAGGCAATACTCATGTAGGATGCCCGCGTTGTAGGTGGCAGTTGGGATTGGAGAAGTTGCCGACTAATTACTTGAGATGCAATTCAAATCAAGTATTCGATCTTGCGACATTTTGTATGTCTTACAACCGAACAGTGAGAATAGAAGTAGCTACTAGGAAGAGTCGTCTGAATAAGCGTCTTTGTCAGACTGATAGACGAGACCTGCATCAAGCCCTGCATTATCGGTTCGCCTTCCGTGTCAAGATAATGAGAATGCCGATTGGTGACAAAACCTTTACATGGTGTTGTCGGGTAAATACCTTCGTAGGTAATTAGTACCTGGTCACAAGTAGAATTGTTCAACAAGAACGGTGGACCATGGGCCCCTGAGACAGAGCCCCAACCTTTCCGATCACGAACAATACCTTATCTCTCGATATAATCAAAGATTCGAGAAGTTACAATTCTCGTTGGGACTTGTATTCAATTCTTTTGGTTGGGAAGCCTTAATACTGCGATGCAGGTTCTTTTTCTTCACGCTAGGTGCCTTCTACAAGCTGGAGAAGCAGCAGATAGTCAACCCGAAATAGCTGATCCTTGTCGCCGTCGTAAAGTCGAAGCAGACAGAAAGTGTTGTAGGAAGCCTCCAAAGCTAAGGATTTCGAGACAAAGAAAATAAATAGAAAATAAATAGAAAATAAACGTATACTCTCAACCTACTGCGCCATTGCAGATAACTGCTCAAGTGACAGTGGACCAGGCGTTACGCCAACGGATCAGGTGTTGCCATGTGGATGGACTAAAGTGAAGAAACTATGAAAAAATAAAGGCAAGGATATGGGATCAGCCTCAAATGTCCCACCTCCCTCCTCACATTTGTGTCAAAAACAGAGCGTTGGAGCGTTGTTCGAGCTAACATGATTCTGAAATTCGAGGGTGCAAGCAGCTATAATTAATAGCCGTGGGGTAAAAGTAGAAGCCACAATGCACATACCACCACCATACCGTTGCCCAGCGATTTGGTCAGTGCCTTGGGCTTTCGGTGCAGCCAGCTCTGGAGCCGACCGGTATTTCCCGCACTGTCGGAAGCAGAGCGAGCTCGAGGATCGGGCCAGCCCAGCTGTTTTTCTTGAACCGCGATAGCATCGCGCATTGCAGCAAAACACCTCGTTGACCTTTCGCTTCCTTTGATCCGCCCGCCACCCCCTTGTCCTATCAATTAGGACTCTCCTGCCTACTGGCCGATACTCAACCCAGCTTCAGTCATCATGTTCAAGCTCGCACGCAGCCGGGCTGCTACTTCGGCGCTTCGATCAGCCGCGAAGGTACTTACCGCATTAAGCTATCATCTCGATATGCCTCGTAGCAGTGGCTGACTTTGTTTCTGAAATTACAGCCGCAAATCACATCCACCCTTAGATTCCCGGGCATTGCCCAACAGCAGCGGAGAAGCCTGAGCATCCACGAGTATCTGTCGGCCGATCTTCTGCGCAAGGTATAGATAACATGACCCCCGGTCTGCTTTTTCGGTACACGGCTCTAATATGCTTCTCTGCAGTATGGCATCGACGTCCCCAAGGGCGCAAACGCATCGTCGCCTGCCGAAGCCGAGAAGATCGCCAAGGACATTGGAAACGATGACATGGTCATCAAGGCGCAGGTCCTTGCTGGTGGCCGTGGAAAGGGTAGCTTCGACAACGGCTTGAAGGGTGGTGTGCGTGTCATCTACTCACCCACCGAGGCCAAGATGTTCGCCGAGCAGATGATCGGCCACAAACTCGTAACCAAGCAGACTGGTGCGGCCGGCCGCCTCTGCAACTCCGTCTACATCTGCGAGCGCAAGTTCGCCCGCAGAGAATTCTACCTCGCCGTCTTGATGGACCGAGCCTCCCAGGGACCCGTCATCGTATCTTCATCTCAGGGTGGTATGGACATCGAGGGCGTCGCTAAGGACAACCCCGATGCCATTAACACGACCTATATCGATATTAACACCGGTGTGACGGATGAGATTGCGCGCGACATCGCCACCAAGCTTGGCTTTAGCGAGCAGTGCATCGAGGACGGCAAGGACACCATCCAGAAGCTGTACCAAATCTTCCTCGAGAAGGATGCCACTCAGATTGAGATCAACCCCCTCTCCGAGACCTCGGACCACAAGGTTATGTGCATGGACGCCAAGTTCGGTTTCGATGACAACGCCGACTTCCGCCAGAAGGAGATCTTCTCGTGGCGCGACACCACTCAGGAGGATGCTCAGGAAGTACGTGCTGCTGAATCCGGACTCAACTTCATCAAGCTAGATGGTGATATTGGCTGCTTGGTCAATGGTGCCGGTCTTGCCATGGCCACCATGGACATCATCAAGCTGAACGGCGGCCAGCCCGCAAACTTCTTGGACGTTGGTGGCGGTGCCACTCCCGCGGCCATCAAGGAGGCCTTTGAGCTCATCACCAGCGACCCCAAGGTCACTGCCATTTTCGTCAACATTTTTGGTGGTATCGTGCGATGCGATGCTATTGCCCACGGCCTCGTTAACACCGTCAAGGCACTGAACCTGAAGATTCCCATCATTGCCAGACTCCAAGGAACCAACATGGAGCAGGCACACCAGCTCATCAACGACTCGGGAATGAAGATCTTCTCCATCGATGACCTCCAGAGTGCAGCTGAGCGAGCTGTGCAACTTTCCAAGGTTGTGAAGATGGGTAAGCCTGCACATAATCTACGGCACGGTGACTATTGGCTAACAACGACACAGCGCGGGATATTGACGTCGGCGTCGAGTTCAGCTTGGGTATCTAAGGATGGCAATAGACTTGGTTGACTGTACTAACGTTTCCAGAAACGAACTCCTAGGATGTGCGATTAGGGAGGCTGTGACATAGAGATCAGCGGCAGCCTGTGCTCATTGCATGCATGCATTTGGTTTCGTTCTTGCATTGTGCGCAATGAACAGCATTACATACCCCTTTAACTGACTTTGTTCCCAGCCTCGTGATCTCTACACTTTCGTGTTGGCCCTCCTCATGTTTCATTTTCGTTTTGCTGCCATCTCAATGCAATCTTCCCATGATTTAATTGGCAGAGGGTTCAACACCTTCTCATTGCCTTTTTCCAAGATCCAAATCGATATGCCCAGAATCCCTTGGATGATGACGTCCCAATGCTCCCCGGCAGTTGAGTGCTGACTTCTATTCGTACCATTGCAATTCATCTTCACCCCTAAGCGACAGCCCAGCTTCCGCACCGCCGCACCAAGACGTACTGGACCATGACACACTCATCAGTCCGATTCCAAGCCGCAAATACTGTCCGGCCGATTCCCCATGCGATGATTCCCGCCGTCCAAGCCCCAGCAGCAAGAAATGAAATTAACAACATCCAGTCGACCCCAGCAACGACAACCCTCCGTACACGGCCGCTCCCCAAGAACCCCTTCCATTTCCGCATCACAACCAGCCCGATCGCCCTCGCCCTATCCCACGGTTCCACAACATTAGTCACAGCAGTCCCCCCACGCACCATCGTCGTATGCTCACTACCTCCCTCCGCCACACACGAAAGGTCCTTCGGAACAACACCATACCAGCGCTGAGATAATTGCCAATCTTCCTGTTCCCTTGCGCGGTCCAGCTCGGCTTGGGTGGGTTGCCGCGGTATGAACGGGGTTCTGGGCGGTGGCACGGCAGTGGTGCTGTGGATGAAGACGCCGAAGGGGCGTTTACGTGGGTTGAGGATGAGTTCGTGCCAGTAGATTCTCGCGGGGTAGGGGGTGTAGGTGTTGATTGTTGGCCAGGTTGAGGTTGTGGGGGTGGTGGTATTAGTGGTGGCCATGGTAGGTGGGTTTTGCGGAGACTAGGGTGCAGGTTTGGTTATGAGGGCGAAGCTCGTGGTGGTGGTGGTTGGAAGGTTGGTGCGCCGGCAGAGTCTGGATTGGATCTTACTGCAAAGTTCGCGAGGGCAGGATATGATTGTCACAAGATAATTTCACAACAGTGATACTGGTTATCGATCTTGGACGTGGTTGTGGCGGTTGGAGAGTTGGCATGCCGGCTGCCCAATTTGAGGGCAGGATACGATTGTTACAAGATGATTTCACAATGGCGACTTGCGTGTCACGATGTTGACACTTTGGACAGTTGGGTGGTGGACGTTACTGTTAGTCTGGAAGTGAGCATTGCAAAGGCAGAGAACCGAAAAATGCCAGTCTGTGGTGAATATCGCCCATATTACTACCATTTGCGCGTAGTTATCCTCCAAAACATGACCGGACAGTCGCTTTCTCAACGTGAGACCTGACTGAGCTGGACCGTTGAAGGCTGACAATGGAAAAGGGGGAAACAAACACTAGGGACATGGTAGAGTGGGCGACTTTCATCTCTCTCATATTGACTGTAGCTATCGGTTTTAGAACAGTGCTGAAAGAATCATAGGACACACATGACCCCAGGACTGAGCTTGACATGGTCATTTTGAAGGTCTCGTGTACTACTCGCAATGTTTGGAACCAACATTATGCAAGATGATGATTTTGCACATTTTCTCCGTAGTGCCCTTTCTTTGTTCAGGGGCCAGCATTATATCCATGTGTCAGTCAGGTAAGATCTTGGGACAAAGGCGAACAATGGGCAGCATCGTTCCCTTGCTCAGATGGACTAGGTCGTCATTCGCTTTCCTAAACAGGCCAGCCATATACGTAGTACACGCGGGTCAGGCTTGCCATTATTCAAGTTTCAACTATGGACCAGGAAAGACCACTGCCTCGTGAAGAATTGCAGGTGCAATTGCACACCAGCTCGAGACTTCCGAACGTATCCGTGACACGCAACACAACACCTCTGCTCGGTGGTAATGCAGTTTTCCTGAAAATCAATACGTACGTTAGTTCCAAAGTAGCAAAGGTGCCCGACCTCGGAGTGAACGGGGTCCATACGGGTGCCTCGAAAAAAAAACAAGGTTGCCGGCCCGTCTGTCAAACTTTGCAACTGCCGTGACATGCCATCCTATGCAAGTCGGCACCGCGCTGCATTCCTAACTGCGGGATGTCCTGCATCGTTGAGGCGTATACCCGCAAATGAAACATCTCGCAGCTAGCGGCTCGAGAATACCACGGTGGTGGTTACGGCTACTACCTCGCAGCGGCGGAGCTACATCTTACTCATATTTACCCGGTGTAAGTCACATTCGACCCCAATACCTAGGTATGTTCTGCAACGACGTATGCGCTTTCCAGCCCCCCACGACTTCGCCTCGCGCTACTCCTTTGCTATAGAATGCAACTTGGAGTCGCTGTGGTTGCACAGTGGACGCGCGTTTCCGTGTTCAAAAGCTTGACAGCTTCCTAGGTTTTTGCTCCGTAAGACTTTGACTAGCCCAATTCAACCGACGGCAGCCAATGATCGCGAGGCGGCGCGTTGCGTTACCGTCATCGTCCGCGTTGGTCGGCATTGATGCAGGAGCCGCGTTCCGGGCTGCTAATAATAAATTCCTGGATAACCAACGACATACAGTTCATTTCGTCAAGTATGCTAGTGCAACCCAATGTCCACATCATAGCCACATTGTGTAGAGGCTTCGTGGGGTGGATAGGAATGGATCGTCGCGACCGAACAGATAGGAACCTGTCACGGTTTATCGCCCCCGTGGTCCAAGTCAGCTTTCTGCGTTGTGCGGGACGAATACGCACATGTTACCGCCCGCAACATCCGCAGGCGGCCGCATCTCTCTTTATTAACTGCAGTTGGGGCTCTGGCGCTTTTCGGGGTGCGTACGCACATCTAACCTAGAACTTGAGGGAGAAGTGGTTGGACATCAGCATGTGGGCGCGATTAAATCGCTTCCGACATGGGTGAGTAAGTTGTTTGCTGTTCGACACGAATTGGTTTTTCATCTGGGGACTATACAATAGTACAAAGTCACAACTATATAAGGTATTTCCTACTGCAGCAGGCGATCAACCCAGCTCTTCCGCCTCTAGTTCTCCTACTGGTATTTACAAGTGCTCCAAGTTCTTACGCTTTGCGGGCTCTCCGCAACCTAACACGCAAAGGTCCCAGTCATCTCCCACCTTCATGCAATAGCTTCAGCTATACATTGAAAGTATCTCTCCTAACAACAATCCAACATGTCACCAAGATCAGACCTGCAAACCTGGTGGCGATCACAGTTCGTCCAACCAACCTCAGAACCCGCCGTAGCCGTGTGCCCGTGTGCGTCTTGCTTCAGCGGCGTAGGCTATACAGCAGCAGTACGAAACGCGTCGCTTGAATCTGCAAACAATGATTACAGGACTGATAAATAGGTCTTTATAGTCCAGAACCATCACCCCCAAGCAATACCTCAAGATCTCTCGTTTGAACCGGCGGCTGAGCATTGACAGCCTGGACTCGGATATGGTGCCGCTTCGCACGGCTGCTCAGTCCACGCCAAGGTGCAGTTCGGAAGAATAGGTTGAAGGTCTTGACCCAACCGACTTGGTCATGGAGATCAGACTCTGCGACGTTCGTACACATATGCGAAGAGAAAGGTCGCCAGACAGGAGGAAGTCACATGTGCGGGCTGGTGCTTAAGGGGTTTTCTCTTCAGGGCCAACTGATACCTTGAGCTGCTTGCGTAAGTAGGAACGAGCCAGGGAACAGAACTAGGCGTTACGGTTAGAATTCAACCCAGGTTGGGAAGGGCACTGAGGTGGAGCTTGGGGAAGTTGGGAAATCACTGCCGGCCGGGTTAGGGGAAATACTCCGGGAATGCCCCACTATCCCGGACATAGCTCCGATTGCCCCCCTCGCTTATCGGCTTCGTTGCATCATAGTCTGCGGGATGGTCGAATAGTGACATGTTTGTATCATCTGTACTATCTCTAGATTGGAGTCCTAGAAACCAATGCGTGTTTTGCAACTTCCTCAATTGCATTGCATTTGTCTTTGGAATTACTGCTTCTTCTAGCGCCTTTAGTTGCGTCAGTAGATTCAAAATCAGCATCGGCCGACTGATGTCATACCGACGAAAAGTTGGTGAACGTGGCTGCAGACCATACGCGAGCGTCCTTCGCGTAGTTCACCTCTACGGTTTGTCTGACCCGTTCGTAGGCACACGCTGCTGAAATGGCACCAACTGTTGATCCCGCTATCATCGAGGCGCTGGGTCTTGACCCGGCTGCTACCAAGATTGCATCCCATGGAGGATCCGGTTTCGCATCAACGTCCAAGCTGTCGTCTAAGGTCAACGGACAGGATGTGAACTACTTTGTAAAAACTGGGACTGGCGCGGATGCGGAACTGATGTTCAAAGGCAGGCCAGCTACTAAAGCAGACGGAACAGCTTAGCTAACTGTCTGCCAGGAGAACATGTTTCACTCAACGCTATCCACTCGGCAGTCCCAAATTTCTGCCCAAAGTCTCACGCACATGGCTCCTTGAGAGACTCTCCCAACATATTCTTTCTGGTAACAGAATTTCTCGACCTTGGGTCCTCAGAATCAGGAGGATCGGGCCAGTCCTTCGCTCAGAAGCTGGCTAAACTACACACTACCCCAGCCCCAATACCAGAAGGCTTCAACACCCCGATGTTCGGGTTCCCAGTAACTACTTGCTGCGGCTCTACCCCCCAAGACAACTCGTGGAACTCCTCATGGTCAGACTTCTACGCCAACAACCGGCTGCGCAGCGTCCTCCACGCGGGCATCAAATCAAACGGCCCAGACGTCGAGCTTTCCAACGCCACCGAGAAGACTGCGAGTGTCGTCGTTCCACATCTGCTGGGAGAGGACCGGCTTCGAGGGGTAAAGCCGGTGGTTATCCAAGGCGATCTATGGAGCGGTAACCACAGCCGGGGCCGGATCGCGGGGAAAGGGGGCGCGGAGGAGGTGGTGTATGACCCCTCTTGCGTCTACGGCCATTCTGAGTACGAGCTTGGGATCATGAAGATGTTTGGTGGGTTTCGTAGTGATTTCTGGAAGGAGTACGAGGATTTGGTGCCGAAAGCTGAGCCCAAAGCTGAGTGGGAGGATCGGGTGGCGCTCTATGAGTTGTAGGTGAATTTTGGCTCGCGAAATTTGATAGATGGCTGACCGCAGATGAAGGTATCACTATCTAAATCACTGGGCGCTGTTTGGTGGGGGTTACCGAAGCGGGGCGTTGGGGATCATGAAGAAGCTCATTGCGAAGTATGGCAATGCGTGATAGCGATTACCCGAGTACTGAGTTGCAACGCTTCTAGATGTATCCTTACCAGAAATTCTATATACTCAAGGCAGCGAAGGAAGCACGAGGGACTGCAGCTGTGCACGACAGAGAGCCCGGCTGAGATGCGACGAAACATATATTCATCACAATGAAACATTGCTCATGACTTCATGAACTCAACATAAGTGACTATGTTCCATCCGTACAGTGACTGTTATCTCGTGGGAGGTTGATACCCCGCCATCAAAGAATTGTTCGGGGAAGTGAGATCGCACGTGTGGTAGTAATGGCCAGATCGCATACCAACACCGCATACCAACACCCATTTTTATTCCACTGACGTCCTTCGTGACACCTCCCACCTCTTCCCCCGTACTTGTTCTCAGGCCTGCCCCAAGTGGGTAAGAGCTCGTACGGCAGCAGAATGAATGTTACGAAACAACCTGAATGCAAGTAGCGTATCGTGAGACCCTTCTAGCTGTCTCATATGACTCTGCTGGCCGTCGCCCACCAACGAATGGAGATTGGTCTGGCGGTTCGCCGGGACCATACTTTTTTAATCCTTGAGGCGAGCTGTTTGGGGCACCTACAAATGGACTACGTGTAGTACGTGCAGAGAAGAAATCACGTTTGAGCATGATAGATAATGTTGCAGGTCGCTAGAAGTAATTTCGCTAAATGGGTTCAAATGTAGATGAACGAAACTCGCCAGATTAGGTGGATGGTTTCAGTGAGATACAGACTATTAGAATTATCATAAAATTCTCGTACCAGAACCTCTCCGGTGGAGAGGATCGCTAATCTAGCCGGAAACAGCATTCCTGCTCTGGGGGGGCCGACATGATAGCGTTTCACTTCACTGCTTCGCGTTAAATTAAGATTGAGTACTTGAGTACCTGACCCAGCCATATTCATGTCCTATGCAAGCCTCCTAACCGGCTACTGGAAATATGACCGTGGGGGAATCAGCATCGAGTCTTCTCTCTTCATGGAGTCGTATTGTGCGGTGAGGCGTAGAACCTTCACCCACGAAACGGATGTGTACACTACTCTCATCGAAAGAATGATCAGTAAATATGCGTACCAGCTGGTCAACAATCCCTGGAAACGTGCAGGTATCGAGGCCCGCAGGTTACAAAAGTATATATCCAATAGCCGAGAGAGTGGAAGGGCGTCCTCCCACGAAGAACGGCAAGTCTTTTTGAAAACTTGGCCGCACTTTCGAAGTTCATCAATGATCTTTTCAGCCTATAGTATTAGTATTCGACTCCTAATGTATCCTGAGATCGGGGGAGGGGAGGGGATTGGGGGTTTTGAGAGAAAAGCCTTAGAGTCCTGGTTAGGGAAGTAATTGCGAATAAACCCCTGCCCCCCCTAGTCCCCCCCTAGTCCGTCTACAGCAAAAAAATATTTTTCAGGGATTTACTTTCCGTACGGTTAGGAAATCCCTTACTCGACACTTGTAAAGCCTCTCTGGTCGGTTGATGCATCGAAGGGGGCTTCCGCCCTGGTGTGCTTATGGACGAGTAGGCCGCTCCTACCCCTTGAATGGCGGTTTTACAGAGAGCCTCAAGTTGTTACGCTTCTTTCTTATAATTTACCTGTTATGTGATCCCCAGCGAGGCTGAGCGCAGGCGGGCTTGCCGTCCATGCCGTGATGTTCAGCCGGGAGTCTCCGGGTGGGTCTGCACTATATCGGCCCCGCTTAGGCGCTATCGCCGATTTCTCAACCTCCACCCTCCTCCCAAAACAATTCTATCGACCTGGCGCATCTGAAGAACTCCCCAAAAGACCAAGCTTTTTCAAGTCTACATCATGGAAGACCAGAAAGCGGTCATTGTAGGAATCAGCGGTGCATCAAGCAGCGGCAAGACGACGCTCGCGCGCCTGCTCCGTGACATTTTCCCTAAAACCTTCATCCTGCACGAGGACGATTTCTACAGGTCTGAGAATGAGTAATAGCACCATTCCTCACCAAGCAATCACATCGTGTGTGCTTAAATATCATGCCAGGCTTCCCACGAGAGACGGCCTCCTCGACTGGGACTGCGCCGGCTCTCTCAACATTCCCGACATGACGAAAGCGCTGTCGCACATCCGCGCCAACGGAACGTTCCCAGTTAGTCTGACAACCACCCCGTCGCGCACCGAGCACGGCTGTGGCGTGCCGCTTTGGGAGTGTCCTTCGCTGACTGGAGATTGTGTTTTTGTGCAGCCGTTTGTCGACTCCAAGGAGGACCAGAATTCGGTGGGCGCGTGTCCTGTGTCGGATGCTAAGATCGCGGAGATGAAAGCCAAGGTCCGGGACTGGGTGCAGCCCGGCCAGTCAGGGTACGAGGTACTAGGTGATGGAAAGGAGGGAAGCGGGTTGAGGATATGTCTACTTGATGGGTTCCTGCTGTACTCCCTGGAGATGCAGAGCGTCATGGATCTGCTCGATGTGAAAATGTTCTTGTTGGTGAGTCGAGCCAAGGCGACGCAGCGGAGGGAGGCGCGGGATGGTTATGTCACCCTCGAGGGCTTCTGGAAGGACCCCGAGGGGTATGTGGATAAGATTGTGTGGCCGAATTATGCGGACGCGCATGCGTGGTTGTTTGAGAAGGGGGACGTTGAGGGGACGTTGAATGAGAGGGTGTTGACGGAACGCGGGATATTGGCGCAGACGGGAAAGGGGTTGGATATTGATATGGAGATAACGTTTGAGTGGACCGTGGAGACGTTGATGAAGCAGCTTGAGGCATTGGGAAAGAGATGATGGGAATCTGTGTGCGATTACGCTTCATCGTGCATGGCTGGCATACATCGCCTTGGCTGCTCAACTTGTCGTTCAGCACCATCACCACTTGTCACGGCGCTTCACTGAAAGCTACAGTGTTGTCTAGTTACTTGGAATCCCCTTTTCAATCCTCATGGGTGCATTCATTCGGCGACCATCTATCTTCACTCCAGCAACGTAAGTTCCAACACTCAAGATCTCCCACCACCAATCATGCTTTCGTCTGTAATTCCAACCATCACACTATACTTTGGATTAACCCGATTACGCACGACGGAAGACCACTCTTACAGTACCACTTACCCATTACCTACCAACATGAAGTCCTAACACGCACTTTCTCTCTCCCTCGCCGCCCTGTTCACCAACATCGCGGCCTCCCCTCGCTCCTCAACCTCCCTCTCAGACACCCTCCTCAATGTGCCACCCTGGTCCCAGCATCTTCAGCCCAGGTAGCTGATCCGGCTCCCTATACGTGGAACACACCGAAAATCCTGGATTCGCCCTCATCGTGCTGACCAAAAACAGCCACTGAAAGCGTGACAAGCCCGGCAACGGCAAAACACGCCAAGTTTACCGAGAACGCCGAGATCCTACGTTGTAACAATTGTCTCGAGAAGGGTGTCTGCCACGCGTGCAAACTGACCAAATTCGCCCACCTCGAGAACAACGACGACGGCAACCCCTTTCACTCGTGCACTGTAGTTCAGTCCGCACCTGGACCCGCCAGCCTCAAACCCCGGGTTCGTGGCAGATCCCCACAGAGCGCATCTCGCAGCTCGCGTGGGTGCCGCTCATTTCGGCAGTGGAGGGGAAGGTCGGGGTGGGGTTGCCTTGTGGCGGTCGTGATGGCCTAGAAGGATATCCATCCTTGTTGGACGGCGGTTATTGTGGAGACTAACCGTGCTTACCCACAATTGCAATGCGGTCCCATTTGCAATGAATTCCCCCTCCCCAACACGACTTCTCAACTTCACTTGCAATCTCTTAATAACCACAACTTATTTTGCAATGGAGCTGGAGACAGAACCCGATGATATTGAGCAGCGCATTAGGCGTGCTGCTTCTTTCGTTAATGAAGGCAATACACAAGCCGCTGCGGCCTTGCGCTACGGCATCCACCCTTCCACCCTCTCTCGCCGCCTCAATGGCACCGAATCGCACAAGAAAAGCGCTGAAAAGCAGCAGAAATTACTGCCAGAGCAAGAGCGCGTTATTGTGGACTGGATACTTCACGAAGAGCAATGTGGCCGCGCCCCTTCGAAGCGTTACGTGGCCGCTTTCGCTACGGAGATCCTGAAGGCGCAAGGAGACCCTACGCCTGTTGGTCCTACATGGATCCAGGGCTTCATATCACGGAATCCCGAGATCCATACCAAAATTGGGCGCCGTGTGAAGGCATCTCTGATAGGTACGACCAACTCGACGAAGACAGGTGACTTCTACCCTCTCGTCGATCAAATGCGCCATCAGTTCCCCATTCAGCCGGCCAACGAGTACAATATGGACGAGAAAGGTGTGCAAGAGGGCGAAGACGTACAGGGTACCGTCGTAGGGCACTCGGCTGATCGGCGCACACACGCTGCGAAGTCTGGTGCCACTACACCCCCGCAAAAGCCACCGCTAGTTTATGTCTACACCCCTAAGAAGGCCCAAGACCTTGTAAATCAGTTACGGGTTCTAGAAGACCGTGATGGGCCCGTTTCGAGGGACATTCGGGTCCTCCTCTCTAAGGCGGCCCGGACAATCTCGCGGTACTCCGCTGAGATAGCCAAACTACGTATGGAGAAGGAGCAACTATCAATGGAATTAGAGAGATATGCCCCGGGCGTCCGACAAGCTGTGGGACCTGACCCTAATGGCGTCTTCCATAGCCCCACAGCCATACGTAGTGCGCAAGACAAGCGTGAGGAGCAAATGCGGCCTATGCCATCCGATGAGCTGTTAGGAACTGATGCTTTTCTTGAAAGCCAGCCGCCCCCGAAAAAAAGAGCTCGGAAGAATGCATCTATAATTAGAGAACCCCCAAAATGAGTGTGTTATGCTGTGCAATGCAAGGGTGAGGTGTCGTCGGGTTTTTGGCGTTCGGTGTTGCAAATGGGGTTGAGCACGGTTAAGGAAGTAGGGAATATGCTGGACGGGGCGATTTTGAAGAACCGGTTGTGAAGGAGATGAGGCAGAAGACGGGGGGAAAGGGGGCCGTGACACTTGCAGCCTAGTGGACGTGGGAGGGGTGTGCGGCGCCGGCTTTCGGGGAGAAGTGGAAGGTGGATGGTTGGAGGCCAGTTTCAGTTTATGAAGAAGAAGGACGTGCGGTTTGGAGTATATTATGGGCGACGTGACATTATAAGATATCATCATCACCGAATGTCATCGCTATCCTAAACATATGTTGGTATGTGATTTCTCCTAGTTCTCGGCTCTAGTCTTCACGATTGACTACAGGATGTTGTCCAACCTCATCTGGAAACGGCTTCCTTCCACAGACAACGTAACTAAGTGAAATGTTAATAACAGCACCATGGTTGAATGAGGGCAGACGATGGTGAACTTACAACGGCCAAGTAATATGAATTTTTTGATCATGAATGTTGCCCTGAACCAGTGACACTATCTGCTGAACAGCATCAGGCGACATGCCTAATCCCTCGTCCCCCAGCATCTTCGGAGACATGGCCTGTACCGCCTCGGTAGATATAACTTCGGCAATTTCCCCCATTTCCTTCCGTCTTCGACCAGCAGGCCACGGATTGCCCGGAACTTTGATCTTCTTCTCGACGACGTCGACGAAGCCTATCTGCATGAGGTATTCCTTGTATTTCCGCGAGACTTCGATGTCGCGCCCTCTAGCGGCAGCGCCAGCTTTGATCAGGAAATTCCACTTATGCAGCGCTGTCCCCCGGTGCGAGTAGTCGTCCGAGTCGTAGTCGACCTCGGAATCTTGGTCTACACGTCGACGTGTTAGTTTCAGACGTTTGCGGCACGCCGGAGTGTACCGTCTCTCCACCTACACTCGATCCAACCACCGGGCCTGAGGGAGTCGTATGCCTTTCTCATGACAGAACGGTGGTCATTGAAACACGTAAACATTAGCCGCAAGTGCACAAAGTCGAATGGTCCTTCCAACGTCCACTCTTCTTCGACGTCTTCCCGGATAAACTCGAGGTTTGGGAGCTGCCCATTCATGTCCGGCTGGATCAGGCTGAGATCAGTGCCAATGACCTTGGCCTGGGGGTTCAGTTCGGCAAATTCGATCGCCCAGATGCCTATGCTCAACGGTCAGATACCGAGTGAGTTCCATAGGTACCGCAACAGGGAATGGACAAGCCGCTCACCTGTTCCAGTTCCAATATCGAGCACTCGAGATGGCTTGTCAACTGGAGCCCAATGCAGAGTATCGTTCATCACCATGCGCCATAATGAATGCCCCAGGTCCAATCGATCCTGCTCGACCGCATCATTTGGCAAGTCATACTTGTGTTGCTTGTACGCCTGGAAAGTCCGACCATGTTCGCTATACGACAACGGATCCGGAATCGTACTGCCCTTCTCGTGGGGATAATGGCCAACCGAGTCCACCTGGTCCTCGATATGTAGCGGTGGTGACATGTTGGGTAAGCTGTCGATATTTGAGAGAACCGGCTGCGAGGACCTTGCGAACTGAGGAAGTTGACTTGTCGACAATCCACTATCAACAACTAGTGGATACTGAGGGGTACTGAACTGGCTATGGAGCTCAGCGGGCCACATGTAGGCCGCCGAGGCCATGTCCTGGTCAAAAGACTCGGGATCCAGCATGGCTCCATCTGGGTCCACGAGATGGCCTTGGCCGGACTATGGTACGACGTTAGTTTCTATTTTTTTTTCTCATGAATCATTGGTGGGTGGGTTCGCCAGCAAAAGTACGACGTACACCAGTTGCTTGTGGGCCGAAGGGGAAGGGATGGCCTTCCATCGTATGACGCTCTGCTACAACTTGACTGTTTCCATACACGACTGATCGAGTCGCACTTCTAATAAGTGCAAAACTGAGGGGTAACGGACATCAATCTTTCTTACGTTATCTTGGTTGCCATGAAGTTTATGTTCGGGTTGCTTAAAGGGGTAGGATCTGCGGGAATTTCCGTTTTATCCAATATGACTGGAAAGCAGTTGCCACTGGCCGCTGCGAACTTGCTTACCTGGCGCTGCTTGGAGCTACCTCGCGATATTGAGCCAATCAGCCGATTTCCAGAATTTCAACCCAGTGTGCTTGGGATTTCAAAATCTGACCGACTTCTTTCCACAAGTGCGGGTGTTGAGAACGCGAACCTGGCCGCTTCGACGGCTCTCAAGACTTATATCGATGGAGAGGAACTCGGCGCTGTCTTGGTCGGACGATGGAACTGACGTTAAATTAGGAATGAGAAGAGAACCTCGAGACTCACTTCCAATAAAACTGCTAAACAATGCGTTTCGAAACCCAGTCTTGGAAAGCAGTGTTTTTTTCGAATTTGAACTGCTGGGCTTGAAAATACCATTTATATAGCATCCTTTACGGGCTCAAGCCTTGGGCGGGCCAATCTCATCTTCAATAATGAATAACCACAATCGTTCCTCACGCTGTCGATCAGCGATGAATCTGTTGAAATCTGCCAGATTAGTACCAGGCATCTCCGTGATACTAGGATAGCCTGCGAACCAGGAGACATCGCGACAGATGCTCCAGGTCGCAGTCTGACACTCGGTGCCTGCCAAGGATGAAGTTATGCAATGGCTTAGCAACTTCGGCATGCGGTGCGTCCTTCAGGATGGCGCGTGTCTGTGCCCAGCTCACAAAGTGTCCTGCTGTTGGGAACGAGATATTGACAGCGCCTCGTGGTTACAGGGACCCCGAGGTGAAGGTGGCGGCTCCGGTGTTGTTGTCCTGAGCGAGACCGGTTCGAGGCGTTGCCGTGCCGCAAACCTAGCGCGGGTTCTGGGCCGTACCAGGGTTTCGAACCAGGCGGTCCTATATTGTTGCATGCTGTGATTTTTCGTCATCAGCCATTTGTATCTCTTTCCCCGCCGGAAAAGTAAAGGGCTTAAATCAGGTCAAATGGATAGAGCACCGCATCGTCATCATTCAGATAAGTCAAGACAAGCTTGTCCTTTAACAAGCGCTTCAACCAATCATCCCACTTGACTGCCGCGTCCACTCTCTCGAGCTTGGCTGTTTTCCAAAGTCCGTTCCAGTGGAAGATGTATACGCTGTGCCAAGCCCTGCGCGCATCGCGGAAGGCAGGGAAAATCTGACCAAACCTGTGGGAGCATAATTCAGAAGTGCGCCCTCGTCTGCCCAACGAGGGTAATCGTACACTGTCGGGAGAATGATGCTGTCGACATAGACATTGTCTGAAGCGAGCTGGGCGTTGAGCGTCAGGTCGGGGAAGCGGGCTTCGATCTCTGGGGCTGAGTTGAACTCAAGGATGGTTCGTAGGCTACTGTAAATCCTACCAGAAGGGCTGAAGGGAGGATATGAATCATGTTGAGAGCAACCTCAGGTAAGCCTTGGAATATGAACGAATGTCGGGCTGCAGCTTGCATATGAGGTATTGCCGGCTGTCTTGCCGATTTCGTATACAATGGCTCAGGATGCTGAAATTCTTCCGCAACCCCAGCATAATAGTGATGTTTATGGTCCGGCAATATTGTCTCTATCTTTAGATGTGTCACCCTGAGTCTCACTACATTGGTACAAACTGAGTCTCCGAACAAGTTTGTAAGCCAGATTGTTTGACGGTAGATCGTCCATCCAAGCCTTGAGTCAAGCTGCACCGCGTTCGGTCTTGATTCCTCTACAATATGAGCAGGAAAAATATACTCCCACAAGAACAGTCTTTTGGAATGGGAACGAACTCGCCGGCAAACTGGCAGATGATCGTCTATACCTCACTGCATCCCGGTTGTAACACATGTCTGATATTAAGGATCCCAGTTATCCCGAGTCATGAACCCGGGGGAAAAAAGAACAAGCACTCGACCCCGCGCTTTTGATATAAATTGCTTAGTTCTTGCGTTGAGTGGATCGGGAGGCCTTGGCCGACGAATCCTCACGCCCACGTGTGCGAGTACGCTCAAGTCCAACCCTAGAGACCCTAGCAGCTTAGACAAGTTCATCGGCTCCCACTCTTCTGTCAAGTGCGGTTATCCCAAGCAAATTTCTTTCTTCATAAACTGTAGAGAAACTTGTTCGAGTATTGCATTGTTCATTTCGCTTTGTGCTGTTCCTATAAGTGCTAGTTAGGTTTTGTTCAACCCCCCGGAACCTTCAAGCCATATGAAAATGTTAAAGGGAGTTGGCTATATTTCCGAGAGCCGCCTCCCAGAGGCAGGCATCGGGGGAACCCGAAAGCACTTCTCAAAGCTTCAGTTCAAGGGACCCTATCTGCTAGCCTGCAGAGGATCTAGATTTTAAAGCGGGAAGAAATCATCTCCTTCCACAGCTCAGGCAGAAAGCGTTAGGATTCCATCGCATTAATCAAGGGGACAAGCTGAGAACTTGCAAGGTTAAATAAGGGATGGTTTTATTGCACAGGCTCTGCTTATCTTCCTCACTGATGAACCTGATGCTGCACGAACTGATAATATTTCACCTTGGCGAATAGTCCACGTAGGGTTTCCCGAAGCTCCTGATCTTTTCTCAAGGCAATGCGACCGGTTAGACATGAGCTGTTTGGCGGCAGCCTTGATACTCCGTCGCTCGTTATATTATGGGCCCGGACGAGGGTGGCAAATGTGCCCAGTTCAGCTAAGCCATCATATCGCTCTAGGTGCCCATACGAGTTCAGATAAATGTTGGGAATAGCAACTGGTTCTCACAGTCGAGGGCAGAGATCAAAACCAATTCCCTAACTGCAATCGAGAGATCCTGCGAGCCCAACTCCCAAGCAACCAGAGCACCTTCTCGAAGTTCCCAGGAGTAAAGCTCGCCGAGGTATCGAGCAGATTTGTTGACTTCATGCCCTCCACCATTTTCAACCTCCTAAGCTGCATGTGCCACCTAAAGGTGTGAACGAGCTCAAAGTTTGATCTCTCAACACCCGTTATTGTAATGCCCCTTCACTAGGGTCTAGTTAAGCTACGTCGTTAAATATAGACTGACCCTCACACAGACAACTATGATAAAACCCAGAATACGCTCACCCAAGCATCCGAGCGGCTTTAAGAATGCATGTAGCCGACGACCAACGTCTCTCGGAAGTTGTTTGATGCCCATCTGATAGCAATTAACCACTCGTGGAGCCATGAGCAACGATGCGGCGTAAATAATGACTTAGGCAGGTTGTTAACTAAGAAACTTCTTGGGATGACGTTCCCTACATGCAACCTTCAGGCTAAGTATCTACTTCTTCAAATGCCAGGGGAGCTGTCCAAAGAAGAGATGATGTCGACCCTTGTCGAATTGTCAGAATACATCTAAGCCAAGGCCTTCTCGAACTCATATGCTGAAATTGAGACGAAAGAGGAGCATACAACTACTCAACTGGTCATGTCATCAGTTTTCGAATTGCCACGAGGCTAGCTACATGGGGCCTTTTCTTGCCATCGACGCTGCCAACATCGAAATCCAGAGTTTGTTAGGACCTGTCACAAACAGAAAGGATATCAGACATAATCTTATAGTCTCGGGTTGAGGGTTGTCAGGGGCTAGGGCAAGGGGCAGCCAACAAAAAAGGTATAAGAGAAAAGGGTGAGGTTTTCATTCCCAACGGTGCTCGAACACACAACCTCCCGATTCCACAAACCGAATCAGCAAAACCAACAAATCATATATATTTATACTTGAAAAATGCACGCCATGCTCGACGTATTAGATATAGGTCCTCTACTATAGAGCACACCGTTTATAGGGTATTTACTTGTGGTACTCTCGTTCCTCATCGCTTCTGGGCTATTTCTGAGGACTTGACCATCAAGGTGATGCAATTCTGGCCGCAGAATCTTTGACATTAGGCCAAGACAGAGCTGTCCGCTGTAGAAATTGTTCTCTACATCGCCATCTTTCCAGCCGCCGCATCTCTACATGACGCTTCTCGCCCTGTTCAGATAGTTCCCTCCCTCTCAACCCTGGATCACGGCAAATAACATACCTTGCCATTTTTAAGAACGCCCCAGACCAGCTGCCATCATATCAAATAGATTGTTAAGCTCTGATGAGATGCTGCAAGCCCCTAAGCACGATCCACATGGTCCAGACACGACAAAACGAACTTCTACAACACACCATCATCTTCTGACGAGAGTACGCAAGACCTAGGAACGAATCTTTTTGGGTTTAAATCTACGATACAATGTGCATCGGCTTTCTACTTCCAATGTTCCCCTGGGAAACCTTTCCCTTAGGAGTCTCGTCAATATCACGATCGGCAATTCTTGGTAGCATTGGAGGGAAGCCCGAAGTCAGGAGCGAATGTTAAAACTTGTATGCCTCTGTTCACCTCTCCTATTTCCCCTACCGCCACTAGGATACGCAACCAGAAAGTCTAATCCAACCGCCTCCCTTGTGTATCATTTTGGCGAACGGCGCCCGACCTCTTTAGACCGTGCCTTCGCTGTCTGGCCTGATCCATTCCAATGCCACGAAGCACATCCATCTCAAAACCAAATCATGACTCTCATGATCCGTGTGTTCCCCGCGCCATGGTCCAAGGTCCAGCCTTGGTCATTGCACAGAGGGGCACATCCGGACCAAACCAAAGGCGCTTCCGCGACCGCGGTGGACCTACTCCTATCTCAAAGTTAGTGTAGTCCCGGGTTGAGACTTCGTGCTTTAGGATTACAGTCGCTGTCTTGGAAGATCATTTCGTGTGCAATAATGGGTTAATTGCAGTCAATGAAAGTACGGAATGATCCTTGATTGCACTCGATCTATTTAGCCTCGCGCTTTAGCACCATAATACCGCAGTCTCAAACAGTGGCATGTATTGACATCTCAGCTAGACTGCCGATGGAGCCAGTGAAGTCCGTGATACTGACTGAGTCTATGAAGCAGGGACAACCGAAACTTTCGTTATCTGTAGCATCAACTAAACATATATGTACGCGAATGAAAATTGTAGATTACTAAACGCGTAGTGTGGAGAAGTGGGTACGTTGTTGCGGTGCCCAACCCATGTGTTGTGCTGCTGCGCCTGAACTCCGTTTGAATACTCATCATCTATCACTGCCAGGTATTGGATACTGTGGCAGCGGTTGAGCAAGACGCTGGTACAGTGTACGTGTGGTTGGGATCTGCCTCCCAGGTAACACTTGAATCCGAGTTCACAACGATGTACTTGTACTGTAATAACACGGGTTAGCAACGCTGCTTTTGGGGGTGCTAAGCATCGAGAGCAACGTCTCTCCAGCAGTGGCCAAATTAAATCTTGCCGTTTAAAGAGACCAGAAACAGGGAGATAGGCAAACAAAGAAAAGGAGAAATGCGTACTTGAATCACCACGCCAGCTTGCAAATTTATGGTTGCTTTCCAGAGAGGGTTGCTGGAGGTGTACGATGAAGCACTCAGCGCAACGGCGTTATCAGTGTTCCAGGAGCCGAGAGCCGCAATGTTTCCAACAATTTTGACGGTCTGTCCAAAATTGGTTGACTTGAGCTCATTGAATGTAACTGCGACTGAAGTCGGCGTTGTGCATGCTGATGTCGTAGTCGTAGTTGTCGGCCTTGTGGTAGTGGTTGTGGCCGTCGTAGTGCCGGTCCCGCTTGTGATGGGTGTCTGGCTGGAGGGAAAAGTTGTCGATGTCGCCGTCGAATATGTGCCGACGATCGAAGTTGCGGAACAAGTTCCTGGTACCGAGGTTGCCGCAGCATTCCCGTCTGCCCAACCTATGGGGACGATCCCGGCACGTCTGGCCACGCAAGTCAACAGAGAAGCGTAGCTCCAGGTGAGGTCACGAGCGCTTAGAGGCGTTCCATTATTACGATCGTACTGCTCAGCCAAAGACCCATTCGAAGACGCATATGTTGCGACGGTGTTGACAAACCCTTCCTAGATTGATAAACTTAGTCAGCACTAGATTGGTCCTGTAATGCACGGATAGGGCGGCGATGTCAAAATCCATTTGACAGCAACATAGAATCCATGAGATGCGGAGGCTTATTACACTTGAGAGCACTTACAGCGTATGTTGAGACTGCATTGTACAGTGTCGTGTACGTCGAAGATCCCGACGCGTACGTTCCCGTCGCGGTCCCAGAAGACAAGGCTTGAAAGAATGCGAGGGACGTGGAAGTTACTTCGATTGACCCTTGTTGATTCCACACGTACAATGCATCATATAGCTGTTCAGCTGCCGCCAGTGTGTTGAGGTACCAACTTGAAACAAGTCAGTCATTGAGTTGGGGAAGCTTCAGGGACGTACTCACGGATTTCCGTTGTAGTAGGTGTCCTCGGGATATCTTCCCACTGCGACGGCACTACCAGCTGCTATTCCAGAATTGATGGTGTAAATTGATCGGAACGAGTCCACAACCACCTTGTGGGAGGCAAGAGCGCGGTCGCTGCAGGGCTGGAACGAGGCCGCATCGCAGCCCAGAGCTGGGTCGAAGCCATGGATTGAACTCAGGATGACATTTGCATCTTTGGCGGATCGCCCATTATTCACGTTGATGTTGGCAAGCGTATAGCCACTAGAAGATGACCAGAATGTTTGGAGGAAGCAGAGAACTTGGGGTGCTATCGCATCGCAGTAGCTGCAAGAGCTGCCAAGGGCCTCGGCCAGATTGCTTCCTTCGACCAATGCTCGATGTTGAGCAGCGACAGTGAAAAAGGAGCTTCCGTTGACCTCTTCCCATAGATCGAATCCAGTCTAGGCCAGTTAGCTCGGACATTCTTATTCTTGGTTTGATACAAAACCCACTTGGTTCCAGTACTGTGCAACATATGCGAGGTCGTTCCGAATGACGGGCCACACCACCGTGCTTGCTGTTGATGTGTAGCCGTTCGCTATGAGCCACTTGGAGTACGTGATCATCGCAGTTGCTCTCAATGCTGGCCCATCTCGCTGAGGACGGCCCCAGGCGTCAGTATAGGCACTAAAGTCATCGTTGTACTTGGGCTCTCCTAGACCACTGCCGTCAGACAGTGAACCCGATGGGTTCGATACCGTCTGAAGACGAGCTTGGCCGGCGATGTAGTTCTCAATTTCGGTCTGTAAGGTTGCATCGTAGCTGTTCACGAAGCGATCCACTATCGCCTTGAACACGAGAGCGGCATCCCGAGTCCAGTGATAATAGTAGTCAGGATCAGATTGAGAAGGGCTGGCGATGACCAGACCTGAACCGACTCCTGAGGCGTGACATCCGGATGGCCCAATGTTGCACAGCAGTTGCTCAAGTGCAATGGGCTCTTCGGCAGCCACGAAGGAGTCGACATCTCTCTTCAGGATTTCAGCCTGAGACCTCACCCTAGATGCATCCGGGCGGCCCAGGACAACCTGGAAGGCAAAACTGCCGAGAAGAAAGAGGGAGGAAAAGGCATGCATGATGGGCTGGGCGAGGGCGGTGCCGTTGATGCTGGCAACATCGGGGGTTCCCCGCGCGACCTCCATCTTGACTTATATAGACACAACTCCTGATGGGAGACGAATGGTCAACTTTGCACCCACTATACGTCGTTCGGTTCTTTCCGCCAATAAACTGACAAGCTGGGGTATACGGCCGTGGTAGACGCAAAGGGCCGAAAGGACGTGAGGGGTAAACCCCGGCATATCCTTGATAGAGACTGGTTGACGCCTGGGTGGTTGCCGAAACGGAAATCTCTCGAGAAATACACCATCCAATATAGATCCGCTACTTTGTCAAGCAAGCTCCTCGGAAGTCTTATGACATTTTTGGCACTAGACAAGCGCCCGCCTGCCCCCTGGCACACCTGGAACTTGAGGAATACTACAGTGCAGGCGGAGTGTGGTCGGAGTGGTCACGGTTCTGACAGGCCATTTTGGTTAGTCCATCGTGAATCGGGCCGCTTAGCAAACAAGACCGATTATATACGACGTGCATTCCAATTGTTCGGCATGTTCAAGAAAGGAAAGCAGTGCCCGCGTTGGTTGGATGCGGGGAAGGTACAGGGGTAGAGCTGGGATTCCCCACAGCTGGCCCCAGACTGATGCAGCCCGCCATGCAACTTCCTTACTCGCGGTGCTACTACATAAGTCTGGTCTGCGGAATTGGGAGCAGGCACATACTACAGGTACGACAGGGCTACTCTCCAATTCTGGTAACGCAGGTTGATCGCGATAATGTTGGGGAGGCTCTAGATAAGTATAGACGAGTGCATTGCTCAGTATCTGGTCCTCTCTGCTGCTGCTTTCGGAAGAAGAGATCGAAGGCAGAATTCTTTGGCCGAACCGAAGATCTACTGAAGAGAGAGGGCCGATATCAAGGTGATGGTTGAACACATGAATTCAAAAATGCGGCATCTCGTGTGGATGGAGACGAGAATGCACCACTGTTCACTCGTGATGATGCTTGGGGGGTGTGGGTGACTTGATTCCTCTTCTTTACGCAATCTTATTGCTCACAGAATTACTAGGTTTGTTCGTGCCTTCGAGACGAAGTTGAATACTGTTGTGCGGACCCATTCATACGTGACGGACGATAGTGTGGACTCGGCATCCATGACGCACTGCACAATTTGGGAAGCTGCTCGAGTTCACACAGACAACGAGTTGCCGCAGAGAAGAGTGCTCAGCAGAGACTCGCTACCATCCAGCGGTTGCTGTCCAACGTTCCAGTCGAGGTAAATGCTAGTAATAGCGAGGGACAAACACCACTTATTCTGGCAATCCGACTGTGCGAGGAGGCTATAGCCGAATGCTTACTTGCGTACTATGACATCGATGTAAACTACGAAGACAAGTTTGATGGTGCTCTCATATGGGCAATGTTTCGCGAACAGGATAAAGTGGTTGAGCTCGTACTGCGCTGCGACGACATCAGCTTGACGACGCCGGATCGATACGGATGGGTTCCCGTCGAGAGTCGAAAGCACGACGGGATCCCCTAACAGCCAGCGCCTTGTCATGCTGGACGATTAGTGCGTGATGTACATCTACCGCGCAGAAGAACTGGAACTGGAATACGACGTGAATTTACCGACACGCGGTCTCTCGGTTTCGGTCAACCAGGACTCGAAGCTCCTCATGAGCTTGCAGGACGGTACCTTGCAGCTGCGCGATCTTGCGACCGGGAAATTGGAACGGAGATCAGAATAAGTGGTACCTGCTGAGAAGTGATTTGGGGGTGTGAAAGATACGCTTTTGGTGAGAGGGAATCAAGGTTCGGAGAAATCATGAAGTGATGCCGCTTGCTTGGCCGTGGCAGCCGTGGCTAATGCGAGCTTTCTTCATAGGCGGCGAAATCAGCATTTAGGACAGAGATGCGGGATGACTAGTCGGACACATGGATGGGCATCCTCCGTGGACTAACAGTGTCGCCTGGAGTCCAACTGATCAGTACTTGTTTGCTTCGGGTGGTGACGATGGAAATCTGAAGATGTGAGTTCCCAGTCTTGGAACTGTGGTCCTCCGGACTTGGACTCTACTCGTTTTTGATGGCTGAAATATGGGTGTCAGCTGGAATTGTAAAGAGGGCCTTCGTGATAGAAAGGGATTCAGTGACATGGTCAATTGGCATTTCGTGTTCGAAGAGGAAGCTTCTGAGTAGTTTCTGCATATCATAATCTAGCCAAAGCCTGAGTCAATACCCAGAGGAAGGGGGGTGCGCATCCTGCTTTGGCTCCAAATGACAAGTTCGACAAGCTATGTTATCTGCAAGGGAAGGCAACCCATGATATTTAAAGACAAATTTTGTAGACTCGAATGGCCCGAAGGACGTGGCGCAGTAGGATAAATCAAGACCAAGACGCGTGAGGCGAGAAAGGGGGGCGTCTGGGCCTGCCGCTACTTGGGTACCTACTGATTGCTCTCGTCGCATCTTACATTTGGGTGCAAACTGTTGATGTACGGCATCTCTTTTTGGGAGAGCATCTAGCATTTGGGTGTAAATTGTTGATCCAAGGTTTCTCTACTAACTAAGTGTTGCTCAATAGTTCTAATTATTTCACTAGCTGGATATATAGACTGGGGTTATGACGATAGTGAAGCAACTTCTTTGTGTATTCGACTCTGCCTAGAACACTGTGCCGTGCCAAAGCCTCGTGATCTCTAAGCGTAGGCAAAGTTTTGTCCTTGTTTGCTGAGGAAGGCTTGCAATGCCTCGGTCACAACTCTGGAATAAGGAGGTTCCAGACTGGTGCGATAATATTGTAACAAGCTCAAGCATAACAGCCATCCTCTGAGAAGTTTCGGCAAATCGGCCGGACGCTGGGCAACTCTCGGTCCTTCTACAAGCTATGTTGCTGACTTGAATGTAACAGTATAGCGGCGACTTGCGGATGACACAACTTGCAGCGCACAAGGGAAAAAACAGATGCCGAGACATGCAAAAGTAGCATGCAATAATGCCTAGCATAGTGCGACACCTTCAAGTGATGGATCACTGCACGTAACTACTTTAAATCATATTCAATCCAAATACGGCGAGCCGGTGCCAAGTCTACGCGAGTGCTATTATGATGTAGGCATGCCATGGTTATCCTCAACCTCAACGATCAATGATCTCGGTGAAAGGTACGGAATATGGCGCCTTCGGGTCCTCTGTTCCACGCAGGCTCAAGCTCTTGCGAGCGAACCTGGCTTCCCAAAAGGTCGATTGGTCTGGGATCTGTCGATTGGAAATGTACATCATAGAAAGAAGGTTGATGGCTCCATGAAGTGATTCGAGCTGCCGTGGCGATCGACTCTGAACTCCCGGAGGAGCAGAGGACTGTCAGGCACAGATCCGGGAATTGTGATGAAGAGGAAAGAAAAAAACCTGAGAAAATTCGTAGGAGCAGAAAATTGATGTAGGCACTCAGAGTGGGTCCGTGCTGAGTAACACACGTGACTTAGCTCTTTTAGTGGGCATGCAATGCTGACCACCCTACACGAGTGGATGAACTGATTTCGAGACGACCGTCGCGACCCAACTTCAATGCTTCAATTGATTGTCGCGGCAAACCTTAGATCAACCATCTATCTCAACGTCGCTGTACAACAACACTTAACATGAATGCGGTAGCGCTTGAGGAGACGAATCGTCTCCGGGTTTCCCTGGGCATGAAACCCTTGCCCGTTCCAGGCGCACCCGGTCCCCAATTCAAAGAGGCGACTCCTCCCTCGGACGACGGAGAGGAGGCGGCAAGCACATTGGAAACGCGCCAAGCAGCCGCCTACGACAACTACATGAAAGTGAAGGACGCGGAGGACGAGAAGAAGCGACGCGAAGAGAAGAAGGCGGCCATCAAGAAAGCGCGCGATGCATCGAAACGTTTCGAACGCCTGGAAGGCAAGGGGCTCGGCGAGGCTGACGACGAGGTCGATGTCGATGCCAAGTCATGGCTGAAGAGCCAGAAGAAGCGCCAAAAGCAAATCGACAAGGTACGAAAGATGGAGGAGGAAATGGCTGCTGCTGAGGCGGCTGCGGTAGCAGCGGTGCAGTACACATCCAAGGATCTGGCTGGTGTCAAGGTCGCCCACGAGATTACGTCTTTCGAAGACGGAGACGAGCAGATATTGGTTCTGAAAGACTCAAATGTGGTTGGGGAAGATGATGAAGAAGGCGATGAGCTTGAGAACGTCGAGCTACGTGAACGGGAGAAGCTGAATGAGCGACTCGAGCTCAAGAAGAAGAAGCCGGCGTACGACCCACATGTTGTGGAAGAAACTGGCGAGATTAACATCTTGTCGCAGTACGACGAAGAGATCAGCGGAAAGAAGAGCAAGAAATTCACCCTAAATGCCCAAGGAACCGGTAGCGCAGAAATCGACGCGATTGGCGGGCAGCCGCAAAACCGCAAATTGCAAATGATCAACCTCGACATCTTCCAAGACGACCAACCTGCCTCAGATTATCTGGATTACACGGGTGTGAAGGTCAAGAAGCCGAAGAAGAAGTCCAAGTCCACGAGGCAACGCCCTATTGACGAAGATGATATACTTCCGCTGGAAGCAGAACCGCAAGATCAGTATATGGATATTGATTCAGGTGCTGGCTTTGTCATCGGTAAGAAGCGGCGGGTTGAGGACACCGGATTCGTCGATGATGAGGATCTTCAAGCGACACTAGCTGTTCAAAGACGGGATGTGTTAAAGAAGCGGAAGAGGACGCGGCCCGAGGACATTGCGCGGCAGCTCAAAGAAGAGGCAGATACGCTTGTTGCAAAGAACGAGGCTGAAGAAGCTCAAAAGGGTGGTCTCGTTATTGACGAGATTTCTGAATTTGTCTCGGGTCTTAAGAGAGAAGACATAGAAAAACGCAAACCTCGCACGTCCAAGACACCCAACCCTGAAACTGGCAAAGCCATGGACGCCGATTCCGATGAGGATGAACAAATGAAGGACGCTGATGAAGTGGAGGAACGCCAGCACGAGATTTCGACCCTAGCGGATATCGGAACCGCCGGGGTAGAAGAAGAGAAGACCATCGCATCTGGTATCGGCGCCACGCTGAAACTTCTAAGGGAACGTAATTTGCTTAAGGAAAGTGACTCTGGTGAAAAGAACGAAAAGTTGCGTCAACAGGCAGCCTTCCTAGCAGAAAAGAAGCGCAGACAAGAGGAGATCGAGCAACTGGCTCGCGACCAACGTGAGCGAGATCGCACGAGCGGCAAGCTCGACAGGATGTCGGTCCGTGAAAGAGAGGAGTGGGCGCGACAGCAGAACAACATGCGTGATCAACAGACCTCCCGACAGATGGTGGATCTTTTCAATAAGAGCTACAAACCCAACGTGGAACTCAAGTACCATGACGAGCATGGCCGCTCACTAGACAAGAAGGAGGCATTCAAGCATCTCAGTCACCAATTCCACGGCAAGGGAAGTGGTAAGGGCAAGACCGACAAATACTTGAAGAAGATGGAGGATGAGAAACGCCGCGAAGCTCAGAGTATGCTTGACGTTAGCCAGGATGTGGGTATGAGCTCTGCGACTGCTCAGCAGACCAAGAAACGGAAGGAGGCTGGAGTACGACTGGCCTAGATGGCTTTGATCAGGGCTACCCAAAGGTGCTTACCCCCCGAACTGTACTACAAACCACAGTATTAATAATGAAATGCTGACACCAAGTCTCAAGCTTCTTCCTGTGCCACTGTTTGCGACCTTGCACCATCCCATCACTCTTCCCTTTTGCAAGTTCTGCCGAATAAGTATGAAGTCATACTTCGACTTTTATTGATTTGTTTCTTGGTCGTCCACATCATGGCTTTTGACTACTACGATGCGTTTATCCTTGGTCTTCCCCGGAAGTCTTGCCAAGCAACCAGGACAGCATGCATCTGGCTGTCCTTGATATGGCATGCTTGAAGTCCCAGACAAGCTTCGAAACGGGTGGCTAGAATGGCTTCAACTAAACTGGGTATCTTTAAACCTGATGTAAGTTCTTGATGCGCTGAATGACATAGGTATCATCGGCTACGTCTCTATTTCACAGTTAGAGGGTGGATGTTCTCTGCTAGAGCTGCAGATATTCAACCACAGCTCATGCAAACTCGAGTCCACGAGTGAACCACATTAGCTCAGCTGTCACCCAAGGTTGTTGTCAACTTCATCAATGTCACTTTGACTATGCAAAGATGCATAGGTCCCAAAAATCCATGAACTCATCGCAACGAAGAGTTGAGGCACGCTGGATAGTTCAGTAGTAAGACCATGTCTTTCAGCTCTGCAAACACCATCCGTTCGAACCTTGCATCGTGCAGTATTCGGATATGATCAAAACGGTACATTAGAAAAGGAATTTAGTTCTTGGGTCAATGGTGGCCCTCTATAAACAGTCAAATGGGGGGAAGGGCCGCGGAGAGGTTTGTATTCTTTTTTATTTTGTGTTTTGTCTGTTCCTCCTTTTTCTTTTCTTATGGGTTGTATCTTCGAAACCAAGAATGTTTCTTCAACGCTGAATCATTGATGAAGTCTTCCAATTTCCACCCAGTTCCGTCTAGATGGCATTGGGATAATGTTATAATTTGCCGGCGAGTACGGCCTGCAACAAATTTATAAGTGCACCGGATGGGCCTTGTCGATTACCACCAAATTGGTATTGCGAAAAAGGAGGAAGGTGCTTCTTTCTGGATGAGCACAATCTACGACTACTCATTTACATCACAATGATATCGGGAAAAAAAGAAGGAAGGTACACTGGGTCGATTACAGGTCGGTGGAAGAACTACCTTTGCCATTTTCTTCCACTGTAGTTTCACATCCGGTTCTCAATACAGCCTACACCATCTATATCTTTGACCCGATTTGACTTGGAAGACACCTATGATACCTACACCTAAGTCAGTATCGCCCCCGACTGCAGGGCAATATCTACTTCGAGATATGGCAGTTCAGCCCAACTCTACACCTAGTTGCGTGATGTGTTCCAATGATGGAATAACTTCATTACCTCTGTTATCTTCAGTGTCTCCGTTACCTTTATCGTCACCTTCAGTGCCTCCGTTACCTTCATCGCCTCCGATACCTTCATCAACCGATTTAGCTCTGCCCCCATCTTACGAGCGAAGCAACAAACCCGAAGGAGCCAACACAGCAGTCACGCAACCTAGCGCTCCCATTGTTACCCGATTCCCGCACGTCCTCAACCTGTACGCAAAGAAAGCTGATTACAAACAATTCGGCTTCCTCGCCGAAACCAAGGGAAAGCCTCTATATGCTGTAACACGGCACTGGGGTTGGAGTAGCAACCCGCCCTTAGTTCTGCACAGCGGCCCGGACCCCAAGTCCCCCGCCCTGGCAGCCGCGGACAGATCATTTTTCACTTGGAACTCAAAAGTCATCCTCAAACCACTCCCCAGCTCCCCAAGAAAGGGCGACACGGAGAAGGTGAACGTACTGTCGCCCGACCTGGCTTGCGAATTCTCCATCCATGTCAATGCTCCTGGAGAAGTGGGTGGAAAAGTGGGAAGAGGCACAGGCCGCGAGCGCTTCGTTTGGCGTCGCTCATTGGGCCTCGAATTCCAAGCGCTGGCTGGTTGGGCGTGGGGGTGGACGCTCTTCCGCGTTAACAGCGGCGGAAGCGACGCGGCGCAGAGCACGGGTGATTCCTTGGGCGGGAAGGAAATCGTTGCCGTGGTGGCGGCGTGTCCACTTGATTCAGCCAGGTCTAAGAAAGCCAAGTTTGAGTTTCTAGGCACCGGGAAGGGGGAACTAGGGGAGCGGTGGGCCATGATAGCACTCATGAGTGGGTTGAGGATTTTGAAAGTAGACCGACTTGCCATTCAAGCAATCTCCAAACGTCAGAATGACGCGGCCGTAGGCGTGGGCGTGGGCGCGGGCGCGGGCGTGGACGCAGGCGTGGGCGCGACTGCTGGGATTAACATACAGGACTCTGCGAGAGGCGGAATCACGGGATGATGGATCGGCCTTCAATGATGAGTTCCTCCAGGCGCAGTTCTGCGGCTATGTATTCCTCACACATGCCATGGCCTTCCATGGCAATGAGCTCGTCCGGCATATGATTTCTTGAGCAGTGTTGAGTTGGTTTTCACACAGATTGTTTGAGAGCTGGAAGCTGGTGTAAGCGAGATAGATTGCATTTGTGGTAACATTGAATAGAAGCAGTTCATAGCTGTCACTTGCCCTAAATGGGTTCTGCGCTCTGCATAAGTACTGAAGCCATCAAGGTGTTCGAGAGGCAGCTTTGAACTAGGTTCGAATACGGGTATATCTTTCTGCTGTCTTGATGTTCTTACTGCGTCAAAGTCGGCCATTCAGCCAGTGGAGATGTCGTTTTGACAGGCTAACGAGGATTTGAGTATGTAGATCATACTACTCATTTCTCATTGTGCAGAGGCAAGTGTTGTTTGCTTCGTTAGGAAGCGTAATTCACATTTCACAGCTAACTCAAGGCCAGGTAGGTTTCAGTGTAGTGTTCCATCATACAGCTTGATCTCATATGTGACAACTAACGTACAGGCATCTGTGAAGACTTTAATGACTACTGGGACAGGGCAAAACCCACTCCTTTCACCGAATGAAGTTCCGGCAACTAGCTCACATGGAACTCAGAATGTGTAACTCTTGACACACTTTTGAGCTCTGGTTTGGCAGCCCATGAAATACCCGATGCTGGAGATCATCGGAGATCATCACAGTAAATACGACACGCCTGGAGGTCAGAACAATAGTGGTATCATGCAACGACAAAATCGGATCACAAAATATTTGGAAAAAGGTATTTTGTAAAGAGAGACTTTATACCTACCCAACGCCAGCGCCCCCCAAAAAGAGACAGGAAGACCTATTTACCTCTTCAGTGTTTTTGCTTTCATCTTCTACTCCTCCTCATCATCACTAACATCATCCGGGTCATCAAACAAAAGCCCCACATTCACACTCTCCCTGAGCGATAAAGGCGACGGCTTCCAACTCGGCACAACAAGCCCCGGGCGAGAAGCACATCATTGAAGTCGCAACCGATCTGTCCAAGGTGCTTTATACCGCGGTTCCTGCGGGGGGCCGGGAGGACAGTCGGGCTCATCAGACTATGCAAACTCGACGATTGGGGTGCGGGGTGGAGACACAACGGGGCTGGTTCCGGTTTAATGTAACGAGGCGGAAAGGAGCACTGAAGGAAGGAGAAAAAGAAGAAGAAGGGGGCTTTCTCGAACCGGGCGCGGAGTTCGCGGCCAGAGGCGCCGGGGCGGGTTTGGACAGGTGCGGTAGGACATGATGTTGAAGGTTCGACTTTGGCTGCGTTCGAAATTGGGACTTCCTGTTTCTGCATTAATACACGCAGCTACTAGGGTAACTGCAGGTGTATACCTATGGATACGTTCATCTCCTTTAATAGAATATAGTTCCACTGTTTTATTATGTTTGTGATTAGGTGCAATTACTACTGTGTTTAGTTCTCGTATAGGATTATTCCAATAAGATATTCAAAAAGTTATAGCATATTCTACCGGCTGAAGTCTTTGGAATTCATTAGTGAGTCTATGTCAACTGTCAAAGTTGTTGCTGTTGTGTCGGATGGGAGAGTTGGCATTGGGTGGGACGGGGATTGTCTTTAAACATGCCTGTTGGGTTAATCAGTCTGTAGTTGGAACAATAGTTTAATAATCTTTGTGATTTACCATGGTGATTTCACATGGTTTTTTCATCACAAGGACCCCTTTTCATGGCCGTGCCGGTCATTGTGTCCATTGAGTGTGCCTTATTATATGATGTGTTCTTTGTTGGGTAAGGAGGTCTAGGCATCGTATCGTCACTTGGTACAAAGAGACTCAATCATTGCCAGACCCTAAAGCCGCTGCACTTCCCAGCGTCAACGAGTGTCACCGGAAGTTGCTGTCACAGCCTCAGCGAATCGCAAACCCTGCATGTTCAACATGCTGGCCAAGCTGAGTACTATTTGGATGAAGAGCGTGGATTTTGTGTCTCGCGGCTGCAGCCCACGAGGTGAGCATAGGCTCAACTGCTTTAGTCGCACATACCACAAGCAGCTAAGACTTGGCTTGACGAGATATCGCGAGCGCTTGGTCCGCTGCCCACCGCCCATCGGCTGTTCTGAGGCTTCGATGTCGAAGATGCCCCGCGTCAGAGTGAAACGCGCTTGGTGCCGAAGTCGACAACGGGTAATGCACGAGCAAGTCGTCATCGGGGGGGAGGGGAGGGGGGGCCAAGAGCGCATCTTTTTCAAGTCATCTAGTCCGGCGGCCAGCAAGGCAGGGTTTTTGGTCTTGTCCATCACGTTCAAACGCATGCTAACAAAGAATCCACTGGCCCGGAACGCACAAAACGCCAAACATGTATGCCCATACCCAAGCGGCGAGACAGATTCTCGAACCTGAGCCACATGGGCTATTAATAATATGTGACTTTTTCAATATACAATTGCTCTGTCATAGATGGTGGTCAGATGCCATCCCAAACGCCTTGACTCCTAGTCAATGCACATCCATCCCCTCCTCCCATATATTAGCCCTCAATCCAGACTTTTGTACAACAAGAGCTTTTCAATCCTCGTCTGCATGTCCAATTCGTCAAAGTTGCACAGGTGATATCGCGCGCGACTCAATCGACAGCCTGCATCTTAGGCGCCCGATCCTTGTTCGCGCCCGCGTCACCATGGACTAACATATTCGCGTACGTTTTCGTGGACTCGCGATGCCGTGAGGTAATGTAGTACGTCAGGACCAAGATCGTGACCATGGTGGCTATCCAGAGGATGATGAGTAGCCCGGAGCGCCGCGGGCGCGGGCCGTTGAAGTAGGGCGAGTAGATCTTGGAGGTTTTGGGCGCCATTGTTGTTCGCGATGTTAATCAGCTGCGAGTGATATGCAGTACGATGGTGAGACGTTGGCATAAGATTTCACAGAGAACTGAAGCGACTGGAAAATGGGTTGGCCGTTGCGAAAGCTAGGCTTGTGTGATGTTCAGATGTTCAATTTAGAGCTGGAGCCTTGAGGTACTTACGGAGGTCGGCTGGGTTAGGGTAGAAAGTTGGCAGCGATGAGGCGCGCTCTTGGCAGAATCCTAGCCAGGCCCCGCTTGTCGCTAATGTAACGGTAACTTGCCCCTAATCAATCTCAACTGCAGATGGTGGTTCTCATCGAACGCCGTCACCAGCACGTTAGGAACTTTTATCATCCGTATTGAGTCGCCTGGCGTGTCACTCAATCGACTTCAAGACAGGCATTCGGTCCATGTGCATTATTTTCGAAACAAATACCGGAATTACTCGAGATAGGTCGAGTAGGTACTAGTACGCTTTGCTTGAAGTCTTCATCCCGAAGTCCATCTCGCAAGTCACAGCCCACTGCGCCTGGCAGCTAATTACACCAATCTCAATCACGACAGCTTATGACGACTAAACTGCAGCCCCAATTGCGGAGCCCGAAGTAGGCAACAAGAAGTTACCCGTGCCAATTATGCCGCTGCTTCCCCTCGCTCCTGTCACCAGGCTGATATCAACACTCTTGAAGCTGCTGTTGGTCCACACGGTACTGGAGTCCCAGCTGTTTCCACTGCTGGTCTGTCCACTCAGAGACACCTGGCTGGCCTGCGCGGTCGTCTTCTTGTTGACGGCCGCGATGTTGGCCTTTAGGGTCGAGATTGCTGTTAAATGGATTAGTCAGTTGGACCCCGTCTTTCTCGCTTCTCGTGAGTAGGTGTTAGACGACATACCTGTCTTGACGTTGAAGCCAACGTCGGTGTTGGACCATGCGGTGTTGCGGCTGAACGTGAAGGATCCGGTTTGCGAGTCTAAGATGACCCAAGTCAGCGATTGCCATTCCTGGGCTCGTTTGCGAGAGCAAATGCCAGTTGATGACCTTCAGTCTCCAGAGGGTCAGCTTACTGTCCGTGAAGCCCTTGGCGGCATTTCCGAAGGCGATACAGTTGGTAACTATGCGAAAAAAGGGGGTCAACTCTTTTCAGAAAACGCGGGCCTGGAAGAACAGGAAGGTTTCTCGAAACACATACTGTTGTGGTTCGCCGGGCCAATATCCCCGGCATCGCCGCCACCGAGCTTAAACCCATTACCATCACCTTGGAAGTCGGAGAAACCCCATCGATTGAATCCATTGGCCCAGGATATGGTGTCCACGATAGTCACCTTGGACTTGAACTCCCTGTTTACTTCTCGTCAGTTCATCCGATTCTGGTCAGAACTTTCGGCAAGTCCCAGAGGACAACATACCAAAGATCTAACCCATCGTCCACATTATCCCAAAGTCTGGCATTCCGGATGATGTTCCCCTCACCCGTACCCTCCTTAAGCGCAAACCCATCAGCACTCTCGCCGTTCTTCCGCGGGTCGCGGTTACGGTACGAGTCCAGGTACACGACCTCGTTGTATTCGGCAGCGCCCTGGATCTGGAACCCGGACTCGTAGTTGTCGTGCGTGCTAATGAGCTCGTAGTAGTTGTGGCCCGAGTCGCGCGAGTAGACTCCATACGGTCCGTTGATGATCTCGAGCTTGTAGAACTTCCAGTAGTTGGCCTCGGCGATGTGCAGCACGCCCCGGCTGCCGTCCGGCACGGAGGCGTCCAGGTCCGCCGGCGTGTAGGGCAACGCCTCGCCGTCGATGATGACCTTCTCCGAGCCGTACGCTGTCAGCGTAATGGGCGCCGAGGCCGTGCCGCTCTTGGTGATCTGGATATTGGTCGTGGGCTTGTAGGTACCCGCACGCAGGTAGATAGTGTCGCCTGCCGCTGCTGCGGTGACGGCTTCTTGGATGTCGCCGAAGGGGCTGGCGAGGGTGCCGGTCCCGGAGCCGCTTGGAGAGACGTAATACTCTGCCGCGAAGGCGGCTGGCAGGCCTGCCAACAGGAAGACTTTGGTATACATGATAAAGACTGATTATTTACTTAACTATATTGTGGCTGGAAACAAGCAGGGACCGAGGAAATGGGATGCTTGTGAGGCGGTGCAAACAACATTCTTTCACCCATTGTGTCAAGAAGTCCATCGACTTATACTTAAACAGCTCTGCCAGACCATTTTCTTGGATTCGTCCACCTTGGATCCATCCATTCCGCCAAGACTGGCACAATTTGTAGAAGATGAGGTTATGGCGGAATGTATTTTCGTACCCCACGCACAACCTAGTTCGCGTTGCCGGAATGGACTCTTTCCATTCGTGGAAGAGTTCATCCTTGCGGCCCGGCTGCAACACCGCCAGATAGACTAACCTACGGGCGGTTCCTCCGATTAATGGGAATTCCGGGCAAGACCTCACTGCTCCTACTGGTGGTCCTACGTTCCGTGTACTTTGCCTCCGTGATATCATTTTGGGCCAAGCTTTCGGGATTCAGAGCGCGGCATAATGGCTGGACCCTCGTGCTTGCTGGCAGTCACTTTGACTAACACATGCCAAGCTTGAACTAAGCTACTTGAGTATACAACCCTGCAGGGGATCCTCACGGGTCGTAGGGGTCTGGCTTATACGGGAATCAAACGATACCAGTTGAGGTTGGGTCTCTTCTAGAAAAGAAAAGGTGCTTCAAATTCTTCAAACAAGAGCTCAGGCTGGGTTTGCTGAAGGACGTTGTTCATATAATTGTAAGAAGCGTTCAGGTTGAATTTCCAAAGAAAAATGTCCTTTTCTCCTAGCACGTATACTCTACTCATTGCCAATTTTGACAGCAAGGAAAGTTTCGGAGACCACCACACGAGAGAAAACATCTTGCAATCAAATGAGTTCGGGCCGTTCAATTGTTGCCGATTACCCTCGTAGAATTGCGGGTTCTTCATTACATTGCACAGGTCCTCGATGATGTTGTTTTCGTTTTCGGGGACCACTCGCTGGGGACATTGCTCTTCCGTTGATGGAGCTCGGTGAAAGTTCACATCAGGTTGTCGGGCAGGGTGGCCAGTGAGAAGAGGTTGTTTAGGATGCAGAGCTTGGAGCTAGGCCGTCACCATATGGTTTATACTCCATCTCCAGTAAACCTTCAAGTATTCATCGCTGTGTTTCAACTTTCCAACGATGTGACATGAAACCCGTTCTGGCTGCTATCATTATAACGGTGAAATCTTTTTCATCTGTCCTGTCGGCGACTGGAGTAGCCCAATCCCCCAGCTATATCTTGACCGAATGTTGAATTATTCGGCATTTCTAAACGCGTGTGTGGATCGAGGAAAAGGGGCTATGGGACCAAGTCAGAAATAAAACCGAACTGTTATGGGACATCCACCGCGACTTGTCTCTCTTACGTTAGTGCTAGCTTGAGAAAATCCCCTGAAACGTTGCCGACCAACTTCGTGATATTGCTATAGTATTGTTAACTCTATGTAAGCGGGTTTTCTTACCTGCTCTGGGAGGTTTCATGAAATCTGTTCCATGTTTGGTGCCTTAATCCTCACGGATGTATTTCATGTCGCTTTGATCCAACTGGGTTACCTTAAATTAAGGGGTAACCCAGGGTTTACGTAACGTGTAATGTATGCAGGACTAGACTGTAGGAAACAGTTTGTCTAGTCTCAATCAAAATACGTAACATTTATTCGACTATGGTGCGCTGCAGTCCACACCGTCAACCGCGAGGTTGGGCCTGCCATCCTATCGACATTGCTTTGGGCAGGAACAGAGGCTGGAGTACATGCACTGCGTCTGAATCGATGCCGCGTTGCGAGCCCGAGCCAGGTGGGCTGTGAGGCTGGCCATGAATATGAATAGAAGACAGCCTATTCAGGAGATTGTTATATTGTCGGACTTGCTGGTCGAAGTAGGAGCGCAACGCGAGGAAGCATTTGTGCATCTTATATTCGGAGATTGGGCGCCGCAGCACTCACTGGGTCCAGCGGGCGCTGTGCCTGGATGCCATGATCAATCAGAACAAGACCCAAAGAAGTCAGTTGCCACGGCGCATTGTGAAGCTACGGCTATGTTATTGTTTACGGAACGGGGCGTCTACAAGTACCGTACGTTTTTATTTGCCGCTTAGAGCCAAATCACTGTATTGTGCAGATCAGCTTGCTTACAAAATATTGATTCGCAGTACTTGCCTAGACTCAAGCTGATTTTTCGATCTTGTCAAAGATTCGTCACAAGGCAGTTTTCCATGGCTGCGTAAGTTGCGAGGAAGCAACGGACAATTAGAAACCACCACATGGGGCGCCCACTTACTTTCATTATGGGGTCCGAAAATAATTCCACAATGCTCTTGCGGCGTTGTAATAGTCGTCATAGTAGCTTTAAAAGGCTTATGAGGATTCTGGAAGTATTTTGGATCCATATAATGCTTTTACCAGATCAGGTAGGTGGTGGATGAAGTTCTTCGCATCAACTATGACGAAGTAGCATCAGCAAATCGTCAAAAAGCCAAGAGCGACGGTCGCATCAATTATGCCCATCACATACGGCACGCCGCACACGGGGACGGGTTGTGGCAATATGTGTGGTTATGCTCGCGGCTTGAACAGTGACAACTTCAGGGGCTTGGGATTACTTCGAACGTATGTCGTACCGCAACCGCCTTCTTAGATGTGGCGGATGGGATAGACGTCGCCGGACTCAGTATCAAGCTTGATTTTCGACCTGGAAAGAGCATTACATCTTCCATCGAGACATGCTTGGTTTTCTTATTTCTTTGATAGCAAAAGACTAATATCACGGTAAGTTGGAATTATTGTTCATACTTCAGTAGCCATGGGGTTAGGTATATTGTGAAGACATACGTGGAGTCATTTCCCGCATGCAAATACCAACAGGGCTTTGACGGCATCCAACAGGATTATCATTCGTACTCACTAGTGCTATTTACACTAATAACCAGCAGCGCCTTGGCCCTCCCAGAGTATTCCACGAACCTTTAACCCATAAACACAAATTTATAACGCCGACCGTGATCCCGCCTATATCAGTCACAACTGGACGCTGGCACCAATACCATTCCCAACGTACCAAAGAGATTCCTTCCAATTACCCAACCGAATATCTACAGTCGCCTGAGCATCGAGCTTAAGCTTGCCGCCGAGTGCCTTCTTGACTTTATCATATCCAATCGAGCCCGCCGACCACTTGACCGCTAACCTGGGGGTCACCGATTTTCCAGGCGGGGCCTGAAAGGGTAACTCGTGAAATATGGTGCCGATGGGCTCCGTGTGGTTGTAATATGCTGTGGCGTTGACCCGATCTATGTACAATGTGTTGTAGTGTAGGGGGGAGACCAATATGAACGTCGCGGTCGACGAGATGAAGTGAAAAGTTGCATCTCGAATAAAATGGGCCTTCTCATCAGGGGTATCGCCCGGAAGGTCTAGCTTCGGAGCAGGAACAGTGAAACTAAGGTTGGACAGAGCCTTGTTCAGGAGACGTTGGCCTGGGATGCTGTCTCGGTGGGGTTTGACCGTGATAGTCGTGTTGTAGCCCGAGATGTATTGCGAGATGAGATCTCGGCCAATTCGTTGACCTTTGTCGCCGCTAATAGAGGGGTTCCATTTGACGGTCACGAGTATGCCCGTGTTGACACCCCTGGCGACGTCGATATCCTCCACAGTCGCTTCTCCGAGGACGGAATCGTTGTGTAAGACGTGGACGTTGAAAAAGGGTACATGAGCACTATACACGGTAGGATTGGAAACATTAACCAGGGCCTGTAGTGTGATAGATGATGACGAGGTGTTCAGAATGCGGAGTGATCGAATTTGGGGAGAAATGCCGTCAAGCGGCCCCTTGCCCTTGCCGTTGGAGAAAGCTAGAGCAAAGTCAGCATGATGGCATGCTCAGTCAGCGAGAGGATAGCAGAAAACTGAGATTAAGCAATCCATCAAAAAATATGGGTTGCCTGAGAGTGTGACTAACAAGATCAAGATAGTTAATACGGACGTTTTACTGGGATGGTGCCCTCTGCAGGCACATCCTTCAGAACCAGTTGTCCTAGTGCCGTCTCCACTTTTACATCGACGCTGGCCTTAATATCCAAGCGCACTGGCTTGCCACCGAATAGGAGGGTCTGAACCACATCCGAGAAGACATCACCATCAGTCACGTTCAATGGCGCATCGTTGATCCGGGACTCAATCTTGAGAGAAGCCTCTTGCCCTTTGTTTGCCTCCACCCTGGTTGAGTTCGCATGCTGCCATTTTCTCAGGTTCAATTCCCCGAATTTCTGCGACTTGTAGAAGACATCGGCAAATGCGCGGACCTTGGTCACGTTGATGGCAAAGTTCATCTCTCGAGGTAGACCAGCAGTGACCAGAATGTTGCCGGAAACTTTGGGGGTAGCTTCCGGGTCTTCGGGACTGGCGAAAGGATCTGGCAAAGTGAACTGTACATCCGTCAACGAGAAGTTTCGGATAAGGCCATCGAGTGACCGCCCGGGGAAGGGGACTGGTAGTGTGACGCTAGACAAAATATCTGCAATCCAACGTGGCGTGCTGCCGTCGGGCTGGCTGCTGCCTCGTACGAATAATGTCGCAGGTTCACCGTGCATATACTGCTCCAACAACAAATCCAGCGGCGAAGACCGCGAGTTGGGACAGGCATGAGTGAGTGAATCTGGGAGTTCTCGAACCAGTCCATGTACATCCACTTCAACTTCGGCCCGAGGTTTCACCAAAACCTCGCTAGTGACTGCATCGGCAACGATGATGTACGGATCATCTGCGTCGCACCCGGGAACCAAGATTTCAAAGGCGAGTTCAGGGACGTCGAGTTGCACTGGGTATTCGTTGTAGGCCGCGAGGGAAACATCGGCGACCATCGATTTCTTGTTTCCGGGAGCCGGCACATCCTCCACATTAAGGCGTGTGATGTTATATTGTGGCATGGCGGGTACTTTTTTTGCTGCCCATATATCAGTAAGTTGTAGCAAGCAGATGGGCAACAGAGTCTCTGGATTTTCCTAGATGAAAACTTTCTTTCCAAAAACAAGTGAAGCAAAGGAGCGGTAGAGGTATTGACCTTCAAAAACGAGAGATTCCTCCACTGTGTGAGTTCCCAGGGGAATGAGACCTGACTTGAGTGAGAGGTCGGCTTTGCCCTCCAAACGCAATTTGTCTAAAAGTCCTTCCAACCATTCATTCGCGATAGACCGTATGCCCTCCACATTGCCAGGTGTGACTTCTGTCACAAAGTCAAGGTCGGTCGTGTACCCATCGCGTAAACTAAGGACCAAAGGAGGGATGCCGGCTGTCCCTAGCAGAATATTGTCATAGTCCGGGAGGTAGACGGCAACCTGCGTTCCTTCTGTGCCCAGTTGATTAGCAACCCAGGTGGCGGCTCGTCCGACCCTCCTCACATGATCGTTCTCGACCCTGGACCCGTCGAGGCGGAAGTTTGCTTGTATCCTCGCTCTGACACCGTTGGTGGTGATAGACTCGAGTGAAAGATTGGTGGGTTCGACAACAGCCGCCTGCTTGGCGTATTCTTGCACTGCATCGGGAACAATGAATGCCAGCGCTATGATGGCGATAACTATTATGCCTAGAATGCCCATTGCAATGAATGATGCCCATCTCCGCGATTTCTTGGAAGGGTGTGTAGACAGTACATCGCTGTGGCGCGACCGAATGGAGGCGGCGACAGCTTCGTGATCCGGTTGATCCTGCTCGCCATCGTATCGCGGAGTATCGGCTGAGCTCGAAAGTAGGGGGGTGGAATCGCCAGAGTTATTTGATCGGTTGACTGGCGCCTTTCCCTTTGGCGCTGTTTCTCCTGCCAGCAAGGGCGATGATTCGTCATCGGACATGATGATGTTTGATGAGTGTTTGATGGCAGGATTGAGTAAAAAGTAGGAAAGAAGTGGGATTACGGCAAGACAGTAGCTGGTATCGGCGGCTCGGATGTTTCGGCAGCAATTCACACTGAAGTACTTGATATTGCCGACGGGCACGGTAGATAATTTAGGCAGGGAGTAGGTTGGAGGAATCCATCCGCGTTATTAACAGCATGTGATGGAAACTTGGTTGGAGCAAGCACTTTGTGGTCACCATGATGAGATAGCCACTCAGCTGATCGACTGACGACCGGCCCAGTCTTAGTGACAACGTTCGAAGGGCAGTTGCGGCAGTCTCGATTCAACCTTACCTTCATTGGAATAGTGCAAATCTGGGGAAGTCTAGCCCGTGCTGCCCTTGCAGCTCTTGCAACTCCGACGCATCACAGGTTTTTTAATGTGCTCGGGGGTTCAGGTGTGTTTATCAACATGTCACAGAGTGGGTGCAGTTGGGAGAAAAAGACAGTGCATGATTCTACTCGTAATTCTACTTGCAGTTCTGTGAAACCCAACCCGTCTCTGTAACTTAGAGAGACTTTTCCAGTTACTGCTTGTAAGAATAAAGCAATTCACAATTGTTTCCCGGAAGGTACCAATCAGATGCAAGCAAAGGCTTCCCAACTATTTTGTGTCCACACCAGCTCAAACCCATTTCATCAGCGCCGATTCATCATCTAATTAGTACACATTTAGATTGACTCATCATATCTCAATTCACTAGTTCCTGTCTCAAATATCGAACCCTTCTCACAACACGGACTTTGTCAATCGCCCACGAACGTCTGGGCTCCTCCAACGGACACAGCTGCAGCCGCCTCGCCAAAATGTGGTCTGCATCTTTCCGCCTCGCCAAAGGCGCTTTTGGTGGTGTCCAAACAAGGGGATATGCCTTGATGCAATCGAGTGCACCTCTAGGTAAAGCGACGTACAAACCTCGACACCTCATGTCAATCAGCGATCTCACCAGGGATGAATTCTCTCAATTGATCAGAAATGCCAGCAGGCGCAAGCAGCAAGTGAAGGATGGGAGACTTGCTCCCGATTTCAGGGGCCAGCTGTCGAATCAGACGGTCGCCATGATGTTCAGCAAGCGCAGCACCAGGACTCGAGTCTCTACGGAATCCGCTGTGGCCATGATGGGTGGACATCCAATGTTTCTTGGGAAGGACGACATTCAACTCGGTGTATGGCTACCCTAGCACTTGTTGCAAATTGAGCATGCTAACCTCGAGGCAGGTGAACGAGTCCCTTCATGACACGTCGAAAATAATTTCGTCTATGACCTCCTGCATGGTAGCCCGAGTCGGCCCTCATTCGGACGTCACGGAGCTGGCCAAATACTCTTCCGTCCCCGTCATCAATGCCTTGTCTGATGATTTCCATCCGTTGCAGACTATCGCAGATTTCCTTACAATCCACGAGACAGTGACTTTCCCTGACCGTCACCGTGATGCAGTGATACCACCAGGCCTCAAAATAGCATGGATTGGAGACGCCAACAACGTGTTATTCGATCTGGCCATCGCCTGTGTAAAGATGGGCGTCACTATCTCTGTCGCCACCCCGCCGGGCTACGAAATCCCCAAAGCAATGGAGGCGTTGATCGAGGCACAAGCCAAGGGCGTCGAATCGCCCGGAAAGTTGGAGCAGACCACAGTTCCTGAGCAAGCTGTTAAGGATGCCGATATTCTGGTCACCGACACTTGGATCTCCATGGGCCAAGAGGCTGAAACCAAGAAGCGGCTGAAGGACTTTGAGGGCTTTCAAATTACAAAGGAGCTTGCTCGGAGGGGCGGCGCGAAGCCCGATTGGTTATTCATGCACTGCCTCCCTCGGCATCCTGAGGAGGTCGACGACGAGGTGTTCTATGGCACGCGATCGGTCGTATTCCAGGAGGGCGAGAACCGTTTGTGGGCTGCGATTGGTGAGGAAACTAGTTTGTCTTATTGCGACCGAGCGGTGTGCTAATCCGATCTACAGCTGCTCTCGAAGCATTCGTCGTGAACAAGGGCAACATCGTGTAAGTGCCGGGACTGGTATTCCAGATTGTCCTATGTCGACACCAACACATTGAAAACCGGAACATGCCATATCAGGCATCAAAATGGACCACACTATCTTGCCCAGTGTAGCATGCCTATTATTCTCTTACAATACGGCTCGCATTGGGACGAGAGCGGAAACCGGAGGTCACGTCCGGCGTCAGTCTGGACTAATCTTAGTTTAAAATTTGTCAATTCATGTTGCGATGAATGCAAAATGAAAATTACGTTTATCTCATCACGATTGCTATTATCCCAATGTGCGCAATCTTTGAAGTGCAGCTACTCCATGCCAAAGTGATGTAGTTTGCACTAGATGTGGTGTTTACAAACAAATTTTGCCCAAACCGGCCGCCAACGCCAAAGATTGAGGGAAACACCACGTCTAACCGGGAGGCAACTGGCTGGCGTCGACCACCTCGTCAGCTTCCTTCACGTGGGTATCCTCATCTCCAGGCCCGTACAACGGAGAGCGGGGCAATGCCATCAGACCAGTCCGCGTCGATTCCAAGATGCCAAAAGGAGAAATGAGCTTCAGGAACGAGTCGATTCTAACGGGTTTCGCAGATCTAGACACGCCAGATTTAGCATGCAGGCATCCAGTGGAGACAAAACGTATACTTACATCTCAACAATACAGCTGTTGGTGCTGATATCCAGCATCTTGCCACCGAACTGGTGAGCAAAGAAGGTAAGAGACTTCAGATGCTCATGCTTGTGCCGAAGCGCTTGGCTTGCAACAAGCTTGCTCGGATGGAAGTCCTCAGCAATATCTCCTAGGGTGCGGTCCGACCCCTCGTGGCCACCCTCGGTCTCCTCAACAGCGGTGATCTCACGATGGTGCGCTAGTAGCTCCTCGAAGTATTCAGGTCCGAGAATGTTGATCTTGGCAAGCAGAAGTTCTCGCTGCACAAGAGCAGCATTTGTGTAGTCCAGCACAGCCCACACAGGCACCAGATCCTCCAATTGTCTTCGGGCTTGCTCGACGACGCCGTCCTGGCCGGTGAGCACGATGGTCATCCGGGACAAGTCATCAACCTCGGTATTGCAGACGACCAAAGAGTCAATGTTGAAGCCGCGAGCTGCAAGAATACCAGAGACTCGAGAAAGCACACCAGGCTCGTTCTGGACCAAGCAGTTGAGGACGTGGCGCTTGGGTGGGGCAGTGGAAGGTGTCGGGGTTTCGTAGAGGATGTTTGACACGGCAGCTTGAGCTGACCATGATGATGGCGCATCACTGACAGGGAGAGGAGCTGAGCGACGGCGCAGAGCCTTATAGGCAATGGCTGAGATTGCGCTGCTGCTCGAACTCCATCTCGCGGAGATTTGGGGTGTTGATGACAGAGCAGCTGCGGCGATGGTTCGGTAGGATGCCGATGTGGCCTGAGAAAGAGCGCGGGAGGCCATTTTTCTGATCGTCAACGAGAACCCGAGAGCCCTCTGACCAGAACCGGCAATCCTCAAGTCCGTACGGTGTGTTGAGCAGGCTCAATTGGTGAAAATCTACCCAGCGTCTTGACTCAATCGAAATTTTTGGAGCGAAGTCCGCGCCGGGCGTTACTCGGTAAGATTACGAATAGGTCAGGTACGATTGCCTGGGCTAGAATGCATCGCTGCGATGTCGGGGTTCCCACCTACCCCGGATCGGATGGGGAAATACGTTCTGCCATTGACCGACTCAAGTCGAGAGTGGGTCCGGGAGCAGCTGGGGAAACGATATCGACAACGGAACTTCAAATCTTTCAGCCCGATCGACCCTTCTCTTCTGAGGCAGCAACTGGGATTTTGTAGCCTCACTAGCGCAAACTTCATTCATCTTTGTGAAAGAGGACTTCGAGGCTCAGCCCACCACTCTGAAGAATCCCTTCAGGCACACTACTCTTAACACATTCCTTTCACAGACTTATGAGTATTCATATTCGATCTACGCAACAGCTATCCGCCATGGACGACGCTGAGCGGCGCACTGCGAAGCGTTCGCGATTTGACCAGACAGAGCCAGAGCCGCGTCGCTCTCGTTTCGACCGACGATCTCGCTCACCTCCAGCGCGTAAATCCGAGTCAGGTCGCGATCGCAGTCCCTTGGTTAAAGATGCCGATAGCTCTGCAGATGCAAAGCGTGCATCCAATGTAGACGCGGCTGCAGCTGCCGGTTGGTCCATTCTTCATCCGAAACTCTTTGTCGCAAGTTGCTGACCATGTTCTCTAGCTGCCGCCGCTGCCCGAATCAATGCCCAGATCCAAGCGAAGAAGGGTATACAGCACGTCGATGTCCCGCCCATCAAGTCCACGTCGTCTGAGTCGCCGGGTCCTAGCGCTACGAGCGCGACACCTGCTGCTAACATCAATGGCGATATATATGTCGCGGACGGCGACTACATCAAGGACATCGAAGTGAACGATCTGCGCAACCGATACCTGCTCACTAAAGGATCTACTCAAAAGATGGTAAATACCCTTGGTTAATTCCTACTGATCCATTTCAGACTTCTCTCCCACTGGTTACATCTACGTGTGCGGACAGTTCTGCTTACCTTGGAAGCATACTAGCTCGCACGCGAAACCCCTCTGTGGCATCTGCTGACCTCCACTGCTTGATCTAGATTAAAGAAGAAACCGGAGCTGGTACGATATATCTTTACGTTTTAACTATTTTCGTTCCATGTGTAGAGAGCATAGGTTGACTTTGAAAGATGTCACGACTCGAGGCAGCTATTATCCCGACAAGAGTATGGCCACGGCCGCGGTAGGTGTCTCTGTCTGAACATTGTTCATCTCGGGACCTTCTACTGAACCTAACATAGAACCCTCCCCTGTACCTCCACGTAACGAGCACCTCGAAGACCGGACTCGAGACAGCCGTCGAGAAGATCGAAGAGATGATGAAGCAGGAGCTTCCAAACCTTGTGGACGAACGACGATTCCGACGCCGAGACCAAGAGCAGGTGGAACGTGATGAGTTTGGACGACGCAAATGGCCAGAGGCAAAGATTCCGATCGATCTCGAGCCTGTTCAGGGATTCAACCTGCGCGCGCAGGTTGTTGGACATGGCGGCTCTTACGTGAAGCATATCCAACAAGAGACCGGCTGTCGAGTGCAGATCAAAGGTCGTGGCTCTGGCTACCTAGAGGCCGCGACCAATCGGGAGAGCGATGAAGACATGTACTTGCATGTCGCGTAAGTCTGAACTCGCTCGTCGAGTAAGAAGCAGGCTAACTGTATGCAGTGGGCCTGATCCTAACATGGTCGAAAAGGCGAAGGAGCTTTGTGAAGATCTTCTGACAAATGTCAAGGAGCAGTATGAAGACTTCAAGTCCAGACCCCCTCGCCAGCACTATGGTGGGCACGGTGGCGGATACCACAACAACCACGAGAGATCCAACAGCAGTGCCGGTTCATACGGAGGCTATGGTGGATACAACAATTCGTCGGCCCCTCCTGCCACCACCGTATCACCGGCTCCCGGGGGAGCTGGTAGTCCTACTAACCCGGCTGACCAGTATGCTCAATATGCTCAATACTACGGTGGTCAAGACCCGTATGCGGCATACGGAGGCTACGCAGCGTAAGTGGATTACTAGACCGGACCCTTTCAGTCGCTAACATGGGTTTCTAGTTACATGCAATACTACCAGCAGTACTATGCCGCTGCCCAGGCGCAACAGCAAGGATCACCTGCACCCCCTGGTGCTTCCACATCACCACCTCCTCCTCCGAGTGAAGCACCTCCTCCGCCACCGCCATCCGGCCCACCTCCTGGAGCCAGTGGCTACGGTGCCGTAAGTTTGGTACCAAGCCGAGATTGGTATCGTTCCAAGCTGACCTCTTAATCGCTTCAGGTTCCGCCCCCTCCTGGACTTTAGTCGAAAATATGAACAAGATTGTTCATTGAGTAGTAGTTACGGAAGATGAGATGTGAGCACGAGGTGAAGTTGGTGGGGTTTACCAAAACCGACTTGGTTGCTGCTGATTAGGAGGCCTGTGGGTGGAAGGATGACACCATCTGAATCTAGACGAGCTTTGCTGGCACAAGCCCGGAACTTCGCTTGTAAAACATGGCGAACGAGAGATGATCTGCTCTTGGTGGGAATGGTAACATTGAAAGAGACTAGTCCATGCATAATGCTCGAGATCATGGACTCGATATTGAAGGAGGATCTGAACGACCTCTGCAAGATTGTTGCAGCGCTGAATATTAACTTGCATTTGCTAGGGTATATAATCCTTAAAGCGACTTTAAAGTGTGAAAGTGCCTTCACGGCCGCTGGCCACTGATATCTGAGAATCCGTTGGTGATTAGGTCTCATGAGGCAGACGGAGTGACTGCAGCTTCGCATAGGATGCGAAGGTCAGAATTCGCGGCGGCCCAAGCGCTCCACCGGATCTGGAAATGCTATTAAGGCCTCGAGTGCCAAACTATGGCAGCCATAACTGACCGTAGAAAATCAAGCTAATTGCGGGCAATCTACATTTGCTAGGAGCAAAGTGATCGTCTATGAGGAGGCTGTTGTCGATGTTCCGAAGCCCTAAGCTGTTCTGGGTGGAAGTCAAGACGAATACATCGATCTCATACTGTCAATGGCGCTGAGACTGTGACAGAGTATTGGTGTTTCTCCAGAATCCTGAGAATCCTGGACTCTAGGAGTTTAACTATGCTATTCTAAGTTGAATTGCAGATAGAGTGGTCGGTGTATACGTCCGGGGGAGGTCTAAATACTTCAGTGACCTGATTCTTTTCCTTTAACCTTGCTAAGTGAGTTTCAATCATAAGAAATAGTCGGAACTCAAACTCGGTCACATTAGGTGCCGTTATGACCTTGTTGAGTTGCAGGACAACAGACCCCATTTAGATAGATGAGACGAAGCATTTTACCCCTGACCCAAGAACCAGGGTAGGTTCGGTCAAGCCTCACATGCACTTGGCGGGGTAAACCCTTGAAGAAGACCGTTGTTACTAATCCAGCGGAACGTGGGACAAACACTCCAATCGATAGTCATCCATTCTGCATCGTTCCATCTTCACATCACGTTTGCCTACAAACTTGGAGATCGCAACTTGGAGGTCGCAGACGAGCAGCGTTTCGAGGGGACTTCGTCAAATCGTAGGTGCCTCTTTCAGGACGCAGCTCACCATCTTCTCGAAATTTCAGCTTCTTGCGAGAACCTCGTTTCCTGTTCGCGCGGTCGCCGCAACGAAACATACAGTCACATACATCATCCGTCTATCATATTAGCCGACCAACCCAACGAACTTTCTTCCACCACGACACCATTTCCTCATATACTCAAACACCAAAGGCCAAAATGTCACAGAACCTCAACCCGCGCCAATCCTCCACCCGCCACACCGGTCCTTCCTCACAGCACCAAACCACAACCCCCTCCGCAACGCAAACACAAACCCAAATATCCAGCCAACGGGAAGCCCCGATCCTCCGCCTGCGCGGCGGCCCCGCCCCGTCACGCAACCGCGTCCAATGGGCTGAAGGAACAGTCGACAACGAGGGTCTGAACCGGAAGAAGTCGAAGGTGTGCTGTATTTACCACCGACCGCGGGAGGTGGGGGAGTCGAGTTCGGAGTCGTCTTCTTCTGATTCGGATGCTTCTTCTTCCGAATCGGATTCAGGGGCAGCGGGGAGGAGAAGGGCAGGGCATGGTGAGGATTGTCGGAATCATGGACATGGACACAATCATGGGATTAGAGGACGGGATGGAGATGGCGGAGGGAGGAAGCAAAAGAAACCCAGTCGGAGGACAAGCCCGAATGCGTATGAGAAGCAGCCGAAACCGCGGCCGAGTAACGGGGATGCGGGTGGGAGTGGTGGTGGTGGTGGTGGGCCGATGAGAGCGTAAGGGTTGTGCCAGCTGCGGTTAGGAAGAGCAAAATTTACTCCGCACGCTGTCTTTTGGGACGAACACAGCTTGTGGTCGGTCCATCATGGCCAGGGAGGGGGACTCTTGGGGCTAGAGAAAAAGGAATCCTACGATCGCCTGTGAGGCGAAGCGAACGAGCTGAGACAATGATGCATTTGAAAAAGAGAAAGAACCGCAGAGCTGGCGGGCTGGTAGATCGCGAAGGAATAATCATTTATTATACCCCATCTTCAGCGACCTTGGAGCTGAAGACAAACACGACAATCATGACACAATATACTCTTCTCCGCATTAAAGACCACGGTGCATGTGCATAGATTCGTTTCACGACTATGTGTGCAAAAGCCGCTGCATGAAAATTCCATCGCGGCTACGCTACGTACGTACTTTTCCCATACGATACTCTGACATATTCAAGTTTTGCCCTCGGGCCCATGTCCGGCAACGATTCCATTCTTGCTTGCCACGCGACTCAAGTCAACTCAACGCAAACCTCTCTCCCTAGCTTCTCCGTTGTAGGTAAAGTAGGTATCAAACTTTCTCGCAAGTGCAAATATATGTAAGTCTGTTGTTTCGCTTTCCGGACGCCCAGGATCATCAAAGTCTTTTGTTACCCGCCTTGCGATCCAAGTCGAGATCCGTTTCTAAATTACCTCCATCCCCTCGCTGCTGAGTAAGCTCCTGGTTCTAATCGCCCACCTGGTTTGCCTTTTTGCGAAATCAAGTTTCCTCTTCTGCTGTCTCGTCTTATAAATACATTGGGCTTGCATTCGTCTGGCACACCACTGATTTGCAAACGCTCCTAATCTTACAATCGTAAGAGGCCAGACCTCAGATCCGTTTTGGGGGTTATGTCGTCTGGGCCGAACTACCTCAGGGTAGTTGGTTTCAAGCCATCGGCTCAACCTGATCCATTAGGAGACACGGGCGATACTGGTGAGGGCATCACCAAGCTGGGGACCTGCTTCCTCATCAGACCTCTTGTGCGCTGTTCAGGACGCGGAACGCCCTGGATGGCCCTTGGCTCCTTCATCAATGACGGGTCGAGTTTGGCTGGGATACGTGTCGTGACCGCCCGGTAATCGCCCGGGAATTTGGAATTCGGCACGGGTACGGATGCCGTTCTCCACATATGCTCGCTCGTGTCGGTTAAATAACTCTGCATTTTCGGCTGCTTTGAAGGAAGCGAGCTTGGTACGCCATGGGATGCCCTGATAGTAGAGAGACGTGAAAGTCCAGAGGCGAGGCCCGGCTTTCCTCGAGCTTTCTTCGCCAATATGATCTCGTCGAAGAGCCGGATTTCTGGTGCCGAAGCTGGCTGCATCTCTCGCTCATGGACGAACTCGTTGAATGCTGTACACGGTTAGACGTCACATACATCTAGACATTCCGATGTCAACATACCTTGTGTCTCCTTCATCATGGTGGCATAGTCTTGCTGATCATATGGCAAGCTCTTGATAAAGGCATTCATGTCGAAGGCGTACATTTGACGGTTGTTTCTCTGGTCCCTCGAAGGCCGCCCCATGTGCTTTCGATAGGTGTAGAGAAGACTGGCAAGACAGCGGACAAAAGCAGCTCGGACCTTCTCGGCATTGAACGCGCTAGGGCATACGAGCGAGACACAGCCGAGGCAGCGACCATGCGAGACGCCGCTGCAACTACTGCATTTGTAGATGCCATCGCCTTCTGCATGCTCTTCGCAGACTGAACAAACGGACACGTTGTCGTGGGAGGTAAAGTTGAAGCAGTGTCCCTCAACCCATACCGTCGTCTCGGTATTTCGCACCGGTTGGATCAGCATGTTGGGCATTACGGTCGAAGCTGCGATGGTGGACTGGGCGTACGTGGACGGAGCATAGCCACCGTACGATGACTTGGATTCAACCGAGAAGGCTGAAATAGAAAGGTTGGCTTGATGGCCATTCAAGAACGGCACGTTGGGACGGTGAGCCGGTCCATGACCGAATGAAGAGCTTCTACGGCCCTTGTCGTCAGCGAGGTTGCCAGAGCGCTTTTCACGAAGAGTAGCGGACAGAGCGAAGCCAGAATCATTCTTTGAGATGGGGGTTGACGGCAATGGCGGAAAGTTCATCGAGACTGGCGATACGGACGATGGAGGACTGGTCTTGCTAGACCGACTAGTTGTAGGGCGTTCTGAAAGGTCCGGCTTGGCGTGTGCGAAGGCGTTGAATAATGGCACTTTGGACGCAGTAGTTGGATCGGGCTCTGCGAAATTCGCCGAGTTCTGTGCAACCCATTTCCCTAGGCTGCTCGGTGTGGTCCTCTCATTGAAGATGGTGTCGTTCTCCGCGGAGAACGCTTCATACGGAAACGCCTCCATTGCATAAGGTGGTGGGCCGGTGGGAACACCGTAGCGAAGGCTGTGAGGGGCACTAATCTGCAAGAGTGACATGAGCTTGCGTCGATGCTGCTTGGGAAGGCGAACAGGCTGAGCTGTTGCATCAATGGTGTCCTTATCAAGGTCGACAAGGACGTAGTCGTCTTCGGGTAATTCTATGTTGTCATACCTCCGCTCGATGCCGACGATATACGGGCAGGGTGCGTCCAGAGCCGAGAGCAATCTGGCAGGGAGGATAGGAATGAAAATGCTTGCCCATTTCAATGGGTATAACAAACTGGCGAGAGCGTGAGAAGCGAGATGTAGCATGGCAGTGTGAGAGGAGAGGAGGATGATTCGGGATTCCGACATGGCGTACTCGAACAGTGCAACGATGTTCTCTAGCGAGAGTGACCTGAAGAGGGCGTATAGATCCGTGTTTCGAGATCCCGGAAGCTCATTGAGGGCTTCCTTCCGTGCATACAGTCGCAATTCGCGCACGCCGATTTCAACCTGCGTCTTGGAGCCCAGTGGGCTGAAGGCCTCAGTACACAGGTTGACAACGTAACGCTCCAATGGTTGCCATCGCCCAACACGGGGGGAGCTTGGGGGCACACGCAGTATGGCACCGTCCGTCATGGGCACGACTACCGCCCGGAGCCAGTCCTTCCAGAAAGTTATTCTCGATGAATCTCGCCCCAGAATGCCGTATGCTCGTGGTGTCCAGAGTCCACTCTCCCCTGCAGTGAGGCCGTCGATCTTAGATGCGGCACCATGTCTCAGGGGGCGAAGCATCTCGGTCATGAGGCTGATCTTCTCCTCCACAGCGCTGATTTGTTCATCCAGTGTCTCTCGAGCTGCGGAGCCAGACGGAATCGTGGGAAGCTTAGCAAGCAACTGTGAAAGATGTGCCCTCTCAGCTGCGAGCCTGACCCCCAAGCTAGCCGCCAGCTCTCGTTCCTCCTCGGTCATGTGGCCCTGTCTCCACTCTTCACATCTCCTTTCAATGTCCTCGGCTAAATCTGCAGTGATAGCAGTCCATACGATGACGGTGATACCGTAAATCTTAGAGTTGTCGTCCGATGTCATTGTGAAACCATGCCATGTAGACCTTGGCCTGTCGTCTGAAGACACAATCTGGATGTCATTGGGGAATGCGAACATGGGCACGTAGTCCGGGAACTTCCCTCGCCTAGCAAGGTCCTCGGTGGCATCTCGTGGGGGATATCTGTCTAGTAACTCTGGCTCGAAACGTCGTTTTAAGGGATGCATGTCCGGATCGAGATTAAGAGGCTCGGGTGGTGGGATTACTGAGTTATAATTGCTAAGTCGTTTTGCGGTCCTTATCGAAGCTGCAGGCACCGTTAGCGCGGAACCCCATCGTACTTTGCGTAACTGTGACGTTTGTCCTAGGACAGGGGCGCTTGTCGGGCCCCAAGAAAACCTGGGGAATGGGAAAAGTACAAAAAGGGGACATACCGGCTTTGGGAGCTATTGTTGGCTGTCTCCGTACGCTGTTCATGTCCTTGAAGCTTATCTTTCGCCGTATACTACCTCGGATGCTGCCCCGGATGCTCTTCAGCGGACTCATTCTTCCAGTGGGCGAAGCCTCTGCCTTGATTCTCTCGGCTCTTGGATTCACCATGGGAGGCCGTGACTGCGTCTTGGCTCCTGCGGTGAAGCTCAAATCTTCGAGGAAGTTTTCCCTTTCTGCGGCAAATTTGACGAGTGCCTTGTCGAAATCGAAATCGCCCTGGAAGCCCCCTAAAATGCCCTCAGGAACGCCATTTCCACTTCCAGTAGGAGGCGGACTCGGTCGGATGGTAGCGCTGCTTCTGTTGCTCCTGGTATTGCCATCCACCTCGTCCAGAGTGCTCATGGACGTTTTCGGAACCCGGGGGCCACCGGAGCCTTGGCGCGAGTGACGAGCAACCGCCTTTGGCGGCGGGCTTGCGACCGACTCTCGGTTGCTGTTCCTTTTCTTGTTGTACGAGTCTTCGGGTTCGGCGTCTTCGTCGATGACCGAGTCGACCTGTGTCGGGGCGGATTGGACTGGAAAATCCTGGTACGCGATCGTCTCTATGCCCGCGATCCAGAAGTAGTCGGCGAGCGGAGCCGACGAGTTGTCCATGACATGTCAAGTCGAGAGGGCTTCACCCTCCCCTAAACCGGAAACACCGCTGTTCTTGGACGATAACGAGGGCTGCCAGCGCAGTGTGCTGCTACTTGCGAAGCTGGCCTGTGGATATTTTTGCTGGTCTAGAGCTTTTATCAATGCCAGGGGATTTTATGAATGCAAGTCGAGTGCTTCTTTACGTCTCCGCGAATCGGGTCGCCGAATGTTGGTGCGATGAGTCCGATACTTGCCGCAGCGCAATTGCAGCGATAATGGAGGACGTGGGTCGGTGAGGAGGAGTAAACCGCCTGTCTGTCGCTGCAAAGACCAAAGAAAAAGTACGTCGGCAGCACAGCCAGAGAGAAAGAGAGCGAGGGAAAAAATCGCACAGGACCCTCCGAAAGCGACGATCAATTGAAAGTACGAGGTATTAGACTGCCGAAGGGGGTCATGGGGATAAACGTCGATGGCCGCCACCTGGTTTATCTCTTTTGGGGTGTCTGGTGTCTGGTCTGGCGTTCAATTTTTGGGCCCAGCAGTAGCCGTGTTGTGCCTTTAGCGCCGAGAGCGCCCAAGAGTTGTGCTTCTTTCGATCATGTAAAATTTGGAGCCTGGTACCTAGGTAGCGGACCTCCTTGCAGTTGCAGGGAATACCTAGTTCGTCTCCATACAACTTCACTCTGCCAGTTCTGCTCGGGCGCTGTCAGGAATCTCACGTATTTACGTCTTGTCACTACGTAGAAAGGGACCAGGGGCAAACTAGTTTAGGGTCATATGGCAAGTGATGTACAAAGTCGAAAGATGCACTCTTGTCTCAATTGGTTGCTAGCGGACGGGGCTGGATGGGGCCTGCAAGAATGATGATGGAGGACCCTACACCACGGTACGGTACCTACGCTACAGCAGTTCAGATGAGCAACAGTGGTCATCTACGTGCCCAGGTGTACGATGGTACCGTGGCCAATGTGTTTGAGTTTGCGCTACATCAGGCCCACGCAGGTACAGTCCCGGGAACAATATCTGACACAATGAAACCCAATCCATGAATGGAGGTAGTCCCTGTTCGTTACTTGAGTACCTCACCTCGGCTTGAGAGTGACTTGTCCTATCAACATTTCACAAAAGACGAGATCTCCAAACTTCAGGCTCTGTTGCGGACACGGTGGAGCTACAGTGTTTCCAAGTTACCTGTGCTCTCTATCTCTCCAGGTGCCACCCATCCAGACTAAACTTGACTGATCGTTATCGAGTATGACAAGATCCTGAGATGGAAATAAAGTTATTAAATTCGGACAACTTCTCCGTTAGGAACTTGGGCTTTGCTGCACGCCAGGGCGATATGGGCGACATGGTTTGGCCTCAACAAGTTGATATCTGAAACGTAGAGACACGGTTGTCCGCCTGTGTATCTGCAGTGGCGTAGCCAGCCGTGATTCCGGCTCGCGAGTATCGTTGCAGAGGACGTGCTGCAAGGTACAGCGCACAACTTGGGAGGCATGTCTGGTGCAACCCTACCACCGGAAACGTGGCACACGTTTGAATCACGTTGAACGGGTTGGCAAGAGCTGGTTATTCCAATCAATTCCAACGTTATGTACCCATTGGTTGGGCACTATTGTTCCACGATGGGTGTCCTTCTTGGGTATGTACCATCCCTCTCCCTAGCGCGGGAGTCAAGTCAGGATTCCCAATATGTATGGCAAACAGGTTCACGAGCCGCGGTCGAAGACCAAACCCACAGACACTCGCGACTATGCGTAGCTATCCCTGGATTCTAGTGCATATCCACCACTATCGACTTCCCTGGATTTGCCCCGTCCGTAGGCGATTGGACTGGGTAACACGGCCTTTTGAGAATTGAGAAAAAGGGTTGGACGTCGGTGAATCGGTGAGATTCCCCAAATCCATTCCCGTTTCCCCAAACAGGACAAGGACGAGTTGACTAGAAATCCAAAATCTACGCCTTCGCATTACTCTTGGAAATCATTTCGCCGTAGTCCCGGCGGCTTAAATAAAGTAACCCGATTTTTCGTTTCGGGACAAGAGGAGTTTTTGGCCGTTTATCCACCGATGGTGGTGGAAACGGCGGCCTTGAGAGCAGTGTGTATCGTAGACATGTAGTTCAAAGTCTTACCCCTGATCGCTATGCAAGCACACATTACCACACCACTATACTAGACACGTTGATGCTTCAATGAGCCCTTGCATCCAAGCCACCATATGTAAAAGAAAAGGGGTACAGGATCGTGCAGGAGAAAAAAACGGCGGTTATCAGCGTCTGGAGCGGATGGTGGCAGGTTCCTGCAGTAAGTCTTCTCGTATCTCTTTTTGTCATCACTGATGCTGCGTTGTAATAACGTTCAAGTCGCAATGGCGTCTACAGCTTTGGAAAGTACCAATGGCCCCCAAATGCACTCCCTCTCTCCCCGTCCCCTCCCAGAAGACACACGACATGGGTGCTGAGAGCCAGATATCTCTTCTGGGAAGGGATGACCAACGATGGATCACCACCCTGTCGTGGTTTCCCCGCCATAAGACCCGCATGGGATCATTTTCTATCGCAGGTCATGTCATGCTTGGCAGTCTAAACATATGTCCCACAGGAAAAATTCACGCCACAGAGGCACACGGATCTGTGAAAGCTGGGAGATGGAAAGGATATCGAGTACGAATTCTGGTTGCAATCTCTTTCAAGCTCAATGGTCATACTGTGCATAGGCATTGCTTGAGGAAGTCGGGGATGGGGGTCGTTCTGCATTTTCTCGTACCTGGACATTGAGACACTCTTCCCTGGATATAACCGGTTATACCCGCATCGAGTCATTGACCCAAATTGTGAGCAATGCAACTGGAACAACTTTGAATCAAGCCTCCCTCCCATCAACTATAATCAGGGACTTGAAACACCGTATCCCAGAGCCGTCATGAATCAATCAGATCATGCATGAAACTTCTCTCTCAAAAGCAAGCACCTCAACAAATAACAAGCGAAGCATTGAAGCTGTAGTAAGATTTGGTAGTGAAGCCGTACTCCAGCATTCCATGCAGGGATGAATCATGGCGATTGTCCGGTATAACTCTGCTATGCGTAGAGCATACAAGGGGAACCGGCCAATCTGTCACGTCAGCAGCCCATTCCAGCGTTGCAACGCAAACCCAATGACACGGCACGCACTTGCATCACTGGCTTCCTGCTTGTAATATGGCCAATGCTATAATATTGAATGTCATTCCAGGCAAGTCTCTCGAAACCTCGAACCGAAGCTAGCTATGAAGTAAGCCGGCAAGCTGAATATGCTTAGGTAGTCAACCTTCACGGATCCAGGGGTAGCAGCAAGCTACAATCGCTTGTTATGGCATTGTGCTTTCTAGGAACGTCCATGCCCAAAATGAGGGAGGCGTTTGATTAAAGGCTCTTATGAGGCTAGATGCTGAAACAGGTAAGCCTTCTTCCAATAGAGAGACCAATGGGAATTTCAGACGTTAGGCTTAAGCCTTGCTTGACCCAACAGCCGAGCCAGCTCAGGCAGGACTTTGGGCTACTTTGCATTGATACATAAATAGGCATCATATCACGGGTATACCAGCCAAACTGAGAATGATAATGCACCCGGGGAATTTTTTTGTTCTGTTGAGGACGTTTCTTCTGATACTAAGGAGTGCGAGATGCTCTTGGAAGATTCCGCGCAGGGTCAATACGAAGTATGAGTTGCAATTGACCGAGTACTAATCGCCTTTGGCAAAATGTCAATTTCATAAAGAACAAGGATTATCATGTTCTAGCGTCTATTTAAGTACTATTCTAGCTCATGGTAACTAGAGCCATAAGGATTATCAAACATCTTCCTTCTGGTACGTCTTCTGAAGGACCCGTTTTAAAGCCTAACTGATGCTCGGACAAAAAGACACTGTGATGTAATAAAGTCTCGGACTGGCCGAAGTTCGCGACGTCTTGGCTATTTAACAATGCGCGTCTCGCTTTTTGGACACGCGGTTGGTAGAGTCTTCATTTCGTAAAAGTCGTCAGTTCGTAATGAACCACATAATTTCGTGGTTGGTTATATAGAACATCGAAGCCCACTTTTTCAGTCTCTTCAGAGACAGAAGTCAGCATGCTTTGTTATGATGCCGGGCCTAGATAGCATATCCCCTTCAGCTTCTCCTAGGCACACGCGCACAGTATGTGACAACAATGCCCAAGTCTCCAATGGTGAACACAAGTAGCATGTAGTGTTCATCGTCCATATTGAATCCGTCACCTCAATGGCCTAGTTCCCAGCTTCCCCGTAGACAAGAACCCATGATTGCCCATCTCCGTCCTCCAACCAATTCCCATCTTACCAAACACAATCCTCCCATCCTTCTCTTCCACCACCTCTTCCTTACCGCTCTCCTGAACCACAAAGAAAACCTGCTCCACCTCGCCCGGATGCAAAACAGGTTTCTTGCTCCCCGTGACCACCCAATTTGCATCCCTATACTGAAGCCCCTGCTCCAAATCCAGCCCCACGCGGTTCAACTGCATGACTTCTTCACTACAGTTCTCCAGCTGCGCCTCCATGACCCACCTCCTCGGCAGTGGCGGCTTTGCAGCATCGATTTCCTTGTCATCAGTCTGGGGGAGGTATGGCAGTGACCCGACTTTGGTCCGCACAATCAGGCTCCCTTTGCAGATGAATTGGTACAGCTTCCGGAAGGTGCGCGAGCGCCCGCTCGTCTCCGTCGCTTCGTAGTAGCTAACCGTCACCGCCAGCACATGGTTGCCCTCTTCCTTGAGGTCGAAGTTAACAATTTTTTGTAATGTCTTCCCGGCCTCCAGGTCGATGCCCTTGCCATCATCGACGCCTGGGCCTAAGTCGAGCTTCTGCACCACCGCCGAGCCAGGTGTCTTCATCTCGGCTTCTATCCGCACATCGCGGGTGAACTTCTTCTTGCCGGCTGCTGATGCTGCTGCTAGGGAGACGGGAGGCGGTTGGGCGGCGGCGGCAGGCAGAGCACCGCTACCACCTGGGGAGATGGACATGAAGGGCGTCGTTTCGGGTACATCATGGTTTGCGCAAAGGGTACAGCTGAATGTTTCGCCGACGTAGGCAGAGCCAAATGAGGGCGGGAGGTTGAGGATGGGCGTGAGGACGAAGGGATCTGGATTTGTGTCGCCGGTAGATTGGTAGGCGAGGGATGCCGCAATGGGCTGTGCGGGAGTGCCCGATAGCCAGGTGGGATTCGGAAGTACGTGTTGGGTCACGAGAGATGGTCTGGACAGTCTAGCGTCGCGTAGCGTTAGATGCTTGAAGGTGACTAAGACGAGGAGGTGGGTAGCTTCGCATTTACCGCAAGACTTTCAATGACACGGAATGCGGTTCCTTGACCGGATCTATAGACGGGTATCGTTGGTGGCTCATCGTTGCAGAACCATTGGTTGTGGGCTCTTCAAGGCCTGTGAATAGGCTCTATAATCAGGCGTCGAGGTAAAGATAAGCTGTCATCGAATGTCCAGGGTCGGAAGATCGGTGGTTGCATCTGGAAGTGGGATGACGTGCCGAAGAGCTAAGCTTTATCGATAAAACTTTCTCGGGCTATTTTAAGATCTGGGGAGAACTTCAGTCTCGTGGTCTTCTAATTGTCAAATATTCCACTTCAAGACACTGCTGGCCTGTTCGTCATATGCTGAGCATCAATCTCATCCCAAAGACTGAAATACGACTCAAGAGGCAAGGGAAGAATAGAAGGAAGCAGGATCCAATACTACGAAATAAGCTGTCTTGGTTACTGCTATTGCATAAACTATACTGGTACCGCTCAGTGGGCCTGTTCCGCTCTACCAAGATTGCGAATCACCCAGTACATGGATACTTTAAGACGGACCTACCTTTATTGGTCCTGTCGACAAAGGTCCTGGCGTGGCATCGTAATTAAATATTTTCATACCAGCTCTCATGCAAAAGCTCCTGACAAGAGTGAGCTAATGCACTTTACTAGGGCCCGAGAGCCCTTGCCGCAAAGTATTCGCCTTGGGGACGCCACAGTGTCGCCGGTAGTCTCAGCGAGGTTCCTAGGAGTCTGGTTCGACCGCAAACTGACGTGGCACGCCCATGTTGAGCGTGTTAAAACAAAAATGGCAACTCAAAAGCTAGCCCTGACAAAGCTAGTCAATATGTCGTGGGGCTGCGATCTTATACGGGCGAGGCTGTTATATACGGTGGTTATCCGTAGCGCAATCGCCTTCGGGGCGACTGCGTGGCATACTATAAGTGAGGAACCGGCAGGGCCAGCTAAGAGCCTGATGGGGATACAGAACGAGTGCCTCCGGGTAGTCTGTGGCGCCCACAAAGCGACGCCGGTTCGCCACCTGGAAGCAGAAGCAGCAATCCCGCCACTAGACCTCTATCTTAGTGCCCGGGCTGCTAAGTTTGAAGAACGGCTACGGCTTAGCGGGAAGAGAAATCTGCTTCGCAGCGCGAGCGCTAAAGCGTCACATATACTCCGGCAGGATAGGCCGGCGAAGAGGAAGCAGGCGTCGCAGCTACTCCGACCGGCAGGGTACACTATGGAGAAGGAGGCCCGGGGCTCCGAGTGGATGAGTGAGGAAAAGGAGGTCCCGGCTGCCCTCCTCGGCCACTGGAGGAAGAGATGGCTCACCGGAACAGAGCATCACGATCGCCAGCGACGCGCTATCGCTGAGGAACCGGAGGGCCCTTCGATGCAGATACCGAAAGGGGGCAGGTATTTCGGCCTGAACCGACTGGAGGCGTCTACGCTGTGCCAGATCAGGACGGAAAAAATAGGACTAGCAGCCTTCTTATTCAAGACAGGGGCTTTTGGCGTGTACTCGCCGCTATGCCGCTGTGGCGACGCCCCTGAGACGGCAGAGCACGTAATCCTCTTTTGCGGGCTGTTGGAAGGACCGAGGGAACGATTACGGGCCGCCATCGCACCACGGCCACTATACTCTCGCAGAGACCTCGCAACGGCAACAGGAGAACCAGTAGTTAGTGGGACTATTGTAAGGTGGCTGCTAGGGACGGGTCGGACAGCTTCAAGGCCCAGATAGCATCGATCTTCTCAGGGGGGACTTTGTTGGTAGGTTGAGAACCAACGTAGTATGGTAGTGGACGCAACGCAGTCGCCAATAGGGCGAACCGACGACGCAGCGTATGTATTTAGTCCAGCCATTAGGGCACGGTTTGACATACGGGAGTACTAGCAGAGGTACCGGGGGCTTCGAGCCTACGGCGTATTTAATAATAAAAAAATAATAATAATTAAATATTGAATCAAGAGACTTGTATCGAAGATCTAGGGTGGCCGCTGAAATTATCCTACTTTCTTGATGGTATAGCTTGAGGGAGATCATGCAAAGTGGACTGCCTGGCTGGAAATGTGGCACACAACAAAACAAGTTCAGCGACTCGGCTGAACCTGAACAAGACGCGAAGATGCCAACCTAGCGTTTGAGCTTCAGGGTTTCATTTCAGGACCAATTCGGTAGTTCTCGTTATCTGCAACTGATGTGGTATGCCTTCCCCAAATCCACTACTGAACCTATCATATGGCAACTCTGATCAAATCAGCGCAGAGAAAATCACGGATTGCGCGGCGACCTGTTTCTGTAGTTGAGAGTTAGCAAAATGGCGACGGTAATTATGAGCTCTCGTTCTACCGCTATTCTCGACCTTTCATGGGATTCAGCATACATGTAGTCACCACGGTAACAGAAGGGGATTGTACTGTTGCTGAAGTTGGTAAGGCGGGGAGGTCAACTTGTTTGGCTGTGTAGCTGTACATGTACACCACAACTTCTGATATCATCCCTCACGGACTGAAGCTCGGGGCATCGGACGTAATTGAGATTGATGAGTTTGTTCATGGCATGTTTACCTGCTCATTGTACCCACTTGTATACGCAGCCACTGAGTTTGCAGACTGCTGAATGTTTTCTCAACGGTGCTTCTCAGACCTACACACCATATGCAACTTTGGTAGAGCATTGTAGAAACCCAAGTGCCATCTTATCGTTGATGTAGAAAGAGTGAGCTGGAGGGTGGTTGTTTCTGAACAGATCATCGGTATGACAAGACTAAGTTGATAATCCGCTTCATGTAGACCTCAGTGAAACCAGCTATGCGCAATGGCAACCGGGGCTTTACAATTTCTCTCGCTCTGGTAATGGTATCTTATCTCTTACTTGCTGGAAATAACTTGACCAAACGTGTGAAGATGGTAGCACTTGCATTTATGTTCAACGCGTAGAGCATGTTAGTGAGGTGAATATACAAGCTTCAGAGACCTCAAGATAATATCACCCAATCCGGGTATTGACTTATCATTCGTCCGCTTGACCAAGCCTCCAAGCCTTCATACGCTGGGCGTGCTGGTTCCTGGGTGAATCCAAACTTACAAATCCACTCAAGGTAGCCTTGGACACCACATCATCCCGATTCGCTCGGGGGCATCTCGCTCGAACCGACATGTAGCATTTCACATGATATGGGCCCTATAGACATTCTTACATAGAAAAGGAGAAGAAGAGAGAGCGTGGCAAGCCCATGAGTTCGATTTCTCTCTTCTCCTTCAACCTCCCCACAAGTAACTTCCCATTGCCAACTTGCCGAGTGTGAACCCATTCTCTTCACAATAACCTCCCGACGCCATCTCACCAACTAACTCATCAACCACAGTCACCATGCAGGTAAGTCTCCAACAGAACCTCCCATCCAGCCATCTACCCCCTTCAACCCAACGGTCTCATAACACACACCTAGTTCACCACCGCCCCCATCACGGCCCTCTTACTAGTCCTCGCCATCCCAATGGCTCTCGCCGCCCCCCCAGCCTGGAAACCCTCGTACACCATCCGCTGCAACGACACCAAATTCACCAACCCCCACAAGCCTTGCGATATCAAGAACCTGGGCTGCAGCAAGAACGGCAGCCTGCTTGTGTTCCCCGGGCAGTCCAAGACCTGCTACACATTTTGCCACTGCGAAATGCGGAATAGGACTGTGGTGGTACCACGGTCGGCTGGGCTGGTTACGCTGTGGTGAAGTTGCTGCACTCAGCTTTAAACATGGACCTTTGGCTGATTGACCACTTCCTGATGTGGCTGGCATTGTGATGAATCACGATGTTCTTAGCTACGGATATCTATATCTCTTAGTTCGTCGTAGTGGCGTTGGGGGAGGAGATCCAGGGAACATAGTGGATACCGTGATATTGGATATAGGATTTCTTGTCATATATTGTGTGGAGGGCTACCCGAATAGTTGCTCGAGGACATTAGACTTCGCCTCCTGCCTAACATCAAGGTGATGCCTCAGGACATTGTTGACTTACGTACAAATGAAATCATCAGCAAGTTTCCTTGTCGTGGCTTTGGAAACCCCCGGAGTATTATCAGCAACCACAAGCTTCAGAACTTGAGTGGTGTAAAACATCAAGGCAATGGATTTGATAGACGCTCATTCCACCTACAGTGCCCACAGGCATTCCAAGTAACAAGTTTCCGGAAATTGTGCTTATGCATTAGTTACTTCGTGCACACAAGTATAGCCAACACATAATCTACGCTCTTACACATCGTACGACATCACTTTATCCACCAAGCCGTCAAAAGCTGGACCCAGCCGGAGGAGCACCAGCAGCAACCCCCTCCCTCTCCCTCCTCCTGGTTTTCTCCAACTTCTTCATCCCCTTCATACTCTTCCTCGGCCTCGCCTTAAGCGAAGCCTTCGAAACCTTGGGCTTGTTCAACAACCACCCATTCATCGGCTTCCGACACCCCACAAACTTGCCTTCGGGAGTGTACACATCAACAATCGGCCAATTGAGCTCGCCCTCCTCTCTTGGCGGCAGGGGCAGCTTCTTTTTCTTCGGAACCTGGGCCATGGCCTCAAGTCGTTCAATTGGCGAGAGATCGATTTCAAAGTCCGGCTGCTCGGCGGTGGGTTCGGGTTTGGCATACAGCTCTCGTGTTCGCACTTGCGCGACTACTTCTACCCACCCTACGCCCTCGATTAAGATATCGGTTGCGAGAACGCGGTATGGCAGCCGGTCAATGTGCATGTTGACTGCGGCCCTGGATGTAATGGGGCCAGAGCGCTCCTTGGTGACGTCCCACTTGAGCGGAAAGGAGCCCGCGAGCTTGATCTTCTCTCCTGTTCCTGGAACGGCGATGTTCTCCACGCGGACCTCGCTGTTTTGTTCTTGGATACCGATGGCTTTCTCCGTGCCTGTGAGATGCGCCTCCAGCGGTGTAAAGGAATAAGACAGGATGATGGGTCCTGGAACTCTGGGTGTAAGTCGGATGAATCCACCTAGAAGGATGGATTGCCCTTGTTTGATGACCTGTTGTTCTGGTATTATGCGAGAACGCATGACCAGGGACTGGCGGTGCTCCTCCTTGACGTACTGATCTAGCCCCGTCCGCTCAACTCCTGGCAGATCGATCAGCTCTCCCCTGTCATTTCCGAAAGGAACACGGATCGGAGAAGCAGTGGTACCAGGCAAGTCAGACACCAGTGGCATTTCCGGGTATTGGGCTTCTGGTTGTGCGGGAGGTAGAAGGGAGTCTTCATCCAGAGCCTGGTCGTCCAGCTTCGCAATTAATCTATCATCTGTGTCGTCGCTCTCCGTCGTTGTCTCAGCCGACGGTGTCTCAGCCAGCGATGTCGCCTTGCTTTCCTTGCCGTACATGTCGATGGTGATTTGATGCTTGGTCGGGTCCCAATCCATGCGACCTTTGGGAAAGACAGACTCGAACAATTGGCTCTTGCCAACATTGACCTTGCCAACCATCCACCCGGCTCCACCTCGTTTCCAGATATCCTCCTTGAGCTCCTTCGTCCACCAGCTTCTCTTGGCACTCACACATTTGATGTTTCCTAGTCGAAGGTCCCGTCCTGAGCGCCCAAGAGCATCTCGCAGAACTTCTCTCAAATATGGTACCAATCGATCCACTTGGTCTTTAGTAGGGGCCAGTAGATCCGAGCGGGTGATTATGAAGCTCATTTCTGTCTTCTGTCCGTGGTAGAACTTGCCCTTCTGTGAGCGACGATTCTTAGTTCGTATGGGCATGAGGTCCAGGAGTTGATGAATCTGGGGTAGTATAGACATGGGGAAGTCGGCAGAGTCGAGAATGTGATAGACGTGGTTGTATTTGTAAGGGGACTCGGCCAGTGTGTCCCTGATCGAGTCCATAGTCGGGTGGTAGATGGAGACTCCCGTCTGGTGGTGAAGTAGGTTGTGGCATCGATCACAGAGAGGGACTTTCAGGGGTGCTTCCTGGTCTTCACTATGTCAATTCCTGAACTTGAATAATTGGTATTCAGAGGCTGCGTACATTCAGGCCCGGGTTCATAAGCTAGACTGGGAGCAATATCCTCCATGTCAAGGCCAAGTTTCTCTAACTCAGCCGGGTCCATCCTCTTCAGGATGTCCTGATAATCGTCATCTTCCTTACGTGTTCTCCGGCGTCTAGGCTCTTCAAGCCCCAGATACAGTCGAACCGCTTTCCTACCCAAGTCGAAATAACCCGGCTGATCTTCAAACGAAGCCTGTGATAGAGCGCCGCAACCTGTGCATTGCGCCGGCAGCTTGCGAATTGGTTTCTTATCGGGAATGATCTTCTGGTGAATGACAGCGTCACCCGGTGGCGTCCAGGTTATCTCGGTTTCTGCTTGCGACTGCAAGCTTCGTTTCTGAGACCATGGTTTTAACGTGCATGCTTCACATGTTACGGGTCGAACCCTGAAACTGAGGTTTCGAGCACCGAGTGCCGGACATAGAAACACTGGTAACTGCACGTCAAGAGTCGCGGGCCGCTCAGAAATCCGGAGCGCGGTGCTGAGCCATCGCGAAGGTAGCGTGCGATGCATCGTATCAACTTCACAACGGTTTGCGACAGAAAGTCGAAGCTGTTAAGCTGCCAAATAGAATCTTGAAAAAGTTCTGGGCTATCAAGGTTGATAGGAAGCGCCAAGATGCACTAGCAGGGATTCGTCAGGTTGGGGGTGCACCTTGCATGATGGATGAATCTTCGGGCCGCTACAACTAGGGTCTCGAAATTTATCGAATTGACCTCATCGACCACGATAGTAAAGCCACTGCCAGCGCCGGAGCGAGCGTTGAAGCTCGCAATTAGTCAAAATGGTGAATCCAGGCAAGCGCATGCACATATTAAAAGCCGTACGTTTCATGGACATCCAAACAACGCACAAAGCTAACAATTTTGCAGAAGGTAGTAACGACGACCTAACTGCGAAGCCCTATTCTAACGAGTGCATCAGTTGCTGGAATTACGCCATGGCCCCGGTGCAGCGATTCTACCTCCCGAGATCACACGGATACATCTAGACTTTGCCCTGCGCTGGAATGATGGACATATGGGACCAAGGTGCGACAGCATTGTTTCCCAGCGGCACCCGCATTCGCTAAGAGAGTTATAGGAAATTCTGGAAGACATGTCTACCTCGCCTAAAATTCTGGAACCCAGCAGTTCCGATGCTAGTCAATCGATCGACAAACCAGACCGGCCCGGCGCTCATGTCCATCTACTTCCGCCAGAGCGCCGCCAAAGCGACGAAAAACTTGACGCCGCTCGTGCAGCAACCACACTCGAGTACAACCAACGAGTGCCCCGCGCCGCCCCCCGAGGAGGAGGAGCGCGTCGTCACTATCGACATGAAGCACCAGCACTCAGATGCGATATTGACCGAGTTTCTGCAGAAGACAGGCGCGACGCTGGTGCATCCGACGCCCGACGAGCAGATGGAGATGCAACAGGTCGAGGAGCTCCAGGAGAAGGGTGCGGTGGATAGGGCTATTGTGAAGAAGTATCTCGATGAGAAGAGGAGGGAGGAGAAGCTGTTGTTGCAGGCCAGACAGGAGGCTGAGGCTATCAAGTTGGCCAATCAATAGTCGGGGTTCACGTGGAAAAGGGGTACGGGGATGGCTTGTATAAATGTGTACAGTACGGTAGGGCCGCGTGTATGACCACGGGCGGCTGCGTAAAATGTGTACAAAAACGGCTCAATGGAGATATATGAGTAATCTCAAAACATGTTCAAAGGGCACCGATGTGGATGGTCCAGTTTGTTTCATCATCGGGAACATGCCCAGATACGAGTTTGGATGGGAGACGAGATGCATTGCGAAGTGCGTCGTAACATCATACTTCTAACAGAAGTGGATGAGTGTGATAAACGAACCGTCATGGTCGAGTGTGGGCGTGCTTGTTCCAGAACCACCGCGAAAAGGGACACATCGCCGATTGAATATAGGATGGTCTTGTGGGTGGTGCGGAAGTTGAGATTGTGCAGTTGGTGATTGAAACCAGGGATGTGCATGGTTGCCAACGGGCCACTGGGAGGAATCTGATTTGGTATTGGAGGAGCGATATGCATTGGTGGAGGTCACTTTATGATGCGGAAGGTGTGGTATGGCATGCAGTGGTGCAGATCGACCGGTATTGAAGCCATGAAGTCACGATATCAATTGGTCAGCGATACAGTCAAGTTATCAGGCACAATGGATCCCGGGTCACGTCGGCGGTCAGCGTGGGTGGCGGCTGCTCGGGTCAAGGCGTCTTATATGCCAATTAGCAACCTCTTTTCAAGGTCATCCAAGTAAGATCCTAACCGGCAGTCTATGAAATCCCTTGAGAGTGAATATTTTGTAGGTCGAGGGTTTGTGGCCGGTCGAAACCCTTGCCTGAGCTTTTGCAAGTTTTACGATTTCTTTTATATTTGCAAGCTGCTCTCTTTGAGTACGCATCATTTTTTTTAGTACTGTCCTCATTCAACTATTTATGCCTTGCAGCTAGTTTTCTACGGTTGCAATGCTTCCACTGGTAGCTGGCGGAGTTTAGGATTGTGAAGCAGTTTGGAACCCTGACAATCACAACTGCATGGCCCGAATGGCTGTTGTTTCTTCGTGTTATCTAGTTGCTGTCGGTAATATATACCTGCTTAGGCTGGATCTCTTCCATTGTAGGCATGAAAACAGGTAGAAAACCTAGCATAGCTTACCAACTGTACCCGAAAACGATGCCAAAATCAAGCACAGTTATGACACAATTGAAATTGGATTCTAGCATCCACCGAGTTAGTTCCCGCATACAGTCAAAGGCTAGATTCCGTCACTTTAACTTACAGCCACTCGTAGTCTTCACTATCTGTCCTGAGTTGGGCCACATGGGTCAACTTCTTTATAAATGAGCATTCAGGGCACCCGGTTATTCTAGACGTGTCGCGTACTCAAATCATATATATAAGAGATTGTATCGCCGTTAGTATCCTATTAACTACTATCCACACTTTTGAATAGGGATTTAGAGGACCGGGTTTGCGTACCTCTGAGACTGCGAATGGCAGATTTTCCAGCTCGGCGTGGAATACGCCATGGATTTCTGCCATCGAAACAGTGCCAGGGATAACCTGAACCTATAAATGGCACGTTAGTATCCTCCATTCTAAGCTATAAATATGAAGCGATTTGGAGGTACCATACCTAGGAGAGAGGGAGGTGCGAGATTATTTATCATCCCCTCCACCCTGTTATAGAAGCTCCAGAGTCAATCTCACAGTATTTGAGGTAGAAGTAAGCTGCTATTCTGGGAAAAACTACGTAAATGGTAAATACGAGCGGTGGTCCGTTATTGAGAGCGTCATTCCAAGCAATTTGCGTGAATCATGAATAATGGAATCAATTCTCAACTTGACAAGTGTAATATTGCCTCTGGTAGAAATATGAAGATTCGTAAATAGGGTGGAGGTGACAACATTGGATTCAGTGTAGAGAGAACCTACCCGTTACCTGCCCCTGGAGCTATCGATAAGGCCATTGGCGTCGATGGCTCTTGACGCAATCCAGCATTTAGTGGCCAGCCCACCATTCCGTTTGTACAAATCTCCATTACCGCAACATCGTTGTCAACAACCACAACAACGCCATACGAATCAGTTCTCTACCACAACATTCCCTACCACCAGCTTTCCAGCTCTCGCAATGACAGAGACGGTCCAAGCCCCTGAAGATGCGGCGGCCGCGCGCGCAGCCGAGCAAGTGCGTCTGCGCAAAGAACGCCGCGAAGCCAAAATCAAGGCTGGCGGCGCCTCGCGACTCAACAAAATCACAGGTCTGGGCGGCGGTGTAGCACGAGGTGAGCCAGATTACACCACTAGCACCTCCTCTATCTACCTATATCTCTTGTGTCTAACGATACTTCGCAGATCCTCAACCACAGCCCCAAACTCAAGCCCCGACACCTCCCCCCCCGCAACCCACACCACAGTCCAATCATGAAGACCCCGACGAAGTCGACATATCACAGCACTACTACGATCCGCGCACCACAGGACGTGCACTGCCTGCCGAGCCCTCGCTCTCTGAGGCCCAGCTGCGCCAGATGATGCTCGGTTTTGAACCGCCACCAGGATCCAGCCCCAACGCTGGAGCCCAACGAAACCCATTTGCGAGACCCGGCAGCGGCGGTGGCGGTTCCAATATGGCAGGTGTGGAGGACGATCCCATGATGAAGATGATGCAGCAAATGATGGGTGGCGCTGCCGGAGCGGGAGGAAACCCTTTTGTAGGCACCGGCATGGAAGGACTATTCGGCGGCGCCGGTGGCTTAGATGGGATGCAGCAAGCGCAGCAGGCGGTAACGGACAAACCAGCTAACATCTGGCGGATCGTGCACGCCGTGTTTGCGCTGGGACTGGGACTGTACGTCGCGCTGAGCACGACGTTCACGGGCACGAAAACGGAGAGGGAGGCGTTGTCCATCAGCGCCACACTATCAGGCCACAGCATCGAGCAGACGAGGGCGTACTTCTTTTACTTGTTTACGTCGGTCGAGGCGGTGCTGCTGACATCGCGATTTTTCCTCGACAAGAACCGCGCGCCGCCTAGTGGGGTGATCTGGAGTATTACCGGGTTCTTGCCGGGTCAGTTCAAGAGCGGCGTGAGACATGCGCTTAAGTATGGTCAGATTCTGAGCACGGTTCGGAGCGATGCGCTGGTCTGTGTTTTCGTGCTGGGGGTTTGCTGCTGGCTGAGATCATGAAGCAGACAGCGCAGTGGGGGGAGGGAGTGACGGGCAACTATGGAATGGGACAATAACGAGCATTATGAACGCTTACGCCCGGTACTATTCAGCGTCGATAATATTAACAGGACTCGGGGACTCGGTAGAAGCTGAGGGAAGCTGATTCTCCAGCTGGGGCTATATTTCCTATGCTCTTGACGTTACGGTGGGCAAAGGCGAACTATATACCACTTTAGATTGTGAAGGGAAGGCTGGGAAATAATAGGTATGCTACCAGACGTGGCCCTTGGAGGGAACCCTATGAGGCCCAATGCAACGAGTTAACTCCCACAGACTCCCATCGCATGTGAAGTTGCAGGCTTCTAATTCGCCACATAGTCAATTTCTCTTCTTTGTGTCCTATCTCCTTCCGGAGGGGGCACTTGTGCGGATGCCGCCCACTTATGGCTGCTATAGTCCACATACTATGGAGAGAAGTACATTAATGCTCAGGATTTACCCATAACAGAATTTAATTTCTCAAATCTTGCTCCCAACTTTTTGGGCATGGTCTGTTGCCGGACGAGATCAACTACTTCGTCCCTGGAGCTTGAAAAATTTCGCGTTATTATGTAAATAAATCCATGCTATTTAAGAGGAACTGCCACAAACTTGCTCAAGTAAATTTGTGGCTGCTGGTTTTTGGCCTAATTAGTACGGATATTATTTTTCAAACAACTTGAACTATCAGTCCCAATAAATCACTGGAATCACAACCTCGCTACCAGGAGCTTGTGGACAAGTATTACATACAGATTCTTGGGACCCCTTAATCCTATGCAGATATTACAACCACAAGCCCATGTAAACCAGTTTGAATGCCATAACTTTGCAGGTGCCACTCCGTTCCTCTCCATGGCCAGTTCCAATTACCAGTTCCAATTACCAGTCCAAGTACACCCATCATACAGACGCCCCTGTCAAAAGCCAGGCCCTAATGTCTTATGCCTCTAAAACGGTCCCAAGCACATTCCCCAGTACCCCCCGGACCCTTTTCCGATCTTCCAAAGCGCAAGTGAAAACAACCGCAGTACTGGCAGCAAACACGACCGTCTCGCGCCACTGCTTATCCCATGCGTACCGCCTTGGAAGCACCGTAGCCATGGCCCGAGGTGCAACGAAGAGCGCCATGTCCTTCCGCCGGCCCGCAGCCTCGAGTAGAATACTCCATCCGCAAAGGAAACAGCCAGATCCTACACATATGCCGTCATCGATCTTATTACATGCAGTACTGTTCCTGCCGATTAAATGAGGACCGACCCGTGTCCGGGCTAGACAAACGCCATAGTAGAAGAGCATGATGAACGATCCCAAAAATGCGGACGATCTACACGCCGATAAGAGGGCCGTCTTGAGACCTTTCGCGTTGGGATGCCGTACCACGAGGAGCAGGTTCAGCGGCAGGTACATGGCCATGGACCATTTGCAAGAGCGGTAGCATCTCGAAAGAGCATGGTATTCGCATGAAGGTCCGCATCCCATGTGGACAATTTCGCAGGGGAAAGGGATGGCCTTTGCTGGGTCGCCCCATTGGAGCGGCCACTTATACTCTAGGCACATGCCCTGTAGAAGTGGTGCTTGGCCGGTATCCTCCTGGTACCGTATCTCGCCTGTTCGAAAGCGCTTCAGCGCCTCGATAAGACGGGTATCTACGGCGGCGGCTGAGCTAATCCATTTGTCGTACGCTCTGGGCAAACTCGAAGGGGAGTATACCCAAGCCCACATTATAAGCGAACATGATATTGCGAATATGGCTGGATCCGTCAGGTTGGATATGGCCGATTCGACCTGGGGTTATTGTCAGTGCTGGAAACATCTGTCTTGAGCAAATATGCATACTCTCGTCCATCGTCCAGAGGCCAACCGACGACCACGTCTTCGTGCCCACAATCCGCCCACAATGACATCGAGGGCCCGCGTGACGGCAAATAGCGACAGGTCTAGCGTACGGCCAGCGTACCTAGTAGTATGATGTATAGTTCCCGGAGTTAGCTCTGATTTGACAGGATTTGTCTCTTCGAATCGTTCACTCCGCCTCGATTGCAGCAACTTAAGACCTAAACAAGCCGCGACGAAAGTTGCAATCCATCTCGAGAGCCTATGACGCCCGTTAATGATGATCTCGAAGGATAGTATCGAAATAAAAATTTGGAATCTTGAGACTGGCCAAGCCACAAGCAAGTGTGACCAGCCGGATTTACTCACCTTCGCCGGGTCAGTCCCGGGATCTGGCCACCATGTCGGGATAATATACGTCGAAAGAGTATCTGAAACCGACGTTGTCAGTACGGTAAACGGCGAGAGACCAGTAGCAACTACTGGGGCACATTACGCACATCTAACAAGGTACTGCCTCCTACGAGAGCAGCGCAGAACGTAGGGAATCGTTGCAATGCCAGCCCACCGCGAAGGATGCGTCGCAGGGATACCAGGAAAGACTCGCGGGGTAGTTTGGGGATGGTGGTGTTGCTGGCATCCCTGCTCCTCCTAGTGACAAGTTGCAGTACCAGCGTGAGGAGCCTCGGCGCGACCACCGACGCGTATCCGAGTGCATAAGCACGAAGTAGAGGCCGCAAAACGGGTGGTATTGCTTCATCCCATTTGGGCCTACTTCTGGTGGACCCAGGTTGCAGAGAAGATGTCGTCATTGCGACGGGGCCAGAAGCAGTTGCCGCGCAGCGATTGGAGTTGACAAGCGGTTCGAAGCGGTTCGACAGAAAATGAGATGCAAAAGTCGAAGTGTTACCCCATCTCATGCAGTATGATCTAGAGATTTACCAGATACCCCTGAATCGACAAGGCATAACACGATGGGCCGTGGCCAGCTTCTGGGGAGATAGCAGCAGAAATTGCCGAGGTAAGATCAAGCTAATTCGTGATGTTTGGTTTGCGATTTCCGTTCCATTAATTGGGACTGCATCAAGTCCGGTTCCTTTACTAATCGAAGTGCTTGATCTCCTCAGATCCGCATAGTTCCGCTGTGAGGACAGGATAACGCAGTATAGTGTTGGATTGTATCGAGATCGCCCCTTGTGAGCCGAGAGACCGGGATGAATGGAATAGAAAGGGGTGGTAGGATGACGCGCGGTGAAAACGAGAACTCCAAAACTTGTAACATGAACTGCCGCGGATCGCAAAGAATGTGGTATTAAGATGCCAGTGGCCGAGAGTACAGAGCGTGCAAAACAAGAAAAAGCTCGTTTCCTCAGGGGGCTGATGAGTTGATGAGAGCAGATATTAATTGACGGGTTGCGCGTGCTGTAAAGATTATGCGTAATGTACTGAAAGCCTAGGTGCAAGTCAACATATCGGCAGGCCTTGAAAATTGCCGCCTCGAAGAACGCAGGATTTGAGAAACCCGAGGGATCAGGGCGCAAAAGGACGATACCCCGGATAAGCCTGTCGGTACGTTTTGCCATTCCCTGCAAGTTTGACATTGGCCCCGGAGGATGTCAGTTCCTTACGTAGTATCTATTCATGCACAAGATGGACAACCTTCTTTTTAGAATTTGAAGCATCGAAGAAGAACAAGCGAAGAACGATAAGGGTGTTTGGGGGGCTCTGCGGTCGAACGCGTTGAAGCAGCTTCAGTAACACAAATTTCTCAAGCCTGCAAGACTAGAAACAACGGGCAGCTATCGAAAAAGGCACTTAAATCTAGCCCAGTGTCTGTGGCACCGCGAAGAGCTCAATCAGAGCTCCGCACCAGGTGCTTTTCTTGCTTGACAATGCCCAGGCGTCTTTGGCCTTTGCTAGCCTTCCTGTCTTGATTCGTCAAAGTATGAGGTGGCAGGACAAGAAGACGACAGCCACTCGGAGGGAGAGTCGAGAGCCATGTTGAAGTTTGACATGTGAAAGTTAATGAACAGGGTGGGCAAGAAAAGTGTCCACCATTTCTGACTCTTGCATGCCAAGGTGAGAATCTGCAGCAAAGCACAGGCAGTCAGTATGCAATCATCGGGGATGCGAGCTTATTAGGAAAATGCGATGACAAAAGGCCGGATATTTCTCGTCAATCTCGAGCTGACATTGTAGCTCGATATGCTGCTGAGCGGAGTCGCCCAACGAAAATCGTTGAATTGCCAATGACTATACCGCTCTAGGCATTATTCCGTTTGATCGTCGCGAGGGTGAATTTTGAGTTGCCATCTCTGGGCGGCGGTATTACCGCTGTTCATTGTCATGCTTATTGTCATGCTTAGGCTCTATCCGACTCTCAGCACAAAGTAAAAAGCCAGCCGGTATGGTGGCCATAATCCAAGTAACACTCTTCCACCGCCTTTTGCTGTGTATTGAGTCTGCTACTTCGTACACGAATTACACTACCTGACACGACTAAAAGCCAGCTTCGTTAGAGCGATAGTGGCCGATTAGCTCCCGATTGCCCGATTACTTTCAAAGTATTCCTCCGTCGGGCCTTCCACCACCGGCCCCTCACTTTTTAATCTAAGTAGCATTCTACAAGCGTTGTGGCTTATTGTTGAGCTGCAGGTGACCACGGACCTTGGCCTGCTGCCAGGCCCTGGGAGGAGCGCGCGGAGTTATCAGGGTGCCTTCGGTATCCTCCAGCAAATGGCCTCGAGGTCTGAATGCGCACTTGCCATTCTTGATTTCATCACTCACCACTTTCCCAACTAACATTGACGGGGTGATCGTCACCTTTCTTCCGGAACTGACCCGGCACACCACGATAGAGGCATCAACTCCACTACCCCAACTTTTTCTTATCCAAGACACCCCTGCTTAGGGCGTGTGGACACCGGAACGGGCGCGGCACGCGGGCACCACAGCACTCAGTCTGCGGCCCTGAGCCCTGTCGGCAAGTTGGGCCGGCGACCATCTTTCCTCACCCATCCTCAATGTCGACCACACTGGCATTTTACACCAGGGCGACTATAATGCTCCAGCCCAGCCAAGTGCAGTAGTCTGCGACAAGATATCCACTCCCATTATCGGAATTACTCGCTCGACAAGAGCTTGCCGGGCTGTGACGACGTTAGCCACCGCCCTCGTCCACCGCTCCTCCAGCTGCCATTACTTTAGCTGCGTGCCATCCCCACGGGGCAGGAGCACATGCAAATTTCGCTCTCAGCTACTCACACCACCATTACCACCCCACCAAGACTCATATTTTCCCCAAAAGTCAATAGCAACGGCTCAATCCAGGCCCGCGTTGCGTTGGAAAACGTCGGCGAGAAATACCACCTGTAATTCTTGCGAGAACTGGATGCTACCGTTATTCCAACGCGTCGCCGCCTCTGATCTCAGACGCAAGAGCGTGGATATCCCTCACGTTCGAACAGGCCCCTACCATAACACTATATCTCTCGATCCATCTTGGTTCTTTCCACCGAGCTCCGTCTAGCCACCCCGCTACAAAAAGCACCCATGCTTGCCATACAGCGTCCCAGGATGGGTTCGTCGCAGCCGCCTGACGGCAATGGGCCATTTGGTTGTACGTCTTGGAGACTCGAATGCTTTTCTGCACACGCATGGACTGACTGTTACTTAGATTCCTTCATGCCCGATGATTCTCTCTTCCTCGAACCGCCCGAACCTGCTCCAGGGGAGCCTCTACTCACCCTCGAGGACGACCGAGCTCTAACCAGCTTCTTCGACCAAATCACCTCGAATCAATATAGCGACATGTCATTCGGCGAGGGTCTCAACTTCAGCGATGCATGGCACGGACTTCCCCCTCAGTTCATGGGAACGGCGACATCGTATGGACACCACCCTCCGCAGCCTATGTCCTCCTCTATACTGGACTTCGCCGACACCAACTTCAACTTCCAATTCGGGTCCACCTCGATGCCTCCCCCACCGCCGCCGCAGCCCCAACGACAGGCACCGCCACCTCCAATACATTCTCCAATCGAACAGGGCACATCCGCCGACGCTGCCGCGGTTTTGACTACCCTTCACAACGGTCACCATACACAGCGGTCCAACAGTATCAACCATGGGCCTCTTCATTCTTCGCAGCCGATGAGACCTCCTTCGAGCCACTCCATAACACAGCCGCGGAATCATTTTACGCCAGAACGGAGTAGTCCTGCTCACTTGGCAACCATTAGGGCACCAGTGCCACTTCCTGAGCAACACGATGAGAACCTCTTCGCCGACATGGCTTTCGGTACACCTCGGGCGACAAGCAGCCATAGAGGAAACCAAAACCCCGACGATGTGCGGTGGGGTACTGACACGAGTTTTACCCCCGGCCAGGGCTATGCCCCTGTATCCGACAAAGAGACGACTGAGGCCCTTGCCAATGAACGGCTGAAATACATGGAATGCCTCAAGCTGAGCAACAGTGCGGCTAACACCCGACCAGCCAGTCCTACGGTTAACGGGGACCATTCCCCTGTTAATGCGCGAGCCGGGAAGGCCAACGGCCACGCAAAGATGCCCAGTTTCTCCGAGGCACCTCGAAGACGCCGAAAGAGCAAGGCCAAGGGCGATGCCGAAGATGATGACGAAGACTCCGCTTCACCGCCGCCGAAAGTCGCCAGGAAGCGAAAGTCTAAGGTGAACTTAAGCGGAGCCGACGACACAGCATCCGTAAACGAAACCCCCGGGAAGAGGCGCAAGTCTAATGCCAACGGCTCCAAACCTCCTCGAGAGAATCTCTCGGATGAGCAGAAGCGCCAGAACCACATTCTTAGCGAGCAGAAGAGACGAACCTTGATCAAAGAGGGTTTCGAGGATCTTCAAGAGATCATCCCGAATCTCAAGAACGGAGGATACAGCAAGAGCGCTATGCTCCAACTTGCCGGCGAATGGCTGGATGACTTGATAAAGGGTAATGAGTTATTGTCACGGTAATCCAGGGATGCCAGTACCCAAAAGGCTCGCAGAGGGGCATCATTTTGATGTGTCTGTATCTGGTTGAGACTTGGGGTTTGTCTGCGACTCGGTCCTCATTGTTTTTCAACAGGAGTTTCCATGGAGGTAGGACGAATGGTTTGGCGAATTAGGGAAAGGTGGTAAATATGGGCAGGCCTTTTGCTGGGAAATTGCGGCGCATTCCTGGTTCACGATACCTTTGGGAGCTATACGGGTGGGATCTTGGGGCCGACATATAAATGTAGCCCAGGCATGGTGTTGGGGTAAGGCAGGACTGACTGATTGACTGATTGACTCTGTTGTAAATTTGCAAGACATTGTAGCTGCTAGATAGCTTATATACTTATACTAATTCAACCCCTTCTGAAGCTGTTGAATATGGAAAGAGCTATACATCAGGGAGTCCCTGTTTGGGGTGAGTTGATGAGCTACATCAACTGAACACGAGGAAATCTCGCAAAATTTACTACTATATTGAGACCGTCTGACACTGAGTTGTTTCTTATCTTGTAACGTACATCTTGGAGAGTCCAAGTTCACGATTCACACCATTTCCAAGTGTAGTATAATCTATATTCATATCCATGTCCACATCATTCCCAATCGGTTATTACTTCCAAACCATAACACCGTGATTGGATCGGGGTATCATGCCCGGCATTTTGTTTTGTTCATTCCCTGTCGTTATTCTCTTCGAAAAGGCTATTCGTTCTCACGAATCCCCCAAGACGTGGAAACGCTCGTGAGCCGACACCGCAAAAGCTGGGATCGAGTGTCCGCAGACGAGACACTTACGCGATCCACCCTCAGCCTCCCACGCCATTGTACAATCCTCTGCCTCGCTGTCCGGAAACGCGGGGTCCTCATCCTCACCTCCATCTTCGTCGAAACGCATATCCGTATACACGTTTGCCGCCGGGCCTGATGATGGAGTCTGCTGCTGCTGCTGCTTCTTCTTCTCGTCGCGACCGTCAATGCTGACCGGCGTTTCACCAGGCGCAACGAGTGTAGGCGACAATGTACCCTCGTCATAAACCTTCCACTCCCTTAACTTAGCATCCTGCGTCCGGAACATAACTGCTATATCCCTCCCGCTCCCTATGCCAGTCTCATTGCCGGTAAGCACGATATTCGTAGCGCAAATATTAATAAGTGCCAAATTCCAGCCATTACGCTCGGAATGCAGACGGGTGAACAGAGGGAGGACGGCCTCATGGACGAGCCGTTGGGCTATCTGCTTCAAGTCGCCTTGGAGGTTGAACACGAAATTTGGCAGGTATTGGCTTTTGGAGCTGCGGGTGAAGCTCTCTTTTGCTTGCTCTCCGTTTGGACCCGGTCCTGGTGGCTTTACGCGTGTCGATAGACACAGCGTCTTGGGATGGGCGAGCCATTTTTTGCCGCCGGGTTGTTCGGCGGAGGGGTCGTCGTCGACTAGGTCGTGACGCATTCTCTCAAGGAGGGAGATTGAGAGGTCACGTAGCTCGGGTAAGAGTTCCTGCGGGGTGTTTATTGGATTGGATACATATGTGTCTTCGATGCTGATCTGTGTCGGCACGTCCTGCGCCTCTTTGACCTCCATTTCGTCGACGCCGTGGAGCAAGCTCCATAGCTTCGCGCCGATGCCGCGCTCTGTGCCGGGCCGGTGGATGATTTTCTCTAGGAGCTCTGGTGACATGTCTGGGAATGCTAAGACCTCGTGTGTTGTGAACTTGGGGTGTTCCTCGTCATGGGGGACATGTTCTGCTGTTTGATAAATCGTCTTGGAAAGGATATGGTTTTCTATGAGAAGTGAAGTCTTGGATCCCAAGCCAGGGATTTTTCGTATCTGGTGGGAGTCCATGAACCCCTGAACGTCCTCATCTCGAAGACCTAGTAACGTGGTTTGATTTTTGGGCTTATGCACGCTGCCCGCCAACTTGGCCAGGACTTTGTTCGTAGACACTCCACAAGTTGAGGTGTAACCGAAGGCTTCGAGTTGGAGCCGCAGGTATCCTGCGAGATGAGACGCAAGCATCAAACGAACATAGAGCAGATTTGAAAAGCTTGCGACCTCCTTGGGATACAATTCCGGATAGGTGCACCCCAAGACACTATTGGCGCTGAACTGAAATCCCCTTTCCGGATCCAGCCGCTCCAGCTGAAAGAAGGACTCCGCTAACGCATTCGGGTTGAGTATCTGCTGATTATACTCAATAATGTCGGTCATATCCAAAAATACCTCGTCCAGTCCCAATCGTTCCACTTTGTTGTTCCAGGAGTGCGAACGCAAGAACAACCAAAGCTTCTTGGATGCAACCCGAAAGCGCGTCAGGTCCTCGCCATTCATCAGCACGAGGTCAGGACATAGCTTCTGCGCCTCCGAGATCAGCATCAGCTTTTTAACGCCTCGGGCCCTGGCGACATAGTTGCAGGTCGCGAGGATGCTCTTTTGCTTTATGCCCAGTGGCAACGACCTCAGAGCCGGGTTTTCGTTCTCGAAGACGCTGGCGTAGAAGCAGTCATAGTCCTAAGATTGTTCCAGTCAGTCATATCATTGTATGCACCAGGGGTTGTTGCATCATTATTACTCAGCAGTTCCATACTTTATGAGATTAGATACTTAAGTAAACGGTTGCGTCCTTACAAAATGCAATATGATCCTGTCGTCTCTCCGCTTAGGAATCTTGGGGGCTTTTGGTTTCTGAGGCGGCACCAACAGTCCCCGTCTCGACATGGTTTTCGTAGTGAGGCTTGGTCCAATCTTAACCCGTCTGCTCAGGACTGTGGTTGTTACGACCCAAGGATCTCTAATAACACCATTTCACTTTGGCGCCTGCTCCTGCCGCAGCGACCATGATGACTTTCGTGCTGCCCATGGGGATGCCTGAAGTGTCAGAACAGCCCATTGGAGAGTGCCAAGTCTCAGGAAAGGTGGGCTTTAGCTACTGTGCACTCGCACGGATTGGCACTGAGCGATCTGAGTGGGGTTTCCCACTACGGCCAGGCACACGCCATCGCGGAGCCACAATTGGCCTGCAAAATTTAATGTTCCAAATCTGGTTTCCTAAAATCCCAAGCACCTCGTTCCATTGAGATCAACAACATTCGGCAATGCGCATTCCTGAAGACATTTTCTTCTAGCAGTACACTTGGCGATGTCAGCCGTCTCTGTTTTAAGCAACCTGGAGAAGGTCGTATTGCAGTATCTTCCGGTTTCCGAGACCTCCCGATCCCAACCCAGCACGACCCAACCGTTCGGTAAGCGACAGGTTGGTTCGCTGGGCCAACGTACGTGATTTCGTTTCGAAGCAGGCCACACGGTGAGATAAATTTGGCATTCCAAGCTTCCGAATAAAAATAGCTTAGTCCACCGTTTACTTACTCGCGGCGGAGGAAGTGGGCCAAAACTCTGTTTTTAGCCTTGACGAGTAAGTATTCGGCGTGCGTAAGAATATAGATGGCAACATTTTGGACCAGTTTCAGAGTGGATGTCGATAGAAAAGTGCTCAATTACGGACATCAATCAGTGCTTGCTTGACAAGATACAAAGTACGAGGCCATGATCCATAGCTCACGTGTCCATATGATTCTAACCGGTTGCTGCCAAAACTTTTCCTGCAGGAATTTTCGGCTCCATTTTGACCTTCCCAAGGTAGCATGGAAGGGGGGTAGTGGAAGGCTGAGCTGAGCTGCGCAATAGACGGGTGCTCATGAAATTCCTGAAGCTGAGGGTATTACATCCATTCCATTCCATTCCATCGTACTTTGGGCGAGTCAATAGCACACTCGTCGATTCAGATTACGCGGCAGACGAGCTAGTAGCTGTCGTTCAGCCAGACGGTTCAACGATCACTAGTGGGACAAATGGACACTCGTATCGTTTGTCCTCGTATAATCCGACAACCTGGCTTGTTTACTCTCTCGGGGTTCTAGCTCAACTTGGATGCTAGCTCGCATTCTCGAGTAGTCTGTCTTTTTTGATCACCTCCGAGGCGGCATCCTTTTGCGAACTATAATCCCTATCTCGAACGACTCATATTTCCAGCAATACGCCATCGTCGCCCAAGTGCGGGGATTTCACTGTTGGTCGCCAATGGGCAGCAGATTAGACGCCGTGTGCCCAAGGCCGCATACGCGGTGAGGACCAGACAGCCGAGCTGGCAGGGCAGCTGATTGGCGCAGTGCGACCAGGATGATGATACGTTGTGGCAGAAAACCTCGGCGCTTGCGCCTTCGAGTCGCATCCCTCCTCACTTACATGGGTGCCTTTTTATAGCCAACTAACGGCTGACTTGCCACCCAGCACGTTTTGTACGGTCTCGTACTCCCCCCGTCGAGTGGACCAACCCTGGCTCTTCCGATGGCCTAGTGTCCAATATAACATATGCCCAGCAGCAGCCACGTCCTATGGACGTTGTTTCTACACATATCATCCTGCCCCCATCTTGCTTCTTGCTGGCTTCTCGCGTCTAAAATGTTTCTTCACGCTGCATCTCGCATTAGTGCAACACTTTTTGCCGCCTGACCTGGACCCAGCCTGCTTCATCCCTCTCCTCTTTCCTATCGGACAACTACTTGAACAAGTCAACTCTGGTCTGATAGATATAGCCGCCGCACCCTCCTCTCTTCTCTGTGCCTCAATTGCTATCTTTTCTACACTCTCGTGTGATACATCCCGGCTGGCTGGGAGGTTGCCTGAAAGTCCTCGTCTGCTGGTGGCACAGGCCGAGTGGCAATAATCAACAAGCTTTCTTGCGATCCTTTCATCCTATACTCTGATCAGGCTCACGTTTATCGGCCCCATCTCTCACCGTAAGCATGTCGGCTTCCGGCTCCACCAAGAGGCCCCGGCTATCTCTTCAAATCAAGCCAAACACGGGAACTAGTGGCCGGCCGGCGAAGAACTCAATTGCCCGCAGTGATCCAAAGTCACCGACGGCATTCAACACTCTTTCCAATGTCTACGTCACAGCCATCGAGAGATCGACGCCGGTTCAAGCCACCCCCTTGACAGCCATCAACCTCGGCGAGTCTTCTCTGAAGCTACAGTCAAACCACGACGCTCTAAAAGACATGAAACAGAGGATACAAACTCCACAGGCCGCCAAATATCCCGACACGCCGCTTACGGCTAACCCAGCATCACCTATGCAAATGGAATGGATGTTCCCGAGCACCATGACAGCGACGCCGCCTCTTTCGGCAGGGCCGGTCGATCCATCGGGTTCGAAAGTGTTTTCATTTGCGCCCAACGATGTACCGAGTCAAGTGGTCCCGACATCTCCGGCCCAGTCTCGCCGTCGTGTCACATATGTTCCTCTGGCGCCAGGCTCCAAAGCGCCGTATATCCATCCTCGAACATTGCACAGTATCTTGCGCAACTCACCACTACCCCCATCAAGTGCCAAAAGCCCGGTCTCGCCCAGGAGGCAATCTCTTCGATTGCAGGAAAAAGCAGCCCGCCGCGTCGGCTATGAAAGCCCACTAGAGCAAACCATTACGACCGAAAAGTACACCAAGTCACACATCGACCTGCTTGTCGAAGAGGCCTCGCCATGGTCAGCTTCACCAATTGTGGAGGACTCGGACATGATGTTGGACCTCACCATGGCCTACACTGGTGATGAAACTCGCGATGGTGGGCAAACACCTGGGCCTTTTGAAGAGATGCGTAGAAGGATGGCCGGGCTGGGGACAGAAACACTTGTGTCGTCGCCGAGGCCAGGAGGCATCAGGAAACACAAAAAGAAAGAGAAGAAGCGACGATGGGTGTGGACCATCGGCCAAGATGGTGAAGAAGACGAAGGTGGCGCCATTGCTGCCATCCGAGCCGCAGCCGATGCCAGTACACCCAAGGTCTCCGTGCCTAAGATCTCAGTACCTCTGAAGGCTGCCACACCTCGGTCTGCTTCGGTGCCGAAGCTTTCAATGTCCATGAAGGCGACCACGCTGGAACCTATGACGGCGGTCCAGATCAGCGTCGAGCATGCGGACTCGGAGTCGAAGAACACCAGGATGGACGTTGACGTTGACATGTCCGATACCAGCAGCGTCTTCACGACGAGCAGGGCCACGACACCGTTTAGCGTCGACTTGGACCATGCGAAGACGCCGACGGCCATGTTTGCCAACTCGGTACTCGCCAAGGTGGAACGGCTTGGGTCGGTGGATTTATTCAATTCGGAGACTGGGAGTAGGAGGGACACGCCTATCCCACCTGATTTGCTGACGAGCTGAAGTTCTTTATTAATAAGTTGGATTATTAATGGACGGTCAAAGATTGAGAACATTTCCGACCAGACAGAATACTATAAGTGCCCAGACAAGTGGAGAGAGAACTCACGACCATGGACACGTCATGATTTTATATGCATACCGCGAGGCACAAAGGGAGCATTGGGGGTAGGTCAGGGTAGGAGGATTGATACCATCTGTAGAATAGTTTCAGTGTGAGGATATGCATCGAGCAAACTAGAACTTGAATGAGACATGCCGAATATGAACAACCTTAAATAATTTTCATAGTCCCAATGAAGCGTTTCGAGATTGGGCCATCGAGTAGCGTGAGCGAGCAGTATATGGAACAGATACCCGAGATTTGAATTCGAGATTGTGCAAATCTCGTGGTCTAGTCTGACACAAGAAAGGTGATGCCAGGAGCCTCACCGCCGGGGTCTGGACCTTACGAATGAACACCAATCAACAGATCGGCAAACCCTGTTCCCGATAAGCGCCGTCACATTGGAAATGGGCGTTGAGAATCGCCAATGGAAAGAACAAACGCCTTGACAAGATGTGTAGGGCACTGATGACGCAAACTGCTCATCCTTGTTGTAGATCGCCCTAATTCTCAACATCCCACCTGCACTAGCAGCAACATTGAGCGAGCTCCTAGCCCAAAACTGCATACTTTTCAGCTGAACACCAACCCGGTCAAAGCAAACTGATCAAAATCGACGATCGATCGCACTTCTTTCCAGACTACTGTAGTTTTATCTGCTCAAATTGTCAGTCATGCAATCTTGGTCATGCAACGTTTTATTATTCAGTTTCATTTCCCGGGGAAAGCTGTGTCACCCGCTCGTCCATTCAAGCTGTGAAATGAGGGACACAGACACTCATGCGGGATGCCCTTGGGTGCAATGTAGGAGACAGCAAACTTATAATGAACGCATGTTGTTTCTTGTTGAGAGCTGAATTACCCCACATTGTCCCAGCTTAACCAACCTGCTCATGTTCCACAAGCGTCTTGGAGGCCGGAGCATTTCAGTGCTGCAAAAGCTGCAGGTGCCTTGATATTCATTTAGCAGGAGCTACCACCACCTACGTCATTACCTGCCTTGGATGATATACAAACACGTCTGGCAGTAGCTGAATGATGCAATACCGGCAGGTTGGGCAGCTCTCCCAATTAATTTCAAGGGAGGAGAAGCTTATATCTATTGATTCTTATGAAGCTTGAATCACCTACACCTCTCTCTCCGATTGACCTACCCTTTTGGTAGCATCCGTTCCCACGATCCATTCTCTGCCCCCATCCCCCACCTCGAGCGACTGGTCCTACTGGTCGCCCTACCCTTACAATAATCAGCTATACCCTTGTCAAATCGCTTAGGTCTTCCTCTCATTGGCACCGTGCACAATGACAGATCAAGAGCAAAGGGCGCCCGGTGGCCATTATTCTGGTCGGAATCGCATTCCTAACATTCAGCAATTCGTGGCCAGTCTCGATAGGGACAAGAAGGAGCGAGATGCAAAGATCGATGCGTCTGGCCAGGGCGGGGGCCAGAAGGTCGCACAACCGCAGGTTCAGCAGAAGAACAGTACAAACCGGAAAACTGTGACGGATCCTGTTACAGGGAAGGAGGTCGAGATCGAGGATGTTGATATTGATTTTGAAAAGGCTGCAGACGAGCCATCGGTGAGTATAAAGTTGTGATCTTGCCATAAACCCCAACTAAGATGTCTTCTAGCTGTCTGTACCCAATGCCAACTTGGGCAAAGATACTACGGTCAAAACAGATGTTACACAGTCGGGCGAGGAGTACAAACGCAACCAGGACATTACTGCGCCCCCGGATCCAGTTGCGACCGGATCAACGTCAGATGTTCCTATCCATGGCGAGAAGACAAATATCCTGTTCCACCCAACGCCTTCTGTCACCTACGATCCCATGTACAATATGATCGAGAAGCGAGCAACAATACTTTGTGCCGCCGTGTTCTTGGTCATCATTTCCGTTGGGAAGATCTTTGGAGGCCGGCTGCTTGGCTTGATCCCACTGGCCATTTGCGTCTCTTCTGGAATTTTCTTATGGATGAAAGATGTGGTGAGACAGGGTAGGGATATCGAATGGTCGAGCGAGCAGAAACGTGGGGAGATGGCAACCGCCAACTTGATCCCGGAATCCGTCGAGTGGATGAACACACTCCTCGGGATCGTTTGGGGCCTCATCAATCCAGAGATGTTCGCCGCTGTGGCCGATACTCTTGAGGACGTTATGCAGGCCTCGGTACCTGGCGTCATTGAAAACGTTAAAGTTGCCGATATCTCTCAGGGCAACAACCCGATCCGCATCCTGAGTCTCCGTGCTCTTCCCGACGATCACATGAAGGATATCAAAGATGAGATGCATAAGAACAACGAGAAAATTAAGGACCCGCAGGAACTTGCTGCGGACGAAGAAGGTGGCGATTATTACAACCTCGAGTGCTCATTTGCATATCATGCCAAACCCAGCAATGGCTCTGTTTCTGCTAAGGCCGCGAACATGGGCATGCAACTGGTTTTTTACCTTGGTGTGAAGGGGCTATTTGGTGTACCCCTTCCGATCTGGGTCGAGTTGATCGGGCTTGTTGGAACCATACGTTTGAGATTGCAAATGTCTCCAGAACCGCCATTCCTCAAGGCTGTCACGTTCACCCTCATGGGCGTACCGAAGGTCCAGGCTGGTTGCACCCCAATGATAGAACGCGGGGTGAACATTCTGAATCTTCCGCTCATCTCCAACTTCGTCAACTGGGCAATCAAGACAGCCGCGAGCATGTATGTCGCTCCCAAATCGATGACGCTCGACTTGGGCAAGATGCTGCAAGGAGACGATATCCAGAAGGAGACCAACTCTCTGGGAGTAATCTTCATTCGCATTCGCAAGGCTGTCGGGCTCTCGAAGCAAGATCGTCGTGGGTCGAACGGCGGTGGGTCAGATCCCTACATCACAGTCAGCTTCTCCAAATTTGGAAAGCCAATGTATTGTACGCGAGTCATCCAGGATGATCTTAATCCTATTTTCGAAGAGACTTGTGCTCTTATGGTTACGTCAGATCTCATTAAAGCAGACGAGCAACTGTCCATGGAGTTGTGGGACAGTGACCGTTCCAGCGCCGATGATGTTGTAGGCAAGGTTGAGCTGTCGTTGCAGAAACTCATCCAGCATCCTGGGAAGATATACCAACAGGTTTCAAAGCTGAAAGGAGTGAAAGCGGAGAGCGAGATGCCCGGAGAACTCCACTGGGAAGTTGGTTTCTACGGCAAGACTCAATTCCGCGCCGCACTCCGTACTGATGGCAAGGACGTCAATCTGCCCAAGGAGCTTCGTGATGCTAAGGAACTGCAAGATGATAAGGGCACTGTGGATAACGCTGAGGAAGATGCTGTCACGCATACCCCTCCCGATCCGTTGTGGCCTTCTGGCATCCTGAGTATTGTCGTCCACCAAATTGTCAATCTGGAACTTGCAAACACCCAAGGCTCCAAGGGCGGTAAGAGGAAGGGCGGAAAGGAATACGAACCTGCAAGAGATGCTGGTGAGATCAAGGAAGAGTCGAGCAAGAGTCTTCCCAGTGCTTACTGCACTATTCTACTCAACGACGAATTGGCGTATAAAACCCGAACGAAGGTGGTCTCCTCTAAACCAATTTACAACGCAGGTACTGAGCGTTTCGTACGAGACTGGAAGTCGGCTGTTGTTACAATTTCAGTTCGTGATTCGAGAAACCGAGAACATGATCCAATCATTGGTGTTGTTCCGCTCAAACTGAGTGACATCTTGCAGACAGCCTCTCAGGTATATACTGTTCTAAAAAGGTATTTTATAACAGAAGCTAACATGATATGCTAGACAACTCGATGGTATCCCTTGGATGGTGGTATTGGCTTTGGACGCATCCGCGTCTCCCTTCTTTTCCGCTCCGTCGAACTTCAATTGCCGCCCCCTCAGCTGGGCTGGGACGTTGGAACATTCGAGTTCACCTCAGACCAGATCACTTCTACATATTCCGACAAGGGCAAGATTAAGTTGCGACTAAGAACTGGTGGCAGCTCTGTGAGTTTGAAGCGCGAACAGTGCACTGTGGAGGTCGGCAATGTAACATGGAACATCACTGGTGATGAGAAGCACAACAAGCCACGACTCCCTGTTCGATACCGCTACCGCTCACCGGTGTTCTTTGAATACCATTTCAGTGGAAAGCGTCATACAGATATTTTCTCCGCAGTATGGCTGCAGGAACTTGTTGACGGCGAAGAAAAGGATTTCGACCTTCCTATATGGCGGTGTAATAATGGGATGCGTCTATCCCAAAATTACATCACCGAGGACAACTTCCACGATATCCCTGACATGGAGATGGAAGTAATCGGTCGCCTGCGGTTCCGCGGCCGCTTCAAGGCCGGCACTGACCGTGACCACCTCCGCTTCGTCACGGATAACGATTCGAGAGAAACCATTGAGACTTGGGAGGCCTGCTTTGCCGAAGGCGTGCGTCATGAGGAGGTGTCTAATGAGATACCTCCGGTCATTCAAAAATTGCACGACGACTCCTTGACCCAGGGCCGTGACGTTCTCGCCACCGCCAGTGAAGAAGACAAGCAGCGCTGGCTCGCCAAAGACGGCACCGACTGGTCCAGCGCCTTCGGCTCTGACCCTGCCCGCCTAACACCCGGCGTCAGTGGCTATGACGAGGAACCAGACTACGAGTATTCAGACGATGATTCAGAAGATGCTAGCGCCGATTCTCCGACCCAGGGCGTGCGACACCAGGTTACCGACCTGGGTATCAATGATGGGTCAACGAGCAACGTCGCCGTTGACGGTAGTTCCGCCCCACGTGGAAGTGGTGACTCGGAACTAACTACATCTACCACTACTGGAAGTTCCAGGTCGAGCAGTACTAAGAGCAGTAAGAACCCCGTGAACCAATACAAGGAGTACAAGTCACGGAGTCGCGATCTGCACCGTCAGCAGAGAGGGCTCATGCAGTGGAGGCCGATGCGTACTATGGCTTTTGCGAAGGATGAGGCCAAGTATGCGATACGACGCATGACGAAGATGGGGGCGCTAGACGGAAGACAGCCGGATGTGGAGACTGAAGTTTGAGGTTTGGCAAGTTCATGACGGATGGTAATACATAATGATCGGTCATTTCGTTGCTGTGTCTTTCCTCAAGGACGTTATGAAGATGCGAAATTTTAATTCTTGGTCTTTCACGCACGGTATGGAAGATTGGTCGGTTGACTGATCGATTGGCAAAACGAATGGTTACAGGGAACAGGGCTTCTTGCTTGTACACGTAGTGTAAAATAGGTAGGATGACATACGCAGAATGAGATATCGAATGAGTAATATACCATGCTTATCACCTAATCTCGTGAGTTGTGTATCAGCTGCAGAGAGGGAAAAAGAAATTGATAATATTAAAGTTTTGTGAACCTGAATTCGACCATTATTAGAATGTAGTAGTGAACTGCTACGATACTGAAGAAAAGTGAAGGGGAAGTTGCTTATCGCGTCCTCGGGCTGAAGAGAGCACAGTGTTGTAAGATACGATTTTTGAAGCGGTATAGCGCATATACGACGATCAGTAGTTGGTTGTATTTATGTTGCAGAAAGTACTAGCATTCTGATAGGCGCCCTGTTCAATCCAGCAGGCAACAGCAGGCTTTAGGATAGAGCGGCCGATATAGTAAGTGATATAGCAGAGAGGAATCTCGACTTGTTCTTATCCTATATCACCAACCGTACTTCCAGCTATCTGGATTGAGGCACTTTATTAGAGGAAAGGTGGTGGGGTTTGTAAGGAAACCGAGTAGTAGAGGCATTCAATGTGATTATCTATTTAGATACTTGGGTCTAATATGTTTCCCTGAGAGTGTGAGATACAAGTTGATACATACTTGCTTTAATAAGGAGACCAATAGTTGACCACTCCAGTAGGAAGGATTCAACACACATCAAAATGATAATGCGCTAGGGACAACTTGACCAACATCTGTACTGTATCTTATATTACCATTATCACAATTAGTTGTAGTCGGTTGCTCATGTATTAAATCGGTTTTACGATGTCCACTAACCTGGCCCCTTCACACCCATCCAATGTGCTCGGATTCATCTAGCATGCTGCAACAGCCCCTAATTGTCCAGGTGCATGGCGAAAGCCCCGCCCTTCAGACCATCTCCTAGATCCTAACCAGCTCCGGTGCGTACTTCATTATTGGTGCGCTTAATGGCGTAACTTCGCACCGACAAATATCCACGACGGTCAGTGTGCGTGTGTGTTTCTGATGTACGCCCTAAATTCGCACATGTCCACATTTGCGATGAATATGCGCCTTCCGGAGGCAATTTCCCACTTTTCCTCCGGGCTAACGTATACTCTTAGCGAGCATGCAGACTGATACTCCTGACCAGGAATTAGATGTCGTAAACCAACAAGAATACGTCTAGCTGCGTACAGTCCGCTCAACGCTAGTTGAAGTTCAAGTGGAGTTGTCGCATAGAGACCTAAGTGACATTGCGGAGGCGTGGTTCTCTATTGTGTTTGCGTAGTGGATAATGCTCTATTACTCGTCCCGAAATCACAGGTAGGTCCTGATATCAGACTTGCCATCAGTTACAACCAAGGGTGATCTGATGGTTTTGTCATCTCGAGGCGAAGATAGCATTGTGCGAGTTGAGTTGCTGTCCCAGGGTTCAAGCGCCTCCGCAATTGCCACAACAATCTGCATGGACGTCATTGTGAACTCCATAGCGCTCAGTGTGAGGGACATTGCCGGTTGATGTAATTATAGTCGAAGGCAGACAGTACGCCAACCAGGTGGGTGACTGTAGCGAGTACTACCAGGACGTGGAAGATCTGGTGAGACGACCCGTATAAGTCGAATTTGCCCGGTTTCAAACGTTCAGGAAATCTTGTCTAAACGTTGTCAGTACGCTTTGTGGAATACCAGCCTGGATGGCCCACTCTAGTGTAATATCAGTTGAAGACTTACGGCATATACAACCGCGCCTAGCAAAAACAGGCCTCCTTCGATAAGATAATACAGTAACCCAGACTGTAGCAGCATCTGCGGAAAGCCAAACATATAGATACCATGGGCGATAGGTGCAAACCCGGATAAGCCAGTACACACGAGAGTCAGGAGGCGAAAAGTGCGCCAGCGGCTGCCTTGGAACTTTGGGTGCAGCATAACGAACAGCGAGAGAGCACCGAGTCCGCCGATCTAAACAAAGCAGAATTTGAGCACACTTTTCTAATAGAAGCAGGTTGTGGCAGTATACCTACCATTCCCCAATAAATGTTTCGTTGTAAGTTTTCACACCAGAAACCTACATATATACCGGAGACGAAAGAACCCAGAATCAGGAGAATGATTCCAGAAAAGTCTAACCGCAGCCATATCGACTCGACTTTCTCAGAGTGACTGATAAGGGTATGATACGCAGCAGAAAGCCCGAAACACGCAGTTGCGGTCAAGAGAAAGAAGGCAAGGACGAAGTAGTCTCCGGCAGTGACTCTGGAATACCTGCGGTGGAGAGGCTCGAGTATGTAAGACTCTCCAAGAAGGAAAGCTACCGAAGGCAACAGGTGAGAATGGATGTTGACTAATTCATTATGTACGTAGAACCAGCTTCGCAAGCAAGTCTTGGCTGACTCGGAGACTGGTCGATAGCCGTGTCTAATGAATTGATTGTCTCTGTACCATTCTGGTAACTCGTTAAAAGAAAGCAGACAGAAATGATGGTTTGAGTGGATAGTTCTGGTTGCAGAAAATGGCTCGAAATGTCTCTCTTCTTTATCCCCGGAGTCGGGGCTTCTCGTCTCAGTCTCATAGGGCATTTTCGATTGCCTTCGAGAGAGAGATTAGGAGGATACCGTTTGAAAGAAGCATAGGGGGAATGTGTGGAGAGAATCATCAACTAGACTGGATATGCGATATTTAATTCTTTGTAGTTACTTCTCAATAACCGAAATCAACTGGTCCTATTCTGGAAGAACTGAGAAAGGACGACCATAATGAACCAGGATATTGTCGAGTTTTCCCGCAATTCCGACCGGTTCGGTCTTGGAGAGGGGGGTCGGATCCACCAGTGATTGCTTATGAAGAAGACTCGGCCGAGCTCATACAGCATCCTTCTGCGAAACGACCAAGTGTTGAGTATCTTGTAATTGACAATGCCATGTCGTCGAACGATTGCGAATAGATATGCTATGGCCATGGGTTAAGCGTTGGTTCAGCACGAACATTCTTCTCAATGGCTTGTGATCAGCTTGGATGTCTATTACCGGCCAGACCAAATAAAACGATCAAACGCAAGAAACAAAGGAGGACAGAAGCACGACTTCTGATCATTAGTGATGTGCCAACCTGACCACTCATTCCCTCCATTGTCCATGTTCATGCAGTTGTTCACACCATTGTTGGGGAACTTTGGCTAAACAAGTATGTACGGAGTAGTCACCAGTTGATCACTTGCTGGCAGTCGAGGTTCGGATGCACAACAGCAGGTACGTAAAATGTGTGGGTCGGAATTAGAGCAATGGCTTGGAGAGCTCGGGTTCACTGGTCACGGGCCTGTGCCACATGTATGTGATGATGAGGGCCTGTGCACCACGGACCACGGACCGTTCACTGGGTTGGGGTGGCTTGCAGCTCATCTTACAAGCAGGTTGAGTGGCCAGATGATGACCAGGGTTGCTTGTCAACATCATTTCTACACACTTTCCCACGGTCGAATCACCACCAACGGCTCGTGTGCTGTGATCTACATCTCCTTTTTGTCCATTTTGCGCACTTCGGAGGGTGTCCGGCGATGGCATAAATTCTTCTTTGTCTTTGTGGTAATATTCAAGCTCCATCGTTGCTTCTGACACAGTATTCCGTAAATATGAACGGACACTTTGCTTCTGTGGGCGACGAGTCGACAAAGGCCGACTACGAACATGGCGTCCAAGTCATTGATGAGGACAAGGAGTTCAAGTTTGTGTCCCCACGCCATGCGCAAAGCATCGTGGACGACGTGCTATAATACTGACACGTCATCATCATAGCCCCAAAATCAACGCGTATCTGCAAGCAACCAATGTAGCTGACGCTGGCTTCAATTACCACCTCATCTCCGTCTTTGGCTCCCAGTCGACCGGCAAGTCAACACTGCTCAACAACCTCTTTGGTACCGACTTCAATGTTATGTCCGAGACGGAACGTCGACAGACCACCAAAGGAATATGGATGTCAAAGAACAAGAAAGGGTCCATGGCCGACAATATTCTTGTCATGGACGTCGAGGGAACCGACGGCCGAGAACGCGGTGAGGATCAAGACTTCGAAAGAAAGAGTGCACTCTTTGCGCTGGCCACAAGTGAGGTTCTGATCGTGAACATCTGGGAACACCAGGTGGGCTTGTACCAAGGAGCCAATATGGGGTTGTTGAAGACGGTCTTCGAAGTCAACATGATGCTGTTTCTTAAGGACAAGCAGTAAGTCTTGGTGGTGAACTCCTGCTTATCCGAAGGCAACTGACAGGTTGGACACAGGTCAAACCCTCGATCACTTCTCTTCTTCGTGATCCGCGATCACATCGGTCATACTCCGCTTTCAAACCTGCGAAACACTTTAATACAAGATTTAGCCAAGATCTGGTCATCCATCTCGAAGCCTCCCGGCCTCGAGAACTCGCGCATAGAAGACTACTTTGATTTTGCTTTCTCCGCCTTGCCCCACAAGATATTACAGCCGGAGCAGTTTGTGGCCGAGGTCGGCAAGCTAGGCCAGCGATTCGTCACAGCAAGTCGAAGTGGAAAGCCGCAAGGCGAGCATGGTGATCACGAATTTGACGGGGGCATTCTCCTGCCTGAATATCACAGAAGGATTCCTGCCGATGGCTTTTCTATCTATACCGAAGGCGTTTGGGACCAAATTGTCAACAACAAAGATCTCGATCTGCCAACCCAACAAGAGTTGCTGGCACAGTTTCGATGCGACGAGATTGCCCGCGAGTGTCTCGTGGCATTCGACGAAGTCATCTCTCCCTTGGAGGAAAAGCAAGCTGAAAGCGCTCGCGTTGGCAAGCCGTTTGTGCTTCCGAAGCTGGGTGCCACGGGTAGCGCGGCTCGGGAGAAGTGTTTGAAAAACTTCGAGACGTCAGCCAGCAGATACCACAAGGGCGTGTACAAGCGGAAGCATACCGAGCTAGAAACGAAGCTCGACCAACGCTTAAAAGCTCTCTACCATGGTCAATTGTCCGCTGCTCACAAGTCGGGTGTGGCCACTTTCAGCGAAGCCGTTTCGGGCGCCGTGAAGGCGGGCCAAAAGTCAGGAGGCTCCTATGAGTTTGCAGAAATCGTTGACACGGAGAAGCAGAAAACACTGGAGTTCTTTAAGAAAGAAGCACAAAGTCTGGCCATTGCGAACGTGCCCTGGACCAATTTCAAAGCACAGTTCCTTCTTTTCGGCAAAGAACTAGATGAAGTTAGTGCAAGGCTGAGAAAGGACGAAATGCGGAGATTGGCTACCAGAGTCGAACGCTGGGTCAGGTCGCGACTTGGGGATGCTGTGGGTCTAGAATTCAACAAACTCGGTTCTGGCAGAGGTGGCTCCGGAGCCCCCGAGACAGGCGAGAAACCCGCAACCGAGAAGGATTTGTGGGATCGAATCTGGAACGTGTTCATCACCATCGTTGGGGAGGCTGAAGGTCGCTTTGCCGATAGAGCGAAGAGCTTCGAGGCAAGTCAAGACGAGGTGGATGTCGGCTTGTGGCGGCTACGTCGCAAGAGCTGGGTCGCGTTGAGAGAAAAGATCGAGGAAGAGGTCATGGAAGGCAACATCCTGCTCAAGCTTCGCGAGAACTTCGAGGACAAGTTCCGATACGACGAAGCTGGAGTTCCGCGGATATGGCGCCCAGCGGACGACATAGAGGGTATTTACACCAAGGCGCGGGAGTCGACTTTGACACTTATTCCTCTCCTGTCCAGATTCAGGCTGGCAGCTACCTACGCCGCGCCTGATCTGCCCGACTTCGTTGGTCACCAACCTCGAGGTGTTGAAGCGGGGGATGAAGATGACCTCACTCCCATCGGCGGGGTCGACGAAGAGGACGGCAAGAGCCTGGAAGAGGAAATGACGGTCCTCAGTGAGGGAAAGCGCCAAGATCTTGTGGTCAGATTCAAGAAGACTGCAGATGGTGTGTACGTTGAGGCCAAGCGCAGCGCCATCGGTGGAGTCGCTCAGGTGCCACTGTACTTCTACGGATTACTTTTGGCACTTGGATGGAACGAGATTATCACCGGTGAGTTTTCTCTATTTGATGCTAAGGACCCATCCATCCATCATCCATGTTAACTTGTTGCAGTGCTTCGAAACCCGATGCTCTTCCTCCTCATGATCATCCTTGCTGGAGGAACTTACGTTGCCTACACTCTGAACCTCCTGGGCCCAATGATGCAAATGAGCAGTGCTGCTTGGGGCCAGGGACTAGAGATTGGAAAGCAGAAGCTCCGTGAGTTCCTGGAGAGCAACGAGACTGCCAGACAAGCCATCGCCATGCCTTCGCGTAGAGATAGCGACAACATCAGCATGGACACATTGGATAGTCGAGGAAAGAAAGCATCACGAGCCGCCGCCGATGACGATGACGACATTTGATATCATGAGTTGAGAAAAGGAAGCAGGACGGGGGCACAGGACAGGACACAGGATAGAGTATATCTTCATTAGTATCATGACACATCCCATTCGGAATGGACTGCGTTCGAGACACTGGGTGCATACTACATGTCATACTCATACTGTCGTGAAAGCTAAAACGCTTCGAGTCCGGCAGGGGTACCAAACCAGGTGCCAAGCTCATCTGCATCCTTTTCCCTACTGCTGTCGGTGAAGAAACTCGTCAAGGAACTCATTCCCTCATCTTCGTCCGCCGGCCAATCTACTTTAACACCACCCTTGCCTTCGAGCATGTCCTTTGCTGTGCCCCAACTAAACCTGCATTCTGGCCCCCAGCCAAAAACGGGGTGCATATTTCTCCTCAACCACGACGTACAACGAGCATCAGACGGGTATCCTGAACCCCAAGTCTTACTCTCGCCCTTTTTGCCTCCGTTCTCGTCTCCCGTCTCCTCATCCCCGGCCCGAGCCTCATACAGCACCTCGAGAGCCGCATCGCGCGTCACCTTGGCGCACACGCTCGCCGCGCTGACGCAAGGGTATAGACTATCCGCCTTCTTGGCGACAGTGATTTTGGCCGCAGGAAACACACGCTCGAGCTTCTTCTGGTACGCGGCCGGCTGCCCAATGGTATCCACATATATTTCTTGGATGTTGACCCCCCGTGCAAAGACCCCCTCGATCAATTCGATCGTCGCGTCCATCGCCTGGGCATTTAAATTGTACATGGATGTCGGCTTCAGCATGTTGGCGCCAATGTCGCGTGCCGACAGCGCGGAAACGGCCCAGCCGCTCGAGGAGTGGAGGTCGGATCCTGATGTGCAGAGAGTCTCCATTAGCGAGCTGCGCACGGCGGGCGTAAGGACCTTGCTGTCGTCGAAGTGGTGTGCCATTTTGAGTAATGGGTCGGAGAGTGGGAGCGGGAGGTAGAAGATGCCGTAGACCATGGGGCCTAGGACGGGGCCGCGGCCGGCTTCGTCGACGCCGAGGCAGCAGGGTAGCCCTGGGGTGGAGGATGAGTCTTCGGTTTGGGAGGGGAGGAGGGAGGGGGGTACGGGGCTGAAGTGGGTGTAGGAGTTGCCGGTGAGGAGGGCGGATCGGTTGATGGATGGCGGGACGAAGACGTCGGAGGTGGGGGTTTCGAGGGCAATGGCGTCGTCGTCCATTGGGGAGTCTTCCATCTTGGTGGAATAGGTGCGGTTGTGTGTCCTAGAAGGGCTGGTTGGATGTCTGTTTCAAGAACAAATACAGTTATTCGGCGTTGTACTTCTGAGGTAACTTCAATTGCGATCTCGAACTATGCAGTCGAGGAAGGAACTATTGGTGTACTTCGTAAAGTGGTTTGTAGTATGACGCGTCTGGTGCCTTCCGCACGCGTCTGCGCCTGAATTGGAAGCGGCGGCCAATCAACTCCTTAGAGGCATACCAACACCTGGAAATAAACACCGTGCGGCTCCACCCCGACTTGCACACTTCCACGCGTCTTCCACCTCCATCTTGTGATACATCATCACATTCTGGCTTTTTTGGCTCAACTTTCTAATTTTTGTCTATCTCCACACAGATACAGAGCTCGGGCGACTCTCATACCATTGATTATGGCACCCGTGCGACAGGCGCAGCGCCGCAACCCGTCGTCGCAAGGCGATCATGTCTACGCCCTAGGGAAGGTTGGAAGGTACGAACAAGCTGTCCAAGAAGGATATGGACGTCGGATGTGCGTGTACTGACATCGCGACAGGAGAACTGGTGTGACCCTGGAGGATACTGGCGTGCGCGACGAGTATGGCATGGGCCCAGCCGACGGCTTGTTTTCTTCGCCAGAAAAGGAAACCAATGGATGGAATCAGACGGCGTCCGACGACGAGCAGGACATGGATATTGACGAAAGTATGGGCAACTACACTTGCGAGTTTGGGTATCGACTTACACGTCACAGGTTCTCAAGTAATGGGCCCCCAGACTATAGCCAAGCTACGACGAGAACGGCTTTCTATCCCACGCGCGCGCTCACCAATGAAGACGAACCTCAATTCGCCGGCTATACATAACCTACGTCTCGCGCCCTCGTCTTCGCCAACCCGAGGCTCTATCGTCCATGAACCCGAAGCTCATCGAGCCACGTCGGTTAAGCGCCGCCTCGACTTCTCTGCGGATCAGCAGATGAAGCCTCCTATGAATGGATATTCGAAAACTGTCGGCTCCAAATCTCAAAATGGCAGGGTGGTCAATGGACATGACGAGGAGGACTCGGACGACGATGAGGTTCTACAAGGGCGTAGCGCAAACCCACCAGAGGTGGAGGAAGAAGATGAGGAGGAGGAGGAGGAAGAGGAATCTATGCAAGTTCTGGATCCAGGCGGCGACGATGAGGATGTCGAGCCTCCCGTGCAAGATGACGAGCCATCTGTGGAAATGGAAGCCGAAGAGTCAGAAGCGGAGGAGGAGGAAGAGGAGGAAGTCAAGCAGCCCAGAAAGAGGAGTCGCAAGCCCAAAGCAAAGGAGGTGGAAATCTCAGCTGTCGAGAGAGCTACGCCAGAACCCGATGAGGTTGAGGACGAAGAGCCGGTGACAAAAAAGCGAGGCCGATCGGCAAAGAATGCATCAAAGGAGGTACCGGAACCTACCTCCGAATCTTCGAAACATCGACCATCTCGAAGGAGTTCGTTGAGTGAAGATAACGATGTATCTGAGGAAAGGGAGGCAAAACGACCGCGTACCGAAAAAAAACCCAAAGCGAGCAAGGTCGCGGCATCGAAAGCACCAGCTACGAAGGGCAAACCAGGGCGCAAGCGTAAATCATCTGCTATTGGAGTCGACTCCCCACAAGTCCAACGTGGTCCTCCGCCACCGAGGGCGCGAGGGCTCGTCTCTTTGAAAGCAGATCGAGCTGCTACGAAAACAACACGTTCTGGAAGAGTTTCATTCCAACCTTTGCAGTTCTGGAAGGGCGAGCGTGTCGAGTACGACACCGAAAACGAGGAGACTATCGAAGACAAGGGCCGTTGCCGTCATATCAAGATTGGCGCTAGTATCAAGGAGATTCGCCGTATTGAGGAGGAAGAGGCGTCCAATAAACCCAAGAAACGCCGAGGCAAACCAGCTAGCGGCCGGTCGCGACGACGTGTTTCTGAAGCGGACGAGGATGACGAAGATCGAGAGGACTGGGAGATTGACCCTGGACAGGTAGCAGGCGAAGTCATATACTGGCGTCGGGAACATGAACTCAACCCGCCACAAGAAGAGGATCAAGTCGAGGTTGAGGATCAAGAGCTCGCCATTTCGCATAACGCGGTCCAGATGAAGGACATCAAGGACGCAACTTTCCGATTTGCCAAGACTTTGACCATGCCCTTTTTTGGGACTGGTATCGTCGACTTGCCGCCTCACTCGGAGAAACGGCCAAAGAATGCTCGGAAGATGCAGATGGTCTTCTTCGTGCATTATGGCAGTGTTGTGGTTACCATCGCCCAAACTGTATTTCGAATTACGAAAGGAGGTCATTGGTTCGTGCCAAGAGGTAAGTCGATATTGGCTCCCGTGTGTCTTGAGAACAAACAAGCTCATCCTTGCAGGAAATCACTACAGCATTGAGAACGATCGAGACCGACCAGCAAGAATCTTCTTCGCCCAGGGGTGCGAGCTACTGGTGCCCGCAGAGAGTCAGGAGATGTAGCAAGTCCCTGACGCAGGTCAACACAGGCAACCGACAGTGAACGACGTGGCGGATAGGGTCCGCAGATGGATGGACCAGAGCGTGTGAGTTTCTGTGAGAATACCTGGACTGTTGCATCGCAAGCTGAGTGGCGTTTTTGGAACCCAGACGAGAAGATACCAAGTTAACGATCCCATCGCGTCAATGACTTTTGTCTGAATATCAAATACAAGTCAATTTTTGGTCAATTCTGATTGGCCTCGGCGATGATTGGTTGAGGTGCTCCTCGACGTGCATTGGGCTGCGGCAGAGTCATGCGGCAGACTTAGCAGAGCCTGATCCAACTCCAAGTCCTTTGATCTTTCGTTTCCTTTTTTACTCTCCTGGCTCGAAGCGCCGTACCTTTTTGCACCGTTGGCCTTCATCGTGCTATCGGAAATTACGAGCTACGAGCGAGTATTGCACGTACCTAGTACTTGCAAGATTCCAAACCACGGATATACGGTACGTATTGACAAATCACGGCTACCGGCCTTCCAAAGGCGAAGAGTCTATCTGCGGACGCAACCAAGCCACGGAAACTTGGCAATGCCCGGAGGCATTACGGCAACGGCAGAATCTCATCTACACCTCCATCTCATGTGCCGGCGTCGTCACGACCAAGACAATCGCCTCCCGCAGACGGGTTCCCCTAGCCCCTTAGACCGGTGATGGCGGCTACGATATCTACTAACACGATCGTGAACGGCGTATGTCAACTTGTCAGAGCCGCTCGCAACCGTCCTTCGTACAAGAATGCCGTTCACCAGGCCAACGGGCTGTTCCATTGGCCGTGGAAGTGTAACGCCAGCTGCAAACATGTATATATTGAGAAGGGTATATGTATATCAGGCCACATGTACCAACCATTGTGCCTCATTCCGCTCCCAGATATACAAATTCGTGACTCGTCTAATACTCATTATTAAGGATCTTCTTCAACCGTGTCATTTCCTTCTCAAAGACATCGATCTTGCCCTGGCTCGCCTCGAGCTTCGAAAGCAGGTAGTTAATCCTGCCCGTCGTCTGCGAGGGCTGCTTGGGCATTTCTGCCAGTAAAGCAAGCTCAGTTTCCACCTTGTCGATGCTCTTCGTCTCGACCTTGGTCAGTTCTGTCAGAACAGCCAGGTCCATCTTGGCTGAGAGTACCGGATCCCGCGTCAGCTGCGCAAAAGCTGCCTGGTAAACGGGCTTGCCGGGAATGATCTTCTGTGGACGACCATTGTGGGTCTTTACAGTGATCAGCTCGGCATTGGCAAGGCCCTCGAGCGCAGACTCGCCATCCGATGCCGTGGTTGACGAGGCGAAGGTGTGGGAGAGAAGCACCTCATTGTATCGCAGACTTGTTCTAGAAGCGAGCGCTTTGATGAGATACCATGCCTGTTCGACCGACCAGTGCTTGCCGCCGTCACCAGTCTTGCCGTTGCCCGAAAGCAGGTACATCTTGAGAATCTCCGAGGCTGATTGTTCCGTGATTTCAGCAACTGCCAGCTTTGGGCTTTGTCCTGTCTTGAGACGCCGGGCGAAGAAATCGAGGTCCGTCAGTCGCCCCCCGAGAGTGCCGATGACTTTGTCTAATTCGCCAAGGTTATGATTGCGTCTGTATTGCTCCTTCTTCTCCGCAGGCGTCTCGTCCGCGTCATCGTCGTCATCCTGGGGGATGGTGTTATTATCACTCTCCAGCTGACTGATCACATAGCGCTTCGCCACCTCGGGCGACAGATCTCCCAGCGAGACTTGTCGGAAAACACGGTCCGGAAGCGACTTGGACAATGACTTCGAGTAGGAGGTGTCACTTGTCAGGAAAATGACGTGGGCCACGTTGGACTGAACAAGAGCCGCGGCCCATTCGCCAATCTTGTCGTAAACGATGGTGTTGCCTTCATTCTTGTACAAAAAATTGTCGATGACGACAATCGGTCGCTTCTCCGGATGCGCTCCCAGGTATGCGTCCGGAGGAAGGGACGTATCGATGTCGTGCTTCTTCCGGCCGGCAACACCGATTTCACTCAGCGCAGAGCCCGTTGTCTGCAGGATCTTCTGGAGCTGGGACTCCAGAGTTTCGGAAAAGCCAGCTTTGACGCCGGTGGTGCTTTGCACAGCCAGGTCGACCATGCTGCTCATGCTGTTCGCCCACGAAAATATGGGTCTATAGCCAACACTTGCAGCCATTTTCTTGATGGTCGCAGATTCGCCCCTAGCCTCGACGATGGGTCTGCAGTCGAGCACCAACACGTTCCGCTTGCCTTTCAAGGCTTGGTCCAGCACGAGCTCTTTCTTACCCGATCCTCGAGGTCCCTGGACCACAATAAAGGTTTCCGCGGTTTCCATGAGCCATTTTCGAATCTGATCGATCAGGTCTTTTCGGTGTGTCCAAACTGCACTCAGACCAGCCTGCTCCGCCTTGTGGCGTCTGAACGTGAAGATATCAGAAGTCTGCCGGCGGAGCCATCGGTAGAGCCGACTGTTGTTGAGGCGAAACCGTTGCGTGACATGGGCCTTGACAAAGTACTCTCTTATCGGGTCGAAAATGACGACAGTGAGACCTGTCAGCAGAGCCACAAGGATGGGGATGAAGATCCTGCTATGGTTATTGATATAATTCCAAACATGATGCGGTTTCAACCGCTGCTCGTATGACATGCGCAGCTTGGTCCCGTTTCTGCCACCACCACGGGCGGGCGTAACAATGAAGCCATGCAAACAATTCCTTGCTCGTATGGCGTCCCGGACAAAGGCAAAGTCAACATAGGCAAACCGGGGGAGCACCTTGGAGTCGAAGGGCTGTGAAGTGATTTCGGCGATCTTTCCATATTTACGGAACATGCTGTAGAGGTCTTCTTGCGACAGTTCAACGGCATCTTCTCCTGGAACCTTGGGTACGAACTCGACCCTGATGCGACCGTAGGGGAACCTGTGTAGGTCTTCCAGCCACGGCACACCTTCCACCAGACCTACTTGTACACTACTGAACGGATTGAAGAAGGGTCTGACGGGGGTTTTCTCAAGACGATCAGATATCTTGGTCTCGATCTCAGCTGCGGACATGTCAGCAGGATGCGTGAACTTGACAAAAGCTCCGCCATCCTTCAGTCTTGGCAAGATCTCGGTAATTTTGAGCGGTATGGAGTCGGGCATAGCACGTTTGACCACGGTCATGGGATCCATAATGCCCAAGGTCGAGTTGTGGAAGCGCCTCAGCAGCTCCGACAAGTCCTCGTCTGGACTTTGCCATGGTGCCCGAAGCAGGCTTGCGAGCTTGAGAGGAAATATGTCTAGTTCAACGCTCAGCACAGCTAGATCAAGCCAACCGGAAAGGAATTTTGCATACTGTCGACCCAGATGATAGATTCATTTGAGGCAGCGGATATGTGACCGCTTTTGCCATATCCGGCTGTGGTGCTTTTCCAAGCTGTTGGGCTGCAGCGTGCGGAGGCTAGAGTCGGATGTTTGAAAGTCGCCCGCGATCCCCGCATCCTGTGAGTTCGAAGACCAGCCAGGCCACTTGGGCCGAGGCCAACGCATCTGCTTATCATTGCTCGAAACCTTGGGAGTTCATAGTTCAAGGAGGCAGAAAGTCTTGAGAAGACGGGTAAGAGTGAATGCACAAGTTGAGTCGCAGCTGAACTCGCTTCTCACGGCTGATTGCAGTTTCTGGATGAGGTCATTGGCTTGTAATGAATGGTCAGCCACAACAAAGTGTCCCACACACGCAAGCCACAACGTTGGGTTTGGTGAAAGCTTCACTTTGACGTTTTGCGACGGGACAGCGTCGTTCGGGGAACTGGCGCAACTGAGATTGATCGTAATCTTTTGCACATGCGAGAACTCTAGGTTGTGATACCTGTTCTTCTATGTTGACAATCCCTCCTGCCTAACCCGGAGGATATCGACGCCCGGCGATCTGCAAGCTTTGCATAGCATCCCACGCGATTGGCCCAGCAACTGCTTCGCGGCGTCACATCCCAAGACACGGAATCAGAGCGCTTCTCGACCAGCGTATTACCCCTCGCCTGTCTCCCCCGCTTCATCGAGTGTCACTAGAGTCTTCAATCGCTTCCTTCCAGAAACCCACTACCTGTGAAGTGTTCCAATTGCATACAATCCCCCATATCTACCGTTCTTGAGACGAAAGTCGCAACGATGGGTTGGCTATGGGCATCATCGCCAACCGCCAGGGCTCTCGACAGCGACAAACCCACCTCGCCAGCTCCAACTTCGAGTCCGGCTCCAGACTCGCCTCCTGTGGCCACCAGAGCCCCAGAGTCCGACTACAGTGACCCCGAGATAGCCAAGTTCATCGCTCAAGTCCAAGCAGAGTTCGGCAGCGCCAGCAGCAGCAAACCAACCGAGCCTTCTCGACCAGCGGCAGCTCCTGCCCTTGAACCCCCCAAGCCAGCAGCCACAGTGTTGGCTCCCAAACCCACATCCACAACCTCAACCTCTTCATGGGCCTCACTCTGGGGTTCCGCCCAACACTCCTCCTCAGTCGCCGAACAGCCCAGCACACCTAGCACCTCCCACACCGCAACCCCCCTTCAAACTCTCGACCCCATCTCCGAATCCACCCTCCCAACGACCATGTCCTGCCGGCAAGCCTTCGACGCCGCCTTCTACTGCCAAAGCGTCGGGTCGCAATTCCACGCCATCTACCGCCAAGGCGAAGTACGTGGATGCAGCGAACTCTGGGACGACTTTTGGTTCTGCATGCGCACACGCGGCTACAGCGGTAAAATCAAAGAAGAAGCCATCAAGGACCACTACCGCCGCAAGGAGCTGTCCAAGTACTACGGTCCGGGGAAACCCAGCAGCACCGACGTCTGGGAGAGCCGCGAGGAAAAAGTGCCCTGGGATTCGGAGTTTCGCCAATCGTACCCGCGCCAGCCCGATGTGTCTGATGAGGAATGGAGGATTATGGAGATTGAGAGGCGGAGGAGGGCGCAAGAGGAGTTGGATAGGGAGGCTGGGGGTCGGCTTCGGGAATAGATGTATTAGACAATATGTCTTGATAAATGTTCTGATTCACACGGTGCTACACGAAGAACGATGTAAAAACACGATACCAGGCCGTAGACCTATCTACTTGAGTAGACCATTTTCTCCTCTAATGCCAAAAATTACAATTCAAATACACCAGCACGAACTCTGGACTACCACAAGCATTTAAAAGCCCTGTCTTGTGAAGAATGTTGAACATATTAAGTCACATTTTCCTGGATACTAATCACGACACATTTTATACGAGTGACTTGAAATCGGGAGCTGTTGGTATGTCATTTGAAATAAAGACGGCGAGGTTTATTAACTTTTTTCCATTGTTCGTGCGGATGGACCTTTCCTAAATACATCCATCCATGCTTCGTAAAATCTGAACTTTTGTCCTGTATCATCATTATGTATGAGAATCTAGTGCAAAGCCATTTGCCCCAAACCACCGGGCAATATGTCAACTGTCACTCCTAGAAACGCCGAAGGAAAACAGAGGGTATTGATGTCGTTGCGAATCCATTTAGTCGACCTCCTCGACAGTCGGGCCATCGTCCGAAGCCCCAGGGGGACCACCGGCACCGGCGCCCGGGAATCCACCAGCGCCACCGGGCATGCCACCTGGCATACCACCTGGGGCGCCTGCGGAACCGTAGAACTTCATCATGATGGGGTTGGCAATAGCCTCCAACTCCTTTTGGTGCTCCTCGTACTCCTCACGAGTGGCTTGCTGGGACTCGTCCAACCAAGCAACGACCTTGTCAATCTCGGTCTTGAGGGTCTCCTTGTCGGCAGCGTCAAGCTTCTCGTCGACCTTGGAGTCTGCAAGAGTGTTTCGCAGAGAGTAGGCATATGACTCGAGACCGTTCTTGGCCGCGATACGGCGACCCTCAGCCTCATCCTCCTCCTTGTACTTCTCAGCCTCTGAAAGCATGCGCTCAATCTCCTCCTTGGACAGGCGGCCCTTGTCGTTAGTGATGACAATCTTGTTGGACTTTCCGGTGCCCTTCTCGACAGCGGAAACGTTCATGATACCGTTGGCATCAAGATCGAATGTAACCTCAATTTGAGGCACACCACGAGGCGCAGGCGGGATACCGGTAAGCTCAAATTTACCCATAAGGTTGTTGTCCTTGGTGCGTTGACGCTCACCCTCGTAGACCTGAATGAGCACACCGGGCTGGTTGTCGGAGAAGGTAGAGAAAACCTCGGACTTCTTGGTGGGGATGGTGGTGTTGCGGGGAATGAGCTTGGTCATCATGCCACCAGCGGTCTCGATACCGAGAGACAGCGGCGCAACATCGAGAAGCAGAATCTCGTTGGTCGACTTGGAGCTAGTATCTCCACTAAGGATAGCAGCTTGGACGGCAGCACCATAGGCAACAGCCTCATCGGGGTTGATGGACTTGTTGGGCTCCTTGCCGTTGAAGTAGTCGGTGATAAGCTTCTGGACACGGGGAATACGCGTGGAACCACCGACCAGGACGATCTCGTGGACTTGGGACTTGTCAATCTTGGCATCGGCCAAGACGCGATCAACAGGCTGGAGGGTGGATCGGAAGAGGTCCTGGCACAGCTCCTCAAATCGGGCACGCGTGATGGAAGTGTAGAAGTCCACACCTTCGAACAACGAGTCGATCTCAATTGAGGTCTGAGCCGACGAGGAAAGAGTGCGCTTGGCTCGCTCGCAAGCAGTGCGGAGACGGCGGAGAGCACGTGCGTTGGAGGATAGATCCTTCTTGTGTTTACGCTTGAACTCGTTGACAAAGTGGTTAACGAGACGGTTGTCGAAGTCCTCACCACCCAAGTGAGTGTCACCGGCAGTGGACTTAACCTCGAAGATACCCTCCTCAATGGTCAGGAGCGAGACATCGAAGGTACCACCACCCAAGTCGAAGATAAGGACGTTTCGCTCACCCTCGACCTTCTTGTCGAGACCGTAGGCAATGGCAGCGGCGGTGGGTTCGTTGATAATTCGGAGAACATTCAGGCCCGAGATGAGACCCGCATCCTTGGTAGCTTGACGCTGGGAATCGTTGAAGTAAGCAGGGACAGTGATGACGGCGTTGTTGACAGTGCCACCAAGATATGCCTCGGCAGTCTCGCGCATCTTGATCAGCACCATAGAGGAAATCTCCTCGGGTGTGAACTGCTTAGTCTCTCCCTTGTATTCGACCTCGATCACAGGCTTAGAGCCCTTGTCGATAACCTTGAAGGGGAAGTGCTTCATGTCGGCCTGGACCTCCTGGTCGGCGAACTTGCGGCCGATCAGACGCTTAGCATCGAAGACCGTGTTTGACGGGTTCATGGCGACTTGGTTCTTGGCGGCATCTCCGATCAGACGCTCCGTGTCGGTGAAAGCGACGAAGGAGGGTGTGGTACGGTTGCCTTGGTCGTTGGCAATGATTTCTATAATAGAGTGTTAGTGCACTGGTGAGAAAGTATTGGTAATTGACCAGAATCGATGTAACTCGTTGGTGAAATCACCGGGGATAAAGTCAGTGGCATTGAAAAGGCTGCACTTACCAATTCTGTCATCACGGTACACGCCTACACAAGAGTAGGTCGTGCCCAGATCGATACCGACAGCGGCGACCATGGTGACGGTTGTATGTGGAAGGAAGGTTTAGGAATCAGGAGACGTTGCGTAAACAACAGTGGAATGCGAATGGTTGTGTTTCTGATGTGTCAATAATCTCAACAGAGAACTTCAGAAATTCGCTCTATTGTAGGGGAATGTTGATTGATTGTAGTTTGCAATGTGATGTGATCTGGGAAAGAAATTAATGTTGGTAGGAGTTGCAAAAGAGTGTTGAAATATATGCAGAGTTGTTTGGTGGGGCTAGAAATGGACGGAATCGCATAGAAGCCTTTGGGGAAGGCGCCTTTCCAGAGAGTGCGCGCCGCTTCCAGCAGCTTCAGGCTTGATCCAAGCTTCCCAAAAACCAGGCAAAAGAACGCGCTCTTACTAAAAATGGACTTTACACTACTAATGTTGCCTTACGCCGTCAAGAGCTCCCTGGAACTGGCTACTACCGTCTAGAAAACTTCAGTTTGTCGGGTTCCTGGTTTTCCGTGTTATAGTGGAACACGACTGGTTAGATGTAATGCCCTTGCCGCTCTTACTCTGCCTCCAGTCACATAACTGGGAAATGTGACTTTATGCATAATTATGCACAGCGCCCAGAAACCGGACTCAGAAACGCCACTCAGAAACGCTGTAAATTGTTTAGATAATACGGAGTCGTAATATTACGGAGGCCGCAATTAGACCACACATTCAGAGCGCCGTCCGATGCATATTACACGTCTCTAGGCTCAGAGGCTTAGGCGGAAGCCTAAGGAGAGTACATACGAATTGTCGACGGGAAAGGTAGCTTTTATACGCTTAACGTATATAGCGGTTAGAATAGACTTCATAGTTAATCTATCCCGCCCGGCTTCTACAGTATATTAGTACTCACGGGATATTAAGATAATGCTAATTTCATATCGTGGGAAAGAATCAGCTTTGTTCAACACTACATTTCCCCTGCTAGCTTGTGCTTATACTTAAAAGTCGCATCTTATGTATATAGAAATGGATATATTAAACGGATTAAATAGTTACCTTGATGTATTATCTAATTAACGTGTTATATGATGAATAGTTCATTACGGAGACAAGTAAAATGTGAGGATTAGCTTCAGGTTATAGCTTAGGTGGGCGTGGTCTAAAAGCGGCGTTGCTCAGGTACGTACTCCTAAAATCTGCGGTGGAGTAAAAGCCATCTTCCGGGTTCTATGGAGCTCTCACAGGTGCATCTTTGCGGTTCTCTCGTAAACGTCACCGCGGGGCAACTGACATCACCCAAGTATCCGATACATGGATTACCCGCAAAATTACCAATAGTCTTAAGTAGCTTAACTTCTAAAACTCGACAGCCCCGCCCCCACTATATTTCAAAGACGACATGGAACTTTTGGAATGGGAAGCGCCTTGATAAGCATGAAATTTGCACAGCACAGGGCAACCAGGCGCTCATGGAAATTTACTCATGAAACTGGCTGGCCAGCCAGTCAGCCCGCTAGGAAATCTTCTTAATTGCCCGACAACAACCGTTGCATCTGTCGAGGGCAGTTCTGCCTGGTTTCATGAGTATCTATCTACATGTAGGAATTGATCTGCATTGCTGACGCCTCCCATGTGACTGGAGGGCCATCACTTCCCACCATCCTATGTACATAACTATGGACGTAAGACACTCGTCTTCATTCTTTCTGAACACTCAGGGCTGGTTATGGTAGGAGGTCCCATTTTCGGACGGGTGACAGGTGGGTTCGATTCCTACCCCGGCTGCATAGCGTAGTCTTTTCGTCGACTATTGGTCTCTCCATTCGTCTCACATTCCTCCGTGGACTTTGCTGTTGGGCGGCATTATACATACCTTGGCAGGCGACAGCATGAGACGGGCATAGAACTAGTCATCAACATCTGCGTCGCACACGTCATTCCCGACAGGAAACGTCGTAGTTGTAATCCGCCAAGTCCTCACCAACTGCTTAATTTCAGAAATGGAAGACTAGTCACTTCTTGTCTCGAATTTTGCAATTCAACCTTCACAGTTCTAATCGCAATCTTTAGCTGCTCAAGTACAGGTAGGTGATGGGCAATTACTCAAGTCTGCATCAGAGATTTCCGCTGTAATGCATAGAAGGTGCTTTTCGTGGAGGAAATATACTAAAGTAATACACTTCTATGGCTTGCCTGTTTGCCACTGATGCTCTGATGGATGGATCAAAGGTGACTTGGGTGTTAGCTCTGCCAGACCCGTGTATCGTGTATAGCAGCTAGAAACTCGGAATGGTCCATACAAAGTATATTTGACTTGCATCAATACGTGTTCAGCAGCTGCCGGCTGCTTTCCACTTTCCATCTGATTATTTATCCGAACAGCCGTCCACTTGGCAACAACAGTAACAACAACATCCAGAGTCCGTAAACAGCCTTCCATCCAACGTGATATGACACTGCTTCGGAACTCGATCGCAGCAAAAAAGCGAACATCTTATGTACAAACAATTGAAATGCAGCATTATATTTACCCCGCGCCCCCACCTAGCTGCAGTTGTGGGCTGATGTGAAGTTCCGTGGTCTGAGGTGTCAATTGCATATATATCATGAGTGAGGGGTACCAATTTCAACCGTTCGAGCAACAACCTTCTAGTACACCTTGACTTCAGACATTGAACCCAACGCATTACCCTAAACCTCTCGATATCACGGAAATATTATCAAGATGCTGTTCACGGAAAGCCATGTGGATGTGCAGACAAAGGCGGACGGGAAAGAGTCTACTATGAGTGAGCGTTCCCGAGGATGCTGCATCTAGCTGTATACTGACATGGCTCCAGGAATCTTTCTTTTCCATCCGACGATCCCGCAGTACCCCAATGCGTATGCTTTTCAAAATATGCGCTTGCTCCAAATCATTGACATGTACTGAATACATATTCCCTAGACGGTTCCCCGCTGTTGCAGTGTTCAGCGAGATCTACCAGGGTGAGCTACGCCGGATCCTCTGGAGGATATTCACCCAGGACGAAGCTGACCTCCTGCAGTCACTGGTCCGGTTGCAAGATTTGCTCGCCAGATTGCCGGCCAAGGATACATCGTCGCTGCCCCTTCATCATACCATGACTTTACCGGTCCTGAGCCGCTGGCGTACGATGATGAGGGTACAAACAATGGAAACGACTGGAAGATCAAGAAGGTACATTCTCTCGCCTTTTGGCCACTTAAAGCTCGCAACCTTTCATATCAACGGGTCACTCGATTCACATTTTCAGGAAGGCTAACGTACGGCTCTCCAGACCCTCCAGTCATACGACGAAGACTCCCACAAGACCGTGGACTACCTGCTGAGCCTTCCCACCTGTTCCGGACGCGTAGGGGTTACCGGGATGTGCTTGGGAGGTCACCTGTCTCTTCGAGCATCCGTAAGTCAACCTACAATCAGCTCCTATCTCCCTGCAGCTGCAGACTTAACATGAGAAAAACCAAAAGCTCGACCCCCGCGTAAGCGCCTGCGTCGCCTTCTTCGGCACCGACATCCACAGCCGCACCCTAGGCCCGTACGACAAAGCCAACACGTCGACCGAGGCCCCGCCCAACAGCAACCACACGCTGGACCGGCTCCACGAGATCAAGGGCGAAGTCGCCATGATCTTCGGCATCAAGGACACCCATGTGCCGGGCCCCGGCCGCGACCTAATCCGCCAGAAGCTGCGAGATGCCGGCACCGTCTTTAGTTTCTACGAGTTCGCCTGGGCCCAGCATGCCTTTGTCCGTGATGAGTTGAGCAAGGGCCGCTATGATCCCGCCATCACCAAGATTTGCTTCGAGGTCTTGCTTGAGCTTTTTGGGAGAACGTTGAAGACGGATTTGGGGACCAGGGATGACACACCTGAGAAGATTGAGCATGTCTGCTAAGTGACTATATATAGACTCGACTTATCTGCATCAATGTCAGATATATGTTAAAGCTTATTACGCCAAGCCTGTAGCCCGGGGAGACACACCGTGCGCTCTGTTTGTTACGGTCTAGGTTCGCCTGGGTGGACGTAGACTGGTTAGATAGCTTGCAGCTCCAAGTCAATACTAGGCCGGCCTGGAACAGATGATGTTGTCCCACCGTTTTCCCAAGTTACCGATGTGACCAGATCTATTCCAATGAACCCAAATTCCTGCTACCATTGTCGCTAAGAAATCAACTAACCAATAGCATATTCATGAATGATATTGCCCCAGGACGTCTGGTAAGCAATGCTTTCATCCATCTTAGCGGTGCAGGAGATAAAGAAACTTGTCGCCATCCCGCTAGGTAGGGTATCTAGTCGAAACATAAAACCCAACTCTGTCATCCCGGTAGATCCTATATACCGTACGGGCTTCTCCAGCCCTGCCTGCATATGCTAGAAGCAACACAAGAAAACAAGACCTAACAACATTCTCTCAAAACCTATCTCCCTCTTCTCCGCTCTCTCCACCTCCTTACCGAGGATAATAATAAGCCTTATGCACCTGTAAAGCACCCTCAGCACAGTACCCCATCCCCATCCACACGAGATAGCGGACTCAGCATACGGCTCAGTTGACATCGAGTCACGCATGGGCTAGGACAAGGATGATGAAGTTGTCTGTTTGAAATCGCGAGTGGTGGGGAAGATGTTGAATCGAATTTGATACGGTGGTTTCCCTCTCATTTATTTTGGGTATAGGTAGCCCCTTAACACGGGTTCAAGCACAGTGTTCCATGTCCTAGGAGGCTTCTTCTATTTAGTATTAGACAGCAAAGGCTGAAAGTTCTACTGCGCAGTAGTCCAAGTTGGCATTGGTGCTGTCGGAAGCACAATGAGTGAAATGCCAATTCATCACCTGCCCAACTAACTATCTTAGCCTGGCTCGTCTGTCCCAACCAAAACTATTCCCCTTCGCAAATTCCCGACTGCATGACCAGCTTCGCCCTCGGCACATTTAATATAAACCAATACCAGAATCCATTCACACAGCCACGCACTTCGAGTAATCCATGCTTCTTCCCAGTCAAATCAGTTTTATTGCTCTTCAAGCACTATATAATCAAGCCTTGTCGGGTATCTTTGCCAACATCATAAAAGCCATATCCCAAGGGTATCATTACTGAATTTCTGCTGCGCCATAACCATGCAACAACCAAACGAGTTGATTCCATAACGCAATGCAATGCCGGTATGCAAGTAAACGCATGGAATGGAACAATCGGCACGCCGGCCTTTCAAGCCACACCCTTCCGAAGTTTCGAGTAACTCTCTCCTCACTGCGCCCAAGACACCCTCAGATTCCGCCTGGGCCTCCCAGAACGGTTACCCCTCGCCGAAATCGTAGAACCTCCTAGCACCGAATCTCTTTGCCACGGCTGCTGCCTATTCGGAATGGGAGCCAACGGTGTCGTCGTCTGTCTTCTCCCCAGAGAACCGAGTAGAAGCTGTGGCCTGGCACCGGGCGTGGGTGCGTAGGGCAGTTTGTCCCGCTCCTCCTCCTGCTCTCGCCGCCGACTCTGACTCCGACTCGGACCTCCATTGACGGCTGACCTCCACCTTATTAACACCCCGGTGGCCCGCGTCTCGGCACCACGCTGCTTCGCATCCTGTATCATGCTATCCACGCTCTGGTAACTCCCGTCAGGTAATTGAGTAGGTACCAGCTTATCGGCCGTATGTCCATACCACCCCTCGAAGCCCTGTCTCAGCGCCTTTCGATCCTTCTTCTCGAGGACATTAGCCACGGTGTGCCGGCGGCTCTCTCTCTGCAGCGAGCTAAGGTTCCACCCCTTGAGAGCCTTTGACGCGGCCCCGTCTTGCCAACGGTCTCTTGCTTCAGTTTGCAGTTCCAGATGCTCGGCGTGATATTCTCTCCATCCATCCAGGGCCCTCTGCTTGCGCATGGTGTTATTCCTCTTGTTAAACTGGCTCTTCTTCTGTGCTCGTTCGCGCCAGGCATCAAAGGCCTGGGCGGTGAACTCCCACTCCCGCTCAGCGGTGATTTCTTCGAGTTTGGCGTTCATCATCTCGTAGCGATCGAGGCTTAACTGTAGCTTCTTACGCCATTTTACGAGGTAGCGGGCGCCTAGCTCCTTTCTCACTCGTTGGCGCACTTCTCTGTAGGTCTCGTTCAGTTTCTTCTTGCGTTTCTTCTTCGCCTGTGTTCTCCAGGCGAGGACTAGATCTCGCGTTTTGTAGTAGTAATCGGCACGTGCCCCATATTCTTCGAGTTGCTGCTGTCTTCCAGCGGCTTCTCTTGCTGCTTCGCGCCACATGGGTAACACCTTCGTGACAGAGTTGTAGAAAAAGCAACGAACAGCGTAGCTTTCCATCAACTGTTGGAGAGGAAGCTGATCGTGGTATCGTTCCTGCCAAAGCTCAAAGGCTTCTACTTGCGCTGCGTTATTTCCTGAGGCTTCTCGGGCCTTTGCTAGCCACGCCCGAAAAGGATTGAAAGTGCTGCGGTAATAGTTACCTGCGTGGCTAAACCTTTGAAGCTCTTGCTGCTTAAGCCGGGCATCTTCAGCAGCTGTTCTCCATTGGAAGAACTTTGTGGACAGCCGGGTTTCCACGTAAAATCCCTCAGCTTGCTCTTCAAGTATCACATCGCGATCGGCTTGGTTGAACCAGTGCTCGAACGCCAATCCTTTCCTTTGTCGCAGTCTGCGCTTATTACGGGCAGCGGCTAGCCAAGGTTTGAGGGCACCGATTACGCGAACACGGAACTCTTCTTGTTCGGCCTTTGTCTGCAGTTCTTGAGACTGAGCAAGTCTCCCCAACCACATGTGGAAGGTCCTGGCAAGATGTCGATTGTAATTTTGAGCGAAGAAGTCCACCGATAGGTCGCCCAGGTGGGTTAAACGTCCACGCCACGTATCAATGACCTTCTCCATTGCGAAAGCCTTGACACTCGTCGAATAGGCCGCTGTGTAGTCTAGCCAAGCCGTAAAGAACCGCAGTCGCACTATGTGGCGCCTCGCAAGCATCGTACGCTCGTCATAGGGCGAGTCCGGTATGGATGCTGTCGATGCCAGGGCAAGCTGCTTGGGCGGAAAACTTGGCATTGTTGGTCGCGAACGAAGTTCTTTTGCTTCCACTGGTGGCGGATTCGGCGCTGGTGCTCGTGAAGGAAGTTCTTCTCTTTCCGCTGGTGGAGCAGTGGATGTTTCTGGAGGTGGTTCATCCGCTTCCAGCTCATCCACCATCTCAAATGACTCCTTAAGTAATTCAGGGGAGCTCGGTGACCCCGGCGCCTGCTCATAACGCCGTTGCCTCAGAGCCTCGACCAAAACTTCCAGCTTGGGACGAACACCAAACGCACGGGATTTCAGACCCATCTCGTGAGCTTTCACCGCAAGATCAGCCTTGCTTGCTTCCTCTGCGGCTCGGTTAGACCACTGTGCAAAGAGGCGCGACTTCATCAGATTATGATGCGCCCGGGCTGCAAGCCGTGCCAATCTAGGGTCGTGGTCACTCTCGTCAAATCCCCTCACCGGCGAATCCGGCTGTACTGGCGGTTTCGGAGGTGTTCGCGGTCTTTTGGGCAGTGCTCTCGCGGCCTTCCGCCAACGCACCAAAGCGTTTTTGGTTATCTTGATCTCGTACGTGCGACATGCTATCCTATTCATCCGCTTCGAGTCAAAATTTGCAGCAAACCACCAGTCACCGACCTTAGCCCTGATCCTGTCGGCGCTCAAAATGTCATGAGCGCGGTGTGATGTTTCATCCATGTTCTTCAGATCGACATTCGCTGAATCCCACCAGTTTTGCAATGCTGGCCACACCAATGCGTCGACCTCGGCGTCCCAGGCTGCGGCAATTTGCTCCGAAATGTCGCGGATGCCCGCTGATCTTGTTTGCCATCGGCGGAAACACTCCAGGGTTGAAAACCTGCTGCGATGTCTTTCGAACGCAATTACGCTGTTCTCGAGACGATCGACATTGGGCTCGGAATCTTGCTCAGGACCAGGCTCGTATTGAGGCTCGTCGTTGAAAGTGACGCTGCGGCGAAGCGGTGGACTACCATATCCGTTGGGTAGCTTGTCATCACCACTGCGGGTAATTTGTTCAAGAGGGGGAAGACCAACAGTGCCAGTAGACTGATCATCGTCCTCATAATCCGTATAGTCGTCGGAGTAGTTGGTAGACGGATCCGAAGAGTTATGGGCCTTGTCATACTCAACTGTAATGTTCATCTTGGCCAGGAGAGCATCGAATTTGTCTTTCAGAGTAATTCCAGTACGCATGCCCCCAATCTTGAAGACGAGCTTGGAGAGGTGCTGGTCGTGTTCGGGGTCGATGCCCCTATCCGGGAGGACCTCATTGTATGCCTGGAAGAGCGCATTGGTCGGCAACCTCGAGTTGGCTGGAAGATTTGGGAGAATGATATCCGCCTGTGTAACGATGTCGAACAGAATTTGAAGGTCGAAACTGTCATACTCGTCGTTGCCATCACCTCCTGCGTGGGACGAAGAATTGGCGACATGACGAGGCGGAGGTAATTCCGGGGGGGAATGATCATCGGTTAACACGCTGGTGGCAATGCTGGAGAGGGGACTTGATGGCTCGGAGTCAGAGCCAGAAGCCATGTTGAAGTTGTGGTAAGCATTGTTCGATGGCGCAAGCCCTCAGGTCAATAATCGCGAGATCTGCCGCAGGCATTCGCATTAGCAAAACTTCGAACCAGGAACTATTGAGTGGAATAGACTGACGCCATTGCTGTGGTGGATTGTTGAAGGAATTAGCGATTGGTAGGGAGACCCCTGAAAGTAGCTTGGAAATGCGCAGGACGTCAGTTGTGTCCAAGTTGATACGGATCCATCGGACTACAAAAGTTGGAGGCTGGCAACACGCGATGCGACAGAGCGCGTCCCCGAAGAATAAAAATGTCCCCACCTGAAGTCGCGGGGTCCGCTTCACGAAAGTGACCCGTGCACAAGGAGCTAGGTTACATGCTACAATCCGGATGGCTATCAAATGATGTAACCTAGCACATTGCACATCAGACTGTTTGATTGGGCACATTGAGCAAGTACCATCCATCAACGGCTCGATCCACGGCTAGATGTGACATCCATCCCGCATAGAACGGACATCAACGACAACCTCGCATTATCGAGCTGAAGATGGCGCCTCCACGGACTCGTCCAATCCAGAAGTTCGCTGCAGCCGTTTCACAGTGCTCTCCTGAGGTAAGTGACCGTCATACTCCAGGAAACGGAATAGCATGATATGGATATTGATCCCCAGTTAAGGCAGCGGTATATGGCAAGTGCATTGTCGCCGACTACAATTCAGTGCACAAAGACAAATGCGTCAATGAGTTCATGCGCTTAAAGGACTGTTATCTGGTAAGAACGACGCTTGGAGCACTGTCTCACTTGTTTTTCATATTCATGTACTGACAATCGCCACTAGAAAGCTTCGAAGAAGGCGTGACAAGAATGTAGAAATACCACACCCAAAAAGACGGTCACAGGTTCTATTTGTGGTCTCTGTTGTGCTCATACATCATTTCACGACATCATGGATCTATTTCCGTAACGCTACCTACATCCGGTGCCTTCTATTTTTTTGTTAAGTGGCCCAACTCATAGCTTCAGAAGTCTCAGCAAGAATGTCGCCTTCTGCACTTCTTGCTCCTCCTCGACAATGATGCCGTCCTCCTTCTCCGCAGGGATCTCGCCTTCCAAATGCGTAACCTCATGTTTATCAATGGGTCTGCGCAGCGCCTTCTCGAGCGCCCTGGTCTGACCAACGAACACTTCCCCGATGCCAATGTTGTCAGGGTCGGATAGTACCCTGTACTCCATCTTGACATCGTCCGTAGGCTGGAGCCCAGCCTTCTTGCGGAGTCTCTGTACTCGAGTGATAACTTCCCGTGCAACTCCCTCGTGGGCAAGCTCCGCATATAGCTCAGTGTCCAGAATGGTGAGCACGTCTTGATCCGTGTTGGTTTCAAGGTTCTTGGAGGTGTCGTCCTCCTTCAGACCTCGCTTGACGACAAGGTCGCCTTCTTCCAGCCGAATACCATCTACAATAATGAACTTCTCTTCCGTGTACTTGCGTACTTCGTCGCTCGTCACGTTTGGCAACGCCTTCTTCACCCTCACCATGTCCTTCTTGAGCTTCTTACCCAGTACTGGCCAATCAGCTGTTACGCTGTATTGGACGTTGTACTTTGTTTCGTCCGTGGTCAAGACGAGATCTCGCACGTTCAACTCCTCGGTGATGTAGGTCTCGAGTGACTTCACGTCATCAAGATATTCTTGGCTACGATGGAGGACAACGAGCGTCTTCAACGGCGTCTTGAGGCCGATAGTTCGTCGTTCTCGGGAAATCCGCACCAACTCGATGACCTTCTGCATGCGACTGACTTGGCGTTCGATGACAGGGTCAAAAAGCTCCTCGCGAACGTCGGGGAAAGCAAGGAAATGGACACTGCGAGGATCTGCTGCCTGAAGCTCCTTCGGGATGTGAGGTAGGAGTTTAGAGTAGATCGTCTCGGTGATAAAGGGGGTGAAGGGGGCGAGTCCTCTACACAAAGTAAAGAGCACCTCGAAGAGTGTGTTCAGCGCATGTTTAGTATCGTCGACACCATATTCCCCCTTCAGACGCTTTCGGTTGAATCTGATGTACCAGTTGGTTGTGTTGTCGATGAGCTCCAGCAAGCGGGGTACAACAGTGTACAGGCGGTAAGCTAGAAAACATGGTTAATTACCAGTCCGGAAAACGACCGACAACAAAACAAGTACTCACCTGACATTTCTTGATTGACGAATTGCAACAGACTCTGGCAACTGGCGAGAATCCACCGATCCATAACGTTCTTGTTGGTGCTCTCCAGCTTGGGGTCGGAGACGAAATCGATGTTTTCAACCTTTTTGAGGAGCGCAACCTGACCCTCGAAGAACTTGTAACTGTTCCAAAGTGGGAGCAACACCTTCTGGACGACCTCTTTTACGCCCGACTCCTTGAATCTCAACGGCTCTGCTCTGACGACAGGAGAGTTGATCATGTACAATCGGAGTGCATCAGAACCATATTTCTCCATGACAGTCGCAGGATCGGGGTAGTTCTTTAGCCGCTTTGACATTTTCTTGCCATCTTCTGCCAGTACCATGCCGTTGACGACACAGTTCTTGAACGGCGATACACCGAAAAGATGTGTGCCAAGCACCAGCATGGTGTAAAACCAACCTCTCGTCTGGTCTAGGCCCTCAGCAATGAAGTCGCCTGGGAAGCTGTCATGCAGCTTGTCCTTGTTCTCGAATGGGTAGTGCTGACTGGCGTAGGGCATACTTCCCGACTCGAACCAACAGTCAAAGACGCCCTCTACGCGTCTCAGGGTTCCTTTGCCCATCTTGCTGGGAATGGTGATGTGGTCCACCTTGTCACGGTGAAGATCTGTGAGTTCACCTTCGTATCCACTCAGCTGTTTCAACTCTTCCACACTGCCAATGCACACCCGTTCATCCCCGTCATCGCTGACCCAGAGAGGCAGAGGGGTACCCCAATACCGATTACGGGAAACATTCCAGTCACGCGCGTTGGCGATCCAGTTCGCAAATCGGTTCTCCTTGACGAAACTGGGGACCCAATGTGTCCCTTCGATGTTCTTCAGCATTTGCGGGATGATCTCGGGGATGCGGATGAACCAGGATGGAACGGCGCGGTAGATCAGGGGGGTATCGGATCGCGGACACATAGGGTACGAATGGCGAAGTTGCGAGTCCACCACTAATCGACCGGTGCCTTTCAAGTATTTGATGATGTGCTTATCGGCATCCTTGACATGCATATTCGCAAAGTCACGGACTCTCTCCGTGAAATATCCTCGATCGTCAACCGGATCCGGAGGTGGTCGTGTCTCATTGATGATGCCGGCCGCCAAGGCGACATTGTAATCGTCCTCACCGAATGCCGGCGCTTGGTGGACGATACCGGTACCACTGTCATCGGTGACATACGTGGCATTGAGGACCTGGAAGGCGACATCTTTGAACTCTTCGTAGAGGTAGTCGAATAGGGGCTCGTACTTCCAGCCCAGCATGTCTTTGCCCTTGATCTTCTCCACAACCTTGAATTTGGCCTTCTTGGGGTCCTTGTAGAGAGTAGAGAGCAACTTCTCCATAAGTATGTAGTTGTTTCCTGACTTCTCATCAAGAATCTTGACATACTCGAAATCTGGGTGCACAGCCAAGCCCAAATGAGACGGCAGTGTCCATGGTGTTGTTGTCCACGCAAGAAGGTGAGTCTTCGGGTCGCTCAGGAGAGGGAAAGAGACAACAACAGCAGGATCTGTAACGTCTTGGTAGTTCTGGTTTGCCTCGAAGTTGGACAAAGCTGTCGTCAGACTTGTTGAATAAGGCATAACTTTGTAGCCCTGGTATACCGCACCCTTATCGAACAGTTGCTTGAACACCCACCATGCCGTCTCCATAAAGGTCGGGTCCATGGTCTTCGAGAACATTAGCTTGCGACAACTGCCATATTGCGAATCCAATACTTACCTTGTAGTCATTGTCGAAATCAATCCACCTCCCCAGACGCTCAATGGTATGCCGCCATTCCTCCCGGTACCGCATGACGATAGCTCGGCATTCCTTGTTGTACTTATCCAGTCCCATCTCCATGACCGCGGCTTTTCCAGTGATTCCAAACTTCTTGTCAATCTCGTGTTCAATGGGGAGCCCGTGGGTGTCCCAGCCAAACCGGCGCTCAACATGGTGACCCTTCATGGACCAATACCTGGGTATAATGTCCTTAATGGTCGAGGCGAGCAGATGACCGTAATGCGGGAGTCCGGTCGCGAAAGGCGGGCCATCGTAGAAGGTATAGCGAGGCTTTCCCTGAGACAGCTCCACCTGGCGCTCGAACGCCTTGAGCTCCCGCCATCTTGCAATGACGGCAAGCTCCTCCTTTGGGAAGTCAATGGACATTGCGAGTGATTCGACGGACAATCGGACGAGAGTCTGGACGAGCTCAGGGCCGTCAGGCGCTCTTGGGAATTCTGGGAATGCTGTGTTCTTGCCAGAACGAAGTCTCGAAGTCAGGTCACTTCGAAATTCTGAGGACTGGATGGCGGGGTTGTTTTTTGAGTCAAGTGCACAGAATTGAGTCAACGGCGAGTAGCGCCGCTAACAGCAAGGCCACCAATGAAATGATCTTGGTAGCTCCACAGCAATGGAGGGGTTGAGTCGGAGTCGGATCTGCCAGCCTTGTCCATCTTGATTGGTCTCGCCTGTGCTTTGTGCCTTGACTGCAGGGATAATTGACTGGATCTAGAGCGTCAACGAAGTGATGCGGGCGGGCCTTTTTCTAAAGTTACAAGGGGCAACTGAGGCAAGTGAGCCCGCTAGCAGTCCCGCTTCTTGGATCCCATGCGATTCCCCAAGTTCGTAACCTTGTTGTAAATAAACATCACTGCCCGACGACAACATCTCTTGACAGAATACTTGGCTGCAACAAATCATAGACGGGTGAATTATGTTTTGACTCCAATATTCTCACGGTCTCTTCCATTTCTGCTTCCGCGCATGTTGCTTTACAGCTGTCATCCGAGCTACAACTGAATTATTCCCACGGCCCATCACCCCCGCGGTTCTAGGTTCATCCCTTTGTCGACCGTCTGTTCCGTACAGACGAACTCTACCGGACCCGCGCACACCTTTTCCATGACGATATAGTCATCTGCAACCATGTCATTCTTATTCGGGCGAGGGAGGACGAGGACAAACACAATTGATCTTTCCAAGCAAGCCAGGGACCATGTTCTCAAGCTGGATGGTGTAGGAGGCGCCGCCAAGGTCAGTCTCGCTCTTGAACCTCTAATTCCACCCATGGCCCGGCTAACCCACTCTGTATAGGCCGAAGAACTTGCCAAAGTCCTCAGTCAGATGAAGCTCATATTGCAAGGAACACCAGGTATGTGGGTTGGATCCGATTGCGCTGAGGCGGTCTGACAATGCGACCCGCAGAATCCGACAGCACACCCGACCAAGTATACCAGCTAGTCCAAGGCCTCATCGAGGAAGACTTGCTTCTTTTGCTTGCCCAGAATCTGCATCGCCTGCCTTTCGAGTCCCGCAAAGATACCCAAGTCATCTTCTCGTACGTATTTCGATTTCGCCCGCCAACCGCATCACCAAAGACCGACCCGGTAGCGCTGAGTTACGTGGTGAACAACAAACCACAAGTGTTACTGGAGCTGTGCCGCGGCTATGATCATAAGGAGAGTGCTACACCTGCTGGGTCTGTGTTGCGGGAGGTCTTGAAGAGTGAAGCCGCAGCTGCCATTATCCTATATGATGATGGTGAAGAACCTGGATCGAGTTTGAAAGGAGTAACAGCTATCGAAAGAGAGCGACCGCAAAGTGGAAATGGCGTCTTCTGGAGATTCTTTGACTGGATCGACAAGAGCTCGTTCGAGGTCGCAGCAGATGCCTTCACTACCTTTAGAGTAGGTTCTCGATTGAACATGCCCCGTCTTCACGTTGCTGACAATATTTGAATAGGAACTCCTCACCAAACACAAGGAGCTTGTACCACGTTACCTGGCAGTTAACTTCGAGCTTTTCTTCGAAAAATACAACAATGTACTGGTCCAATCCAACAGCTATGTGACGAAACGTCAGTCGATCAAGTTACTCGGCGAGATATTGCTCGACCGGTCCAACTACAACGTTATGACGGCATATGTAGACCGAGGCGAGCACCTGAAGATTTGCATGAACCTGCTGCGCGACGACCGCAAGATGGTACAGTACGAGGGCTTCCACGTCTTCAAAGTTTTCGTCGCCAACCCCCACAAGTCGGTCGCGGTCCAGAAGATCCTGTTGATGAACCGAGACAAGCTTCTGAATTTCTTAAGCCATTTTCTCGAGGATCGCACTGACGACGAACAATTCATTGATGAGAGAGAGTTTCTGATCAAGCAAATTCGAAATATGCCGCCTACACCTGTTCCACCCACGCGACAGATGCAACAACAGGGTGTCTAGAATGCCCCCAATGATTGGTCGAAACAGCAAGGGGAGAATAAGGAGACGGGATGATTTGTCGTTAGGGAGGATGATAGCCAAATCGAAGGATTTGGAAGAGGGCTACGGCTGGCCTATTCATGACAGGTAGACCTACTAAGCAGCCTTCACGGCAACCAATTGCATGCAGCATGTATCTAGGCGTTCTGGGTACGGCACAAGTACGACGAGAAACGAGATACGGGAGTGGGAGCCTCAAATTTACGATTTCACCTAATATGGATGCTTGCCATTATACTCTGTGATTGACTTTCTTAGACGCTGTGCCTGAGACTTATGCATGCAAGTCTATCTACCCGTAGGACTCATACGTCATGTAACCTCATTGCACATAATATTCCGATGGACCTCTTTTTCATCGGCGTTTAAAATTAACGCCGAAGTGGGAACTTGGACTGGAGTATATCGTCCCTCCATCCCTCCATCTCGGTCATTTTGGCAACTATTCTGAACGCACCTTGGCCTTTATTCTTTTGTTCCTTCCTTGCTCAATTCTCTAGGGTCTACCAAGATCACAAAAGCCGAGAAAAACTGTTTTCACTAGATCTCACCACCAAGTAACCTCGCAACCATGTCCGCCATCTTCAAAGCAGGAAACACGGCAGTCATCACGGGCGGCGCATCCGGCATAGGCCTAGCCCTGGCCAAGAAATGCGCCGGTTACGGCATGAAGGTGATTGTCGCCGACTTGGACCCCAAGACGCTTGCCGCCGTACCTGGCAGTGTGGCCTCTACGATCGAGATGGATGTCGGAAAGGCCGAGGACTGGGTTGGTCTCAAGAGTCGGGTTGAGAAGGATTTTGGAGGTCTGTTCCCTTTTTTTTTTCTTTTGGGGCGGGGAGGAGGGGTTGGGGTTGCACATCTACAGTTCTTTGGTCCATTTGTTTGTGAAGGGACATCTGATATATAGAGCTTCCATCTCACCCATCCCATGCTACGAACATAGGCCCCCAAGTAACTAACAATGCCTCAGGAAAACTCTCCCTCCTCTCCCTCAACGCAGGCATCTCCCGCCCCACCTCCCTCCTAGACCCATCCACGCTCCCCTCCTTCCATAGCATCCTAACCACAAACCTTTTTGGGATCATCAATGGTCTCTCCTCGCTCCTGCCTTTAATACAATCCACCGCTTCCGCTTCCCAGCCCTCCAGCATCATAATCACCGGCTCCAAACAAGGCATCACCAACCCGCCCGGGAACCCCGCCTACAACGCCTCCAAAGCGGCCGTCAAGAGCATCGCCGAGCACCTGAGCTTCGACTTGAGGGAGAAGCCCGAAATAGGCGTACACTTCCTTGTTCCGGGGTGGACATGGACGGGACTGGCAGGGGGTGTGGCTGGTGCTGGAAAGGATACAGTTGGAGGAACAAAGAAGCCCGATGCGGCGTGGTGGCCTGAGGAGGTGGTAGATTACCTGGAGAAGAAGATGGAGGAGGGGAAGTTTTATGTCTTGTGTCCGGATAATGAGGTCACTGAGGAGATGGATAAGAAGCGGATGTTGTGGAATGCGGGCGATGCGGTGGAGGGGCGAAAGCCGTTGAGTCGGTGGAGAGATGAGTATAAGGGCGAGGTTGCCGAATGGATGGCCACGGAGCTATGATGGAATGAGAGGACAGTGACTAGATATAGGGACAACTGAAAAAAAACGAGAATGACAAGCTTCCATGATGCAAATCTAACCGGCTACTTTACGCTTATCGTGTTATTATTACACACACCTTACATCTCCCAAGATAACCAGGAGCTCTTTTCATGGATATCTAAGAAGATTGGGAGAAGCCTCAAAGAACGAACGCCCCTTACGCCTGACCATTCCTACACTGTATTTATTCCTTGATCCCTGAAACACATTACCGTTGCACTTGGGCAGGCTGCTTGGCGAGCATAACACTGACACTCTCCTTCGCATTGACAGTGGACCAGACGCTTTCCTTTCCACCCTTCCGCCACTCATCTCCTGTGGCATCCCCGCCGCCACCCCTCATGGCCTCACCCATGATGATGTCGAGGTCGCGCTTCTGTGAGCTGAGCCAATCCTTCACGAAAGTCGCCGGATCCTCGCTCATTGAAGTTAAGAATGCGTGCTTCGACTTGGAAATGTGAATGGCTTGGATGATGTAGGATAATGCTTCATCCAGATTGGCGGCTTCTCTGAGCATGCTGGCATACCCGGCGTTGTTGAGGAAAGAGAGCATCTTCTCCCGGAGCGGATCATCTACAGCTACCCGAATATCATAGACGGTAGGCTGAGCATCTTTGTGGAACTCCTCATCCACCCGTATGGTGTACGGAAGCTTGACAGGTGGCAACGGTAGGAGGTGTGGCGTGATATATGTGTGCAATTGAGGGATGCTGCCAGTATCCATGTTAAACGCCTACATAAGCCATTAGTTGTTCCATCATTGTTCCAACAATTGTTTAGGCCAACTTACCTTTTTGAGGAGGTCGTCGCAACGGAAGTTGCGCTTCTCTTCGTCTTCCTGCAGACCCATGAACTTAATGTAGTCCCAAATGGCCATGACAATCTCTTGGCGTGTTGCCTCCGACTTGTCGATAATGTCCTCCAGCTCGGGGCTGACGGCGTATCGCTCAGGCTCCTCATGTCGAAACAGGTTGATTGTGATGTTGGTGTTCTCGTCACCACTTCTCTTAAATGTCAGCTCGTCAAAGTCGGCAGCAGCAGGCAGGTTCGACGACGGCCCTGCCCGCTCCGGCTTCTTCCACTCAACACTCTGGTCAACGCCCTTGCGGTTGGCTGGGAAATCGACCGTTAAAGACTTGAAGAAATGCGAGAAGCGGTACTTCAAAGCATTCGTGGTTTTGGATTTCGAGTCGCAATCTTCATCCATCTTGTCACCGTTGCCAGCCTCGCTCGAGTCGTCCTTATCCAGATCATCGTCGTCCTCTAACAAGCGGCCCTCGATCTTGACGCGATACGAAGGCTCCTGGTTCGAACTGAAGTCGAATGTATCCACGTTCAGTCCATTGCCTTGCCAGGCCTGGTCTTCGGCTGTGTTCGTGATCCAGATTCGCAACGTCTTCCACCGCTACATCGAACATGTCAGCACCAGCACCAGCATCAACGTCGTAGTGCCAAATGTCCACCCACCTTGACACCTCGGTTGACCGAATCAACTATGTCCAGTCGCTTGCGCGTCATAGTCGCATCAAGCCGTCTCTCATAGTCGCGTAACGCCCTATACCTCGCGGCGGGCTCGCCAATGATGAAGTCGTCGATGCCATCGGGCAGATTCTTGTCCGTGGGTTTTCTGCTTCGCCGCTTCGCCGCCTCGACCTGATTCACAGCTTGCTGTTGCTGCTGTAAAATCTGCGCTTGAGTCAAGGGAACTTGGTGATGGGGTCCCGAAGACATCATAGGCCCTGTACCGTCGGAAGAGTTAGTATGAATGGTAAGACAAGAACGAATAGGTAGACGGAGCAATGACCTGCGCGACTAGGGAAACAACGGGCGTAGAGAAAATAAAGATATCATGGATCAGCAACGGATACTAATGTGTGGAGCCATCATTTGATGTGTGGGGTATGGTGGTCTGCGGTGTAGGGAAGATAGAGAAGCCAAGCTTCGAACGAGGCACGAGCATGCCTTGTACATTGGCATTGGATAGGTTGGGCGTCACTCAATTATCGACCGCGTTGAGCAACACAACCGTTACAAAGAATACCATTGAACATACCAATGCCTCCGCGTCGTTGGCCAGTAGAATGCGAAGTGCGTGGCGGCACCTGCTGGTACGGCTGACGGTATGCTGGCTGCATGTTGGGGTCAAATGGGGCCGGCGCCCGCGCTATTAGAAGGTTTAAGAGGGGGTTTGTTGCCTGGTGAGACAAGATGCCCGCTGCGTTGGCCGGGTGCAACAATTCTTTGCGTTGAGAAAAATAATTGGGAATCTCGTGAAGGCTCGACGCGTGGTTCGCGCAAATGCCAGTCGGACGTGGCAGCTCCGTGGCTGGGCCTGGAGTCGTTAGTCGCCGCCTTCTCAAGGTGGTCTGTGCGCCCATGAAATTGATGGATTGTTTCTAGTGTCTAAATTGGAAAGCGAGCTCTTTGGTCGCCGAATTAAACCACGAGAGTAGGCCAATTGTTCTCAAACAGCGTATCAGCTTGCATGTTGAATATTTGTCTGACATCTACTAGGCCAATCGCGTAAGACAAAAACGTGTCCAGTGTCTATGTAGTTCACACTGGTAAGTCGAGTCGATCGTCTCCACGGTGATATGATGATGTGAATTGACTCTGCCACGCCTGTCTGACTACTACTGTATACATCTCAAGTATGCAGTGCTAGTGGCAGAGCTACAGTTCCTATTTGTGAGACCTGCCTGCTTTTTCAATACCGGGACCCTTGTCCTCTCAAAATGATGAAGGCCATCAGGGGTCCGTCGCCCCCAGATTCGCTCAAATGGCCCTTTTCACCCACATTGATGTCGTGACATTATATTAGGTATAGCAGCTGGGTATGATGGCGTATGTAAGAAGGTGAATGGGTGCGAGTTCGTCGTCTATGGAGGGCCATGGTGTTTGCCGTCGGCGTCGGGTAGACTGCAGTGCTGTCGCTGCAAAACAGCTGCCACGTTCCATGGTCATGCGTTATATGCCAGGTCTTTGTACCCCTAAAATCACCAGAAAGCTACCAAAGCCTGCTACGCCTCGCTAGAATATGCTGCATATAGAAAATGAACTAGTCCGGGATATGGGACAAGAGGGAGTTGTGAGGTGTCGTGTGATGTGAGCTCCGCTTTCCTTAAAAAGCCGAGCCCAGTCCTTGCTTGGACTGCCGTTTGCTGAACCGATTTCGTTTCGTTGATGAAGTGTCCTCCAGGCTTAATTGGCTCTTAGACAGGTGGTTCCTATGCGACCTATCGTTGATGCCGAAACCTTCCGAGTAACCTCCATTACCGCCGAAGGTACTTGCGGGACTAGACATGGATGATGACATGTCACCAAACCCATTGTCGTTGCTGTAGGATCCTGCGAGGTTTTGTGAAATCGCCATATCCTTGGCTTGCTCTAGGCATTCCAGCCAGTCATCTGCCGTGGGCCGCGAAGAATCGAATGAGTTGGCTGCCTTGGGTTCTTCAAATGTGTAGTGCACGCCGTGCTTCACCCAATTAGCCAGAATCTGTTTTCGGTTGACCAAGTAAGACTTACCGAATCAACACACCATACTGTCTGCCCCTTGGCATCGATCTGGGTTCTCCAAGCACTATCGGGAGCCAGAAGAGATATCTCTTGTTTGGCCTTCTTTTCCTCGCCGCCCGCTGGCGCCAGCACAATCCTCCCGCTGGAAGTAACCATAACAAGCCGTTGCCGCTTCTTGGTTGTGCTGCCACCGAAAAAGCGAGCCAGCTTCCTGTGGCCCTCTCCGTGTTCTCCGTTCTTACCGTGAGGACTGTTGGGTATGGGTGCCGACAGAACCAAAAGGTCACCAAGTCTCAATATTCTCTCGTTGTTCCTTGTCAAGACTGGCGACCATTCTATGTCGAGTTGTGACGGGGGTGGGAGCTCTGTGATGATCCGTCCGGGCGTCCTAGAGGAACCATTCGCGGTATTGCTCGGTTGCGGAAGCCTCAACGCGGAAGCAGTTTGTTGTGATGAGTTCGACATCCCATTGAGCTGAATGATCTTGGGTTCTTGCGATGGCGGCACGTACGGACGCAGGCGGGGCGCTTTTGATCTCCATAGCGTCTTTCCAAAGGGCTGCCCCTCAAAGAACTCGTGGTTCTTGATATGTTCGATGGTAAGCCTCCGCGCCGGGTCAAGAACCAAGCATCGCTCAACAAGATCCCGAGCTGCTGGGGGAAAGCCAGCGGGGAACTCATATTCGAGATTGACAATCTTCTGGAATGTCAAGTACTCAGACCCGGCTTTGAAGGGTGGTCTGCCAGCCAATAGTTGGTAGATGATGCAACCGAATGCCCATAAATCACTTGCCTTGCAGGCATTCTTGTTCGTAAGAAGCTCGGGACTAACATATTCCGCTGTACCGACGAATGATGCTGCCCGGTTGTCGTCCTCATCTTTCCCTTTTCCAAGGGGGTCGACACTCGGTGCAGAAATAGACGCCCTTGGGTCTGTTAATAAGCGCGCTGTTCCGAAATCGGTTATCTTGACATGCAGTTGGTCATCCAGAAGTACGTTCTCCGGCTTGAGATCGCGATGGATGACGCCGCGGGAGTGCATGTACTCGATGGAGTCCAATATCTGCGCCCCAAAGAATCTCGTGCACTCTACGTCGAACGTGCCCGTCTTTTTCAGTACTCCTAGCAACTCGCCTCCGTTGCACAAATCTAGTACATAATACAATGAGCTCTCATCTTGAAATGTGTAGTAGAGTCGGACGATGCCGGGGTGTTCGGTGAGGCGGTTCAAGGTGTCCTTCTCAATGTTGACATACTTGATCTTCCTCTCCTTAATAATGTGCTTCTTCTCGAGAACTTTGATGGCGTATTCCTTTAGCGTTTGCCGGTCTGTGGCGAGGTAGACTGTGCTGTATGATCCCTCGCCTAGTACCCGGCCAAACGAGAAATCGCGTACTCCCTTCTTAACAGGCTTCATGACCGTCTTCCCATTCGCATCCACCTCTTTTCGCATACTGACAGCGGCGCCCTTGTCTTTCCATTCCTCGCTGCTGTTGGACACGGGTAGATCAGGCCCAAGACCCCGGGGTTCAGGGGCAATCGGCACGCCGGGAATTGAGGCATAACCGCCCCCCATGCCCTTGGAGCTCCTTCTGGGAGGAAGTTGCCCTCCCCCAGGCGGCATGGGCCCCTGCCGACCCTGATTGTATGATCTATCCCTGTGGCTCAGCTCTCTCGACGGGGCAGTGGCGGGGTTGGGAGTATACGCTGGGTTTGACCTTGATTCGGTTCTGGTTGGGCCGTTATAGACTGACGTCCTTGAGGGCTCGGTTCTCAGCATATTATACGAATTGGCGGCCAGGTCGCGTTCCGCTGTGGTAAGGATGGCAGACCCAGGCCGGGAGGAGTTTGAGTACGGGAGGGCTCCGCTGTGAGAGTACACAGAGAGTTGGCCCTGCGGATCACCCTGTGCCCCGGGAACAGACATGTTGGACTCGGCAGTATGACTTCTGCTAAGTCGGGAGTTGGGGTCGTACGCAGACGTAGAAGCAACAGTGGCGGTCTTGCTGAGGGGATGTGGGAGGGATTCGCTGGGTTCGGTCGCGTGCTCTTGAGGGTTAGGGGTAGCATCGTCTGGGTTCGCGATTCGCAAGCCACCAAGGGCTCTGGAAAGACTGATGTCGTTATTCATTGCTCCGGCTATGGCGGTAGTGCTGATGATAAAGTCTAAAGTGCTGGGTCGTAGTGTAGGGGGCCTTGAACCAGAGCGGATCTGGGGGTGGCTGCGTCCAGGGTTGAGCCAAGGTGCTCTTTGATGCGATAGTTAGGGCCAGGTCGGAAGGACCAAAAGCAAGCAACGCTGTGCTGTGGTGATTGAAAGAACTGCTTCTCTAGGTGTGGCAGCTTGAGCTTGCTGAAGAGACGACCTCTCTCCCCGGGCTGACAGCTGTAGATGTCCTGCTATGGTACTCCAGCGTCGTCTCCACGAGGTGCAACAGCCAGGGCCAGGGCGGAGTCAACCCTCAATGCCCACCAGATCGCTTGAGACGCCTGGTTGGAGTACCTGTAGGAACCTTATCCGCTAAAGCTAGAGCGGAGCGGTGCGAGGGCATCAGGATGTTGGGCTTCGCGTGCCAAAAGGGCCAAAAGAGAAAAGAAGTGAACAGACAAACTATGAAAGCAATCTGCTATATCTGTATGACACCGCCTCTAATTGCACACGGCACAATAGCCGCAGTCTTGCTGAGATTCCAGAATGTCGGTTTTGGAAAGGCCGATAGACGTAGCAAATGGGGATTGACCTGCAAAGGACACACGGGCCACATAGAGGACGTCTTGAGAAGTAATTTAGTAAGTACGACGGGTACTAAGGTCTAGAAATATTGATTGATTGATAGACCAGACGGAATCAAATTAAAGTTGACGGAAATGACTTGGACACTTGAGTCCAGGCACCACTTGCAAGTGGCTGTAAGATTCATTTTACACAAGCCACTTGAACACGCACGGTAAGGAAAAGTTGAAAACATCAATTCAGCAAGGACACATGGGCACCTCTAGTCCATCTCTTTGTCTGCCTATCGTTGGCGATGCTGTGTGGCCATCAGTCGGGTCTTACCAGAGACGTCATACGAATCCATCGAGGTGCTTCCCAACGTGCATCGCCTCACAGCCCCAGCCGCAAATGACGAAACCTTCGTATGTATTTTTGGGTACCAATTGTCATGTCTCTGCCGTGGACTGTCAGAGTGCAACAGATGTTCCAAATAGTTGCAGTATCAGAATCAACGCTGCGCCAACACTGCATCAGTGCAATTGTCACCAATCATGATTTTAGCCACTGACATATTTTGGCGCAACTCTCGACCAAGAAAGTACCAAACTTGGAAAATATAGACGATACTACTCGTCCTTACGACTATGTAGTTGAATACTGGCCAAGACTGTCCCACTGTGGCGACACCGCTTTTCCTGTCACTTACGAGAAAGTAAGAGAGGATTTCTCAGGAGATCCTGCCAAATGGATATTGCACAGGGCTCTACGGGAAACAGCACTCTTCTCAAGTGGATGTCGGCAACTTGATTCGATGGCCTAGACATCGGGTTTTGCGATGAAATCGAGAATATTTTTGAACTTGGCAGATAAGGGAAGATAGAGATCGCCAATCATGCGACTTGAACGTTCGACAGACATCTTAGAAGACACAGCCTCACAAGTCCCTAATATGCGGTCGGATTTTCTCAACTCTATGGGCAAAGCAATCATGTTCCTGACGAGCAAATTGAGTGCGTAAGTACTTCTAAGTAGCAGCCAGCCTTTGAGAAGCAGGTTTCAGCCTCTAGCCAAACATTTCGTCTTAAGCCCTAGGCGACTGTGTTATCGCTGATTGAGTAATGGGGTTCTTATTGTGATATGCACTGAATGTGTTGATACAAGCGAGCTGAAGCCGATGGATTAATAGGTGAACTCCTCGAGTCATTGTCGAGCAACCATGGGCGGGAGTTGTGATCAGACGAGGTGGCAGGCGCAACCATCTCCTATGCTTTTTCTACCAGTCACAAGGGTAGCAACTACCCAAAACTCCCAAGCAACTGAATATATTTACTGGACAGCAAGTAGCATCGAGGATGGGAACCTAAATGTCGGATGGTTTTAGCTTTTTATCTGTCCTAGACTCCTTTCATTGGGCTTCACACGTCGTCCAAGGTTGTTTTATATCCATCCAGTCTCTATCTCTAAGAGGATATGCAGCAAGATGTTGCGGCTCCCACCAACGAACATCTGTTTGACCATGTCAGAGGTCAAGGACTTTGAACGCCGTCAGCGATTCAAGAAGTATCTTGTAGAACACGAGTCTCGCACTCCCCAGCCTCCACAGCCAATGGCCTCTGGACAGCCCAATCCAAACGCGGAGGATGTCTTTCAGGAACCTGACATCGACAGTGACACGAGGGATACAAAGGACATATCCCCAAGTTCGGAGCAGGGCGAAACTCCCAGACTATTGGCCATACGACCAAAACGACCTCCAAGGACGGATGCTCCGGGAGAGTCCAGCTCCCAATCTGCTGCATCAACACCCTCGCCAGGCCTTGCCTCGAGCATGGGAGGTATACCGCAGTCGCCATTCCCGTCTTGGTCAGGCGATGCGAGGATACTGCCTCCACCGTTCTCGCTGGGTACAAGAGTCGCGCCTGACGAGCACACTTTACCTTCAGTGGGTTCTTGGAAGAGGACACTGACTGTCAATATCATGACTGAAGCTTTCATAGCCGTCGCCCCGTACGAGACCTTCAACGGCCTACGATGACCGGGTCCAAGGACCGGAGCCGCCAATGACACCGCCGAGAAGATCCTCGATGAGGGACCCGCACACTCGACCACGAACCAGTCCTTCGGTTGGTTGAAGAGTGTCCCCTGACCTTGCGAATTCGTAACTAACTGTCTGCTGCAGTCTGCAGCTGGTGCGACGGGAATTGTCCGTTCGGCCGTGAGGTTCGTGGAGTCGTACGTCCAATCGGCACGCGGTATTTCAACACCATCACGTGGACTCCGCTCGACGTCTGGATCACCCACACCCACACCCACACTCGTAGGTAGAGGTGAGGGATGGCAAGGCGGCACCTCAATGGTCGGCGATCCAAGAATCAGGGTCTATGACGATTCGCTGCCTGCATCATCGCAGCCACAGACTCCTCAGCACGTCCCCGAGGCTCGCCATCAGAGTCGGCTTCACGGCGCGTACACAGCGCCCGTTGCACGCGTCGCACCTCGGCCTGGTGGCTACCATTCCAGCACTATTCGAGGTCAGCGAGGCAGAGGTCAAAGCCCTCCGGGATTAGAGACACCGGGGTTTAGAGGTCTATACGGCGGCATTGAGAATGGGGACGATTCCACGTTGTTTGAAGAAGCCTCTCGATTACATGAGGGTCACGGGGAAGATGAGGAGGGCGTCAGACCAGGTCGAAGTGAGGATAATCCAGCTCATACATCGAGCAGCAGACATTGAACTGGAATAAACGGAGCAGAGTTATGGATGCAATCCCAAAATCGATAATCAAGAAGGGTTTGCAATACAGCACTGGCAAAGATGTGGTCCGCACGGGAGTGAGAGCTGGCCATAGATCAGTAGATAGGCAGGGCACATTACAATGGGAACGGGTGGCTCATGTACCCTGCCATAGCCATGCCAAGTGCAAGCTGACGTAGATCGGAAATGAAAATGGAGAGGTACGTATGCTGTTACCACTCTGTTGCTGCGCGCACTGCTGGAGAATACGGGCAGGCTAAAGGAGGAATCGAATGACCGGAAACAGTATCCCCCCAATGATATATTATCGGCTAGTTGCAACAGCTTTTCCGGCCACCTTTTTTTTGACCGTTTTGGTCCTCATCCAGGCAGTTAAAACAGAATCCCTACACTAGCCCCAACAATTGCAGAATGCGGTCTATGGGGTCTACTTATGTGCCAAGATGCTTACTGACCACGGACACGAAGTCATCCAGAGAGGGGATCCAGGTCTCACTTCCCATTGTCCAGCTTCTAACCTGACTAACCGCATTGACCACCTTTTTGCATGCACCCCCATTTTGCAGTGTCTAACTGAACTAACCTAAATACTTCGTCCATATTATTTATATACAGTCGGCTGGTGTAGTTGGTCACTTCGCTGGTAGATAAGTCCCGATTTGAGCCTCACCCACTTGGGTCGGTGACGAGTCGCGCGCTACCCACCTTGTTGACTTCGCCTTACCTAGCGATAATAGGGAGATTGGTGCAGTTTAGGATTACGAGCATCCTAGCCAGTCGACCGTCAAGCACTACGTCGGCGGAATATAACTCGACAGCCGGTCCAGAATTCGAATCGTTAATCCGACCCCTTATCGGACCCCCTCTCGCCGTGATTCTTGCGAGCGTCTAGATCACGTTACGGTCTATCCACTTGAGCGTATGATTGAGATGTATACGCTCGACGAGAACCCCAATTAGCAGATACTACGACTTGTCGCGACAAAAAATAGTCGAGCATCTTCTGCATATCAGCAGCCCACCCCTGAGGACGAATTTAAGTGCCACATTACCACACTTATTGGTAGTTCAGGCAGGGGTTGTAGCACAGACTTAGGGAGGGACAGGAGGTTTAGTAGTCGTTTGGCTACAAGTTTACCTGTATAACCGCCCGACGCGGCTTAAGGGCCCGCTATATCATCTATAGCCCCTTAAGGGAGTACTTGTAGAGGTACCGAGGGTTAACACCTACGGCGTATTTAATATTATTTATTATTATTTTATATAGTTGCTCGTTTTCGATACGTAATTTGGCATTCTCGGCGGCCTGGAGTGTAAGGGCCTTGCCCGCCTTGCCTACTAGGGTACGAATCTTACGAGATACCCCGCCCTCGGCTTTCTCTATCGACTGTAGTTGGCTAGATAGTTACTGCGCTTTCTGAGGAGTAAAGCAACTAAAGGTGGTGATATATGAGGCGGAGGATCTGGTGTATGAGGCTCCGGAGGATCACAAGATACGTCGACTAGTCCTTCGGAGCCTAGGGGCCATATACCAGTCTTCCGCCAGCCGGATTTAATATTTTCCGTAGTAAAGGCTCTCTCCGGGGCACGTAGATATGCTTCTAGCATACGTTGCTTGTAAATTGGGGCTGTAGCCTTGTAGGAAGCGTAAGCCCTGAGCTCTTGGCGGTAGTAGGTCTTCAAAGGTGAGAACGGCCCGACATCGCACGGCTGGAGATCGTCACTGCAGTGTGAGGGTAAATACAGCACGGCGACTCTATCCGAGTAGGTTTTCCACATAAATTCGGCATGAATATGTGTCTGGTGGCTGTCGAGGATAAGGAGTCGCCATTCGGTACCCCTAGGCTTCGTCTCGGGGAGAAAAACCTGATCTAACCACCTATTTGCGATAACTTTATTACTCCAGCCCTTACTCGTTGCGGTGTATTCCCACTCAGGGATATTTTGGTCTGGGAACCACTGTGCTTGGACTCTCTTGCCGGAAAATACGCAGACAGGTGTACCCCGTTGGGTATGCGAAATGTACTCTAACCAGGAGCACCACGACGAAGCGTCCGACTTTGATACACGTACCCGGCGTGAGTTAGACGTCCCAATAACCGTACTATGCCCAGATTCCCCCTCTTGGACACCTGTCTCATCCATATTATACTCGTTGTCGGGTTTGATACGATACTTCGTACGTAAGCGTTCGAGGAGGGTGTAGAAGTCTCGGATCTTGTTCGAATCGGACGCTCTAACTCAGCTAGCATCTACGACGCGCCCAATTTTGGTACGTATCTGTGGATGGCGGCTAACGAAGTGATCCACCCCGTGTTGGCCGAGTGTATTGTTATCCCCTTGAGCAAGGAGGATTTCGGCAGCGAAGTCGGCCACATAACGCTTGCTAGGAGCCCGTCCACACACTTCTTCGTGTAGGATCCAGTTCACGATAACCTCCTCTTGCTCTGGAGTCAACTTTTGTTGCCTGGAGGCGGCGTCGCGATGCGAATTACCGTGACGAATACAGTAGGACAGTGTAGTCCCCTTGATACCGTACCGATGAGCTGCTACGGCCTGGGAAGAGCCCTGACGGACAAGCTCTTTAGCGCGTTCGATTCGCTGCTCAAAATCGTCCAGACTATTCCCCACTAAATTAGCCATTTTGTACGTAGATAGGGAGCAATTGCGAGGTAAATTGAGAGACGTCGTGTTGTTGAGGCGTAGAAACTCCCTGCGAAATGGGGGTGCATGCAAAAAGGTGGTCAATGCGGTTAAATGTTCCGGGACAGAGTCGAGACCCTGGCTCAAGGGACTACCTCAGTAAGGGACTGACAAGGACCACATCGTATGAGACTGCACGGGCAGCTCGGTCCGCCTATCATCCAGCCAATCAAACAAGAACTCGCTTGTGTCTCCATGCCAAGATAAGCAGGGTCGTTGCCCGCATATGCTCGAGCCAATCATGGCACAGGCTCGTCAGAATCCTAATCGCCTTACCAAATGCTCTGCATCCCGATCGCTGTCTCCACACCCAGCTTTGCTTTGCGTGATTGCCTCCCGGTTTTTTTTTTCTACACGGCACGCCTTAGGATTTCTCACCCCACCTCGTGACCTGGTCTCCGCATCCACGGCACTGAAGTCACTTTCGGTCTCAGCCGTAACGTCCAAGACGAGGAAAGCGGCACACGCTGGGGGGCTCCACTCAGCAAACTCCGTTTCTGTACCTACCATCGAATGGCAGGCACGTCTTCCCCGAGCCGTCATCCATGCCAACTGAAGCGTGCACACCTACAAACAGAGCCCGTAGAGCCGCCCTCCTTGTCCTGTCGATGCTGCTTGTCGTCCGCCTTAATTTCTATTTCTTACAAGTGTCTTCCCATCCACCCACACACTCTGATCTCGACTTCACTCTTCTCCCTATTCCTCGTCCTTAACTCTTCCACACTACAACACATAAATGCTCCCTTCCCCCTTCTCTTATTCCAACCACTGGACAGTAAAAGTCAGAGCTTCATTTACACTCTCGGCCTTCCCTCTAAGGCTACACAACCGCGCCGCGTGTCAACTCGACCTCACTCCATCGTCATCCTCGATGTCCACCTTGCCGGCATAGTTGACTAGTATCTTTTTTTATTCATATTTTTATTATTTCTTATCTCGCCCCTACTCACTTCTTCCAGCTCAATTGGTCTTCCCATCATCTTCTCCGATTTCCACTTCTCGATCCCAGGCCTCACCACCATCTCATCAGCCACCTTTCGACCTCACCTACGCCAACTGTCATCTAGCACTCGCCTCGCTATTGCCAACTTGGGTCATCTAACTAAACTTGCGTTCCATCTCACATCTAGTACTAACAGGTCACAATGGGTTCATTCTCACGTACCCAGTCTCCCGTCCTCACCATGCAGCCCAGTGCTGCTCATCAAACCCCATTTGATATGCCCATGTTCCCGCATCAGAACTCTCCTCTCCGGGCCGAACCGTTTGCTGTTCCCTCTGCCTGGTCCCAAGCATCTGCACCAGCCATGCTCAAAAAAACTGGTCGAAAACGATCCCGAGATGAGGCAGCCGTCAACCTAGACGTCGAAGCAGCCAAGCTTGAGACCATAGAGCCCGTCAAAGAACCCGAAGACGAGTGGGTCTATGGCGAAGGCATGGTTTTGATCAAGAAGTCCTCAGCCTATGTTGCCGACGCAGGCACGCAATCTGGTACCTGGTTGGAAGAGAGGGCTGCCGAGGAAGAGGCGCGCAAAATCGAAGACGCTCGCGCCATCCACGGTCAACATCGCCCATCAATGAGAAGCAACAAATCTCAGCGACTGGACCTCAGTTCCGTGTCGATGTCCACCAATAGCACCCCAGCTACTCGATCAAGCCCTGTCCGCGACATCACCGACGCAATCATCACTCCTGGATTTCCTGCAGACACAAGACACCAACCCGTCATAGATCAATTCACCCTTCACCTCGGCATCGGGTGGAAACGCATCAGTGACGACGAACATATCCAAGCAGCGGCGCGTGGATGGGCCCGTTATATCGAGAATCATTTTCCCATCACCAAAGTCCAAATCCAATTGGAAAGCAAGGGTCTCCAATCCTACCTCGTCAAAGCTGCCGAAGGCATCTTCCTCTTCGCAGAGGACTTGCGCCGAGGCCAACTCGTCAGCCGCAACATGAGTCGAGCGTTTGAGAACCTGAAGGTCTCTCCTCCTGCCTTCGAAGGCGCTGAGGTGTTGACTGCCGCCACCACACCGCAACCTTCGCTAGAGAATGCGCCGTCAATGATGGTAGCTGCACAGGACGTTGATATGGACATGAGCTAAATGGGAATGGAGACAGTATGGCGCGATGGACTAAGGCCTTGAAATGTGGGCGCCGATGGGCAGCATTTGGGATCTGCCTGGTTTGGCGGGAGTTTTGTCAATTCGCCTTCCAATATTTTTTCATGCTTGCAGCATATATATGCGATGGTTGGGTCGTCGCTTTGCTTTTCAAAACCGGGATAGCGCCTTCTGGGATACGGGTCCGTTTTCTGCGGCTGTATCCTTATCTGTATGAGTAGAAGATCTACCATGCATGAGCTGCGATAATGCAGTTCTCGTTTCAACTTATCAAGACTCAAGTGATATCTGGGGCCTTCGACCTTTTGAACAAAATGTGATTTTGCCTTATTGTGGGCCTTTGGGCGGCGATGGATTCACTTTGGTCCAGTTCATCCAGTTAGTGAATGCGACCATGCTGCATGTGAACCAAAATGGATCCGGCATCGGTGACCGCCAGTCATCAGCAGACTTACACCTGTAGAACCGCCGATTACTCCGTGGTTGATCTACAGTTTGGTCGGATGAACTCAGCGTATGCTGAGAAAAATCTATGCAATCACTGAACTCGGTATTAACGACCGGTCTTGTGAAATGCACTTTAAAGAGCCACGAGCTAGTCCCGTAGTTATAGGCCTTATTGGTGTCTAGATCCAAAAACTCTACGTGTATAGGAAACCGACGTGAAATTCCTAGTACAATGATAAGATCAACAGCCGAAACTCATTGGTGTATACTCCCAAAGTTATTAGATGGTTTGGTGTGGTACAGACTGGAGGTCGTCTGACCCAAGCCTTGCCCGTGTATGTGCCTAGAGTTACTATCATGGGCATGCGATGCTGGATCTACCTTCCGCCAAAAATGCAGCATACAGCTTCATGCGCCCCTCGCGACTGTCACAGTCTACAAGTGATCGTACAGCTGTGGAGGGCCGGCAAATGTTGACCATTTGAAGCTGCTCACTTGTCAGTGCTCATGATGGACCAGCAGCACCTGGTGGAGCAAACTGCTCTGGACTAACGTCATGTTGCAGCCGTTGCCCGACAGGCTCGGTGCCACGGGATGAGCGCCTCAAGCCGCGAGATAATCACGTTATGTTAAAAGCCACCAAAGCCGCGCACCATACACATTTCGTTATGAGTACAGTGCTCTTACTGAAATGTTGATGTAATTACCATTTTTTGGCTTGCATGTACGATATTTCAGATCTTTAGCTAACTCCTTATAACTGCACTTGGAAGAACTGCAGGACAATCGCTGAAGTCGTCATTTCAAAACTAAATTTATTAGCTCCGCTCAAGCTTCGAAGACACGGTGCGCGCGCTCCACAGGTTGACGAGATTCTAGAACATTGAGCTTTCAATTCTAGTCGCACACAGGCACCTATTAAACATCCTAAATACTTGTAAAACGAGACTATCAATTGGAAGTTGGGCAAGCTTTGACTCGACTCACCCTGTAGCAAAGGGTGGTTCATCTTCTTGCGCCCCCGAGCCCGGATCGACAGCTGGACACCTCCCACTTCCACTTGCATTCACATCCAACTCCAGAGACCGTCACCTGGAAGCCATGGTAGGTTTGAAAACACTGTGCCGGTAGCCTAGAATGAAGGCCATCCTTCCTGGACAGCCAGAAGCCAGCCTCCAGGCGCTGTCAACGGGTCACTGGGACGGTGCCGGCGGAAGGCGCATCGTTGTCTACATCACGGGCAACGCCCTCGCCATCCTGTCCGATGACACCATAATCCAGACGATATACGACGATGATGAGCGGAAACTAGAGGCCGTCGCCTTCGATGAGTTGTCGGGCAAGATAGCCGCGAGCACCGGAAGGACAGTCAGGATCTACAAACCCTTAGGGCAGCTAGACGATGCGCTGAAGGTCAGTCCACCAACACCGATTCGGAAGCTTCGCATTCTGGTAGCTCACAAACGTCGCACAGTGGGGTCTGCAGTCCTCTTTCGATATCGACGAAGCGAATACATCTGCCAGTCTTTCTTGGGGAAGCTCCGAAGAGCTCCTCGTCGGCCGCAATGCGTTATGGCTCTACGACACCACCTCCAACCCTGCCTCCTGTTACTGGCATGCCGAACTACCTTCGCCCGTCAGAAGTGCGACTTTGTCATACGACTCTGCCTATATAGCCTCTGTGGGTTACCATGATCGCATGGTCAAAGTCTGGCGGAGGCTGAACTTCGGCTTTGAATCACATTTCGACTTTGGGTACCTACCACATCCACGAGCGGTTGCGAGGATAGAATGGCGACGACCCGTACATTTTGATCAGACAATTGAGAACGTATTATACACGTTCTGCGCAGACAATATGATGCGGGTGTGGACGGGGGCAGATGGCCACGGGTGTCAGTTCCTCAGGCTTTGGGGCGAGGTCGACCTCGCGACCGCAATACAAGATGACACTCGTAATCGTAGTGCCGACCCGGACATTCGCTGGGCTTTTATCATCGGTCAAAGAGACCTTGCTACCGCTACAGAGAAGGCCGTTGGAGGACGGGAGGCCGGCCTAGTAAAGGACGATGTGCGGCTCCAATACCTGATTTCCATCGCCAACAGGGACACAGAGATATGTGTCATCATGGATGGTCGCGGTAATATGGCAGCCTATGCTCTCGAGAACGTCTGCACCAAATCTCAAAGCGCCAACAACATCGACACAGTGACACTGGTCAAGTCGAAGGACTTTGACTTGCTTGGTAGATCGGGAGATTTGCAGCACGTTGCCATATACAACTATTGCAACAAGACATCGGGCCAGTTGAACGTACTGTTCCACCACTTCGATGGAAGGGTGGAAGTATTTGAGTCTAACATTACGGATCTTCTCGATCCTACGTCAAAACCCCGACGTTTGATTCCTCGGGCGACTTGGTCGGGACACTCTGCGTCTATTAAGAAGATTGTGCGCAACTTTAGCGGAAGGGCCATTGTCTCGAGGACCGAACAGGGAGAGAGTCTGGTTTGGAGGCATGCTTCCAATCAGAGCGGATCAAAACTCGTCCGGCACAATGCCATTCCTGAAAGTCGGCATATTCACAGGATATGCTTGCTACGGGGCGGGAAATTTGTTGTCTTCCTGCATCATAATGCTATATGTGTATGGGATTGCCAACAGAATAAGCCGTCTTTGCTTGCAGAGAGCAAGTACGACATACCAGGGAAGCCGCTTTGTGTTCTCGTCCTCCCGCGCAAGAACGCCAAGGATGTTTCCGTGGCACATATTGCAACTATTACTTCGGAGCAAAGAGGAATCGTGTGGGAACTTCGTCTCCCGATTCGATCTCGCAATGAGGTCAAGTTGCCGATTAACGGGCATAAGCCGGGTGCGTGCTCGATACGCGAGTTTTGCAGCTTCAACCTGGACGACGCTGGGGACCTGGCATATGTTCTGCCAGTTGATCCTGCGGGGTCTTCGCCCGTCATATCCGGGTTTCTTGATGTCTTTGCCAGGGATGTGGCAGTCTCCTATACACATTCTGGTCGCGTTGAGTTCTGGACTGCACGAGTCAGCAGCGATCGTGACCGAGTTGAGTGGCTCTCGACAGCGTCACTGGAAACTGGTATCGCAGAACCTGCGCTTGTCAGTGGTAGCACGATGAAGAAAGCTGCCCTGGTTAACGCTAGTAGATCTGAGGTCACTATATGGGATGTCCGAGGCGCCCAACTGGAGTTTTCTCGAGATTTTGAGAGTCACAATACGGTGCAGGACCTTGACTGGACTTCGACACCAGACTCGCAGTCGATTCTTGCCGTGGGGTTTCAGTATCGAGTTGTCTTGCTTGCACAGATGCGTTTCGACTACTTGAATAAGGGACCGGCCTGGGCGACCATTCGGGAAATCAGCATTCGTGACTTCACGCCGCATCCCATAGGCGACTCAACATGGCTCAGTGGTGGTAACCTTGTCATTGGCGCGGGCAATCAGTTGTTTATGTATGATCGAATGTTCGAGACACCTCACTCCTTCGCGATCAGCTCTCGCTTGCCGCACCGCAAAGATGGCACGAGAGACCTTTTCGAGGTGGTGCAGAGGCTGAATGGTCCGCTTCCGATATTCCATCCCCAGTTCCTTAGTCAATGCATGCTGTCCGGGAAGAACACTTTGGTTCAAAGGGTGCTCCTTGCGCTGAATCATACCCTGAAGTACCACGTTGAGGGCGAGACGATAGATGACTACCTAGGCCTGGATCTGGCCGAGTTCTATATCGGCAGCAGTGTAAGTTGGTTCATTTCCAGTCCGTACTTTGCTAATCATCATGAAGATTGCCGCGACTACTAACGGAAGTGATTCGTACCTCGTACAAAGAGCATCCTATGATGATGCTGACGAAGCTTTCTCGGAGGACACAGCTGTGAATGTTTGCGAGAAGCTTCAGAAGATCGCCCTGCCCCAGCTGTCTAGCCATGAACAAATACAGCTCCTCGACATAGTCGAATGCGTTGGCGTCGTTGAGCGGCAACGGCGATCAATGGATGAGAATGGAGCGCGGTTTATGCTCTTCTTCCGGCAGCACGCTCTACGTAAGGGCCGCACGAATGAGATCCACATGTCCTGGCGGGAAATCAACTGGGCTTATCATTCGACAAGTCAGGATATTCTGACGGACTTCGTGTCTCGTCAGTATCATGGAACGTTGTTGTGGGAGAACGCCAGGGAAAGTGGGGTCTTCATGTGGCTCACAGATGCCGCAGCAGTCGTAAGTCAAAACATCGACCTGGTTACTAAGTCCGGGGCTTACCTCTGTTACAACAGAAAGCCCAGTTTGAAATTGTGGCGCGAAATGAATACGCCAAGAGCGACGTGAAGAACCCTGTCGACTGCAGTCTCTTCTACTTTGCGCTGAAGAAGAAGGCGGTTCTTCAGGGTCTCTGGCGCATGGCACATGGAAACAGGGAGCAAGTTGCAACTCAACGACTGTTATCAAACAACTTTGAGGATCCCAAGTGGAGGACGACGGCGCTGAAGAACGCGTATGCCTTGCTGAGCAAGCGACGTTTTGGTATAGAATCCCGGAATATCTGTTCATTGAGGATGATGAAATCTGACTTGATTTGTAGCATATGCTGCCGCATTCTTCCTCCTGGCGGACCACCTGCAAGATGCGGTGAATGTCTGTCTGAATCAGATCAAGGACCTACAACTTGCCATTGCCATCACCCGAGTTTACGAAGGCGACAATGGACCCATCCTCAGAAAGCTCCTTGAAGATGAGGTACTTGCAGTGGCAGCTCGGGAGGGCAATCGTTGGCTAGCGTCGTGGGCGTTCTGGATGCTTAGACGGCGCGATATGGCAGTCCGCTCTTTGATCGTAAGCTCTTCCCTTGGTCCCCCAAACTCCTCAATTCCAGTGTTGACTATCCTTACAGACACCAGTATACACCCTCCTAGAAACCCCCTACCCCTCCGACCTGAAATCCAAACTCTTCCTAACGGACGACCCGGCCCTCGTAGTTCTCTACTCCCAACTCCGCCAAAAGACGCTACAGACCCTCCGCGGCGCCTCCAAGGTAACCCCCAAAGTAGAGTGGGACTTTGTTCTCCACAACGCGCGACTGTATGACCGCATGGGCTGTGATCTTTTAGGTTTGGATCTAGTCAGGAACTGGGAGTTCCTCCGCGCACCGGTCGCGCCTCCCGGACTAGGGGGCGAGATTGACTTGCCGAAGTTGTTGAGAAGACGGAGCTCACTGGTCGTCGCGGATATGCCACTGAGTCCTATAGGGGCCGAAATGAAGACGGGCGGCGGTGGATGGCCCGGGATCGGGACGGGGAATAGCAAGGCGCAACAGACGCCGACGGTGTTTGAGGAGCCCGATGCGGGAAGTCTGCTGGATAGTTTTGGGTTTTGAGTAGGGTATAAGTAAAGGTAGTTAGTTGTACGATGTGATGGGAAGAAATGATTCGTTGAGTAGCGGGTAATCGCTGGTATATTTGGCTGGGGGACGGGGGAGGAGGAAGGGAGGGAATCATTCACGTTGATCAATCGGCACAGCCACCGCAAAGGAGCGACGTATCAAGTTGAACAATATGTTAAAAGTCACGAATATAAGCCTCTGAAGTTGAAATTTAACCATAATAGCTGTGTCTCGTGAGGTACTAATCACTTTATAATAATTAGCACTTGCTCTATAAGTGACCCTGTCCCTGCTTAAACGTAGACTGGGTGTAGATGCTGCTGAACTGGCCAAAGCCACTCTTGAGGTAGGCAAATCGTGGACTAAGGAATTGTTCTAGCTGGTAAATCACTGTAGCGTCGTATCATTGCTCATTCCATTCGACACCAGTACTCGTGCGCTTTTATTTCTCCTACTTTCTTCCTATCTGGGTAGCCTGCATATCGACCCCCTGCTTTTACTTATAACCACCACCGTTCACCTCTCTATCGTCCATCTGCGCGAAGACTGTAGTAGCGAGTCCCAATTTTGCAATAAGACAGATAGAGTGACTCATCCGGCAACGCAGTCTACAATGATTTCTCTTTCAAAGGCAGCGACAGGGCGAACAATGTCCAACAAAGTCGGAAAGAGAAAGGCATACTAACGCAATCCATTCGGGGTCGCTAGTTCGATCCCAACAGGTGTCACCGTCTGTTTTTGGGGGTGGTGCTCTACAAGTGACTCCGTTTTCTTTTTGTTACACTTGACACAGAACATATGTTACGCTCAGGGATACTAAAATTTGCTTTTGGACCTCGAAATGAGATTGACTATTAAAGTAGACTGGAGCTTGAGTGGGGCGGTGAAAACATCTATTTGGGGCTGAACCATATATACATGTATCCTAGGTGCAACAGTTGCAGATGGGAGACACTCGGTCCTAAGTATAGGCAACTCGCTTTGTCAGCATAATTACAAACGTCATTTGTACTTCGTCGCGGTTGTGTATGGTTTCGCACGCGGACGGCAATGTCGTGCAAGTTGCACTGCGTACAAAACCCTGATCTCGTAGTTTTATCGCCGCTCCATGTCTTGTTATCTGGAAAAATGATGTGAATCTATAGTGCCATGATTCGTTGCATGGTTATAGGCTTTCCGATACGGCGCACCAACTAGCCAGTATACACTCCGTGAAGTGACATTACTCCTTCCGCTTTCAATGGTTATCACCCAAGGCGAACTAAAACCACTTCCAGTCATCCGATATACTTACACACGCATTTTAGTCTTGAAGCAGCCAACCAGCGTCGACGCAACCCGACCCAGAGATTGGTAATTGGGCAACTAAGACTGTGGAGCAAGCCGCTATCTCCGAATCGGCTGCCGCACGCCATCGACCGCGGCCTTCCAACACCGACTTTTTTCCCTCCCACATTTGCCGTTTGCCATTTGCCGTTCGCCATTTGCCGTTCGCCATTGATTCGGCATGGCCTCCTGTTGTCTCATCTACGAGGTGGTTTTTAAGTAGAAGGGTTGTTTACGTCCTGACTGAATATTGAGGCTCGACGATCTCGCAACTTGAGGCACCGTGCTCATTCATTATCTCGCTTATCTCCAAGATTAAGTAAGCCGGCGGCATCATGGCTCCGGACAGAAACGATGGCCATGAGCCAACGCGGGATGCGATGACAGCAGGTTCTCGCGCCACTATGAGGCTGCTCCCCGAAGGCCGTCACTTTACGGTGAGGGGAGTTGTTGTTGGTTTGCTGGTGGGACTGGTCATTTGCTTTTCGAACATGTACTTCGGGTTGCAGACCGGGTGGGTGTCGATGATGACTATGCCGGCTAGTCTGATGGGCTATGGGATTTTCAAGGGGCTCGCGCCGCATTTAAAGTTCCCGTTTTCGCCTGTGGAGAATGTATTGGTTCAGTCAGTCGCGGGCGGGATGGCGATTATGCCGCTGGGGTGTGGATTTGTTGGTGTGGTATGTATGCCCTCGTTGCTGGTAGATGATCTGGGGAACAAGGATATGGGTGCTAATGGAGCCATAACAGATGCCGGCAATGAATTACTTGCTCAAGTCTGAGGAGCAAGGTCCCGTATTTTTGAGTTTATGGAAACTCATTATATGGTCATTGGGACTCTGCTATTTCGGCGTCGTTTTCGCCGTTCCTCTGTAGGTGGTGACACGTTCCCGGTTCGAGCTTTCGCTAATCGAGCATCGCAGCCGGCGTCAGGTCATCATAAAGGAACAGTTGAAGTTTCCTAGCGGTTTCAGCACTGCGGTTCTGATCGGCGTGCTTCACGGCAAAGGCGCGAGTCAAAACGGAGCAGCCTTGGACCCTTCAAAGGCTGCGACTTTCGGCAGTTTGGCTCTGGAAAACCGCCCTCTTTTGGAGAGTGAGGACAGAAACGACGAAGATAATCGGACTTTGATTGGGGGCGATGATGAATCAATCGCAGAGCCTGGTGGCAAGTACAGCTGGGGAGACAACATCCGCCTACTGCTGATAAGTTTCGGAGTCTCTGGCGCCTACACCATATGCACCTACTTCCTCCCCATACTACGCCAGTTACCCGTCTTTGGTGCTTACGCCGCGAGCACTTGGCTCTGGGAACTCAACCCAAGCCTCGCATATGTCGGCCAAGGCATAATCATGGGCCCAGCTACAACATTGCACATGTTGCTGGGTGCTGTTGTCGGCTGGGGCATACTTTCGCCGCTGGCCAAGTATCGAGGATGGACCCCTGGGAAAGTGGACGATTGGGAGACTGGCAGCAAGGGCTGGATTGTCTGGATTTCCCTGGCCATCATGTTGGCAGATTCTGTAATCAGCCTAGGCTATATTGCATTCCGACCGCTCGTCCAACAGGGGCCGGCTTTTCTCGCAGAGACAAAACTGCGGTTCGACCAGGGTGGTCTTATGAATGTCTTCCGGCCAAGACCCGGGCCAAGACCCGGTGGCTACACGGCCATTGGAGACGACGAGACCGACCCCAGATCCTCCTCAGGCCAAAGGAGCTCCTCATCCGAGCTCCTCCCAAGCCCGACCTTCGCACGCCGCGACGACCACGACCTCCGAGCCTGGGACTACGACGACGCCCCGCCAGAGCAACAAGTCGGCAACAAAACCGTCAGCTTCGGTCTAGTTAGCGCAATCCTCGTCTGCGTAGCCAGCATCCACATCACCTTCGGCGACCTAGTCCCCCTGTACGCCAACGTCATCGCCGTGCTCATGGCTCTGCTCCTCTCCATCATGGGCGTGCGCGCCCTCGGCGAAACGGACCTCAACCCCGTCTCAGGCATCAGCAAGCTCGCTCAGCTCTTCTTCGCCCTCATTATCCCCCAGTCCAACAAGAATAGCGTCCTCATCAACCTCGTCGCGGGAGCCGTCTCCGAGGCCGGCGCCTTGCAAGCGGGTGATTTGATGCAGGATCTCAAGACGGGGCATTTGCTGGGCGCGGCACCTAGTGCGCAGTTTTGGGGTCAGGTTATTGGGGCTACGGTCGGGGCTGTAGTGAGTGCGTTGATTTATAGACTGTATACGGCTGTGTATGAAGTCCCGGGGGATTTGTTCCAGGTTCCCACAGCCTATGTGTGGATTTTTACTGCGAGGTTGGTTACCGGGAAAGGGTTGCCTTACATGGCCAAGGAGTGGGCTATTGGGGCGGCTGTAATATTCGCTGTCCTGACGGTCATACGGACCAGAGCCATGGGCAAGTCGTGGCAAGGGTATATCCCGGGGGGTATTGCCGTTGCGGTCGGTACGGTGTCCCTAATTCTTCTACTAATACACTGGATATTTCACCTTTGAAAGCACGTGGCTAACAAGACACAGGCATGTACAATGTCCCGTCGTTTACACTGGCCAGAACAATCGGCGGCTTGATGAACTGGTACTGGAGAGTACATCTGAGAAAGGAGGACACTCCATTGATAGTTTTGGCATCTGTAGGTTCGGTCGAAATCTGCATAGAGTTAGCATCTTTACTAATGAGTTAATTAGGGCTTCATCCTAGGCGAGGGATTCTTAAGTATATTGAATCTGCTCCTACAGAGTGCCAGAGTGCCTCATCTATAGCTATAAGCAGATGTTGGGGTATTTAGTCGAGCTTCGAAGGAAATGTAGAATCAAGAATACGACATAATCAACATATCTGTGACGCAAGCCAGGGGCTATATGCTTCTTGATGTGTGGTGTTGAATATGGTGCAAGTAGACAGGACCACTTACGCGCCGATTGATGTACTTTGTGCGCAATGATTAACCTCTCAGTGTCGATATTGCAAGTTGTGCGCACTATACATACAGTCTTGCCAATCCAGTTCATTCGAATAACTATATCGTCTCACAGGGGTAAGGGACAAGGCACAGGAACTCGTTCTGGATTCACTCCTCCAAAAGCTCTAACAGCATCTGAAGACGTTCACCTTCACCATACCATAAAGCAGCCCAGTACCTACACAGTACTCCAAACCCCCAGAGTCCAACTACTCATCTGACTCCCCCTCATCAACCCGCCCGCCCCCATTGACTGCCTCTGCGACTTCTGTATAGCCTGTACGTCAATCTCGCTCGGCTTGCTCGCACCATTAACTCCCTGCTGCGCCCATAAGTCCTTTTCCACTACTGCCAAAGCCGGAATTTTGAGCTGCGACGCTAGGCTCGCTCCGCACCACGGACCCATTGAGTCGATTGCTCTTAGAATGCCCCGTATGGGCGGCTTGTAGCCTTTTTCTTGACGGATGTGGTCCTCTACTTGGTCGGGTTGCCGGGGGACGTCGGCGGGGTTGATGACTGCGGTGGGAGGGGGAGAAGATGTGTCGGATATGGTGGTGCCGCCTGCTGGGGTGGTTTCGGTGATGGTGGGAGTTTGCTGCTGTTGTTGTTGCGCCACGACCGGGATAGAAGTCGAAGAACCGTCGGTGTTGACTTGCTTCGGGGGTGTATTGGTACGTTGAAGTTTAGGGTTCTTCTTATACGCCTCAACGCCCTTTCCCCGGATAGGATCCCAACCTCGTTCCTGCGCGAGCAGGGACACCTCATCGAAGATCCGGCCTTTGAGACCGGGGATGGCGGAACAGCCGCCCGTGAAGATGACACGCGACATGCACATGGCTCGGACGTCTAGGGGCAGTTGCAGGAGGCTACGGTAGACGAGGAGGTGCAGAGGGAACTCGTGGTCGTCGAAACATGCCGGGGAGTAGCGGGTTTCGAAGAAGGTTGTTTCACAGGGCTCGGATAGGCGCGAGAAGGGGATCAGGAGTGTTCTGGGGGGGTTGCATGAGGTGAGGTGTATGCGGGTCGGAGTTGTGTCCTCGGCGGGATCTACGGGCTCGGATTCGTCTTGTTCGTGGAGGGTGGGCAGGCCTTCGGGAAATTCTTGAGAGGGGGGATTGTGGGCTTTCTTACACCAAAGTATTCGAGTGGCCACCTCTTCGCACTCCTCAAAACGGACGACATCGTCTGGGGCTTGTTCATCTTCGCCTTCTGGTGTTGGTCGTCCCTCAATGGCTTCTACAAGGAAGTTTTTCGTCTTTTCGATGAGCAGCTTGCCTGCTCTGATTGTCCTCCATGTATGCACTTCCCGGTACTCGCAAACTGCCGTGATCACCGTCTCGTGCCAGCCAATATCAACGACCAGAGCTGAACGTACGCCGGCGGCAAACGCTGTCATAACTGGAGAGGATACCAGGGATATGGTGGGGGTCCCAAATCGGTTGAAGAGGGTATCCAGGACGGAAGAGAGGATAGGTATCTGAATCGCCGGTGGCAAGACAAGAACCATTTTCCTAGGCTTTGAATCGATCAGAAGATATCTGAGCAAATAATTAGTCAGTCTACCATCATAGAACACCAACAAATGACCAGGAATGTGAATGAACCTACTTCACAAGCGCCTCCCTCAACCCCCTCTCTATCTTGTCTCCCACGAGGCCCAAATCCTGGCCCCTCACATCCAACTGCCAAAGCTGTTGTTCCCATCCCCAAGCCTGCCCCGACGCCCTCTTCCGCCAGTCATCCTCGTACCCAGCCTCCCAAGCCCGGAAGTCGCCCGCGCGCCGGGCCTGCTTCCCTTCGAACGAGACAATACGTTTTGGGACTGGGTCGCCCGCGAAGCCTACGCGCAGGCGTCGGCATCCCAGCTCAATGACGAGGACGTCGTCGTCGGCGCGCAGACTGGAGGGCGAGCTGATCTGGCCCGAGGATAGGGACCGGATGGGTGTGTGGGGGCTATTGGGGGAGACTTCGCGGGCGGCGCGGATGCTGGACACGGTGCGGTGGGCGAGGGCGGGGCCCGTGTTGGTCGACATTGTGTCCAGGTGGTCTTGGTCGGATTACATATCACTGACACGGTTCAGATCTGAAGCGGACGGGACGTCGCGTTGAATACGCGTGTCAAGGAGTGCCCAGTTGAGGTTACGTCAAGGTGTTTGAGGCTCTCTTGCCAGGTTCAAGACATCAATCTGAGAGAGGTCGCGGAGCAACCACCGCCCATCTGGCTGAGACAGTTCTGAGTTCTGATAGCACTGCTTTTAGGCCACCTTCCTGATCTAAAAGAGAACGAGAATAGTTTCTAATTCTGATGGATCCAGAGCAAACGCGATGACATGGCACTCGCATTCGCGTACTTGATTTTCAATTAAAGCTTGCCCCGCCATCTCTGTGGAAACCAAAGTCAACAACCCGGGCCGTGCTCACTGATCAATAACGTCGTCCGACGTCCACCACGAGCTGAAAGCCTTCATCATGAGTATACCATAGCTCACGAGCACTCGATATCCACTGGCTATATAGTAAGCAGCTAGATTTGCAAACAGAACTTCATGGATTGGTAGCCATCAAACTTTGGCGCTGGAGCTTCACCATGGGCATCAAAGGGTACGGCTCTGAGCAAATCATACGCACGGTGCAATCACAGGATTGACTTTTGTCCCAGAATCTACAAAGAAATCGGCACTGGCAAGCGAATATCGCTGACCAAGCTCGCTGTTGAACATCTCGAACAACGTGGTCGCCCACTACGCATAGCTATAGACATTTCGATATGGCAGTTCCAGGTTCAAGCTGCAAGAGGCGGCTCCAATCCAGCCATCCGGACCCTTTTCTACCGCCTACTCCGACTCCTCAGCCTCTCCATCCAGCCCATATTCGTCTTCGATGGCCCCAATAAACCGGTTTTCAAAAGACACAAGCGCTCTGGTCGCGGCGATGGCGTGGCCACCTCCATGGCCAAGCGGCTTCTACGACTGTTCGGCTTCCGAATACACGATGCACCGGGCGAAGCCGAAGCAGAATGCGCTTTGCTCCAGCTGAACGGCATAGTGGACGCCGTACTCAGCGAAGACGTGGACACCATCATGTTCGGCTGCACGCGGACCCTGAGGAACTGGTCCGCAGAGGGCTCTAAGGGGAGCAAGACGCCGACGCACGTGTCCATGTACGACACGCAAGAGCTGAGCCAGGGCGAGACGGGACTCGATCGCGAGGGCATGGTGCTGGTAGCTTTGATGAGTGGAGGTGATTATATACCCGAGGGAATCCCGGGCGCCGGTGTCAAGGTGGCTTGCGAAGCTGCCAGAGCTGGCTTTGGCAAATCGTTATGTCGACTCAAGGGGTCTGATACTAGCGGCTTGGAAGAGTGGAGGGAGAACCTGATTCACGAACTTCAAACGAACGAGAGTCGTTTTTTCAGAACCAAGCATAAGGCTTTAATAGTGCCAGAGGACTTTCCTAACCTAGAAGTCCTGAGATACTACACTCATCCTGTGGTATCCGCTACGTCGAGCTTAGCAAAATTAGAGACCCAGAGCTGGAACAAGCCTTTGGACGTCTTGGGGCTACGCGAATTCGTGAGAGAAACGTTTGACTGGGAGTACAGAGGAGGCGCAATCAAATTCATTCGGGTTCTTGCCCCATCGCTTTTGGTGCGAAAGATAATGGACTTGGACCAATTGCAGGACAGCCAGACGCGCAATAACGAAAACATAGAGGAGGCACATTCTCGTCTCGTCAAGGCAATTACCAACCGTCGGATCCATTTTAGCACAGATGCCACGCCAGAGCTCCGGGTTTCATTTGCACCCACCGACATTGTGGGCTACAATTTCGAAGAGGAGCCCGAGGAGGAGATATCATACGGACGAGACGGATTGGCACTCAACAGCGACGATGAGTTTGAAGCACTGGCAGATGAGGACGAGGCAGAAGCGGTTGCCAAACCAAGAAGCAGAAAACCTTTCAATCCCACCGAGCCAGATCTATCTTGGATACCGGAAACGGTCGCCAAGCTTGGAATCCCCCTTATGGTGGAAGACTGGGAGGAGGCACAGCGTGCGAAGGCCTCCCGGAAGAAGTTGAAGGCTTCGGCGAAACCAAAGCCAAAGGGCAAGCTCGGTGGGATGCACATTGGCGCACTTGACCGATACGTTAAAGTCACCAAGAGCCTCCCGGCAACTATGGTAGTTGAGGCAACATCTGCCTTGGAAAAGCCTAGCTCCCCAGTCCGGAGCCGCAGTGCCCTCGACACCTTCCCAGCAGCGACAAAGAGCCAGCCATCGCTCCCGGCATCAAGCGTTTCGCCCAAACCACGACCCTCATCGAGGTGCACCACACGTAAGCAAACAAAGTCCACGTCCTCCGGGGATACTCTACCACCGGACCCAAAGACGAACCCCTGGACAATCGCCGGCTCACAACCTAGTCCCAGGGGTACCAAGACCAAATACGCTTCCAACAATACTTTCGAGGCCATTCTCATATCCTCTAGCCCCCCTGCATCGCCTGTCCCGGCTGCTCGCTCGCGTGTGAGGTTGGGCTTTGCAGGTGCTAAGGCAGCCCCAGATAAGGAGAATATGCCACCGGTGACTAGCCCTCAAAACTCGCGGCCCAATACGCCGCTGGGAGCGGGCTCGGAAGATCCTCCGAGAGTTTCAGCAGTAAGGGATCGAAGTCCAACGCTATGCTCGAGTGAGAGACCCCGACGCAAGTGGGCTATGACCGAGTTGATGCCCGCTGGACGAGGTGATTCCGCCGCTGCGAGGCAGACTGGTACAAGGAACTCGAGGGGGCCACTCACGAGGTCTCGCACTGTAGTCGCTGAAGCCATGTCGTTGGAATCCGAATCTGAAGATGACGATGGCCTGCCCCCATTGAGCAGCTTTGCCGGCCGGTTGCTTCAAGTTCGATCGCCGGCTGCTTCAGCAGTTTCGCCCCCTCCAGCTCTTGATCCGCCACCACCAGTAGCACCCGTTTTCTACAAACCAGCTACAGCTACGAACGAGAGCTCGGGCACAAACCCCGTACCAGCATCAAATCGCTCCAGTGTACCAAAGAAGCCGCCCAGCAAACAGAGCAAGATGGAAGACGTATTCGGGATGAGAACGACCAAGCTATACGTGCCGCGGAAAAGCGAGCCGGGCTACTACAGGGAGATCGAGGTCACAGTCGAGGAGGCGGAGCGACTTGGAAGACAGAACAAGGGGAATCATTGGAGGCGGAGCGACGTGAGTTTTATCGACCTCACGGGAGAGGAATAGGACTGCAGAAGCGGTTTTGGAGATGTAGAGCATATGGTGATACCCGATTTGATACAAGCAATACTCAGCATGCGTTGGCTTCAAAATGGAGTCATGCTCTAATGAGATATGAAGGATGTCGCGTCGGCTTTGCTGTCAAGAGGGTTCACTTCCCGCGTGCCAAATTCTGCTTCAAACCCGTGCTACTCTGCGAGGTCTAATTCAGTTCGGCTCCATGACGGAGTCGGTCTCGAATTCTATTGCCATGAACCTGGTATACTCTAGTTCAAGATCACGCTCGTCGATTGTCTCACTCTCTGCGGGTGTCGGTGAAGCTTGCTTGTGGCCTCCTAACAAGCGAGAATGATTTGGTTGATCCCCGACTTATTGCTAGTCAAGTTTGACATCAATCAACACTTCCGTTTCCGGCGAGCTGCCAGTTCGCCAGGAATGCCGTTTGCGCACTTAATTTACTTACGCAGTGCAACAGCAGCGGGTGTACAGGTAAAGCACCTGCACAGGAAAAGCTTCGACGATGACTCGATGTCAGGGATGTCCCAGAATGCCGAGTTCGAGCCAACCCCCGGTCCCGCGCATTTGACTGGTCGACGACGTATTTGGCCGACGGATTCGACCCCATCTAGGGAAACTCGGAAGCCAGTCGAGGGCGAGAAACGGGCTGATGTTATCGATAGGTCGGCTGCAAGCGGCGGGTCCTTGTTGTTTTCCTGCTGCTAGTGGTTGCATCAATGCGCATTGGCAGAAAGTTCTAACGTCGTGCAGCGTCAATCAATAAACATGGACAAAAACGCACGAGACCAAGATAGACGCTTTGTATGCGGCACAGGACGGGTGGACTGCTAGTTACCTTTTAGCTCGTCAAGTCAAGGGGTTGGTGTCTGAGCCCCAAGTTTCGAGTTTATATCCAAACTTGTCCCTCACCATTGTTGCGACTTTGGTCATTCCATGTATAAAGATTTTTTGTTTCTCTCTCCTAGACCTTTTTCGTCCACGAGACCGTCGAAGCGACCGCCTGCAACTGGAGACTCCAATCCCCTGTAGCAGACCACCAACCCCCCCCCCCCTCCCCCCGCCCCCTGGTGTGGCGAAATCACGGCACAGCCTCACGCTTGGAAGCTCAATCAATCAGGAGCTCGGTCAACATCCTCCCAGCCTGTTCGCCAACTTTTGGGAGTAGCCCAGACTCTTAGAGCTGTGGGAACTCCCACTCAAGCAAGGAGAGAGACGATAGAAAGACTGCCAGGCGCTTCAACTTTTACCTCACATTCTCAACTGACTCGAGACCCCCATGAGGACGTCATCAATATTCCTCGTGTCCGGTTTGAGTTCTGTGATACTTCAATCAACCATCGCGTTTCCGGCACCTTGGATCATCGCGTGATGAGATGAGCTCCAGCCGCACGAGCTTGTTGCCCCTCACCTCAAGCTACATAAGATCTTGGTACGCACATCACCAGCTTACCGGATCGCGACCGGAGTGGTGCTGCTCTTTGCACTCTGGCCATTGTCCACTGAGCGGCGTATCATTCCATCCACGCGCGCAATCGTTTTCGAACCCAGCTTTTCTTCTTTTTTAGTGTTCTCGGACAAGCTTGCTAAGCAGGAAGAGCCGTATTCATGGTCTCGCAACTACCCGACCACAACACCCACTCCCTGACGGTCCGCGGCCCGTCGTCTGTCGTTCACTCCAGACCCCACGCCTCGTCGCGCAGCAAGAGATACAACCGCTCCCACGCCGGCGGAACCTCGTACATACCCCAGAATGAGTTCCCCGTCTTCAGCCACTCGGGCGACGTTGAGATCCTTATCAAGGCCGGCACCACTCAAAATCGCTATCTCCTGCACCGACACACTCTGACGCGATGCTCTGGGTTTTTCGAGGCCAGCACAAGCCAAGAATGGTCCAAGGCCAGCGTGCTACCCGAGCTGCCGGAATCGGGGCCCGGCAGCGGCAGGCAGCTCGCGAGGATAGGCGAGGACAGCGGCGTCAATCTGGGGAGTGGGAGTGGGAGTGACATGAGTGGAAACGAGGTGGCCAGGCCTGGTGCGGGATCGCCTGGCCCGAGGAGGCGTTGGAGGTACGAGCTAGATCCCGGCTCAGGGGGCGATGATATACCCATGCTGGTGCAGAAAGAGGCAGACAACAGCAGCATTTCCAACCATGGGCCGGCGCAAACGAACTCGATATTTGGGGGGGCACCGTCACCGAGCGCAAACACGTCCTCGACTCGGCACAAACCGAGCCATTCGTCGTCGTCTTTTTTCCGATCCGTCGCTAACCTCTCGCTCACGCATCACCATCCGTCGAACCATCAGCCGCGTGATAGCTTGCCCATCTCCCAAGCCGACGCCGACCTCCTTCGCGATTACGATAACTTGTTTCGCATCTTTTATAACTACCCGCCGGTGCTCGACGGTATCAATATTGCCGACGCTTACGTACAATGCAAGTCGCTCTTGACGCTGGCTGATCAATACGACGCATTGGCTGTGTGCGGGCCGAGGGTCGACCATCACTTGCTGCAATTCCAGTCGCGCTTGTGGAAGCAAATTGCCAAGTACCCCGTATCATACCTACGCCTGGGCTATTTGAGCAGGAGCAAGGTGATATTCCAGGAAGCATTGATCCATGTCGTGGGTCAATGGCCCGCAGGGGAACGCAGCATTAGGAGCGCCTTGCCAGAAATCGTCCTGGACATAATTGAAGACAAAGTCGATGAGCTCGAAGAAACGGTGTCAAGGATCGAAGGAAGGCTGTTCCGACTCCACCTCACGAACGCGAGAGGAGAGCGCGTCACGCCCGGAAGCAATTACCTCGACTGGCTCGCCATAAGCTTCTTCCGCCAATGGCTCGCAGACAACACCTCGCCCGCCCCTCCACCTGCGCCAGCATCAGGCTCTGGCCGCCGTGGCGGCTCATCTCGGGACGCAACGGGCGGCGCGAACCGGTCCGCGCCCGCCGCCACGCCGGCCGCCACGCCGAGTCTGGCAAATGTCGGAAGGGCGTACCGCACGCTGGGCTCGGCACATGGAGGGGCGTATCTTACCCACGACGAGTGCAAGAAGTTCCTCAAATTGACGCCCGACTTATATAGCAGGGATAACCTGCGACGGTTCGAGAAGCGGGTCGATGAGCTGAAGAATGCGGCGAAAGAATTGGTCAGGCCGTTGATGGGAAGTGGGCTTGAGCTTGAGCTGAGTAATGTGGGGAAGGATGGCCCTGTCGCGGCGCCGGTGGGGTATTTGACTTGTGTTAGGGTTGTAGAGAGGGATCTGCCTTGGGTGGTTGAGGGGTAGGAGGTAGGAGGGGATCAACTCAAATCGGGTCGGTCAATCTCTCCTCGAAACGAAGTGGAGATTGGCGAAGACGGAGTTGGCAGTACGATGAACGGAGAAAATAGATGGATATGATGTGAGCTGCGAAACGAAGATGTGTCCGGGCCAGGCCGGGCCGACGGAATAACGATTCATGAACGATATATGGTGGGATATGGAGCAAGCCTGTCATGTATACTGGAGTTTTTGTTGATGATGGGACAGTCAGTTGATTTATTATGCAGGATACCCAATTATCGAGAGTCTTGACGACAAGTTTTGTCTGGCTTAAGTATGATGGATTGGTCAGTGGATATAGGGTTGATATATGAGTGTATATCACTATACTTTCATATTTGATTGAAGTTCCCTCTCTTAGATCGAAGGATCAGATATACGGAGTAGCTTAGTTTATATCCTAGAGTTAGGGATCTACGGGAAGAACAACTTGAGAGGCCTGAACTCTGATATCTATAAACTTGAGGGAGTACATAGGAAAAGAAGCGGGTTATTATGAATTACGTGCTCCAAGAGGCACACCACCCCCGGTCGACACAATATCGGTGGGCCCACAGATTTTCGAAATCATCGCCTTCGTGAGGATTCAAATTGCTGTGAAAGCCTGGACATTGCGGCAGATTGGTAGCAGTAACACTTTGACATCATATTTCCCGAGTCCAATTGTGCTGTAGACGCCAGTTTCCCCATTGTTGGCTCATATGTCACCAATGATTGCTTCGTACGCGGTGAAGTACTGGCATGTATGGGGGGACACGGGTATTGTTTGTGGCTCTGGGGTGCTCCCACCTTTTCGGTTCACTCATCAAAGTAGGAAAGGCACAATACGAGGTATGAAGAATAATCACATGACATCATGGTGAGTGAAGAAGGGGGCCAAGCCTATGTTATCTAAGGGAGGGAGACTGCAGCCGAGTATAACGCTGCAAGGCATGGACGCGGAAAACGTACTATATCTACAGAATTTCTATCGAATTTTCTCCCAGCTCATACACCGCGTCGTGGGGAGAATCGAGACATAGAGGCGTCGGCTGCGGATTCCAACGACGCTACTAGCTTGAGGGCGGCCTTGTGAGAGTTAAAATTGCAGAGAAAATAATGTGCACCTTGGCTGTGTGTGATTATTTCAGTTTACCACATCGAATAGTATGTCCAGAAAACAAAGCACGAACCCGAAATCTACATAAGAGCTGAAGAAGTCGTAGCAGGGGGTAGGTGGCTGGATCATCTATCATCTTGCGAGAAACTCGTGATGCAGAGATAGGGGTATCGTTGCCACATCCAGACGATACTTGCCCAGCGTCGGCCCTCGTGTGGGACAATATTGCAGTGAATTACCATCAACGAGGCCGGCAGGCATGCGTTGTAGTATTTAGGGACCCCTCGGGGCCAACTTAGGATTGGTCCTCACGCACCTCCATAGTACCAATACAGCCCCTAATACTTGGATTCCGACAGATTCCAGTTAAGGATATCACATTCCGCACTATCAATTTCGTGCATACTGTATACGCAGCCATCACTCTAAACTTATTATTACCGCGAGTTAGAACTTTGCTAATATTCATTGAGATCATGCTTATTTTAAGCATAACATACTCATAGAAGAAAAATACTATATATAAGGACCTTAAGCACGAAAGTGTCACTAGGTGCATTGCTGGTACTAGATACCTCGATTAGCATATAGCCTTGGAAACCTCTATCTAGTCTGGTCAGAGTCGGCATATTGCACTCCAGTCGTGGGGCAGGAGGCGTCCAACAGGCACTCAAGGGCTGTCTAACAATGGAAACATGCTTTATCGGGGGATATTGCAGAGCAATCTGCGGTCCCAATGCTGTAAGCTGTTACCCGCGACCAAACGCCCGAGCATATTGAGTTTTACGAAATGTCATAAGGCCTATATTGCAGTGAAATATGAAGCCATCAGCCTGCCAGTTTGTTCGGCAGACCTCGATTGCCAGATTTCATAGGGCACTTAAGCGCCTGGTGTGGCTTAAGAAATTGCAGTGCAACATTTAGGTACGCAGCTAGAGAAAGAGTATCCTGACTTGGTTGGGATACTGTTAAATTGACCTTATTTACCCATATTCAAGCACATGATCTCTAGCGATGTTACCTCTTAGCTGCCTCACTGGGTTTACATTCATAAAGGTACATTATCAAGAGTGCAATTGGTGTATGAGGCCTCTAGGATTCCCCTCATTATGGGTCATTAAAGAACTGAACTGTGAGGCCATTATGGAAAGAATGAGATATACTGGATAAGAAACTGTATGTGAACTTCGGAATACTTGGTAAACAACTTGACTAAGCTCCCGATGTCAACCTCGGATCTTACAAACGGGTTGATCATTCGGTGCAGCGGGATAGGCACGGCTAAGGCTAATATCAGTATCGCATGGCTACCCCTGCAAATGCGGGGGAAGCTACTATGGTATGAAGTAAAATATTGAGGATCTCCGATTATCAGACGATTGAGGATCACGAACAACGTCGAGGCAGGGAGGACTAGCAATTGTGAAAGAAATTGTCCCAGTCTTGACATCGCCATTGTTCATCTGACCAGTCACGATGAGGGTCACCAGAAGACCCTTCATCTGCCTCCAATGTCGTCCCATGCCCTTGAAACCGCGTCTTTTCCACCACTCAACGCGCCTGGGTAACTCGACCCCGAGCTCGACCTCCCCAGATTCCACTCCAACCCGCCCGACGTCCGCTCCACGGCCGAGTATCGACGTAAAGCACATCCGCCAAAACCCCACACTCTACGAGCAAAACTGCCTCGAGCGCAACTACAAGTTCCAGAGCACATACCCGGCGCGCATCAACACCCTTCACCAACAATGGCAAGACCAGCAGCGCGATGGTCGGCATTTGCGCGAGCGCAGCAACCTCCTGCGGCACCAAATCGCCAACCCGGCCTCCATCCAAGGCGATGAGGACTCAGCACTGCAACAGCTGCGCGAAATGACCAAAGAGCAGCTCCTCGAGGAAGCCAAGCATCTCAAAATGCAGCTCTCGTCCATCGAAGCCAACGAATTGCGCCTCACCTCCGAAATCGAAGAACTCGCCCTCTCGATCCCAAACCTTACAAGCGAGCAAACCCCCCGCGGCAACGAACCCCTCGTGCTATCCTACATCAACGACCATCCGGAACCCACACCCGCAGAATCCGACCGCGTCTGGCGCTCACACGTCCACATCGGGTCCGAACTAGGGCTCCTCGACTTCGCGGGCGCGGCGACGTCGTCCGGGTGGGGGTGGTACTACCTCCTCGATGAAGGCGCGCAGTTGGAACAAGCCCTCATTAATTTCGCCCTGAGGATTGCGACGCAGCACGGCTGGCGCCAGGTCACGCCGCCGAGCATCGTGTACGGACATATTGCGGCGGCGTGCGGGTTCCAGCCGCGGGACCAGAACGGGGAGACGCAGATCTACGCGCTTGCGCAGTCGGCGGCGGACCGGGAGAGGGGTAAGCCCGAACTGGTGTTGGCCGGGACGGCCGAGATTCCGCTCGCGGGGATGAAGGCCGATAGCATAATCGAGGAAGCCGACCTGCCGCTCAAGCGGGTCGGGGTGAGTCGGTGTTACCGGGCCGAGGCGGGGGCTCGGGGCGTGGATACGAAGGGGTTGTACCGGGTGCACGAGTTCAACAAGGTGGAGATGTTTGCGTGGACGGAGCCGAACCTGTCGGCTACTACCGAGTTGTTCGATGAGATGGTGGATATCCAGACGGAGATCCTCGAGATGCTGGGATTGCATTGTCGTGTGCTGGAGATGCCGTCTACGGACTTGGGGGCTTCGGCTACGAGGAAGTGCGATATTGAGGCGTTCTTCCCGTCGAGGAGGCAGAAGAATGAGGGTTGGGGGGAGGTGACGAGTGCTTCCATTTGCACGGATTATCAGTCTAGACGGTTGGCGACGAGGTTCAAGAGCGGGGGAAAGGTGAATTTCCCTTGGACGGTCAATGGAACTGCGTTGGCGGTGCCGAGAGTGCTGGCTGCTGTGCTGGAGAATGGCTGGGATGAGAGCCAGATGCAGGTCAAGCTGCCCGAGTGTCTGTGGGATTCGATGGGGCGGGACAGTATTGAGATGAAGCATAGGAGGAAATAAGCCAGTGGTTTAGTCTACTGGTGTGTACGAATTGTGTATAAGGATGATGATCATATGGCAGGAGTATATAACCTCGATTCCTATACCTAATCACACCCCCTATCAATAACCCCGTCATCGATCCGGATCCCGTTCTTGCTCCCGAACCCGGGACTTCAACCACTGCTCCTCGCCCACAGCCCAATCCTGGTCCTGCTTATCGAAATTCCACCTAGCAGCAACCGCCCACCAAGTTCCTGTATGTCACTCCAAGCAATACCTAAACCAAAACACCAAAATCAACCGCAGTCTTGGACGCGTAAACTCCTCCTCCTCCTTTTTCATCCTCAACTCCTTGCGATAACGCGTACGTGTGCCCATCGCCGTTAAACCGAAAACACGATTGCGAAGGCTAGAGCGTAGAGACGCGCGGCATGGTGGAACTTCTCGGTCGAGAGGGCGGGGGGGGGGGTTAGAGGGTCGGGTTGCGGTTGGGTTTGCTGCTGCGGCCGCTGCTGGTGTTGGTGCTGGAGAGGAAGGGGAATAGTGGAGTTGGTTGGATATGGCTTGTTGTTCGGCGATGGAAGTTGAGAGGAAGAGGAGTGAGCGGAAGATGGTGGACATGGTGGGTGGCTGACTAGGTTGATGAGTATATGGTTGCGGAGGTCGTCCGTGTTGCTATATTACTCTCTGGATGGGATGGGGGGGTTTATAGGAAGTGGACTCAGGGATGCTTCGAATGGGGGAGGGCTCATTTGACTACAAAGCACGTCGTTGCGTCTTTGTTTCTCTTCTATCACGTTAACGTGATGAATCATTTCTTGTTTCCTTTTACTCAATTTGGTCCATATTTGTGTAGCCAGTTGGGGATAGTATTGTACCGCATTAGGAGGCGAGAAGCTATTTCAAGGTGGGGATTTGAGTTATGCCAAACTCTAGTGTTCAGCTTCATCTGCCTAGAAATATGAATGGACACCAAGTTTGATTCAATCATTCTGGAAAGAAGTAAGCCGTGATTGTATTTTCTATAGTGCCTCTCGGAATCATTGAGCATAACACACATGCACACACGCAGGTGAGGTTTTATGATTGCATCAATCTGATCATTGACAGTACCTGTCATAGGTACTTAATACTAATCCACCACGTTCAAAGTATTATCCTTAAGCCCAATTATATTCGGAGCGCTCTGCAATGGCCCGTCCCACGAATAATGAAGTCATAAGCTTGTCCAACACCACCATGCTCTGTCCAGACATACTCCCCCCCGTCCATTTCTTACAAACTCAACAGTGACACAATATATTCGGCGGCATCGCCCTGCTTTAAGTGATTGTAACTTCCAAGAGGAATTGTGTTCTACATGTAGCCCTGAGTATGACTCCCCATCTTGTATCCTTCGCATTAAGGCAGTCGCCATTGTCTAAGTGTCCTGCTCAGAAGTGACAGTTTTGTGTACAGTTCAATTACATGCCGGACATTATCAATACATCTCCATGTCCTGAGGTTCTACTGCCTCAATTTGAAAAGCTAGAACCAACATTGAACCAGAGTGCTATAATCCTACTTGCGCAAATACTCTTTCTATCCACGACAGTTTCTACCCCTTATACCCCAGACCCCAATAGCAGGAGCTTTTGCGTTAACCCCCATTCCCAATAAAGACTCAAAACGACTGCGGGAGATTAAATGCAATATATACAAGCGACAGATAAACAGAAGGCTTGGGATGGTAGACGACTATATTAGAAAACTGTATAATCATTGGCTACTTTCTCTACCGATAGTTACAGACTGACATGCATACGAAACACATATCGATTCCGGCTAGTTCTACGACGTCCTTTACCAAACACACTGTGTCAATATCACTCATTCGATTCCATCTCAGACCAAGGGCAAACGTAGTGATTCATCAACAAAGCAGCACTCTGATTAAATAAACATTCCTGACCCCTATCTTATCATGTGTCATCAGACCACCTAAAGCTGGTTTTCCTTCTGTCGTCATCAATCATACTGGCTCCTGATCCTGAAAGACATATGCACATAAACATAGAGACAAGAAGCCCGTCTTGTACTACTCAATGACAAACAACAACGACAATCATACCCTTCCAAAAGCGGTAAAATCCCTCGAGCACGAAGACTCTCCAAGCAGAGACACAAACAAGCAAATAAGCAAACGAGAGTAACTTTTCTTCCCTCCTACGCACCGAGTGCCACGGGATCACCGTCTTCTTCTGGCGTCTCGGTGTCAGCATCGCTCTCTGAATCCGATACGGTCTCTGTCCCTAGTCCGCTTTCGGCCCCGACTGCACTTTTCGTGCGTCCACTCTCGGTCCATTCACTCTGACCGTCATAGCTTTCGTCATCATAATCATCCGAATACCCGCCCTTGTTCTCGGTGTTGGTGATAACTGTTGTACCCAGGCTTGATTTGCGCAGCGTGCCATCGTCGCTCGCGCCGTCTTGCCCTTCTCCATCATGACTTTCATCACCCTCGACCACCGGCTCTGTCTCAGGAGTGGGTTCGCCTGCACTCTCAGGCGGCTCATCGAGCTCCCTCACTACATCGATGGGTCCATTCTCCTTGTCGTCACTCAACTCCCCGTACTTCTTGCCCAGTCCGCCACCCCAGCTCCCCTTACGCAACGCGCCCTGACCAGGTGCAGCACGCACACTCTGGCTTCGTTTGATGCCACCAGCGGGTAAGTTGTTGTTGATCTGACTCAAGCTGAGTATGCGCCTCGACGTTCCTGTCTGGTTTGGCGGGACCAAACTGGCTCGGTTACCATTAATAGCAATGTTGACGGCTTTTCGGTGGGCGTTGGGCGGTTGGGAATTCAGACTCGAAGCGTCTGCTGGCGTCAGGCTGGACCTAGCAGCCGGGACTCGTTTGCGAGACATAGCATCGCGGCCTTTGTTACCGGCTTTAGTGATGAGAAGGGCACGCGAGTGATCCAAAACGCCTTCCAAAATTCGGCGTTCCAAACCCTCTGCCCGCTTTTCCATGTGCTGTAACTCCTCTCGTCGGATGTGCATTGCAGTCTCCAAGGACGAAACATCAGCACTGAGACGAATCTTTTGTCGCATGAGGAGCTCTTGCTCGTTCCTCAACGCAAGCACGCTCTCGCGGAGTTCCTCTTGCTCTAACCGCAGAGAAATCACATTGGCTTCCACATTCTCTTTCTCGGCCTCCGTAATAGCGAGGGCAGTCTTGGTCTCTTGTAACGTCTTCTCGTGGTCCTCACGCGCAGCTTCGATTTGTTTCTTCTGGGTCTCCATGAATATCGAAAGTTCGGCCGCGGTCTTCACGACCTGTGCGTGCACTTTGTCCAGAGTCTTGAGCTGGGCATAAGCTTTGTCGGCCACGTGGGTGTGGTCGACGAGCTTGTCGAGCTTGGAGTGCATCTCCGTGCCAGCCGTTTGGTTCTGGGCGGAAAGCTTGTCGAGCTTGGAATGTATTCCCGTGTCGGCGGTGTGGGTGTGATCAACAAGCTTGTCGAACTTGGAGCGCAACTCCAGTTCGGTTGTGTGAGTGCGGTCAACAAGTTTGTCGAGTTTTGAATGTATCTCCGTGTCGTCGTATTTTTCAACAGGCGGAAGCATAGGCAATTCTGGCTCCTTGTTCTTGACATATTCAATCTGTTGCTGAAGATTCGTCAAGAGACCAGTGGTAGCAGTCTTGGAGTGCTCATAATGTTGGCCAACAAGGAGAAGGACATCTTTGACAGACTCTAGGATCTTGGGTTGGGATTCGACGACTTGACCTTGCAGCCCTTCGACAACGGTGACGACAGTTTTGATTTCCTCGCGAGTCAACGCATGCTCACCCTTGTCGTCGATATGATTCTCTGCAGTTTTGGCAACAAGCTCCTCAACTCGGTCAAAAACAGTCTTGGATGCTTCTTCCGCCTTCTCCATTGATTCGGTTACCGTGGAACCGAGCGTATCGATCAGGAGCTTCAACTCATCGGCAACAGCTTTGGTCCCGAGAACCGCTGCCCCCATTTCGACGTCTTTGGCTTCTCCAGACTTGGTGCGTTCCTCCATTGCAAGTTGGAACTCGTCATATTTTGTCATCAGGGCGGCAATCTTCTCGTCGATTCTCACTCCCAAAGCGTCGGTGGTGGTTTGTAGCTTTTCGTCGTTGTCAATCTTGGCACCGATAACCCCGGCCTTCGCCTCCTCGAATTCGGATTTCATTAGCTCGAACATCTCCTTCAGGTCTCGATGCACATTTGCGTTGGGAGCAGTTGTCTCGCCAATGGTTTCTAGCAACTTTTGGAGCCCTTCAATGCTAGTACTTTCGCTCTCGAGCTTCTCCTTGACCAATTTCTGAAACTCTTGAAGGAACGTGTTGACTTCAGTCACACCTTCGCCGACGCCCACGATTTCAGCTTGTCGTTCTTCGAAGGCTTTGGCGTTGGTCACGGTTTGAGTATCGGCAACAGTTTTGATTTCCTTGACGACGTCCTCCAGGTTCTTGAGATCTTCCTTCGAGGGCAGGGCGGCAATGTCGGTCTTCAACATCTGTTCGATGACTGTTTTCATGTCCATACAAGTGGCTTCGATGGCATCCACGTCTGTCTTGGTGACACGCTCCGGGTCCTCGAGAGACTTTTCGGCACGTTCTTTCATCTCATCGAATGCGAGAGTGACTTGAGTGACGAGGGACTCAACAGCTTGTACATCTTCCTTCTTGGATACAGCCTCCAAGTGTGTGGCGAGTGTGTTAAGTGAGTCCTTGGTTTCGAGGACGAGTGCTTCGATAGCATCAACGTGATCCTTCCTCACCGCTTGCTCGCCGTCCATCAGATCATCGAGACGACCCTTGGTGTTGCGAAGGATCGTTTCAATGGCCAGTACATCCTCCTTCGTCGATGCATCTTCAAGGTTCACTGGCTGGGCGGCCTTCCATGTGGCCCTCGCTGCTTCCTTCTCGGCAATATCTGCAACAGTCTCCTGCACCTTCCGCAGCATTTGCTCTATTTCCGCCAGATCTTGCTTTGCCGCCATACCAGCTAAGTCCTCTTTTGAAACAATACCAGCCAAGTCGGCTTTGGACACCAGGTCAGCCAGGTCCTCCTTTGACAACAGACCTTCTTTTGACAAAAGACCCTCTGATGCCGCTGCAGTACCGGGAGGGGGCTCAATTGCCTCTACTTTGATGCGGAGCTGAGTAAGCATGACTTCGAGGTTCTTGATGTCGTCTTGCTTCACAAGATCCATGGGAACCATGGCGTCTGACATTGTTCCTGAACCCACGGTGGCAACTTGCCTGTCGTTGTTATACTCGCGGAGGGCATCTATGTCGGTTCGGACGGTATCAAGTCCCGACTTCAGAGCGTCGAGGATCTCGTCATTGGCGGTGAGATCCACGGGCTTATTACCCATCCTCTCGACACTAATGCGCAGATCGCCGAAACCTTCATGTAAGGCGTCCAGGATATCAGTAGTGCCAGCATGAGGACGCAAAAGTTCTGCTCGCACGCGGTCGAGCCCATCCCGCAATGCTTCCAGGACTTCTCTATTGTCGTGTGTAGGGGGTGCGTGAGGGACAAGGGAAGAATTGACTGCGTCTCGCAAGGATTCGATTTCTTCCTTCAGCATAGCCTTGGATCCATCAGTTGATTTCGCAACTAGCTCAGATATTTCTTCTCGGAATCCATCTAGGCTATCGACAAGAGTCTCCATGAGTTCATCCTGGCCAGCAGTGCTGCCACCAGCACGCTCAAGGTACCCGTCCATATGATTTCGCAGTTGCTCAAAGCCACTTTTAGTAGCATCCAAGACCTGCTCAGTGTCCCGCCCGTGGGCGGCAACATTCTGCTTGGCTTCTTGCGCAGCGGCCTTGAACTCCTCTTGCATAAGTTGCATGATGTCATGTAGCCTTTCAACAATTTCGGTATTCTCCACAGCACCGCCGTGAGGCACGATCGCATGGGCGATGTTTGGGAAATCAAAAGACTCGAGACCCTGCTTGACAGCTTCCAGAACGTCTTCTCTGGTCACCTCGTTGTTGTTGATAGCCGATGGAGCGACGGGAAACTCGAATTCCTCCAAACATTCTCTCACGGCCTCGAGAATCTCATCGCGGGACAGGGTGGCAGGCGTCTCGACTTTGGGTGGTGTGAAATGTTTCAAGCCCTCAATGACGGCCTCAAGCACTTCTTCTCTGGTAGCTCCCTCAGGGGTATCTTGACGCGGGGTGTACTCCTGGAGACCTTCCTTCAAACATGCGAGAACTTCATCACGTTCTAGACCGATTTGTTCAACGGCAATATCAGGCTTGTATTGCTCCCAGGCCTCCCTGACGGCTTGTATCACATCGTCTCTGCTTAGATCGGGGTCTTGGGCCTTGTTTTCCTGGGAGTCGTTGAGAGCGGCGCTCATCGCATTGTAGATCTCTTGATAGTCGACCAAGGGTTTGTTCGACGCAGCTGAGGAACGCCGGTGTTCTCCGAGTAGTTCGTTCATGTGGAGTCGCATCTGCTCTAGGCCTTCTTCAATTACCCGTTCCATCTGGGTCTTGGTGGCGAGCTCGCTCTGGTTGTTGGCCTGTTCATTGATTTCGTCGAGACGTCGGCCAATCTCTCGCCCCATTCCGAGAACCTCACCGCGAAGCTCTCGAACGAGGGCCTTAACCTCGGCTGTCAGGCCACCGCCTTGGGCAACGCTGTCTTTCACACCGCGTATGAGTTTGATGACATCCTCATTGAGCACATCGCCCGCACGGGAGGGGGAAGCTGATGTGCGTCCGCTGTCTTGGTGCATCAGAGCATTGACTCGTTGGCCCACAATGCTCGTGCCACTCTTGTTCCAGTCGATTTCGCGAAGACTCCGGTCGTCGTCATCGTCAAAGCCGAAGTTTCGCGAACGTCCTCTGCCATCGCCACCACCCCCTGCTCCCCCTGCGGGCACAAGTGATAGTTCTTGGCTTGTGGATTGCAATTGGTGAATGAGCTCCTCGACCTTGCCAGACGAGGCCATTCCTGCGAGACCCTCTGCGAGCTCGGTAAGACGAGCAATGACTGCGTCCTGGCCGTCCTTGGTGCCCATTTCGCGGATAATCTTCTCTAGTAAAGCGAGTGTGGCGGGCGAGTCTCCACTGATCAAAGACGGCGTGCTTGACATGGTCTCTCGGTCCATCGATGCAGAGAAACTATTCGGTGATGGTATTCGCGGCAGCGAAAACGGCCTCATTCCCTTTGAAGAACCAGGCGGGCTGCCATTGGACTTGCTGTCCATGAAGAGTGAGCCACCGAAAGGATCCCGCGGGTTTCTAGCGTCGACATTGCTAGCCAATTCACGGAGGCTCTTGCGAATATCTTCATCCCTCGCATGCGTCGCCTCCTTCAGGCTCATCAGGTCGGTTGCATTATCTCTGCTGCGACGGCTAAGCAGAGACATTTCCTTCTGTAAACCTGTGGCAATGGTCGTGAGGGTGACCATCTGGTTTGAGAGATGGTCCAGTGGCGCATTTGCCTTTACGAGGGCTGTCGAGTTATTTGTGACCGGCGCCAGGGGGGTTTCTGGGACCGGTGCCTCCATCCTTGGGGCCATCGGGTTCATGCTGTGGAGTGCTCGCATTGTCGCCGATTGAGGTGGCGTGTTTTCCCCGAGGATGCTCTGTGTCCCTCTGCGCACCGATGACCGTACCACGCCATTCAAATTGTTGGGCATTGGAGGCGGCGTACGAGTACCGGAGCTGCGGAAATCCTTTTCGGAATCCTCTCTGTCGGTTTCCCGCATACGACTTGGGGTCGATGGTCTGCTGTTGTACTTCTCTGGGGACGAGTCGCGTCTTGGAGATCCCTCAATCATGAGACTCAGGTCCCTGACACTACCTGGTTGGAGAGACTGCATGCGTTTGTGGGGGCTTGATCGTGATGCGAGCCCACGTTCTGGTGATGAGGTGTCGTAACTCATGCGCTTGGCGAGCGTGGGCACAAGGGCGCTCTCTCGCGCCTTCTCCGTCAGAGCGGCATGCGCAGACTGTATCGCGGCAGAAGTACCGATTCGGGAGGTGCCCACGGTTGGTGATTGGGGATTCAATGGAAGTGGAGGCGGTGCTCGTTCGGGATCGGAGCTGTCCCACCTGCGTTTCGTTAGGCGACTGAACATAGGCATCGCCAGCGAGGCGGAATGGAAGTGTGTAAAACATACATTGGGATAAGTGCGCGTCCTTGATCGGACGAGGCAGAATGCTTGTGTCTTAGATGATGTCGGGCATCAGCCGGGGCATCTCGCTCGACCGGCGCCATCACCTTCTTCGGTTGTGTGCGCTCTACCACTGTGGAAGGAATAGGATGTCTTGGGGAATCGTATATCTCAACGCGTGGGGGGGTACATTCCACCTCAGCAGCAATTAAGAGAACAAATTGATGTAAGCGAGTTTGAGTGATTATCTTTCAGCTGGGATAGCTGGGAGAAAACGTAGCAAGGTTACTGTCCCTCGTTGGTGTAATATGCGACGGTCTAAGAGACTTGATGGCAGCCCTGACTGCGCATATAATGTATGAACGGCGGTCAACAAAGCTGTAGTCGTTGCCCAATCCGCGCCTCCAGCTTGCCGGCATTTTTGTAAACAATCACTCTGGCAACCACGGCCTAGCGGCTGGCTATCTTATCGACGTCGTCACATCCCACTAGAGACCCACTTGACAAGGAGCTTGGGCCATAGCACATCGCCCCCACTTCCTTCCCGTCTTGCCGTAGCATTGTCAGTTCAACTCCAGATTTTAGATCCTATGCACGGTCCTAGGTCTTTGGGCCAACGACGCCACTCTGCTTGCTTCTTCAACTCATAAACATGCGTATTCTTGAGCCTCCTTGAATTTTACGCACTCCCTGGTCTACGACGCATCCATGTTCGCCAAATTCCAGGTGGCCCCTGGATACACCGTCCTGTTTATAGCTGTACTACAGCACCGCACTCTGCGGAGTGGCTCGAGGATACGCCCATAGGGCTCGCAATGTCTCTATTTGCGTTGATATATACTTGGAGTCATACGATCTGCTCTCGTATAGCACCATGATAATTTGTAGTTTTCTTTGTCTCACAACTGAAGAACGCCCTGACAGGTTATTACTAGACCAAACTACTCAAGTAGCCAGAGCACCATATCGCTCGGCTTACATATATCGAGACCTCATCATGCTCCGCCAAATCAAGCCCAAAACGAACATCTTTGATTTCAACTTTCAAATCCTGCCAGGCGTGATCTGGGCTGTGGATCCTGCTGGGTTTCGATGTCCCCGAGGCTACTAGCTACATTACCGCGGTTACATCGTGCGCTCACTTGGCGTTAGTGCGCTAATGGCTTTCTCAACGGAGCCAGAAGGTTATTGAGTTAGCATATCCATCATTCGTTTATGTATCAAACGATATATGCTGATTGAGGATGAGGCTGGTTTCTAAGTTTAGTCCATGCATGATCAGTATAATGAGGAGCATTGGGTATTTGATGTACTTGACATCTCAGTATCAGCCTTGACAACCCGCACAGCAATAGCGCTTGAAGGTATCATCAAACACGCCAGCATGAGATGAAAGGGCGAGCCCCTAACTAGTCCAATGGGAGTTACAGTTTGGAAATTGTGACTGTGATATTCTGTCCAAACGCTGCCTGCAGTATTCATCTACTAGTGTTGATTATGAGATCATTAACAGCCTGGAAAACCGAGGGTATCAGATACATTGTTTAGTATGCCATGCCCAGTATAAATACGTGGGATTTTAATGTGCCACTGGCAAGTAAGCTTCTCCAACGTCGATATTGATTGCCGCTCCGATGGTTTCAAATACCCTCTTATTAGCATGCTTGCTACCTATTATCAATGTTTGTGGTCATGGTACCGCCTAAGCCATGTTCCCGGCCCTTTACTCTATTCAGTATCACCACTTTCGTTGTTGAGAAACTCAGCTTAGGGGAAATGCATATATGGAGTTGAAGAGTCTTAGCGATAAATATGGTGACCTTCCAAGGATACTCCTACCATATTGAATATTCAGGTTAACTGACAAAAGGTCAAAGGTGCCATCTTCAGGATTGTGCCTAATGCACTAATGACAACTGACTTCAAGGTCTCCCAGAGAATATCATCGCCGAACTCTCTCTATTGCACCTGTCATTGGTCGGTGTCTTCGTTGGGGGCACTTATAGTTTTGGACTCCTGAGCGGTATCGAGCTCAGAAAGAAGACAACTGTAAGCACGAGGCGTCAAAAGAAGGGCTGTTGCGACAGAGTCTGTCCCTGCCACGCTGCGCAGTATTATTCATTAGTTTGTCTCATAATGGGATAGGTTTTCGGGCAGCTCACACGTGTAGGATGGATTGGTTTATTGCTTCGCTCCTACTCGCGCGTTTCTGCAGAAACACGCCCATCATAGCACGACTCAGTGCCGCCCTGGATTTCAAACGTTCTTTACCATATCTTGAACCGATCTAGAGACCACTGAGCATGTCTTTTCTTTTCTAGAGCCCTAGTCCATTCCCTCATATGTGGCGTCTGTGGCGGCACTTGATAGAGCGGCCCAATCCCACTGCATCAGTCGCCTTTGGAAGCAACTCTGAGATTAGCGATACCTGGGCCAACGTGGCAAGAAAAGGCAACGTGACAGCTGTATTCTTAACAGCGAAGAACTCTTCATTCCATTTGAGTTACTCAAAGATACCTTGACCTTCGTTTACAAAGCCAAAGGCCTTGCCGAACACCACATCGTTGAAAATGTCGATAGCGAAGAAGTGGGTTATAGGCACAAATCCGAGAGGTTTGTACTCCTTGTTCGTGGAGAGGAAGTCACAGCCGACAAGAGTGATCGAGTGAGTAATCTGACGTTCGAATGCCAACTCCTGGGCATTACGAAGAGTCAGTTAACCTCTTGTAGTCGGCTCATATGGTCAATGTGTTTTTAGAAACATATCATGGTGTTGGCGACGGTATAAACTGGACCCAATCTTGTCCTCAGCTGTGTATGCCGTTTCTCATGCATGAATTATCCTCGTCTTTCATGAAGCGGGTAGTGTCATAGGCAAGGCACTTGAAATACTGGCAAGTTGTTATCAGAGAGGGCCCTCGTATTTCCCCGGAGCTACGTCGCTCGCCTTCAAATCTGTCCCCACAGGAGGGGACAATGTGTGTGGGTATGAATTGCTAGCAATCGCATAGTTTGGTATAAATACCTACGGTATCCTGCAAACCAAGAAGTATTGGGGACAGGACACAGATATATTCAGACCCGGAAGGTGACTAGAAGGAGATGAAAAACACCTTGAAGAGTTAAACAGATGCTTTGAGGTGTTATTTGGATATGGGCGGTACAGGTGCTTGGGTAGGTCATTTACCTTCATGGAGATGAGCAACGGGGTGATGACTTTCCAAAGTTACAAGTCCTGAGGCTGACTGCCTGCATTGACAAAGAGTTCAAGATTATAGCGAACAGGCCCAAGCATTCCTTGGGTAATTCTCATCCAGAACTCACTCACTATGAAGAATCCAGGGTTGACAATCTGCAGTGGGTGTATTGGCTTCACAATTTCAAAATTCAAGATGTCGCAAGAGCTATTGTATAAAGTCAGCAAAGGTAGACAATCTTCTTCGTCCATAGTTTTCATCCCGATGATTGGTGGTGAGAGACCGGTATCATAAGACAAAGCCCATGTGAAACCTTGCTCTTGGGCTGCCTTCAGTGGAAACTGTGGGATTGAGCGCCATATGTGTGCCTGAGGTGGTGCCTGAGGTGGTGCCTAAGGCAGTGAAATCGCTTGTGTAGATAAAAAGGTCGGCACCTGCCTACCTACCTTAGATGTAACTTCTTACATAGCACTCCGAGCAGTCAATACACACATCACACTGCGCATCGATCATCGTAACCAATACAGGATCTGTACAGAGTCATCATCTGAGGGTTGAATCCTTCAGAAACACGTTAATTAAGAAATAGTAATGATACGGCAAGTAGAATAATCAGATTGAATGAGTCTGAAGGTTCTTCTGATTGAGGTAGAAGTTCTGGTGGAAAGTCTCAGCAGTTGACTGTCTCAAAGGAAAAGTGGGTATCAGTTTATCATACAGGGATCCCTTGCAGCTTCCCAGTTAACCTTTACATAACTATAGCTCGGGCGCAAAGAAAAAAAATTTCGGCGTGCGCCCACGTAAACTCCATGTCCAGAGCTTGCTCCAACTCCGAGTCCGCAGCCCGTCCATTCCTTTCTTTTCGCATTTCTTTTCGCAGCTTCCTGTCCAAGGCAACTATACTCCTTGCCTACACCATTCAGCGACCACAGTGCCGAGACAGTGATCACTCGAGGTTATTTTCCGAGAACCTTCGTTGTTAATCCATATTTCACCGTCAACATGTCCCCGCCAATGGTCGCAGGCAAGGAGAAGGAGTCCAACGTAGCCCGACTCCTCGGTTCTGGTATGCGATGACAAAAGACCCCAATTTACAGAAAATGTACTAATTCATGTAGGATCTGCCGGTATTTCTGAGCTTGCCATCTTCCATCCTGTTCGTACAAGCGGTCGATATTGCGAGTGATTCCACAACTGACTAGCTAACAAGGTCGACACGATTGCGAAGCGATTGATGAGCAACCAAACCAAAATCGCCAATGCCTCGGAACTGAACAATGTTATCTTTAGGGAAAAGGCGGCCGCATCGATTGGCAAGAAGTTTGTGTCGCTATTTCCCGGCTTGGGCTATGCCGCTGGATACAAGGTCATTCAGAACAAACATGTGTAGTTGGCAACCCAAAGCTAATCCATTTGCAGGTTCTGCAAAGAATATACAAGTACGGCGGTCAACCAATCGCCAGAGACTATCTGGCTCTCCATTATGGCAAGGACTTCGAGGGCGCATTCGGAAAGAAAACGGGCAAGGCCATTATGCACTCGACAGCTGGAAGGTGAATATCATGTTTCTCTGGACAATGCGCAACACAAGCTAATAATGTGCAGTCTGATCGGTATCGGTGAAATTGTTCTGTTGCCCCTGGACGTCCTTAAAATCAAGCGTCAAACAAACCCCGAGGCGTTCCGAGGCCGTGGTATCTTCAAGATTGTGGCCGACGAGGGTTTTGGTCTCTATCGAGGCTGGGGTTGGACAGCCGCCCGCAATGCTCCTGGATCGTTCGCTCTATTCGGTGGCTCAGCTTTCACCAAGGAATACCTTTTCGGCCTAAACGACTACAACAAGGCTTCGTGGTTCCAGAACTTCATCGCGTCCATTGCTGGTGCTTCGGCCTCGCTGGTTGTATCTGCCCCTCTCGATGTCATCAAGACCCGTATCCAGAACCGCAACTTCGAGAACCCTGAGAGTGGTTTCCGGATCCTGTCCAATATGGCCAAGAACGAGGGCTTCTCTAGTTTCTTTAAGGGCTTGGTGCCCAAGCTCCTGATGACGGGACCGAAGCTTGTCTTCTCTTTCTGGCTCGCCCAGACACTCATTCCCGCATTTGACATCATGATTAAGAAATAGTGGTGGGCTCACCTACGATAGAAGTTGAATGAGGAATGTGATACCAGTTTATGGGGTGAAAAAGCGAGGCGCCCTTGTATAAAGGATAATGTGGCGTTGCGGATACGGATGCGAAAATCATGCGTGGGACGTACTCGGTGTTCCCGTCCTAGAGTGGGCCGCTCCATTGGACTGGACGGGAAGCTGTAGAAACTACTCGACTCTACAAGAAATGTTTATAGACTTTTCAATTGGCACGTCGCCTTACCAGTTACGTAGTTGATCCAACAGTCTCTGTTTGCATTTCTGCTACACTGAGCTGAAACATATTTGCTATCTCTTGCTCTCTGCACGCCTCAATCGTTCTGCTGAATTCTTCGTAGGTCTCAGTCGATCCCTGTTACCCTTTGGCCGAATGGGTACGGGCCTGACTTGCCAAACCAAGATCTCAACTATATCTCTGCCATATGGCCGCGCCGGCGAGCTGTTTGGTGCAATCATGACTAGGTGGCTCATGACTTTGACTAGGAAGAAGCTCTGCAGATGGCTTGGAATATTAGGGAGGAATATGATGAACCTTGGTAAATGCTGGCATCTTCAACTGGCCAGGGGAATATTTGGTGGCAGTGAAAGAGGGAAAGAAGTTGAAGGTGTACACTGAAAAGCTTGATCAAGAAATGACCATTGAGTTTATAATGGGAGAATTTGGTGATTGTTCACATTATTGTCTTGTGAGTAATTACGAGCCACCTGTCAAGTGAAGGATATGAAGAACCAAGGTTTGTCACTCTACATACATGTTGGAGTGAATCTCAAACAAGTCCAAAGTTGTTGGCACCGTCATGTTCTAACCATATTATTATATATCACTTAATTTTGCGAGGTTTCATGGTGTTGAGAGCCGATTTCATTTTTCTCCTATTCTGATATGACAATGCTCAGAACCAATCTCCATTCTGGAGTTCATCACTATTGCTTATCTATCTCATAGGATTGATCTGTACCCGCACTGTGAAAATCTTATTGATCTTCCACCTGTAAGTTGCACCTTGTTCATAACCCCCCTTTTGGCTCGTCAGGGTATGCAAAATTATTCAGGATGATAGACACTGGATAATAATATACAGTTATATCGGTCTCAGGCGAGTATGGCTGAGAGAAGAAACGGAAGGCTTTCGGAGCAAGAGTTTCTTCTTTGAGACTTCTTTGAGTCCACAATTGGAGTTTCCAGCATCTCTGTTGGGGTAAACACATCCATAACTAGCAATTGTACAAAACTGTGGAATATTAATAGTGTATAATTCCGTTCTACCAGTTGTCCAAATCCACACCGCGAGCTTCGTGTATGGCTCTACTGTTAAGATCAGATATGTGTGACCCAGCTTATTGAACTAAACGCCGCCGCCTGATGCAGTGGAACAGTTCCATCCCTGGGCTGCCAGCCAAAATAACGCCGCCATGAAAACGCCTTTCAATTCACGCCAAGGTGACAAACCCCGTTTTCTGGTCCTTCCCTAGTAGTTTTGGAACACGGACACGAGGTCATCGAGTCTATCCACCTGGCCCAGAAGTTTGCTCTCAATGTCCAAAAACTCGCGGTACTCGTTGTATACATCACCTCGCAGCTTCTCCTCCTCCATGCCTTGCACGTCCTTCCGCTCAACTACAGCCAAGACGTTCTTCTTTCTGCGACGTTCGACTTCAAGCCGCTGAAGGTGGCGTACCATGGATTTGTATGTGTTATCCGTGACTCGCGTCAAAAGCTTTTCCTCTTCGAAGAACCAAAGAAATAGTGTTCGACTCGCAGTGCGGTTGTTGTCGCGAGGTACCTCCTGTACCTCCAGGAAACCAGCAAGCTCCATTTCCACCATTTTGACGTGCACATCTGCCTTCTTCATCAGAGCCAGCGCTGGCAACGTCTTGTCATCGAGTTTGCCTTTTGCACGGAGAATTCGCGTGAGGCGCAGACCCGGTTTGCCGAACGTCTGCTCAATCAGGGTATCAATTTCAGAGTACTTCAATGTTCGCATGAGACTGTCGAAGTCGACGGTCCATTCGCCTTGGTCGCGCATGCCGCAATGCCGTATGAACCGTCGATTGCTTTCGGCGAGCAGGAGGAGATGCTGTCGCATTTGCTGCAATCGGTCTGCTTTGGTAGGAGCAACCGGGACGTTCTCTTCAAATTTCACTTTGGTTTCCCTAGAACCGTTGTGACCCGATGTGATCTTAGTTTCCGTCTCATGGACTCCATTAGACTGAACACCATTGGACATCTCGATGTCATCGTCATCATCGTCGTCGTCGTCATCTTCTGACATATCCTCGCCCTCGCCCTCCGCGTCATGGCCTGGCTGGTTGGCTTGAATGCGTTCTGCGCTTTTGGCGTTGATTTTAGTTGGGGGTGCCTTTCCGATTCCACTAGAAACGTCCAAACCAGGCCTTAGGTTTTCAAAAATCTCCATCGTGGTAACAGAACGCGTAACGAACGTGTCTTCGTTGCTCTTCTCACTGGCCTGGCATATGTTGACGTTTTTGGCCAAGGCAGACAGCGCTGCCTCATATACTTGGGCGGTAACTTCGCCAATTTCATCCGCGACATATCGAGTTAGCCTATGGTTTCGCAGCTCGACGAGGCATTTGTCGTAGTTGACACGAACGGCAACTTCTCGTTTTTCTTCCTGAAATATATGTCAGCACATGTCTTTAGCGATGATAGCCGCTCTAGAAACCCACGTCAAGCATGTGTGTATTTGTGGCCTTGAAGCCGTTCGTTTTGCTTCCGTTCGCAAGCTTTCGCCGCTTCGCACCTGGCCCAAAGAGATAGTGACCCTCCAATTGTCGCTTGAGCTCTCTGCTCTCGTCCTGGTACTCTTTCCATGCCTCTGCAGATTTCTGGAAGAAATCCGCTTTCTGCTTGGCTCCTCTGACACCGCTAGGGTAGGATTCCATAATATCTTTTTCGATCCCGGCGCGGACGTCCTCTGGAGATTGGAACGTTCTTGCATTGACAGGCTCCAGAATCCCGACCGCAATGAGTTGGGCCACCATGTCCAATGCCTCACCCTCATAATCAGAATCGTTGTCGGCAGTATCAGACGATATGCCATTCGCTGCGCCATTGGCCGTTCCAGGCTCTTGGCGCGCGGTCTTGTATTGCTTGGCAAGATCCGATATTTTGACATGACCCAAATTCAGAACTTGGTGAACCAGCCTCGCGGAATCCTCGCCGTAGTTGCGATGGATGATATTAAGGATCTTCCCGTGTCGGACAATATTATAGGCCGCTTCGGAGTTTGCCTCGAAGTGGGTGATGCTTGTGTCGGGGTCGGTGTAGTGGTAGATGAGGTTTTGTTGAGTCAAGACAACGAGGCCGTGGCGGACCATTCGGGGGCCCATGGAAGTATTCTGCGCTAAGTGTTTTATGGTAGACCGGCCTTTGGCGAGAAGTACAGCAAAGAGACGCTGCGAAAAGATCAACATAAAGTTCCAAAGCTGTAGAAAAGGAAAAGGGAGTTGCGTCTTTCACGTGCAACTTACTGATGGTAGCTGACCATACAGCTCGCCGATGAGCAGAACGCATAGTTCTGCTGCATTTTTGGTCTGTCGCATTGGAAATATGGTCAGTTAAATGGACAATCGCGGGAAAACCTGATGAGCGCATTGTCATGACTTGGGCAAAATGCTACAGGAAGGCGACTTGGAAGGTATGATGGACGTTGACTCACCACAATCATCTCGTAGGACTTTGCGACAGCTCTGGTATAAGTCGGAGGGCGAAGGGGGATCGTCGATCGGCTTCTAGAGATCCTCTCACGAACTCTAGAGCCACAATTGCTACCGTATAGTCATTGAGGGTCTGCAGGGTCAAGAGGCGCGAAGAACGAATGTCGATGCCCAAATCTGAGGTCGCGTGAAGAAATTATCGAAATATCGCTGTTATCGAATGCAACAAAATTTACGCACGGCGGCGGGCAGAATATTTTCGATGGCGGGGAATGGCAATCAGAACTCAAGCTCTAAAAGCTCCACTGCAGCCTTCGGTGTGAATTGCATGAATCCCCTATGAAATAAAGCTAGGCAAATCTGGACCAATCAACAGCTGCGTCATTGGAATTTCCAATCAGTTGGCGAGCAGCTGGCCACATTTTGCGCTCGGAGCCGCTGGGCCGATAATTTCCCGCTCGTGTCGAGCACTTTTACATCATGAAGCTCTGAAGGCACGACTACACCCGCGACGCCGCAGACCTTCGATCGTCAATTGTCGACGACCACCCCTTCACAATGTTCTCCAGAACGGCTCTCGTTAGAGGTGCCCAGCTGGCTACCCGCCGGCAAGCCTCTTGCAAGCTTGCTCAGCGACGTGGCTACGCTGCCGCGGCATCCTCTGCCCCTGCCACCTTCAATTACGAAACGAGCGACGTTGCCGGTGTCAAGATCGCAAGCCGCGATTCCCATGGCCCAACAACAAAGCTTGCCATTGTGGCAAAGGCTGGAACGAGATACGAGCCTGCCCCTGGCTTGACTGTTGGCCTGGAGGAATTTGCCTACAAGGTAAGCCTGCGCTCGGGTCTGACGTCGGTATTGGTATGGTCATGAGCTAATTAGTTGCACCCACCAAGAATACCACAAGACGATCTGCGCTGCGAATAGTTCGCGAATCCGAGCTTCTTGGGGGAAGATTGAACGCATACCATACACGCGAGGCCCTCGTCCTGGAGGCTAGCTTCTTCCGAGAGGACCTTCCCTACTTCACCGAACTGCTGGCAGAGGTCATCTCACAAACCAAGTACACCAGTGAGTCTACATGAGCCATTGGGTCATGAGTGAGTGCTTATCGGTTTGCGCAGCCTACGAGTACCACGAGGAGGTCGAGCGTGTCATGCACGTGAAGCAACCTAAGCACGATAACGACCCGTCCGTCCTTGCCCTCGACGCGGCCCATGCCGTTGCTTTCCACACCGGCCTTGGAGCTCCTTCATACCCAACGGCCACAACTGTTCTCAAGGGCTACACGGACGAGAACTCGATCGCCGCGTATGCCGAATCCGTCTATGCCAAGTCCAACATCGCCTTGGTTGCTGATGGTGCTTCATCCGCTACCCTGTCGAAGTGGACTGAGCAGTTCTTCAAGAGTGTCCCTGCATCCTCTGCGGGCTCCCTCTCATTGAATGCGAAATCGTCAAACTACTACGGTGGTGAACAGCGCCTTGCTCATACTGCAGGAAACTCGTTGGTCATTGCTTTCCCTGGCTCTAGCTTTGGTACATTCAAGCCCGAGGTGACTGTTCTGGCTGCACTCCTTGGTGGTCAATCCAACGTTAAGTGGTCGCCTGGCTTCACCCTCTTGGCCAAGGCCGCCGCATCTTCCCCGGGAGCTACGGCCTCTGCAACTAACCTCGCCTACTCGGACGCCGGCCTGCTCACTATCCAAGTTTCTGGTGGCGCCACTGCTGTTCGTGGAGCAGCTCAAGAGGCCGTCAAGGCTCTCAAGAGTATCGCGGAGGGTTCAGTCAGCAAAGAGGACCTCACAAAGGCGATTGCCAAGGCTAAGTTCGACGCATTGTCGTCGAGCGAATCTGGTGTCTCCACCATTCTGTCAGCTGGTTCCGGACTCGTGCACACTGGCAAGCCCTTCCAGATTGCCGAGACGACAAAGAGTCTCGACGGTGTTACTGCAGAGAAGTTAAAGACTGTACGTGTATTGTGCTTCTACCTTGAAAAATTCATTGCTAATAATCGCTCTAGGCTGCCAAGTCCTTGTTGGATGGTAAGGCGTCGGTGGCTGCTGTTGGTGACCTTTTTGCATTGCCATACGCAGAGGAGCTTGGCCTTAAGGTATAGAGGAGATAGGGGATGGACGTGTACCACCAATTCAGCTCACTGCTGTAAAATCGAGACTAGTACCTGTGCATATAGTAAATCCCTTAGAGTTTTTCATGATCCTGGGTAAGAGCGAGGTGGAAGGCTGTTGTGACCTCACAAAAGCTGCAATGAACCCTAATACATTGGCTCCGAAAGTGAAATGACCAAACTCAAGTGTAAAGATGGTTGGCCCATCAGTCTGACCGAATTACACTCACATAACATTGAAGCGCAATATTGTGTGAGTGGTAACACCCAACCGGAAGGAATTCGATTTATGACTTAAGCCGTTACTTGCTAATAGTTACAATCACGTGACCCAGGCTCGGCTTTGGAGAGTGCCGGCCGGTTTTCTTTGCACACTCTCTAGTCCAACAAGACAGCAACAAGAAACCGAATCATCTCCCCACTATCACCTCTGCAACCGTCAAAATGGTGTTCGCATGGAAATCCGCTGGTCTTACGTGAGTCAATTGGATTATTTCCCCAGCTTCCTGCCCGCCACCTTGGCTACGACAGAGGGGAACAGACAGGAGCAGACGGGCTAATGAGGAACCCCCCACAGCTACAACCGCTACCTCGCAGTCGCTGCCCGCGCCGTGCGCCGAAGCTTGAAGGAGGACAAGAGAGTCGCTGCTGAGCGCCGAGGCGAGATGGACTTGCGATTCGCAAAGTGGTCGGTAAGTATTGTCGGAGGAAGGGTACAGGCAAAATCAAAGAACTGTAGCAACTGACGATTTATGCCTCACGACAGAACGGAAAGCAGGGCGAGGTCAAGAGCTTGGCTGAGGCCAATGCTGCCATCACTAAGGAAGCCGCCGCTGGGTCTTCCTAATGGACAAACCGATTTAATATCCTAGGGGACGGCATGGCGAGAGTATTCTGAACGGACAAGGACTACTACTCAATGGGGTTTCACGAGGGCCGGCAAAGGCGTTGCTTGCTGCCTCATTGTACAGCTGTATAAAATCAAGCACTCAATAGACTTCGTCGACGGATTTGTTAACCGGCACTGTGGTATGCAGCTTCGAGTTTCGAGTTTGTGTTTCGTTGGGAGGCCGTGATGCCTGTCCACCTCTAGCAGTTGGCGGACGTGCCCTTCGCCCAACAAACCCATCTGACATCCAAACCAGCAGCCAAGGTAGATATTAGAAAAACAAGCGCAATGCCACAAACTTGACCTCCAGTGAGAATTGGCAAAGCACCTGTTCAAGCAATACCTCTGGCCGTCTTCTCGCACCTATTCTTCTCGAATAGAGGTGTCTGATCGCACTTACCGTACCATATGCCAATTGACCGACCATAGGCCTAGTTCGCAGCCAGTGTCAGGCGGGCCGGCCTCCTGCCTACCTAAAGCTGCACCGCACATCTTTTAACTTTCCAGTTTGACAAACCACGTCACATCCAACAGCGCTTTTCTAGGAAGTCAACCTATACAGATTATTGCAGTGCCTATCTGCAAGGTGCCAGGCTATGGCTTGGCTGATGGCCCACAATTCGCGACTCTTTTCCTGAATCTGGGAACCAACACCGACCTCGGGTACACTCATCGGTCAGCCTAAAGCGCGTCGCAGCGTGGGGCTCACAGCACAAATCTCATCATGGAGCAGCATGCACCTCAGTCGCTGCCTCCGCGTCCGAATCCGTCACACCCCGGCGTGATGGCTGTCGATATTACAGATAATTTCTGGGCAGCTGTCAAAAGTAAGATTCTTTACACCCCAAATAATTCAAATAGTTATTCCACCTAGAATACCCATCTTGCTAACAGATTCGCGCAGCCCTGGCCCCTGGCGAGCTTGTCAAGGATGGCCACTTCACTCTGTTTGAGTCCGTTGGGGCCCTCGAGGTGAGTGATGAGCCTGTTCAACTGTGGCTGCAATGGCCGATGCTCATGCAATCAGTAGATCATGGACCCCAAGATGGACAGTGGCTGTCTTGCGGAAGGGGAATCTCTCGACGAGGAGTATAGCGTGACCCGCGATCTTCTTCCGGAGGAAGTACTCGGGATCATGGATCAGCTGCTTTGCCTCGAGGTATGGTTGAATCGACCCTGTGAAGCCTCTGTATGCTGGCTGACGTGTTGTGAAGATGGCTTGGCATCAGGGTTATCCTCTATCACAGACACTCCTGACGAGTGTCTACGTAGAGGTCCTTACCAAAACTCATCCGACTACGATAGAAGAAGTCACCTTTACCGGGAGCTCAGAAACCGAGAAGAACTTACCAACATTGCTGTTCGCTCTGAAGGCCTACTGCATAGGATTACTGAAGGGCTGTGACTTTGTCAACGAGCTCGTGAAAGATGAACTTTACTATGAGGTTCGGATGACGAAGTAGCTTCGCCCATAGATTATACTGAACTAACTTACTATAGGAAGAAGATTTTGTCACAAATTCTTTTGGCCGAAACATTCTATTGTACGACGTTGAACTCCGGCCTGTCAATGACATGCTCCAGAAGGCGCGGGCAGAACTCCGAGTGATGAATAACAAGCCATCGAAGGACATTGCCATGGCCCTGGATATACGTTTGGAGCTACGCATAGCCTTCCTGCGGGCCATGGAACTTTCAGCTCTCCGCACTGCCAATCCCGAATCTTTGAAGATGCCTTGGATTCAAATGCACGGACTGATCGAGCATATCAAGAAGCAACACAGCCTCGGGAAGCCCGTTCCGGATGCCTTCAGCACCAAGTTGCAACGACGGCTGGCGAGTACGCTGCCCCCTCGACCCATAGTGTACCTTAGCTTCGAAGAGACGCATGAGCACTTTAGGCGACTGTTCAAGGACGGGAAGGAAATTATGGACGTTCTGAAATATTCAGACCCGCAGAGCCTTCTGGTAAGATACGCAGAGCTGGTTATTAGCGATACGACACTAATGAAGTCTAGACCTTCGTCTCTACCTTCCAAGCAAGAAAACCTCAACCTCTACCCTGCATCAGGACTTTATTACAAAATCTCATGTTTAAAGACAATGTCTTCCTAGGATCGTATACGATTCGTCAACTGATCGACCACGACTTATCCATAGTGTCTCTGCCTTGCGCGACCCAGCTAGATCTGGCGAATGATACGATAGAGGTTCCGACGGATCCGCGCCACCGGACATCGAACGAGATGACCATCTTCCGTCAACGGGTCGAAGAGTGTTACCTAGATGTCTTCAGAATATTCTGTCAGAACAGGTGCCGAGTCAGACGAACACTGTGCCACAACATACAGGCCTGGGATGCTCTCCAAGCCGATGTGGAGGAGATTGACACCCGTCTTCAAGAGTTATTGGCCGAGAAGCCATTGCAGACAGAGAGTGGAAGTGTAGGCTACTCTTTACCATTATCTTCGTGGGCCTATTTGTACAAGCTTCGACAGATGGAGTGGATAGTTCAGCTTGGATTCGAGCTGTCCGTATACCAGACAGACGAACTGGCCGGGATGTATTGGTACGTGAACTACCTGGCCAAGACCAGAGCACAACACGGGGACCGTATCAAGACGTTCGTAATGCGCAGTCTCACCGCATCCCGCGCGTCCAATTCCTATACAGCAGCGAAGGACAGAGAATACATGCGAACACTCTCGTACATAAGAGCCACGATGCTGGACGCAGCTTGCACGTGGGAGTTTGCCGACGGTCTCTGCTGCCTCTACACGGTGCTCAACCGCCTCGGGCTCATCAAGTCCCCACCGCGACCCTACAGCAATGACGCGCTCCGCTACGAGATCCGCATGAAGCCCTTCATGACCATTGGGCTCCCACAGCTGCCCACATTTGACGAGTTCACCAAGGCCACGGCCCAACCGGAGACGGCGGTAGACGCATTGCTGACTTACGCAGAAAGTGCAGTCGGTGGGGCGAAGAAGGGATACGAGGCGCTGAGCAAGATGACAGACGGGCAGACGTTTTCTGTGGGGTGTCATGGTCGGTGGTTGGCTAACGTGAAGGATTGCCTCAAGGCGGCTATCTCGGCGGGGATTGCGGTTACGACGCTGCAGAAGACGATTGCGAAGGTTGGGGACGGGGGGGAGTTGAAATTAAAGGTGGAGATGCCGGAGGCTGGCAAAGGGTATCATGACTGGTGGATTGTGCCTAAGATCGTACCTACAGGTTGAGTATCTTAAAAGTCATTGTAGGGCGTCAAGGGTTAGAGAAAAGTAGAAGTTACATTCAGCCTCTACTTGAGCGGAATACGGTGCGTGGATGGATAGCATAGAAATGGCCTTAGAAAGCCTGCTGGATTCGATATTTGCATGTGGGTATCGCTCTCGGCCTTGATGAATAAGTCTATCGAGACAGCTTGAGGTTTATCGTTTAACTCCCCCACACCCTTCCCCTTGACCGTATCTATGATGGGATCAGATACCATAGATTCTAACTTAAATTCGCCATGCTCCCATCAATTCACCCTAGACAAAAAAGCAAAGAATACCAACACAGAAAGTTTACATGCGAAATCAAATAACATGCCATATGTTGGGAGTAATTAAAGACGAGGAGCCTTACCAGCCCTCTAAGCCCTGATCTTCGCCCTTCTTAGTTTCACGGTCTGCTCGTATAGAACATCCTTGAACGCGAATAAGAAGGCGGCAGTCAAGACGCTCTGAGTGACCTTAGGTCCGATACCTGTACACTGGTTAGCATGTATACGCCGAGGCACCCTACCTGTAATATCCGTAACGCGACTATAAGACGAAGCAAAAGAAGACGAGACTCACCCTTGTACAACCCAGCATACCCCTCCTCCTTAATAACCCGACTAATAGCCTGTCCCATCCCCTCCTTCTTCCCATTGTCCACGACATGCATCTGGCTCTTGACGGTAATATACGGATACGTAATACTCGTGGCAAACAACTTCCCCAGCGCGCCCAACAAGAACGCCACACCAGGTGTGATACGCCGCTTCTTCTCGAAGAAGTTCTTCATCTGCTCAAACAGGGTGTACTGCAATATCGGGTTCATAACCAACACCAGCGCGGGCACAACACCCCTGAACAACGCCTGGGGCCCTTCTTCCCTCACGAGCGCCAGCAGCGTCCCGATCGTAGTCGGTGCCCTCTTCTTCGCGGCCCCTGGTTCCCCCGCACCCTTTTCTTCTTCCAAATGCTGCTTCCGCGTCGTCATGCGCGTGTTGACGACCCAGATGGGGTTCGTCAATATTACGGTCGCGGACCCGGCGATGGCGCCCGCGATCATGGTCTCGACGGTGGTAAGCTTTTTGGAGGCGCGCCCGGTCTTGATCGCGGCGGTTTCGAAGAAGGACCGCGTGAACTCGTACCAGTAATAGTACACGAAGTTGGTCACGCTGATGCCGAAGACGGCGCTGTCAAGCCCGGCATAGAGGCCTGATACGCCTTCCCGTGCGATGATTTGTCGCACTGCTGTAAGGAAGGCGGTGGAGGCGCGGGTGGATTCTACTTGGGCGCGGGTGGAGAGGGTGATTAGGGGGTAGCTGGTGGTTTGGGTTGAATGGTTAGTTTGGGTTGCTTCTTGGGTTCTTGATGCAACGAGCTGGGGGAATGATATCCGGGACGGCCAAAGCCGGGGTTGAGGGAGGAGATAGGAAACTGGCATACGTGAGAATCATGGATAGAACGCCGCCGCCCGCGCCCGCGAGAGCATGCGCGACATTGTCGTTCTGTGGGATGACGGGTTTCGAAGCGGCCACCATCTTGTGTCTTTGACTTGTCTTATCTAGACTCTGAACTCTAATAACGGGGTTCGACTCGAACGAAGTGTTATCCGTTGTTGTATAAGAGCAGATGCGCTCGCAATATGTAAGAGATTATATACTCTTTTCATAGTTTATGTGACGGTGATAGTAGTAGTCTAGAAGATAAAACGGTTTAAGGGACCGCGACACAAAAAGGTTGAAGCCGAGGTCCGACTGCAGGAGGTGTGCAGGTGCAGGTGCAAGTGGTAGCATTGCATCACTGTGCTTGGGCCGGCTCTTTAGGCGGGTATTCCCCGCGTTGTGGAGGTACATGCTTATCTCTCGTTTTTTAATGCCCTGAGTCCGTGGTTGCCGTAACTCGTGGAGCAGAAGCACTTTCACATGTTCGGACTTGAGAACAGGAGGACTTTGGGGATCATTGAAGCTCGTGATAACTTCACTGAACATTCCTGCTGAGAATTCCAGCTGAGAATTCCATTGGAGTCAGAATGCACCCACAAACAAATCTACCAGGCTTCCTGTTCTGTCGTTACTTACACCTGTGCTCCGGGATGACCTTAAATGTCTTTAGGTCGATCTAAGGTAGTCATAAACACGAAGGCGAACTTGCTCTTCTGTGATTGTTAAGATTTTGCATGCAGTGGCAGCTAGACTGAATGCTGTTTTGGGATGAACTTGTTCCTGATTCTAGAACAGTAAGTTGAAGCACCTGTCAACCGAACCGAAGATAAGAGGACGACGGCTCTCATACCCTCTAATGATATTCAAATCCACAAACACTCCTTCGATCTCAACAGGAAGCAGGCATTGTCAAAGGAGCCGGGTCTCACAGATTGACGTTGGCCTTCGAAATCATGCCACGATGCCGGATGGTCCTGCATGCAAAAGGCTTTATAGTCATTGGTTGATGTCGTCGTGTAGCAGCTTCTGGGACACATTTTCAATATTGCATGCAAGTCGAGGCTGATGTGCCGTGGCTTAGTTCATACTACGATCGAGCTTTCTGCGGGAATCAGTCGCCTAGCGAGGCGTTGCATCTGTATTATGTCGTCTTCGATGCAAAATCCATGGGCTTCCTCGTGTTTTTGAGAGGGGGGGCATGGATCATCAACCCGAAACAATGAAGCAATCTAGAAATGTGACCTGGGGTGTCACGTGCAGCTGTTGTAAAAATAGCATCTCGACCGTCCCTGGTGCCGTGGAGCATTGCGGCCAGCCCCCCAGAATCTCAAAATAGATCATCAGGGACGAGGCCCCGGTCTCGACCACTTCTTACGAGCTGGGTACGCTTTACATCTCATGAATATTTCCGACCGATTGAATCACAGTGTCAATTGGTAAGACTCGAGAGAATGCTCATCTCTGACGGTATCGCATCTCTACAACGGGCTCTATAAGCCTCGTCAAGGTACTAAATTCGGCAACTGAGCAACTCAGACACCTAACTTAACTGGCGAGATTTTTTGACCCTCACGACTTGCACATCTGTCAGGCAAACCTGGCGAACAGCCATTCGGATTTCCCCTCCAAAACTCACAGGGATTCTTGAGACGACCAAACAAATACTTCTCAAGTACCCGGCTACCTCGCTGCCGGCTTAATCCTTTCTCATCCGTTGCGAGCAACAACACGCACATCACATGAAAAGCTTTGGGCACCAGAACGGAAACTACAAATAGTCAACCCATTTACCGTCAATGGAACCCTCTACGTTTATGAGCCCTACTCCCACACCGGTATGACGACTCAAGGTCAATCTGTTCACCCCACGCCGCCGGCGTCTACAGGCAACATGTCTCCCCGGCCCCTTGGCATACGGCCGACCTTACCAGACAAACGAGTGATGAGTGAAACAATAGAGGATGCCTACGTCAAGTTCATCATGTACTGCAATCCAGCAGTCCCCCTGGAGACAGATACAGCTGCCCTGAGGGAGGCTTTCCGGACACCACCCAAAAGCGACGGCAAGAGCTTCAGCACCTTCACGCTATTCCAGCTCATCAAACAGCTTGAGGACAAGGAAATAAAGACATGGGCTGAGTTGGCGTTGAAACTTGGTGTGAAGCCGCCAGATCAGGACAAGGGCCAAAGTTCGCAGAAAATTCAACAATATGCTGTAAGACTGAAGGTAAACAGTTTTTCCAGTTTGGGCAGCTCATATCGAGTCATGAGCTGACAAAACTAGAGATGGATGCATTCGATGCATGTTAATGCTTTTTTCGACTACATGCTTGATAATCCACACCCGTACTGGACGGAGATCCCGTCGGATCCAAACCCGATCTGCGAAGACGGCCGGGATGGTGTTGCCGCCGAAGACGATATGGCCTTGCGGGCTTTATTACCGCAGATTAGGCCACGTCGAGGACGGCGGAAACCTGAAGATGATGGACTGAATAAGTCCCCTTCACAACGTCCACGACTCTCGCCAACATTCAACGGTGAGGTGGATCCATCACGCTCAAACGGGCTGGAACTCTGGACGGCCCATCCCGATACGGCGAGAACTTTTCTGTTTCCGCCTCCGGATCAAGCTCGGTCAGCCGTGATAAGCAGTTCCGAATCGGCATTTCCATGGCACACCGAGGTTCCGCAAACTTCCTTGACATCTTATCCGCAATCTGCAATAACGCCGATCAATGGGCGAGCATTCTGGGCAGATCCCACCGAACCTCGCTCAGCCATCACGCCTTCCAAGGCTCGATTGATGGGTCGCCGACATGGTGCCAAAGTTGTTTCTTCCGCTTGGCGCAGCGGGAGCTCAGGGGTAACCGGGAAGATTCGAGGCAGACCCCCTACGAAGCGTGCCGAGGAAAGTCCTATGTCGGCTTTTCCTGACAGCAACCGAGTGAGCTCTTTTCAGACAATCAGCATGGACGGCAACGTTCCCAAGTCGGCCATTACGCCCGCCCCCGCTCCCGTCTTCTCTCCAAACACAACATCTCCTATGACGCCTGGTCCACCCGTATCACCTCCCGCGGCTCCACCAGTATCAGTAACAAATCAACCGGAACCGCCTCCATCAGCACGGCCTACACGACCTGGCCGACTCTCGCTTCAGGTGCCGGAAAGGCCAACAGGGTCAGTGAGATTGGCAACCCCGCCCCCGGTTGTCATGATCAACGGCGAGAAGCCAACGCAAGGGACTTCCCAGATGATGGACTGGAATTCAATGGGGAACACAGTGGATTTCCCAATACCAGCCGCCTTCGTCAACCCGATTCCCGACTCGCATTTCCAAGTCGTACCTCCGGACAAAGAGCCAGAACAGGCAATACCCAACAATAAAGACGCAACAGAAGAGGGCATCAATGTGCTAGAGATCGAGAGCCTCTTCGTTTCGGAGATCGTCGTTGCCAACTGGTGCGATGCAAAGGGAAACAACATACCAGCTTGTGGTGTCGAAGAGGCAATAGCCCTAACGAAATCAATAATACGGGACATTAAGGAACAAGCAGTCAACACCGAGGCCTTCCTCATCAACTTGTCTGCACTCGCAGGCGGTAGTATGTTGATGCGAAACCAAAAGGCCACCATCACTCGGCTGGAAGAGGGAAGGGATTGCACCAAGTACTCCATGAGATGGGAACTGCGTTACGGATCTCTGAAGGGGTCATATGTGGTGACCGAGTCAGTTCCTCACGACAGCTGGAAGAGGAAGAAAGGGGGTAAGGAGGCGGAGGGGAGGTCCGAGTCGGCGGAGGATACGGATGGATCAGGAGGGGAACCAGGAGGGGCAGGGGGAGGGGCAGACCCGGATGCAGAGCTGTGGAAGAAGAAGTATAAGGACTTGCTTCGGATTGTGGAGATGAGTAATCATCAGACTGCTGACTTGCGCGTGAAGGTTTTTGAGACTCTGAAGGGGTCTTCTGATGGTAGAAGCTAGTTGGTATCGTGTTGGGAGATGTAGAGTTTCTTTCTATGAACCGCACGAATACCGTCTATAGACGAGGCTGAAATGTTGGAGAGGAAAGATACCCATGTTGTTGTACTTGTTCGGCACTGTCGGACATGAAGAATTATTAGAGCCTTTCATTTACCTCAGTATTTACTTGAAAGATGCATCAGGTTGGACATCGTTAGGCTGTATGACGGTACTTTTCTTGACTTACATAAGTTGAGTTGAAGTTAGTATTCCCGGTCAACGAACTTCCATCTTGAGCAGGTCGGCACCGTCAGAGCGTAAAGTTTTCGTCAGAGCTTACATGTTCAACCCAGATGCATCGAGTGCGCAGATCATCAAACCATGTCATGGTACGTGCTATCAGCTTACAGGTACCAGGTTTCCCTACCCCATTGAATGATCTCGGACTGGTCGCCTCTCGTATGCATCAAACCAGTAGATTGCCAAGCCGTGTTGCTCTTGATCGTGCTAAGCCAAGTACCCTGTTGAGCGAGGCCTAGTCCATTCCCAGATGCGGATACTTTGATCGTACTCAAATTCAAACCAACGCAGCATTTTACGCAAGAAGCATTTGAAAGAAAATATTTCATACGAACGTTCGATGTCTTGGGAGGTCATCAGTCTGCGACGTAATATCGATATTCGAGGTAGATCGATAGCTGTGCCAAGTGAATCGGCCTAGCATAGCAGATCCCCCAATCTTTCCACCAAAATACACCTCGGCCACTCTATAATGAACATAGGACTACATACTATGTAGCTATATCTATAGCATTTTTTCGTCAGATAACTAGTTCAGTATTTCTTCATACAATTCAGAACTTTGACATTTTATAATCTTTAAAAGTTAAGCAGAGGTGAACCTTAGATCCTCCGACTTTACAAACTAAACTCCCTGAAACTAGCCAAAACCGCTAAATTTGCCCAATGGGCCAATGGGGCGTTAAACCATAACCGTTTTCGAATACTTTATTATTTTGCAATATATATCGTATAAAACCTCCGGGCCTTGTATTGTGTATTTCGTAAAGTTTTATTCAAATTTCCTATCGATAATGCAAAAGTGTACGAGTTGGTGTGAAAATGGGGATGTGTGCTAGACTTTCCACAGTGCTGGTTTAACACACGAGTGTTAAATGCAATCCTTCAATGCAAGTATCCGACGAAGAGTTCACGAGAGCCTCGAGTCTGCCCTGTCTTGCTTCAATAAGGCTGCTCAATTTTCTCTGTCACTGTCCGACGCAATTGCAAGAATGCGGGGGCTCTAGGCAGGTAGTAGCAAACATATGACATGAACCTTTCCTCCCGCTCGACATCCACCACAAACACCTTCCGAGATACTATCTCGGTCTTGGTTGTGTAGTGCACCACCATTTTCTCAGACTGACGGAAGGCATTTTTCTCACAATCGGAGCTACTAAAAATTGACTAGACTACCTATCCCTTTGTGCAACTTGTCCAAGTCACTGCATCACTTTGCTCCAGGCTTACTATCATTGATTACCTCACCATTCGAACGTGGCTTAAGCTCAACGCAACCAGGCAACCAGGCAACCAGAGTCGGCCCATCGGCGTCGCCGAGCCATGTGCATGTATCACTCTCTGAAACTCGACAGTCGAAGTCGGACTTGGCCGGCCGGGGTGAAGACGGCGGGGAAAGCCTCAAGCTCTAACCATTACTTGTTGGAGACTCTTAACTGCTCAGTTTGCATTGCCCAATCACACCCGTGTCGCATCGGATCGAGCTTCCCAAACGTGCCGCCATGGACCATGGGTACGGGGAAAAGGGAGGATTATTTGCCTCCACATTATGGCCAGATGGTGGAGTCTCAACCAGAACAGGACAAACGGTGCTGAAATCAATGTGGTCATCTGACACTACAGCATCATCGGCGCTGCATTGGTTGGCATGAGATCCGGCTGCTGCAAGCCGGCGCCGTTGTGCAAACTGGGCCGCTCAGAATGTTTCGACTCCAGATGGTGCAACTTGGGGTTGTCGGACCGATACGGCGCTTGGGGATTCTTGGGAGTTGGGACTTGGACACGGGAGCGTTGACGAGAACTCATGCGAGTCTACATGTACTTGTACTTGATGAGGTTTGGCGCTTGGCACGAATGTCACTGTATCAAGCTTCTCCAAGCCTTCACCGGGCGCGACCGTTCGGTTTCCAAGGTTTCCAAGACGTCAGGAAAGGCTTGTCGGGTCAGATCGACTTGGCCAGCGATTTAACAATGGGGCACGGATCCACAGTCAAAACGAGTGCCGCTGCCGCGAACTGGTCCATTTTATATATATGCGTTGTGCACAAATTTTGAGCGACGAAAATGCGTCTAGGCCTCAAGGTCTGGGGGAAACGACCGAACCCCGTGGGAAATTATTGGAGACATTGGAGTCGCCATAGCGTTTTACGGAGCTGTTTGTAAACCAACGACCGACGTCGACATGGTATCCACCCACACACAGAGCCGTTCGCGTTTGCACGAACAATACAAGCATATTGGCTTTGAAGTCTTGTTGTCATCCTCGAAGTACGCTTCATCCACACGTCGAAAGCATACAGAAGCGTACACCGCCGTTTGTAATGCCCAATCCAAGCCGCCCTGGTCACCATGGGAGTCACGAGGTCGTTGACACCTGGAACCATTGTTCTTGCCTCTAAGCAAGCAATTTATTGATTCTTCTGGCTTCTCCGCTTCTCCGATGAATACCGTCGGCCAGCCGAACGTATTTTGTTTCCTGGAACACAAAGCTACGACTGCCGATATCCGCAGTTTTCCGCAGTATATTGTAGCCTAGCCTGGTACGGGCAACTCTCGGTTCGCTCTCCAGATTCCAACTCCCAAGGTTGTCTCCCCACAAATCGTCCTGGCGTTATGCGGAGATCCCAACTCAGCTGGGACTGCTCAAGCTGGGTGGCGAGTTGATTGGCTTGAGATAAGCACTAAGTAAGCTATCCCTGGCGCCTCCCCTGCTTCCATCGCAATGAACTACTCACAAAGCCGTAATAACGTGCCGGGGTTCGTGGGTTGTTGACGGTGTACCTATGTGATCAATTGCTGTGGGAGATGATGATAATGCTGAATGCTGACGGGAGATGACCATCTCACAGTCAAGTCAGCAGAATGATCTGACAAGGCAACTGAGCTCCAAAGCATTCAAATGCGATCTCGACCGCGGATAGGCATCGACGACGGGGCATATTGAAGTAATGTGACGGCACGAAATCCAGGGTCTTGGCGACTAGGAAGCGGATGGCGCTCGCTTCTACTCGGTACGGAAATGATGACGTTGATCGTTTTCCCTCCACATGGTACGAGAGGCACACTCCGATACGTCAAACTCGTTCCGCTCGGTTGAGGTTCAGCTAATTCACAAGTGTCATACTATTCACAGCATCCTTTGCGAGAGAGAGTGAGGGAACACTCATGAAATTCTGAGGGTAACTCCAGGGCAGGCGTCCTCATCAGCCTCACTGGTACGACATGACTTCGAAGCTCATAGAACGATTTATTGTGATCAGTTCTACAAGAAACGTAAGTATTAAGCCTTGGGCGTACCCAGGGGGACGCTTGCATGGTATTTGGTCTCACAACATGTCCCCGGGACGTACCATCGTAATCGTCCGATGGTATGTACATAATAATAATCCAGCGCGACGCTGATCCCTTGTCGCCTCTCCGCACTAAAACTACAAAGCTGTCGAATCAGGCTCCGTTGAAAAATTTATCCAGGCAAGGCTCGGTTTTTCAGAAGAGGTTGTGCGACCTGAGAGCTGCAAGGTAGCCATCCTTCCATCTCACGTCCTCGACCAATTCAAATACCAAATACTTCCCCGCCAGGAACTCGTGCGCCAGTTCTCAGCTCGTCCTTCCTTCATCTCAACTCTTTCAGCTAAACATTGTGGTTGTTGCCAGAGTTTGGCACAAGCCAGACTACTTCGTTCCAGTGAGCCGGGGTCCCTCATTACTCACTTGAGAAAGCTACATCCGATTATATTAGACGGGGTAACAACCCGCGCCTGATTCTCACAGTGTCGACTCAACGCAAGACAGCTTCCAGACCGATATTATGGCGGACAAAGACACTGTCGAGCCCGCGCCAACGTAAGTCATGTCCAGCGTGGGAGTTACTTCGGCCCTTAGACTAATATGCCAACAACCAGTAACTCACCGCCGGGTTATGACACCGCGCCGTTTGCCGAGAAAGGTCGCCGCGAGTCCAAGGCTGAGTACATCGCCGAGATCAACCAGAACATCAATGCTAAGTGTGTTGCATATCCTCAACCCCGAAGCTAAATGAGAAACAGAGCTGACAAGTCCTTTATAGAATCTCCAACCCGCTCGCTGGAATTCCTCGACATGAACTAGTAGCACAAATCGACAGACTTTGTGACGAGAAAGGGCTGCAAGATCATCGTCATCTTATGCGCAAGGGGGCGCTTGTAGCTCAGGATCCCAACAACTATGAGGACATCAGCGGCGAAGAAGCGCTTGATGAGGCCGAGATCGATGCCCTCCGCCAGGAAGTTCTGCATAAGTGGCGAGTCCCCAAGCTGCTGTACCTAACCATCATTACTTGTTCCATCGGAGCTGCCGTCCAAGGTTGGGATCAGGAGGGTAGTAACGGCGCGAACTTAACGTTCCCCAAGCAATTTGGCATCGGCACGACTTCTGACCACGATACCTTCTTGGTCGGTTTGATCAACTCAGCTCCCTATGTCGGCTCGGCTTTCATTGGCTGCTGGTGCTCTGACCCCTTGAACAACTACTTGGGCCGCCGAGGTACGTGTAAATTGTGAATCAGGGACGTCAGAGAATATTTACTAACGACTCACGACAGGAACTATCTTCCTCTCGGCCATCTTCTGTTTACTTACTCCTATTGGCAGTGCCGTGACTCAAAATTGGCAACAGTTCTTCATCACGAGACTTCTTCTTGGCGTGGGCATGGGCATCAAGGCATCGACCGTACCGATCTTTGCAGCCGAGAACAGCCCCGCCTCGATCCGTGGAGCTTTGGTCATGACTTGGCAGATGTGGACGGCTTTCGGTATCTTCTTGGGCGTCTGCGCCAATCTGGCCGTAGGCAGGGTTGGCTACATAGCATGGAGATGTGTGTTGGATTGTTTCTTCCCCCCTCACAACGTTGACTGAACTGACTCTTTGAATTTCATAGTGCAAGTCGGTTCTGCCTTCATCCCTGCCATCCCCCTGACGGTGCTCATCTTCTTCTGTCCCGAGTCACCAAGATGGTATATGAAGAAGAACCGATACCCCGAAGCCCTCCGATCTCTCATCAGACTCCGTAATAACCCGATCCAGGCGGCTCGTGACCTGAACGCCATTCATGCCCAGCTTGAGATCGAGATAGAAGCCATCGGCGAATCGACCTATTTGAGCCGTTTCATCGAACTGTTTACCATCCCTCGTGTCCGCCGAGCGACGCTTGCCTCGTTCGTCGTCATGATTGCGCAGCAGATGTGCGGTATCAACATCATTGTCTTCTATTCAAGTACCGTGTTTAGGGAGTCAGGAACTGATGACTTCGGTGCCCTGCTGGCTTCTTTCGGTTTCGGCTTGGTCAACTTCGTCTTCGCCTGGCCTGCCATCTGGACCATCGACACTTTCGGCCGTCGGTCGCTCCTCCTCTTCACCTTCCCCAACATGGCCTGGACTTTGCTGGCTGCCGGCCTTTGCACTCTGATCCCCGGTGAGAAAGGCGCACATCTCGTCTTGGTCGCTTTATTTGTGTACCTCTTTGGTGCCTTCTACTCTCCCGGTGAGGGTCCCGTGCCCTTTACCTACAGTGCCGAAGTCTTCCCTCTTTCCCACAGAGAAGTGGGCATGGCCTGGGCAGTGGCGACTTGTCTGTTCTGGGCGGCCGTGCTGTCCATCACATTCCCCAAGATCCTGACATCGTTGGGAGTCATCGGTGCATTCTGCCTGTACGCGGGCTTCAACGTGGTCGCCTTCTTCATGATCTTCCTTTGGATGCCCGAGACCAAGCAGCGCACACTTGAGGAGCTCGATTACGTATTTGCCGTTCCCACCCGCACCTTTATCACGTACAACACGACCAAGGCCGCCCCCTTCTGGTTCAAGCGCTACGTTCTCTTCCAGAAGGGCCACACCCTCGAGCCCTTATACCACTTCGATAACCCGCACCACGGTTCCGATACCGAAGCCGTGGTTGCTAAAACCACGTCGGAGAAGAACGAGTATGCTGATGCTGAGGCTCCGGGTGCCGAGACTACACCAACTCAACCAGGTGCTGGTGGTGCGACGGGTGGTGCTGTCACTGGTACGCAATAATGCAGATCACTGCGTGCTATGTGCAGGAAGGCCTCGTGCACACCATGTTATTCCCGCTGGTATACTGGTGAGACATCGCATGTCTCGGAAGACTCGTAGGTGTTTCATGGAAAGCGTTGATGTATACACCAGTATGTGCGGTTTGATCTTCGATGTTGACCTTGCGGGTGCCCTCATGTTGGGCCGGGTCATGGTCTTCTATGTTCTTTTCTTCTGATACCATCATTTGAATTTCTGGAATACCCTCTTGACTGCGGCCAAGGAATTATATAGTCAATACTACTGTTTGTGAAAGGAAACAACTACGCTGTGTTTTGGGAGGTGGTGCAATGTGGAGTAAAGATACAACCCCTTAAACAGCAAGTTGCGACTTGGTTTTAAGCAGCTGTTCATAACCTGCATTGGCCTCCCCGTAGAGGTAGCAGTGCAAGCATCCCGACCAGAGGGGAGAATAAGAAGAGCTATCAGTGTGGAACATAGCTAAATAACCGACACCTTTATGTCGAAGTGGTGTGTTAAACAGCCCGGACCCCCTATCGTGCGAGTTTCATCATGACATCTACCTCACGTCATTAAAAGTAGAGTCGCATATTCTTATGAATGCAGCGAAGAATAGAATGGGTGTGTTATGTGCGTGTAAAATAAAAGCCCTCGAGTTAGAAAGATAAGCTTGAGTCAAGCCGCCTTGCATGAAATGAATAGGAGGTACCCTGTTATTTATATGAAGGGAGTAATGGCCCGTTCCTCTTATAGGCCAGGTGGCTCTTTCTCTTACAGTGGCATAAATTCCTCTTCCCGCGCATATCAGGCAGCATCACTCTGGTTCGCCATCACTGCGTGGTACTTACCGTCTCCATGCCGCAGAATGCGTGCCTACGATTGTACTGGCTGCACTCAGCCCCTCGCCACAACCTCGAGGCTGTTTTCCTGGCGGCGACACCACTCGATAACAAATTCCGTTATCAAACTCTTTCCCAATACTGCACAAGGGTGGATGCATGAATCTTCCATAATTATGAGCAGTAAACAGATATTGGATTATCATCACATTATCAGTCAAGGTTAGCCAGGTAACCTAGAGATGAGTTTGTTCTCTGACATCACTGCCTGAAATCAATTGAGCATCTTGAGCAGTCAATAAGGCAATACATCATCAGATCTACTCTGGTTCCGCTTGGGTAACCTCAACTAAAACTCTTGTCTCGTTTCGAGGAGGCTGGTGAACGCGCCAAGTCCCTGTCTTCAGCTAGAAGAATTCCAAGATGACGATGTCCCACCATACACCATCCTATCGCATACATGGGGACCAGAGGTAGCATTCGAGGACATGCGATTGTCCACCATTTATCTCGACAGGACCGATGTTGAGTACGCCAAAAAAAATCATCGGGGCCTGTGAACAGGCTCTGAAGACAATCTGGGTTATGCCTGAGTCGATACGTGCTGCATTGACAAAAGAAGCAGCGCTGAGTTATAGAAGGTGATCAAATCGATGTGGCATTGGGAACCCTGAATCACACATCTGCTACGACTTCCTCTCCGATATCTCAACAGTTGGTGACATCAACGATGCTGATATACCCGCCAAGTTTAGTCAAAGCCGATGATTCGCCTGAAACTGGACGTTACAAAAGCGAAACGCAGGTGAACCGGGGCCTTTTTGGATCGTACAGAGGTATCAGTCTGTATTTTAGGTACGGTTTACCATATGTATTGAGTTTATATAGAGGGTCCGACTGAGGATTACCCCATATGAAGAATCACCTTCCTTAACATCACCACATCAAAAATCATTTTGCCTCTTTATCAACTTATAAAGCCAACGGGGGTAGATTTCCAAAAAAAAACGAAGTCATGTAGATCAAACACATACACTTATTTACACCCTGTGTTTTATACATACAGCGCGTAGGATCATTTTCAGCTCTTTGGCGCGATCACAAAGCTGCAAGTGCTGGAAGTGCCTCTGTACTATCATGTGACCTATGGGACAGAAAATGGGAGTTCGGGAGGAAATTATGGGAGGAGAACTCGAGTTAACAACATCATAACCAACAGTGCTTTGCTGGGTGACAAGGAGGACCAGCTTGGGATTCGTAGATCTAGCACTAGTTAGTTGGAAGTATTACTGGGAGCGAAGACTCTTTTCAGCACCTTCATTGCTGACCGTGTCATGCATTTGAGAGCAATAAAACGACTTGCAGAACGGATCTAGATGGTTGTCGATAAGACGAACTTCGACAACACTCCATCTAGCTTGATCCATCACGGCATTGTGTCGGTGATTCAAACCCTCTGTAGAAGATGTTGTCAGCGTCATGAAGAGAAGCACTAAGCTTGTCGTTGACAACAGGCATTTTCCACTCTAGGTAGGGGTCTGATCGCACAGGCCAGTGCGCCGCGGAATTACCTTCTAGTTCCAATTGCAAGACAGTTATATTGGCTGTGTCGAGTTGTCTAAAGTAAGAACAATAAGCCGAGACTTCTGGCAAGTAAAACAAGGCTGCGTATCAACTCTGCCTGGAAATACGCCATACAAATTTCGCAGTTGGTCAGGAATGGAACGTCACGTGCTTTACCGCAAAGTCCAGTGCTGGCCTAAGGAGAGTTATATCGGCATGGGCTTTTGCCAACAGAGGATGCGGCGAGGTAGATGTTGACGATCTGAAGATATGAGATGTCACTATTGGGGTGGTCAAAATGGCGTTGGAGGCTGAGCGTTCTGAGCAACCTATGTGACCCTTCTATCCAGTGAAAGCATTTGCTGCCGCCATTGACCACAAGAGTGTCCAGTAATACAAGGACTTAGCCACCCAAGGCGCAGCTAAACACATGTCCTCTGAGGGTACTGATTGCGTCGTCTGCTTCAAGATCATCCGCCTGTAGGAAACAGTTATACTGGGATATCCTTCACTGCTAAAAAGCAGATGAACTTCAGATCAAATGAAACTAGCGAAGTTGTGGTTACTAGGTTACTGGTCGCTTTGCACTGGACCCAATCCTCGGCTGATCAAACCCCATTACAGTACAAATTGGGGCTCACTAGCGTTATTCGTCATCTGAAGGTACACAGCTTTGCTTACATTATGTGCTGATCTTCTCTGGTTCCTCATTGTCTTAAGAAGCTGAAACGATAGGCCGCCCTGCGAAATGCCCTGCGAAATGTCCCGCAGAATGCCTGATATATCGCCTGCTTCAACCCAGTAAGACCAACTCTCAACTGATTTCCGACTTTGATTGAGGATGTTACGCGCAATAAAACAACTGCCGGGGCACATTTGGCTGCAGCTAAACCACGGAGCTCTTTGAATTGCCCCCTAAATGCTATACATCGGGTTCTCTCATGACGGATTGTACAAACCCGTCCAACGAAGCCTGTGAAGCTGGATTGAACTAACCTAGAATCTCTGAAATCAAACGACCATCTTTCTTTCGTGAAATCCTACCGTTAATCGCTCGTAAAAATCATGAAGACGACTGAATAGAAGTAGTCAAGTCTGCCACAGCGACCGAAACTGAGAGATGGTACACCAGCGCAGTATAGCTCCCAAGGTTTCAAGAATACCAGAGAACCATCGACTGAGAGGTAAGCTTCCTGGCGTTGAGAAGAAAAGGAAGATCAAGACTAATACAAAGCAGTCCATAGGGGCTCCCGCCACAGCTCGTCCTTCGGTGATAACCTCAAATATGACAACAGAGTCGCGAACTCATGATGACTACACTGTGGGATGGATGTGCGCACTGCCTAAGGAGCAGACTGCTGCGACAGCCATGCTAGATCGAAGACATGCCGACTTGCCCAATCCTTCAACCGATCACAACATATATACTCTAGGGTCGATTGGGAATCATAATACTGTCTTCGACGACAATAATGAAGACGAAGTAGGAGAAAACTGCCGGCGTTGCGACAAGGCCCAAATCATCAAGAGGACGTCCCGAGCCATCCGTGTTCATTATGGTCTGATTGCATCAGGTAACCGGGTCGTCAAGAACGCCGCTTTCAGAGAACAGGTTAACAAGGATCTGGGCAACAAGTTTCTTTGCGTAGAAATGGAGGCAGCGGGCCTAATGGACAACTTCCCGTGCATCGTCATTCGAGGTATCTGCGATCATGCCGACTCGCACAAGAACAAAGACTGGCAGGAGCATGCAGCCGCTGTGGCGGCGGCATTCGCAAAGGAAGTCTTGGGATATGTGCAGCCTAGTGATGTTGCACATGAGGGGGCGGTAAAGGACCAACTCAGGAAGGAGGTCAGCACCATTGCCCAAGATGTAAGACATCGTCAGTTGATCTCACGTTTATCATGGGTTAATAAAGTCTTTCCTGATGATATGTGCAGTTTGTAAGAGCCTATCTAGCGAAGAAGATGGTGAGATTATGAACTGGTTAACACCAATCGACTATGGTACTCAACAGAGCGACGTTCTCAGGAGGCGACAACAGGGAACAGGCCAATGGCTTATCAACTCTTACGAGTACCAAACTTGGCTGAATACGAGCAAGCAGACACTATTTTGTCCAGGGATCCCCGGAGCTGGGAAGACAATCCTCACTTCGATAGTGATCGAAAACCTTTCTACCCGGTTTCAGAATGACCAGAGTATTGGTATTGCGTACCTTTACTGCAACTTCCGACGACAAGCCGAGCATAATATCAAGGATTTACTGTCAAGTCTGCTAAGACAACTTGCTCAGACACAGTCTTCCTTGCGGGGGAGCGTCAAAGATCTCTATGATCGGCACAAAGCGAAACGGACAAGACCATCACTAGAAGAGATCTTGACAGCAGTACAGTCTTTCCTGACGATTTATTCTAGAGCGTTACTTATTGTTGACGCACTTGATGAATGCCAACTTTCTAATGGGTGCCGTTTCAGGCTCACACATGAGATCCTAAGTCTACAGACCAAGACCGGAGCGAACTTCCTTGCAACTTCGAGGTCCATACCAGAAATTATGGAAAATTTCGATGGGGTTCCATCAGTGCACATCCGTGCTAGTGAAGACGATATCCATAGATACCTAGATGGCCAAATGTCGCGGGTTTCGAGATGCGTTAAGAGGAAAGTGATATTCTCCGCTTAGTCCACTATACGACACAAGAATACTTCAAGATAACGCAGACTCGATGGTTTCCGGACGCACAGCTTGAAATTACCACAGTCTGTACCACCTACCTTTCATTCCAAGACTTTGCGAACGGATATTCTCAAAACGACGAGGAGTTTCAGCAGCGGTTCAAGTCGCACCCTTTCTACGACTACGCGGCTCATAACTGGGGACACCATGGCCGCAACTCCTCGACTTGCCAGAAAATTCTACACGTTCTCCAGAAGCAAGGTCAAGTTGAGGCGTCGAGTCAAGCATTGTTAGCTTTTAAGCGGGGCGCATGGAATCCGAATTTCAGTCAAGAGACCCCAAAACAAATAACTGGACTGCACCTAGCAGCATGTTTCGGCCTTGAGGAAGCAGTGACGGATTTATGGGATATATATTATGTAGATGCAACAGATATTGGTGGCCGGACGCCGCTGTCTAGGGCAGCAGAGGGAGGGCACGAGGCCGTCGTCCGGCTGTTGCTCGAGAAGGGGGCCGACATCGAGGCCCAAGACAAGGAGGGCTGGAGGCCGCTTTTGTGGGCAGCAGAGGGAGTGCACGAGGACGTCGTTCGGCTGCTGTTCGAGAAGGGGGCCGACATAGATGCCCTAGACAACTGTGGCCGGATGGCGCTGTCGTTGGCAGCAGAGGAAGGATACGAGGCCATCGTCCAACTACTACAGCTCGCCCAACAAACCATAACACAAACTTGAATAATTAATGAAATGAAACTTGCATGTTTAATTTATTCTCACTCATGGACACTCTCATATATTCAGAAAGCACGTGTGGAACCCGTCGGTACATTCACTAGCTAGAATCCCCAGGATAGCCCCGACTTTTACGGCAAAAACAGAGTTCATCCCAAGGCATAGTACTCGAACCACTGACTCGTTCTATCTTTTACTCCTGGACCACTGCAATGCCATTTGAGAGCTAACATTTATATTTCTAATATATCTGCGAAAGAGGGGATTACGGAAAACGCTATTGATAGACGTGTAGTCTGCCACTATATTTCTAGAAGTTGCCCGAATTAGCGAAATGTTTTCTAGTACAAGATGATCAGTTTATGTAGTAAAATCTGTGATTAGTTTATATTCTCCCTTAATTTTGAAATAAATCCATGACATTGAGGAGGTTATAATCACTTTATAAATCAACTACAGTGTGTACGACCCCTGTAAGCTCTGTTAGACTTCGACTGAATCTAATGTTCTTCTCTCCTCAGCCTTCCTTCTACATTTAAACCGGCTTGGTATGGTATCCTCTCTATAAAACCGTTTATGCATATTGTCCCGTATGCCTTCATTTATATATTTAAAGTCCGCGGGGAAGAATGTCTGGGCTATGGAAAGTCCGACCGTTGGCACCGCTTTATCGAGTTTGAACAACGACCGCGTGGATAATATCTTTCCGCTTGTTTTCATGGACAGCGAACCTTCTCCGGATACCTGAATTGGAAGATTGAGAAGCTGGTTGTGTACTACCTGTGGCTTGGTTCAAACAGTCTAGCTCCACAGGTGTGAGGGTCTATACAAAAGTCACACCAAATCCGCCCCCTCTTCATAATTGGTGTTGGATGAAGATCGCCTCCTACCCAATTCAATGTGCGGGTCGAAGTGGTGTTTCAGTACGGCAGTCCTTGTTGCGAATTATTCTGCGGATGCCAGCAACATACAGGCACGAGCCGACACGTTGCTGTTTTCTACCTTAGATCCATGGAGTCTTTTGTGGCTCTTCGGATATACTTGCTCCTGTTCGTACGCTGCTCCGGAATCAAAATGATGGCAGGTGAGCAAAGCGGCTAGGGGTCCTGGGACCCCGTGATACGAAGTGTCAAGATTGACATTTGATAACAGCAGGATCAATTAACCGCTTTCATTGCACACCTGCGCAATGCCGCGAAAGTCCCATGAGTCGAGTACGGGGAGCAGCTTATAAAGTGACAATTAAGTAAGAATGCACCTCGAAAATCGCCATGCCGACTTTATAGTCGGAAAATATTTTACAAAGCTGGTCTGACCATCCGCAAGAGAGGCGACGTGAAACGGTGTAGCGGGCTATCTTTACTGTATTGATGCGACTAACTGGAAATCAGACTATCCGTTCTTATTGCCGGAAGGATATAGGGACCTCCCGAGAAGAGGTTCAATCTATTAAACTCCTTACACGGGCAGATTGTTAACAAAAAAACATGAACCTCAGGAGAGCCTCTTAATAATGACAAACATTCTCTGTAAAATGGGAGAACCATGTATCGTTGTTAATAACAGATAAGCACGGAGTTTCGAATAAACAAACGACATTACCAATTCAGGAAAGGAGTCCAGGGGCCATGCCCCTATTCCTGTCACCAGCTGATTTCACTTTCATTCTTAATCATCATATGGCCAATAGAGGGACTATCTCTAAAGTTATGAACTCCAGCTTTGGATTGGCAAAAAGTATCGGTTCTGCCACCGGTCGCATGAGCCATCTGCGGGGTGTCCTCCGGTTCATTCCGTCACAGGTAATAAGTTACAGCCTACAATCTGATATGCAATCGCGCTAGCGAGCCTAGTTCCATACCAGACTGTGGGGTACTGGGGAAATAACATATATCCCACATCCATATTTCCTGACTTGGGGCGTCTGCGTTTCCGGTCCGTGTCTTTCTTTTGGAAGGTGACTGGGATTGTTGTTAGGGAATATGTACAGCAAGTGGACTTGTCACCAGCCAACATGGTTGGTCGCAGTCCCAGCGGGCGTCTGTTGGAGGTGTGCATCTACTTAGTACTGCGATGAAACGGCTCAGTGGGATACTGATCCCTGGCTTTTCGTGCTTGGGCGACTACATGTCGCACGCTGGAGACTCAGATGGCTGCGCTTGGTCGCTTCTCTTTACACTGCATCCACATACCAAATAGATGCATACCAAATAGATGTTGTTCTAGCTTCCCGAGCCTACAGCAAAAGAGGAAAAAGTGGAAAAGAAACCCTGGCATACAGAGCTCGACATCCATGGGGAGTTGAGTTCGCGTTAATGCGCGTTCAGGAGGGACAATGTCACCGGAAAGCGATATTGACTCTGACATCGCTGTTATATTTAAGAAGAACGTAATTTATGAGTAAGGGGTTCAATATTGTACTATCGAATCTGTCGCGTGTGTTACTTCTTGTGGTCATCAAGACATAGGCTCTGGACATGATAACCTGTACTTTGGGGTTTAGACACAGCCTATGTGCTGTCTTCCCAGAAACCCATAGACTGCCCTCGCAGGATGTAGTCATACCTAGTAAAGTATCTTAGCTCCTTTTTCAATGGCATAGAAAACTCGATAGGTAACCTAGATATCTGCTCCCGCAATAGCTCTCGCAATTGCTAAAATACAACCATGTACCTCAGAAGGCCTATCTCGTGGTAGTTCGAAGTTTGGGACGTCAACTCTCACCGTTCGAGTCAAAGCAGTGACCCAGAGGAGTCTTGCCAGCTTTGTGCTCTTGTAAGCGGGCTGCATGTAACACACGGATGGGAATTCCCGACAGAACATCGTGCATCCAGGTGCCCAGGATCGACCGCGAATTGCATTGGATCACCACAGCACGGTCTTGCAGCCTAGATCTACAAGACTGAAGATCAGTCGAAGCCCGCCATAAGCCATCGCTGGTGACGTTACTGATGGCGCTGAAGTTTAAAAACCCGCTTTGTCCTTGCGACTGAAGAAGTCCAAGGACCTATTTTTACTCATGGACAAATCATTCGCGAGGTGTTTCGATCATATCCAAATGGTAAAGTTTGGGGCTTCTCTTGGGTGTTTCGTAATACCGATACCAGCAGGGAAACTGTCCTCATGGTGATACATCTTTTCAGACGGTACGGCGGCGGGCGCGACATGCAGAAATCAGAGGAAACGTTCATTATAAATGCGCACCGCCTGGGGCCACTTGCCGTACATAGAAACGGTTGAACCAATCTCGCTCATCACTTGGGCAAAAAAAGGGCAATGTCACGACTGCCATCCCGACTTTGAAACATGAATTCGCTGTGTTTATTAATTGAGTTATGTACCCGGCATGCAAGTGTAGACATTCGCGATCGGACAATCACACCGCACCTAGTCATACATCTTTACAACAAATATTTTCCTCGGACCTGAATACAGGCCATGTTGTGGGACAACATCAACATTTAAGATACATGACGCTTTCCAAAGTGGCACAGTCACGTCGTTGGACAAAGCGACAATGAAGAATTGTGATCTGCTTGCGTGGCTTGAACCGCGCGTTTGACAAAGTGGACCGGCGTCGCATCGCATCGCGATAAGCCGACTGGAGGGACGCTGGGCACGGGTGGATCGCCCGTTCCCAGCACTGAGGGTTCTCGCAAGATTTCTCCTCCGCTCGCAGTGCCTGTTCGTTGGCTTGCCTCCAGATGATCGTCAACCATATCTTCAGCCGGGAGGAGTCTTATCTCGATCCGTTTCGCTGATCGCTGCCCACCCCCTCACGATCAGCAATGTTAATGTTGAAAAAAGTTGTTACTTTGACGACATCTACAACGCAACGATCAACGATCAACGATCATCGCATGAACAGGGCTGGCGTGCTCAGCTCTGTCCGCATAATGACATTGCTATGATCAATTGCGTTTCCTTGTTGCGCTACTCTGGTGGGGCATATGCCATCTCTTCTTTGGGTATGCGGTCCCGGTGCATCGTCTCATCTGTAATACGAGAGGATGGCAGGACAGGACGGGTATCCCGGATCGGAGCAAACATTGTGCAGGCCGCGGTCTTGGTTTTAGAGCCATCCTTTGGGGTAAATGCTTTGCAGGGCATTGAGCCACCATGAGGCGCTCGAGTCGTCGTTGACACCGCCTGTCAGAGCCTTGGACGAGGACAGCTGAATGCAGGGTTCATCGATACCAGGGGCAGCCCGACCTTACCAACTTCGATGCCAGGTTAGGGGATCCTACAGCTCCGACAGCTTTGCGGATCCCCAGGACTGGGGGTTTCCTTGGACGAGCTCGCTTTCGTCTTGTAACCTGTCACATTCACTCGCACACTGGAAAGGGCCTAAGCCAATTGTCCTGTTGTTGGCGGCCGATGAAGTCAATTGAATCAAGCCTTGAAATCGAAGTTGTGGAGCAACTCGCAGCGGGGAAGTGTGTCCAAGGCAATGGTCCAGCACTTCAGCTCCTCATTGGATTCTGAAACGTGCAGAGGGCTTCGCTAGCGGGTTTGAAAGTCAAAAACCGGTTGGTGGCTCAAACAAAACTAAAAGACCCCTGGCAGATCCCCGAGATACCTCAATTCATGGCCATGCAGCCGGGGCTTGCCAGCCAGTCGAATTCAATTTTCTGTTTGATGCCCCTGATTTTCTGCATTAGCCCTGAGCCGACCGTCAGCTTGGCAAGCCATAGACGTATGCGAATTATTGCTGCGCACTAGAAGACAGTTGGAATTATTAGGGGACTGCGCAAGCGTGAACGCGGATGGGAAGACGTTGGCATTGGCGTCCGGCGTGACTGGTGGATGGTGGATATCATCGACGCGTTTTGTTGTGGCAGTTACGAGGTACAGAGTACCCGAGGCACACACTCACAGCAGCTAAACTTCATAATTGTCCCAGTCGTACATCTGTTCCAAATAGAACATTTCTTTTCGAAGTCTTCCTCCCTCCATCTACCGTCTCCGCTTCCACGACGGACCCTCGTCCCAAACTCCTCCCTCCGCTCCTCTGCTCCTCTGCTCCTCTCCTCCTCACCACATTCGTTACTGGTGTGTTTTCTTGCGGCATCAAGTCACTCTTTAGCAGTGATCCAAGTCAAGGAGTATCTCTTTGTCTCGGGCTACTACTTTGTTCTTCTCCTGGCGACGTCAATTCCCTTCAATTGATCGCCTGGTGCAATCCTGAAATCAAATCATCCAAAACTTATTCGGCGCATAGATCTCCTTCGTTCTAGACCGCATGATTTCGTCCCTTCTCTCGTCCTAGACGATACCCTGATAACTACCGACCACATCCCTGCTCTGGTAAGACCCAGGGCGCGTGCGACGACAGTCTCAATGCCGATATCTCCCAGACCCTCCTCCACGAAAGGCTTCTTGCCTCTGGGAAATTCATACTCCAACAATTTCAACATGGACGACAACGGCATACCTCTCACCAACGTGCGCAGCAATGCATCCACGGGCGCTCGAAAGCCCAGCCAGGGCGTGTCGTCGGGAATCGAGGCCCTCGATCAGACGAGGAGTGAGAAGCATGGTTTCTTCCACCGCGGTGGTGGCCGCCGGCGAGCTGCTGAACCGGAAGTCATCACCCGACGCGGTACCGGCGGGTCCGAAGATGTCTCTCTCAATGCTATGGGCAGACTATACAACAAAATTATTAGTTTCTCTGTTGTCACCCGCTACCTCGTCTACATTCTGCCAGTCGCAATCATACTAGCGGTTCCTCTGATCGTGGTCAGCGTAACCAGCAATTGGGAATTGGGCGTTGGTAATACTACAACGGGAAGCGGCGATGATAAAGTCATCACTATCGGCCCGCCCATTTGGAAGCTGTTTGTCTGGATCGAGGCGGCATGGCTCAGCTTGTGGGTTGGAAAGATCGTAGCCCATCTCCTGCCCCCCATCTTTATGTTCTTCTGCGGCGTCGTCAGTTCGGGAACTCGCAAATACGCCACCGTTATCCGCGCCCTCGAAATTCCGCTCTCGCTCTTCTTCTGGGCGCTGGCCTCGTGGCTGATTTTCAAAAACCTCATCCAAGGCTTCGACTCCATATCATGGGTATCTGCCGTGAAGAATATCCTCGGGGCTCTGTTTGTATCCTCGGCGGTGTTCCTCGGAGAGAAAGCCATTGTGCAACTTATCAGCATTACATACCACCAGAGATCATTTGCCAACCGCATCAAGGACTCGAAGCGGGAAGTTTTCCTGCTGGGGCTCATGTATGACGCCTCTCGCACGCTGTTCCCCATGTATTGCCCGGAGTTTGCCGAGGAGGACTATATCATCAACGATAGCATCGAGTTGATGCTCGGCGGTAAGAAGGGCCACAAGAAGAGCGGCTCTGTCACCCCCATGAGGCTAATTGGCAATGTCGGTCGTTTTGGCGACAAAGTCACTTCAGTCTTTGGCAACTTGGCCTCAGAAATCACCGGAAAGCAAGTCTTCAATCCCAACTCGGCCCACTCCGTGGTGGTCGAGGCTTTGGAGAAGGTCCGCACCTCGGAGGCCATGGCCAAGCGAATTTGGATGTCTTTCGTCGTGGAGGGCAAGGATTCACTGTTCGCAGAGGACATCATCGAGGTTCTAGGCCCTGCTCACCAGATGGAAGCGGAAGAATGCTTCCATGCTGTGGATGCCGACGGCAACGGGGATATCAGTCTCGACGAAATGATCCGAAAGGTTGTAGAAATCAGCAAGGAGCGCAAGGCCATCTCCAACAGCATGAAGGATATCAGTCAAGCCTTGGCGGTGTTCGATAAGGTCCTTCTCTTCATCGTCCTGTTGATTGTCATCTTCATCTTCTGTAAGTCGTCGTTCGGCACCGAGTTGGGCCATCAGCTAATCGTTACTTCCAGTGGCCTTTTTCCAGAGCTCGTTTCTCACAACGTTGGCTACTGCCGGAACGGCACTCCTTTCGCTCTCTTTCGTATTTGCAGTGACGACCCAGGAGTTCTTAGGTTCCTGCATTTTCCTGTTTGTTAAGCATCCATACGACGTGGGCGACCGCGTCGACATTGTGGGTCCCGAGAAAGAACAGCTTACCGTGGAGAAAATCTCGCTGCTGTACACTGTTTTCAACCGCATCGACAAGATGCAGGTTGTCCAGGTACCCAACATTGTTCTCAACAATCTTTGGATCGAGAACGTCACTCGCAGCAAGGCGATGAAGGAAGTGATTGAAGTCAACATTTCCTTCGATACGTCGTTCGAGGACATTGAACTGCTCCGGATCGAGATGGAGAAGTTTGTGCGACATCCAGACAACGCGAGAGATTTCCTGCCCGATATTGTTATCGGCTGTGGTGGCGTTGGCGATTTGGACAAGTTGCAGCTCAAGATTGCTATTAAGCATAAATCCAACTGGCACAACGACTCTGTCCGCGCAACCAGGCGCTCCAAGTTCATGTGTGCACTTGCACTTGCGCTGAAGGCTGTTCCTATCGCCGCGCCTGGTGGTGGCGGCGAGCCTCTGGGAGGACCCACCAATCCGGCTTATAATGTCGCCGTTACGGACACCTTTGCATCCAGTGCTCGCGAGAAGTCGGACAAAGAGAAAGAAGCTAAGCGCATGGCAGCTCCCAAACCCGAGCGGAATCCTTCTACGGCTAGCAGACATAATATTGCTGAGTCTAATGAGATGGAGGCCGCCCAGCATCTTAACAAAATGAGCGCAGCACGTGCTGCGGCCGAAGACTGGGGATATAACCGTGACGACGATACTTTGAACTCACGGGACCAGTCTGCGGAAAGAGATCGGTCAACCGAGATAGATAACCTGCGTCTGGACCTCCATAAGCGGGAGAGTACGCGTAGCGGACGACGAGTGGCCGGCACAGGGCTGCCAGCGAATGCGTTTGCGGATAACACCACACCTGGCATCCAAGTGACGCAGTACAAGACTGGGTCGTTCGACGAAGAAGCCGCGATTGGTGGCGCTGGTTCGTATGGCGCCCACCCTCAAGCCCAGTCGAGCTACAACATATTTCCAGGGCAACAGCTTCAGCCTAGTGGGTCCTACTCACCACCGATCCGAAGCAACTCACAGACGGCGCAAGCCATGCCTCACCCGTTGCAGAGCGCACCATCGCCGTCCCGAGCGGCGACCGTTTCAGGCGCCAGGACCAGAGGAGCCAGCGTTTCCAGACCCCTCAGTAATAGTTCCAACAATCCATATCAACAACAACGATAGACCGTACAAGCACATAGGATCGAGGTAGACGGATAGCAGGCCATAAAACGAAGTTATTAGAGAGACAAGGTCACATTTTCTTTTTCGGACCAACCAGGTACCTGACACGATTTTCCGGCTCGGACTACGTAGAATCTGACGCCGTGACGAAGAAACGGTTGGCAATGGGGCGGCGAAACATGGCACATAGGCTGGCTGGCTGGTTACAGAGCGAAACAAAATTGGCTGTGGGCGTATCTGGCGACACAAGTGTTGCAGCCTCAAAGAGTATTCTAGTATTGTGTATTATCTATAAGTGGGTTACCCCACGCATCATCATTATCTGCACGGCTTTGCAATATGCCTGTTGCATGTCTTGCAGTTTTTGAGTCTATTGATTTTAAACTAGTGTTTCTATTTGCTTGACTGAACGAGACCTGTAAGCTATGATTTCAATTCCGACCTTGTAATTTTGCTACCAGGGCCCAAACATTTGATATGACCCGGAACTCATAGGTAAATAGAAGCCTGACCGGAAACATGCCATAAAGGCTCCATGGTGACGAAGCGTAGGCACATGGCCAGGCTGTGTAATCAAATCCCATGCTGGAGCAAAAACGATATGGGGAGAAACGGTATTTTTGACCAAGTTTGATTGAACGCCCATGACATCCGTGACACCAATGACGGCGAGGCGAATGGACACAACAGACTTAATTGATATATCTCCCATGTCGTAACACCTCAGTTTTTCAGCTTCTTCTACTTCATACTCCAAGACTGCGTCCGCGCCTTCTCCTCCCCGGACGCCTTCCAGCTCGTCTTGATAACCAAACCCCTGGGCATATCCGCTGGCGGCGCAAACGTGATATCGCCCTCGAGCACATCCCCCTTCTTCAACGCCGTCGCCTTGGAATCATCTTCCTTCTGCTTGATCAGCAATAACCCTTGCTTCCAGTGCGTATCCTTGCCATACGGCCCCGTCGTGAATGCAACGCGGTCCTTGCCGACCTTGGCCCATTCATCTGCCGTAGACTGCAGCTCCACGCCTTGATTCTCGCGGGTGGGGGCGAAGAAATTGTCGAACCAGACCAGGAAGCCGTCGAGGGCGTCAATGTCGTCGGTGAGAGTTGACTTCCACTTCGCGGCGAAGGACAGGTCCGTGGGCTTGATGGTGTATAAATCCAGGACCTGAATGCCTACCGGCTCGCCGCAGACGCTGGTCTTGGGCCAGTGCAACACACGCACGTCGTCCCAGATACCCGACTGCATGGCCTTCATATCGAAACCATACACATCGCGCCAGAATCCCACAGAATCCATGACGTACTCGGAGTCGGCCACAGGGGCGACCCACATGTTGCACGTTCCGGGCACGAGCAAACCGTCGGGTTTGAGGTAGCGGTCGCGGGCGTAGAGGACCGAGGGGAGCATGGCTTCGTAGAGGAGACAGTATCCCATCCATTCGCTGACGATGATGTCGACTTTATCAACGGGGAGGACGACTTCTTCCATTTTGCCTTTGATCAGGGTGATGGTGGAAGAGAGGCCCGCGTGGAAGACGTTCTCGCGCGCTTTGTCGATTATGTCGGAGGCGTCGACGGCGAGGACGCGGGAGGCGCCTGCGCGGGCGGCGAACATGGAGAGGATGCCTGTTGTGCGTGAGTAGTTCTTCGTTGGGAGGGTTGAAATGGGATGAAGGAGAGGAAGTTGTTTGGTCGGTTGAATTATACAGGGCTACTAACCTGTACCGCAGCCAATATCAAGTACCGTCTTTCCAGCAAAGAGATGCTTGTTGTTGTAGATGAAGTCCCGGTACCCATCAGTACGGACCGTATCCTTTAGCATAGTCTCGTGGATATCTTTCACACTCATCATCAGTTCCTGCATTCAATAGTACTCAATCACAACCCGTTGCCAAGTGCGAACTCACCATTACCAGCGTACGACTCCCAGTAATACTTCGACGCGTCCTCTGGCTTTTCCGGACCCTTCGCAGTCTTTCCAGCAGCCTTCGCCTCTGCCTCGGCCTGATCTACATCGCCCCAACGCTGGTCAAGCGTCTGCGAGACAGTGGCACGGTAGCTCTCGAACTGGGCCGAGATGCGGGCCAGCTCGTCCTGGAGCTCCGTGTTGCGCTTTAGGAGGCTGTTAACTAAGGGCGCGGCATCACCATCCTGAACTTGAGACGGTAGTACTCCCTCCGGCACGACGTCAGGCAGGTCGAAGAGGCCGATAATGACGGCGTCGTCTTCGAGGACTGGCTTGAGATACTCGTCGCTTTCGAAGTCTGACTTTGCGATTTGCTCTGTGACGGGGAGACCCTCGTGCACGTGTTGACGGACTGGAAGGGGCATTAGTTGGGTTGTTTGTTTGAAATAAGGCAGTACCGGTTTCGGGGTATATATGAAAAGGAACGACACCAGCCTCGTATCCCGCATCATATTCCCGCATCGTATCACCTTTAGTAAAAGTTCCTCGAGCGATCAAGAGCAGGAACACTTCTACGTACGTGATCTGGCGTAAAGTATCCTCCAACGGAACCAAGTTTCCAGTAGGAAAACAAGAGACGTTAAAACGAAACAAGAGCAAACCCACTGTAATTCACCAACTTGACACACCCATGAAAGTCCAACTGAAGCCGTTGACGGATCCCCAGAAAATCAAACGAGTGCTGCTCCTTGCAGTGCGCCAACATCGATACCACATCGGGAAAGACGCGGTCGTCAAGGAGTGAAATCACCTCTTGCGTCTCCTCGTCCGCCTCGACGTCGTCCCAGCTCTCAGTCTGCGATAGGGAGTCATCAGACTCACTATCGCTGACTGGGTCCGTAGACTTACTGGCTTTTGTTGTCATCGTGGGTGTTGTGTTTTGTGTTGTGTTGGGTGAGGTAAAGTAAAATATGCGTTACTTCAACATGCAACTGCCCTTTTTTTACAAGTCGTTCGGGTTGCTTCACAAAAACTGCCAAATTGGGGTCATTCACAAAATTCTCATGTGCATACAAAGTGGGAAGTTGCGGTTTAATTGCATATTTTGCCACAAAAAATCTCTTCTCCAATAAGTATACTGGCACCTGGCTGGAGTCCAATCATGGGCATCGACGGCTTTTATGACATCAAAATATGAGTTAGATTCTGTTTGGCGGCTGGCTAGTCGACTTCGTTTTCCTCCTCATCCTCATCCTCATCGTCATCTTCATCTTCGCCGTCCGTGACGGTTCCCCCAAGCGCAAGTAAACTCGCCTTGTACTTCTCGACCTTCTCTTCCAGGTCACCAAACACCATAAGGAGGTCATCCAACTCCGTCTGTATGGCGGCCTTCTCTTCATCTTTCTCATTCAATTGAGATCGCGTCTTTTGGACAATCTCTTCCTTCTGAGACATCTGCGTCTTCAACTGCTCAACCTGCTCCTCGGCCTTCTTGGCCTTGGCTGTTTCACTCGCAATCTTGGACGCCTGGGCGGCAAGCTCGGATGCATGCTCTTCCCGGAGAGCTTGTAGTGCCTGTGCCTTTACCTTGTTTGCCTGCGATGCGTTTAGCAGCTGCGACTCTGACTGGGTTAACTCCTGATTCACCTTCATCAAGTCAACCTCCAGGCGACTGATCGTGGCTCGGAGATCTGCAATGTCTGCATCTGCCCTTCTCTGTACTCGTGCCGTTTCGGCTTCCGCAGTCTTCTTGACGTATTCCAGTTGTCTTTGCATCTCTGCCTCTTTGGCTCGATGCTCGGAAGCCATTGCCTCGACGTTTACTTGCGCCTCCCGGCGTACGGCGCTCAGTTCTCGCTGATGGCCTTCCTCTTTCGACCGTTGTTGAGCTTGAATCTTCTTGACGTCTTCTTCGTGGTGGTGCTGCAGTGCTTCATTGACGCTCTTGATCCTCGCCAGTTCGGCTGCAGATGCTTCCGTTGACCGCCTGTGATCGACTTGTTCCTGCACAAGCTGCTGTTTCAGCGAATCTACGTTGACCTCCGCTGTCTGCAAAGCGCGTTTGTGATCTTCAATCTGGGAACGCAATGAATCCACCAACTCGCGCGAGATGCCTTTTTGTACTCCGTTGGTAATGACGGATATTTCCATTCCGGGATCGCGATCAATGCCTCGAAGGATCCTGCTGTAATTGTCTTTGAAAAAGTCCACGAACGTACTATCGAAAAACACGTCGGGTAGGCTCCCCGGGCTGTCCAGCTTTTGCGGGGTTACTTCAAAATCTCTCATCAAAGGATGGCTTCGCAACTTATTAAGCGTGTCACCATATAATTCTCGAGTTATACGAGTGCTGCCGTTGCTGAACTTTTTCTTGGGCTTTTCAGTTTCCTTCTCAATCAACACACCACGTAATGTAGCTCTTGATATTGGCGAATCTTTGGTCGAGAACTCGTATACTACTCCCAGAATCATGGCGCATAAGCCTTGTACGAGGGGGTTGGCCGAAGGGTGCAGGATAGCTTTCGCTAGGCTTGTGACATTGCTGCTTTCCCCCAAAAAGTCGTTGACACCGTCAAGATCCTCAAATAACCAGCCGATCAACAGCATGAGATAGCCGACGGCCACGCGTTCATCAACCGATCTCGATATACAGCGGATAAGATGGGCAGCAATGGACTGAATACAAGTCACCGCGTCTCCGCCGTTTTGTACGTCTCCTTCCGTCACCTTCATTGCCAGTGCTTTTGCTTCCGCATTTTCATAGATCAAGTGGAACATGATAACGGAAGCGAACCAATACCGGTATGGATCCAGGGCACTCATTTCGTTTGGATCTTGTAGCAAGGTGGTCAGAACATTGGTGGCCTCATCTCCGCCAACATTGTGCCCGTCAATTGCCCTGCGGAGAAAATGAAGTCGCGCTTCGCGATGGTTGAAGAAGTATGCTTTGAGGCATTCGCAAGCGGCTAATCGCAGATCGAACGCCTGGGTTGTAGGAATACACAAAGTCAGTTCCAACAAACCGTCAATGACGTATGCTAGAACAGGTCCATGTGCTTTCCCATTTTGGCCATTGGGGATTGGAGGGCCTTCCAGCACGGACGGAACCTGCAACTGCACGAAGCTCTCTTGGTTCGCTGGGTTCGCCCTGATGATGTCGGCGCAAGTTGTGAGCGCCTCCGCTCTGATAGGTAACTCTGCGGCTTGACTGAAAGCTAGTTGCAGAGCATGGTGTATTACACGGTGTTCCCAAAATGCGGCTTGATTTTGCAATGTGCCGTCAGCTCCTGGCACGAGAAAGAGCCTTATGATGGCGAGTAAAGCATAAGTGTTCCTATTCCGCTGCTGCTGGGCCCATTGAGCAACCTCGTCTTCCTCGTGAGCAACGTTGCATGTGCTCTCCAGTAGCTTGGACAGTTGACGTGAGCAACCCAATTCTCTGAAGACTTCTTGGTTCTTTGCGTTTAATCGCAGGAGGTTGGCCAACAGGATCAAGCAATCTTCCACGATTCTATCGCCCTCCGACAATCCTCCCTCGGCAGATATTATTGCGAAGATTCGTTCGAACACATCGAACATTGCCACTTGCTTTTTTATTTCGGGAGACGATGGGGTCAGGTAGATCAGGAGGGAAAGAGCCTCGTTCCTTACGGCCTCGCGTCGATCGTCGAGCACAGGAACCAGCCTGGGAATACCCCCAGCGGTGAGGATACATTCTTCGGTTCGATCGGTGCGAGCGGACAGGATAGCCGCTAGGAGTTGCAACGAGTAAAGGCGAGAGTAAAAGTCGTTCGTTTCCAGGAAATCGAGGAGCAGTGTCACATTCTCCTTGTGTTGAGAGAATTCATCGGCAAGCCACAGGGCAATTTCCTCAGAAGCTTCCGGACTATTGGGATTGGGATCGAAAAGCATCAACAAGGTCTCGAGGACCACCTTGACTGTGTCGACATCTTCCCCGTCTTTGGAAAGACTCCCGATCAGACTCCTCAAAGCACCAGATGCAACCGAGGCAGGGTACTCCTTCGCAAAGCTTCGTAGGCCGAGAATAGCAGCGCGACGATCTTCAAGAAGGGTTGCAGAGCTGAGGCGTCCGCTCAGAACGGTAATGGTCTCGCTGACAGACTGTTTAGCCGGGGCAGTCGCGATGGAGGAGAACATGATGTATGTTGAATGACCACCGGGCTATACGTTAGGGCCATTGGCGGACGGTCACCGAAGTTGGTGCATTATTTAGGTCGAATGCAACGAATGGGGCCTAACCATATAGTCGATCGGTACTGAATCCTCTATCGCTTTTGTTGGCTGTATAACAAGGGAATTGCCGCAGAAACGGCCAAGGAGAAGCTCGACCTGGGATATCGTTACTTGGGTGTTTTGGCCAGGTGGTCGAGCTTTCCATAATAAAGTGGAGACCCGAGTTGCCAGCGATTGACTTATGCAAGTAATGAGTGAATGCAATTTAGAAGGGAATGGTTTGACTCCTTAAACTCCCCTTTTCTCTATCCTGGATCCAAAGGCTGTAAGTGGCTGTGGAATGTGACGTACTGCAGTTATCCAAAGAAATTTGCTCCCAGGAAAGAGAACGTGTAATAGTGTAAGTGAATGTTTCGGTAGGGACGTACATAGTACGTTTGGATGTATTGTGAAGCATCGTTAAGCGCATTACCAGCTCGAAACGGAAGTACCCATAATGCCGACCGCCGTCTCCGCCACCGCAGGAACTCCAAACTTTCTAAACTTCGTCAGGTAGACACACGATTTAGCCTCGCGACACTTCGCGCCAGTCGAGACATCTTTGTCTATTGTCTGAAAATTTCGCCATTGTCGCACGCTTTCATCGCTGGCCAGAGACAATCTTATAATTCACGGCGCATATACATTGAACGTGACTGTCAATAGAATAGTAATACTTTTTGTTCGCACCACCTCGACGACTTGCGAACTGGAACAGATCCTTCCTTGGATCCTGCCATTGGCAACGACGCATCGTATCAGCCTCCAGCGGAACACATTAAGCAGAGTAGATTTCATCTACCAGCTCTTCCCGATCGCGTCTGTTCCGATTGCATATCGTTACCCATGTGACCCAGTTGCACAAGCGCATTCTCTATACCATCGCCGCATCGCCAGTATATCATACCTACATCACGCCCTTCGCTAGGTTGCTGGCCCGGTCGAATTCATTCAATCTGAGAATTCGACTCTTTAGATACCTACCGCAATCATGGGTATCCCTGCGGCCTTCCGATGGCTTTCCAACAAGTACCCCAAGATCATCTCGCCAGTGATTGAGGATAAGCCCATTGTCATGGACGATGGCACCGTTATTCCTGTGGACATCACGAGGACGAATCCCAACGGCGAGGAGTTTGACAATCTTTACTTGGACATGAATGGCATTGTTCACCCTTGTTCTCATCCCGAGGACAAGCCTGCGCCCAAGGACGAGGAGGAGATGATGCTGGAGATCTTCAAGTACACCGACCGCGTTGTGAACATGGTCCGACCAAGGAAGTTACTCTTGATCGCTATCGGTAAGTCTTCCTGTATTTCATACACAATGGTCAACACTAACATACTTCGCAGACGGTGTCGCGCCACGTGCCAAGATGAACCAACAGCGCTCAAGACGATTTCGATCAGCGAAGGAGGCCAAAGAGAAGGAGGCAGACAAGCAGGAGCTATACAAAATGATCAAGAAGCAAAATGGTGGCGTGATGCCCCCGGAGACGCTTGAGTCAATGGCTAAGCAGGCTTTCGACTCAAATACCATTACTCCTGGAACCCCGTTCATGGACATCCTGGCGGGTAGTCTTCGATACTGGTGTGCCTACAAGTTGAACACTGACCCCGGTTGGGCTAAAATGAAGGTCATAATCTCTGATGCCACCGTTCCAGGTGAGGGTGAACACAAGATCATGGACTTTGTTCGATCTCAGCGAGCTTCCGCGGACCATGACCCCAACACGCGACACGTTATCTACGGGCTTGATGCTGATCTCATCATGCTCGGCCTCGCAACCCACGAACCCTATTTCCGTGTTCTCCGTGAAGATGTCTTCTTCCAGGAAGGCAAGGCGAGGACCTGCAAGTTGTGTGGCCAGAAAGGTCACGAGGCCACCCAGTGCCGAGGTGAGGCCAAAGAAAAAGATGGTGAGTTTGACGAGAAGGACAAAGCTATGCCCTTAAAACCCTTCATTTGGCTACATGTTTCCGTTCTCCGTGAGTATCTCGCTGTCGAGCTTGATGTCCCGGGATTGCCGTTCCGCTTTGATGTTGAGCGTGCTATCGATGACTGGGTGTTCATGTGCTCTTTCGTTGGCAACGATTTTCTTCCACATCTTCCCGCGCTGGAAATCCGCGAAAATGGCATCGACACTTTGACGGCTATCTGGCGAGACAATCTTCCTGTCATGGGAGGCTATCTCACCAAGGATGGCAGCGTCGATCTGGACAGGGCGCAACTCATATTGAATGGTCTTGCCAAGCAGGAGGAGGCCATCTTTCGCCGTAGGAGAGCGACCGAAGAGCGACGCGAAGCTGGCCAGAAGCGGAGAAAGCTTAATGATGAAAGAAACGGGAGAAACAATGGCCGCAATGGCAACAATGGTGTGCCTATGGATCCCCCACAGGCGCTAACCCATGACATGATCATCAACCGAACCCCTGCTCCAGATGCTAATGCAGCGAACAAGAGTGCCGCTGCTGCTCTTAAAAGCCAAATTCAAGGCTTGATGGCCAAGGAAAGCACCCAGGAAGCCGCAGAGTCAGAAACGCCGCCATCTGGGGCCAGCAAGCGTAAGGCTTCCATGATCGAGGATGACGGAGCAAGCACTCCTGGAAGCGAATCACAAGTCGCTACTCCACCTCCTGTTGTCAATGTCGACCCATCTGAAGACACGGTCAAGCTTTGGGAGGACGGCTACGCCGACAGGTACTACGAACAAAAATTCCACGTTGATCCGAAGGATATCGAGTTCCGACATAAGGTTGCTCGTGCCTATGTTGAAGGACTGGCATGGGTCCTGAGATACTACTTCCAGGGATGCCCAGATTGGGAGTGGTTCTATCCCTATCATTATGCCCCTTTTGCCCAAGACTTTGTGGACATTGGCAAAATGAAGATCAACTTCGAGAAAGGCCGAATCTCGAAACCCTTTGAACAGTTGCTCAGTGTGCAGCCTGCAGCATCGCGACACGTTCTGCCCGAAATATTTCACCCTCTCATGACCGAACCAGAAAGCGAGATCATAGACTTCTATCCCGAAGACTTCGCGATCGATCTTAATGGAAAGAAGATGGCATGGCAGGGCGTTGCTCTGCTGCCCTTCATCGAGATGCCTCGCCTTCTCGCTGCAGCCGAGAAGAAGTACCCTCTCCTCAGCACGGAGGACGCCGCGCGCAACAATGTTGGAAAGGAGGTGATGCTTTTGTCGGAAGCCAACCAAGAGCTTTATGATGACATAATCAGCCAGTTCTATTCCAAGAAGCAGGGGTCTCCCGAGTTGAAACTGAATCCTCGTGTAAGCCAGGGACTATCTGGCCAGGTCAAGAAGCTGGATGACTACCTCCCACACGGTTCTCTGGAATACCCCCTCGAGCGAAAAGCCATGCCCAGTGTGGACGATGATCGGTCATTGACGTAAGTGTTATTTGTATTTCTCACAACGCAACCCAACTCTAAACTAACTGTTATCTAGTGTCCACTACGAGTTTCCTCAGACAAACCATGCTCATAAGTCCATGCTCCTACGCGGTGCGCAGCCTCCTACACCTACCTTGAACCGGAGTGATATCGAAGAATTGAAGGGCAAGCTGCGTCATTCTGGACGAAGTCACGGCGGTGCCCCCTTTGGTCGCGGAGGTTATGGTACCAACAACAACCGTGGAGGCAGAGGCGGAGGCAACATCAACTACGGGCCCGACTCGCGTGGTCAGGGTGGAAGGTCGAATGGACCGCCTCATCACAACGGCAATCAGAACCGATTCTCAGCGCCCGGCGGTTATCCTGTACCACCGCCTGGCTGGATCCCCCCTCCGCCTGGTGTCGCCGGGTTTGGAGCTGGTTTACCACCGCCTCCACCGCCTGCTCATTACAACAATGGCCGTGACTCGTATGGGTACGGTGGCCAAGGTGGAGGCGGCTACGGAGGAAACCAAGGGTACTATCCTGCTCCACCACAACCACCATATAACGGATATGGTGGCGGTGGAGGTGGTGGTTCATATTATCCGCCTTCGGGAGGTCAAAATTCTCGGTCATACAATGATGGACGCGGTGGGTTCCGCGGTGGTCGCAACCACAGATGATTCGTTCATGCTGCTTGGAGCAAAGTACCTTCTGGGTATCTAAGAAAGGAAATGGATGCAAAGGCGCAAAAGCTATTTTGTTATAGATATATCAAATAGCTCAAGCAAAGTTGTATGAATAAAAATTCTCCCTATTATCGCCGATGGAGCAAGCAAGTCGGTGCAGCAGTGATGCTCCGTACTAGTATGTCAATAAAGCATAGTATGGACGCGTTGGACTATCCACGTTCAACTCGAACCTGGGACGTGCAGCAACTCAGGACAACCTCAACGGCTAAAGGTTGTTAGCCCCGCGCCAGGCATCGACGGTTATTTACAGTAGATTCAAGTGAAGCAATAGCCCCAGAAAAGAATTGATGTGATCAGCAGTCACGCTCTGTAGATAACTGTCCACAAGATACTGATGAACAGATCTTGATGCCTGGCGCCGCGCTAACAACCTTTACCCTGGGGGGTTTAGAGCACATCGCAACATCGCTCGGATGTTTATAATAACTCTAATTGGGACCATAGATGTAATCACGTTGCTACCTCTTTGATGACGTGGCTGTACTTTATCAATGGACTTTGCATGCGTTGTCCAGACTTAGGTACACGATCATACCTAGGTACATATTAAGGAGAAACTAGCCAAAATATTTAGTTACTTTCATGGCGGGTCACCATTGATCAGAGCTTGAAACTGTCATTTTCCGTGTCCTTTTCTATGTCTAGTTGAAGGCCGTGATGAGCAGCCAAACTCGGACAATTAGTTCAAATCGTTCTCGAATTCCGATTTTGATGTTTGAACCAATTACACATCATGCCAAGGTTGCCTCCAAATTCTACGACTGAAGTAATAGTGCACGTATCGATAGTGAAGGTCACTTCTGCTAAAAATACAAATTTTTGATCATCCTCAAAATTGGCAATCTCGGCCGTCCCGTGAATGATCCTTCAATACACGTCATAACTATCTTGTTCGCGACAGCTGAATTGACCCTGTTCCGCGTAACTACCGAAGCTATTAAATCCGTTGTAATAATTGATACTTACTTAGGTATGGATCTCCTTCGGAACTCTGCATCAGGTCCCCAGACCGAGAGGTGTTTGGTTGACTGAAATTGGAACCAACCGCTGCTGGTTGACGGAACAAACCGTAACGTACAACACCACCTTTCCGGCCACCCGCCTTTCTGGCCACCTAATCTGCCAACTACAACAACCTTCGGAACAACAGATTATCGTCGGTATTGGCTATTATTATACAATGCCTCGATATTCAGAAAATTCGATTCAAGGCGCTCTCAACGATATCAATCAAGGGATATCCCAGCGCCAGGCTTCCCTCCGATGGGGCGTTCCACGCTCTACCCTATAACTTCGTTACGCCCCAAACCTCGTAAGAAGGTACGATTAGGGCCTAATGAACGATTTGGTAACATTGTACAGATTAAGGAAGCGATGGATCGAGCCCTTGAAGTAGAACGGCAACGAGACCAGGTACAACGTCGGAATCAGGTAATACTGGACCCAGCTAAGGCGTCAGAATCTATCAGATCTATACCTCGGGAAGCCCTAGAGCACAGCTTTCTATTAGAGCTGGTTGTACCTGAATAGCTATAATAATACGTTGAATACACTGTTTCGAATACCTTCAATTGGATTGCAATATGTGGCCAGAAAGATGGGTGGCCGGAAAGGTGGGGTTGTACGTTATGGTACAATCTCTCGCGCTCATCTTTGCTGTCTTGCGCAACCGCTAGTGCTGGCATGTTAATTCGTGATTTCAGCATGGTTTCGGCAGGGAGAGCTCCTGTCACAGGCACATCTGACTGGCTGTTTTTTGCTAGCGGCAGGGACTTCCCCGCCAAACGTGGCCAGAAAATGGCGTAGAAAATGGCCCAGAATTGTCGTGACGCTAGCCTAACTGCAAATGTCCGTCCTCAATAACCTTTGAGCAAAACAGTTTCAAGACTTTCCTACCCCTTGGATCCAAAAAAGTGAGAAATTGAGAAATCGCGTGTCAGAGTGGATACCACACGGCCTTGGGCTTGATGTTGGCCGGGACCCCCGCACGTGTAATGACTGCAAGCACGTCCTATGAGCTGCACGACCAAACTGCCCGAGTTGTTCCTGAATGCCATGCCCACCCTATCTGCTGTTCTGGCTCTCATTTGACAAATAGTAATCGTCGGTACCTGTGAGTAGACAGCGGCGCATTTGCTGTGAAGCTCCTTGGACCCCGAATATCCTTACGCATATACAACCACCCGACACGATCCCGGCGAAATTACGCTCTCGGAACATCTTGGGAAACGCGAATTGCCTCCTCTCCGCGCTTGTTTATCGACTTGTTGTGCTCCTCGGCTCCCTATCTTTGGGGTTCCCACACACCCGGGACTCGGCAGCTTTAAACCACCTTACCGTGTCCAGGACAGGCCGCATACGGCAGTCCGGCAGTTGAAGAAATTGGAGAACCTTTGCGTCCCTTGCGACCTGTGCAACTCTGCGGTTTGCGACTGGTCGACAAATACCCCTACTCAAAATCGCTAACGGAAGTGCTTTATGGCGCCGTCAATATGACAAGTAGCTGGCCCATAGCGAGTCGACGGTATACAAGATGAATGGCGATGCGGGCCTCGTGGGCAGTTTGGTCGAAAGACTTACCACTAGGGTACTGGGAGCCCTCTTTTTTTCTGCCTCTCCTGCCGAGTGTCGCAGCCCATTGATGCCTCGTTGAAGAACGTGACTAATCCGTCTGTTGATAGCTTCCACATCGTACGGGCACCCAGGCTCAAGATCTCCGCCACGACGACATAGCCGTTATTTCTCGTGCCACCCTCCTCAAGATAAGCGCTTCGTCAATATCAGTCGTGCTAGGCGCCCTCGTAACGCTCTTGGAAGAGCTCTGCCGCCCCTATAAGAGTTTCGGAATACACCCACCTCATGTTGTCCTTTCCGAGCTGTACGTGCTGGCATTGGCCGCCGACTGTTGTTCTGCCCATTGGCAGGCTGCGCTAGGCAATGGCACCAAGGCTGGAGCAGCCACTTACGGCCATGTCAAACCAAGTTCCGCGGCGCAACAACACCTCCACCCCCTCGATGACCAGTTGGTAACAAGAATATGCGATTACCTCAAGACGGTACTCGATCCCATGCCAGACGGCTACATGCTCCCAGCGCGGACTATTCTAGATAACGAAACGACCCGGGATATACTCGAACTGCGCTTGGGCGAGTCGCCCTCGAGGGTAGCATCCTCGGACGGCTCGGACGAATTCGTGGAGACCTCGCGCATGCGCAATAGCCATGTCAGAGAAATTGAACCACATGCGAGGACTATAGTGGAGTTCATGACCGCGTCGAGCTGGCAGCCCACTTTTGAATACTTCAGAGGAGTTATTTACAGCATACGAACCGCCGTGCCTATACAGCCCAGTGCGCCGCAACCGCTGGCCCTGGCCGAGGATGAACGGTCCTCTTTGGTGATAATGCGACTACTATCGTACTGGTGGGTGGACGGCCAAAAATTAGGCATTCTTCTCCAGGAGTTGTGCTCGAGTTTCCTTCACTTCCGGAAACCTTTTCAGAACACGGTGGCCATCGTCGTTCCTTTACTTATCATAAGATGGCTCGATCGGTATCCCAATGAGTTCGTGATGCTGCATAACCAGCATAGGAGGCTCGACGGCGGGCCTGACACGCTCTTCGATATGACGCAAACCATTGTCGACAATGGGAGAAGAAGAATCATGTTGTATCCATTCCAAAGCATGCTTCTCTTCCTCATCCCTGACGTCTTCGAAGTAGCTAGCAACCTCCGCGAAATCAAAGGCAGCGGCATGGGGAAGCGAGTTCAGTTCCTCGAGGGATTGCGGAAGGCGCTGCGCAACCGGAACGAAGCGGCTGGATATTGTTTGGTGTGCATACTTCGCGCTGCGAGACATTTCGACATGGATAGCGACGCCGCGATTGTCAGTTATGCCATGGATGTCCAGGACGAAGTCCGAGATGCAGTCTTCAGGCGATACTCCAGTACAGACAGCAGTGGCGTCTTTGATCAGGATTTGACGACAGCTGCATTCATTGGTCTTACCCACCTGAATTTTGAGGGCACCGTAGAGTCGCTTTCGCAGACATGCTTGCATCCTTCCTCGCCGCAAACTTTCAAGATTGCCATTATACAGGCATGTTCGTACTTTGCTCGTGAGCATGATGCCGAGGAGTATCGTCCACTCTTTGTAGAAGTGGCCGGCTTCATACAGAGCCAGTTAAGGGTAAGAGCTCCTGTAAAGTAAACGATCTGATCTGGGCTATCTGGGCTAACTGAATTGTCTAGACGATGTCTGCTATATCCGCAGAAATGTATATCAGCGACTACACTCTGCAACGCAGGGGCTCCGAGACAAGCGCCCCAAGTATTTCTATGATATGCAATATTTTGAACTTCCTCGATGCATCGCCGACCACATTGTTTGAGAATGCTTCTCCGGATACCACGGTCGACTTCTACGAAAACAATTTCGAGGCTTTTGTGTCTTGCTTGGTTTCGGCGGACGAACAAGTGAGGGCCCTGGCCAGTGTCTTGGCGAAACGGCTCCTTGCTGAAGACGGTATCCTTGCGTCGCTGCGGAAGATCAAGCGACTTGACTCTCAGGGGTTCAAGAACAAGTTCTGGCGGCTGACGTGAGTTCATCATTGGCTTAGTGTGCAATGTGCTGTTTTACTGATTTCCTGATAGCTCGCTCGTACTTCTGAAAATGATTGAAAAGTATGATCAAGAAGACGGTGGAGCCGTATTAAAATCTATTCATGGCTATTTGAAGTCACGACTCCTCCTACTCAACTCCATCAAAGTAAGGAGGCTAGCCCATCTATCCGTCTGTTATTCTAACATGTCTATCAGGAGCTCTCAGAGGTTTCTGAAGATATTGCCGAACGCACAACAGCGTCGACGAAACTCGAGACGTTATTCCTCGTGTCTCTCTGTTCGGCTGATATCGAGACCTGTGAACTTGTTACGACGTGCATAGGGCTCTTCAATCAAGAATGCCGGCTGATAGACTCGGCCTCTGAAGCAGCCAAGACTGGACCACCTCTACTACGCAACAGTGACATATTTGGAGAGATCGCATCCCGCGACTTCAGATTTACTGGGATTGTAGCTTTCCAGAAGCGTATCCGTGGTCTCTTACGAAGGATGCAGTACCCGAGCGTAGGGATACTAGATGCGTGGGAATTCGCCTTCGACCGCTGGATACATTTGTCAAAGGATGTATCTGCTACTCCTGTGGATAATGTCGACGATAGAATGCTCACTGAATGGCGCAACTACTCAGGATTTCTCGCCTCGTTGGGCGGAATTTGTACCGCTGAGCAGGCTTTTGTCCTTGAGGAGCCCGCCATCGGTGGATTGAGATGGATCGATAGATTGTCAACGGACAACATTGAAGAGCCATTGCTCCATCGCTTCCTTCGGCTTAGTATCCAACTACTGGCATGTCCCAACGTACGGGTCCGGGAAACAATGAGAGAAGTTCTGTCCGCCGAGATAGCGCCCAGTCTGTATCAACCACTCTTTAAAGGGCTCGAGTCGGAGCTCGAAATCCTCTTCACCGGCGCGTTGGAAACGTCTGGCAAGGTGCAGCAAGATGCCGAGATCATCTTCGCCGAACAAGCAGCATCCCTGTTAAGGGCACTTGTCGAGCGACTTGTTACGCCGTCCGAGCTTGGTGCTGCATCCTCGGTGCATTTAGGCTCGTTAACCTTGAGTTTCGCCAAGTTTCTGGACGGATATACTGATAATCCAAGCTGCCTAAGGATCAAAATCAAGGTATGCCAACTATGCGAGATCGTCACAAAAAAGAAGGAACACCTGAACCTTCGGGACGATGTACGGATACGGAATCAGCTGCTAGAATATATCTTCGGTTGGATTGCTCGTCCTCGCTCCCCGCGACAAGACGCCTACAATGGTCGTCAGGATGAGATGGCCCGCTGCCAAAGAGATCTTGACAAGGCGTGTCTTCGTTCGCTGGCAGAATTAACCTTCCGCCTGCCTCTCCAACCAGGCGATGGCCAAAACGACGCGGGGACCAGCGAGCTGAAGTCCCAAATGTTCCACACCTACTTCAATCGATTCCTATCTCTACTCAACTACGATCCTATGGAGGCTCATAGAGGCGACCTGGCTGGACCTTTGGGCCAGCGTGACGACACAACACCTACAGCTGACCTCGCTATCACCATCTTGTCTAACCTCCTCAGTGCCAACATTGACGTCGGCCTGAAGCATTCGCTAAGCATTGGCTATCATGAGAATGTGGAGATACGCACAGCCTTTGTCAAGGTCCTCTACAATATCCTTGTCCAGGGAACCGAGTTCAGCAACTTGTCAGATGCTGCTGTGAGTGAGAAGTACGAAGAGTTGTTAGAACTTCTCACACACGACATGCATCTTGCCGTGGCCATCAGCAGCATCTGCCCCAGTAACGAGGTCGATGAGCTGACCATCTCGCTGCTCAACGTTTTCGAGACCCGAGGCCTCACCTATGAGCTCATGGATGCCTTGATCAAGCAAGAAATTGAAGAAACGGAGAACGAGTCTGAGATCTTACGCCGCAACTGCGTCGCTACCAAGATGCTTTCTGTATACGCCAAATGGAAGGGCGCTCAGTACCTTCGCGACACACTCCAAAAGGTTGTCGAGCGATTGATGCTCACGTCGAAAGACCTGGACCTTGAGTTGGATCCTGCAAGGATCCAGTCCCAAGAGGAGGTCCAGAAAAATGCACTGCAGTTGCGCATTGTTGCCAAAGTCTTCATCGATGATATTCGTGCCTCCTCGGCCAACATTCCAACATCCTTCCGCAAGATCTGCAGCATAGTGGGTACCCCTTATTCCGAGTACTTGAATGTGCCCACTCTAACATGTTTTTGACAGATCTCTTCAGCAGTCATGCCCAAATTCCCAGAAGCTAAATACACAGCTGTCGGTGCCTTCATCTTCCTGAGATTCTTCTGCCCGGCCATTGTAGCCCCGGATGCTGAAGGCCTTGTTAGCACTGCACCCTCTAAGGAGATGCGCCGAGGGCTTCTCCTGATTGCGAAAGTCGTTCAAAACTTAGCAAACAACGTTCTCTTCGGCGCCAAGGAACCTTACATGTTTCCTCTGAATGATCTCCTAACACAAAACATCTACAAAGTGACGACGTTCCTCCGCGAAATCTCGGTAAGTGATCGAGAGTCTCTGCAAGATGACGAGGTACTTACAATGCGAAGGTCCCGCCTGAAATACCCGTCGCCCGTCCCACAGAAGGTGAAACGTTTGACTTTGGGTCATGTGTTGCGCTTCATAGATTCCTATACGACCACTGGGACCAGGTTCGTCAGAGACTGATGTCCCAAGAACGGCGAGACTACGTAAGATCCCCTGTTGAAGTTGCCCGCGGTCGCTCGCCCGTACTTGAGCCTCTGCGTGCTCTGATTACTAACCTGGGGCCACCGCCTCTCGCTGTTACGTGGAACCGGCCGCAAATCTCGGCCAACAGTCCACCTTCTTACTCTAGGTTCCAACATTTCATGCTTCGAAATGCTTTCCGCAGTACTGAGTCATTCATGACTTCTCGAGCCGTTTATGACGGAGGCGAAAGCAAGGTTCGTTCTTTGGACTAACGTTGGTGTGAGGTCATACGCTAATCATCGTAGGACGGGCTTTCTATCATATGTGTGATCCTTCGCCACATTGACTCGGAGTCTATTGACTATGATACTCTTCTTCACTGTTACCTCAAGGTGTGTTACGCGATATATATGCCCCTACATTTTCCTGAGAAGATCAATATTCTTTATCATCATGGGTATTGAATACCAATTGAGTACTTCCACTGACACTGTACTAGATTGCTAGTCGCCTGTGGCATCGACCATTTGGGTTGCTCATCGATGCAACATGCTACAACGGCCAAAATGAGCCTCAAGACGACATATTCAAGAAACTTGAGTTGCTAAGTCCAACAGAACTCTCCCGTATGTTGTCCAGGATTTACGTGTACAATATGAACAGTGCTTTCAGGTATGCCCCTCACGTCCTGTGCTAGTATTGCTTCGCTCACAATACACAGGAAATGCCTGCGGCGCATCCTCCGGGTTGCAACCAAGAGTGATACGAGCATCTTTAACCCTGGCAATGTCGACTACCACCTGATTGGCAGTCTTCAAGACCTTCAGGCTCACTTCCACCTGAGCCAGCTCCACCTTCCCAAAGACACTATTAGTGTTGTGACCGATACCAGATATGTCTTCCAACCTATTACCCGCCTGTCCAAGACAAAGGGCAAGATCGAGGTGACCATCAAAGTTGGAAGCCAGTTTGTTCAAGTTACAACGGCCAAGAAGCAGGAGGTGCACCCAGGGTTCCGCCTTCACGCAACAGTCAACGACATCTTCCGACTAGGCGATGTCGACGAGGCACCCACATCTATCCCCACCGAGGATGACTCCGCCTTTGGGCTTCGTGCAGATAATGGCAAGATCGTCATGTACTTTCAGAGCCCGAAGAAACTTGATGTCTTGCAAGCCGTTCGAGGCGCCAAGGCCAAGTATGCCAAAGACACGAGGGCCATGAAGTCCTTCGAGAGACTGATTCGACCTCAAGATGTCCCGGGCACATTGCTGAACCTTGCGCTCACCAATCTCGCTGCCCCTGACCCGGTTCTTCGTCTTTCTTCCTATAATCTGCTGGGTGCTCTTTGTCGGGCCTTCAAGTTCAAGGCCGCATCTAAGTTCATGTGTATTCGAGGTATGTTTGTTTATTGCCATATTTTAAACGGCCTGCGCTAATGTCTGCCGTCAGACGTGTCGGTGCCACTGGATCCCACGCAGTTCATCGTGAACATTAGCAAGGTTCTTGCCCACGAGGAGCCCCAACTTACTTCGGATTTTTTGAATGAATTCTTCGTCGGCTGGGAGAGTTTCTCGGATGAACAGAAGCCCCTGAGTCTAGCATACATGGCGCCATGGCTACCAAGCCTGCGAACTTCGCTTCTCGGGGACGAGGCTGATAGCGAGAAGGGCAAGGAGAAGATTGCTGCCATCTTCCGCAAACTGATTGACGTGTGCATCACAGATCCCACTCTCGGCTTGACGCTGGAACATACAGTATGGCCGTCTATATACAAGGACGAGACATTACTGGACATATTCCTCGAGGAGATCCTCAAGGCAGCCCTAAGTCTGGGGTTCTATGATGAGCAGACACAGTGCCTAACGTCCATAGTGACAGCCATCGGCACCATCACCCTTCGTGGCAAAATCATATCGCGCTTGAGGAAGGCCTTGAACCGGTCTTCCCAGCGGCCGACCAAGTATCTGCCCGACAATGCGGTCTGGTCCGAGATATGCGTGCTCCTCCAGTTCTGTCTTTCCTTGTCATTCGACTGTGGTGTTCAGTCGCAGGTGTATCTCCCTGAAATTTTCCACATCGTGACCATGCTGGCCAACACTGGCCCTTCGGACGTACGAGTCCTCGTCCACCGGCTTCTCATTAACTCGATCCACGCGGCCTGCACCTCTTTCAAACTCGATGACGCCAAGTTGTCTAAACTTCGCAGCACGCTTGAAACTTTGTCGGAGCCAAGAAACGACGTCTTTGCTGCTCCCGTGTTTTCCCGCGATGGCGCCTCCATATCAACGAATCAAGAGACTGGTCCTACGCTTTCGTCGACCGAGAACCTCGCATCGTTGCTCTTCGAGATCTGCTCCATCGCGGGACCATCTGTGGACATGGCCAACGCATGGCGGTCCCGATGGATGAGTTTAGTCGCGAGTACGGCGTTCCAGAACAATCCCGCAATCCAGCCACGAGCGTTCACCGTCATGGGGTGCTTGGCTCGTGAAGAAGTGGACGATGATCTGCTGTACCAAGTTCTGGTTGCTCTACGTAACTCGGTTGGGCGACATGGTGAAGATCACCACAACGAGATGCTTGTGGCTATCGTCACATCCCTGTCCAAGATGATGGGAAAGCTCAACACGGCCTCTCGCTATGGATTCCAGTTGTTCTGGCTGGCCATGTCGCTGCTCCGCCTTGTCCCACCCAATCTCTTCAACTGTGCTGCCAACTTCTTGGAAGCTGTGCTTACCAACATTGGGACGTCAAGCGAGCTGAGGAGCGAAAAGATGGCTCAGTTGCTTTTGCAAGGTCGCGTGCAACTGGAAGAGGCAGCTCTACCCCTCGACGATGCATATGGCATCCACTTCGCGGCCGAAAACTTCCCCTTTGCCGTCTGCGCTTGCCTAGTGCGCGGTCTCACGGACACCGTGACGAGGGCAACAGCTTTGCGTGTGCTCTCCACCTTCCTCGAAATGACCAACACTTCAGCTTCTACTTTCTTATCCGAGAAAGTACCGAGAAATCTGCAAAGTTCACCATATCTTGCCCTCATCCAGGCCCGAGCGGTCGAGCTGGAAGAGTTTAAGGACACGCTGTGGCTGTCGGGTATCAACCCCACCAATGTCGTAGGTCTAAGCACCTCGCGCGGCTTGCGCGATCTCTCTGCCATCAGCGACAAAGATCTACTCCTCAATACGGCCATCGAGCTAGTCGACTTCCAGTATCTCGAGGATGTGGTGCAGAACCGCACGCTAGTTTGGCTGAATGAACTAGCCGTGGGCAGACCGGCAGTTATAATGCATCTGTAAGCCGCCCAGCCCCTGCTCTCTCACTTCCCCTAAACAATGCAACCTTGAAACTAACCGCACGTCATACACAGCGCTGCACCAATCGCGCACATCCTCGACGACATCCTGTTGCACTGCCAGAACTCGGTCACGCTGGCCTCGGCGCATATCCTACTTCAGTCTATTGCGTCCAATCCCAAAGTCGCCAAATCCATCGATTCGACGGGCGTGCTGAACGAGATTTTGGAGGATATGGGATTCGGGGGCTTATGGCGTTCTTGCAGCTTCAATCAGGCGCAGGAGCCGGATAAGCAGTGCTTTGCTTTGACGGAGAAGCTTATTGAGGTATGTTTTGGTCCCAGGTAATTGTTGAATGTTACATGCTAATTTGTTTGATTGCAGCTTATTATCGTCTGAAGTATTGTGATCCTGAGAGACGAACACTAGGACTTTTGTTGGTTGGTTAGTTGAAGTATCTATCTTGAATGACTAAGCGAGTGAGTTGGCTGCAAAGCGTGGTGGTACCCGCAATTTAATCCGATCAGAAGAAGAGTGAGGGAGTGAGTGGGATGTTTTAGTACTGTCTACTGTAAAGCTACTAGGCTCCTGCCTAGATGTGCTTGAGTACAGGTAGTTGGAGATGAACAGGTATGATGAGGTGGATACCATTTGTTGCATGTTGGTATAGAGGAAGTGTGGAAGTGTTGCGAGGCCTTTCCCCGTGTCTTGCAAACTGAATGAATGGTGCAAATGTTGAAATTTTGGATACTCGACTTTGATGGTGTGAATATGACGCTCTAATCATGCCTTTGAAGTGACATTATCAGTGTACTGTATTGCGGCAACAGCAAGTAGTTAGGAGACGGGTTTGCTGGTCATAGTGAGTGATTTTGATCGTTGTTTTCCGCCTTTGAACTATATCCGTCAGCGTAGGGTATTTGTCATTTCTCATAATATGGTTCTATTTAGCCGAGAGGATATATCAAACGAACAATTTGGAACAGGCGGGAGTCTTCCCGATCGCTCTTTTGACTGATCCTTAGCATGATGACAGGGCATATCATCTAGGAAGGAATTTGACAAGACTGCAAGGATAGTCTCCGGGCCTATGAGGCCTATAGAACGAGTCAACGATGACGAGTTGTCCCAACGTTGAGAGCTAGTATTCCTGCAATTTTTAACGATTACCACCACGTAAGATACGGTCAGGCCAAACTCCGCCAAATTTATCTACCAGATAGCAAGTTCCGCTCTGTTTGGTATGAGGCGTTTTCAGGAGCTACTCGTATAATAAACGCGCTAGGATTTATTTCTAAGGCTCTCATTGAATAGTCTCTGCGAAAAGCGTCGCATAATTTCAACCTTGATAGGTGAGGACCTCTGGGAGTATACGCTGAATTGTGGTGAGTATACATCTACGCCACTGACGAGCATGTAAATCTAATTATTTCAGATCAACGAAAGTCGCAGGAATCCGGCAAGGTCAACGGGATAAGAGTTTCTGTCAGGGCGTCACTAAGTGTTCCTCGGTATCTTGAACTTATAAGTCACAAGATGTCCTCTTGAAACTTTCGCCCATTATAGTCTGCTCACAATGCCCCAGACTCAAAACCCTTGGGCCCTCGCACTCACTGCATGCTATTTTTAGAATTTCCGTGTTTCTTTGCCTTCAAGAGATCCTCGGTCTTCCATGAACGTCCACTTGAGGTTGTCGGCAATCTCGGGTGTGTCGGACTTAGTGATTTGCCATTACAACTGTTCGTCGACGAGCTGCTTGAAGCGCCCTCATGTTTGGTTCAATCCATCCGCGTACGTGCAGCGGTAGATAACCCAGCCCCATTTGTCTTGTTACAAGTTCAAGGTCGCGAGTGACAGCTTTCTCCCGCACTCGGGCGAATCCGTTTCTAGGCGATGTGCGATGTGTTTGCTTAGAAGCGGTGGTTCTGTTGGCTGACGGGCGCGTTGCTAAGAACGGAAGCCGAGTTTGGGTCGAAACTTGAACAGAGTGTGACCGACAGATTGCATAGTTGCCGCTGCTAGAGATGTGGAATTCATGAAGTGCAAATAAGTTTGTTGGGAAATAAAAGGCGGAAAGACAAGAAGAAATATTGGATATGACAGACGGCAAGGTGCTTGACGTTAATTTAAGGACAAATTCAGAAGAGACTCGAATTGGCAACTCTAGAAGGAATGTGCTATTCTAAGCCGCATTTGCATCTATGCGCCGGATTTATCGATGCGACCTCTTTACGGCGAATGCCTTGCCTAATTACACCGCTTCCATTTGTATATACATAAAATCCAAATCATTATCCCATCATCATCCAGCCCCAGCGATTTCCCTGATGCGCGAGTGGTCTCCTTTACCCTAGTTCTCCAAGAGATATTTCAAATTGGAGATTGTATCCTCAGTTTCCTTGACTTCCTTTAAGATGCTCTCGCGGGCAGCGACGTCTGTGGCTTGGTACTGAGTCCTGATGTAGCGGATCTGGTCAGCGACCCAGGTACGTGCGAGTCAAGGGCCCGTCAGGAACAATATGGGTTCTGTTGATGACGGGGGCTGGTAGCCACTGACGATCTTGATCGACCACAGCTGGAAATCGAGCTGCTATAATGAGCTACAAGTGCAGTTGGTTTTGGTTAGTTGATGCTCAGGTGCTTTGACTGGAATTTTAGACAGTGGAGACAGCAACACAACGAACTTCAACTCACCGGGAGTGGATGCTCGACTTGTGCACTTGTTGGGGCCACGGTGCGATCATCTGCTTCGAGGTCATGCCGGATGACGCATGGATCGCTGCAGCTCCTGGAGGCGATCGGGAACAAGTCTCATGTAACCTTGAGGTCCCTCCGGCCTCTGATATGTCAGCGAAATCTGTCGTATAGTGATCCCGGCTGACGTGACCTAGTCGTACTTTCTTGGAGGGCCGCATTTTCCCAAGCCACCCACAGCGCCATGGCCATACGAGGCAATTTCCTGGTCTGCCTCTGCCCACGCATAGTGTTACAGGTCATTGAGGCTTTGTTTCGCAATGTATCCACACTTATCCGTTGACTACTCGTCGCGAGCTAGAGGTTCCCAAGTCACACGTCGTGATGTCGCAGTACAACGGTTCAGCAATCTTCTTTTTGACTTTTAACATGGCACGCTCTCTTCCCCCTATTTCCACAAGCTTTGGAAGCCAGTTGATGTTACCAAAGTGAACGATACTTTACGGTTGGTCCAACTTACACGGCAGTGCTGCAGTGTATCGCCCGCTGAGCTTTTGTGTCAACTGCAACTTCGCCCGCGTTGCAGTTGGCATCCACACAATCCAGCGTGCTCGCTCTCCACTCGCACTCGTAAAATCAAATCAGTATCGCACAATATCGGCGCTGTTATGGACCGCGATATGAAATCATAACTCACTTTTGGGAGGGTGGCCAAACGGTTCGCTATTTGTGCATTCCCCATACTTGACCGCTTGGTATTTTGTGTTGGCCTTGCACTCTGACCCACTATCACCGTCTGAGTATCTGCACATGCATATTTCTTCACACTTTGTACGAAAGTGTGACTGCGTACCAATCGGCCTAGTAGTAGCCATCGATCACGTCTTTCCAGTTGCCGGCCTCGTAGCAAAATACCTTGTGGCCTCTGGCATATACGTAGGGATTGCTCTCGTGCTCGAAACCGCCTCCCCTGTTGAAATATATTGCTCGTCAGTCTCTATCCGCAGATAGGCAATTGCACGGGTTCACGATCTAGGTGACGGAGCAGCGCAACTCACTATCAAGATGTCGCTATCCTGGCCTCGCCGGCGTGGCATTGTCCATTGCAGTAACACCATATGCCACCATCATTGCCCCTTCCACGTCCTGTCAAGAGAGAAAGCCAGCTGAAACCACGTGGCATCTACGTTGTCGACGTCGAGTAAAGGTAAATAAACACTGGCAATTATTTGGCGCTGTATCTTTGGGGCAGAAAATCGGGCGTTCTTTATCGTCATTCTAGCAAAGCAAGTGTCTTGTCAGCTGCGTGTGTTATCTGTGTACAAGCACGACAAGAGGGATCTACTCGACTTACATCGCACCCATCTCTGTTGTATCCCGCGAGGTGGAAGTCATTCTCACAGTGTAGGTCCCTAGAAGACCTGCAGTCATGATACGTAAGGACTTTGCGGTCCTGACCATTCTCGCCAACGAGACTCTTGGTGTCAATCCCTGATGTCATGGCCAGCGTTGACCGAGACATCCTCGTCCATCAGCCCCCTCATGGCTGAGAATTGATCATCATCCGTATGAACGGCCCAGATCAAACACCCGCTTATGCCAATAGAGTTGGCCCACGCTAGCTTAATGCTCAAGATAACGCATCGTCGTACGCTATTAGCTGAACAGGGCCTGCTTTGGCACCACCGCTGAAGGGGCAGCCTGGCTCTGAGCAGTTGAGATTTACGAGCTCAGGCTTAACGCCCATGCGCTGGAGGAGCTAAGCTATGGGTTTGGTCTCTATCAGGGTTGTATGAGCTTGTATAATGGCACCGATAGGGTTGTTCCTGTCCCTATATGCGGAAATGCTGTGATATCTGTAGAGTTTCAGGTAGAAAGAGAGGTTAATTGTCTACATACGGTTTGTCTGGACAATCTGAACTATATACATGAGTAGAGTTTACCCCGCCTCCAGTGTAGATCTCCAAGCGAGTGCAGTACTAGATACCAAATATTGCTGACAATATCTCATATATATGCGAAATACAGTGGATAATCTTATTGAATCACGACTAACTTAATTAATGAAAAGTTAAACATACCAAGTGCACCTATATTGATTACGTATCACTGTCAACTCTTTGCACTCCCCAACCATTATCCTAAGACGTGTGTATTCCCGTTATAGGACTCTACTTACGCCGGAGGACTTACCATTATTAATCCCGCGAGGTTTCCGAGCTAACAACAAGTAACGATTTTTTACCAGCGCTTTTCTTAGTAGAATCGAAGGTATAGTGGTTTATCTATGGTTAAAGTATTTTAGTAACAGACGATCTGTGGACGCTGGAATCGGATGGGACGGGACGTTTAACTTCGTCCTAGCTTCAACATGGCAACTGGGATCGCGCGCTGAACTGGACTAAGTTTAATGCCTTTGATGGCCGGTCCAATTCTCGTCCATTTCGATACCTGTGTAGAAGGATAAAGTTGTATGGTGATTGCCGAGGGTTGCACCAATTTTCGTGTTGTCGTAAAGTGATTGCCACACTTATGGAGGCGGCGTGTCATGACTTCTCAATTGTGATACGTATGGCTAGTTATCGGTTGGGCCGGAAATCAGTGCGGAGTTGCTTGAATGCGAATCCGATGAACATGCAAAGGTGGGCCTCCCAAGGATACCCATGGGAACAGCTTATTTAACATCATCCTTTGGTGCATGATCTTCTCATGTCAGAAGCTTGGCAAGTAAGGCGCTGTTCGCGGGGAGGCCCTTCAAGACTTCAGATTGATCCAATGATGTATAGCCTTGTGGGGTGATCCCTCCCTTTAACACAAATGTGTGGTTGGCATCCCCAAGTTTCTACATAAGTATTCCTGCCTGCCAAGCTCCGGAAGTCGCAAGTTATGCGGTATCCAGTGCATACAGGTAGCAGTTTGGTCGTTATCGGTTACAACATCCCACCCCTGTGCCAAGCGCCGAATGGAGACACCAATAATGATCGGCAACAAACGAAAGTTAGAAGAAATAACGTGTGTTCACGAGCTTAGGGGTGTAGCACTGAACGAATCGAGACATATAAACACGTAATGACTCTTTTTGGAGGAGAAGTATACAACCTTCACATTGCTCAGCGCCTTTGCTTAATACGAGCCAGCCTGATGTCATGAAGGCAAGCAAAGTTCTGTCCACCTACTGGGCAGTCGTTGCCTCTGCTTTGAGCGCGGAAGAGTGGCAAAAGCAGTCAATTTATCAGGTCATGACCGACCGCTTTGCGCGTACCGATGGCTCGACGAGTGCTGATTGTGACTTGGTGACGTACTGCGGCGGAACCTGGAGGGGGCTGGTTAACAAGCTGGATTATATCCAAGGAATGGGTTTTACTGCTGTTAGTCAGTCTGAGCTATGCGGAACACGAGATACATTGTGTGCTAACCAACAACTAGGTCTGGATCTCACCCGTCGTAAAGAACATCGAGAGCTACACTGGCTGGGGGTATGTTAAGAGCGTGTTCAGTCCCTTTTCACCTATCTAGTCTTTGCATTGCGTACTGACCAACACGATTTCAGGAATGCTTATCATGGATATTGGGCTCAGGATATATGGTCGCTAAACCCCCACTTCGGCACAGAACAAGATCTGCTTGACTTATCAGCAGAGTTACATCGTCGTGACATGGTCAGTAATCTCGCTTCTTCATACAGTAGAGAGAAAGAAAAAGAGAAAATAACACGAGCTCATTCATAGAAACTGATGCTTGATGTTGTTACCAACCACATGGCCCATGACGGATGTGGCAACTGTAATATGACTTACAGTCTCTACAGCCCGTTCTCTTCTCGGTCATGGTTCCACCCGTACTGTACTATCAACTACGACAACGAAACCTCGATCGAGACATGTTGGCAGGGAGACGAAAAGGTCAGCCTTCCGGACCTGAGAACAGAGGACTCGGAAATCCGTAGCATCTTTCACGAATGGATACGCCACATGGTAACCAAATACTCGGTGGACGGGCTCCGGGTGGACAGTGCGAAACACGTGGAAACCGACTTCTGGCCTGACTTCGAGGCTGCATCCGGCGTATTCGCCCTTGGCGAGGTAAGAACTGAATCTTGTAGCGATGAGGGCTTCACGTGGCTGATCGAGAGAACAAAAGGTTCTAGACGGGGACCCGCAGCATATTTATCCGTGGACCGACTATCTGAGCGGTGTTATGAATTATCCAGTGTAAGTTCGCTTTTGCCAATCGAGTGCCATGACCCTGACCCTCTATTAGCTACTACTGGCTTCTTAGAGCCTTCCAGTCGTCGTCATCTACTATGGACGAACTCACGAATGGTATCAACACTATGAGTGCCAACAGTAAGTGAATGTTTTTGTCTGGATTGAAGTTTGCTCTGCAACTAACTTGGCATAAGTGAAAACCGCTACTCTAGGGTCATTCATTGAAAATCATGACCAGAAACGGTTCCCAGATATGTCGGGAGGGGACATGGTACGTTGTAGAAACATTTCATTCATTCAGAATCAGCACTGACTAGATTGCATTTTAGGCACTAGCAAAAAATGTAAGGAGCTTGCAGGTCATTATAGTCGCCCCCCATAGCTAAAAGGAATCTTGCAGGCAATCGCCTTCACAATGCTGATGGACGGTATGTCCCACACACTTTTGCACGGTTTCGTGCTCAACTCTAACCTTTGTAGGTATTCCGATCATATACCAAGGTCAGGAGCAGCACTTCGACGGCGGCGATGACCCTTTGAACCGCCAACCCATCTGGCCCTCCCAGTACGACACAACGGCTGAGTTGTACACCTGGATCAAGGTTCTGAACAGGATCCGCTCCCAGGCCGTCAAAGAACCCGGATACCTCTCAGATCAAGCGAACGCCACCACCCCGGATTCTCACACCATTGCTCTGCGAAAGGGCACTCCCGGCTGCCAGATGGTGTCCGTCTACACGAACATCGGCAGTAACAATAGTACTAGCTATGCCGTCAGTCTCCCTTCGAATTTCACGGGATTCGGAGAGTTTCAGTTCCTAGTAGAAGTCGTAGCATGTAGGGTACTGATGACAGATCACAACGGCATGTTGCGATTCGACATGGGGACGACACCCAAAATTTTCTACCCGGCGGAGAAGCTGTTACAGACGTGGGGCGCCATCTGTGGTGAAGGCCCTAGTCTGGATGTCTTGATCAGTAGTGCGGTTTCCTTTCATGCTGGTGTTGACCAAGGCGGATTTGAAGTCGATCTGCAACTACATGAGCCCGGCGATCACAATAGCAACAACGACGCGCCCAAGGGGAAAGATGACCAAGTCAATAAGATTGGTCTTCCTGACTGGTTAGCGACCGCCGGGAAATGAAAATGCAGGGAGGTTTGCGCTAATGGGCTCAGCGATGGAAACAGAGGGTTCAGGTTGGCATGGAACCGATCTGTGGCTTTTGATCATGTTTGACTGCTTCAGGCAAAGCTCTGTTGTATTTATCTCATGTAACCTCTCCATGTTTCGGTTTAACATTCTGCTTTCACTGCTTCGGTGTCAAGAACGCCTAGTTAATGGCAGGGAGAAGGTGGCGTCCGGGCTAGTCCATAAATGTAATTTGATATCTTGAGGCTACAAGGTCTTTCAGCTGACGACTAGCGTGATATACGACGAGACAGTGGGTAAATTACAGGGGCGTTGGCATGATCCCTGAGAGGTAAAGAGGAGCCTCGGAGATATCTTTGCATCGAGAATTATACCTGATATTTTGGACCATCAGAGATCTTACATCATGCCTTGAGCTAGGCCTTGAAACTACCTACTCCATGAACGACGATAGTCCAGAACTCTCCCATGCGGCCACCAGCGTTCCAGCTCCTGCCAATAACTACTATTTCTATGCTTTACAATCCCTATACCAAGCTAGACTCCGAGATCCCACTGTAAGAGAGGAAGTTGTGTTTTGGAGGAGACCCAATAGACTGAAAGCGCAGCTCGGAATGTTATCGGTACCGGAAGGAGCACAGTCAGGTCGTGCTTTGATTGATCCTAGGCCCAGTGTAGTATTCCAGGGATCACTGTTCAGGGCGACACTCATTCTTGCCGAAATTGATAAACTCGGCCTGGGTGATACAGCTCTAGCAGTTAACATGGCATCGTCCTCATCTTTAACGTCACCGGGAGCTGGTGTAAGCTTCGCTTGGTCAGTGTAGCGTTCGACAAGCAGTCATCTGGCAATTGCCTTCGAAGCATTGGCGGCCCTCAGTGCGGACATGTGACCAAGACGACCATGATGAGAGCTCAGAGCTCCCTGCGAACAAGAAGTTTAACGGAGTCGATTCTAGTGGCGGCGCAGGCTATCATCAATGCAGAACCAGCAAAGCAGCTTTCATGATCTAGACTTGCTCAAGCTTTAACAAACTTTCCAAGGCTGGGATAATTCCTTAAGCCGTCATCTGGCAAAATGTGCTCATTGCCGCTGGTAGTTGTAAATTAGCAATTTTGTAATGATTCCCGTGACCAGGCCTTCGTTGATCAGGCCTGACATGATTCAAAAGCCATAGAAAATCGGGAGAAAAGCCCTTTTTCAGTGTCCATGGGAACGTTGCAGCGTGATTAATGCCAGAGTCGTTGTTGAGTAGTAAACTGGTGAACCCATTTCGGCGCGTTGCATCATGTACCGCCGACTACCAAAAGCTGTCACACGTTTGAGCATCGGCGCCAATGTCTGCGAGTCTGGCATAAATTGCTAGAATGTCAGTCGTCACAGCTGCATAGAGAAGAAAAACTAGCAACGAGCTTCCTCCGTCTCGGAATGGATACTGGTTAGGAACAGTACTTATGAACTCACTCTTGCAGCATACCGTTGTTCATATATATTCCGTGACTCTTAAGTCCCTGGGCTATCGCGTGGACCAGCGTTATTCCGCCCACTTCCGTCATCCTCGCCAACAGCATCATCAATACGGCAATTTGGGCGCCACACCAGCCGTAAAGATTATTGGAGACCTGACCGGCAGACCTCGGGGTTCAATGTGTTGAATATAATGTTGGCTTGCTCCCTTTTCGTTCCTGGCGCCTGGGCTATACATTAGCAAAAGCTCTGGTTTGGAGGAGGTGGAGAAGCTTCTAGACATGGCATTTTGAGCACTACATCAGCTAAGGATACCTCCCAAATGCAAATTTTTGTCTATCGGGCTCAGACAGGAAAAGTCGTGAAATGAAAAAAGGGCCTGGCCACTAGCAGCGCCGCACTACACAAACAGTGGCGAAGATCAGCGTGACCACTTTGGTTATGATTCCGGCCGCCGCATCTGCCCGGGCATTCACCTTGGCGAGCGCGGTCTCCGGATCGGCGTTGCAAAGCTCCTTTGGGGTGTAGATATTGCGCCATCCAAAGAAACCGGCCACGGGCTATCATGATGGTTTCCTTGCGGCACCGAGAGACTTTCGCGTCGACGTGACCGTGAGTTCCCATGCTCATTGTGACACTATACTCCGCGAATTCGGGATGGCCAAGACAGCCGTTTTTACTAAGTATGAAGATGGATTATACGGCCTATCATGGGATTCTATGAAGTTGAGAAGACAGGCTGCTATTAAATTTCAACGTTTTAGGGTGGGGGAAGGAGGTTATGGGAGAGGTTGCTAAGATTAAAGGGTAGGCTTGGATGTGGTAATGTTGGTAGTATGTACAGTAAGTGGCCAATCCATGGATGAATCCGCGAAGCGGAATCTGCTTGAGCAAGTTATTCCCAGCAATATCGATGAAGCAGGTCATCCAGCAAATGCGTGATAGATTCCCTGAGTCTGATACAACACAGCTTGTTCATGGCTTCGTAAGGGTCGCTGAGGAATCGGAGAGCACCCTCTTAGAGATGAAGATCTTCTAGTGTACACTGAGACACCTGGATCAAACTTGATACAGAAGGGTCGAATTCAGATGCAGATACAGAGGTGCCAGTACTCCCAGTTGGCAGGGATAAGTTTTCCAGTGTCACAAGAGTTATGGCGGCTGTCAATAAGCAGCCTGATGCTGAAAGTTCCAACGGAAAGGGGGCGGTGAATCTTGTGCATGGCGAATTAAAGGCGTCCCCCAGCTCCAGAGACAAGTGCATGAGGGCCAGGGCTAATTTGGCCAAGATATGAGCGCGGTCAGACCCTGACTCGTCGGACGACAGTTCGTCCCGTTCGTAAGACTCTGGTTATGACGATGATTTTGACGACCGTGTGTCGGATAAGTCCTCTAGCGACAAAGAGGACCTAGCAGTAAGTGCCTACGACTTTTCGGGAAGATCTACGTCGCTGCAGGTCAACAGACGAAAAGCATGTTGTCATTTAGTTCCCATATGCACCTTTGATATTGATCAGACCCCGTAGTAGGATTTCTCCGCTAGCACAAACCCTACAGCATATCTCTTCAAAAGTAGAGGTTTGTCATACGTGGGTTTTTCTTTTTCGCGTTCTACTTGCAGCCATGGCGTGGCCAATATAAACTAGGCATACTGATACCTAGCATCTATGAGAATCTCAACCAGAACAGGCGCTGATTGGTTCACAGGTCCCAGCCCGTCGGTAAGCCCTCGAGACTAGCACTAAGACAGATAGATGCACAAGGCCGTCAACAGTAATTACACAAAGTTTAACGTAGTTGAATTTCATTAGCGGGAATATGAAAGAAGACGGTAATGAGCTCAGCCGCCGGGCACATCTTTAATCAGCAACTGGGCAGCCTGCAACCACGTCTGGACCCACGAAATCGCCTGAGATCAGGACTTTGGTATTGCTCTTCTTCAAGCACAAAATTCACCGTCGAGGAACTGGCAGATGGGAAGGTACGGCCAAGTACAGGGCTACAAAACCCCGCCTCAAACCAGAAGTAACTATCATAGAAAAGAAACAAAAAACATCCGTTTTTGGCCATCGTATAAATTTTTGGCGTCCGTCAGTAATAAAGGTTAATTTAACGTGGGCGACGTTTCTTTTACGTTATACCTCCGCCACAATCTAGTCTTCTAGGATTTTATCTAGATCCCCGTATTTTTGTATTTTTGTATATAGCTGGAGCAACTATCAACATGACATAGCAACGTATGACCTGATAGGTGAATCTTTATCGCCATAAGCTCGATTTTAACGTAGGAGACCGAGTTTTCCTTAACAAAAGTATTGTGACTCAACTGGATTATCTGATAAACAATTACTTATTAAACTTATTAGCAAAACTATCTCCTAAGGTTTGCAATACCGGAGTTTACTCGTTTGTGCTTGATCTGCCTAATACCTAGAAAGGCTCCCACATGTTCTTTACCGACCGACTTCGCAAGTAATTATCTCGATAATCCCCAAAGGATTACCGCCCCACGCTCACACTACAATAAGCCCCGAAATTCATACCAAAGGAAGGGGTAGGACCTGGATCCTACGTAGTACGACGCCGACAACTTCCAAAACGCCATGCAAATTGTGTAATATTGTCAAGAGCATCCCGATCAGGCGGAACCGCCCGTGCGTTATCGACAAATAGGCACAAGCCTTGGAAGAGGGGACACACGATCCACTCTATAAGGATGACTAGTCTGGGCTGCATGGATGATGACACTCTGATAAGCCCATCCCTTACAGCCTGAGGAAATCACACCTCGGGGCGTGTCTTCTTTGGAAGGGGATAATGTGGTAGCGCTGGCAGCTGCCCTACTTACCCTGGCTGGCACCCACATTGCCACAAAGTAGCTAGCGAACTTCCCGTAGCTCCCAATTCCTCACGCTATTATTACATTATTGCTGGGGTACACTGTAGCCTTGCCTTAGCCACCTTGCAGTGCCGTAACAAAGTAATAGTCAATACGAAAGAGCCCAGAAAGATAACTGTTAGCAGGCGATCCAGGCGTTATGAGGTAACATGTGTCGGGGACGGTTGGTTTCCTTTAGGGCCAACACAAGTCGAGTAGGGAAAAGTTGACACTAGCTTCAAACGAGCTTCAAACGCTCAAGCGCCCTAACCGCTGGGGATTCAACTAAGCCCTTGATGCGTATACGATACCACGTGCGGCAAATCCGTTCGGGGGTTGTTGGGATTGGTTGAAGATGAGTATGCATACGAAGGAATGGATCAACTTGGGGCGTAGTGTAATACCAAGTGTGGGGAGAAACACGAGGACTGATTGGGTTCTAGCTATCTGTCTAGGAGCCAATCGGCCTAAATAGCTATAGACCAAGGTCTAGGCATCAGGCGCCGAAGGTCTTTTAGATAACATGGGCTTAACACTTCGGGGTCTATCAGCGGGGTAGTTACAACCCCACCTTCACCGGCTTCTGGAAATATTCTCAATACTTTTGTGATTTGTTTTACCGATTTCGACTCGAAAGCTCGACTCCACTGCAAAATGAGTCATGCGGGCTTGGCCACAGATCGGGATTATGACGTATGTACCGGTAGATCCTGCGCTGGCCTGAGGAGAGTCTTGTATCGGTTGGGGTTGGGGCACACAGAGAGATAGATGTGTGACGTATTGAAGAAAGCTAGGCTAGTGCTGGTGGGCTGGGACCAAGCAGCGGTAGCTACGCACCAATCACCTACTACAAATGTAGTCTGCAGCGAGCTGGATGGATATTGAAGACCTCAAGGTCAATATGAGCTGAAAACTCAAAATATAGACTTGATCCTTGATCACGGACCGTATGGAATCCTTCCAAGAAGTGGGGGGAAATAGGGCGAGTACCCATTTTTAGCGCCGGATCCGGGGACTTGGGAATCCTTCTTGATAAGCCGGTGATTTGCAGCTTATCTGTAGGAGAGCGGACGGGATCCCGAGCGCTCCGCAACCTATGGTCGTCGGTATCAGAATATAGCAATAATCATCACTATAACCGAGAGTGGTTCGGTTTGATCTGGAGAGCAAAAGAACGTACGAGGGCACAGATGTCGGGCTCCGCCGTCCCGGTGAACACTGGACAGGCAAGCCCGCCAATGACATATTCAAAACTTTATCCTGCACTTCAGAAATGTCTGACTGTATTGCAGCAGGTCTCCCCATGCGCACATCGAGGGTGATTTCCATTTTGGCTCGAAGCTTTTCTCATAATCCATAATCAGGACATCGTATCTTGCAGCATCTATGCTGAAACTGTTAAACAGCTGAGTGGCAAGAAATAAGATACGGTTGAGTGTCCATGCATTACAGGACGTGCACTGCCTAGCTTGATAGGACTTTGGTAAAACATAGTAGATGCAACATGGTGGAATACCGTCAGAATATACATATATGTCCAAGTGAATTAGAAATTATAATAGCCACGACTCGCCCAGGCATGTCACGATGTAGTACAACATGTGGGGGTAGCATACCAGACACGCATTGCCGGCGCAGTCACTCCGCTAATCCACGATCCGGTCACGGACATATCTAGAATGGTATACTCAGGGATCCATCCTCCTGTATACACTTCGCCATGCCGTACCGCCTGGACTCGAGACTCCACTCGAGCACACCAGTAATGAAGTAGCGGCACCACTTGATGAAGGCTTGTGTGTCGGTGCTGAGCTGTGCGTCGTCGGCCGTCATCTTGGTCAGATTGTCAACCGCCGTCTCAAAAGTCCTCATCGACTCCTCCAGAACAGCCATGAATTCGGCAGTGACAGATTCGAGGTCCTTCTGGTTCTCGGGTGGACTGTTCTTGAACATTACTGGCACGATATTAAAAAACGAGCCTTGTGCCTAAATACGATAAATGATTAGCATATGTATTATAATGTATCTGTCGGCGGCGGTGATGATGACGTACAATTTCTTTCTGTACAGAGTATATATCATTGAGGACAAGACATATAATAACCGTTTCTCGCCAGAGTGACTTCATAGCTTCACTCTCCATGATGGACTCAGGTAACCTTACCCGAAGCATGTAACTAAAAAGACGTAAGCACAAGCACAACTACCAGCGGATGAACAAGACAAGACCACTTACTCAGTAATTGAAATCTGCGGCGCACATCCCACCGACCCCGACCGGATCTCCATATACTTCTCTGTCGACGGTATCGACCCCCTAAGACGATGCGTATGCTCAATACCAACCTGGAGCATGAAGTACTCCAGCTCGCGGAAAAAGCGTTTCCGCTGCACTAAGTCGGTCGTAGTCCGCATTCCCCGTCCCACGTCGGTAAACAGTACCATGTTGGTATTCGGCGCTTCTTCGCCATCGTGTTTTCCTCCGGCTTGGGCATCAGACCCTTCGTCGAGCCCCAGCGCCTGGCGGACGTAATTCCGCGACTGACGGGCGTAGACCCGCGTCAGCTCCTCGTCGGTCGACACGGCCGTGTCGCCGGCGTCGACTTCATCGTCCCAGACGAAGATCCATACTGAGTAGGCCGTGGCGATTACGAGCTCTTCCCATTCGGCATCGGGGTACCAACTGAGATGTGTTAGTAATCTTGGTTTCCATATCCGGATCCAGCCGTGAGAAAGGGATGACTGTGAAGGACGTACAGAGCAAGAAGACGGGCAAAGTCAGCGCGTTTCAGCGCCCGCAGTTTCCTCTCGTCACTGATTATGCGCTCGAGCATTGAGTCGACGAGGCCCTCGAGCTTCTTTGCATGCTTATTGGTTGCGCAAGGCCAGTCGGCGAACGTCTTCCTCAAGTCGGGGATGCGGAGTGTCTTTCCCCTTAATTGGCCCGCCAGCGTCAGGGCGTCGCCCAGAAGAGCGGCATCACTTGAGCCGGGACATGGCTGAGTTTGTTGATAATTGGTACCGGTCTTCCCCGTTAGTTGCCGGGCATCCGCCTTTTCCACCGCCGTGGCGCCGGACAACAAGGTCCGGGAGTTAGTAGGGGAGGAGAGAAAGGCGGTCAGCCAGGAGCGCAGCCAAAGCAGGAAGGCTTTCATCTTCCGGAGTCTGTCCAGCATCATGGTGATAACCTCTTCTCAGAGTAGAAGGCTTGCTGTGGTGGCACTCGTAAATTATTTTTTTCTTAACGGAGATTGTAAACTGTAACAAGATTTGTCCCGTGCGAAATTATTTCATTCTTCTGTTGTCTTCAGATATTGGTCTCTACGAGAGGTCCTTATCCCATCCTTATAGCTCTCCCCAACAGGGACCAACCCTTCCCGAACCGATAACCTTCGGGAACCTCGCTAGACGAACCGACCGAGGTCTGTACAAGATGTGCCCTAATTCCCATAACGTCCCAGGCCAAGTAACTAGCGTTATCTTGAGGTCAGCGAAGGGGGCCCCAGTTCGTAGTATTGGTTGGTCGTCCCACTGTGGAGCGGTGCCATATCGACTATGTTAAGATCCAGCCGGGCTTGCTTGTTAACTTGCAACGATGCCATAAGCCAAGGATTCCACGGCTTATTACATCCACCTCGGCCTGAAGAAGATCAGAAACGGTGAGGGTAGGGATGGGGCACTGAGAGAATAAGTTCATTGACTGGGTCTGCAAGTAGAGAAAGCCACACACAGTGTCTTGACATCAACGGGCTCGTACATCATGTAAGACCGAGTATCGTATAGTGACAGGTCTTGGCACCAAGACCCTCAGAGCTTCGGCCTAATTGTTAGAATGAGCTGGTCATCTTTTGAATTAAAAATGACTGCTGAATTGGACAAATCTCTGGAAAATCACCGATGATTGCTACGGTGCAAGCCGAATATCCCGACGTAGAAGTGTGGCCCGATATAACACTTGGTACACAGTCCCGTTCCACTTTATTATACACTGTATCAGCTTTTGCACGGTATCCTTGAATGTAACCAAAAAGTAGTATTCCTAGTTGAAGCAGTCAATGGGGCAGGGTCCTTCCTTGCGTTCTGTGCGATGGGCGGTGCGTGCCGCTGAGGATTCCACGGACGGAGATCGGGTTCGCACGACCGGGGCGATGGCGATGGCGATGGCGATGGCGATGGCGTGGGAACCATTCACCTTGGATATCGTCAGTCCATCTTAATAGGATAATTAATTCCCTAAGGACGTGACACAAACCATATTAACTGCATGCTGCCCACTGCAAAGTCGTGGGCCTAGGCGGACACGACCATGGGGACTAAGTGATCGCAAAACATCCGTTTCGTCTCATGATGGTTAATTAAAATGCCTTTCTGATATAGTGGAGGTCCCCGGAACTATTGACCCTCATATTGTAGGATACCCGATAACTGCATGAATATCTGGCGCCCGCTCCAATTTGTATCGAGTAACTGTATATTTCGATACGTGTAGGCCTTCCCGATATATCTACTTAAAGGATACGTTACCGGGGGTTTGGGGCTGTGAAGTGGATAACATCAGGCCTTTTCGTGGGTATAAGGCTACGTACCCTTCGAAACCTGAACTAGTCCCGTAATTGTGGCCTTAATAATGCCGAATATTTTTTTTCCAGATTTGTCGGAAATGTCTCTAATTTCCTGAATTTTCCACTTTCATTTAGTGTATAATTTACTCTGACTGTAAAAATATCGGCTGCCCGCCACAAATGCAGCAATAGGGTCCATTACTAGAATGCTTTGTTCGAGTTCCGTAATGGGGTGTCCCATGGAGAAATCAAGGTATATCAGAGGTCATATTGTTTCATGCGGTAAGGACCTTATCTTGGAGTCTGCAGTGTAACTAGCCATGGACCTGGGTGAGTAGAAGTTCGGTTGCGGTGATGGACCAACCAATTACATGCAATATGATCAAAGTGTCCCGGAAGTTACCAGTGTGGCGGCGCTTCCCTTTTTGGGACTTGTTCTCCAGCATAGCAACTGAGGAGGACATTCGCTTTCGAGCATTTGGTGGAGTGAGTGGCTACTATCTCCGCTGCGGAATCGATAGTTGCTTGAACAGGGTTTGACAAACATGGTGATCGCTTTTTGCTTTCAGAAACTCTAGTCGTCCTGACGATCCTTTCCAATAATTAGACCGATCGGCGTTGAGACCCTCATCTGAGAAATTTATCGTCTACACATAGAATACCTACCTTATTCTCCCAGGTAATGGATAATAGCAGATCGATGTGTGTGGCACAACTCGATTGGAGTGCTGGTTGCACTTTCCTGGGGTGCCTAGGGAACTTCAAACAAGTAAGCCCCATAGCCGAGGTTCGATCCTGGGGGTTCACTCAGCAGCGTCTGCAGTGGAAAGCCAGGATGTAACGATCATGAGCCGCGAATGCCGGTTACGAAAGACGTGCAAAGGAAAAAGGGCATGAGTCGCGTAGCATAATGTGGCTCGGCGTGGTTCGATGTCGGCAGCCACTACTATTCTGGCCGAAGAAGAATGGGAAGTTTCAGTGGGCCCACACCCCACGTGGAGGCCAGCACTTAGCACTTTTATTGGCAATGTCAATATGCTTCCCAAATTAGGACCATTGGTCGGGTGATCAGCAGGACTACTGGCCGTGTCGTCAAGCCCCTCCTATTCCCGATCACTGCATACGACCCCTGATGACCGGATATTCTACCACGTTCCCCGTCAGTCGACCAGGGTCAAGAGCGAGATGGGGGCCGCAAGCCGACGCGAGCTTCGACGCAACCTACTACAATTTCTGAAGTTTGGTTCCAATGGGTGTTAGACTGACCCAAAACGAAGGTTCGCCGTCAGTCAACGGCGTCCAGGGTAGGTACGGCAGGGAACAGGGCGGGAGCTTGGAACTCATCCGCGCGGTCACTGGTTTTCGGCGGCCCTATTGCTCCTGCCAGCATAAAGTCCGTTTGGGCGGACTCCGCTGCAGCCACATTTCACGGTCGCTTCTGAATCTGCCGGCTGCTGCTCGCATTCGCAATGCAACGTCCGTGATTGCTTGCCTTGTCAGTGGTGCAAGTTGACACTGGACGATCCAAGCCTCCCCAACGGTTCGTACCGCGGCCGCTACATACTGCATTGCATTACATTCCCGCTTGCCTTTTTGGACCGCTGACTGGCTGGCTAGGTGTTCGTCACGACTTTTTGAAACAAGTCAGGCCCCCCTGCCCATTGCTCAAAATCTGGAGCTTCAGAGGAGGACCTGACAGGGCAGTAAAGCAAGGTGGTCCAGTGCAGACGGGCCACGCCGATGGGAAGGATACGTCGTCGGCCATCAGGTTCCTTCCAATATTTCCTCAGCCGTAATAGTTCCAGACTCTGACTGAGTGGTATTTTGCCATGCCCATTGACAATGAACCGGATCAGAGAGACGCTGGCCCGCCTAACGCGCGCCGCACGTGGATCACGCGATGAAACCGCCACCTTTCGCCGCACTACCAACGCCGTCCGCGGCTCCTCCCTGGACGACGTTGAATACGGTCCGTTAGTTCTCTACAACGAGATTCAGGACGGCGAGGAGGGCGTCGATATTGTCCTGGTCCACGATCTGTATGGGAACCGCATCAGCAGCTGGACTAAGGGGGCCGTTTGCTGGCCTCGCGACCTACTCGCCCATGATTTGCCCGGCGCCCGTGTCATTGTCTGGGGATGGGCCAGCGCTGGCTTTGCGGACCAAGCCGACCTGCTGCTGGCTGACATTTCGCGCATGCGCAATGGCACAACCCGGCCCATCATCTTCGTGGGCCACGGCCTGGGTGGCGTCGTTATCAAGGAAGCCCTCGTCACGGCCGCCATGTCAAGAATTTACGGCTCTCACACGTCACTGGGCAATGTCTACCCCAAGACAGTCGGATGCATATTTCTGGGTACGCCCCATACCCGGAGCGGGAAACGTTCTTTAGGCGACGTCGTCGCCGCCGCGGCGCTGCTCGCGCCACGCACACCGAGTCTGCCGTTGTTGCGGGCGCTGAGGGACAGCAATGAAACCTTGGAGCAGCAGCATGGCACTTTTCTGATGATTTCGAGAGATATCAGGGTTGTGTGCATGCGGGAGGAGCTCCCGACGATGGTTAGAGATCCCGAGGCACCAGGGGGTGGGAAAGGGGCGATGGCTCAAGTCATGATCCCAAGGGATTGTGCTGCGTATGCTGGAAACATTGCCGCCAACGTGACAAGAGATGAGATAAGGGCAAATCACGCCGACATAGCGAGGTTTGCGGAAAGGGATGACTTGGGCTACCTGCAGATCGTGGCCCACCTCTCCAGAATGTCCTGCGGCCCTTCGCCGGCGCAAGTTGAGGCGAGGGCTATTCGCAACCAAGGTACGTTATCCGTTCCCCGTAATCTATAAATGAGTTTCGCTTACAATCCAATCAAGAAATCCTCGATACACTGTACTTCGACACTATGAGGGAACGCGAAGCCCGCATAGATAGTGCTTACGGCCAAACCTGCGAATGGATATTGTCGCCCAAAGTCTCCCCTTTCCATGATTATTTGAAATCCAATGATCCTATTCTGGTTGGTGCAACTCACAACCCCGCGGCCGATCAAGCGCTGACTTAAAGCTTCTAGTGGATCAGTGGCAAGGCTGGCTCCGGCAAGTCGACTCTCATGAAGTATGCATGGTCCTCGGAGAAAGTCAAGCACGAGCTCGCCGATGGCTGGGCCAAGGACGGCGATCTGCATATGGCCTGCTTCTTCATGTTCGAGGGTGGGAACCGCATCCAGAAGAGCTACGAAGGCATCCTGCGGAGCGTGTTGTACCAGGTTCTGTCGACACGGACCGATCTTATCAATGTTTGCTTTCCCAGCTTCTTTGACGGCCCATGGCCGCCACCCACCCAATTCAATAGCATCACCAACCTAAACCAGGGGGTGTACTCCCTTTTTGCCCATATGTCGGAGACTTTGCGTCTCTTCGTCTTCCTGGATGGGATCGATGAGTACCGCATCATGGAACGAAAGGATTACTACGCCAAAGAGGATCTCGAAATCGCCTATGGCGACGACTTCGATACCAACGATGAAGCGTGGGGACGAAGCAAATGGATCAACGACTCGCACCAGGAGATCGCCAAGCTTGTCACCTCCATGGCCAGCAAAGACGTCGTCAAGTTTATCATCACGTCTCGCGAACTGCCTATTTTCGACGAGGCGTTTGCCGACCTACCCAAAATCAGACTCCAGGAACATACCGAGAAAGCCATTGCCATGTACGTGGAAGGCCGGCTTGAAGATGAGGCGCCTGGTCTGCCCGACTCAAAGAACCTTTGCAAGCATGTGGCGCAGAAGAGCAGAGGGGATATACTCTGGGCCAAACTAGCCATCGACATGGTGGTCGATTGCAGTTTACGTACATTAAAGCCCACTCTGGACTCTCTACCGACACAACTCGGCGGGCCCGATGGGCTGTATATGCGCATGCTGGAGAATCTGAGCTCGGAATACCAGTGTGATGCCAACCGAATATTCCACCTTGTTCTCAAGGCGCAGGAGCCCCCAAGTTTGCTCACTCTCGCGTTCGCCGAGGAAGGCCACGTAGACCCTGTCACCAAGGAGCTGCGGATCACCCTCGACAGCGCGCAACCTCACACTAGAGCCTCTATCCAAAAATTGACGGATAACCAGCAGGCACGCCTGCAAACGCGCTGTGCCGGACTCCTCGTGGCTGAAGCTGAACCGAGCGACAACTCTGTTGAAATGGCCCAACGCGTCGTCTTCGTGCATCAAACGTCCAAAGAATGGGTCGGTCGCAAGGATGTCTGGCAACGGCTTCCCTCGACCCCGGTTCTCGACGAAGTCGAGCTCGACTTTTCGCTCCTGAGCGGCTGCGTGCGCCACCTCATGGCCTTCGACGTACACACATCAGCCGTGTCCGTCTGGTCCACGCCGAAATTCCTCCCCGACGCCTGGTTCCTCATCGCCAACACCCTGCGGTACGCCGAACGCATTGATGGCTCCCTCGGTGACGACGCGAAGAATCATTACTTCGCCCTGATGGACGCCCTGGATATGACGTGTCAAGCAGCCTGGATGACGGCGTTGCATTCCCAGAAGCCCATTAATCAAGACCCGGATTGGTACGAGCGCAAGATGCAGAGTCTCGTCAAGAAGCACTGGGCGAGCCTCGAGCCTATGGAGGTGGGCAAGTCGCCCAAAAGGAAGGACTTTTTGGCTCTGGCCGTACAGGCCAATCTGCTCCAATACGTGGCGCACAAATTGGAAAGTCTCGACCCAGAAATGCGCAAGAAAAAAGCGCAGGAGTTGCTCGTGTACTGCGTCAGCCCGCACGCCGAAGGCTTCAGCGCGTGTGTGAGCCTGAGTGGCGATTGTCTCGACTTCCACCGCGACATGCCCGATACGCGACTCCTAGACATTCTCTTCGACAGCGGGGCTAGCGTTAAAGATTCCGACGACGATAAAAATACCAATTCCAGCAAAACCTGGATCAAGGCCCTGAAAACAGGCCGGCGGTACTTCTCCCGAGGCAGCGCAACCATGTCGCACCTAATGGAGACGGGGGCCAGCCGACGGCTGATGCTGAATCGGGAACGGTGGGTAGCGGCAGTCAAGGCGCTGCTGCTGCACGGCGCGGACCCGAATGTGGAGATCCAGATCACGGGTACTGGCACCGGAGCGGGACTGAACGCCGGCGGTATCGGGGAGGAGAATGGAAGCACGGATATCGTGGTGGCGGGGGATTTCATCCGGGGAACTTTGGAGGGGGAGCCTGAGTACGCGTTGGAGTTGATGGAGTTGGAGATGATTATGGGGAGGAGAGGGAGTGTGCAGATCAATAGTTGAGGTGTCGAGACCGGAGTGCTAGAGCGTTGGGCGGCATGACTTCTAGTAATGCGCTGTGCTAACCTACAACTTATTCCGCAATATATTGATAGTATGCCTAGGTACTCAATAATAGCTTGACCTCAATAGCTTAACCAGCGTCTGGGCAAACACATTGCCGGTAGCACGCTACACATCCCGTCTTGATGTGGAAGGCACCAGTAAGCCCCGCTCAGCCCCCGCATCTTATCTTCCAACCCCTTCTAGCCAAACTTGGGTTTGCATGATGCACCCAACTGTCGCGATACGTGTGAAAACCCTGGACATGCAGCTGATAAATGCAGGAACAATGACGCCCATCGTTTCCCAAAGACAACTTGTGTCTTCACTAGATAGGAAGCTTCGGTCGAGAAACTTCCCTTCGACGACAGCGCCCTCGGCTTCTTTCATCAACTCATCACCCCCCCTCAAGTTTGCGAGCATGTTGGCATTCTTGCTGGCAGCAAATCTCTACCTCGCCCTCAATTGGTTCAATGGCGCCCATGGCATTCCCACGGAGAGAGATGATGTCTCCGCCGGTCCCATGGAGGTCTTTCAGGTAGAAGTGCCGCTTCGACGCGATTTCGCGGGGACGAGTTGCGAACAGGTCATTGTTGAACATACGTTCGCAGCCAGCTATGGCACTCCCTATGTTGGTAAGAAAGCTAGTGCTGTGCTGGAATGGTGCACTTGGCCCCCCATACTGATTTACGTTGTACTGAATCCACAACTAATGATATCCAGGCACTTACGCTCCACGTGAGAACTGCGAGTTCAACACAGTTATATTCAACATTTCTATAAAATCCAGTGGCATAAATTATGATCGATTGGGACTGTTGTTCTTTGGCGATATCGAAATCTTGCGTACAAGCACCGCCATGCCAACGCGGACCGGCATCTTCTGGAACTTTCAGAAGGATATGACCATCTACGACAGTCTTCTCAGGTCGGAACAGAAAATTATTATGCAGCTTGACAACATCTATGACTCAGTCTTCACCGGCGCCTGGGACGTGACAGTCACAGCGCTGTATTACAATGATGACTACGACGGCCCGCTCACCCCTGCTGAAATCATACTGCCCCTTTCAACGCTTTCATCTGCGGTGAATAGCTCATCAGTGTTCTCACTGCCAAATGATAATACCACAATGGCTCACACCCTACCAAGAAATGCAGCCAGAACAGTGGTGAACATCGTCGCCTCGGGCAATGGCAATGAGGAATTCTGGTATCGTCATGTTCCGTCCGAGTTCGCCTATACGTTCAATTCCACCAAAATCAAAGACAACGGTCCTTTCCGGGAAGTACAGTTGTTCCTTGATGGTAAGCTAGCAGGTGTGAGCTGGCCGTTCCCAATTGTCTTTACAGGAGGCATCAACCCTGCTCTCTGGGTTCCTATCGTCGGATTTCACTCATATGATGTTCCCAGCTATCAGATCGACATCTCCCCATGGCTTGGTATCCTATGCGATGGACAGCCACATACGTTTAGCTTGGCTGTGGCAGGATACGACTCCACAACGCTACTCGGAACAACTAATGAGAACTGGTGGATCAGTGGGAGCATTTTCGTCTGGATTGATAAAGCCGGTAACCAAACCACTGCTGAGGTACGTGCAATTGTATAAAGGAACAGTCAATGGTCGAACATATACTAATTGAGCATTAGAATCTTATATCAACAACGCCGCTGCCCACATTTGATCTAACAGACAACACCATAACTTCTGGTGTGGTCAACACATCCATATCACTTATCTTGAATGCCAAGAGACACCTATCTCACTCGGCCCTGGTTACAACATCCTCTGGAACACAGCTTCTCACTTGGTCCCAAGAGCTCTTCTACTTCAACAGCCAATACTGGACCGACGTCACTCAGTACTCATCAAACGGTACCCTGGACCAGAGAACAAACGGTATTGAGACCTTCTCGCCCCTAGGTCCCGGCGCTTCGATCACCAATACTTTCAGATATTTCATCTCGACCGTCCAAAACGTATCATATCCCGTCAATCACGACCTCTCCAACTCGTCGCTATACGGTTCCATTGACCACTCAATATCTTGCGGGTCAACCCCTATCCTGTCCTACCTCACATACCCATCCGTGTTTGCATCTTTCAATCAAAGGCTTGCCACGCGGCAGGTCGGCTGGGCCGTTGAGTATTGGAATAACACATATTATCAGGAAGCTGGTGCTATTGACCCAGCCGAGAGCTCCGACGGTGAGACTGAGCAGTGGTATACGTATTCCGGTCCGATAAGCGATGGATCGAGTGATGAAACGCATTACAGTCGGCATGTGAAGGCGCTGGATGGGTACGAGCCGGTGTTGTTGGTGGATGATTAAGAAGTGACCTCCTTTACAATTCCTTCACCGTCACTGAATAGAGGAATTTTGTGTGGACCGTTGTGTCTCAGGACCTGTTGCAGAATCGAATTCACTAGTAGGCATAGGAGATGACAGCCTGCTGAGCGGAACTTTTGAAAAGAGATCATTATGAAAATTAATTTAGATACTTCTAGCCAGGACTCACATGCCTTTCTACCTAGAACTCGAAACTGCGGGAAAGACCCCTCATAGGCACAAGAACTCATCACATCCGGTATGCGGGCCAATTTCTGACCAACCAGGATGCTCAAGCGCTGCCGCATAGCAACAGCGTGTGTGAAAAAAACCGTCATCGCGTATGACGATGGCTACATATCAACATGCACTGCCGTATGATGCGCAGACTATTTGGCAAGCTCCCGACGGAAAAAAGTGAGAAAGCGACTACGTGCTCCGCTTGCCGACCTCTTTTAAGATCTGCCCGCAATGACGAACTTTGCCGGGGGCGCCGTATGAAGCTGTGGCTGCGACGATGACCAGTTTGCCCGCCTCGCCAGCAGCCACCATGATTTCGCGAGCTTAAATCGTAGCCGAGTGATCGAACCCGTTGAGGTGGTGTTATCCGGTGCCGTGCTACTCTGGATTACCTTGAGGCGGCGAAACCAAAGACAGTGATACGTGACCCCATGGGGGGTCTAGCTATAGATAAGATAGATAAGATAGATAAGAGCTATAAAAGAGCTCTGCCAGGCCAGAATAGCTGACCTGGTCATCCTTTCCCAATACAACAATCCACACCCCATATGCACTCGCATCAGACAGACTCAGCACAGAAAGTTATTCCGAACAGCAAGGCAACCAACCCATTGAAGTTACACAAGAGTGTTTCAAGACGTCGGGTTGTTAGTTACTAAGTGCGAAAAGTGAGCCCTAGCAGGGAAACTAGTGGGGGAAAGAGAGCCAAAACGCCTTAACTAGCACTAGGCTGCCAAGTTTGCACTTCCTAGCATTGTGGCCGTAGAAAAAGGCTTAAGGGATGCACAGGCTACTCGTAAGTTAACGTAACTCGACCCCAACCAGATAGTTCCCGAACATTGAGTGAGTGTTCTGCGGGGGAAACCTGTAGCTGACGGAGAGTAAAAACGACCTCCTAGGCACCAACACACGAATTCGTCGGTTTCCTCATTCATTGCAGAGTGGTTAACTAGTGACGGGGTATCTCATCGCTCTACAATCAATGTTCTCTCCTGATCTTTCACTCATTTAACTGACTCACTGCTTTCATACACCCTGAGTCTCTCGACACCATCTTGCATCATGTCGAGCTGTAATTATCCCTTGGAAACGGCGAAACCCGGACAACAAGATCAAGTAGAACCCTCGCTGGCACTGCTTGACTATAGTGCACGCCGTGAAGAATAAGCAGCCAACGTGTGGCCGACTTATACGATTCAGGTATCAAGCTTTGGACAAAGACTGGCCTGGCAGACATCGAAAGACAACTCGAACAGTCCACTACCCTCGATAGATTGATCATCCAGTGTATCAATGGCAAGCGAATCCAAGTGAGGAACCCTATATTCGGGGCACAGAGGCCAATCTGGTAGGACTATTGTAGCTCAACACTCGACTTACTCGGTAAAGCTTGGTATACACGAACTCTAAAACCAACCGTCTCCACTAATTGCAGGAAACCTTTCGTCACGTACCAAGAGTACAGGAAACTCATTATAGGACAACCTGAAGGCCCTCCCGAAACGTACTACTGATCCTATCTTATAGACTGGAAGACTCAGCTGGGGCGAGACCTCCGCGGCAATATTCTTTGTCTCTTATTGCCACCCTAAATTTTCGATTGAAGATAGTTAGACGCTCTCAGGCTAGGAAGGTGACCGCACCGAGGAAAAAAGGTTTCGCAACGAGTACGAATTTTTGGCGGAGTGAATGATAGTACACATCATCTGATTTATTTTAGTCTTGTTTCCTTCGTATTTCCTTCTGGTCTGTTATGTAGTTTGGATTTGTTCACAAATATTTACGTTACCCTTTTCTAGATCGACTTTTTGCTTTGTTACCCCTTCTCTTCCCTAATCTAGAGGCCCTCAATTCTTTCTAATGAATCATTTTCAGGCCTCCACAGTCGGCACTTTATCCTCCGTCTTCTTACTATCATGATTCGGAAGCCTTCGAAAGGGAATCACAAGCGACAGGACGACAGCGAGTGCCGATCCGACCATAGCGATTGCAAATGTGTCCTGAACCCCAACCATGTAAGCACCGAGCACAGCAGGCAGATCTGCTGCTCCACTAAAGACGGTCTGGATCTCGGAAGCGCCAGTGTTGATGACTTTGACAGCGTCGATATTGGGGGCAGTTGTCAGGAGAGTCTGCAACATGCGATTGGCAAAGATGGACTGTGCTACCACCAAGAAATATGCACCGCTGATGGATTGGCACACTGTTTGTAGTTAGGGGAAACACGATATCTATGGTAGAGTACGCATGCTTGTTAGGTGATACTTACTGAGCATGATACCAGTGGAACTTGCCACGTCTCCGGGCTTCGAGAAACCCTGCACTGCCGTCATCGGGACCTGGTTGCCGAGGCCGAGGGCAAACCCGAACAGAACCTGAGGACCAATGTACCGAGCTTGGGATGAGTCCACTTCCAGGGTATAGAAAAAGGCCATGCCAGCAGTCATCAAAAGGGCACTAATTAGCTGGTACGGCTGTAGGTAGCGTGTTTTCCCAACAATGACACCACTGACCAGAGACCCCACAGCGAAGAACGCCAGGAACGGAAGGGTGTTGACGCCGCTGGTAATGGCGGATTGGCCGTGGATGAACTGAAAGTAGATGGGAAGATAAAAAATAACCACGAAGAGGGCGGCGTTGGAGCTTAACAAGGAATCGCTGATTAGCCACGGCCAGAGTCAACTTGGAAAGATACTTACATAAAGCAGTACAATGCGTTGGTCCATGTCATGCGTGGTTTCATCAGCTTCAAGGGAATCATGGCACGACCGCCCTGAAGCCACTCAACGCCAATGAAAACAATAACCAGGAGAATCCACAGGATCAAGGTGGCTATCACAGAGCCGTCGTCCCACACTTTGGTTTGGCCACCCCATTGCAATGCAAAGGTCAAGCATACGAGTGATGCGAGCAACAAGCTAAAGCCCGGAAGATCGAGTTGTAAGATAATCTCGTTCCATGTGGCGGGAGCGGGCTTGACATGCCTAGGCATCTGCAAGAAGAGCAATACCAGGGCGATGATGGGAACCCCGAGCGGTAGATTGATCCATAAACACCATAGCCATGTGACTGCGCTCGTGAAGGCGCCGCCGATCACGGGCCCGAGAATAGTTGATATCATGAACACGCCCATCCAGCTACCGATCAGAACAGGATGGCTCTTTCTTAGGGTGGGCCACCAAGTTGATGACGAGGACTGAGCCGCTGAGAGTACCGGAGCCTCCCAGGCCTTGAAGAGCTCTCCCAACGATGACGGCTTCGCTATTGGGGGTCGCTGCGGCCACAAGGCTTCCAACCAGGTACAATGCGACAGAGGCAAGGTAAGCGAACTTGACGTTGAGGTACTTGTATATCTTTCCCCACACTGCAACCCGTGTAGTCAGTAAATAGCATGCTGGGTGTGTTTGATCGTAAGGGGGGATTGCTAATGGCGGCGCTACTTACTCGGCGAAGAGGCTCCGGCCAGAAGGAAGGTGGCGCTTCCATACCATCCGACGTCGTCAAGTCGGTGGAATTCGTCGGTGATACCAGGAATTGCGGTGGCGATTATACCAATCTCCAGGGCGGCGAGGATAGTGCTCAGGAAGATGGTGAACATGATGAGTAACAGACGCAGGCCTGTCGCATAATCGGGCTCAGCACCAGCAATTGGGCCTACGACATTACCCTGCTCTTGTTCCTCCTGTTCACTGTCAGGCGCGTCGGGCGCGGAGTACTCGCCGTTGTTGGTCGATTCTGTCGGGTAGCTTGCTTCCATCTTGGAGCTGTTGCTGCTCTCGTGAGACATTATCCCGAGTTGTGTTGCTTGGCTGTTCTGCGTTACCGTGCTTAATGAAAATTTGGCTACTATCTACCTAGGTAGGTAGACTCGAGAAAGCAGTTCTCAGGCAAGTTGCTACTTATGGGGGTGTGATTTTGTGGAACTTCAAAGTAAGTTCTACGAAACCAACATGAATCGAGGAATACTCAGGCACACAATTAATTAAATTAACGGAGGGAAACTCAGACACAGAGGGTAGGTACTAGTTCGCCCGCCGTATGTTTGGTCCGTCGTATCGATCGAAAACACGGTCAACATGGATTGAAAGTGTATAGAAGCAAAAAGGACCAATTATATTCTATTCCTTCCCTTGCAGTTGCAGTTCGACTAACGGAGGTACAAAGTTACTTCAGGCGTCCATTCAACCGCCGCAACCCCTGGCTGTCTCAATGATAAACCGCTATTAGTTGATGCAAATTCGTCCGCCGCGATTTTACGGACGAATCTCGAATCGTTCGTTGCTTAGTCAGCCCGTGACCAAAACTCCTTCCGCCGTGACTTGGCATTGCTCACTCCCAAGCCTTGGAGTTACACACGGTACATTATCTAGGTTCTAGTACTTCTACCTTTTGCCGTTGACAGCGTGATGCAATGTCTTCTCCACCTGCAGTACTGTTACGCCAGCGCCTGGCTCCGGCCGAGGACCCCGAGCCTATCGCCCAATCTGAGGCCAAGCGGAGGAAGGTCCGGAAGGGAACATACAGCTGTTGGGAGTGCAAGCGGCAGAAGATGAAGTGTGTCCTCGACGCACTCACCAATGCCGCCTGCAACGGCTGTCTGCGACGGGGCTCCAAATGTATCAGTCAGGAGTTCCCGGAGGAGGCCAAGGCTATGGCCTCGTATGGTGCAAGAACACTCACGATTCCCGGTGAAGATTCTATGAGGACGGGCCAAGGCATACTAACTCCCGCATTTATGAACTCTGACTCGAACCCTTCGCGATTTCTATTATTCTACAAATCTTCCGAGGCTCTTGCGCTAGCCTCAGAAGGCAAACATGAGAAGCTATCTCGGACCTTGCATAAACTCTTACCCTCGCGGGAGGATATCGAGAGGATATGCAGCGCTATTCGTCATCCTTCCGTCCTCACGCACGAGATATTGACCATGCCTTACGATATTCTCGACCAGGAGGGTCTGGAACCCGCAGACAGCTTGCTAGAGATCCCTAAACCGAATGCGCATCCTGTCCTGATAGCAAGGCACATGCTTAAGCTCGCTGTTTTCCTGCAGCATCTCCATCCTGATCTTCAGGAAAACATACAAGGACTGTCGGAATCGCCCCGAGCCATGTTGAAACAGTTGGCAGATCTTGCTATCAGTCTTGTCACCACGAATGACGAGCTTCTCGGCAGCATCGAGGGCCTCGAGTGCATTATGATTGAGGGTATGTATCAGGCGAATATTGGCAATCTCCGACGAAGCTGGGTATCAGGTCGAAGAGCCATGGGTATTGCACAGCTGATGGGCCTCGACCGGAAGGATAATCGGGCTCAGTATAAGGTGCTTAACCCCGACACAAAATACCATCCCCAGCTTATGTGGTTCCGAATCGTCTTTCTGGATCGCAATCTCTGTCTCATGCTAGGCCTTCCCCAAGGCTCCTCGACCGCAGCATGGCTTCAGACGCGATGCTTGCAAACGACACTCCAATGGGACGACTCGAGCGACTGCACTGCATTATTTCGTCTCGGATACTGGAGCGCAACAAACTCAACCCAAGCTCCCATGCTCTCGCTCTGACGCGAACCCTCGACGCGGAGTTGCAGAGAGCGGCAAGAAGTTTGCCTAGTAAATGGTGGTTGGCTCCGAACCTGGATATCACCTCGACCGAATCGCAAGGTCTGTTCTGGAATACGCGGCGCCTATACGCGCAGGTACTTCACTATAACCTCGTCAACCAACTCCATTTGCCTTACATGCTCCGCTCCTCGCCCTCGTCGGCTGAGCGCAAATACGAGTACTCGAGAATGGCTTGCGTGAATGCCTCGCGGGAAGTACTCTCGCGCTTCATCACACTACGCAGCTTTAACCGAACCGCCTACAGCTGCCGATCGGTCGACTTCCTCGCGCTTATGGCCGCTATAACCTTGCTACTAGCCCATCTGGACAGCCATCGCTTATTAGAGGCGGAAAACCTCTTGGCTCACCAGTATCTCGGCGATCGCGCCATGATTGAACAGGCGCAGGATAATATGAAAGAGTTGAACCGTATTAACTCAGATGCACTGAGCGCGCAGAGTGCTGACTTACTACGTCGGCTACTGAATATCGAGGTTGAGACGGCGGATGGTTATTCAAGTTGTGAGAAAGTGAGTGTGCAGGAAACAGGACTTGAGACGCCGCCACCTGATCAGGATGATGATGCTATCGTGAGCGTACATATTCCTTACTTTGGCATTATCAAGATTGCACGCGAAGGGGTGAGCAAGGAGCTTCTCAAAAAACAACTACACCAACAACAAGGTGCTGTAACAACCACTTGGGCATCGCCTCAGGTAGTGAAAAGGTCCAGCACGACAAGCGAAGAAATCTAGATGCGAGCCCCCGGGCTTGTGGGGCCTTGTGGAATTTCCACTACCTAACGAAGAGACACCGATCGCTGGTAGTTACGGTCCAGTCAACACACCTTCAATATCACAAGGCATACCAACTAGCAACGCAAAGTCTCAAACGCACCTAGGCGACCTTCAACTTCCGTCTAATGGCACCAACGAGATGGCCATTCAGATTGCCCCATCCGACCCTCTCTTACAACAAGGAGAGTATCCGGGACTGACCGCTGGAGGGGAAGACTGGGCATTTCAGGGCGTTGACATGGCTTTCTTTGATAGCCTGATGAGTAGCGCCGGGGATGAGGGGAACGAGGATGAGGGGAACGAGGATGCCGATTGGGCCACATGGCAGAGGTTAACATGAACAATACGTGGTAGATGATCTGCATCAGTGAGCGACGAAGGGTCAGAATATTGCTTCGCGTGAGCAAAGACAATGCACCCATAACGAACGTAGTTAAGTATAATACTACTAGGTCGCGCATGAACTTGAGTTTTAAATGAGAGGGCGAGATTAAGGACCACACTAAAGCCTGCACCTCATCTGCTCTTTTACCTCGGGGGCAAAGGCTGGACGGGCTTGCTCGACAGTGCAACAGACCGAAGAATGAACGTATCTATTGAATCAGGACCTAGGAGACAACATACGGCACAAAAAGAGAAAGCTCTCTCTCGGACTCCACGCGTCCCGTTTCATCTGTCCTTCTCTGAAATGACCAAAAGCCCGCTCCATCTCCGCACCAAGCAAGTTTGCGTATCCGGGGGAGGCCATGTCGATGAGCAAGAGGCCATCGACACTGTGTCCGGCTGCGGATAACTGGCGGCAGACTCCGTATGAGATCATGGCTCCGCCGGTTAATCCACCAATCCCAAAGGGTACGCCTTTCGGCTGCTTCATCACTCGGGCCTCGGCTATGAGCTTAGCGGCGCCCAGGATGCCCACGTCGACCGTCAGTCGGCTCGGACAGCGGAGGTAGGGGAATTGAATGCCATAAAGGGGCAACTTGGATTAAATGAATGCGGGAGATGGGAAGGTACGGCCAAGTACAGGGCTACAAAACCCCGCCTCAAACCAGAAGTAACCATCATAGGAGAAAGAAAAAAACATATATTTTTGGCCTTCATATAAATCTGCGGGCAAGTGGATGTAACTGCCGATGCTGCCCGTGCCGTCGGCAATCATGTAGAACGGCAGTGGACCGGTCGTAGATGAGCGGCCCTTGAGGAGCGTGATTCTGACCTTGGAGACAGGAGATGAGTCGTCGACAAAGTTGGTATCCTGCGGCTGGAGGATGTCTGATGACTGCGTGTCCTCAAGTCCCACAGCAGCCAAGAAGGCAGGTCACTTTACCACAACGTAGTCATCATCCAGCTTTGACGATGTTGCTGAGCTGGATGTTGAAGACTTTGGGAGAGGTGTCTTGGAGGCGGATAAAGAGAAGGTCAGAAAGTAATAAACTATTCTGGGCATCCCTACCTGTGCCCACTAGTGACCACCCGGTGATTAATAGCGGGACGCTTATTTCTCCCTTAGCCGTTCCTGACAGTTGTATGTCTGCACCTGCCGTAATGTGAATTATTCAAGGATAAACAGCACAATAATCTAAGATCAACAAAACGCGAAAACAGAAAAATGCAGCCAGAATCCCCGGGTACAATGGGCTCTAAGTCAGATGCCAAAGAAAGAGCTGGAGAAGCTTCAGCCAAGCCAGCTAGGAAGACCAGAGGACAAAGACCCCAGGAATATAATGAGGCGCCCGTGGAGGAGTCCATAAAGCAGCCAAAGATGAAGAAGTAGAAGCAGTAGAAACAAGGATAGGGAGAGCGTTAAACGGAGAAAGGTAACGCCGCGCAACGTGAGGATAACTTCGGAACTCGAGTGTCCAGCATTCTACACCTAGACGCGGATGATAAATAGGCTAAGGTATAGCGGTCAACCCGGAGCCCTTATGGATTTCGAACGGGTGCACAAAATGAATTATGATTCTTTTTTCTGAACAGTCTCCTAGCAATCCCAGGTGCTGATAGCGCTTCTTGGGAGGCCGAACTTTTGATAGCCGAGCATCCAGCGCATAGGAGGCTAGGGCAGTTCCTACGTGGTGTCCGAGCACGGCTGAAAGGGCAAACTCATCTATAATGGATATATTGCAAGTTTGTATGTATATAAGCTCTGAGGTCGAGAGGAAACCCTTTCCCCAGCTTTTACCAATGCCCTGCAAGGCTTTAGGGGTTAAAGGACCTCCATTGTCTATGTGAGAAATTGGGCTTATACTTTCCGGTTAGGTACCCGTTTGAAATATTGGTGTTAGTTTCTAGGTATTCTAGACTACACCCGTAAGGTTTTATATGCTCTGGTACGTATAATAATAATGTCTTAGCGCCGGGACGTGCACGCGGCTGGCAGTTGGACTTAAAGCAGATGTTTCCTGTGATACTAATACATTCGGTCTAGCTGGAAGTGCTTAGCGGAGAAGCCAACCCTGAGATAATTTGAAGGCTTTACTCAGGTGGTGGTGAACAACAATATGGAATTGTTATCCTGAGAAGACGCAAGCTAAGACTATCACCATACCGAGATGGGCACTAGATCTTCCTCTTTATTGACACCATCAAAGAACTGGCCGTCCATAACCCCATGTACTATCGATATTTAGTAAAACTCATCTCATGCTTCCATGGAGGAACTTGAACTTACTAAATGCCTCTCCAACCATCACATAATGTTCCTCTTCTTTCCTCAAAATGAACGGCGTTCTCCCTCCTTCCAAGATGCATACAACATCGCCCTTCTGGGTTGCATAGGGCACTAACCCAATCCGAAGCCCACTGGTAATCATCATAACCCGACCAAAGGTTGTCGCTGCTGCGCACCTCATCTTCTCATCGTTTTCTCCAGTCCCGTGGGAGAAAATGCCGGCACACACCGTTTCGGCGTACAAAACATCTGCCGCGTAGTGCCTAGCTCTGTTTTTAGTAAGAAGCGCTGTGATCCATGACTCGGCAGGGTCTGATGGAACAGATTCCGTGGGGTCAACACGCTCCGCCGCCTTTCGTGCGAGAGGCAGCCACTGCTGGTACAGCTCCGGGGCGCAGAATGGTATCTCGGCTCGGTCGCCCATCTCCTCGACGGTGTCGATTAGGGTAGCTCGGATTTCTAGTACTCGATAATTGTCTGAGAATTTGGGGTTTGGCATCGTGTCTCCAGAAGCTCGGAAGAGGTAGGGATGGGATGGATCGCGCGCAGTCGTGAAGCGTTTCCTCACCTCTGTTTCCAGATGGGCGAGAGGAAGTGACATTTCTCCTGGTAACTTTTGTTTCTTGGCGCCTTCACTCGTCCAGTCGACGGCCCAGGTTGGCAACCCGCCCCGATGACAAACACCGACACCCGTGCAGTGGGCAAAGAGGTCCAGGTTCTTGCTTTGACGCGTCAAGTGTTCTACTGTCTGCCCGAAAACAGCAAGTTCTGGCAACGTGTAGTCGGGAAGAAGCGGTTCTGTACGATCGCTAACCAAGCCGAGGAGGCCGTAGACTTTATCGCGCGGATCCGTCGATTGGCTCGGCCAGAATGTCTTCATCAAGTAGGAAAGTGATAAGTCCTTGGTGCCTAATTTTCTTCCAAGGGCCTCCGTCATAACAGGGTACACCCAGCCCAGCGCGTGGTTGATCTGGTGCCACGCAAGCTGTCGATCGTCGTCTGGGACGCCAACCGTGCCATCGACAGATTCCGAGGCTAGCAAGACCTTTTGAAAATTGTATTCCGGCGTGGAGAGGACCATCTTGATGTAAGGGAACAGAACCATGACTGCGTTCAAGACAAATGGGAACTCTATTTCCGAATCGCCCCAGAGGAATACTGAATCGGGCGCCAAAGCGATCTCCTGGATAATCCACACCCGTGACCACCAGGGCATCATGAAGAAGTGTGCCAGTGCGGTCCAGGACTCGAGTTCCTCAGCCAATATGTGCATAGGATGGCTCCCGGGGACTTCAGTGTTGGGCACGTTGACTTCCCATTCCGCAAAGCCAAAGCCGGGAAGTTCGTGTACTTTCGTTTGTAGTAGACATTCTAGAAAAGCTGCGACGGCCACCGAGTGATCCTCGCCACCGGCAAAGTGGATCATGGTCTTGACACAGTTCGAGTAGATTTCCCCCATGATCAAGACTTGCTGAGAGCGTTCGGAAAGATCTTCCTGGTTGATGCATATTGCGTCGATCCAGATGCAGAAGGGTTCTGATATGGTGGACCGGATCCGGTGGAGTGCGGATTGTAGGTTTGATGAAACGCGGAAGGTTTGGCCGTTGATGAAGATCTCATGGCTGAGGTCGGGTTTGCCCCATACGTATGAGAGTGCCGTGTACTTTACATCACTGTCGAAAGAGGCCACCGATAGTTGGCATTTGATTGGATTTTGATCTTCGTCAGGGAACAGTGCGAGTACGCGGAACGTCTTTTTGTCGTTTTTCAATGGCGTGTATAAAGAGGATTGAGACATTTTGAAGCGCTAAGGTCAAAACAGAGACCTTGTTCGTACAGTGGGACAATTGGAATGTAATATCAGTTGTCGACTTCGGGTGGTTGCCTAGCAATAAACAGAAGACTTCCCTCGATTGGACGTAATAAAGGATGAACGAGATTAAATGCTCGAATTACTGTCTAAATACCTAATTAGGCAGCAAGGGGAGGCCTCTAGGACTCAGCCGTATTGTGAACGAATCAGCGTAGCTTTCATGGAGGACAACGGAATTAATTAGTGTTATTCATGGAAATCCTAGCGCCAAACCCGTTTCCTTTTACCAATACACATTCTCACTTACCATCGCAATCGATATTATACACTGGTCTATCATATGCTGTTGCTTAGATATTGGTTGTGAAACTACATACGGTATCGTGGAAGGTTAAATTCGACTATAATCATTACTCACAACCGAACCTCAGTATATGCTTATTAATTAACTCACGTCAGACGTTTAAATATGAATACGATATAGCGTATGTCCGCATTCTTCTTTATTATGTGTCGCCGGTAGTCTCAGCGAGGTTCCTAGGAGTCTGGTTCGACCGCAAACTGACGTGGCACGCCCATGTTGAGCGTGTTAAAACAAAAATGGCAACTCAAAAGCTAGCCCTGACAAAGCTAGTCAATATGTCGTGGGGCTGCGATCTTATACGGGCGAGGCTGTTATATACGGTGGTTATCCGTAGCGCGATCGCCTTCGGGGCGACTGCGTGGCATACTATAAGTGAGGAACCGGCAGGGCCAGCTAAGAGCCTGATGGGGATACAGAACGAGTGCCTCCGGGTAGTCTGTGGCGCCCACAAAGCGACGCCGGTTCGCCACCTGGAAGCAGAAGCAGCAATCCCGCCACTAGACCTCTATCTTAGTGCCCGGGCTGCTAAGTTTGAAGAACGGCTACGGCTTAGCGGGAAGAGAAATCTGCTTCGCAGCGCGAGCGCTAAAGCGTCACATATACTCCGGCAGGGTAGGCCGGCGAAGAGGAAGCAGGCGTCGCAGCTACTCCGACCGGCAGGGTACACTATGGAGAAGGAGGCCCGGGGCTCCGAGTGGATGAGTGAGGAAAAGGAGGTCCCGGCTGCCCTCCTCGGCCACTGGAGGAAGAGATGGCTCACCGGAGCAGAGCATCACGATCGCCAGCGACGCGCCATCACTGAGGAACCGGAGGGCCCTTCGATGCAGATACCGAAAGGGGGCAAGTATTTCGGCCTGAACCGACTGGAGGCGTCTACGCTGTGCCAGATCAGGACGGAAAAAATAGGACTAGCAGCCTTCTTATTCAAGACAGGGGATTTTGGCGTGTACTAGCCGCTATGCCGCTGTGGCGACGCCCCTGAGACGGCAGAGCACGTAATCCTCTTTTGCGGGCTGTTGGAAGGACCGAGGGAACGATTACGGGCCGTTATCGCACCACGGCCACTATACTCTCGCAGAGACCTCGCAACGGCAACAGGAGAACCAGTAGTTAGTGGGACTATTGTAAGGTGGCTGCTAGGGACGGGTCGGACAGCTTCAAGGCCCAGATAGCATCGATCTTCTCAGGGGGGACTTTGTTGGCAGGTTGAGAACCAACGTAGTATGGTAGTGAACGCAACGCAGTCGCCAATAGGGCGAACCGACGACGCAGCGTATGTATTTAGTCCAGCCATTAGGGCACGGTTTGACATACGGGAGTACTAGTAGAGGTACCGGGGGCTTCGAGCCTACGGCGTATTTAATAATAATAAAAATCTTTATTATGTTTACGTGACAGATAAATAAGTAGCAGATGGGTATAAGGTGCCCCCGAAATATTCACGCGTCTCAGAAGAATATCAGTGGCTGCAGAGTGATGCGAGTGCATATGGGATGTGAATTGTTGTATTGGGAAAGGATGACCAGGTCAGCTATTCTAGCCTGGCAGAGCTCTTTTATAGCTCTAATCTATCTTATCTATAGCTATAGGGTAACCCCCTATGGGGTCACGTATCACAGAGCTTCTAGTCTTAAGCATAATCAGAAAACAGTCCTACGATCTGTTCGACAAGGATGTTCCGTTGCATCACATCATTCCCATACCCTTTTGCGAAAGACACATGGGACAATCTGGGATCCAATACTCCCATTGCATCACAGGAACCCTACCAGTGCCTAACCGCTTTCCCTGAAGCCATGCAGGCCTCTACAGTATACCCCACGAGCGAAGAAGCTCTTCGGCCAAGAGGCTCTACGGGCGTCGTGTTGCGCTAAGAGATGTGTCACCACTCGGTGATGGTGAGAAACTATACGATACTCTGGCCTCGTTAATTATTGCATATTCATGTCTTCCTGGTTATGCAGTTCTGGCATCATTCTTGGTTAGGAGACCTTGTACGCTAGTCCTCCAGAAATTAGAGGCATTTATATCATGCTTCGATGTTGCCCGTCCTCTTAGGCTAAGCGACACAAGCAAGCCCCTGATAGTCCCTGTCACTCGCGTCAGACAGAACACAGTACTATTAGTAAATTAGCAAGCGGAGCATTTGGAAACATAGATTTACTGAAGTTTGTATATTTGAGAAGCATAAGAGCTGCGCTAAGAACTTGACCAGTTCTGCCACGGTATGATTTTGGTGTTATGTATAAGCTGCATCACCAAGTATTACCAGGCCACTTGTAAGTCCCTAAGTACAAGTTTACTAACCGACATTAGCTCGCTATGTGTTGCAAAGATGTTGATTGATGCTTCTGTCTTCTCATACAATGGTAGCCATGAGATAATAGCCTTAAATACGATGCGTCCAGTTGTTCAACTACATTTCAGATACTTCGGCATTGTGGTGTACATATGTTAATATTCGAGATCAATTGGTTTGAACTCTAATAAAACCTCCGCACCGGTTACAACCGCTATAAACTCGCAGAATATTTCAGATAGCAACCCAGATCTTGTTGGTTGGATATCAAAAGCTGACCCCGGAATAGGCCGTGGCTGACTGACGACTAATAATGCGACTACACTAGTGATATTTCCTGGTCCCGAGAATGCATTCCTTGGTTAGGAGGAAATACGGGTCAACGTATGGCTGGGATACTATCAAGCACGTTTAAATTTGCAATTCAACAGAGAGTTTACTTTTCACTACTCCGTCAAATCCAGGTTTTGCAGTAAATTATCCATTAGAGCTCGCACCCGCGGGCCTATGTGTATTGGTGTTATGCGTGATCAGTTCTCCAGATGATCCTAGGCAGCCAACTCGCTGACTAAGAAAGCATCTCCTCCCGGCTCGACACACAGAAGACTGTATGAAGCTATGTCCTTATTCGTAACTTCAAGCCCATTTCCCCAAGAAACTCATCAAAGCCATTCCAGCAATGAGCCCCACGCCGGCACACGTCGTGACCACAGCCCCTGAATCGACCAGCTCGCCACCGAACATCCAATCCCGAGCCCACATCTCCACAACGCCGACCCATACGAGGATGCCAGCCGACAACGCATCCAGCGTACCAAGAGCTATAAGAGTGGCGGGGTCATTTCCATTAAACTTTTGCAGCACCCCAATACCGATCGCCATCCCTATAGGCGTGATCAACGCAAATGCCGAGGCCATGAGCACCTTGTGGACCACCGATACTCTCTTGACTTCCTCGTCGGAACTGTTGGCTTCGGAGAGTTGAGGGGCTACCTCTGTTGAATCGGCTGACTTGTCGTCGTTGGGCGACACTTGTGTATGAGCATGCGAAGTCTTCGTCACGTTGTGGGGGGGATGACCAATGGAAGCGATGCGGGCACCTAGTGCAATGCCTTCAAACATTTGGTGGAAGAGGATGACGATGAAAAGAGTTACGAAAAAGCTGTCTCCTGCGACTACCAGGGTAAGACCGATTACTAATGAGTAGTTAGCGTCAGAGGGAAACTGAAAACAGGCAAAACACAGGTGGCAACCAACAAAGAGAGTGGAAGATTATCCCTGCCTCTAAAACGAGTACGCTGATCAGCTCATTATTTCCCGGGCCTGAAGTCTTCGTGTATCTCTTGGCCAAACGGTGACCAAGATAGTCCACCAGGAACGATAGGAACAGGCCCGCCATAAGAATGGCCGACGTGGTCGACTCGTACTCCACCCCTTGAAGGCACTCATTCGTGAACATCAACGTTGCGTGTGTGTACAACTTGTATTGTCAGTGCGATGTTCACAATAGTGGAGGAGAAGGGGAGGCTTACGTGGACAAAGGCAGTTGAAATAATGACACCAGTTCCGAATTGTTTCAGTACCAGGAAGACGACACTGAACCTCACCGGCAGCACTGGGGCGAGGAGAATCGGTCCGGCGACACCTGGTGGCGTGGTAAGCTCGACTGTTGGCCATAAATTTTGATGAGAGACATACCAATGAAACTTGTGACCAAGATAACGAACAGGAGACCGACTCTCAGGGGAATGTTGTAGTCTCGATCCTGACGCGAACAATCAACTTCGGCCGATTCTTCCTCGGTGCCTACACAGTGCCTGGGAAACAGTTTAGTTAAACAGCTCTGATCTTTCTAATTGCATGGAAACATACTCCACGCCAGCATGGAAGTGGCAATCCTGACCCTCTTCCTCGTCAGTAGTTTCGGTTCCGCTTGCCGAGCTATCATCTTGAGTCTCTTCGGTGGTGTCTGTGATGACTTCGACATCTCCGCCGTCAGGACCGACGCAAAATCTGGGTTGTCAGTGTCACAGATAAAGATAAGGCTGTCTTCGTCGCTACTTACAGTTCGGAACCGTGGTTGTGACAATCAGTGTAAGATGCCGGAAGGCTGCTTGTTGCAGTGGCGGGCACGACAACTTGGTACTCTGTCGTGCCAAACATACAGAATCTGGAATTATATCAGTACAGTCATATGAAAGGGTCTCAAAAGACACTAACACTTCTGTTCCGTGCTCGTGACATTCTGAAATTGCCGTAATACTCGTCGCTGTGGGCGTAGCAGTGGTCCCAATTTGTGGTGCAGAGGTCGTAGGAACAGTCTGTCGCCGCACCTGTGGCGTTATGTATGAAGCAGAAGCAAATCCTAAAAATATAGAAAAAAAATAAATGGTATGTAAAGCTGAATTAGACGCGGCGGGAAGCTTCATCGTGACAGATGTGGTCATAAAAACGCAACGGACTTTCAACTGATTCTACGAACACGCATGCGTTGAACCCATTTCAGATATTTCAGATGATATAGTGCTTTTTAAGGATAGATTGATACTCGAGTTATTCATCAAGTTGACCGCCAAGGCAAGTTCATGCGGTTGGCGGTTGCTCCTTGGCAATATAAAGCCAAGCCGGCCGAGTCTCTGGGCATCCAGATTTTCCCTGCATTTCCGGCCCTTGGCATATAGAACCATGTCCATCACCACCATCATTTTTTCTCTAGTGTGAGCCAAGTCAAAGGACCTTGAGGGCCAGTTATTAATTTCCAAGATTTTACAACAGCTGGTGGCATATATCCCGCAGTCTTCATTGGCGCGGGAATGGGAACGTATCAAGAATACGAGGAAAGATTTGTTGGATTGTGGGCAAATGGTCTTGTATTGGAAGTGTCATGATCTCTGGAGAGTCCTATCCCACAGACAGGACTTGTGTGGTTCGATGGGCGGTGCTCATATTGGCCCATAACGTACGGTGTGTGGCCATATGTCCTTCCAAGACTGGCAGTCTTGATGTAGTAGCCTTGAAGGTCCAACAAGATTCTGCAGACCGGACATGGGTCTGAAAGGAAGGAAAAAATAGTTCACAGTGATATCCGATGCAAGAGGGATCGCGATACATGAAGACAGGTAACCATTCAGAACCATGTTCCAAGCAGCAGGTAACCGCGTGGGTTGACAAAAGATCGGCCATCAAATACCAAGGTCAACTTCGACAGTGAATGTCTCGATGTCACAGTCGTAAGAGGTGATAGATTCGAATATGAGGTATACAAGATTTTGTTTTATTATAGAAAACTGCGAAATATTATATATAACATATGGTCATGATAATAATACCACATTTGGCATTACAGTACAGAAATCCCCATCCTTCCAGCACGATCTGTCTTTCATAGGTCACTCAGCCAATTATCTATCTAAATTCCTAAAGCCAACACAGCCAAAACTCCCCCCAGAATCACAGCCCCATTGGCACCACCACGGGCAGCAACAGCCGTGGAAACCGCCGCATCAGTAGATGCAGCCGTTGAAGTACTAGTAGCGAATCCAGTCGTTGCAGTCGCAAGAGCCGAAGTCGTTGACACAGGGCCATCACAGTGCCAATGATCACCGTGCGACTCGCAGCCAACTGATTCCGTCGGACTCGGCGCTAGACTGCCAGTTCCTCCACTGTGGTCATGGTCATCACTGCTGGTAGTGGAGGCTGTCACCGCAATAGCCGTAGTGGAAACGGGGCCATCACAGTGCCAGTGGTCGCCGTGAGCCTCGCAACCTACGGATTCAGTTGGGCTGGGCTCGATAGTGACCGTGCCAGTTGCGTCCTCTTCGTGGTCATCATAAGTACTGGTTGCTGTAGGTGCTGTTCCGGCTGATGTTGATGCGGGACCGTCACAGTGCCTGTTTGTAGAAGTTCCTGGTTAGATTTGTGATATTGAAAGGGAATAGGAAACCAAGGTGAGCGCACCAGTGATCGCCATGAGGCTCACAACCAACAGATTCCGTTGGAGAGAATGCCAATGTTTCGGTGGTTTGGGCTGTTGCGCTCGATAGTATGCACAACGCCACGAATTGGGAGATAAGGAACTTCATTTTCAGTTTGAGAATGAGGAATGGAGTTTGAAGGAAGTTGAAGAGGCGATTTTGGTGTTCTCTATACTTGCCCTGGCGCAACCCACCTTATAATTCGGAGACCAGTTGCGTGACTAGAATTAGGCAGATCAAAGTAAATCGCGCGATGTGATTTGATCTCTCCCAATTAATTTTAGTCATGTCGCGCATGCATACTGCATGTCGGTCGAGTATTCATACGAGCCTCCTCGGACATGCCACCATTACGGTGAGCTGGTCCTAGTCCTATAGCCTTGGCTGCATATGCTATCCATCAGGGTCCTCAGAAGACGAACTGGGCGGTACACTAGACAATGATTGGCCGGAACTTTTTCAAGCTCTATAGCTTACTGCGCCCCTGGGAAGTATACTGCCAATGATGAAGCCGCAAGGGGGTTTGAGAACCTTGATGTCCCAACTGCTGATCGATATATCTTGGCCTTCCCATCCTATCGGAGGACATCAGTCTGTTTTTTCACTTGGCAGACACTTTTTTAATCAATGCTTCCGATGCCAAGTATCTTGGTATTTGCAGATTTCTCTGGTACATGACTAATATATTGACGATAGCCTGGCCGTTGACGAGGGCACGGTGCCCGCTACCGTCGGGAAACCATGATGCGGGCAGTTCGACGGATCTCGTACGGGCTAACAAGGTGGACCTAAGGAAATCAGGATACCCATGCGGCATTTGTTCTGGGAAGGAAAGAACCACGAACGGTCAGAGGCGATTGTATAAAATGGGATGATGTTCAGTTGTCGAAAGTGTTACCACAGCATTTGGCGTCTTACGTTTCACAGCATCAAGTCGTCAACTCGAGACATATCAAGATGAAACCCACCTTCGCAGCTCTTTTCTTGGCATTGTCCTCATGCGACTTTGGCGTAGCTTCTGCTGCCAGGTTCCGGATGAAACGCGATGCCGTTCCTGCCACGAACACAGTCACCGAGCTATCCCAACCCACGACTTATGACTGGGCTGCGGGTGCCACCAAGGATTACCCAATTCACGCGTCTTGCAACTCAACTCAACGATCTCTCTTGAAAAAGGGACTGGATGACGCAATGAAGCTTGCAGACCACGCCAAGAACCATGTCCTCCGGTTTGGCAACAGCTCCGAATTTTATGTGAAGTACTTTGGCTCTGCTCCCACGGCGGAGGTCATTGGATGGTGAGTATGCCGGGCGGTTACGAGGATCAATTTCACTGACTTCATGGATAGGTACGACAAAGTGGTCAACGCCGACCGAGGTGGAATTTGGTTCCGATGTGATAACCCCGACGGCAACTGTGATATCGAAGGTAACAAGAAATCAACCGACATATATTTGTTCCCTCGCATGTTCATCATGCTAACTTTACACAGGCTGGGGCGGCCACTGGCGAGGCGAAAATGGGACCGACGAGACCGTCATCTGCGAGCTCTCCTACACAACTCGTATGCCCATCGAAGGCTTGTGTGGATACGGCTATGACGTCTCCAATGGCGAACTCGCCTTTTACTTCGGCTCCGACTTGATCCACCGACTATATCACATGCCCAAGATCGGAGAGGCCATCGTCGAGCACTACGCCGACACGTACAGCGAGTGTCTTGAGTTGGCCGTTGACGCCCCGGCGGAGGCGGTGCGGAACTCGCACACTTTGCAGTATTTCGCATTGGATGTGTATGCGTACGATATCGCATTGCCTGGTGAGGGCTGCACGGGCAGGGTCAAGGATTCTGAGACGTCGACTGACGAGCCGACTGCCACGGCGTCATCGAGTGCTTCTGCTACTGTCACTGCGGGAAAGGTTTGTTTTTCGATGTCTTGATGCTCTTGAAATTTCAGCTGCTGATATTGTGTACAGGAATGCCATACCCATTCTGACGGCACGGAACATTGTGAATAAAAGTGTGCAGTTCACTTCAGAGATGAGAGTGACGAGGCGAAGGTCTCCTATAGCGGAGAGAGCAAAAGTAATGTGGAATAAGATAATTAGAACGAATATTCTCAGTAGGAGGCGTAGCTCTAATAATCAAGACCTGCTGAATCATTATTTCCGTATCTTAAACCCTATATTCTCGTTTGGAGCTACTTATGTTGAATATTTTCCTCCTTTCCCCAGATGGCCTTGTGCTAAAACGCAGTCCTTCTGTTCCCTCGGAGGTTTGTACTGCGCCGCTGGTCTGGGCACCACAGCTTTCGGATCCTCGTCCGGAGCCAAATTGTACGTCGAAGGTTTCAACAGGTCAGTATGTTCAACATCAGCGTCTTTGCGACTTTTCTAGGACATATAGTTGCACAATATGAAGAATAAATACGTGGCCATGTCCTCCTGTATGTGGACTTGATTGAGTTCGTTTATATAATGACTTGAGTGCATCAAAACTTCTCTCTTACTTCCAAAGACGCCACTTTTGTAAACTTGCACCTCGATTTCCGTGTTGGACCTTCAAGGCTACTCCGTCAAGACTGCCAAGTCAAAAGGAGAAAAGTAAAGCCGCAAACCGTACGAAGTATGGGTCAATATGACCTCTACCCATTGAACCACACGAGTCCTGGCTGTGGGGCAGGCATCAGTCATTTCTGACTATATAAGGCCCTTATGGCCGCCCTTTGCTTCTCTCTGGACTCTCCAGAGATCATGACACTTTCAATACAAGACCATTTGCCCACAATCCAATATTCCACACCGCAGCACATTGCATTGCGACCGAGACTTATAGTCTTTCAAGGCATTTTGCACTCCGCGCGGGTATGAACCAAGCTGTAGACACCAACAACCATTAGGAGGGAAAGCAATTCAAGAAGTTAGCTGTGCTTACATAAAAGCTGATTCAGCGCTTCTCCGTAGTACTCGGTCATTGAACCAAAAGTGAAGGGCGGTGATGAGAAGCCGAGGAGCGGTCTCTTCTATGGTGGGCTTGTATAGCCTACAGAGGCGCGCATACGTTGTGAAAACCATCGTCCTCCACATCTCCACAGACATTGAGTAAACTAGGTAATTTTGTTGTTACAGAGGTAAAAAGGATGATGTGACGGTTGCTAGGAGCTCACCTATGACAGAAATGCTAATCGAGGAGAGGCGTTTAGTTACACAGTAATACATATTAAGCCATAATTTCCACGCTAAACCTGCTGCATCTTCTAATTATAGGATATAGTTTTATTTCTTATGTGAGTCGTAATGTTCGTACTAGCGAATATACTTCCGACCGCTGCAGGCTGCATTGGTACTATGAAGGCGCGTGGGGGACCAATTCTGAATTGGCCCCCGGGGGTTCCCCAAATAAACAAACTAGGCCGGCTGGGTAAATACCCTTCTATATCTAAGGCCACAGCTTCCCACGCTTCTCATACCTGTGTAGAGTCCATCCCCCTGGTCTTTGAGAATGCCAAGGCTTATTTGTACATCATGACAAGAATGTAGGATCCCCCACCAACGAGTGGAAATTCTCCAGTTGTTCCACCTGTCTGACAACGAACGGAGCTGGCATTCCACGAAACAGAATCAGCTACCCCCGATCCGTGGTGCAGAACCGAGCACAGAACAGTCGTTTCGCAGTGCCAACAACTCCACGTCTGATCTCAGAGCTAGCAGCGCTGCATGAGTGATGCGAGTGCATATGGGGTGTGAATTGTTGTATTCGGAAAGGATGGCCAGGTCAGCTATTTTGGCCTGACAGAGCTCTTTTATAGCTCTTATCTTATCTTATCTATCTTATCTATCGCTATAGGGTAACCCCCCAATGGGGTCACGTATCAGTAAGGCAGGCTTTAGACCCATTTTTCTTCGGAGGCTGTATCTCTGATGATGGCGTGGTAAGCCGCGGTGCCGCGGGTTGAGCATAGGCATGGCCAAGAGGTGTCGTCGATAGTGATTCGGAACTTCAAAACTTGGATGCTTCCCCCGTCAGTTAGTTTTCAAGGGCACCGATGGATCGTCCGAGGTCACTACAGTAGGTTATTAGTAGAATTTCATGACCTTGAGGCTGTCGAGTTGACATGAACAGTTGAGCCTGTTAGTTAGGTCGGACCCATGTGTTTCACTACTGAGGCGGAGCAGGCGAGTCTCCTGGATACCGTCAAGTTGCTTTCAAATGAAAGCCAGGTATTTTCGAGGTTGAGGTTATGAACCATCATGCCATCTTCTAACGACCTTGCGTCCTGAGAGCCACGAGGTGGAGACGTTATGGTGAGACGCTCAGCACTCCCAATGTCGACAGTGGGCTGATAAGCAGGTACTTGTCGGTAGATGGGTCCTGCTGCCCGGGGAGCATAACCTAGGGACCATACTCTATAGACAGCTAATGCCGTATGCTGTAGGACGTGGCCTCGTTGTATCCGAGTGTGACTATCCTCGGGCCATCCGAAGGAACATCCGCATCGACCAATGCATTGGCCGACGTGAATCCGTCTATGTGGAATGGGTATTGTCGCTTCCACGAGGTGCATTCTCAGCTAAGACGATACATCTCCCCCCTTCCTAATATCACGAACCACGGCTAACAAACCTGTATTCATGGTTGTGACGGTTTGCTCCCCTTCTTGCCTAACCAAGGCGGTCCTAGATGCCGGGCGACCGAAGTACCACAATATAACCGTGATGACCGTCGTTGGTACGGCAAACGCCCAATATACCCAAAACTTGTTAGATACTGTCCAGCCCGAGTCGACACTATAATCAAAAAACGACATGCTAAAGATGGCGGAAATGAAGGTCGGAGGTAAAAAGGTGAGGGTAACGAAGGCGATGGTCTTCATGGAGGCGCTGTCCGACTGTGCAGACCGTCCGATTTCGACCGAGGTGCCGGCATCGTACTGGGCAACGGTATTATAGGCCAGCTGGATCTCGTTAAGCAGCCGCTTTTCATTGGATACCGAGCGATGCCGCAGACTTTCGATGAAACTCTCAAAGAATTGAAGTCGGGAGTGGGTATTCTGGGAAATGTCCTGGTCAGACATCGACTTCATGAAGATATCGTGCTGCATCACAATGCGCCCCATAGTCTGCGTGGCCACGTCGAGCGTCTCAGACACGTGGATGGCGTGTCTCGCAATGTCGTGCAGGTACCTGTAGTCGGGCTGCGGCTTTCCTGCCGGCTGCCTCTGTAGCTCCAACTTCCTGACATGGTTGCGTATGGACATGACGGCGGAGTCCTCGAGGCGCAAAACCTCGGCCGCTATTCGAGCGTAAGCCCAGAATGGATCCGCTAGGTTGGCCGATTCGGGGTCCAACAGCGGACATGGTAGGCGCTCTACCATGGGCGGCTGCAAATCGAACAGGAGGATAATGGTCTGCTTGGTCGATAGCAGCCATCGCGTAAAGATGTTGATCTTGTGCCACCGATAGCGTAATCCCTCCTCTAATTGTTTCACCTCGAAGAACGCCCACATGCCTCTCATTGTTAGTGTTGAACGTGCACCTTGTGTGCAGTAACATCGCAGGCTTACTAATTCCGGAAGAAGCCATTGCATCACTCGTCTCGCAGCCGAAATACCCGTTGGAATTCCTGCAATAGTCCGACCACCACAGTTCCGGCATGCCGAATGCATCAATAAAGTCCTGCCGACACCGCGGGCATGTACGGATCTGGTTAGCACTCGCGAGGCTGATGGACGTCAGCGCTGTGTCGGGTTCTGCTCAAGCATTCGACTGACATGATGCATGCAGGCGATTCTGCCGGAATCAATTGATGCGGGCCGTGCGCGACATGGAACTGATCGGGGCTGACCTGTCGACTGTGCCAGCCGTTGCCTGTAGGGTGTAGAATTATTAGTGTGCTGACAGAAGTTGAGATGGCGGCTCTCCCATAGGGGTAATAATATACCTCCGCTCAGCTCCAGCACGGAGAGATTCGGGCAACCCTGGCAGTTCTTTTCAGACTTCATGGTCATTCAAATCGGACCAGGTGGAAAAGGAACAGGGCAAGCAGCATATCGGGGGTCGTCGGGCAGCGTCTGCGAGGCTGGAGAAAAGATGGGGGTATGAAGATAGAATCTTGAAGGAGTGCATCAACTGGGGAAACCACAGGCTAAATGTGTTGCCAGTTGCACCGACCCACACAGCCCAATGCCTGCTGTACACATGTTCTCTGCACATTCTGCGTCACTGAGTTTGCCTCCAGAGTGGCATTGTTAGGACGCCGAATGCTGCGAGGGCGGGTCGCTGACCTGTGGGCTTCCGTCGTTTGATTTAGCGCCGGTAACTCTGCCCCAGCGTATCTATCATAAGCCCGAAGGACTGAGGCATGCGAGCAGTTGCCCGTAATAATTCAATGTCGCCTATCTTTGAGACAACCATGCAACGTACCCACCGTGACGATTGTCAGACCTTATAACTACCAAAAATACCTCATTCTACAGCGAGTGGGTCCCTCGTCTTTTGACGATCAATTTAGTCCAACAACGATATTCACCAATGCACACCGTCTAGCCGCAAATCTCCTTACAACAGACACCCCTTGAATACAAATCTGCTTCGATTTTCAGGTGAATTTGCAGACCTGCCAATTACAAGTTTCCGAAACAATTTTGCCTGACATTCGCAGCCTAAAATAAGGACACTTGGAAGTGGGTATGAATTCCGTTATAACGAAGCTGCCGCTCACAGGCGAATTGGGGCATCATTAACCTTTTGAATAGTTACAAGGAATCTACCAGTTACTTGGAAGACGACAACTAGCATTTCCACAAGGATATCACGCTAGACGGAAGTCATGTGCTCTACGCCCTACACTGATGCAACTTTTCTACTTCAAGGATGACACGTTGGTAGGCTACAGAGATTGCTCCAGCAATCACCCTGATCCAACAGCGGGACTTGTACACCGTACCGCCGAAGCGGTGAGCAACGGTACTCCTCGTGCCAGATTGTGCTGGCAGCTGGAGAAGCAATTTGAACCTACTGCAGTAGCCCGAGGTAGAAGACGGGGCCTCCATTTCTGTCTGATCAGGCTCCCAAAAACGGCTGTCTGGCAAGTCCAATGCAATGGCACATATAGGGTGTTGGCAGCAAGTCTATCATGCGGCATACGACAGATTTGTACGTACGCCTGGGCATATTTGCATCTGTTTTGCATCTGTATATCAGACCATTCTTCCGCTTTTGTTCGTGACTGGAATCTTCAAACTTGACTCATCATGTCGGAGCCCGCTGACACATTGCAAACGGCATCTGCGATCCCAGACCTTCCTCACGCCCTTGCTATTTCTCCTTTCTCGTAGCTAATCACGAGCCTTGCGTCCCGAGCTTTTCCCAGGAACTCATGAGCTAAGAACACCAAGTCCAGCCAGGACGGCGCAAGGGGGATCTTCAGCTTCGAGAGAACATGCTGCTCGGCCTGGTCCATGCAGCACGCACACACCGAGATCCACTCTTCGACCCCCCCACCAAGCCCGCCCAGCGCTTGAAGCCGATGGCAAAACCTGCGGAGGTTTTGGTCCCTGTGTCCGGATTGAGAAGTGTGTTAGTCAGGTGGTGTCTCAACCTTTCTTACATGGCATTGTGTTATGGGTTACACTTGCACTAGACTTCAATTCTGCTCCAGCGCCATAGGCTACGATGCGTGATCAGTACATCATACGTGCCTAGATGGATCCCTAGTATATACCACCAAGGGCGACCTTCCAGTTTATGTCGAAACGAGGTACATTATAGGGACTGGGAGAGGCATGGGCCTTTTTCTCACAAAACACACGCCGCGTTTTGTCGATGACAGCTTGAACCGAAATGAAATAATGACCGGCCGATTACCAACTGAGGCGGACATCCAGTTCGGAATGATCGTGCAAGCACTATAAAAGAGGTAATTGGCTGGATTTACTAATCGAAGTAATTTGGCTCTGCTAAGCATAGCTAGCTGTTTGTGACGCCAGAAATTATCACCAAGGACGTTTGGTAATAATAAGCTGGTACATAAGCAGAGGGTGGTTGAATGGCGTTCTTAATATGCTGCAGTCGCGTTGATTTTCAAAAGTTGAGGCAAGCTGGTCCGGCTTAGATTCATCCAGTAACAGTGCTGCACTTTCAACTCAGTATCTTCACTGTCTCTTCGGCCACTTTCGCCAAATAAGCCCCGAAAAGTATCCTACACCCGCGTTCGTGTCGCGACATACACAGGCCAACCCTTTGGAACGACTGTAAAGTATGCCGCTCGTTTCCCTGTTTGTTTTAGGTCCACCTGCTTGAAATCGTAGTCTGACCACCGTGGCCTACGACAGGCATCACATCCCGCATATTCAAATAAATTCCGGTATTCCCTCTCAAATGTAAACCACGCTTTGCACAAGGGGTTGACTCATAGCTACTTTGGAAAACTGAATCTTCGCAACATGTGCCCGGGACAAGTAGCCCAACCAGGTGGCTGCGTCCGGTCCCCATAGCACTTGAGAAGTCTAGAGGACGTAGGATTAATGGATAGGATTGTTCCTTCAGGAAAGGTAGTGCCGTCCAATGTGACACCTTCTTTCGGAGCAATGCGAGGTAGGCCCACTAAATGGATGGCGCTCAATAACTAAATGAAGAATATGGATAGTGAAAGGAAGCCATGGGTAAGGGTATTTGTGTCTGTATCATGAGTTTTTCGACACATCGGACCAAATATACGCAACGCCTCCTTAATAATCGCAGCCTCGAAGCATCTTGGGAGCTAATCACGGGATCTTGGTAACGGCCTTGCTTGACTGCTGCATCGATTTCCTCTCGAATACGCTGCCAGCCTTCAGGGTGTTGAAGCAAGCGATAGACAAAGCTTTGTAGCCCACAGGAAACCGTGTGGGAACCTGCGCCGAGATTTGTGATGGCCGCGGCGAACAGCGTGCCCTGAAGCCAATGCAGATTCTCCTCGCCGATTTTGTCCAGAGCACGGAACCAGTGTGTGCTAATGTCGAATCGAACGTCTGGATTCTTTCTCCGTTCTTCGAGGGTGGTCTTCGTGATAGCGCCGAGGTGGCCCAGCGGGAGAAGTTCGGTCCAGGTAATAAAGGGGTTGCAGATCAAGTGGCTTAACCACCGTAAGTGTCCGAAGACGGGAAGATAGAGTCCCATAGCCTCGTTTGATGCAATAGCACTCTTTATGTCTTCGCCCTTTTCAGATCTTGAGAAGGTAATCCCGTCGGTAATATCGTAGGCTGCGAATGAGAAGAAGCGGCCAAGGTCCATCGGCTCCTGTTTGCCAGCGAAAGTACTCATCCAAGAGAACAACTTGGTGTGGATTTCATTCATATGTGGTTCCGATTGTATGATGTTATGATAAAGGAAACCTTGGGGCAGAAACTTCGCACTGCGAGTCTCTTCCTCAGGGTTACGGATGCTGATAGGCGCAGGAGCACGACAGTCGGGCAACACGAGAATTTTATACCATTCGGCCTATTTTCATGTGATTCAACATAATTATAAGCAAATATATGGAGAAAGACTCTTTATCTGCTCAAGAGGAGCCCAGAATATTGCCTGCGCGGCATTATGGTAACACACGTTGACTTCGTTGTGCGCGATCCAAATTAAAAAGCCTATATGCGCCCGTTGTAAGTTTGATGTGCTTCATATGATTGTACATGAGGTGAGATAAAAACAGCACTGGTCGCATTTCTCATGTTGGCGAGCGAGTGTCAATTGCTGGTTGCCCCTCCAGACCTGACGAAGATGCTATAGTCGCGAGACAGAGGCAAGGAACGGACCTGGAATGGAGCTGATTGGGGAGAAATAACGTCGTCGAACCACGACGAAGAAGGAAAACGATACAAGGAACACAAACAGTTGAAAAGAAATCATTGATGTTTTCGCGACTGACTATAAATGTTCGCTAGCCCAGGTGCGGAGTCTTGAGTAACAGTTACATTCATAAGAAACGAGTAAGAAAAAGAAACGTGGAGGCCGACCAGCGAGAAGCTGGTGTGATAGTAGGCGGACGTTGCATCGTCAGCTCGGCTAAGGAGCAAAGGATCACGTAGACAAGACGCACCCAATCTCGAAAACCAAATATAGTCACTTGCGAAGCGTACCGAGTTCGCAAACCTATAAACAGCTGAAAAGCTGCCCCAGCTATGCATAGTACTCTTACGACTTATAGGAGACCAAAGAGCCCATCCCTAAACACCTTGATGGCGTGTATGTGCTAGTCTCATATATATAATACGATTTTGACGGTGACACACTCAAGTTTAACGAATATACACATACTAATCTGCTTTACTTTTGGTCAAGTATATAACAATTTGAATGCATCTTTCAGAAATGCGATAAGCTTAGCCAAATATTGTCCTTCGTCCTCGTCCTTTACCCCTCATCCCTCCACCCCCAATCGGGCCAATCCAAATGTGTATACACAAGCCCCTGATTCACCCGCATATTCCTCTTTCACAATCCCACCACCTCAGGATGCGCCTCAGCCATCATCAACGCTGGCTGACGCCGTAGCATAAATCCCTCATTAGCCACCCTCAAAAACGCTAATAACCCGTCAAAGAACCCATCCAGAATGGAAACTACAACGGGTCTTTCATGGGTCCCAAGTTGGCCCCAGGTAGTCATCTCCAACAATCCCTCAAGCCTGCCCAGCCCGCCCGGCAGCACGACAAAGACGTCTGCTTGGGATGCCATGAGGCACTTGTGTGCGTGCGTGCGGTCCACGATGGCGGTGCGACCACATATATCCTCGGGTGGTGTAAGGAGGCTGTGAAGTAGAGCACGGGGGATGACGGCATGGGGGTACTGGGGGAGTTGCCTATACTTGAGCCTAGGAGTAGCGGTGGGAGCGCGTAATGGTTGGCAGGACCTTGACTTCGTTGAATGGCAGATGAATAACTAGGTGACTTACCGCAGAATACTCAGAGCGTGAAGGGCTTGGGGATCGTGTTGTGTGCTGTCAGGAAATGAAGGTCCGAGCTGGCATTTTCACGGGTCGAGAAACAGCAACAAGAGAGCAGCACCGTTTTGATATAAACTTCCTTATTCTCTTGAAGAAGCAGTGCATCTTTGCCCAACAGACACCGCTATTTCATATTTGGGCTTTCTTGCAACACACTGCGATCAGCCTGGCCGCCTCGCGTTCGGAGTCTTAGCTTCGATCTGGTCCGGTGCGAGACTTCTCAGCGCCCGCAAGAATGATTGGTTAGGTCTGTCAAAAGTCAGCCTTCGCCTCGGCTCGGGTAGGCGGGATGTTTTAAGCTTCCAGATGCTCGGGTATCGGACGTGGAGTGTCATCCAGCATGTCACAGATGTCGATCCCTGGAGCCGAGAGTATAAACAGTTAGTTGCAAATCTTATGCACAATCCAGAAAAGTCTATTCAAATGACATGTTTATTGAATTCTTCAGTCACACGTGTCAGCCCACTTTAATTTTCCCCCTGCCTTCTGAATGTCTCTATCGAAGTAAGGTCATGATACTACAGTTGGAGGCAAGATCACATGCGCTCCTGGGTTATATGCAAACTCTGTCCAATGGTCATTCGGCAATCAGCCTGGGGGCTCAACAACTGATCAGATTCGTTGATGACCTGTATGTAATAATTTGGTCGTCAAGGTCACATATGCAGCCTATTCATCCGTAGGTAGTCCCCTTCGTAGAATCAAGCAAGCAGCGACTGAACCTTTGTAGTTTGGGGCTAGTTATACATTACACGTTGTCGGACTTCCGGCTGTTCAACAACCTTAATACCGACATATCCCTAGCATGCTGAAACGTTAGTAGGGTTGGACCTTCATTGACAAAAGTCTCCCTTGAGTCAGTATCTCTCGAACCGGGAGCAAGACCGCTTGTCGCTCTGTATTTAAAACCCTGATGGACACCATCCCTCGCTCAATTCTTGCCTAGAACAGCTTCCATTAAATAGACACCTTTCATTTGGTGTAACTGACGTCTACTACTCTTTGCCAAAGTACGCCCATTCCTACTCAAGGTGGTCATAGACCTTCCAATCACGAAAAATCTTACCATCATGACCATCTCGTCCAATTAAGGACAATGTCACCGGATGGACACCATTGAATATCCATGCTCTGACAGTCCAGCACTCAATCACCTCCGCACGCCGTCAATATCGTTGTCAAAACAGAATTTCACGTGTTCATTGCGAATCTAGCCAACCAACCTGTGAAGATCTCCAAGTATCACCAAAACACGAGGAGACGTATTACGTACTGAGACTTACTACCCGCCGATTCCAGAGAGACGAAATCGCATTGTCTCTGACGGCGGCCACGAACATATATCGCTGCCCACAGTGAGGTTTGAGGAAGTATTGCGGCCTTTGAGTCACTCTTGTCATGCAACACAAAGTTACCCGTCGCGTATTACAACAGTCCATTCTGATTAAAAATTTGAGTGGAAATACTCTGCTGAAAATCGAAGCGCCGCAGAGGAACTAGCTATCAAAGTTTCTCTACTTCACGAGAATGGGGTCTGAGATGAGGTACGCCATATAACCATGAATAAAGTCGTCTAAGCATTAGAGCGCAGCACTCAAGGTGGTCTAGTAACGTCTATAGTAGTCTGCGTGTCATGCGGAATGTATTGTACATTGTATAATTTCGATTACGCCTCTGCCCTTAATGAGCAGGGTCCTTCAACTCTCAACAGCCTCAGCTCGAGTATGACGCATGGACCGGCGCATCTGGCGCGCCGGAGGCTCGGTCTATACATCAGCACCCGGCGCCTAGATGGTGGAAAACTGGTAGCTGCGTCGTTACTAGTGGGCAACACGCCTCGGTAGTCGCTTGGCTAACTGGCACCGACCTTGCAATTGTCCTTGTGTTCCCAGAACATTTAACGTGGCCCGGCTCTTTTGTCCAAGACACCATTGGGCTCTTCGATGGCTTTTCAGCATCGTTGCATACGGCTCAGCTAAACCAGCTCAACACACGACAGGGTACCGTAGCGACGACGGCGACGACAGTCAGCTCACTCAAGCACGGTTGACATGGCCACCATTTGCCTCACTTTATCCAAAACCCAAGCCCGTGGTCACTGCGGGGTCATGAAGTGTTGGAGGAAAGCCGTCGCGATGAAGACCAGGGCACCAATGGGGCCACTTCGACAGGTACGTGTCGACTCACAGCCTGGGGATCGACCGTACATCGACGACATCTCGTGCTTCGCAACTGATGAGGTGCCTCGATAGGCTGTTGGATTTCTTCCTTGTCATCATTATGGCCAACCTCAGCCGTTGAACCCCACAGCTCGCTTGCTATTGAAAATACCAGGGAACAGATCTGTCGACTTCTTAAGCCACTGCGAACCAGTCTGCGCATGCTTGGTGAACACCGCAGCCGCTTGCTTGCCCATCGCGTCAATCGCCCGCTGGCTAACGGTGAACTCGGTCCAGAAAAGGTACTCCTGGGGTGCATCACACACAACTGTTTTCGTGACATCCGTCACGTTGTCATGAACAAGTTGCAAGCATGGCTGCTGGACCTCGAGAAAACCTTCTTCCGCTGGCCTGGTACCCCGACCAGTCTTGTCTTCAACGTGGGCATTCTGCATCTGCCGTTCGATGATGGCATTGCGCATATAGTCGGACACATCGTAGGTGCTGATGGCCTCGCGCCGCGCGTACGGGACATTGATAGGGGCTTCACCCTCACGCTTACCGAGGGTGTCGTCCGTTGTGGCGACTTCTGGGTCGGGCATGGCGAGCCATTCGTCAAACATCTTGTCAATTTTCAAATTCCATTCCTCGGTCAGGTGCACAGCGTTGCGCAACTCCACGGCCCTGGAGTGGGGATACGGTAGGACGAAGCGAGCCTTGTCAAACCCGGGTGTCAGAGTAATGTCGAACAGGCGGGGAATGAAGACTCGGAATGGTTCGATCGGTACGTCGGCAATCACGTCGTCACTCTTGCTACTTGTCGTTTTGGTAGTGCTGTTCAGGAAAGTGTAAAAATCGGAGTAGGCAATGGACTTTTCTGATCGGGACTCTTGGTAAAGCACCTCAATTTGGGCGAAAATGTGACGCGCTTGAACCTCAATTGCATCCATGGCCAGCTGAGGCGGGAGACAAGCAAGCCTCCAGATATCCCAATAGCCGAAGTTGAAGACCCAGAGCGTCTCCTGGGCTGGGCGCATGGGAGGTGGTGTAGCAAAGAACGCGTCCAGTTGCTGTTGCAAATCTGGCAGTTCTGTTGGGACGGGGTACTCTCGGGGCAACCAAGTGTAGTCAAGCCCGGGTTGTTCGCTCGCTTCGGTTTCGTTGGCCATACGCTCGAGGATAGCTTCATATAACGAGTTCGAAACTAGCGAGCCGCCATGGATATCGGTTCGGGGCATATATGAGAGATGAGTGGTGCAGTCGAGCTATTGAGAAGTCAGCCACAAGTTTCGATTAGCTCTGCAAGGGGTCCTCGGGCTTACGTGTTGACACAAGACCTCGGTCCAGGAAACATCATGACCGACAGCCTTTTCCGGTGTCTTATTCGGCGTTGCAATATCACCGCCCCCGAAAACGACTATCCTCAAGCCACCACCGACACTTCCATCGTCGCCCCCCTTCGGCTTCCATTTCAGAATGGTCGTGTAGTTCGTACCGAAGGCCACGTCCGATAAATGTGTCGGCATGAGCCGCGTGAGGACGAACAGAACAACTACGCAGATGGCGAGCTGCGGCAGAAGTCGAGGCCCACCGCGCACTGCCTTTGCCGAAAAAAATGCCAACAACGCCTTGAGGCCGAACCCCTCGAGAATGCCATCTGGGCTGTAAGACTTGAGACAGGTCCTGAGAGCCATGGTTCAAAAAAACAAAAGTATTTATTGGGCTAGCCTTGGAGGTTTTTCCAAGCACTCCTATCGCGAAAGCTGCCGTTGGCCGTTGACGTCACTAATCACGAAGTCGAGTGCGGTACTGAGGAAGATGAGAGGTAGCTCGTCTGGTGTCTGTGCATCCAATTCTCAGTACATCCGTCCGGCGACAAGACGAGATGTGCTGGCGAGCGAAGGGATTCTGGAACTTCAACCTCTCCTGAAAAATCGTTCGGGCAAGGATTTGCTGTCAAAACGCCGAACGCTGTGCCGGCCGTTATATCGCGATGCGGCGTGCCAAGGCGGCAATGGGGGAGGCTTTCGAGGCTTGGCGAGGAGGGTCGCTAAAGAATTGTGCAGCGTTCGTGTGAGCCGGTGCCGTCGTATCCGGAGTTTGATCGCCGAATTCCAAGTTGTTTGGGTCGGGAAGTTGAAGCCGAGTTGATTCCCGAGAGTTGAAGATTGAAAGGACCCACGAGAGTGAAAGATTGAAGATTAAAGGGAAGAGAAAAAGGGGAGAGTAGGACGAAGGAAATTCGATGCCTGCTGTTCCATGGAGAAATATTATGTTCATGTATCAGCTGGTTGAGAATGGTCCCGCAACATATTGGTATCTCGGGGTCCACAGCCTACGATTTACAAGGTATCCTGCCTTTCAAACCATCAAAACCTTAGACCCCGTTGATACTTGGCTTCCCAGCCCTCTGCGCCTGGAGATCGTCTGCGCCTCTTCCTGATCCGGGCTGAGGAGCATGTTGTAGGTTATTATGGGCGAGTGTGGCCTTCAGTCGTCGTCAGCCGGTGGGGACGGAAGCTGCAGGCCCCTGGCGATGAATTCTTGGGGCTTGGGGGTTCTTGGCTCCGGGACCATCGGGGGGCTCAATATCAGCGCGCTTGCACAGCTGCACAGTAGGGAAACCCACCCAACATTATGAGCAACTCGAATTGTCTAGGTGTCAACACTGTGAAGTGACGGCAGCCCTAAATCAAGGTCACACGGCAATGAGCATGCGACCGTCGCATCATCCCTTGCTCGCCGTGTCGTCCGAACTTATTACCAGATTTCCGTCAACGTGGTCTGCCGTCAATAGTTCGAGGTGGGTCTACGATTTGACAGTTCGCCATGGATTGCGACGCACGACATGAAACAGCTTCGTTTCGACATCAACACACAAAGGACCCCCAACATCTGCTTTTGTGCATCGTCACCCAACACCCAACATCTGACGCTACTGTGTCTGCAGACGGAAAATGGATTGGAAGGGGAGGTTCCGAAAAGGCCACGGATGAAATTACACTATTAGAGCCTCGTGTCAGCCGCTGCAGCGCAGGCCGAAGTCGGCATGCGACCGCGAAATTGCAGAGACACTCAACAGCCATTGAAGACTGGAGCCGGTCGAGTAGGAGCCTGCCATCCATGCGATCAGCGAGATCCCCCTTTATTGAATCTTACTGTGTGACTAGATGACGAATCAATGGCCCGAGACCGAGATGTAAAGGTGTCCTGTCCGTCTCTCCACGCTCATAAGTTTTTCGCTGCCTATTCCCGACTTTCTCAGTGGGTCAAACTGGTCAAACTGTTTGTTCCTGTCGACCCAAGATATTTTTAATCTAACGGTCAAGCCCCAAGCCACAACGCACAATGGGCGGGGTCTCATTGGCGCAGCTCGTTGGCTCCTACGTCGTCCATGAATCTTCCCCTAAAAATTCGGTTTGACTTGAGTCGTGTTCAAAGAGGGACAGAATTGCTCAATTGGATGGACAGAGAAATCTGCAGCCAAGGAATCTTAACTCCCCAGAAACCCATACGTATGTCTTCGTACGGACTGTATTCCCAATCAATATCTACCCCCTTTGCAAGAACTTCAGATTTGAATATGTACAATAGCGTAAAGTCCCGGTGGCCGATATCCTGGCCCCATTTATTATGTCTTTTCATTGAGATGAAACATGCACAGTTGCATTTGTGCAAACCCCCTGTCCTCAAGCGCCATTTCTGAAAGGCATTTATTACGAGATTCTCCAGGTTCCTTTTAAGGGTAGGTTAACTGAAATGAACAATTAATATAGAGGTGGTGCCTTGCCCGCCAAGCCAGTAATATCTTTAAGCTTACACGCGTAGTCAGGCTCCGCAATGCCAACTATTCTCTCCATGGTTTAAGGGTCGGGAATCGGGGGCAGTGCTGAAGTCTCCTCTTCGATACTGCTGTCGACAGCTCTGATGATAATAGATGCGCATGATTGGATCGTGAGGACCTCGGCACCCCTGTCAGCTTCATTCTCCCTTTCAATTACTTGTCGGCATGCGACGTTCACCACATAAGTAGAACCACGGTTCATATTGTCGTATCGACTATAGACCTTGAGTTTCAAAATCGTTGGCGTCACTGTTACCGCCGTGATGCTTAGTCAGACGAAAGCCAGCACTTTGACTAATGTAGGGCGGCGGGTTGGGCTGAAGTTTCCCCAGCTGGGAATCTTACCAACCTACTAGAGGCTCATCTTGCCGGGATGCCTGTGCCGGCATAGCTCGCACCTCTAACCCCTCACGTGCAAATCTGCATTTTATGGATTGTCTCATCTCACGTCTCATGGCAGATTCCGATCAAGCCGCTTAGATACACGTGATAGTCAAAACATACGCTCATTTTAAAGCGATTCTCGCCAGGGAATAGTATGTAAAGTCAAGTTCAACTAGCCAACCTTTGAAGGTCGTCACTGTCCGTACTTATATTTTCGAAATTGTACGCGGTAGATCAGTGATCGTTGCCAATATATAACTGAACAAACTCGGCCTCGGGGCTCTCCATAGAATACTCTTCTGCAAGAGTGTTATAAGATATTTGTATCTTTGATACCGCCACTATCTCGTACAATTCGTTCATGTTAAATAATAAGATTTGCTAGGTGCAGAAATTCCAAGGGTCGGACCAACCTCACCAACCTCACCATCCCCCCTTGGTTGGTTGGTGATCAAATCAGTAAGCAAACGCTGGTGATGTTGACCAACCAGTGATCATAGTGAGGTTAGGTGAGGTTGATGACTTTTTGGGTGGATTACTGCTAAGATATGAAGCTATCGCCAGCCTCGCCAGCGCGGTCCCCCAGGAACATGTTGGCGGAGTTGGCTATAGCGTCCTCTGTAGCCTCGTCCGGTTCATCCAGCCAGTTATTTCCCATGGCTCTCTCAGCCGTCAGGGTCCCAAGCAGAGTATCTAGCTGGCTTATTAAGGGCGCTGGCCATCAAATCCGAGTACAGACCGCGCTGACAGATAGCCTCCTCGGATACCGACCGATGGGGATAGGCACTCACAGATAGCACACAGATCCCTTGGCCTCTTACCGTCAACGACCCGCCGGACAAGTAAATGATAGAAAAATTGAAGCCACAGAAACACTGGAAAAGGTGCTCCTGGGCCTCCGGGAGTACCGGAGTAGCCTCAGCCGAGGCCTGGCGAGATGGCGATGCCATCGGAGTCGGCGTTGTAAGGCCAATTAGACCCTCAATAGCATAGGGGTAGCGGCTTAAGCATCCGAAGAACACCAAGATAGAAGCCAAGTTTCAAAGTACCAGATATTTTGCAGATATTTGCAAGCTAACAAGTCTTACAGGGGGTCCTATAGGGCTGGTAGGGACAGTTTGAGCCTTAGCAACCATAAACCAACCAGTTTGCCCAACCAAGGCATCCTGTGAGGTTAGCATTGGCAACAAAAGTCCATAGAATGGTGAGGGTATTGTTGTATATACACGCCAACCCGAGCTCACTATGTTGGCATGGTGAGGTTGTTTCGACCCTTAAGAAATTCCGTGAAGTCTCGCCCCTTTCCAAACCACTCTTGCCATTTCCCCTTGCAGTCGGCTCCTGGAATGATCTAATTCGTCCGCCCTTTCTTTATCAAGGTGATTCACTAGAAGCAAGGTAGATGCAACAGGGATTTCCCCATAGGAAATTGGCATCCTGTCCCTTTGGTCTTGAGGTTCAAACTTCTCGGGATTAGTGCCAAATTTCATTATCTTGTATGATACTTTCCGAAGAATACGCCACAACAAGAGTATACCACTGTCCACTGCTTAATCCTCCTTGTATGGGGCAGGGAATACTGGCGGCTCGCTTACAAGGAGCCATGGCTTGTTTCCGCAGTTGAATCAACATTTTGGCCACTTTGTTAATATGTGGTCTTACGTACTAGATTATCATTGCTAGCGACGGTACCTAATAATGCTACACTAGAGTCCATTGCTACGCCAAGTACCGCTCCGTTCTCCCGTGGTTACCCATCCCTACGTAGTGGTCAAATTTCGAAGACATTTCTTACTTTTGCCATGCGATAGATATGTTTGGGCGATGTTCGTCCATCTATCTACCCGTTGCTTTGAACCATATCGACATGCTTTGCCTTCTTGTCCAGGAACCACCATGAAGTACAGACTATCCTCAATTCAAGCTGTTTGTGTGTAGTACACCCTTCCAGGTTCGGACTCCCATTTCTGTATCGGTGACGATTTGCATCCTGGCGATTTTCCGGTTACAAACGGATTTATCGTGCCTTGCAATCCTTGAAATTTAACATGTGGGCCACGTAAATTCTATTATGGTAAGCAATATTTTTGAATACCGTTGTGGGTGGTTTCTCCCCAGACTTAGGGAATCCTCACGAATATCGCCTGGAAATGTCCTGACGCTTACAGTCGGATGTTTCCCACGCCGAATATGACTATCCATTCAAACAAATTACTAAAGTAGGTACTCAACCAGTATTTGACCCGTCGTCGATTGAATATCTCAGGTAGGTAGGTAGTATGCACCACGCAAGCCACCTATCCGATGGGGACTAGAACAACGTCCAAAAAGCTTGGTGCATCGACATGTGAGACGTATAACTAACAGGTGACCTAATGACCTAGATGACCTTGTCCATTGACGTCATCTCAGCGCCGCAATGCAAGAATGGAAAATGAGGTCGCATCAAATTTTTGACTTCCCGTCGTCGCATGGCGGGCGACTTCTTATCAAGGATATTAATGCAAGGTTCTTCCCATTACCACAACTGTTATACCCGACTTATAGGTGATTTACACTCAACTTTCAACGCCTATTTGCCCGCCTACCCACAACTGCATCAAACAGTGCCATACCAACAGAATGCAGGTGCACTTCCAAGAAGACGGGCGGACCATCATCCTACGAGGTGTCAACCTCGCCGATGGCAAATTCCCACCCGAGCGCGAAACCCGGCGCCCCGACTCCCTCGACGAAGCCGACACCTGCTCCTTCGTGGACACGCCTTTCCCCCTTTCTTCAGCACCCCAACACCTCGCCAGACTGCGGTACCTAGGCTTCAACGTACTGCGCTTGCCCGTGGTCTGGGAAGCGCTCGAACACGCCGGCCCAGGCATCTACGACGAGAGGTACATCTCACACGTCGTGTCTCTGGTCAAACTCTGCAACAAGCACGGCTTCAAAGTCTTGATCAACCCGCACCAGGACCTGTGGTCGCGGCACTCAGGCGGCAGCGGCGCGCCGCTGTGGACGCTTCACGCGTGCGGGCTCAACCCGGACCATTTCGCGGATACGCACGCCAACGTGCGGTACTGCGAGTGGCCCGTGGACAGTCCGCAAAAGGACCCCAAGGCCATACCGGCCATGATGTGGACGACGAACCATAACCGGCTAGCTACCTCGACTATCTTCGCGCTGTTCTTTGGGGGGAGGGATTTCGCGCCCCGGTGTGTCATTGATGGGGTTAATATTCAGGATTACCTGCAACAGCACTATTTTGCCGCATACTCTCATTTGTCGGAACGGCTGGGCGATCTGCCGTTTGGGTATGATAGTATGAATGAGCCGGAGCCGGGGTATATTGGGTGGGCGGACTTGCACAAGAATGAGCGGGAGAACGCGGCGAAGATTGGGAGCACGCCTAGTCCGATCCAGAGTATGAGGTTGGGCATGGGGCAGACGCAGACCGTGAATAATTTCCGGCTGGGACAGATGGGACCGCATAAGACGGGGGAGATTACACTGAGGCCCAAGGGTACCTGTTGGTTGAAGATGGAAGACCCGAGGTGGAAGTGGGAGCGCGCTGAGTCATGGCCGCTTGATAACTGTGTATGGGCGCTGCACGGCGTCTGGGATGTTGAGACGGGTGAGCTCAAGAAACCGGAGTACTTCGCCAGTCTGCCCGATACATCAGAGGCGGTGACGTCCGTGGAGAATGATTCCGAGGGGCAGTTGTCCTTCATCTCGTCGTATTGGCAGGAGTACCACCGGAAATGGAAGGAGACCCTGCGCCAGCACTCCAATAAAACCATCATCTTCATCCAACCCTCCGTGTTTTCCTCCCCGCCGCCAACCGAAGACCCTCTCACGGCATACAGTCCCCACTTCTACGACGGACTAACGGTGATGCGACGACACTGGCACGAGCGCTGGAACGCCGACGTAGTCGGTATTCTAAGAGGAAACTACAAAGCCAAAATGTTCGGGTTGCGCGTCGGCAAGAGCGCCGCCAAGTCAGTCCTCTCGCGACAGCTTGGCGAGCTGGAACAGGACCTCAAAGTCCCTACTCTGATCGGCGAGATAGGCATCCCCTTCAACATGGACGACTCGAAAGCCTACAAGGACGGTGACTACACCAGCCAGGTCAAGGCCATGGACGCCCTGCTGAGGGGGTGCGATGAACACCTGCTCAGCTACGCGCTGTGGGACTACTCGGTGCTTAACTCGCACGAGTGGGGCGACGAGTGGAATGGCGAAGATCTATCCATCTTCTCTGCGGAAACGGGCTCGTTCCCCAACCATCCCATGCTAGCCGGTTTCCGCGGCGCAGCGGGGTGGTGCCGACCACATGTCTACAGTCTAACTGGCCGGCCGCTGTCGATGCGGTTTGAGTACAAGACGAGCAAATTCAGCGTGGAGATCGAGTCGCATGCCGAGACGGAGGGGTACGCGTTGATTTACGTGCCGTGGTTGCATTACAGGAGGTCGGATGATGGTGAGGAGTTGGATTTGGACATTCGTATACTCGAGGGGGATTGGAGCTTGACGGGGCAGGAACTGAGGTGGAATTATAGGAAGGGGGGCAAGTTGGAGTTGGAGAGGGGGGGGGGTGCGTTGACGCCGCAGCAGTTGGGGACTGTGGTTGGGTATATTGTTGGGAAGTAGGTTGGGGTTGGTGGAGACTGGGAGGAAGAGGCATATCCTCAAATATTCAGCTTGGATGATTTAATGCCCACTGTTTGCGAGCATTGAGGGCTTCGGGGGTGTTAGAGCTAAGCCGTCACCAATTATGGCCATTTGCGATCACATATAGCATCAAGAAACTCAACATGCGGGCACTGCTCGGTTGTATTTTCCCGTGATAGGGCCAAGAAACACCGAACAGTCAGGCATGGTTACTTATTACAATATTCCCGTAAGAACTTGGGACATTCGAACAACACGACGTGCGCAAACGGAGGAACGTCATGGCCTCTGATGCATCAGCGGCTTCAATACTATAGTACGGGTGAAACCCTTAGTAAATCCGGATGGCGTACTTTAGACTATTTAACACAGTTGAAACCAATACATATATGCGTCTCGCCTGTAACAAGCACCCGGAAATATTCGATTTACAATATCACTTCCCAATTTGAAACACCTATGCTTTTATAAGATGAGGCAATAATAGCACACCTTAATCAAGCGCCATGCACCACAGCATATCCATCCAACAACACCCCCCCCATCATCTCCTAGTCCCCTCCCATACATTGATTCGACTGTCAAGCCGAAACCCAACCCACCCAACTCCCCAGCATCCCACAAACCGCAAATCCGGCAAAAATTGGCGCCTGTGGGAACCCGGGGCCACCGAACTCGGGATCAAGTCCCATAGTTCCGGGAAAGAGAATAGCCGCCAGCCCGGCAAGCCAATAGATGGACCCCGTAAACGCGGTGACGGCCATGAACTCGCGTTTGAGCTGCGGAGAGGAGGGGCGGCGCCACGTATAGACAAGGGTGGATACGCCGAGGAGGACGGAGAGGGAGATGGTTTGAGCGTTGTGAAATCTATTTCGGAGGTTAATCGGGTGGGACTTCGGGTATCAAGGTAGACATTAGGGCATAGGAGACGGTGAGTGAAATTTGGTTGTATGAATGCACATGTTCTGGTGAGGAGACCGGCATGGGATGGATTGGGACGAATTGAGTAGATGGGCTGACTCACTTGGCGTGTGGGGGCCAGCGGGGGTTGTACATATGGCTGCCACTCATGTCGGCCATGACGGCGCCGAATAGGAGGCCGACGGCGTCGACGGTCAACAGCGACTTCCCTAAGCCGAGTATCATATCGTCAATCGGGTGGTTCTGGTGAGTCTAAAGCTCGAAGCTGAAGATACAGTTTCGGATCGTGGTCCAAGTCCAGTTGAGTGTAGAAAGAACTTTGGAAATGTGCGGAGTTCAAGGAGAGAAAATAATGGCGATAAAGATGTAGTGGGAATGGTTTAATTCGAACTCCAGCATTTCGCGTCGGCGTCGGCGTCGGCTTAATCAATTTCTTTGGATGCATATAAGTACTTATCCCCGCAAACAAGCCGTTTCATCCCAACTCTTCGCCTACTTAAGTAGGTAATCGTTACTAATGCGCTCCTAGCTAGCCCACGCGCTAGTAGGTCTGACAAGGACGTCACTCACTATTATAGTAAACCCTGCTTATAGCGGATGAATTCCGACCACCGTTTAAATCCGCTATATAAAAGAATCCGCTACATTCAGAGACGCATAGCCCGTCAATTTTCACTTAAAAAAAGAGCGAATATCGCTCTGTCGCAAACACTATTCCCTGTACTCCCTCTAACGTAGTCCACAAGCGAACGGGTCACCCAACCGAACGGGTCACGCCAACTAGCAAAACATGGAATTCAACACGATTTCGCAACCACAACGCCGTAAATCAATTAAAACTACTCAGAATACTCTTGCCCAGATGATTCTATCTCTACCTGACAGGTTCACGCATTATGCCCGGTCTTCCCGCATACGCCACAGCGCCGTTGCCGTGGCTGGCCACGATTTGATCCAGCACTATTTCCACGCATTTCCTGCTATACTTGCTGCGCAACGTCCTTTTGATCTTGAAGATTTTGTATGTCTTGTGAATTAAGTGATCCTCCAAGCCGTACTCGTGTTTTTGGCCCTGCGCCGCTTGCTAATTAGAGCATTTGCCTCTCGAAGTTCGGCGACCTCAGCTTGGAGTAAAGCCATCTTATACATAATACTCCGCGCTCCTTTCGAAAACTGATTGATAGCATCGTAAATTGACGTCGGGGAGCTATTTTGATGCCTGGCAATTCGAGATTTAATAAATTCAGATTGCGAAGTAGCCTCGGTTGGGTTGTTTGGCGTCCGAGAAGCCCAAGGAAGGGTTTCCCGCGTAGGGGGCCGGGAGGACGTTGGAGTCTGTAATTTCACATCCAGCTTCTCAATAACAATATCTGGGCTTAAAGGCATAAGCCCATCCCCTTTAAAGCCTGCACGAATATTGCTTTCGGTCAGGCTCTTCTTGAATGCGTCGCAAAATGCCGGAAGAAAGTCCTCCTTTGTGATATGCGAAATCTGGGCTCGGACGAGCTTCTCAATTTGCGAGCCGTAGGCCTTTTTTAACGGCGCAATGTCAGAGAACAGAATGCCATAGGCACCAGTGGGTGTCAGGACACTGAACGCAAGACACCGGTGGGGCGCCGGAGGGGTGTTTCGGACAAAAGACTCCCGAGTCATGATTACAATCTATGTGAAGCTTTGGGATGACGAGAGTCAAGATCCTTGGCATCGCCGACCCTGCTGTTATGCCGGGTCCAAGCGGCGGCCTAGCTATCTATATAAGGACCATCTCGAAGTAGGATAGGGAAGGAGCAGAGATCAATGCATCACCGTGGGCACCCCTACCTGAGACCGCCAGTGACCACCCGGTATTACGTAGGAGGGACGCCCGTTACTCCCCATCACTCTGTACTATCGCCTTCGGCCTAGCCGTACCCTGACACGCAAAACATGCCGCATCTAGTGGCTGGAGGATATGAGAAGAGTGGGCAGGCATAAAAAGTGTAATAATCTTGTTCTCTTTGCAATATTGCTCAAAGGCGTCGGAATGGTGGCTTTCGTGGCCGTCCAGGATAAGAAGGCGATATACACCCGATTTCCGGCCTTTGGTGTATTTGTCAAAGTGTTTTAGCTAATCTGCGGTCAATTCGTTCGTAGTCCAACTATTTGGGCTCACGGCGATCCTCCAGTCTTTCGGCAACGCGTCGTTTTCGTACCAAGAAGAGAGGTGGTATTGGCCCTTGACAATGATGTATGGCGGGACCGTCCAGTCTTGGGAATTGACGCCCTGGATCACCGTAGCCCATTCCCGATTGCCAGGCTGGGCTAGCTTAGGCTTGCCTTTCCTTTCAGAGCTCGTAATAACCATCGATGCGGTAATCTGACCTATCATAAACCCGGTCTCGTCGAAATTGTAGATGTCGGCATCAGCGATCCCATATTTCGCAATTGTATTGCGCACAAGGTCAAACCAGCCTTGAATAAGCTCTGGATCTTCGCATAAGGCCCGAGAATAGTCGTATTTACGGCTGAATACCGTCTTGAGCTGTGGTTGTCGCTTAACGAAGTTGGAGGCCCAGTTCTTGCCGACGCGTTACGCGTCGCGGTCGCGTAGCAGTCGGTTTGCCATATCTTCAACAGCACTTAGCCGGGGAGGAAATGCTTGCGAATCTAGCTCAATTATCCTTTGAATAATCGTATTTTCTTCTAGTTTTGTTAAATTCCGACCGTTGGCTTCAATATTGCGACGTGATTGACGTTTTTTAAGACGCGCCTGGAGAGTAGTATTCGAGACTTGGTAGATTGTTGCAGCACGTCGGATACTAAGTGTTGAGTCATTTCTGATAGCCTGAGTTGCAAGGAGTAATTGAGATTCTTTTTGAGCAGAATCCATCGAGAATTAGTTGCGTGGTAAAGTTAGGAAGTTTAGTTCTATTTTTTGCTATGGGCGTGACCCGTTCGGTTGGGTGACCCGTTCGCTTGTGGACTACGTTAGATTACTCCTGCTATAAGCGTAATTTAACTAAAGCCTGAAGTGCTTCTTGAACTGATACAACTAGCTCAATGACGAACTCTTCATCCTCTTCTTCTCTTTCAGGGGAGGTAAACAGGGCTAGAGTATTCTCGTCTAGTATCGACGTTCAGGTACTTGATCGAGAACCGAGGATGTAGACGGATGAGATGAGATTGGTTGGTCATATTTCTTTTTAAACCATTGCTTAAAGTCAAGATTTGAAGCCTTTGGCTGTAGCGGACGCTGCTCTCGAAGAGCTAGCTTCTGCCAATACGTTATGGGTCGTCGTCGGGTCCTGGGGTAATGCGGATTTTGTATGGGATTTGATAGTGGACACCGTTTTCAATCCGTTATAAGCAAGGTTTACTGTATCTCACATCAAACCGGCATTAAATGTCATTTTCTTTATTCATAACGTTCCACCAACCAGCCCCGGAGATATCGGGTTAATTGGAACGCCGAGCGAGGGACTAATCATCGGTTTGATTCACGACGTATTGGCCGTAATCTACTGTTGGACCTTCAGGGCTACTCCGTCAAGACCGCCAAGTCAAGGAGAAAAGTAAAGCCGCAAACCGTACGAAGTATGGGTCAATATGACCTCTACCCATTGAACCACACAAGTCCTGGCTGTGGGGCAGGCATCAGTCATTTCTGACTATATAAGGCCCTTATGGCCGCCCTTTGCTTCTCTCTGGTCTCTCCAGAGATCATGACACTTTCAATACAAGACCATTTGCCCACAATCCAATATCTACTACGGCAGGCCAGTCAAACTAATCGAATACTACCGAGTTCTAACTATTAGTATAGTTATAATTCATTATACTGCTTACGTTGAGGTATACTCGATGCTAATATACTTAATACAGGTACTGCAAAGGGAAGTCTTTGTACCATCTGTATATTTTCCCCCTCTACAACCGACCTTGCCGCCTTAAGAAACAATCGATCCAACTCCACCGTCGTCACATTATCTGTCTTACGCTTCCACTAATACTGCTCCGTCCTCGTCTCCTTTAGAAACATGCGGAGAAAATAGTGATGATAACGATGCAGCGGGAATAGTCTAATTCGAACTCTAACGTTTTACGTCGGCGTCGGCCTCAGCTTAACTAGTTTCTCTAGTTAGATATAAGTACTTATCCCCACAAATAAGCCGTTTTATCCTGGCTCTTCGTCTACTTAAGTAGGTAATCGTTACTAATACGCTCCTAGCTAGCCTACGCGCTAGCAGGTCTGATAAGGACGTCACTCACCATTATCTCACATTAAACCTGTCTAAAATGTCATTTTCTTTATTCACAACCTACTTAAACCGGCTGTTTGGCGGAACGCCGAGCGAGGGACTAATCATCGGCTCGGCTCAATTCACGACGTATTGGCTGCAATCTGCCACGGCAGGCCGGCCAAACCATTCGGATACTGCCGAGTTTCAACCATTAGCATAGTTCTAATCTATTGTGCTGCTTACGCTTGGGTATACTCCATGCCAATACACTTAATACAGGTACTTCAAGGGAAGTCTTCATACCATCTGCATATTTTCCTCCTCTACAACCGACCTGGCTCCCTCAAGGAACAGTCGATCCAACTCCGCCGCCGCCGTCACATTATCTGTCTTGAGCTTCAACCAATACTGCTCCGTCCTCGTCTCATCATTCACCCATACGTTCGATCCGTTAGGATAGACATAATTATACCCCCCGTTCACATTCCCAAACTCGAACAAATTCCCCAGTCCTTCTATAGCATAGAGCACCGTTAGGGGATCCCAGCTGAATCTTGGCGTGCCGTACGTGTAGTAAATGTACGCCTGCCTAACTGGATCCGTGACCGGACCCTCGTTCATCAGCGGCCCACCCGAGGAGACATTGCCGCCGAGCTCGGATCCGGAGAAGACGACGCGGCCTTTCCAGTTGTTGACCACGTGGGCGGTGAGGGAGGAATTGTCGCCCCAGAAGTTGAACTCGTGGCCTGAGGGGTACCCGCCGCCCATGATGACGAGCTCCGAGACTTTGCTTGCGATGAGTTGGGGGCCCGTGAGGTTTGAGTATGAGTCTGCGGTCGAGTTGAGCAGGCCTGAGAGCTGGAGGCGCCACGTGGATATCAGTAATCTAGTCCACCTATTCCGACACCGGGCGGGCACTCGAGTAAGGTAGGTAGGTAGGTAGTTAGACTCACATTCTCAAAAAACCCAACCGAAGCAATTGTCACACTCTTCTCCTCGGCCTCCGCTAACACCTTTCGATACAACGCGACCGGCTCCCATGCCATGTCTGCCTGCCCCCACAGCAGACTGCCGCCAGCATAATGATACGCGATCTTGCTCGCATACTCGCCTAACTCAAACGACCAGCTGTCGAAAAAACTCTCGTTCGTAAGCGGGCGCTTGATGCCGATCGGCACATCGACCTTCCCGTAGTGCGCCAGGATGGCCGATGCCGCCACCGCCGAGTACGAGGATGGGTAGTTGAGGTTGACTGCTAGAAGACTCACGTTGGGCGAGGTGGCGGCGAGGAGTAAGGCGCCCGCATCGCTGGTATACTGTTAGCACGGATTTGGCTTTTGGAGTATAGAAACGAACAAACGTACTCAACGTCACTGAACAGATCTGTGTCGATGATAAGGCTTTTCCTACTTGATGATGCACTTGCTACGGAGTCAAGTGTCGACAAGGTAAGTCCCACAAGGCAAAGCCACCGTCGCAACATGATGACGTTCTAGTGCAACGATGATTTGATATGGTGGTAGCTACCGAACGCCCAAAGGTGAGGGTGACTCGGTGCTAATTTATATGTTTCAGGCACGATGAGGAAAGGATAATTTTCTACCGGCGGCCGCCGTTCCTGGTTATCTTCGGAGATCAAGCCCCAGGTTGTAGTCGGAGTGGAGAAGCTTGGCAAGAGACATACTAAATTGAGCCTCCAACTGACTGCCGCCGATACGACTTGAATTCTGGGGTACATGCTAGCGAATGAAATTAACTTGATGATAGTCTGGGGTAGAGGAAGGTTTTTGACCGCAGCAGCTGGGATTATCCAGGTACTCTACTCTAAATTTACCAATACTCAACGACAAGCTTATTGCTAACACCCTGGGTTGTGCCCAGGCAGATTCGACAATTCAAAGGCCTCCAAATAATGTCGCATTCCTGGAGCTGCAAGCTGCCCGTTGGATGTCTCCACTACCACCACCTTGAATAGTTCATTTCGTCACGTCGAAGTGAAATACAACAATCCATGTATGAACGAGGACCTTGGCACGGGTGAAAGCCGTGCCGTTGGTTTTATACATTTTTAGCTAATCTCAGTTCTGCAGACTCCATGCTGCCTCGCTTTATGCAAATGCTTGGCTCGTCTTGGTATCTAGACTGCTCAGCCTATCCGCAACTATCGACGTGGGCGGCCAATCCGCCACGTCGCCGTGTTAACGCGGTCGCTGCCGGTTTCCCAGCCAAATAATCACGTCGTCCTGGACTCAGGACGCATATACTCATACAGTAGAAAGATCCCCCATTTGTACCGCAAGACTTCCTTTGCCGGTTCCTTTGAGCCAAGCTCAAGTCGGCTTCAGCCTGCTTGGACTGGCTTCTGGAAGCCAAGGTGGTGAAATCAGATGAACTTATGTGCAAGAAGTGAGAGCAGAGGGATGACAGACAGGACGAAACAAGCAGGAATGTTTATTCCTCTTCGGAATCGCTCTCCTCTTCACTCGACTCGCCAGTTCGCGTTTGATCCCCATCACCGGGCTGAGGCTCCTGACTTCCACTGCCTTGGCGTTGGAATTGTGCTTTGAGTTCACGGAGCTTCTCAATGTTTCGCTCTTGCTCATGTTTGTTCATGGGCTTGTTCTTCTTGGGCTTCGAGGCAGTGCTGCCCGCAGCAGCAGCACTACTGCCGTTCTTGGGTTTGGACTGTTGCGCAGGCTCCTCCTGTTTGTTGTATTCCAGTCTCTGCGACACCGACGCATAGATGGACGGATAAGCCTTCATGATCAGGTCATAGAGCTTGCTGAGGGCGTCATGGGATAGCAGTTCTATGTCTAACTCCAGTTGGCCATCATCATCCTCCTGTTGAGTGCATGTGTTAGCGTGATGATGCTGGGGAGATTGGGCATGATGGTTCGGGATACACGTACCTTCTGGTTGGTATCTCTCTTGATAATCTCAACGGCCTTGTTGATCATCGGCCCATCAAGTTCGTTGATGCCCTCGGCGATGACGGCCTTTTCGAGTGGTCCGATGGTCCGCTTTTTAGGCGCAGGCTTCTTGTTGGTCGGCAATGCTTTCTTGTTGGCAGTAGAACCACCAGTCGACTTCTTACTACCACTCGCAGCTGGGCCGGCACCTGCGCTTGGCTTGGGTTTCGTCTTCGGCGTCTTCTTCTTCGTTTTCGGTTTCTTCGTCTCGGCAAATTTGGACTTCTCCTCTACTAACTTACGTTGCAGCATGTTGACCACATTTTGCTGAATCTCAATCATCATGAGATCAGGCTTCTTAGACCCCAGGAGAGTTGAAAGCTTGCCCTGCTCTTCGCCCATCCTAGCCACTATACTGCGGATCTGCTCATTGTCTTCTTCCTCCTCGTCGGCTTCGCTCTCTTCCTCCGAATCATGAGCACTGGGGTCAGGACTTGCTGCGGGGGCCGGCGCTGAAGGATAATTCCGAGCCATCCAAGCATCTTTGTCGCTTAGCTTGTCATTGAAAAGCTTCTCGAGCTCTCTGGCCGCCCGCGTGACGTCATTTTCGCCATTAAATGTCACCGAATTGGTGACAATCTGTCTCATGTCTTTTTCTAGATCCTTCGCATTGCGGTATTCACCGTTTTCAAGCTTGTCGGCCATTGTTTGGAGATCCATAGGCTTTTTGATAACGTTGAAGTAGGTAGGAATGTTGAGAGCGACTGGGTCGACTGGGTACGTGAACCATTGGTTGCACGTCCAGTACTTGCCCTTTGTCACCTCGGTCAAGACCTCCTTGAAAAACTTCATCTCAGGTTCCAACTTCTTGCGGTTGCCCTTCTTGTGGTAGTCGAGATCACGGCTTTTGGGGGGGTGGATAGGACGCTTCGGGCGGTCTCCATCGTCACGGGTCGAGTCTCGTCGTATCTGTGGGACGCCATTGGGTGGAAGGGCAAACGCAGGTGCAGTGGATGAGGCGGGCGTTGGCGGGCCCACCGGTGTAGCTGCCGCCGGCTCAGGCTTTGGCTTTGGAGCCGCAGCCGCAGGCCGGGGTTGCGAGTGCGATTGGTTTCGTGCGTGGTGCGTCGACCTGGGCTCAGCATGGCGCGTGGTTTGGCTCTTGTTTTTATCGGACTTGGTGGGCTCTCCCATCTTGGCGATTGCCGGTAGTTCCACCAGTATCTTTTCTCTTACTTGGCCGGCGGCTCTTGTCACGATATGATCGGCGCCATTGAACTTGAGAGCATTCTCATACAAAAGTCGCACATCCGCCTTGAACTCTCCATAGTTCGAATACCTGTCTTCGCGAAGCTTGGCCTCAAATAAAGTCAGGTCAACTGGCGAGTCTACCAGTGCTTTGTAGTTGGGCCAAATCCCTGGCCATAGCTTTTCCACTGATTGGCGGAAGTTCATACCGCTCTTCGTCTTCTTGATGTTGCCAATCTTAGCTCGCAATTCCTTGCTTTGGTATTGTGTGATACGCTTGTCGTCGGGGATCTCATCTGCCGGGCTGTCTGTCGAGTTGACGGGAGCTGGAGACAATACTTGTGCAACTCCAATGGAGTCTTCCGCTGTATCGGTCTGGCTCTCCGTCTTTGCTCGTTTTGCGACAGGTTCATCTGAAGGATCCTCGTCCCGTTCACGTGATACCTTGGCAGGGGAAGCAGGAGGGTCTGGCGTAATGACGTCAGCATGCGAAACTGGCGTGTCATCCTGGGTGCCTTTGATGTTGAGTTTGGACAAATCGGCAGATTGAGTCAAGTTCTGGGGCGACATGACCGCTGCTCTATCGCTTGCGGTCGAAGTCTCCTGGGTACTCTCGATATGCTCGGCGCTGGAGGAAAGGTCGGGCTGCTCAGGCGAGACATCAATATCCATAGAGTCGTCGGTTACTTGTGTCGTTGATTCCTGCTTCGGACCAGAGCCTTTCGCAGGACTGGAGTCTGGTGACGTAGCAACGGCGGGTACAGCTCTCTTCTTCTCGGTTTCCTGAACGACTTCTTTTGCTTCCTCCACTGCGACGGGCTTGGCCTCAACGGTTCCGTTCGCGTCTGCCATCTCTCGGTCCTCGGACTCTGGCTTTGAGAGCATTTGTTCCGGAAGATCGCCATTCGTAACAAAGGCTTGCTTGTTTTGCGCATCCTTGCTGACTTCCGAAGCCGGTGTTGGGGTTATGGCTTTTCCATTGATAGCCAAGCCCTCCTCGACCACAGACACCACGTCTTCTGGCGCATGGCTGCACCCATGTCAGAAGCCCATCCCTTGCTATTCGGCTGGGGAGAAGGATGCTACTCACCCATTGGCAGGCTGTGCGACGGGTTCATCGACAGTCATCTTGTCTTCCGCGGGCGCCATGTTTGCGACCTTCTGGTCGAGGGCCAGGCTCTGTGGTTCTTCAGTTGCCATGACTGCCATTCAGTAGTTTGCGACGCGATATCAGAGTGCCGGAGGGCTACAACGACGACTCGACATGAATTGATTGTCTTGGGAACCTGGAACGGTAAAATCTTGTCAGTGATCGCAATGGAGAAAAGAATTGATGAAATGCGCCTGAGGAGCGAGGAGCGAAGAGCGAAATGAAAAAGACAAATTGATCGCAGCACTAGCTGTCATGGAGGGTTGTAGGTTATAAGGCAGCGCGAAAGACAGCCGGCGCGTGATGATGGCCTTGAAGCTGCGCGACAGATCAAATTGGAGCCGGAACAAACCTATGCCAAGGTGAGCAAGACTCTGGGAGGTTGCGAGTCTACGCAACGATGCTGTGAGAATAAATATGGTTGCGATAAATCAATGCCTCAGAAAGCCAGTGGCCATTGTATTGGGAAAAGAACCAAGCAAACCACTCGGGGCGCCGTCAGGATGTTGTGCTCCGAGGCTACAGGGTCGCGACTTGTGAAGCCCTCCAGCCTTGCGCAATGCGACAGCTGTCTCACAAAGGCAATTGAGAGGGGTTGGTCGGCCAATGATGAGTGGTTGGTGGTGTCTATTGGCCACAGGGGAAAGGAGCACAGATATCAGTGCAGACCAGACCCTATTTATCGGAGCTAGCTCTCCAATTTTCCCAGTTTCAGCTCGCTGCTTATCGAAGACATGCGAAATTAAGAGCTGGGGTCGCGACTGAGAAGAGGCATGCTTCGATTGGTCGGGCGCAGATTGACGGGTGGCAGCAAGGCAAGATCGGGCTCCGGCCAAATGATGCAAGCGACTCGAAGATTGCGGTCGGCAGGCGGGCCGGCTGTGGGTCTGGGAACGGGTCGTCTTCCGGTGGTTGCCAAATAGCAAGGCGACCGAGATGGACGGAACGGTTTGGAAAGGATGCACGCCCAGCGGACGGCGTTCGACACTTGTCATCCGAGGCGGACAAAAAACGGCAAGCAAAGAAGGTAAGATTGGCACAAAAACGACGAAACAAGAAGATATTTACCTGAGCTGAATTGGACGAAAAGCTTGAAAAACTGTGCCGACTTGATCAATGCAACAGCAGTGTTGGGTGCTGATCTGGACTGGGTGCTGGAAGATTGATGCGCAATGCGACGTCGAACAAATAAATGCGAATCCGTCGCGATGCGGGTGTTGCGCAAATGGAAATTGCCGAGAATCTAGTTTGATGCGTTGAACTGAATCAGACCAAACAGAAATCCCGAAAATGTACGGACGGTTGGGTCGTGTGTGGGTGGATATCGCGACCGTTGACCGTTGTCGGGTTTCACGATAGTTCAATGCCGGGTCGGTCGGATGGATGGTGTGCAAGTACGTACGTGCGTGCGGTGTGCAACTGGGCTGGGTGATGCCTCTTTAGGCGAAGGAAGGATTGGGACAATTAAAATGTGTCTAGATGGACTCGCCCGGGCCAAGTCGAACGCCGCGAGAGAATAAAAAAAATTTAAGATTAGGAGGTACCTGGGTACTTCTGACTTTGTCTCTTTTTTATTTTGTGAGATGCACGCGTGATCAAGGTGCGCGCTGTCGGTGATGTCGGAGGTTTGAGGTGATAAGAGGGGGGGCTTGGTTGGAGAGAAAGAGGGAGGGAGGAGGATTTGGGGAAGAAAAAAAAGGTCAGGAATCAGAGGTCGGTTCTCATTTCCGTGGTCGAGAGTCGCGACAAAATCTGGATTCGGGGCCACTTCTTATTTGTAGAACGCGCTCCACGCCAGACTCAAATCACGGTTCGCTCCCAGCCAAGGAGAAGAAGGACAAGGATGGGTCGACTGGGTCGGCGTAATCCTGGTGGGCTGCAGCCAATCAGCAACTGCGACGACTGCCACTGAGACAAGGATGGGGATGGATTGCATGAGAAGGCAGGCACACTCACAAAGATTTTGAACAGGCCTTACAGTGAAAATGTACCAGAGCTTGGAGCCATGGACCTGGACTGTTGGACAGCGACGAGTTGTGCAGCCAATCACAGACCTGTCGTAGCAAGCCTTCAGGCTGCGACCCATCTCACGCGAGAGCCAGAGAGCGAATCACTACGCGTTGATGGAACCATGGGTGGTGTTCAGGTATCCAATATCAATCCGTCGTAGCTGTACCTCTTGACGAATGTTACAGTGGTACCGTCGTTTGGCCACATTGGCCACATTTGACATGCAGCAGCTGCAGGAGCTGATCAGAAGAAGCTTTGAACTTGATAAAGCTTGGAGCTGTGTCTTTTCAGCCTACCTGGGCTATCACAGGTGAGATCACATGACTGGGTGGGATTTCTACAAGTTCACGGATGAAGGACTCGGACTGTCCAGCATCAGAATAAATTTCTGTCACCCTCCCTTCCAGACGTTTCCAAACTTGCCAGCATGGTGCAGTCCAACGAGGCCAGCGAGCGTCCTGAGTCGTAAGTTTGCCTCCCATCCAAAGTCTGTAGGTAGCTACCCAGCTACCCTGAAGCTTCAAACCCACTTTTTCAACTGTCTGCCGCTCGAGCAAGCAACTGAGGCACTAGAACAGAAGAAACTCTTCAGCCTGCCAGGTGTCGGCCAGTACCCTGCAGCTGGCAGTTTCAGCCGCTAGGATCTAGGAGCTTGGCCATGGTCCGTGTGTCTTTATCGGGCCAAGTTCATGCTATCAGCAGAAAAAAAATGTCGGTACTCGTGCTGGAAGTGGACAAAAATTTCAGCAATCAAGTCAAGACCAATATCTTGGCTTCGACTTCAGTCTGCATCACAAGGGCGATCCGGACGTACCAGGACCGAGTGCAGTTGCGCCTCGCTCTTCTCTCTCATCTACCTCACTTCGGTGCCTGTCGGCAACGACTTCGTACCCAATTGTCGTCATACGAATATCCCATCTTCACTTAAGCTCCAGCGAGCTCACCCCCACCCGTACACCATGTCGACAAAGCGAAAGGCGCCTGCAAAGTTCGCCCAGCCTGCCGCGAGACACAATGCAAAGAATACCGTTACTACCAGCATCAACGAAGCCGACACCGCAGTTTCTACCCTAGATGCCGCCAAGGCTGATACCAATGGAGTCGGCGAAGATGTGATAGAGATCTCGAGCGACTCAGGCAGCAGCGAGTATGAGTTTTCCGACAATGAAGGCGCAGCCAAAACAACGCTAGAGACTGATACCTCAGCCCCCGGAGCCGAGTCGCAAAATCAAATATCATTGAAAGATGATTTAATACCTGCAGAAAATGGGGGCCTGGACACAGATATGCCTTCGCCCAACCCACCGACCGATGGCGAGTCGGACCAAGAACCCGCTGCGCCAACCTTTGGTGACCTTGTCCGCACAACCGAGACTATAGACGTTCCGGCAGCCCTCGCAGCACAACAGCCATCGGCCCTTGCGGCGTCTGGGAAAGTCATCGCTCCACCCAGTCTATCATCTCTTGGCACTGTTCTTACCCAGGCCCTTCGCACCGACGATAGGGATCTTCTCGAGTCCTGCCTCCACACCACAGATCTTGCGACAGTCCGCAATACCATACAACGGTTGGAGTCGTCATTAGCCGGAACGTTGCTTACCAAGCTGGCCTCAAGAATGCACAGGCGGCCTGGCCGGGCGGGGAGCCTCATGGCATGGGTACAGTGGACGCTGATTGCACATGGTGGCGCGTTGGCGTCGCAGCCGGGTCTCGTGAAGAAACTGAGTGAATTGAACAGAGTTCTGGAGGAGCGATCCCGTGGTCTCAGCTCGTTACTGGCCTTGAAGGGCAAATTGGATCTTCTAGAGGCGCAGATGCAGTTGCGGAGAAGCATGCGACATAACGCAGACTCGGACGATGATAGCGATGATGACGCTGAGGAGGGGATCGTTTATGTTGAAGGGCAGGACAGCGATGCCGAAATGGCCAATGGAGCCATGGATCTAGATGATGATCAAATGCCGGTGACGAACGGCATTGTCGATGACGACTCGGACGATGGCGAGGACTACAGCGAAGCCGAAGAGGATGAAGAGCTGGAAGGTGCTGAGGAGATCATAGACGAGGATGAGGTCGACCACGATGACGTGGAGTCACTTGGGGAAGACGAGGACAGCGAGCGAGAAACTACACCTCCAGCGAAGAAACGGGGTAAATTCGCCAAGCAGAGGTGAGAGCATGCGCATGGAGGACACAGCCATAGGGAATAGATGGTTTGTAAAGAAGCGATACCCGTAGCTGTAAAGTCACATGCTACGTTGTGAGATAGACCTACCAGTGGCTCTGGCTGTTTTATTGCCCTTAATGCAAGGGACTATGCAAACTTGCTGATAACAACTGACTCTTTATGAGCTGTATCAAGGAATATCAATGTCAAGGGACTTTGAACTCGGAGACTACAGTACTGAAAGTATTACAACCTCCGGGCGAACTCTCTTCCACGTTATACGACAAGCAAATCTACATTTTGGCACCGCCATCAATGCCCAAACATCCAGAAGGGTACTTACAATACCGCTCAGTCCATTGGGACGGATACAACTAGCCAAAGGGGGCGTACTGAATCATCAATAAGTTGAAATGCCTGGTTGCGTTCCAGAACTGGCGGAAAATCGCCGCCGTTAAATTGAAATCTAGATGATGCAGGTGGGGCGCGTCGTTCCGACCAAGTTTCACGCGTCAGGAAATTTCAACCAAAGTGTTCTACCAGGACCCTAGTTTTCGGGGATACACTTTGGGATTGGTTGCTCACTGCTTGGATTGATACTATTTGGAGACACGTTATTTCCATCTTTCCCAACTTCGTTGCTCAAGACATGCTTATCCGGCATCATGGTGGAATGTCCAATCTGCAGCAAGCAGGTGCAACAGGTCCGGATCAACGACCACATCGATTCACAATGCAAAGACTTCATCTTCGATAGCTCAGCTCCACCAGCTTCTTCGTCGCCATGTGCTCCGCCGACCCAATCCAATGGCTTCTTCTCCTCAGCCCAAAAACGACCGCCTTCGAGCTTCTTCCAAACGCCCTCGACGAAACGACAAGCGGTCCCCTCCAAAGTCCTTGCGCCATCCGTTAGTGGTCTCAACAACATGGCCAACCCGAATGGCGGCATGAAGCGAACGTTCGATGAAGGGCCGGGCGAGGGATCTTCTATGGGCGAAGCCGGGGAGCAAGCAGAAGACAGACCGCCAGTAGAGACTGGCCCGGCAATCAAGCGGACCAAGACGAACAAGGCTGTGCCTCTGGCTGAGCGCATGAGGCCGCAAAACCTCAATGATGTATTTGGGCAAGATCTCGTGGGACCACAGGGCGTGCTGCGCTCGCTGATCGAGTCAGATCGAGTGCCTTCGATGATATTATGGGGAGGCTCCGGCACAGGCAAGACGACGATAGCACGGTGTATAGCGCAAATGGTGGGATCGCGATTCATCGAGTTGAACGCTACGAGCTCCGGGGTCGCAGAGTGCAAGAAGCTGTTCGCCGAGGCGGAGAACGATCTGAGGCTTACCGGTCGGAAGACCATCATATTCTGCGACGAGATTCACCGCTTCTCCAAGTCACAACAGGATGTCTTCCTGAAGCCCGTGGAAGCAGGCACCATTACGCTTGTTGGCGCTACCACCGAAAACCCCAGCTTTAAAGTCGTGAACGCGTTGTTGTCCCGCTGTAGGACCTTCACCCTCCAGAAGCTTACGACTGAAGACGTCAACCGCATTCTGCTGCGCGCGCTACAGATGGAACAGTCCACCTCATCTACGCCCATCTCCCCCCTGCTCGACGCCGAACTGCTCAGCTACTTATCCAACTTCTCCGACGGCGACGCCCGCACAGCCCTCAACCTCCTTGAACTCGCGCTCTCCCTCTCCATCCAACAAAACACGACCAAAGCCGATATCAAAGCCGCCCTCACCAAGACGCTAGTGTACGACCGCGCCGGCGACCAACACTACGACACCATCTCCGCCTTCCACAAATCCGTCCGGGGCTCCGACCCCGACGCCGCGCTCTACTACCTAGCCCGCATGCTGCAATCCGGCGAGGACCCTTTATTCGTCGCCCGCCGCATGGTCGTCATAGCCTCCGAGGACGTCGGACTAGCAGATAACAGCCTCCTCACTCTCGCCACGTCCACATACACGGCAACACAGCAGATAGGCATGCCTGAAGCCCGAATCCCGCTCGCGCACTGCGCCGTGGCGCTGTGTCTCGCGCCCAAGAGCACGAGGGCGTACAGGGGGTTGAATAATGCGTATGCAGCGTTAAGGGAACCGGGGGTTGCGGGACTGCCGGTGCCTATACATTTGCGGAATGCGCCAACGAGATTGATGAGGGAGTTGGGGTATGGGGTTGCATATAAGTATAATCCTAATTATAAGGACGGTAAAGTGAGGCAGGATTACTTGCCTGATGATTTGCTTGGGCGCAGGTTCTTGGAGGAGAGGGATTTGGGGATTGAAGTTGATCCGGATTTAGTTATGGAGGATGGTTGAGACGGATGTGTATGTCTGAATACTCGCTGTGGGGTACCCTGAACACCCTGTGCAGATGATCTTGTAAATTGAGAATGTCGGAGCTGAAGCGGTAGCTTGGCTTTGAGTATTGTCAGGGATACCACTACTTTACATAGGAATGCCTCTTACCACACCTTGAGCTTATCACTGTCGTGTGAAGGAGTAAAAATATCAAAACCAGACCGTTTTTCCCCAATGATCTTTCCAATCCGTGGGTGATATTGGCAAGGAAGCTACGATGTCTACAGTTTACGTCGAATAGTTTCAAATTGTCATGGATTCTGTAGGTGGCAATAGGGGGACTATTTATTCTCGAGCGGTGTCAGCAAAGGTTCTACAATTCAATCGATCAAAGATTTGTGAGACCTCGACCGGGTTTCGGCATCCTGAAGCAATACAATGCAATGCAGCATGGCACCGTCATGTTACAGCTGTGGGGTGTTTAGGGTCTTTAAATGGTATCAGTATACGTCTGATTAGCAACGTGGAGGACGGGCTGACGCCATTTACTTCCGGGGGGGAAACCTAAGTAGTACCAGATGTCCTCTCATCAACGACTTCTATTTCGGTTCAACATCCCCGGCTCTACGCACTTATCGCATCGTCACATGCAGTTACTACTCTCTCTGGTCTTCCCCTTCACAGCTGCCGTGAACAGACTCGACTGACGAGTCCCAGTTACCCCCAGCATGGCTTCCCGCGGCGCATTGCACTCAGCTTGCGAGAATAGCAATCTACAAGCAATTGTGGACATCTCCAACCAAGCGTCAACGGGAAGACCAACCGCAGTCCAGTCTAACTCGAGCCGTGTGAAATCGTCAGTAAACTATTGTGACCACACAGCGTCTCCGTCTCCAAGCCAGCATTCGTTGAGTTCCATCTGAGTCGTGGAGCGGACTCAAATTTCGAGAACAAATGTGGCGTCTCACCTCGTTCCATGGCGGCGCTTAAGCCCGTGTCGCCCGCCCTCGAAGTACGGGTAACCCATGGAGCTGAGTTTCATCCGAATACGCTACATCGGGAAATGCGACCAACGGTTAACTACTGGCGCCCCGGGAATGATCCGGTATCTGCTCGGCAACGGCGGAGACATCAACTATATCTCGGCTGGTCACGGCACTTTCCTTCACCATGCGGCTTTTATGGACTTGAATGAAGCGGCGCAGATTTTGCTTGATGCTGGGTTTGACTTCAGTATTATCGTCAATACGGTCACTCCGGCTGACCTGGCGAAGAGGGAGGCAATATGGAAGTATATAAGCTGTTGGTCTCTCAGGTTGGGTCATCCGGCTAGTGACTATCGCGTTTTCAGGCTTCAGCGCAGATGGATCAAGGTTAACGTCCCACACCCACATCCGGGACACCCCCACATGTGGGACACCCAAAAATGCCTCATCAACACCGCTAGCCTCTAACTTCAACCTCTTTTTCCTTTACCAATATCGATTCAATCGTTACGAAATTTTACATACGTCTTCTTTACACTAATATGAGTCAATATACCGAAGATGATATTTATCGAGCTCTTCAAGCAATAGCTACCGGTCAAAGCCTCCGAAAAGCAGCATATGAGCATGGTGTCCCAAGGTCTACTCTTTCACGACGGATTCAGGGAGCCCAGTCAAGAGACATAGCTTTCGCTGACTACCAGAGGCTCTCTCCAGCCCAGGAATCTCATCTGGCTGAATGGGTTCGAATCCAGGCTGCCCTAGGCCTCCCACCAACCCATCAACAGCTCAAAGACTTCGCCGAGCGTATCCTACAGATCCACGGAGACACCGAACCACTTGGAAAGAACTGGGTCCAGGCTTTTATCAAGAGGAACCCTTCAGTCAAGGTCCAGAGAAGCAGAGCTATCGATTCCCAGCGTATTAATGGAGCCTCAGTGATGCGTGCACCTAGGGGGGAGGATGCTATAATGCAGTAGTGCGCAACGTTATAGTATGTAATTGAATGGGATTCACCTAACCAGTGGGTCCCCCTACCTTTTTGTATCACTCAGCTAATGTGATCAGGCAATGGTTCAAATACCTCGCTATCCCTGAGATCAAAGCTATTAAGGCCTCGAATCGATACAATATGGATGAGACAGGTAGTCTAGAAGGTAGAGGATCAAATGGTCTTGTTCTAGGATCATCTGAGACTCGTTCTATACGGAAGAAATAGCCTGGATCTCGAGCTTGGACATCTCTTATAGAGTGTATCTCTGCGACTGGTACTTGTCAGAGACACTGAACGCAGGACACCGGTGGGGTGCCGGTGGGGTGTTTCGGACAAAAGCCTCCCGAGTCATGATTACAATCTATGTGAAGTTTCGGGATGCCGAGAGTCAGGATTCCCGGCATCGCCAAACCTGCGGCTACGCCAGGTCCAAGCGGCGGCCTAGCTATCTATATACGGACTATCTCGAAGTAGGATAGGGAAGGAGTAGAGATCAATGCATCATCATGGGCACCCCTACCTGAGACCGCCAGTGACCACCCGGTGCTACGTAGGAGGGACGCCCATTACTCCCCATCACTCTGTACTATTGCCTTCGGCCTAGCCGTACCCTGACAGTACTGCACTACCCCCACTTGTGATATACAAGGGGAAGTCTGTCCAGCAGCAGTGGTTTCCTCTGGACTTGACTCCATACGAAGCCTGGAGGTTTACAGCAACAGAGAATAGGTGGACGCCAGACTCTACGGCTATTGAGTGGCTACAAAAGATCTTTATTCCTTTGATTCAACCAGAGGACCCTGAAGAGACTAGGTTACTTATCCTAGATGGGCATAGTAGCTACGAAACGACAGAGTTTATGTACCTCTGCTTCAAAACAAGATACACTTGCTTTTCTTGCCGCCACACATCCCACGTTCTCCAGCCCCTCGATCAGTCAGTCTTTGGACCCCTCAAGGCAGCCTATAAGAAGGAGCTTGGTTACCTTGACCGATGGGATACTACTACTGTCGTAGGGAAGAGAAACTTTCTCCTCTGCTATAGAAAGGCACGTCTAGCAGCATTGACCGCTAAGAACATTATCAGTGGATGGAAATATACTGGTCTCTGGCCTTCGAGCATAGCTAGACCCCTTATGAGCCCCCTGCTCCTTGAGAATACGTCAGCACTAATCAGACAGCCTAGTCAGACTTGCAAAGGGTACTCTGATAGTAAGGGTAGTCAGGACTGGGCGTTAGAGACATCAGCAGTAGCCTGGTCAACGCCTAAGAGGAGAGATGAGCTCCAAGATCAACTCAGCTTATTCAGCAAGCTTGATAGTGATCCAAATACCCAGCGGCTACTCTTTCGGAAAGTTCAAAAGGGCTTTGATGAGAAGGACTGCCAATTAGCTGTCGCACAGCGAAAGATTGAGGTAATAGAGGCAGAGCTTGAGGCTAGTAGGGCTAGGAAGCGGAGGAAGGTCAAGATGAGCCCAAATTCGAAGTTTACTAATATCAAGGCTATTCGGAAGGCTCAAATCGAGGCTGGTGAAATTGAGGACAGTACAGATGAGTCTAGCGAGTCTGAAAACCCTAGTGACGGTGAAAGCTGTATTGTAGTCGCATTAGATTATTATTATTATTATTAAATACGCCGTAGGCTCGAAGCCCCCGGTACCTCTACTAGTACTCCCGTATGTCAAACCGTGCCCTAATGGCTGGACTAAATACATACGCTGCGTCGTCGGTTCGCCCTATTGGCGACTGCGTTACGTCCACTACCATACTACGTTGGTTCTCAACCTACCAACAAAGTCCCCCCTGAGAAGATCGATGCTATCTGGGCTTTGAAGCTGTCCGACCCGTCCCTAGCAGCCACCTTAGTCGCATTAGAATAAGTGTAAAAAAAGGTTGAAGTTAATGGTTATAATATACAGCATCATTTTTAGGACGTCCCACATGTGGGGGTGTCCCGGATGTACGTGTGGGACGTTAGTTCGTGTGGAGTGTTGAGTCTTTGACTTCGATGTACGGAGTGTCGTATGTTCCAAAGAGTTTTACACTATCTATCTAGAGTTGCCAATCTCAAAAATGCTTTGATTCCATTTCGACACCGATTTGCACTGAAATTTATGAGTTGATTTCGTCCGGTACCAGTAAGTAGGTTTGTCTATGGATAGGCTGTTGGTGCCTTGTACCTGACTGGAACTACGGATAGCAGTAATGAGCCCTCGAATACGACTCTGTTAAGTATTGACGAGATCTTCTTGGCCGTTGCAAACTCGACGGTCGAAGAACAGAACTTGCACGTACCGCAGTCACAGTGTCCACGTCCAACATATATATGCATACAACGCGCATAACTTGACCATCGCCTACTCCCTTGCCTTTGCGCCGACTTAATGGCCGTTCTCACCGGCCTCGCCCCCTACTTGGATCATGGTCGTACTAGTTGCGATGCGAGCTTTTCCGACTTGTTGTGAAAGACGCGGAATCCGGAGCTGGACCACCTGGCTGGCAAGGGTGGAATGATATCGGCCGAATTACTGAGTACCAAGTCACGCTACGGCGGGCTACAGCAAGGAGAATAATTGGTAGGTGGTTATAAGAAAACAGATAGAGTCTATGTCATGGGGTTTGGGGTCCTGGACAGGTAGCGGAGAGGCATGGTGCTCGTGGGTATAGAAGTGTTGGCATGAGCTAACGAAGGATGGACCTAACACTTGACCTGCCAAAACCCCGACCGACACCCAGCGATCTACATTTTGTCTCGAAAAGACCCTAGCTATGTGGAATCTTGCATGTGGAATCTTGCATGTGGAATCTTGCATGTGGAATCTTGCATGTGGAATCTTGCATGTGGAATCTTGCATGTGGAATCTGGACTGAACTGCCTTCAAGTGTGGTATTGGACACGTCAATGGTGTGATTATGGGACACTAGTCCACACGACAAGGGACGATGACCATGCGGCCTTCTCCACTGTCCGGCTCATAAAAACCACGAGGAGTCCCATTTATCCTCTTCTCGTCAGCCCTATTATTCAAAACTTAGTCCATGTAGATTCTTATATTATAGCCATAGTCTACAACGCGTTCCCTCTTCGCACGAGCGAAGAGCTTGACACAGATAGCGAAGAATACCGTAAATCCGAACCGAACCACCGTGGTTGCAAATATCATGACACTGGCGCGCTAGATCTGACACAAACCAAAAAGAGCGTACGCAGATTGGGCCCATGAGCAGGACGAAGAGGGCACATATCATAACGATTGCTTTGATGAACCGAACCTCGTCGTGGTCGTTCACGATGAGGCAGTCGTCTTCAGTTGTGTTATGCTGTGCTTTGCTAAGCATAGAATAATATTATTGAGAAAGTGATTATCCTATTCGATCTCGAAATAGTTTCTACCATAATCAGCATTATGCTTCACACGGAAACAATGGTTAAGCGCCCTTAAGTCGTTCTGCTTGGGTTCTCCAGCAAGGGATTCAACGTCACAGTGTCTACGAAGGACGCATCACTGGGATCAGTGAGATCCATCAGGTCACTTCGGTGAAGGTAATGCGCCTAGCCTTTTGGGAGAGGGTCGTTGGGCTTGGAAAGTTCAACAAGCTTCTGTACGTGGTCGAAGGGGTACGTCGATGACTAGTCCATTGGGATACTAGATTTACCATTGTGTCTCTTTGGCATGTCTAAGTCAAGCATGATACGCGTATGAGCCTTAACGGAGATTGACCTGGTCCATATCTAGGTAACGCCGTGATGGTTGGTATCTGTGAATATTGATGACCTCCGGTATACTGTGCATGAGTTGGCGTTTATTCGATGTAGCTCAGCATGCCGGATCATTAGAGTCTCACAGTAGCAGCAGGATTTACCGAACCTGTATCTATGAATCTTCAACTACTCTGCTGGAAATTGTCTTTTCACCGCTTTGTCGTTCCTCAGCTACCGTGACCGGCTCCGTTTCCCGCCCAGGTTTTGGGGTACCAACCAACGCTCGACTGAAGGGAAACAACCACATCAAAGGCCATGCGTCGCTGAACCCTTCTCCAAGATATTCGAGGGTTTGAGTAAGCTTACTGATCGCGACTCCGTTAGAAGTCAAGGTTGTCAGCTGTTCTGCCCATCCGTAGGCAAAGACAGACTTGGTCGGATTGTTAATCTCCTCGAGTACTTGCTTCACCTCTTCCGGCAGGTGCGCCTGCCATTCTGCGGTCTTCCCGTCAACTACCCGCAGGGGGAGCTGGAAGCCTTCTGGTACATCGTAGATGGACATCTCTCTGTATTCCTTGATGATTTTCTCGCGAGACACGTTGGGATCATCAGATAAGACGAGTTTCATTCGTGCTTTCTCTGTTTCGGTCCCAAGGGTGTTAACGATGAGCTCGCATGTGTCGACCGCCTCTTTGGTGCAGACCATCTCGTGGTCCTTGATCGCAGGGTAAATCCAGCATGGCAGCATGTGCCATTTCTCCTCGTTTGCGAGATGATCCCGCTGCATTCGATGAAAATGAGGCTTGCTCAGGACATGAGTATGGCAGAAGTCGGATATCAAAGCAATCAGCACGGATGTGTCGATGTTGAGGACGTTGGTAAATTTGGAGAATGGGCTCGGAGCCATTCTCTGCATAGTCTCGCTGGACAGCGGGACCGGTGGGGTGTTACTGCCACCGCCGCAGCATGAGACGTTGACCCCCAGGTTGCGAATCCCCTGCAGTACCCGATCGATATCTTTGACTTCTCCTTCGTTAATCCGGGTCAACACCAGGTGAACGACGGGATGCTTTCCCCGGATTCTATGAACGCTCGCGGCATCTGCCAAATCCTTTGCACACTTGAAAATTGGCAGTTCGTCAAAATCGCCCGCCCCTGATTCGTCTTCATCGCTTTCTTCTTCGTCAATACCTATGGCCCATCCGAGTTTTGTCATATCCCAGAGAAGCCTCTTGGACGTCGTGGTGTACACTTTGACCCACGTCTGGCCATCATCGGCTATAATATCGACGATGGTCTTCTGGGCCTTCCGCGATGAATCCCCGGGCGATGGGACGATGTGAATCCCGGGCGCCAACAATTCTTTCTCCTTGATAAGCCCGACAGACACCCATTTCCGGAACGCGACGATGTTTTCACATTGTTCGGCGCGGTTCCACAACGCTTCAATGAAAGGCAGGTTGCTTCCCGAGAAAGTCTGCCGAGTCGGTGTCTCCTTTTCCGACTTCTTGATCACGCCTTCGAGTCTTTGGATCTCGTTCTCCAGTAGTGTTCTCAGGGGTCCGATCATCAAGCCTACCATGTCTGCACCATACGGACTGATGTCGTCCACAACACGGCGGTAGTGGTCGGCAAACGCATGAATTTTGGACCTGAGCTCCTCTCCCTGTCGCCTGAGTTCCTCGGAAGAGAAGTCCATTTGATATCCCTGTGAAGGTATCATGACGGCGTATCGTCTTCTAAATCCAACAAGAGAGGAGGCAATCCCAGGGCTATGATTGCCAAATAGATATGGAGCCCCGAGTCACCACGGGCAGGTCCCGTTTTACCCCGATTTAGAGCCGTTGGCTTGGCTCCAATATTTGGAATACCAATCCTTTGGGATGCTCAGGGTGGTTTTTAATTTTGAGGCCCGGCTTATGCGTCCCCCAAGTAACGAGGAAGACCGGTATCGGGCTTGCTTGGATGGAGATATGGAATGATTTATGTGATAGCTCATCTGCTGGAGGCTATGGCTGTATTTTTACATACCATAAACTAAGAGCATGAAATTCCAACTGGCAAATGGTCTCTGAGTCTTGAAGTTGTCTCGACTTTTGACCTTCTGGTGCGCCACGGTGTCGTTTAATTATTAGTGGGGTTCTATTCGAGGAAGCGGCAGTCCGAAACGGTCCGTTCCTAAAATTCTTTGTCTACTTAGGGACCCTACCTTAACCCTAACCCTGAGATATTCTTCGACTTCACCTTTAATCATTATGACCTTTTGTGAATTAGAGTACCTAACTAGTTGTATACATATCCAGAAACCTCGGTGGTTTAAACATAAGCGTAGGTACGTAACTTCTAAAATACGTAACTGCCTAAGGAACGGGGGTAATATAATACGGCGGACGTCTTGTCCCCGTCGTGGAAGGCCGCACATCTTATAGTTGGCAACGTTTGCCTGCTCGCTGAGCCCACGATCATCACCACATCTTGTTGTTGGCAACGTTTGCCGGTCCTTCATTTCACCAGTCAATCACCAGTCAATCACCAGAAATCGGATTGCAACCGGAGACGCCTCCGGACAAAACGCAACACTTTATTCCCGTCTTGATTGATGGACATACAGCGACCTTGCAAGGACTCGAATCCTGAGGACATACAGCCGCCCTCTACAGAACCAAGCAAATCGCCTTCTCACTCTCCTCAGCACGAGCGAGCAAGATCACCAGAGGACACCCCTCCAGCTCTACCACCTCGTCCTGTCCGTGCTTGCCAGCCGTCACCGCGTCACCGGAAGTCGTTGTGCGGGGTTTTCGTCTAAACCGCATCGTGGCTGCTCTAGGTTTAGACTTGGAAAGTCTGATTATATCACCACCAGCGTCACGCCAGAGAGAAGGAACGACCTCCCCTCCCCTAATCACGCGTCCTCTGCCCTCAGAAAAACAACGCCCGGCAACTCCTCGAAGCATCTGTGAACCTTCGGAATTGGGTGTTCGGAGAGTATCACCGATCAAGTCGCCAACTAAGAAGCCAAGCAGCAATTTCCGAAGAAGCCGTGTACGGGAAACGACCTTTGAAAACCTCTTTAGACGTCCGCCGATGTCCGATAATCCTTCAGTGCTACCCACCGACGTTCCCCCTTCCTCATCTTATCACAGTCGACCCCTACAGAAGACAGTCAAGTCACAGAGAAGGTTTCCCAATTAAATTTGGCATCCTCTGGCCAAGACAAACACTCCCAAGATGGGTACTAAGGTGCCAGACTTGTCTGCCTGTGAGAAATTTGATGGTTCAGAAGCTGCCAGCCGGTGGATTGACCAGCTGTACTGGCAGTTTGAAGAATCCGGATGGGATCTGGACAAATTGCCAGAATCAAAGTCATCCGTGCCATCAATATACTAGCCAGAGGCGATGTGGCCACTTACCTTGATTCAGACACCAAACTGAGCGAGATCATCACGAGAGCATCCGAGAACCAGGCATCTCGGGAAGACCTGACGACCCTGGAACAATGCTTGAAAGTGAGATATCCTTCCAAATCCGTCGGCAGCTCCATCCTGGAAACAGACGACTTGACTCGCATCGCCCAGCGAGATGACGAGCCCCTCTCCCAATATTATAACGCGTCCAGAGTGTCTTCCGACAGGCCGGTGGCAGAGACCGCCCCCGGACAGGAAACATTGACCTCATGCCAGTCGAGACGACCTTGCTGAAGAACGTCGTCAGCCGTTTTGTTGACGGACTTAATGATTTCCACCTCAAAAAAGAAGCATTAACTAATCGTGCTCGCTCAGCAGACGCCCTCTGGCGTTGCTACGAGACCATTCAGGTCTGTCATCAGATAATTGAAGACCGAGAGCGAGTTACCAGAGAAGAAGCTGACCGACTGCACATCGAGGCAATCCGGAAAGCCCTGTATGAGAAGAAAGATTTGACAATCGGACAGGCAGTGGACCAGTACCATCTCTACCCTCCCCCAATCATGTTTCCTGCCGGAATGAACAGCCTCTATACCTTTCCCTATCGTTACGGCGGACAACCGCCCCAGAGCATTCAGAGAAATTAGCAGAGTCCGCACTTGCGGTAGAACAATAAGGAGACGATCGAGCATCACTACTTTCTCTCCATCACGATGCGGTAGGTAATAGGGAGGTGATATCATGGCAGAAGGCAAAACATTTTCTTTTCTCAATGGCACCTACTCGTAGGTTATCAGCTTAGATTTGCGTTTCCCGCTCTCTCCGTTAGCTCTAACTGGAAAGCTAAAAGGTTGCTCAGCTACCTCAGATTCTCGATACCTATAGCCTGTGACTTGTCAAAATTCAGCTGGTTACCTTGTGGCCCAAGACCCGTTGGCACTGATCTACAACATGCAACTTCAGCTAAGATATGGAGAAACCTAGAGAAAACGCTGGGGATTCAACAACCTAAGGCCTTCCACTTTCAGTTCATATTATCAGTCCAACCCTATAACACTCGAGCGAGCAATGTACAAGAGAAGATCCAGTCCTTCCTCCGCCGTGAGAAACCGGATTGGAGAGTCAAGCAACACGTCCCCAGCATTACAAAGGCTCCATGGTTTCAGCTGAATACAGTCGAGTTAGAGCGCGCCAGTACAGTCTTTGGGAGCAATGAGTGTGGGATCCGGACGTATCCGGACGTCCCGATTTTTGAATAGACAGTGCCGCGCAGTCAAAGGTTACCTTGCTGCAAAGGCAGTAGATAAACGACCATTCGAGCACATTCTTTACATCCACTTGGTGACAATGAATCAAAACATACTCGCAAGGGGAGATTTAGTGCCAAGGCTCTAGCTGTAGTCGGTGTGAACAAAGTCACGAGTTCGCCAGGGTGACTGAGCAAAGGTGGACCCCTGGACAAAGGTACATTGCACCGTAGGCTTTTATTTATTCCCAGCCCACACCTACGTAGATATCAATGAAGGAGAGAGAAGACTCCGCAAGGTTGTTTTGTAGAGTTTGCCAAAGATTTCAGCACATTCTCCAGAACCCAGCCTTTTTCAGTTCGAGTGGGGGTGGCAAAATAAGTTGTACTTACTTAACAACCTAGGTAGATGTTAGATGATATGGGTGGTGAGGCATACATAAAGGCTAAGTAGTGCGCATTTACTACAAGCCAGAAGTGTTGGTATATTTAACCAGCATGTAGCTTAACAGTGCTGGGCAAGTAGATAATGAAATAAACGGCTTGCTCAATGTATTAATCACGTCATGGTGGTTTACCACACGCTACATGACTCTTAGACTGTCCCTTACCATGCCACCATTCATTATACCGTTAGTTTTATCATTGTAATGTTTTGTAATGTTTGTGTTATAATATTATTATTATTAAATACGCCGTAGGCTCGAAGCCCCCGGTACCTCTACCAGTACTCCCGTATGTCAAACCGTGCCCTAATGATTGGACTAAATACATACGCTGCGTCGTAGGTTCGCCCTATTGGCGACTGCGTTGCGTTCACTACCATACTACGTTGGTTCTCAACCTACCAACTAAGTCCCCCCCTGAGAAGATCGATGCTATCTGGGCCTTGAAGCTGTCCGACCCGTCCCTAGCAGCCACCTTACAATAGTCCCACTAACTACTGGTTCTCCTGTTGCCGTTGCGAGGTCTCTGCGAGAGTATAGTGGCCGTGGTGCGATAGCGGCCCGTAATCGTTCCCTCGGTCCTTCCAACAGCCCGCAAAAGAGGATTACGTGCTCTGCCGTCTCAGGGGCGTCGCCACAGCGGCATAGCGGCGAGTACACGCCAAAAGCACCTGTCTTGAATAAGAAGGCTGCTAGTCCTATTTTTTCCGTCCTGATCTGGCACAGCGTAGACGCCTCCAGTCGGTTCAGGCCGAAATACTTGCCCCCTTTCGGTATCTGCATCGAAGGGCCCTCCGATTCCTCAGCGATAGCGCGTCGCTGGCGGTCGTGATGCTCTGCTCCGGTGAGCCATCTCTTCCTCCAGTGGCCGAGGAGGGCGCCGGGACCTCCTTTTCCTCACTCATCCACTCGGAGCCCCGGGCCTCCTTCTCCATAGTGTACCCTGCCGGTCGGAGTAGCTGCGACGCCTGCTTCCTCTTCGCCGGCCTATCCTGCCGGAGTATATGTGACGCTTTAGCGCTCGCGCTGCGAAGCAGATTTCTCTTCCCGCTAAGCCGTAACCGTTCTTCAAACTTAGCAGCCCGGGCACTAAGATAGAGGTCTAGTGGCGGGATTGCTGCTTCTGCTTCCAGGTGGCGAACCGGCGTCGCTTTGTGGGCGCCACAGACTACCCGGAGGCACTCGTTCTGTATCCCCATCAGGCTCTTAGCTGGCCCTGCCGGTTCCTCACTTATAGTATGCCACGCAGTCGCCCCGAAGTGTGTTATAATAAATTTATCGATCGGTCAATGTTCTATAAATGGATGTTGGCCTATCTTGTGGGGATTTCTTTGTCTATGATCACCAAGCTGCGACCACCACGGAAGTCCTGTACAATGAAACCGCCAATACGTGAACTTGAAAATATACTAGCGTGGGCTTAATGTGCAAACTGGAAATCCAATCTTCTGCTCCCCTGGAGCCTGGTATTCTTCCGATACTCATTTTGCTGCTCCTCGGTTAAAGCGTTCCATTCATTCGCCTTCAGCTTGTTCCTCCGCACATAGTATAGCTTCGTGAGCAGGAACAATATAATGGAAACTATATTTATAATGAGTAGGGTTGAATTCCCACGGTGGTATAGCGGCTTGTCGTCTTCGCGGTACACGTAGGCCGAGAAAACACTCCCGGTTTGGACACTCATCTGTTGGGCACTATTAGTATGCACTCTGATGGAAGAATATGGACCAACCGACGTTATATAGAGCGGCGGATACTGTGCGCGTGCCGACGTTATTTGAGTTCTTTGAGCACCAGCCGACCAGAATCGCATCTGTTTCATGTTAGCTATATCAATCAAGAGCTATTGCAAGATTCAGGAGATCATACGGCAGTACGGATAGGACAGAAGAGCCATTAACAAAGTGTAAGTGCCCCATTTGTCATCGAAGACGCCCGGCCAAAAGCGCAGGGCAAAGATACATGGCAATACCCACAGGGGTTGGATGATGGACACAAGTGATCGCTCATTCAGCTTTTCCGATAGTCTGGTGAGTAGAATCAGGTTGACAATGTGGAATATTTCCTGTTCATAATTAGCACTCCTGCACATCATCCCAAAAAGCAGGAGACCTACTGCAGGGATCGTCAACAGGTTCGTAGTAAAAGTGCTGAATCCAAGAGACCGCAGCAGGAGCGTGATATACGTCTTCGGCGGGGTCTGCGGTATAAACGCAACCAAACCAATCGCATACAACGGCCACAAATCATAGTCCGTCAACGCCTCCCACAACCGCTTCGGCGTCAGCGCCTCGCGATTATGCATATCTCCCTTCGAGGGGTCATCCCTCAACACCCTGTTCACCACGATAGCCTCCTCTCGCGCAGTGAACCACCCCTGGGGTCGGAACCATGTCTTGGTCTGCACCGCGGATGCAGGAATCATGAAAATCGACGTCACGCCGACCGTCAGGGTCATGAAACCTTCCAGGAGGAACAGCCAGCGCCAGCCTTCCCAGCCCATGACGCCGCGGAGGTGGAGTAAGGCGAAGGCGAGGAGCGAGGTAATGATGCCGGTTACGGATAGGGTGGTCCAGAAGTAACTGAGGCGGATGGGGAGCTCGCGGGACGTGTAGAAGTAGGAGAGCCAGAGGACTAGGTCGGGGATGAAACCGCCCTATATGGGGGTTGCCATTAGTGGGTACATGCCAAGGGGAACGGGATATATGTCTTACTTCCAAGAGACCCAGGAGACTTCTGGTGATGAAGAAGGATCTGCGGCCAACAAGGGCACATTGGGAGATGGCGACGAACGACCAGAGTACCATTTGCATGGGTATCCATCGATCTGGGCCCAGTGCCTTGGAGAGGAGCTGGGAGGGCAATTCGGCGAACAGGAAAGATATGGTGAATATCGAATTGCCGTAGTTGTAATCTGACAATTGGTTGGTGGACGACGAAGCAACGAGCTGAGATAATTCATACCATTTGTGCTCAAGCCCAAATCATCCAACATATTATCCGAAACCGCCTGCGAGAGATTGTTCCGGTCTACCTGCAGCCCGAAAAACATGACACACTGGACACACGATCAGAAAGACTCAGCCATCAAAACGAAATGACAGCACTCATACCGCCCATAGACAAACTTTCCAGTCGAGTTTGCGGACAAGTTCTTTCTCTTCTTTCACAGTCCAAGTAAGTCCCGGGTTGAACACGTGTCTGCACTCATAACGGCATTTATCGTACACGTCTTGCCAGTACGCAGCAGTTTCAGAATCCGAAAAGGGGTTTGGCGGGCTCTTTTCTTCATTTGTAAACTCGCCCTCTATGCCCAACAAAGCTGAGGGATTTATACTGGGGGTTCCCTCTGATGAACTGTTTGAACCATAGTTCGTTTGCTCTTCGGGGTCGTCAGAGGCGAGGGGTTTGTAAGACATGTTGGTCCGGAGCCGAGGCGGTACCCGGGAGCCTTTTGCGGCTGAGCATATGCTGCCCAGCTCGTGACAGTATGTTTCAAGACTTGTGTTGCCTGCAGAATCAAGGCTGGTACTCGGATTCGACTTGGATATTCCGGTGAGTCTAGACAAGTAGCCATGGCTGGGCATTGCGAGCTATTATTACGGTGGTGGTGATATATATGTAAGCCTAATCTGCGTGAGATTGGTCATGTTTCTATACGTTAGGCAAATTGCGTGCTCGAGTTGCCGCTATACGAACGTTTCACCGTCTCCAAGCGGTAGTTGGATTTTGCTACGGCCCGCTGGAGTGTGAACACGTGCCCGAATCTTGCTATCGAAATCCCCTTGCGATAGGGATCGACCTTGCTTCGTGTGGGGTGCCATGCTTAACATGATATTCACCTGAACAGGATCTTGGGGATGATAAGCGAATCAGCTTCGTGACATCAAATGGGGTGACTGACTAGGTGCTGGCGCCATTTCTGCCCCTGAAGTCGTGATGGCTGCACCGCCACCACAGCCACGTTCTGGCGTCCTAAACAAGAATCGAGGAGTGCAGTATCCAAGAGGACATTTTCGACATCCAATGTTTAGACTTGTTGAAGCAATTGTTGTCGATTTAGAGGTATCCCGATTAGCAGTTAATAAACGCTCCTTTATTCCTGACACATCTTGGTGGCCGCAAATCAGACGTGGTAGCTTCTGAACCCTTGCTATGCAGCCTAACACCGAGGAGTGACCTGAATCTGGGTTGGATTCATCGTTCTTGAGTCGCAGTTACTTCAATGGCATCAACGCCAAAACACCACTAGTACCCAGGATTCTTTGATGGGTTTGCTTTGCGGATGAACGGATGCCGTTGATGAGCCGCACGTCATCTGCAAGAGGTAATGCTCCCAGTCCCCGTACCCAAGAGGAACCCAGAAGCACGACCTGGTTGGTCCCAAGCACGGTGGCTCGCATGCAGAGATGATCCGACTTGCTCTAGGAGTATACTACTGCAATATTTATCGCGGCTCTGACACATGTTACCTACGTTAGGCTCGAGCAACAGTAAAGTGAAGACCTCGCCAAGACGATTCAGCCAATAGTTTCCCTCATTTCGCAGGCTCTGAGACTTTGATGACACATATCATGATCAATTTAGTCATTATAGTCTTCTACTCTTTAAGCGGTTTGTGCATGATGGTCATCATGTGGGGACATGAGCTCATCGCATTAATTGCCTGTTCATAAGAAGCGTACCCAGCTGAGTCCTTCTGCGGGCAGTGACCACTCAAGGAGGCAACATGAAGAGATATGCAAACGTAGATTCTCTGAATCTAAAGCCAACGCCGCCTGATGCATGTACAATGGTATCCGTAACTCCAGTTCTAATCTGTAGCTTACACCATGAACGACTCCCCGCAACCGCATTCTTCCTCTGTAACCGGGTTAGCATTACTCCCCCCCAACACCTGATTGTCGAAAGCCAACTTACTAATATTCGGATTCCGGAAGATAAACCTCTCGTTCAGCTTATCCTCAACCCAATCCATCTCGCTTCCGATGATGCTGAACAACGCCTTGCTGTCGATCAGAACCTTGACGCCGTCCTGTAGTACCTCCTCATCGAAAGGCCCTGGCTTGTCCACGTACTCGAGGTGATAGGCCAGCCCGCTGCATCCCCTGTTGCGCACGCCGACCTTGATCAACTTCGGTTCTGGTGAATCGAGTAGGGTGCGCAGCTGCTCCACTGCCGTCGGGGTCAGCCTCATGGCTGCTTTGCGTGCCTTGAATTTGCGCTTGCGCTCGGGTGCTGGGGCAGGCTTGGTTTGTTGTGCCTCGGCTTCGGAAACCGATGCTGCTGCAGCAGTGACTAGCGGCTGTGGTTGTGATGTTGGGATTGTTTCTACAGGCTTAGCAAACTGTGACCGTTGCGGCGGCGGCGGTCGGGTCTCGTGGAGTTTCGGTATTGGGCTTGCAATCGAGGTCTCGGGAATGTCATGGTTGCGCGGTTGTGGTGGCGGCCTTGTCAGCGGGTAGGGCTGGTATGATGGCACTGCGGTTTGCAGTTTTTCCGACGATGCGCTCCATGACTGGGAGTATGAAAGGTGTCGGTATAACTGTGGTAACGAGCGCACCGAGGGTGACGGGACAACGAGGCGACCAAGAAGAGATGTTGGCGCTCTCTCGAGCACGACACGGGGTGCGTTCATAATCTTTGGTGCTGGTAGTGTTGGTTGACAAAGCGTGGTGGCGAGGGTTACGAGCACATTGGAGGGAATTAGCTGCACGTTTCAATTGAAGAGATGGTCGAGTAGCTGCGGCCAAGAAGGTGATTAAAGGTACGGATCATAGGTTCGCAGAAAAGGGATGGCAATCTCCAGTGTTCAAGACCTTTCGAGGCGCGATGATGAATTGATCATTCGATGTTGACACTTTGTAGGCAGATGGGTGTTGGCCCGATGACATAGATGCTTCGGCAGATGCAGTAAATCTAGCCGTTCTTACCGATTTGCGCCGAACCAATCACAACGGCGTGAATGGTCACTATCGGGTGCACGTACCTATAGACGGGCTGTTATTATTCCATTCCGAGAGAGCACTCCGAGAGACGGAGGACAGTCTGCCCCACCATATACTTACTGTGCGAGCCTGACTTGCGACAGCTGAAGCGCAAGTATGGCCTCCACGTCGCCCTTGTGTGCTGAAAACAGCTTGGCGGCCAGTTCAGTGTTACAGCTGCAGTCTTGACAGCAAGGGTCAGTTAAGCTTCCCACAGGTCCTGCGCACGCATGACTTCAGATGATATGATTTTTTGCTAAATACCATATTTTTTCCCCCTTCAGTGTCCAGGCGGTTCCTTCATGCATGCATCGACCAAGGCCAGTCCAACGATATGGAGGCATCTCCTTTGACCCAGCAGGCGCGTCCTGAGATATTCCAGCCCAAAGTCGTCCAGCTATACGAGGCGCTATTCAAGGTTCGGCAGTTCTGGATGCTCAATGTATAAGTAAACGAACTAGTCAAGGCTGACTTTTGAAAACCCAAGGTACGTCAGTTCCAGCTGGACATCTGCTAGTCCAAGCAATGTCATGCTGACTTTCAATCCCTCCGACAGGATGATGTAGACACCGAAGAAGACAAGCCCGAGGGCTTCTGGCGCGAGTTTTTCCTCCTGAACACCGATCGAGCTGCATTACAACGGATATTGGAAGGCTTTGGACCCGACGATATCATCAGCCTCCAACCGCAGACGAGACAGTTGTTCACAAGGAGTGTCGCATGCCTAAAAGGGGGAGGGGAGGGTCCCAGCTTACATGCTCTCGAGGTGGGAATTCGATCTGCGGCTTACTTGGGTCACCCGTTCTGACTGGCACAATAGACTCTGACGACCTTCTTCTCTGTTGTGTTGCCCAAAAAGTATACCAACCCGAGCTCGGATGTCATTGCTGTGTTGGCAGGCTTGGATCAAGTTGATACTGTGTTTACCGACTTTGTAGGGGCTCTGGATAATATCATACGGAATGGCCAGACATGTGAGTGGATATGTGCATTATACACAGTGGCTCTGCTGATAGCCTCGTAGTGGAACTTCGCCAAAGCGCGGTCGAGGTGGTCTTGGCCATCACCTCAGGGGCCTACCAAACCGGTCTCCTGACTTACTTCATCCAAAGGGACATGTTCCCTGCTATCATGAAGTTCATCCAGGACTCTGATATGCCAAGCCGAATCTTACAACCGTTCATACTCCTGGGCCTGTTGGCGAATTACAACAAGTTTGAGTTCCAGAACCCGTACCAGCTACGCCTCAACGACTTTGTTAACGAAGCAGCAATTCAAAAGATTATCAGATGCGTTGGCCAGACATGTCGGAACTTACGACTGCAGTACATTGACATCCAAGAAGACTTACCTGAAGGCTGGTCCATCACAACCACCCTCAGCATGATAGGACTGGGTTCCATCGCTCCTGGGACTAAGCCAAACCCGAAGAAGCCCGTATATGACCCAGAGGTCGCAAAGCAGATGTTTGCGAAGCTGTTAGTGCCCTGTGCTGCCCCCTATACCTAGTCACTAACAGACCTTCAGCCCTGGTGAACATGCTGCCGTATTGCTGGGCACTTATGACTTTACTCATGCCAATAAGCTCTTCTGCTTCAACCTGGTCACACTTGGTGCTGAAAAGGGCGAGGAACAACCGGTGTCGGCTTTCTTATCTCTTACCTCTTATCTTCTCCAACATGCGTTCCTGTCAGCCCGAGCAACGAATTACGCTCATCTCAGCCTCATGGTATTCAGACTTCTCATTGAAGACCAACTGATCTGCAAGCGTATCTGCAGCGAAGAAAGCAAGGTTGCTGTCCGCCTCTGTCGGCAACGACAACCTTATCTTCCTGTAATTCGTGGGGAGCGTATTCTCGCCACCAGCGTCCTCGATACCATGGTTGATGGTATTAACCACAATCTGCGCCGCCGGCTAGACGTAAGCCTTTATACTCTGTGTGTTGGCATCATGCTCCGCATCATCTCATACCTTTCGCGATCGCGTACACGTATGCAATATCACTGGTCCGAGCTCTTCCGCTCCCTCCTAGCCCTTATCCGCTTCCTAACCACCTACGCCTCCGACCTCAAAAGTCTCACCCGCATTGAGACTCTTCTGGACCTCGTTGTCAACTTGTTGGCACTCTCCCTCTCAGCTGGCGAAGCATTCCTGCCCACGCCCGCTGCCTACGATGACCTCTTCTACAAGACAGTCGAAAGCGGGGACGTCTTGATCAAGTTCCGTGACACGTATGGGCTGACAAACCGGCCATCCAATTCCATCGGCACGCTTGTCAGTGTGAGCACACACTACAAGTCGATGCTCGAATCGGGCGGGTCGAAGCGAAACCTCACAAGTACTGAGGTCACCGATGTCATTAAGCAGGGCTACGAAACCTTGAGCATTCAGGCCAAGGAGGGTCTAGACGGGTGGGAGAGGTACCGCGAGGCAGATGAGAGGACATTACTGAAGAAAATGGCGAGGGCAACAGTGGGTGATGTCAAGCTTATGGTCGAGTCGTAGTCAAGACTTCAGAATGTGATTTGCGCCCGCGATGCTACTTTTCAATTACTGCTATTATAGAGAAACTAGACGCGGTGTTTGACACTTGATGACCTGTGGTCCCAGGGCCTAACACCTGCCTTGGTCTTCCCGTGGCATTTAACACTATCAAGCTGTCTTCGATGCTTCGGTAACGCCGGGGTAACATATCTTCCAATCCAGCTGATGTACATCAAGAACGGTCACAAAACGGCAAAAGGTTATTTTTCTAGCACAAATCTACTACTGCTTGACGATACTCGACATTGACTCAATAGCGCTAGCCATTTATATTCCCAGCGCCCCTAAAACAGCACCATTCCACCGTCTACCTCCGCCCATACCTTTCGTAAATCCAACCTGCCCACAAGTGCCCCCTCCTCAAATAGGCGACCCCTTCTCCCCCACCCCATCCAGCTTAACCCCCTCCGAACGTCTGCCTAGATAATCCAACAATCCCACATCCCTTTGTGCCTGAGCCAGCATAACCAAATCCTCAGCACCGGTCTTGGACCCGAACACACGGTCCATGTCCTCGAGCGTAGCGTTCTTGGTTTCCGGAAGAACAAGCCAGACCCACATAAATCCGCCGAAAAGGAAAACGGCAAAGAAGATGTAGGTACCCCAGGCCCAGACGTCGAAGAGTTTGGGGACTAGGAAGGCAATAGCGAAATTGTTGAGCCAGTTGCTCGAGGCGCCTATTGACGCGCCACGAGCACGGATGGAGAGGGGGAAGACTTCAGAGACGAGGACCTGTGGGAGATATTAGGTTATGGCGGAGTTTAGGCGGAGAGAGGGGACCTCAGGAAAAGAGCGTGAAAAGGAGTACCTACCCAACTTGCAGGGCCCCATCCGTAACCGAATCCGGCGATCTGCGGGTTGGTTAATGACGTGAGTTTGAAAAGGGGCAGGAGAGAATGGCACTTACGTATATCCAGATGAGCACAACGGCAGCCCAGCCTGAGAAAAATAACGATTAGTTGAATTCAAAGGGAATTGATCGGAAGGGGACACACCGGCATCACGGTGGTGGGGCCAGTCGTGGCGGAATTTGGCGACGATGATTCCGACAGTGACCATGGAGATGAACATGACGATGGATCCAGACATGAGCATGTGCTTACGTCCCAGGCGATCAATGAGGAACATGGCAGGGAGGGTGCTGATCATGAACACAGAGCCGGTCACTCCAGTTGCCAGGAGGGCAATTGTTCCTTCCGAGAAACCGTAGCTCTGGAAGACGTTGGACGCGTAGTAGATGACTGCCATGTCGTTAGATTGGGGGGCCATCGATTCCATGAAAGGGGCCAGGCACTTACTAGCATCAATACCACTCCATTGCTGCCAGAACATGACCAGCCATGCGGTGGACACCCGCTTGAAATTATCCCAGGACCTGAAGAGGTGGACATATCCCGACAGTTCCCGGATAAGGACACTCTTCTTCTCCTAGCTCACAGTTAGCACAGATTATCTGTGGCCTTGGTCCCCTAAATACTCACCTGCGCAGCAAGCTTGGGAAAGTTCTTTTCGAACACCCTCTGCTCAAACAGAGCCTCGGCCTTGATCTCCAAAAACTCAAGCTCAATCAACTCATCGTCAATATCCTTCTTCCGCAGCCAAGCCAGCGTCTCCCTAGCTTTCTCGTACTTCCCGACCTTAACCAGCCACCGAGGCGAGAACGGCATCCACCAGATACCAACAGCCAGCAACACCGACGGGATCCCCTGAATGATGGACGGCAGCCTCCACGCCAAATCCGACTGTGCCTCCCCGGTGCCTCCAATATAGTTACTCCCGTACCCAATCCAAAAACTCAACATAATGCCCAAAATGGTGGCAAACTGATAAAAACTAACGATAAACCCCCTCGTCTCAGGCGCCGAAATCTCCGCATTATACAACGGGCCAACACCACTGAACGTTCCCACCCCCAAACCCGTGAAGAAGCGACCCGCGTACAGCAAAGCGGGGTTTCCAGGGGCGGCACCGACGTACAGGTAGCTGCCGAGAATGGTCCAGCAGCAGGCGCTGAACATGGTGTATTTGCGGGAGAACATCTCGCCTAGGAGACCCGCCGAGAGCGACCCGACGATGCCGCCTAGTTGGAGGATCGAGGTGAGCCAGCCGGTGGCACTGCTGGAGGAGACGACAGTGGGGAAGTTGGTGGTGAAGCGGTACATGACGAGGGACTGAGAGAGGATGCCTTGTTGGTAGCCGTATTCGAAACCGCCGAAGCTTTTGGGGTGGATTAGCGTTACCACTATTTCCCCTTTACAGAGTGCGGTCATATCCAAGGGGATGTGGATAGCGACAACTACTTACGACGCAAACAGGGCTATAAGCATAATCTTGGGATTGGAAGTGATGGACGACCATCTCGTTTTGACGGCCTCGTCGACGCGCCATTCGGCCGTGATGGGCTCGACGTGCTCGACGTAGCCCTTGGGCTGGGTTTGCTCCGCTTGGTGCACCGACTCTTTCATCTTCTCCAAGTTTGCGTCGATTCACGCAGTGTAATTATGATAGATTGGTAGAGCACACGATGCATGATCGTGTGCGGCACATTCTATGCTTATATATATGGAGCTCCCCCGCGCGGCCCATGAGCGACTCGGGGCTGGCCGGCTGTGGTCTAGCTCTTCGACATTTTCATGGGTGAGGTGGAGCCGATAGGCGGCTCCGTTGTCCGGCATGAGCGACAGGTATGGAAGAAACCTGGTTATTGTGACGACTGGGTTTCCAGCAGTCTCTCTCTCAATGGTCGGTCTTCTGGAGGTTGGGGAAGTGGTGAGAATTGGCCGATAGCGCGGGGATTGCGGGGACTTTGTGGAGAACTTGGGGTGTTGAATGGTAGGTTAGCCGGGATAGCGCCTAGGCCTTCCTTTTCTGGCTTCCAACCCCTAAACGCTTTCAACCTGCGGAAGGAAGAGACGGCCTAGAGTTGCCTATCTGGATCTTTGGTGTCACCGCTCCGTAGAGAACTCGGTCTCGTGAGACTGATGTACCCGTACCGTTAGTAACTTCTCAAGCTGAGAAGCAAGTTGGCCTGTTATCCAACGCGGCTCAACAATCCAAACACAGTTCCACTGCCGTTAGTCTAGTCTACCGGTCGGCATCTCACCCTTCTAACCTCCCTCCTAATTGGCCCCTGCCTCATCCAAATACTCATCCCCAAGTTCCGCCCCCTTGTAACCGGAAACCCCGCATTTATCGTCTTTTCGTCCCTCTTCTCCCCCTCACCCGTACTCACCCAAAACATCGTATTCCCCACCACCACATGGTATAATCCCGTTCTCATATGGTTCATCGCAATGAACAAATCTCCCCCACACCAGAGCCGCTTCCTGCCAGAGGAAGAGGAGAATTAGTCGGTGTGGCAGTAGAAGAGTGTTTGTGCATACTTTATTGCTTGAAGCGGTCTGAGATGGTTGAGGTGGGTTTCGAGACCTTGCAAGAATGCGGCACGTTGTTCGATGCAGATTATGCTGTTGTCCGTGCCACTGGGGATTTCGGTCAATTGGGAGGCGAGGTGATGAAGGTGCCGTTTCTGGAGATGGTGTGTGTAAGTGTGACTAAGATGACATGGATGATCGTGTGTGGATGTGGATTTCAAGGGATAGTGTTTGGATACGTTATTTTAAGTATATGTGCCTGCTCTTCTGGAGTAAAGAAGTCCTCTAGGTATATCATAACTGGTGATGTCGAGAAAATGTGCGTTTATAGGGCGGGTGTTGGCGTGAGTCTCTTATTAAATTGGTAACCGAGGGGCGTTATCTTGGAGACTGTATAATTGCTCTACAGGCGAGCAAACTAAGTAAATCCATGCGCAACGACATTCTAACACATGTCTGCATTCAGAACGTCTAGTCAAGCATTTGAACCCGACTGGGCGTCTATATCAACGACGATTACCTCTCTGATGAGCATAGATTGCGCATTATCCGAATCACTATGTCGAGATCTGGACGTCAAGTCCTACCCATCTCTTGAATACTTCAGCGCCAGCAGGAGAAATGAACAACTACTGCGGACTGCGGCGGACAAACCAGGGGAAATTGCTAACTTCGAACAAGACGTGGTTGAGGAAATTGTTGTCAGCATTGTTGGGAAATCGGTAGGTCCAAATCACAATGAGAGAGACGAAAGTGGAAAAGATGGTAGTAAGTTTTCCCTGCTATACCCTTGATTCGCTTTTCTTGAACCATACCAGTTGAATAATCACCAGTCGTCTTCAATTCAGGAATCTGTCGCCAGCAGATTGAACCCAAACCGCCAATGTTAGCCAATATATTCACGGATAATAATGCCTCGGCCAAATATTCATAGCAGTTTTCAACCCCTCCCCAAGCGGTAACCCAGCGTGCATTGTCATCGTATCCCCCGTCCCGTTCGCATGCAAGTTAACCCAAAACAGTGAATTCCCCTTGACCGGCCTAAAAGCTAATCCACCATCCTCGTGCTCCCTCCACACAGCCCCTTTCCCACGCCCATTCATCCCTTTTTGAGGCGCAACCGTCTTCACATACGGAAAATACGTCTCCCCCTCCGTACACCCATCCTCCAAAATCGCAAAGAAACTCGCAACCCGATTCCAGCTTCTCCCTCTATGCATATTCTCCCTCCGCGCCGGCTGCGGTCGTTCATACCAATCATGATGAACATTATACCGCTGTCCGGCCGTGTACCGCACCAGCTGTGGGGGCCCTATTTCGTCTCGGGCGGAAAGCATAGTGCCCATGAAGCTTTGTGCACGGTCGAGCACGCATTGTACCGCGGGGTTGTCGCGGGGAAGACCTGCGGAGGACGATGTGCGGTCGCCGGTTCCTTGTTTGCGGCCATTTTTGACGACTTCTGAGGGCTGGAATTCGGGTTCGCCTGCCGCGAGGAGGGAGGTGATTTCGTGCGGGGCGAGGAAGGAGTGGATGTAGACTAGGAGGGGGGAGAGAGAGATGATTTCCGTAGTATAGTTGTGTGGGGTGCAGGTAAAGGGGAGGGGATCGGTCGAGGCGGCGAAGGGTGAATTATGGAATATTGAAAGAAGAATATCGCTAAGGGATTGGTTTGGTGATGTGGCGAGATGATATAAGTAAGGCACTGAAAGGGCCAGAGCGGCCATGACAAGGGAACCCAGGACTTTAGACATCGTGGGTCATCGCCGAGTGCGACCTAGTGTAGACGGCTTGATAGTGCCAAGTGAAGCGCCAAGGCCTGAAGCGAAGGCTTGTGTCGACGTCGATCAGCCCAACGCCTGGTAGTAACTCTCAAGCTAAGATATCTGTCGGACGAGAATAGGAGCTTGCAAAGGGTCAAAAATTCTGATATCTAGATGCTTGAAAATCTTCACCATCCTGCTGCTATTAGAAGTATTTATTTGAACAGAAGGGACGTCATGTTCCGAAGCTACTAAACTGGGTAATGAGTCGGAGGGGTGCTAGATGCGGAGCTGCCCACCACTACCACCGACAGTGGAATGATAACCCTGCCACCAGGAGAATAACCCGCTGCCAGATGAATAATTCATGGACGCTATCGTAGATCCAATTGGACTCGGAAAATGCTCGTTCCCCCAACCGTAGGGTTCTTTCGTCTGGTTGAAGCAATACCTGCACTCATAGCTATACCCACAACCTCAGTACCGTTCCAATCGCCTCCGCGGTCTGCATAGTCTAATAGGGCCATGTTACAGAGAAACAGGCGCATTTCGTCATATCGTATCATAAATGTCACTCTACACATATACGGTACCAAGTAAATAATGTGATATTCTGAGATTACTGCCGCAGCAAGACAGCTAATCGGGAACAAGCGCAAAAACGTTCGATGGGGGGAATTTTAGAAAGAAAACAAAAGTTATAAGTTGATGACTTCCCAGCGGGGTCCTTTTTCTTTGGTCCTCCTTTTCTTCGTACCTTGAGGTGTCAATGTCAGGATATTGAGATCTGACATGTGCATCTCCTTTCATACAAGGGAGCATGCGCGTTTCCACCATACGCGAGCTCCCATCTTATCCAAATATATAGGACGTGTCAATGGACAGTTTTGTCCCGGCAATTTTTACAGTCCCGTTAACAGGCAACGAAAACCCTGTCAGCTGTTAGTAGTATCTTCTACTCTCTCGCGGAAAGACGCAAGCTTACCCCCATCCATAGCAGGATACAAAATATAACTCAGTTCCCAATGTACCAAAGTGTCCAGACGTCGCACCTGCCAAAGTCGTCGAGCTATTCCTCCCCACAATGACCCGAGCTTCCAAGCGCCAGGATACAGGGCAGTCAGCTAGTGCTTCTGGCTCTAAAAGATGAATACCACCCTATCGGCCCTAAACACAAAGTGGTCGGGCCTAAGCACGTTGTGCGCCAAGGCGCAGGATTGGCCTACCGCAGATCCGGCAGAATCAAGCAGTACCCTGTTGAGCGACGAACCATTGGTGTTCCTTCAGTAAAGGTACAAACCCTTGGTGTTGATGCCATTTACACCGATGTGAGGCGTGGGCCCAAAATGATCGAAACTTCAAAAAGGGGTCATCAACGGCAACACTGTAAGTCCCATGCGCAAAGTTGACCTTGTACACCACGCCGTTGTCCATATCGGAGGCGAGATCATTCTCATCGTCAAGCGTCGTCATCTGTTGAGGAGGAAACCCGCATCATTCACGTCGAAAATCTTGGCGACGATTACGTTCGCAATTACGGACCCGTCGTCGGACGGCATATCAAAGATTCGCATGTCGATTTCCTAGATGGAGTTCATACCACCGATCTTGACGAAGCTTTTGTCAACAAAGGCGGCCGTGATGGCTTACAAGACGTTTTCAGTTGTCTCAGAGATGCCAAGAATGCCCACGTACTCAGATACGCCCCATGACGCGATTTTTATCGGTCCAAGGAGCTGGCAGGATCGACTTGCACCACCTCGAGCGAGTCGATACGGGAGACGAAGACATGGCCGTTGGATCAGATGGCGAGGCCTTTGGTCTAGGAGGGGTTTCCGAAGTCGTACAAGACGTTGGATTGAAACGGTAGGCGGCAGAACGGGTCTGGATCTAAAGGTGGCATGGGGATTGATTGCAGTTGTTTGTCTCATGATGAAGAAGAACATCAGCAGCCCGGAAGAAGGTATGGAACGAAATGCCAACGCGAAGAATGGGGAATACATAGTGACGTAACTAGGTCGGCCTATGCTTTTTTCTTTCTTTTCTAGAGTATTTTTTGAACTTTGTTGTATGAGATAGCAAGCTGGAGAGATTTTGAACTCGATCCGTGACTACTGCGTTGTACCTGAGTCGAAGGCTGAAGCCACGAACTCTAAAGAGAACTCAACGACATGACTCATGGAGTTCCGACTCATTTGCAACAAGGTCAATAGAGGCAGTACGGATGTTAAATCTACGTCAATGTTAGCCGGTGAATATTGGCTTGATTCTCACTCTGATAATCGTGTGCTGCTGAGCTAGGGGCGGTGTATAGCCCCTTTACCAGCATTCGGTATCCACACCCATCCATTCTTGTTGACTTTCTACACTAATGGGCAGACTTCAGTCGGTTTGTAGCATTTTTCGGTCCTGTTCATATGGCAATAGCTCCTCGGCCGCTTCAATCAAGTAAAGTTCTTGCACAGAAGCACGACCAACTTAAGACTTATTGAGACAATTTTTGGGGAAACATGTTTCCTTGGAAATCTATGGATACTCTACAGCAGGCAAGATCGGAACCAAACTACCCAAATCCTACCAGCCCCGGTCCTAAATCCTCAGCAGCGCCCCGTACAATGACGATATACCCATCTTGCACGAACCTGCGGTCCTGCCCGCCGTTGATCTTCCTCGCGTGCTTACCGCTTCGCGTTTGTTCAATGATACTCCCAGACGTACCCTCCGTACCAGAAATGGTTCCCGAACCAAACAAGTGCACATCCACAAATTGCACGCAGATACGATGTGGTGTGTCACCAGAGCATGTTTTTGGAGCGGGTGCGAATGATGGTAATTACATGCTCAAGCAGCACTTAAAGGCGCCCGGAAATATTGGACGTACACTTGATATCGGGTTCTTCCACATGTGCCACCACTTATACTACATGAATTGTTATTAACGGGCACTTGGATTTGACTCAGTCTCTGTTTGAGATGGAATATAAGCGTACCCATGTGTGACGCAGCTTGTAAGTACCGCGAGACTCGAGGCTCGGGCTAATTCAACTCGGAAACTTCAACAGTGGAACTAGAACTAGGAGCATCAAATGCAGCTCTGAAGTGCGGGGAAATCTGGGGAAGAAACCTTGTCAGCTATTCCCCGGAAATTCCGACATTGGAATTAACGGCTTCTCTCTGTTACGCGCTTATCTGCAGAAACAGCAATTTGCAGTAAGTAGGACAAAGCGGAGATACTGTCACAGAGAAGCCAATGTGGAGGTAGGAGGGCATCGACATTAACGTAACCAAAGCTCTAGAATACCAGGGGTATGTGTGTCTGAGGCGTGAGATTACCCTTCAACAAGCATTACCTACGACATACTCATCCGTTTTAAAACGCTAATGGCCTTCTCACAACTCATCCTTGAGGCTCAGTGGATGCTGATAACTCACACCATCGCAACAACACTGGTCATCGCTGTTATCATACCTATCATCTACCTTATTACCAACGAATTCATACGCAGTCAAGCGCGAATACCTAAGCTACCAGGCCCGCGGGGTCTGCCCGTGATTGGCAATCTTTGGGATATCCGCACCAATGCAGCCGAGACGTACCGACAATGGGCCCGAAAGTACGGCGATGTGTACCAGATCCAGCTGGGCAACATCCCCGTAGTGTTAGTCAATTCAGCGTCAGCGGCGAAAAAGATCTTCAGCAATCAGGCCATCACCTCGCGCCCGGAGTTCTACACTTTCCACAAGGTGCTGTCCAACACGGCCGGTACCACCATTGGGACTTCGCCTTACAGCGACTCTCTGAAGCGGCGCAGAAAGGGCGCAGCTTCGGCGCTCAACCGGCCGTCGGTGCAATCGTACGTGGAACATCTTGATGTCGAGACGCGTGACTTTATCAAGGAGCTGCTCGAGTATGGAAAAGGAGGGGAAAGGCCCGTGGACCCCATGCCCATGATCCAGCGGCTGTCACTTTCGCTAGCCCTCACGCTTAACTGGGGCGTGAGGATGGATAGCCAGAAATCAGATCTGTTTCATGAGATTACCCACGTCGAGGAGGAGATCAGCCGCTTTCGGTCCACAACTGGAAATTTGCAAGACTACGTTCCTTTACTCCGAATGAATCCCATCAACTTGCACTCGGCCAAGGCGAGGGACGCACGAGATCGAAGGAGCAGGTACCTGGACGACTTAAATGCCGAACTTGATGGGCGTATGGCGGCCGGTAAATATAGTCCCTGTATACAAGCCAATGTTATCAACGATAAGGATGCGAAGTTGAACCAGGAAGAGGTCAGAGCCACGCCTATCCAATGCTTCCTTTCTGATAGACTTCAAACTAATACCATATTCTAGTTGACCTCAATTAGTCTCACGATGCTATCAGGAGGACTCGATACCATCACCACTCAAGTGGCGTGGTTCTGCGGTCTGTTAGCCAACCGTCCAGATATCCAGGACAAGGCACTGAAAGAGATACGCAAATTCTACTCTGATAAGCAGCCCCTGTGCGACCCAAAAGACGACCAGCAGTGTGCATACATAGTTGCCTTGGTTCGAGAGTCGCTTCGGTACTTCACAGTGCTTCGACTTGCGCTGCCCAAAGTCAACATCAAAGACATTGTCTACAACAACGTCGTTATCCCCAAGGGGTCCATCATATTCCTCAACTCATGGGCTTGCAACATGGGTAAGGCTCTTTCCTTTTCTTTTGACTCAATCGAGTCTTATCTCCCTTCGCTCTTTGTCAGACGCTAACCACGTACATGCCCAGACGATAAAATCTGGTCCGACCCCGAAGTTTTCCGCCCTGAGCGCTTCCTCGAACAGCCAGACGCCCCCATGTTTTCTTACGGCATGGGCTACCGCATGTGCGCCGGCTCGCTCCTTGCCAACCGCGAGGTGTACCTTACGTACATGCGGCTTCTGAACAGCTTTCGCGTCCAAAAGCACGACGAGGTGGAGACGGATCCCATAAAGGGTAATGCGGATCCGACGAGTCTTGTCGCTATGCCTAAGCCGTATCGGGCGTTATTCGTTCCTAGGGAGCCGGAGGTTTTGGACAGCGCTATTAAGGAGTCGAGGACGGCGGAGGAGGTGCATGGGAGGCTGCCCATGACTTCGGTCAAGGTGCGTCGTTAGAGCGCTGAGGGCGTGACATGGGGGTGGCATTGTTGGGCACGGGACTTCACTCTCTTTTCTCTTTTTTATTCTTGCCATTTTATTTAGGAATTGACAACCGATTAGTGCCCAGAACAGGCTTGACAGAATACGTAATAGTTTGTTTGTGGGTTTCTTGTACCTCAATAAGCCGTGAGAGCTATACTTCCAACGCGAGAAACATTCGCCAGTTCGACATTCGTCTTAACTTGCGGTAAATTCTATAAATCTGTAAGACAAAATCGTTATTAATGTTGACAGTGGTATGTATGATTGCGGATTGCTGCAAGTCTCAATCCATTATCCCATCATGAGGGCATTCAACCCCTCTCGGAACTCTTCCAATTCCGAAGAACCCGCTGTTGGCATTGGTAAGTGCCATTGACCCAGCTTCATGCGTGAAAGAATTTATCACGAATAGCAACTAGAGATAGTATGCTTGTATGCCGTGGTATTATGGACGCTCATGTACGATCGTGATGTCATTTGTGGTTCTACCGAGGTGACGCTTCCGCAAGCGCTGCGGTCTCGCTGATGATCCAGGGTGCATCCGCATGTCGATATAATTGATGTAAATACTTATTTGTCATCCGTATCAAAGGGCACAGGGATACACGTATTTGCGTCCAAGGAGGGCATGGTCTACTATGATGAGAAGTGCGAGACATACGCGAACTTGAAGGCGTTTGCTAAGACGGTCCATCAGGGGGTCATGATACTGTATTTTGAGAATTATCTCGACTAATGGATCATTGCGACAATGGTAGACGCGATCGATAAATGAATACAATCTAGTAGGATCACTATATCAATGATGAATGTTACAAATCGTAGTTAACTTAGCGAAGTTCCAAGCTTGTATCCTTGACAGGGTCTTTCCTATTCTATTGAATACAGCATATAAGACACATCTAGGAATCTTCCTAAATTCGTTTTCGTAGGACACGTTCTTGGACGCCAAGATATCGTACTCGTGCTACTACGTATGCAACATGTCACGTGAGCCAAATGAACTCGCGGTATTTGAGTTAGTCTTAGATCTTTGCACTGCACTGACAACTCTGAGGAGAGGCATTTCGGTATATCCCGGTCGCCCAGCAGCATCCATCGCCGGTTGCAGAAAACCCATGCACAGATCCTTGCTCCGTATTTGTTCCTCTCCACGTTTTCAAGCGGGACTGGAGACAACGACTTCCATTTCCAGACATTGCCGATGGCAGAACATGAAAAAGTCGACAACGATGCCAGTCCACGGCAGCCTCAGAAACGACCCGGTCAGTCTAGCGGGGCAGGCCCAACGCGTTCCAAACGTGCAAAGTATACTCCTATGGCTTGGTGAGTCGACGGATACCTCCGCTCATGTTTGGAATCGGCTGAATCGGGGAAAGCAACGAATGTAAGAAGCGCAAGTTGAAATGCAATCGAAATTCGGGTCGAAGACAATGCCAGCGATGCCAGGCGACCAACACAGTGTGTATATACGCCGGCACACCGCCACCTTTCTCAGGACTACGAGAGTGAGCAGCAATCAAGAAACACACCCCTTTCATTCCGTGACTTACTTGATTGCTCGACAGTGGTTTCGACTCTGATAGATATACCAGAGAGGTGGAGCAGCTCCGTCAAGAAGTCTCCGTCTTGGCCAGTAGTCTAAAGGAACTCACTGACAAAGTTGGTCGAGAGTTTTCGTCGATGTGCAGTCCATCCGAGGGTCGCAGGTATCCGGTAACGACGGGCTCTTTAATCTCGCCCCCAAAGGAGCCTCAGTTCGTCGGACACACTAGACCCGACTTCAGCTTGCGCATGGTGAAGACAGCACTCATCCAGATGGGCATCTCTACCGACGCGACGCTCGCCACCAGTACGCCCACCTCCAGAGCTTCAACGCCAGAGCCGCATGAATCTTCCCATGCGGGCGATGGGGGTGACCCCCTGCTTTCCATTCCGCGCAGGGAGATCCTGCGGCTCATAGATGTCTACCAGGAGGGGCTCCTGACCGTATACCCCGTCATCGATGTTGATACCCTAACTTCGAAAATTAATTGGGTGTTCGAAGCGGTGCATCAAGGCGATGGCGAGGCAAATCTGGCAGCGATGGGAAGCATTGGTCAGAAGGATATGTGCATAGTAAAGATCGTAAAGATCGTACTGGCTACGAGCATCGTTCTCGAGGCACAAGGCAAGAACGAGCTCAGTCAGAAACTCGTTGACTCAATCGAGTGCGGCACGTGGCACCTTGCCCGTGAATCAGCCGTTGACTTGAGAGACATCCAAGTGCTCACCATCCTGAGCATCTACTACTTCCAGTGTGATGAGGAGTTGTTCGCATGGAGGACCATTGGGATGGCTGCTCGGATGACCCTTGAGATGGGACTGCATCGCAAGCGAACACTTATAGATAACTTCAACAATGCTGAGGACCGGGCCCAGGCCAACAGAACTTTCTGGTGTGTCTATGTCCTCGACCGGAGGTGGAGTTTTGGGACGGGCCTATCCTTTGCCCTCGTCGACGGCGACATCGATCCGCAATTACCACAGCCTGCACCAGACTTTCAGTATCTTCGCTGTCTAATCAGGTATGGCCGACTGTGCTCCAACATTTGGGGTGCTTTGCCGCCCTTGGAATCACCCTCAAACGAGATTCCCAGGCACCAGGTCCAGTATCTTGAGTATCTGACCCAGAACTGGATCTCAAGCATACCAACCGACCTCCAATTTCGCCACCCGCGGCCTGGTCTAGCGCTCTCCAGCGAGCCACGCACACTTCGTCGATTGAGGGCCTTGCTATATCTCCGCGGGAACTACATACGGACACTATTGTACCGCCATCATGTCTTGTCAACGGCCCAGATTTACTCAGACACCGACAGCGCCCAGCTTGTTGTGGAAGTTGCCAAAGACTCGATTCAGGTGCTTGTGGACCTAGCCAAGACGAGTGACATCTACCGTCGCCAGCAGGTGGTCTTCAACCACTTTCTCCTGAGCGCCCTGGCAGTTATGTTGCTCGCAGTGTGTCATGCCCCCGACCTCTTCAGCGAGCCTTGCCGCGACAGCTTCTCGTCCACGGTCGAGTTGGTCCGTGGATTTTCACGGGAGAGTGCTGCGAGTAAGAGGTTGTGGAGGAGCATTCGAGGCTTGTTACCAGCTGTAAAGACTCTCAGATCAAAGTGGAGCTGGGAAAGGGACCAAGCTGGGCGGATAGATGATCGACACGCATCAGTCAACATCTCCAGCCAGTCGCCACATGAGCAGTTTTCTGATAGCCAACCTAAGGATTGGGACCAAAGCCAAACCGCCATGCAGACAACCTTTGACGGTACAGAGATTGACCTCAGCTCAGAGCTTTGCGCTTCGGTGCCGGATATGTACGACATAGGAAATGATCTCATGGACTTGTTCAATGCGTTTGGACAAGTGGGGACGGCGTCGACAACTGTAGCGGATATGGATCAGCCGAATGTGATGATGGGCTATCCAGTGAACGTATCACGGCGATTCAACGATCTAATATGATGTGGTGTATCGTCACAATGGTGTCAACACAGAACACATAGAGTTCCTCCATATTTGATTGGTTCTTTTCGTACGGTGTAGCTAAAGTTCGAATTAATGATTTTGGTCTTGGTCTCTGGACAAATTGCGTCGCAGCAAAGATCGGTAACTATACTGGCATTTCTCAAGTGAAGAGCAGAGAAGATTACGCGCCCAAGGGATATTTCCAGTTCGACCAAAGCATATGCAAGACGATCATATGCTGCTTCATTGGAAGGGTTGCCAAGAATATAAGTACTTGGCTCTGAACACACACACAGCTCAGTTGCCAACGCCTCGAGGATGTCCCGAAAACGATGTTGACTTAAAGCATGTTATTCAGTGCGGCCAACAAATCAAATGCTCGGTGAGACATGTTAATCAGGATATCATTTACTTGTCTCCTAGACAGGCATGATTTAGCAAGCCTCAATCTTGCATAAATTGTAGCAGTACCTTGACCAGTGAGAAAAATGTCATTGGGGACCCGTTATGCCAGGCGCGCCAGCAGGGAACGCTGAATAGAGCCGGCCATCTGAAAAGGAACGTGGGCGATGTTGGAGGGACGCTTCGCGGGGCCAAAGGCCTATAAATGGAAGCATGAAGGGCCATTGACGTCACGAGCACAGGAGAGATTTAGAGCATATTACGTGTACCTTTATTTGAAAGAACATAACATGATGCCACATGGACTGGACTGGGCCATGTTGGATAGATTCAGATAGTAATTTCATTAAGACGTCACTGTAATCTCAGTATTGTCTGAGCGAGCGTCAAGCCCTACATGGCGGCATTATTAATCGCATCATCGCACCACAAACCAACGTCCCGGCACTTACATCCCTCCCGAACATCCACCAACTCAGTGGAATGTTCCAAGCCTAGGCCCAAAGTATTCTCCCTCATTCAGCGTCATCAATGTACATGCAGTTCCCTCGCAGCCCTGGGAAACGACATCATTACCCCACCAACTGAGCTCCACGCCCGTCCACTGCAGCGAGAAGAATATGATGATGGCCGCAATGGCGATCGCACTACTAAACGAGGCCGAAAGGACAAAGTTGTACTTTGACCAGAAACCCAAATACTTGCTCTTGAGATGGACCCAGGAGTACCACGCAATGGGCACGGCAGGCCAGATGTACGAGAGATTGTATGGAGCCCATGTTATCGCGCCGTAAAAGATGGCGACCGGGTGCACCTGGCGCAGCCACGGCTTCTGGTACTTCTTCTGGACGTAGTAGAAGATGATGGGGACGATAAAGCCGAGCGGGAAGCCAACGAGTAGGGGTGTGTACAGGCCCCCTTTTCCGAAAACTTTTACGGGTCCCACCGTACCCCAGAGGACGGAGGCAGTAAAGAATGTGTTAATTCCCGGACAGGTAAATCGGTTCGGCGCATCGACGGTGCAGACTCCCGGGATCTGGTTCATCTGGAAATTAAGCACTCCGACACAAACAAAGGTCGAAATAAAAGTTCCGACCATCTGCGCGGTGAAGGTCTGTCGGGGCGGAATCTTGACGTAGTGCGCCAGCTTCAAGTCATTGGAAAACCAGATAGCGTGCGCGCAGCACACGTACCCGAAGGACTTGAAGAAGTTCATCCCCAGCGCATTGCCCTGGACCCAAGATCCGCCAATGAATTCAGCCAACACGTTGAGCGTGACCTCTATCCCCGTCATGGCCTTGATAATGCCGATGGGGATGACGAACAAGGCGCACAGCGCGAGGCCGTAGAAGACGACGCCCGGGCTTGTGTAGGTTTCCCAGCCCGCAATACCGGCGCATCCGAATGCGATGGCGACCACGAGCACAATGGTGTACCACCACTCGGGGACCTCCTTGTACTTAGCCATAAGGCGGTTGTGCACGTCGGAGTACTGCCCCTCGCTAGCGTCCTTGTTCTTGCGGAAACTATTGAAGAGATTGCGGAAGCCCATGGCAATTTCGTGGCGGTGGTAGATGTATGCGTATGAAACGGTGGCAGAATAAATGCCGAAGAAAAACAAATAAATCACCAGATTACCCGCAGAAAGAAAAGGGGGCGAGTACGCCTCGTAACTGGAAGCGTCGAAGAGGCCCTTGGAGTTGATAGCTTTGGAGACGTTGTAGAGGCTGCCCGTGTTGTCGAAGATGCGGTTGGAGTTGATGGGTAGGTAGGCGGTGCTGTACGCATTTTTGTACCATATGGCCATGACGACGAAGCCGGACAAGAACGCGCCCATGAACTTGTTGAAGGTGCTAAAGAAGGGAACCATCAAGGGATCCGTGCCGTCGAAGAGTAGGATATTCCAGTCGAAAGTTGGCCAGGGGTTGAAGCCCAGGCCGTTATTGAAGCCCGTGATGGTGTTGAGGTTCAAGTTATTGGGGGCGATCCAGGACATCCAGCTGAAAGCCGACAAGGCGGTGAAGATGAAGTTGGGGAACCAAAAATAAATAAACATGGCCGCGAACGAGAGCACGAAGAAGCGAATGCGTGTCATTGTGAAGACTTTGCCGAATGGACTTGCCACATCGGTGTTCTTCTCGTTGTGGAACGCAGAGTTCAGAGCAATAGTGACCAGCGACGCAGGCCACACGCAGTACGATGGGTACACGAGGAATCTTCGGATGATACCGGCCATTCCTGGATTCAAGTTAGTTTAGAGCCCAAGAAGAGGGGCAGAGGCTTTACTTGCCGTAACCAATGAAGTTCGTAGCGAGTGCAATCAGAATCTGGTAGGCAAATTGGCCGGCGTAGCTCTGGTTGTAGAACGTCGGAAGATACTGGCTCCAGATTATATTGTTCGTATAAGGATAGTTCCACGAGACATTCGCCATGATGGTAATAAGCATGTGCTCCTTCTTGGAGAACTTTCCGGGGTTCAAGCTGTGACGAATTCCCCCCAGGGTAAACCCTATATCAGGGAGGGTCTTCTCGCAAAACTTGCCGATGGGGTAAGCGAGCAACTGGGCCACATTGGCCTGGACGGTGATAGCTGGCTGGCGAATGGAAAAGAGCTGGTTGATGAATGCGAGTACGGTGGCGAAGAAGGCGCCAATGATCCAGGCCCGAATAGTACCACAGGGGGTGTTGACATCGTCGTGATTGTCCACCACGGCGCGCACCTCGCTGTAGGGGCTGTTGACGGTGATCAGAGCGGCCTCGAGCTTCATCTCCTCGATGAGCACAGCGTGCTTCTCGGGGTTGTCGAAAACGGCATCATTGCCTACCGAGATGTTAACATTCAGGAGTGGGGACCCCGGTGCCTGGGTGCTAGCTACTCACCGAGGAAGGCTTTGATCCTCTGAATGATGCTCCACGGAAAGTTGGGGTCATGCTCATGGATGATGAGCACCTTTTCCAGCAGTGGCCTGATTTCCTCGAGGGTTAATCTGCCAGCCAACTCCTTGGCCTCGAGCAAATCATCTTCGGTAACATTAAGGTCCCTGTACTCCCCAGTCAGTCAGTGACCGGCTACTGAGCTTTTTGCTGAATGAGCAACTCACGCCCCAACATGAGCATCAAGCGGCAGCTCGACGTCGTTGTTCTGGGAAGAATCTCTGTCCGAAGAAGTCTTCTTCTCCACTCCAGTCGTAGAGGCAGCGTTGTTGATCTCGTGGTCGGCCATAGTAGCGACTTGGCGAGCACGACAGTCAACCAGGTTTCGTGTGATGAGAACAGGCGCCCCAAAACTTTGTTTCGGACGGAAACATGGGACTTTTAATATCGCTTGCCGTGTCATTCCTTATCGTAAGCCTTCCGGCCGCCTTGGCGTTCTCCATCAGAAATCGAGTAGAATGTGGGATAGACAGTTCCGAATGCCATCTGCGAGTCTATCCACCGGGCGAGACCCAGGAACGCTTACCACCACATCATAGTGCCATGGCACTGCGGCATGGAGTGCCGAATAGGGCAGTCCGTATCCGCCATCGTCAACGTCGCACACTATGGTATCATGGGTAAGTTTTCTATTGCGTGTTTGTACCGTGCCCCACCTAGGCACGCGCCAACTCTTCGCTACCTGGCTTGAAGGGACCTTCATAGCTGTCTGAATATGATTAAGAGAAAACGTTGTAGTAGTGTGAATTTCGGCTTTCGATTTACCACCGTCGAAATATAGGGTTCGAATTCGTTGGCGATCCGCTTCTGGAAGGTGTTAGTCCCCATTGTAGTTGCTGAATACACGATAATTAGGACGCGTTAACAGCAAGTTGGAATCAGAGGTGGAAGTACCTTTTCGTTACCATGAGTAGGCTAGGCAAGAATCAGTATAGTGTTACCTTGACAGTGGTCCACTGGTACTTGTCAAGGGGGTGAAAACTTTGGCCTGATACCGTAGTAAGCGGATAATCGCCAACATCCCTAGAGGCCAAGAACTATCCTTCAGGATCTGGGTCCCGGGAAGGCCCAATCAGCGAACAATGCTCAATATAAAGCCGGATGGTGACCATGCCGACCTGATCCACTATTAACAATTTCCAGGGGATATCCTGGGAAATATGCGGCACCACGAATACCGAGCCATTAGCACTGATTGGCGTTATGGAGTTCAAGCCGTCCACCAGCTCGGAAGAGAAGCGAATTTGGAGATCGAATCATATCTGCCCATCGTACATACCGCAGGGGAGGCAAATTTGACAAAGTAAGATGAGAAACTCTGCGTATTGCAGATGCCGCAATGCTGTCCCAGCGGACATCGTGAGTATCGCCACTTGATCGGCCGCAGACTTGGTTCAGTTGACTGTGGATATATCCGGCTGCGCGTTGAAGTGATGAGTCGCAATCGAAGTCTTCCTTGAATCGCATATGTAGGCAAAGCACGATAACTGCGGGAGATTGATGCTGAGTCATGGAGCTTGAATTGCCAAGGCCCATATCTTGATGTTTCATCGCAGGGAACTAATTTAACTAGGAGCTCATTTGGTAGGTGCTTCCTCCACTTGACCTGCTCCAAAAAATAACCTGAGGTAGATAGATAAGTAAGCAAAAGCTTTGCAATTCTGTTGTGAGGCCCCGTATAGATCAGAGATACTACCAAGGTCTAGGTAGGGTGTATACTAAACTGATGAGTATCATATGTTACGAGCTCACTCCTCTTAGATGATCTGGTTGGCATAGAGTTGTGAGCGACTTATGCCTTCAGTTTCCAACTTCTCCACCGCACTGTCCACGGAACAGCATCGAACGTGCGTAATGAATCGCAGGCAATACAGCAACGGACGTCGTTCGATTGGCTCGAGCGCAACTTGTCTTAGATGAGGAAGGTGACAACGGTTCATCTAGGATACAGTAACACTGCGGCTTGGCACAGAAGATAGAGTTCTGACACTAATCCCTCATAAGTAACAACACCAATCACCGCGGGTCGGCCATTATTAGATGGTGGGCCCTAAAACGTCGTAATTGTGTAGAACCTTGACAAGGATTCCTGCGTTCGCAATCAGTAAATCCTGGGAGCACGCTCCGCTCCAACAAGGTATGCCTGTGCTGCGTTGCACCGACGTGCATCCTGGCCAACATTTCGGGGATGTCCTTCCGACTCATAACCTCTTCGCGCTTGATTCATGGGCCGCGGCCATCAGTCATGGGTGGGTATTGCGGACGATTCTACGCAGTGGCCACCCACAGCCCATAATTCCGTCGAATATAAGAGAGAAAGCGGTCATGCACAGGTTAGAGAAGATGCTACTGTGATGCAGGTGCATATGGGGTGTGAATTCTTGTAGTAGGAAAGGTTGACCAGGTCAGCTATTCTGGCCTGGCAGAGCTCTTTTATCGCTCTTATCTTATCTTATCTATAGCTACACGGTAACCCCCCATGGGGTCACGATCACTCTGTAAGTACAAAGCATTGCAGTTACTTTCCTAGTTAAAGGTCAACTACGTAAGAAAGATACAGTTTTACTACTTATTATCAGATCCCTAGTAGTAGGGACTATATAGTACTACGAAGGTAGACAGGGAAGAATTGCCTAACGGCCCCCGATGAGTCCCTAAATATACGAACTGTTGGAAAAACACGGTGGTGACTTCCATGGTTAACAGCTCCGATGGGAGGTTGTTGCTGCGGTTGAGATGGAAGGCAAGACGCAGTCATGACGGGAAGACTCCTCCGGAGTCGCACGTTCAAGACTCTGACTTCTCTTGAAAAGGGAATCTAGGGCAGAACTCCTTCTAAGCTGGTTAACTTACAAGTGGGTGATAGCTTCTAGTCAATTGGACCTCAGTGCCTTAATCAGCACGGTATGACTTCCACACTGCATAAGCTGCCTGCTTCAGTTTCAACACTAACTGTAATCTCCTCTTAAAATGCACCTCTATTTAGAGTATTAATCCCTCTCATTTATCCCAGCGCGATACCTCCCTTTCTGTTTAAGTATATTTTCTGAATAAATAAATAGTAAACTACCATTATTTTCCAGATAATTTAGCTGAGTGGAAAAGCCGTATCTAACGCGCTTCAAAACCTTGAATCTATATGCTAAGTCGGCGTACAAATACGGCATCATACTATTAACGCTCGAGATATAACTATAAAGGTATATTGTGTCAGATATGGCACCTGGTTCCTAGGTTCAGAAATGATATGGCACTGGAGAAGACTATTGTCACTTAAAGTTCAGAAGGCGAAAGGAACCCCTTTCCCAAAAGTAACACCAAAGTTACTGTCCACTTAGGGGTTAGACACCTGAACGATGTACCTCCGACATGTTCTAAAGAATCTATAAAAGACAGAGCAACGGGAGTTCGCGAGAACAGAGAACACAGAGAACAATACACCTCATTCATATACAATCTTACGCACTTCTGACTACTCGATTGGACACACGTGATATTCGACATATTGAAGCTAGCCTATGGGTAGGGCCTTCTAATCTGTTACACGCAAAGGTGGTCAAAGATTTGTGAGGTTGTAAAAGCATGACATTCTATCTAGTCCTATGGAGCACGAAGGTTGGACTTAGTCCCGAAGGGCTAAGTCACGTGGTAACCTTGGTGGTCTTGGCAAAGCCCACCAAGGTTGCCTAACATAATCGCTTTAATTCCGCTATAAAGTTGTGCTAGACTAGGTGCTAGGGAAGGTAACTATAACTAACGGGTGACCGTCGCTGTGTTCAAGAAGTTCTCTATCAAAGAAATTTCTATATGTAGATCTAATCTGAGGCGATGAATCCATTTTGTCCAAGTGTGTCTAACAATACCGAGGTTTCTCCCAACGGTGACGACAACATGTGGTCTTCTAGTGCGCATGCGCCCCGCATGGCTAATATGCCCTGCGATCATGGACGTTAACGCTGGACGTTAGCTCTAACTTAACCCCAAGAATATGAGACTTCAGGTGTAGAGGTAGAAATTATCCAGTCGAATTACAATAATCAATGACGATGCCCTGCGTCACATAAGACGACCACAAACTTGGGATTCGAAACGGCGGTCTGTTTGTATCATCGGCCATCGCTATGCCTTGACGTACACTATCATACAAACGCTATTCTACACCAGTCTGCGGCCTGTAGAACATTCTATCAAAACATCCTTTATACTTCACACACTCTAATCTAATCCAACCCAATATTATTCCTTCGGAGTTTCCGCAACCTCCCGATCAGTGGTCGTCTGCTTCTCCCACATGGCAAAATAGCTTCCTCGGAGGCTCAACAGCTCCGAGTGAGTACCACGCTCGACCACTTGCCCCTTGTGAAGCACGATAATCTGATCCGAGTTGGTGATAGTTGACAGACGGTGCCTGGAGGTCTCGTCAGCAAATGATTTCATCATATCACATGTCTGCTTGTAATGCTTACGCTATGGTGACCGTAGTTCTTCCGGTCGTGACCTTTTCCAATGCGTCTTGAATGATTCTCTCGGTGCTGGAGTCCAGTGAGGCCGTGGCCTCGTCCAGGAGGAGAATGCGCGAGTCTTTCAGGATTGCTCTGGCAATAGCAACCTAGACGACACATGTTAGCACGGTAAAGTTATCTTACTGCTGAGCGTCGACTTGCCCGTTGACGTTCGCCACCTGACAACTTCAAGCCTCGCTCGCCGACCTTCGTATCGTAGCCGTCTGGGAAAGCCAATATGCGGTTGTGAATGTTTGCTGCCTTGCACGCCTCAAACACATCGGCTTCGGACGCTTTGGGATTAGCGTAGAGCAAGTTGTACATGATCGTAGCGTTGAAAAGGACAGTGTCCTGCGGCACGACTCCAATCTGCCTGCGCAGACTATCAACCTTGAGGTCTCGAATGTCGTGGCCGTCAACTGTGATTGAACCACTGTTCACGTCATAGAACCGGAACAGGAGCTTCAGACACGTCGATTTTCCGCTGCCAGACTCTCCGACGATGGCAGTCTTGGTTCCGGGTAGAACAGTGAAGCTGATGCCGCCTATGGCTGGTTCCTTTCCTTGATAGGAAAATTTGACATCGTTGAATTTGACTTCACCTTGTGCAGCTGGGAGCTCGACGGCGTCGGGCTTTTCAACAATTCCCGAGGTCTCATTCATCTGGACTAGTTTAGTTTCATCGTGCTGCATGAAAGTAGACAGGAAGGTCGTCGGCTCACCAGATCAAGCATCCGTTCCGCCTCGATCAGATTGTTCTGGAGCATCGTGTAATACGTCCCGAAGAAGTTCAACGGGGCTTGAAGCTGTGTAAAGTAAGTGATGAGCGTGACGAATCCGCTAATGCTCTGCTGTCCGATGGATATCTTGTAGGCCGACAAGGCAACGATCAGTGCAGTTCCAAGAGTGAATACTGAGCTCTGGGTCAAGTTTAGCAAATTCAAAGACCATAACACCAAACGTTCAGCTTTTTGATATGTCGTCACATGTCCCCTGAACCGGTCTGTCTCAGATTTTACCGCACAATTGTGCTGCACAGTCTCGTAGGCCATGATGGCATCCGTCCTGTGTCAAAGTCAGCGGATGAAAATTGGAATAAGGCTCGGTTGGCTTACTTGGCAGCTTCCATGTCGCGGCTCTTGGTCGTCATATCCCTCCTCTGTCTCCCTCTGTACTTGGCCATATACATGGTGAGAAAGATATATGACCACATAATGGTCAAGACAACGACAGTGTAGAAAGCGTCATAGCTGATGAAGAAATAGACAGCCGCCACGAAGATGTCGAAGATCATGGGAAAAACCTGGAACACGAAATTCTCCAAGAATGTGTTCATGGCACTGCCGCGGCTGAGGGCACTGGTCACTTCGCCGATGCGCTTGCTCAGATGGAAATCCATCGACAGCCCCAAAACATGCTCGAATGCTGCGCAGGACAGCCGTCGGAACAGAGACTGAGATACCGGTATCCAGAGAACGGAGCGAGCGGCGCCGATGGCGCCCTGTTGACCCTGAAGGCCTCGGAAAACGACGTAGAGAACGATCTCCTTGTACGGTACGCGACCGTATCCCAAAGAGTCAACAAGCACGCCAAGCTGGATGGGAACATAGAAGTTGATAACCCTCTGAGCGATCAAAAGAATCAGACAAACAACCACGGTGGCTTGATGCAGGCGCGAGTCGGCAGGCCACAGGTAGGGGAACAGAATTCGGAATCCCGCAATGTAGTCGAACCAGCCGGACCGCTGAGGATCACGGGGCTTCTTAACTTCGCGCTTGGTCGCATTGCCGTTGGTGTTGGCGGCACCATAGCCGTTCGCAGATGCATCGGTGTTTCCAAGCAGGGACTCCTGTTCACCGGCCGACCCTTTTTCCGGGTTTCTCAACTCGTACTGCCTGCGAACCAACAGTGTGATCATGAGCACAAGTACGACGATTCGGGCCAAGCTCAACCCGCACAGGCTATCGAGAAGCCCCTTCGGTACTTGAATCAAGGGCTGCTCCGCGATGAACACAGCCGAGATGACAATCTCTAGGAGCACACCGACGACCCATGCGTGGCAATGAGGGACGGTTGGCGTCCAGGGACCATCTGGGTCAGGCAGCAGACCAGCCAGGAAATAGAGCAAGACCCCAATGTGGGATGCCTGGAAAGTTAGTAGTGCCCGTAAGGAGAGGGGCGTCGGTTGCGAACCAGGTATGCGCTATGGGGGAAATTGACGCCCTCGTTGGTAAGCGCATTAGAAGCTACCAGGACAATGCTGGCTAGCTGAGATGGCCAGGGGCGTTAGCACTTGTGGGGCATCCATTCGGGGGGTTGTGGATTTGACATGCCATTAAAGGGACCAAAAGTAGTTGAAGGGCCCATATGAGCTTTGCATAGAAGCGTTGAACCTTCTCGACCTTCTTTTGGTCGGCCGTGGCGGTTCCATTATCGACAGTCCCGTAGCGGTAGCGGATCAGTTGCGAGAGGAACAAGGAAGCGAAAAGACCACAAGGGTGAAAGTAGAAGGCGACCTTCAACCCGAGACCAAGTGCAGCCATGATTTCAGTTAGTTTGCTATCGGTGCTGGAGCTGCGGCTGCTGGAACACCAGGTGGAACATGGAATGAACGCGGGTGTCGTCGGATGATTACGAGCTCCTGAGGGAAGCTTAAGAATATGCGGCGATAAGAGAGAGATAAGAAGGGTGGGGTGGGGCGTAACCCCTGAATCCTGATCACCCCACTAACTTCCTCCTTCACGGGACCCGACCCGACCCGACCCTGCCATCCTGGTCCGTTCCATCGAAAACGGTGTCTGGCAAGTATAGACAGCACACGAAACTTGGGATAGTTGATGCAGTTAAAATCTGTCCCTCCTTACATTTCGCTTTTATGTTCCTGATGTTGCCTCGACCTCGCTCGTAGGGTAGTACTCCATAGTTCTGCATGCCGCCCATCGCCAGTGGTCCATTTCTATCAGCAGGCAACGTGGATCCGAGGGCCCGCTAGTAAAGGGAGAAACAACGGAGAGAGAATCAGGGCAAAAGCAATGAGGTCTGGTGGTGGTGGAGGCTTGGGGGGCAAGCTGGTTGGGCTGGGCGGGGAAAGGGGAAACATTCCAAGAAGACGAGCTGGCTCGGGGGCCAGGCCAGTAACAGTCAGGAATGCCGTAGGCATCCTGGAACGAGAATTGGAAATGGTATTCAGATGGAAGTCTTGACGCCGCCATTGTGGACGACCAGATTGGGAAGGCCGGGTCTAGCCCGGGTCCGGAGAATTGCCTCTCTCCAACGTCAGCCTTGCACACCAATCTGGATGCCTGAGGATATATGTCACTGCACCTGATTTCTTGGTAGGCTTAGGACTGTAGCTTCGAAACAAGACTTAGAATAAACTCCAAACAATTTAGCTAATGCCTTCGTTCTCGGTTCAGGAGCTGCCGAGATCAACCCACATAGTTAGGAACTCGGTGCTGTAAAGAAATATGGATGCGCATATACATTATCCAATACACCGCCCATGAATCCACCACCATTGCTATGCTGCATCTAACTTCTGACCAGAGTATATGAGTACCGAGAATAGCCAGATCAAACTCTACCAAAGAAATCAAAGTTTAGGTCTTCAAGATCGCTTGGGCCAGGCTCATGAGACATATCTACCCTATCCACCTGCACCCGATGATTAACTGCTGCCTCGGAACCACGGCCAACCCAATAGACCACCAAACAAAGGCGACTGCCCACATCAGCACCCTCTTCAGTGTGTTCCGTGACAGTAAAGCCGAAGTGGTAATGGAAATGATGGCGAGGAGTCCGATAAGAGCGCGAATCATGTCAAACTGCTGATGACGCGCAACGATTCCTGCGCCGTTGGAAGGAGTCTCGCAATGACGGCGACGTGCCATGCCAGGAACACGGTGCCCATACTAATGATCGCATTCAAGACGCCCAGGAATGCGCCGAGAGCCAGGGAGACAGGGGCGTGCCAGTCTTGCTACCCGAGTTGGCAAACTGCACCGGCCGCTCCTGCGGTTACAATGAGGGGGTGGGCGTATGGCTTTTTGCAGCGAGAAGGTCTGGTGCGTGAATTAGTATGAATTGATTGAGGGTGGTTATTGTGAATAATACTGATTGAGACATTGTGGTGATTTGCATAATTATTTGCGATCTATCTTACATTGGAGGATTATCTATGGAAATGATTGTGTAGTATAGTCTATCGACCTCCTCGGACAACTGCTAGTTATCTTCGAACACAAGACCCACCGCCTCCGCCCAAAAATAGACGACGTGGCCTCTCAAGGTGAAGCTCCCAGCCCCGAGCCCCGACTGTAGAGCCCACTGAACGGCTTCGGACTCGTCTCTGCAAATCTCTAGTTGCGTTCTACCTCGCGCATTTTTGCATCCAAGAAAGGCGTTTAGAAACTGCTGAGTAACCGCTTCGAGCTGCAGCTTCTCTTCGAAAAGCCTTTCGGGCCCGTTCCCGAACTCGCATAGCTTTCTGGCGAGCCAGAATTTGATTAGCTCCCGGGCCTGATCTCTGGGGAATATGTCGCCATAATAGCGTGACTTGGATGATGGGAGTTCCGAAAGCGGTACTATGGGAGAGAAGAACATAACTCTTGTTGAATTGGACATGGGGCGCAAGTTGTTGTGTTAGGACACATGGTTGTAAACCTGCAGAACATGTTCGTCGTCATCGTCGGCCCTGGTACCTTGCTCCACGTCACTTTCCATATCGGGGCCATGCTCCTGCAGGCTTTGGAACCACAGGGTACGTAGCGCTTTGATCTGGTGCTCAGGAGATTGAGAGACTCCGCTTTCGGTCCCAATGGACCAAGCGGCCTGTTCCTGTTGCTGAATCAGGATGGCGATGGCAACATTAGCAAAGTTTATAGTCAGGGCCGTACCTGGGGCCGGGACATTGCGATATGGGAAGGATCCGAGACATAGCACGCACCGCGCAACATACCGAGTGTCCCAGGCCCCAACCGGGAATCGCTGCTGCCTCCGAAGAGAACGCTTTCCCATGATGTCGATTGTTCAATACTGCACTGCAAACTAGTCCTGTGTCGAGCTCATGTAGGCGTGAGATTCGGATGCCTGTGCTTAGGTTACTGGAGGTTGAAGTAGTAGATATGGATTGAATTGGTCGGTGGTTGCGTCTCACCTGTGCCATGTGGATGTCTTCCAAACCGGGCTAACGGGGATAAGCAATGTCACAATAAGGGGAACTGGAATGTGTCATGTGGGGACTGCAAGAACTAGTCGTGGCACGGCCAAAAGGGGAGTAGTTGCGAGCGGCTAACACCGACATCATGTGCGGCTCGGCCCGGTCGAGACTGTACATTTGCGGGTAAACCACACCAAAGCGTTACAGCGCGGGTATTGGGGTTGATTCCACTGGCAACAGGCCGAGTAATGAGCCTGCCGAGGACTCAGCTTTTTTTCTTAGTTTTGAGTTGTCCGTTTTGTCACGTAGCCCCCAGAAGTACCAATACGTATGCAGCACCGCGAGCGTGTTGGTATATTGAGTGTCCAGGATCTCGACAGTGCCGCTTGGCGAACATGGCTTAAGAAGCCGTATATACTCTGTGGCATGGGATCAATGCGGATTTGATATTTATGCTTATTCTGGCCCCAGTGGTTGCATGGGCACGATATTGGGTCATCAAATTAAGGAAGAGGCGCTGATATCTATCTAGCTTTTATATTGTAGGGCTTTGGTGGCCTCAGGTACAGGCCTCAGGTGCAAGCCTCAAGATGTTGAGAACACATATACTTCGGCTGTGAAAGTCAGGGTTGGGGACTTTGTGGAGAACTACACTGGAAAGGAGAAGTGGAAAGACGGCACCGCCGGCGATGGCGGGGACGACCGGAACTCCTTGATGATCTATAAAGGCCCTATATACCCTGCCGGCCCCCGAACTGGATAAAAGTGTGTGGCGGTGAGTTCTAATGAAGGACGTAATCTAGAGGTAGCAAGGACTATCCCCATTAGAACCAGGCAGAATCAGTTTACCTTATTTGTTTGCGACATCTGTGGCGACTATAACAATATGTGGCACTAACTATCTCATGACAAGCTTCGAAGTTGCCAGGTTGAGTTGACGTTAGCACTCTTGCGAATTTGCAGTTGTGATCCGCTTACTTCAAGATCCAACGGGATCGCATCCGTCCACATTTTCATCACCAGCGCCGTCTTGTTGGCGCGTTATACTAGCGTAAAGGGCGCGCATATGTGGGACCGGGATAGGATTGATCGTCTCTCTATGGCGCAAGATACACGCCTAAACACATCGATACAACACTACACGAAAGTCCTGAAATAGTCGAACAGAAATCTGATCAAAGTGGTATATCACAAGCAAAACCCAACTTTCCTGTCCCCGGGTGGGACCTTTTATAGATTTGATACATGATATCGTTATTATCCAACATCTCGGATCTCGAAGTGTCCGACGACTTGAAATACGTTCGACCCAACAGCACAATCAGAACAATGTGTGCAGGATGCGCTTCCACGCGGGCTGTGCCGCAAGCTCGGCGCGGTAAGCGTTGATCTCGTCCCAGTCCAGTTCACGACGGCCGGTGTCAACATCCATCTGGTGGGTGCGTAGCCACCCAGTACGCTTCCATAGGTAGCCAGCAATCCAAAAGACCATAACAACGGGCAGAGCCAGCATCTGCTGAAAGAAGTTGGTGGCGCGATCTGCGGTTGTCATTTCCTCCTGGCCAATTGGAGCAATAGCGACGTAAAACTGGGCCAAAATGACGATCGCGATGAGGAAAAGACCCAGATACGAGCCGTAGACACCACCGACGGCTTTGAACGGAATCTCATCGACACTATGGCCGTGGTATGCCCAAGCCTTTCGGAAGCGAATGTGCGACAAGCAAATGGATCCCCAGGTAAAGAGAGCAGCCAGCCCCGAAAGGGCGAGAAGCCAGTCAAAGACGGTGTCGCCATCTGCGTTCAAGTTGACGTAGCCGAGGAGACCAAAGGCGATGATGATGCCAACAGAGAAGAGCGGACGACCGGAGCGATCGACGTATGTGAAGATCTTGGGAGCGTAGCCCTGCTGCGCCAGAGCAGTCAGGGTGCGGCTACCACCGTACACAGCCGAGACACCGATGGAAAGCACCGAAACCAAGATGATGACATTCATAAAACTGTCAAAACCCTTGAGCCCAGCATCCTTGACCGCAAGCACGAAGGGCGAAGCGCCATCAGCGTACGGGTTGGCGCCGAGAAGTCTCTCATCCTCGCTGTTGACCAACAGCCCAACGAAGAGCAGACCGAGGATGTAGAAGAGGGTGATACGCCAGAAGACCTGCTTGATGGCACCGGGGAGCGACTTGACGGGATTGTGGGCCTCGGCAGCGGCAAGACCAACGAGCTCGGTTCCGCTGAAGGCGAAAGCAGCCGTGACGAAGACGGAGCAGAACCCCTTGAAGCCATTGTTGAAGGCGCCAGGATCGTGCCAAAGCCGGGCTCCCCAGTATTCACCATACAAGCCATTTTCAGGGCCGCCGCCGAGGACGAGGATGAAGGCAATGATGATGAAGATGACGGTAGCCGAGAGCTTCAGGGCCGACGCCCAGAACTCCTCCTCAGCGTATCCGAGCGTGCCGAAGATATTGACGATGAGAATGGCCACGAAGAAGACAGTGATCCAAACACCGACGCTGATGTCCTGTCTCCAGAATCCTACGGTCAACCCGCAAACAGTGAGCTCGAGTGGCAAGACAACAGCCCACTGCATGACGTAGTTCCAACCCATGGCGAAACCCCACGAGGGATCGATGAAGCGGGTCGCGAATGTGTAGAAACCACCAGAGACGGGATACATGACAGCTAATTCACCGAGGGCATAGACTGGAACGGTTGTGAGCTTGGCTATTCGACGGGTGGCAGAGTGCACTCAGTGTTTGCTCACCGACATTGAACATCATTATACCGATGATGATGAAATCGATCAGAAGAGAGCCGGGCCCCTGTGGTCAATCATGTCAGTCGCGGGACCCTCAGGATTGCTAGATGAGTACAGCAACAACTTACACCCGTATGCAGAGCGCTGCCTGAACCGACGAAAAACCCCGCGCCAATGGAACCACCAATAGCAATCATGTGCAGATGGCGGGGCTTCATGGAACGGTCGAGCTCGACGATGCCCTTACCGTAGTCGCGCTTCTTGAACGACTCGAGGTTGAGGCCATTGCGGGTGAGCCAGTTGTCGGAGCGCACAGCGCCTTCTTGTTGGTCGTTGGGTGTCGCCGTGTCTGCTGAGTAGCCAGGCAGGCCGACCTCCTTCTCGTCTTTGGAGCCGTTGCTCTCCATGATGGGTGCGACGCGACGGTGCGCGGATGATGCGGGATGAAAGGTTTCTGCGATGCGTATCGTTCACCTTCTCAAATGTGATCCTTTTGTCGCATCCCACTTCACAAGCAGACGACCAGTTGAGACCCCCAAAAGTGAGAATGCCAGAGAGCAGGCGCTGTGTGTGTGAGAGCAAATAAACTTGGAAACGCAGCGCTGCGACCCGAAGGTATTTATTGCTGATGGGACGGACCACAGGCAATGGAGGGTATGTGCATGGGTAGGGTCGACGGGTATGGGATATGCAACGGATGGGGGTGGGGTGGACGCGCTATGCCCAGATGGTTATGTGCCCAACGGATGTAAAATAAAATTGGGTGAGGGGATGGAGGGAGTCGGCCAAGGCGAATAATTAACCTGGTAGGCACATACGTAGCATAGCCAGGCAGCGCAGGTGAACGGGTGACGACCGACAAATTTGTGCGATGTACATCCTGGCCGCGACTCCCGAAATACCAGGTGAACTAACTGGCTATTCCTTACGCTTTTTTTTTGTTTTTGCCCGGCCATCAACTGCGTCGTCGAAGGTCTGGTTTCTTCTTCTGTTGACTCCATGCCTGGCGGCATATGGAAATCGTACGGCTATTTGGTGGAGAGCAGCAAACTCGTCGTCGTTGTAGTACGTAACATCACCCTTGCGAGGCGCACTGCATCACTGTATCCCCGAAGGATTTCATCCGTGAAACGCAACGCATCACAAACTGCTATTCCAGGAGCCACAGCTATCCACTCTGCGCTACTTTCAGCCTGCCCCTTCCGGCTCGGTGTCACCACGTTTCGCTTCAGGCAGTTGCATCCTCTTCGATATTGGACCAGCATGGAATATTTCTGGAAGCAAGCTATAGTAGCTTTGATCGGTGGAGCTGGCTCCAACTTACGACTGCCACTCCGAGATAAGAAAGCTGCCATGGCCTGTGGTTGGTCGGCTGCGTTGCTAGTATCTCCTGATCTGCAAGAGTTTTCAAGCAGCTAAGGAAGTCCGAGATATTGGACGAGTTAGGTTATTTGCAGATATCAAGGATAAGGTGAACGTCAAATGTGCACTACCAGGACTCCACCAGAAGCCGGGGGATGGGATTGGAGTCGGGCCTTACCACTCTCGTTTACATCCCCCGGCACAACTTATCGATTTGCTGACCACCTCAACTCGGCAGCTCACGTGAATACAATTGGCCAAGACCACCTAGCCAACGACTAAAACTTGGAATGTGCTTGACCTTCTCTTCCTGGCCTTGCTGTGCGCCTCGGGGCTTCCTGGATGATTCTTGGGTTCATCAAAATGCCACTCTGTCATGGGATAGGATGAAATGGAGTGCAGCCGGCTATCATTAGCTTCATCTCCAACTGCACGCCAAGCCTCCGTCTCGCACTCGGAATGGCTGACATACTTGGTACCGTGAGCCAAAGCTAATGCTAGCTGTCTCCAGTTTTCCTGCCCTCTACGGACTGGGGTTCGACGCGCTACGTAAGACGATCGCGGATCCTTCGTCAGCTTAGGAGAACGCCACTGCGCGCTGCGCGACGGTATCCGAGGGGGCCAGGCAGCCGAGCGCCTTCCAGTGCCAGACGAGCAGGCGCTCGCTCAATGAAAGTATGAAAGCGCTAGAAGAGTTCAACACGAGAAAAGCATGGCAAGCATCCCAACTTTCACCATGCTGTCCATTGGTTGAGATTAGTTTGGGGTTCGAAGGTTAAAAACATTGAGGGCGCAGCGGATAAGGCAACGCTAGACACATGATTGGACCTTATGACATAACAGGAATACACGCAGTTTGCCAATCTCAATCATCCCTGTCGTTGCTGCCCATTTCGTTTATTCGCGGCTCTGCCTGGCGTCGGGCCCGAGGTTGTTTGTAGTTACGCCGCTCTCGAACAGTCCAACAGTAACGTGGAGCAGTCGCGGGAGCTAAAACGAACCGATATCAGTGGACTCGGCTATTTGATGATTTGATGACTGACAAGTGGGTCGCTGCCAGCTATCAGTCGAACCGCGCTTGATGCACACTGCTATCTATCGCTACCCTGATTATGGCTCGATCAGCTAGCATCATCATCAGTTCTGTAACATACGGCAGCGGCACAGGAGATGCCCCTGACCCTGATGTTTAAAAAAGTTACGTAGGACTTCGCCATCAACCAATTATCCGCGTCTCTTGCGCCTCGAACACCAATGCTATCGGATGCATTTGCAACATCACATGTCCAGCTGCGTTTGATTCGCCACTAAATTAGAAGCCCCACATGCCCTTCCGTACAACATCCCTATCAAACATGCATTGCATAGAATTTTGCCGAAGCACACAACGTAGAAGAAACGTAGAAGAACGGGCCACTTAGATGTTGAAATCCTGTTATTGATTTGCTGCTGCATGAAAATAATGCGGCGCTGGTGAAAGGTGTAAGCTAGACAACATCCAACCGGATCGCAGAAGACCACTGCCGAAAGCTGATCCTCTTGTATGTCAATCTGGAAGATTTCTGGAACTCTTCTCCGATGCACGGCACGTTGAACAGTCGCCGGGCCTGTCAACCCAATTCCAACCATCTGGTTCGAACAATCAAGAAGCATAATGCAAGTTTTTGCCTATTCCCCACCGGCGCTCGTGTCACGGCCTTACCTCTGGCTTAATCCATTCACACACATATTACGCCCCGCGCACTCTCCGGCTCGGCCAGCACGAGCCAATACGATGTGGCCTCACCACAGCAACCCTCGCCCAGCTATTTTCGCCAAGGCTGACGCCACCAGCGGCATACACGTCGCGTAGCTCTACTCCGAGGCTAGACGCGTCGTTGCTTGGGGGGCTACGTTCTGCTTCCTGCGACATCGGGGTGATAAGGCTCCTGTCGCCGGCCTCACTGGTACCGTCAGCTCGTGCGACTTTGTTGATGGGCTCGCTTTCTGGCGGTTTGGCCTAGACAAGCTGAGGTATAAGGTTTCGGACCATTGGGCGGGAAGTGCCCGCATTGCTCCCGTCGCGGGTATGATTGTTTGGGCCCTGCGTTAGCTCTCCCCGCAGGCTCGCGCTCCAACGAGATGGAACCCACTTTTCCTCAGTGAGTTGCGAGTGAGCTTAATGCTGGAAAGCTGGGCACGTGAGTGTGGTGGACGCGTACGATGTCGCGAGTCATGCGAATTTACGAGGACGTTCGTTGCCTTTTAAGGATCGGGAGTAGTCTTAATGCTCCACTTTGTCGCAGTATGCCCGTCCATTCCATCCTTGCCAAACGACTCCGGGGTAAAAGTCCACAATACAGTGGTCCTCCGAAAGTTAGGCTATCCACAGCCTTTTGCACCTAGGCCAGAGCCCCGGCTAATGACATAATGCGATCACGGTATAATGACAGATTTCCCTCAGTCATAACTTAGTAGCTATCGCAACGATGGAGACCCACAGTATTACCTATCCCCTTGGGACGCTCCACTGGGGGGCTTTCTCCACGCCATATGGCCTGAGTTTCAATCCGGAAATCGATATCCTGTCGAAGTCCAACGGAGCCCCCCGTTCAGTTGGCACTGTGACGGTAAGACAAATGTGCCAAGCATATTCTCGCCCTCCTGCCCTCTCTGATGTACATATCTGGTCGATCATTGACATGCCAGTGCGGCTTGATGCGGCTTGAGATAAAAACTCCCGGACGAAATGCAGGCATATTCCATGACCGGTTGGTTGCGAGCTATTTGGGCTTTGCTCCACTGTGCTCTTCCACGCCGCTGGGCAATGCCAGCTACGACGACAAAGTCACTTGCTCATGAAAATCTTGCCAGTGCCATGTCACAACAGCACCAGCCGCTGTAAAAGCCAATCGCCCCACGCAGAACGCTATGTCACAGGTTCGGCTCGATAACATGCAAGATTGTGGTCATTTAGAGCTCTCCACGATTTCGGCGCACGTGACTGAGGCTTGTGGCAGCGGTGGGACAATTACCCCATGATCCTTCCCGGTCAGTGCTGTATGTTGCACTACTATGTACGTAAAACAATCATGGATGATGTTCAAGCCCCGGACCTTATACCCACGACAGCCGACACCGACTCAGACTGCATTTTTGTCAAAACAAACACCCAATCTACCAAGGTCCACAAGCACTGGTTGGCATTAACGATATGTCACCGGGGTGCCAAGGGCGCGGCACGTCGCCGGAAGTCGTAGAGCGTATTCCGAAAAGAAAGACAGGCTTGGGGCCTGACCGGGCGATTCAGCGGACGAATTTCTTCCGCACGGCTGTATCACCTTCTCATCTTGTGCGCGGGGCCCGACATAACGTAAATAAAGCTAGTCCGGTTTGCGGTTTGATTTATATCTGTGTTAGCAATACAGCCTAATCGATATTAGCTAGCCGACCCTATAGCTACAGATAATGCTACTAGCCCACATGATACTGTACTTGAGCCCAAAGGGTCACGCTATCCTTTAGAGTAGATAAGATAGGGCTGCAAGGGCGTCAGCCAGCTGGCTGGCCAACTCAGCTTTCCCAATTGTGACGAGGCAAAGGTACTACGCGTACGAATAAAAGTTGCGATATCAGTCTATATCTGTCGATAAATAAAGTACTAAACTGAAAAAGAGAGAAAGTGCAGGTGCATACGGTGTGGACAACCCATACTGGGGGCCGCTGCTCATTGTCCAGGTAACAGGTGTCACACCAATACACACCCTTTACCCTCCATCTGCACACGCATCACCATATAAGCTATACCAACTTCGCCATACTATACTCATAATATATACAAAGTCATTCGGACCGTTTTTATATCGTTCAAAGAAACGGTTCGAGGGCTATCGAGCGGTTTAATTCGCTCAGCGCAACAATTCCTATATAGTTCTAGCAAGTTTAAGTCTACGAGGTCTTGGTAAGTCCAGCTTACTCTACTAGAGTCCATGTCCCACTTATAAGCCTCGTCAGGGACAACTTCATCTTACCCCCCTCCACTGCGAAGTTGTTGCTAACCGTGGTCGCATTTGGTCCAGCTTGTTCTAGTAAAGCCGATAGAGCTCCTACCGGCTGGAAACCCCAAGGCTTGACGGACTCTTGAATACCAGTAAATCAAATAAATCGGACCATACCGTTTGTATTTGCAAATATATAGGCGAGGTATCTTGGCTTTGCTTTACCTGAATTTGCTTTGATTTTCTTGCCAAGCATTTGCTTTATGTCGGGCGCTGCATGTCCCCCTTTCGGTTTTGGCTCTTGTGACAGCTTTACTGGAATAACACGGCTGATCTTAGAATGCTTCTTTCTCATTTTCCATCGTCTGAATATTTATTTTATTATTGTAATTCTCTCTCGATGGTTTGAATGTTATTGGCAATTGAATATCCTGTACTTAGTTGGACACGTTCTTCCGCAGATACAACAGGGTCTCATACCGTAGTCGGCTGGGGTTTAGGACGGGTCATCATTAATGGTTCGCAGAGAATAGGCTGTGGATCTCTTCCTGTTAATTGCTAAATCTGCTTATCATAACATCGGTGTACAAGGCGCTGAACCTATCGTTCTTTTTTAAACACAATATAAGCCTCATCCCCAATCGAACGTTCCTCAAACTCGACGTCGACATCCAAATCCTCCTCCACCTGCGCCGCCGACACTTTAACAAACTCCATTTCCTCGCCCGATTCCTCATCGTCATCCTCCCCATCACCCGTAAGGAACGCATTCCGATGCGTAAACAATTCCGACTCCACCTCACTATCCCTCCTTTGCCGTATCACATGCAACCTATACGCAAACACCACCCCCGGTGCCGTCTCATAACTGTTCCCGTTCTCCCTTCCCACAGCCCAACGAACCCCTCCCCCAGCTTCCACCGGTACCATTCCTGCCGGCACCATCCCCGACGCCCCTATTTCCATCGACATGCTCGATTCCAAATCGTCCGTAACCGTAAACGCGTCCCGCGCTACGCGGAGGCCAGATATAATATAGACGGGCCTTTTCCCGAACCTGCCGGAGAGGATGTGCTTCTTCACCGCGGGCAAGGCGGTGATGGCCTTTAACGACTCGGGCCGGAACCCGGACGCGAAGGTCCGGACCTCGTGGTCTGCGTTCCCGAACATCCGGTTCGTAGACCGGCTTACATCGGCCCTCACCTCGGCCGAGGCTAAGCTCGGGAAGCGAGCGAAGAGCTCGCCGCCGAAGGAGCGGCTGCTTCGCTCGGAGTGGGCGTGGTATCGCTCGACTTGGGTCTTGATCTCTGGGATGGGGATTTCCGGATGGTATTCTGAGGTCAATTGGTCGAGGGTGCGGGTTGGTCGGTCGGGGGAGGGGATGATGGTGCCCAGTGCTAGTTCGCCGTCGGGTAGGAACGTGAAGTCGGGAGGGAGGAACCATATTTTGTTCTTAGCCATTTTTGGGGCTCAGTGATGTGGATGTGGATGGGGTTGGACTGGTAATTGGCTCCGGCCTTTTGGGGTTGGGGTGTCAGACTTGAGATATAGTGGGTGAAATACTGGAGTTGAAAATGATGAAGCAAAGAAAGGTTCATCTTAGATGTTCAGCCTTGTGCTCTTGAGAAGTGTTGGGGGAAGCTGATGCAGAAAGCAGCCGCACATCATCGTTGTCCAATCGGTGCCCGATGCGTCATTTCCTCGCAGCAAGACAACCGAATGCTCGGACACTGAGTCTTAGACATGAGTACCTGGACTTGAAAACTGTACATGTCTTTGGAATGCTCATTTAGCGCAATATTCAACACCGTCCTGAATTCAATTTTCTAAGACGTAAATTGTAATCAGTCATCAATTTCCTCATAATATAGTTGTACTGTGGCATCAAGTGCTGGAATCATGTAACGCTCTAGCCGCCTTGCCGACACCAGAGGACCGCTGTTTGATGACTTACTATACTCTAGTTTCAATGGGGCAGCACAGAAGATATTAAGATGTTTCTTCTCTTTCAAAATTAGCCACTAATATAGCTTAGGTTATGGGAAGTGTATTTAACATTATTAGCTTGGTTCTCGATGCTACGTATGTCCCGACGTTGGCTTGAGTATGGATTATATCTATACATGATCTTCTTATTACTTTCACAATGTCATGACGTTACCACGATACAATCACCCCAGCCGGTCAAGAAGTTAATTACGGGTACTTTTTGTCATAATCCCACATGCAATCCGCAATAGCAGAGTACCTGGACCAGTCATTTGGCTTGCCCGACCAAAACGCAATCGGGTTGACAAACCGCCGCCGGTGCGGTTTCTCCTGCGCCATCTTGTGGAGAAGGGCCTCCATGCCTTTGGACTCCCGCAGCCGTTGAAAGACCCGTTTGGAAATCTGGTCACTATGCATGTCGACAAGGACGTCGGCGTATGCAAGCATGGTGGCGCTGATGCCTGCCGCAACGGCCGTGGCGATAGATGATCCCGGCTGACAGACTTCGCTCTTAGGGTACTGCTCGCGAAATTCGTCTGGGATATTCATTGGGAGATCGTCGCCGAAGGTTCCGAGAACAACCGGCCCGTCTCTTGGCTGGATGGCGTTTGCTTCAGAGAAGGTGCCATAGCAATTAGCTGCGAAGATGGAAATGACCGAGGGATGGCGAGCTAGAAAGCTCTCCTCCTCTCCAGGCGAGTTCCCGGCGCTGGAGAGAAAAATGGCGGCTCTGTGGCGATCCTCCTGTACCTTCTGGATCGCTCTGCTGATGCTGTTTTCGTCCTGGGCTAGTCCGAACGACATCGATACGATGTCGGCTTGGCATTCAAGCCCGGCCCATAGAATGGCCTGGTAGAGATCGCTGAGGTTAGCAAGTAGCGATTTTGTTTAAGGAGGTATCGCTTGCTACGTACCTCTGAAATTTTGCTTTTGTTCTTTTGGAGATCCTTTGTACTTCTGGAAACGCGAGCTACAATGATCTCTGCCATGGGAGCGCACTCCATGATGAGTCTTACCATGAGAGTACCATGGCCAAAACTATCTGACAATGTAGAAGAAGCTCCAGGGTCTACAAAATCTTTCCTGTAAGTGATGGATTGCCGTCTGCTATCGTTCTCACGGAAGAACGGCAAATCCGGGTTGAGGCCCGTATCTATAATCGCGACTCGGATGGGGTTTCTCAACCCCCTCTGACGCCGTTTCCTTTCCACATCTGCGCTGATAAGATTCATATCTTGAAGCCATTTCCTGGAAGTAACTGATTTTCCACTATGAAATAACGCCTGGAGTTGCCCCTGACGTAGATGCGGTTCTTCGGTGGGTGGGGTATTGGTTGCTTTCTCGCGGATGTATTGGACCTCTTGGGTATAATTTCCGAAGCCCTTTTTCGCCATCCAGTGCAGGGGAAGGACAACATGTCTGTAGAATGCTTTCATTCTAATTCTTAGACCCTTCTGAGTATCTGCGCTATTCGTTGCATCGATTGGAGGACAATGTGGCTGGCTCGACTGCGAAACGAAATTTCCGCTGTCTAGGCAGTATTCAACAGCCCGATCGAAAACCTTCTTGCTTGAGAAGCCCTTCCATTTCGTATCCTGTAGTCGTCTTAATTCGCGGCTGGCGATCCAGTGGTCTTGATTTGCCTGTGTGATCCCATCGCTTCGTTTGGGCGTACAGAAAGGCTCGCCTCGGCCAATCTGTAGCAGTATAACCCCTATAGCAAAGATGCGTGGGAATTTGTGGTTCAGCAGATCATGCTCAAGAGTATCATGTGCCGGATCATCGGGAATTCCAAATGGGAGAGCCAGGTAAGCTCTTAGGGGTAATTCGTTTGACGGTCTGCTGTTTTGTTCCTCGGGCAAAAACCAGATTGTGTCGCTGGTCCACCTGGTCCGCATAAGTTCCGAGTTGTAGGCTTGCCAGTAAGCCCTTGCTATCGCATACGCTAATATGACCGTGTCCTTAGGAGTGAGTGTATAGTTGCGCAATACATATGACAAGCGCTGTCCCGGTCCAGATAATTGGGTCCGATATGGTATGTTGGATCCGCGCAGCTGATAGAGACCAAGTCTGGAGTCGACCCACAAAAAGGCTGAAGAGAACTGCTTCTCCCAAAGGGTACAAATTGCTCCGGGGTGGAGTAGCTTGGACTGGTGGAAATGGTGACTTTCTGGCCGCCTTTTGCGAGTTAGCTGTGATCTTAATGATATAAACGGCAATTTACTTTGAGGTGTGTATTTCAAATCGGATTTGTTGCCATATCTTCATGTCCCAATTAGAAATGAAGAATTCAAACGAGGCCACATCATCTGCGTCTTCAGATAGACTTAATCTCACTGGGTGTCGTTGGGGTTTGGCCAGCGAAATCCCTCCAGATGCTTCGTGCAAACTGGGCTCGCATTCCATGTGCCGCTGAAGAACGTTGAAGACTTCTTTCGTGAAAGTAGGTTGAATTTTGGGACCGTTGTTCTCAAATTCTTCGGGGGGGAAGTTAGCATCACCATCATCGTCGTCGCCACTCTTAACTAATTTGTGGTAAAGCTCGAGGCAAAGGTCGTTGAAGGCTTCTATGAGGCGATAGTTCTGTTGTCCGGTGAAGAATTCGTTGATAGATGCTTCTATTTTCCGTTGGCGGCTTTCTTGAAGAAGATGAAGGAGCGTTAAAAAACATTGCTGGACGTGGACACCAGGTAATGCTTTGGAAGGCTGCGGCCACTGACGGTGGACATTCAATTATTAACTTCACCAAGTTGGGTGGGCATCTGACTCACGGTGCAAATCGTCACTAGTTCCTCAAGTACTCTCTTACAGAGCTGCTCGATATCATGGTCAATCCAGTAGGGGGGAAGTGAATCGACATATGAATGGAACAAGTGTAACTGTGTCCCAATCTCGGCTGCGACGCGAATGTGGCTCACGGACACTCGTTTCTGGTAAGGTCTGATGACCCTGAAAACGACCTTGGAGATCTCTCTGGCACATGACGCCAACAAATGGCAAGCTTCCTCGGCGGGCATGTCGCAATTAAGGGCAGTTCATAGGCATAATCAAATTTGGAAGTAGACGGAAATGGTGAAGTAGTTCGGCTGCAGATTACGGGTGGCGGAGGACAGGAGGACACCCCGCTCTCGAGTCTTGCCCAATGACAGGTTCAATTAAGTCGGAGATGCCGAACATGGGGGCTCCAGCTATCGGATAAAGGGCATCCCAATTTCGAACAGCGAGATGTAGCTCGGCATTCACAGCCTTATGGACAACCTTACTCTGACAGACGGACCAAACATGGCGCCGTCGGTCGAGGCATCGACGCCAGAATCTGCCGACAGGTCTATTGCGGATCTGGCAAGAGACTGCACTTCAGTATTCCATCAGTTATTGAGCTTAGAGTCCCTAAAAGGAAATGAGTGGTCGGAGAATAGGTTGGCTGATTTCAACCTCTGGACAGACGGCGTCGGCGCTACAGCCAAACCTGGGGCCTCGCTTGATTCTAGGTTAAAGGGGCGGGCGGATGACCTTCAGCTGGTGAAGAACCTCTTGGCGATGCTTCAAGACTTTTTGATCGGATATATAAGATGTGCTAAGAGTGGTAATGGCACGGAGGAAGCTGTCCGCAATGTCGACTCGGCAATCAAGAACCTGGAAATGATCGGGGTGGCAATCCGATGGACAGGAAAGGCATCCCGGACTAGGAGGACGGAGCGAACATTTGACCCTTCTGAGCATCGAAACTTCAGAAGGCACCTCGAGTGCATGATACTCTTGCATCCTTCTGAGGATGGACGCAATCCGGATGACCTCGACTTCTCCAAGTTGAACCATGTCCAAAATCGCCTCATCGAAGCCAATCTCAGGCGAAGACATAGCTTCAGCGTGGCGCAAAAACGGTCCATGAGATCCGAGGCCAGCTACATGGAGCAGCCACCTCATTTGAATCGAATTTTCAGTAACCCTTCCACTCAGGGCGAAACCCAGATGCAGAGACGGAATGAATTCGGGAATCCCACGCGTATGTCGTCCCTCAAAGCCAGAGAGCACCTTGCGCCAACTATCACCGGCTTCTCAACTGCTTCCACAGCTGAAGGAACACTGCAATATACGCCGGTTTCAAGGCATCTTCCAGAGGCAGTCAAGTCACAAATTACTTTCATTTCTGGTGCTACTGACTTCCCAAAACCACCCAAGACCCCACCTGGTTCCCTCATATGCAAGTGTCCTTGCTGTTGCCAGTCTCTGCCTATTGATGAAGTCCTGGACCCGAAGAAATGGAGGTAAGACTTATATCGCTTACTATCCTCTCCAAGCATGATTCTCACTGATAGCACGAAGGCAACATCTGATTGAGGATTTACGTCCCTACACTTGCATCGCCATTGACTGCCCCAAACCCGCCGTTATTTTCAGTACACGAAAAGAATGGGAGACTCACATCAGGAGGGACCATAAGCCCCAGTGGCAGTGTCCTCTATGCGACGAAAGGGACTTGATCTTCACCGAAATGGAAGGAATTGTGATTCATTTGCAAACGGATCATCAACAAGAGATCCGGGAAGGCTCGCTCTCGACAATCCTCTCCTAGTCCACAGTGCACCGCACAGGGATACAATCATGTCCATTATGCGTATCGAATGGGCCGCAAGACTCTCCCGAAATCGTCAACCATGTATTGCAACATGCATTCGATTTTGCTCTCCTAGCCTTTCCATGGACCCAAACAACTACTCCCGATCTGAACAAACCAGTTGGTACTTATAGTCTGACAGAAAGCGTGGAGAACACGGAGCGGATCGAGCGGTGGTTAACGGAATTACCGTTACCTGAGATTGGACAGCTGCAGCTGTCTGATTTCGATGAGGCCGACCATTCCATGCCGGAACAGACCTACAAAGAGGATGAGCTTGATTACTTCGCCAAAAACAACTACTTTGACGACTCCTCATAAGATGCTTCGTCAAAGCTCCAAGGCATTGCTTCGATCAAGTCATCTCTCAGATCAATCAAATTGCAAGACGGCTTGTTGGCAGATGAACCATATGAGCCCTATGATCCTACTAGCGTAGACCCTCACACAATCATGCCCAACCTACCGTCGACTTACAGGCGTCAGGGTCGGTTGGAGGAGACAGAGGAGTTGGAGATACAGGTGATAGAGAAAAGAAAAAAAGAGCTTGGGGTGGATCATCCTGATACCTTGATGAGCATGGCCAATCTGTCGTCGAGGTACCTGAACCAGGGCCGGTGGAAAGAAGCCGAGGAGCTGTTTTTGCAGGTGATGGAGACTCGCAAGACGAAGCTCGGGGCGGACCATCCCGATACACTTACGAGCATGGCCAACCTCGCTTTAACTTGGAAAGCTCAAGGTCGACAGGCAGATGCTTTAGTGTTAATACAGGGCTGTGCGCAGGCTCAGCAACGAGTCCTTGGGCCAGAGCATCCAAATACTCTGTCGACTCAAGCCATCATAGAAGATTGGAGCATCTAGAATGCATGTCCTTTTGCTCTGTAATTATGAGCTGTTGGACTTTCTTTACTTGTGTTCTGGTTAACCCGTTATTACTCAACTTGTTGGTCTTGAATTTTCCTTATAGCCTACATTTATCGTGCATTTTCTCGGGCGTTGAGATTCAACACCGGCTCGGTTTAGATGGTGACCACATCACCTTAATCAGACCATATATTTATTACACGTCACTGGCACATTCATATCCTGTGAGTCGGCACAGTTTCTCCTTAGTGCAGTAGCTATTTGAAGGGCTAAGTCCCCTGATATCTAGAGTGTCTATTTGCTGGTGTTTTTATTAGCTGCTAGCATGATATGCTTGGACCACGTACCATGATACGTAAACACATTAATCATCATAGGGGTACCGGTGCCTAGGTACCCTTGAGATAGTATCTCGTCCAGGCTTCTTGGTGACCCTGCATTGCAGACTTGCTGCAGCCAAAATGTTGGCAGATACCTAATGACAGTACTTCTAACGTGAATGTACACCGAGCTGGCCACCCTTACATAACCTCGCATAGAATTTTTAAGATAGTAAAACCACAACGCCGTAAATCAATTGAAACTACTCTGAATCTTCCTCTCCAGAAGATGGCAATGCGATCTTACAAGTTCGCGCATTATGCCCAGTCCCGTTGCAAATACCACAGCGCCTCGGGCGCGTTTCAACACGCTTTGCGCGACCACCATTTCGGCGCTCTTCTTGCTGTATCTGCGTCGCCAACTCCCTAGAGTCCCGTAGGTCCTGTCCTTCTTGGAAAATAAGTGATTCTCCTTCCCGTAATTGCATTTTTTTAGTCCTCTGGCGCCGGCTTAGCATCTTATTTGCCTCTCGAAGCTCAGCGCACTCGGCCCGTATGAGGGCGAGCCGCCGTTTTTACGCGTTTGGAGGGTGCTTCGGGGGACTTGGTACGTTTTTGCCGCTTGTCGGAGACTAAGTTTTTGGTCAGTTTTGAGAGCTTGAAGGGCTAGTATTAAGTCTGCTTGGTTGTATGACTTTGCCATAATTAGTTGTTGAGAAAATCAAAGATTAAGTTGGCCGGTCGCGTTGGCGCATGAAAGTGGCCAGCTCGGTGTCATGGCCAGCTCGGTGTACATTCACGTTAACTTTAAGATTATCTATTACAAAGGTAACGAAAACAGAAGAGTAGATGCTCTTAGCCGAAGACCAAACGAACAAGCAATACCTACAAATACGTAGGCTATTCTAGTAATTACTAACGAAGGGGATTTTCAACCTTTACTATAGCTTAACGCTAATACTCCTAATCCGTCGCCGAATAGCTAGCTACATGGCCACTCAGAGCCATCGACTTCCAGACCTCTCACTGTCCCATATATCGAGCCTACTCAGGCGCAAACATGATGAGACAGGACGGCGTTAGTCACCTCAAAATCCGTAAAGCGTTAAGATGCGTCTGTGTTTCATTTCCTTTCCTGATTTCTATACCCCCATAAAACTTGCCAAATCAAGCCGATAAGTGGGATGCCAATGAGGAGGGTGCAAACCACTACCCAAAATAGTACCACGACAACGGAGAACATCCAAAATGCCCGTTGCATATCTCGTTTTCCAGATTCGCTGAGTCCTTGAGGCCATGGCTCATCTCCTGGCACAGAGAGAGCAACTTGCATCGACGAAAGAGCGAGGGAAACACTGGCAAACACGAACAGCAAAGTCAGGATCGCTCTCGCCACGAAATCGGCGTGAGACCAATGAGAAATTTCGTAGAACCAGATCGTGCTGGTGTGCTGGGGACGAAATATTCGGACGGCCCAGTTCAGTCGCGAGAGACGTAGCTGTCCATAGTGGTACCGCTTTGCAACGCACTCGTCTCCGAGGTAGCGAAAGTGGCGGATGAAACTTGACCACAGGAGCCAGTCGACATCCTCAGGGATCAGATAAGACTCCTTTGCCAACATGAAGTCGAGGCGATGCGGTACGAGCAACGCATATGACCGCAAAAACCCTAGTGCAACCGAGCGGTCGAAGGCTGAAGTAGCAGCTTGGGAAAGTCCTTGGGAATACGGCGCAGAAGTTTCCCCCATCCTAGGGTGTAGATACATAGTCCAAAAATCATGGTCGAGGAGGAAAACTGGAATGGGCTTTATGTAGATTTTGTCGCCGCCCCAGACGAGATGAAGTCTAGGGTCTTCCGCAGGGACAATGCTTCGGCCCTTGACTCTTTGCCTATGGAGCGCGTCAATGTTTTGGCCGGATTTCCTGGCAACTAGCCAAAGATGATCGTAAAGTTCGTCCAGGAGTGGAGTTTCCAGTTGATTGGACAAATAGTCGCGGACTTCGTCGAGTAGAAGATTAACTGCGGGATCTCCAGGTATATGTGTTATATAATGTGCATCGTTCTCATGTAGATGTGTAGGGGTTGGTATGCTGATATCAGAAGGCTTCAAAAGTTCTTTGTTCGGAGCACATGACTGCGGGAACGGAGCCTGAGAGCCTGTAGAAATAGCCATCGTGTATCAGGCACGATAGCGAGGTTGGCGAACGTAAGGGTGTGAGCAGCAGGTGCCTTGCATTTCGAGCCCATTGGTGTTCGACAAGGCACGAAGCGGCAACACCTCGGACGGCGCCGGGTATGTGGCTGCCTTAGGCTACAACAGGTCAGCTGCAGCCGGTACAGCCTCGACATCGAGAACAATGAGTGACAGTACTACACTTTGCTTTAATGTACTGCAACTGCATCGCACGATTATCGACAAACTGTTTCTGTACATTTTATGCGTATCTGCTCCTCTGTTCCCACCTGGTCCTTTACAACAATTGACCGGATCGACCCCTCTAGTGAAGTGGGGCCGACGGATCTAAAGAAACAACTGCGATTTTCTCCATCCTCTTCCTCTCAATGGCATTATTCTATGACATGATCACGTACCTTGTCGTCTCTCTCCTTATGATCGCGTTCCTCTATGACCAGCTCACGAAGAAGATTCCGACCCGGGTCGACCCCCGTCAAGCCCCAAAATCGAGATTTGGGCTCGTCCCGGCAGGGCCGCATAATTCACCTGTCCGTGCCGGAGGGATAGAGTAGGCGTGATTCCTCGCTAGTTAATTGGAACATTTCTGACACGCCTAGTATCGTTTTCGTCCATGGCCTTGGATCTAACCCCGACACGACGTGGCGAGCGAGGTCTGATGCACCCGAAGAAGCCCTGCCGGATAGTGAGCGGTATGTGACCTGGGTTAGCGACTTCCTTCCCAACGATTTGCATACAGCGACCCGAGATATCCGCATGTTCTTCTATAACTATGATTCATACTGGAAGAGGGATGCAATACACACGCGGCTCTCGCATCTTGCCCATGTTCTCCTTGAGCACATCAAGCAGATCCGGGAGTCCGAGCAGGTGAGTAATGACAATGTATACGACTTTGGATTGCTGCTGACGGCCCGGCCTCCAGGAGCGAAGCCGGGACCTGATTTTCGTGGGATACAGTTATGGGGGTCTAGTGATCAAGCAGGTAAGTGGGCAAATGCTCTTCTCTAGTCGCGAAATCTGACCATAGTAGGCACTTGTTCAAAGCTATGCACATCGAGGCCCAAGCCACGTTACCGAACATATCAAAGCGATCCTCTTCTTAGGTACGCCGCATCGTGGGTCTAGCTTCAGTGTATGGGGACGGCTGGCGGCGCGAGCTCTCCAGCCGCGCGGTTCCAACCCTTCAATCCTAGCCGAAATAGAGTACGATTCGACTTCATTGCTAGACTTGCACAGGACATTTTTCAGTATCGTTCGACATGATTTATGGGTGTTCAACTTTTTTGAGCAACGATCGACGCAACTTCTTCGACTATGGTTCATCCAATGGCAACAATTCGTAAGTAGGTTACTAAGCTGAAGAAAGCATTCTAACAGGAGATCTAGTGTGTTCGTGAGTCATCTGCAACGTATGATGGACCACATGTTGAAAACATCGGCCTGTCCGTGGACCACTCTGGGCTTAACAAGTTTGGTTCGAGAAACGAAAGCTATAAGATGATCCTATCGAAGCTTCGCAACATCACGGCATCTTCAGCTCGGTCGGTAAAGCACCACTACGCCGTCCCGCTCGAGACCGTATCAACGTTTACCCAGCGAGACGAGTTATGGAAACAACTTGAGGAAAAGCTGCAGATACGACATGAGAAAGCAAGTGTTCCGTATGGGGTTACCATTCACGGACTAGGTGGTGCTGGTAAATCCCAGCTGGCGCTAAAGTACGCGGAACATTATCGAGATCGTTATAACCCAATTTTGTGGATTGATGCGACAGATGAGGAGGCGGTCCGATCGAGCTTCAAAAGATGTGCTGCAGAGCTGGGTCTCCCAGAAGAGCAGAATAAGAGGCAAGGCTCTGCTCTCGCTGATGCGGAGGCTGTCCAGGCGGTGCTCCGATGGCTCCGCGACAGAATGGAGCCGGATGATGAATGGCTGTGTATCGTTGATAATGCCGATGACCTCCGCTGGGGAATTCAGAAGATAATGCCAAAAGGGGGAAGAGGAAAAATTATTATTACTAGTCAGAACACCTTGAGCCAAAAGCTAGTTTTCGGGGGGTGCGAGCAGCTTAAAGTCGATATCATGTCGCCGCTAGAAGGAAGGAGACTTCTTCTCCAACATCTCGAGCTGGATGTAGTCTCAGCACCCGGAAAAATCCAAAACAGCTGCGATAAGATGGCGCAAAAGCTTGGATACCTAGCACTTGCTATTGACCTTGCAGGCGCCTATATTGGCAACGACCCTGATCGTGAGGGTGCTCTGACGCAGTATCTAGCAGACTACGACACGCATTGCGACGAGCTCTTGCAAACGGATAGTTTTCGGGGACTTTTGCCAACGGAGAAGACAGTATGGACGGTATGGGACACGACACTCCAAAGAATTACGAGAGAGAACCCAATACTACAGCCTAATTTGCTTTTAACGTTTCTTGCACATTTCAAGGGCACTATTGTTCAGGATGAGATGTTTCGACTAGCAGCTCTTGGCTGCGCTTTCGTCGATGATGAGCTCGTCGAAGGAATACCTACAGAGCTTCGAAAACTTTTCTTATCTAAAAGCGGTGAATGGGACAGTTTCCTATACCGGCAGAGCCGCGACGTACTGCTCCGCTATAGCCTGCTGCAGCTTGTGGACGGTGAATGGCGTGGCGTCATCATGCACAGGCTGGTTCAGTGGCGGGCACTACAAAGCGAACAAACTCGAGGATGGGGTTGGTGGTATATAGTGTTTATACTAGCAGCGTGCCAACAACTTAGCGAGGACGAACGCCAGCCCGAGTTCCGTCGACATTTGATAGTGCATCTCCCACATATTTCCGAAATTTGCGGTAATGATGGTGCAGATTCGGAGAGGCAACATGATTTTATACGGAGCACGTTGAGTAGGGTTTTTTATAGTGAAGGCCGGTGGGAGGAGGCCGAGGAGCTGGAGGTGCAGGTGATGGAGACTCGCAAGACGAAGCTCGGGGCGGACCATCCCTCTACACTTACGAGCATGGCCAACCTAGCGTCGACGTTTTGGAACCAGGGCCGGTGGGAGGAGGCCGAGGAGCTGGAGGTGCAGGTGATGGAGACTCGCAAGACGAAGCTCGGGGCGGACCATCCCGATACACTTACGAGCATGGCCAACCTCGCTTTAACTTGGAAAGCTCAAGGTCGACAGGCAGATGCTTTAGTGTTAATGCAGGGCTGTGCGCAGGCTCAGCAACGAGTCCTAGGGCCAGAGCATCCAAATACTCTGTCGACTCAAGCCATCATGGAAGATTGGAGCATCTAGAATGCATGTCCTTTTGCTCTGTAACTATGAGCTGTTGGACTTTCTTTACTTGTGTTCTGGTTAACCCGTTATTACTCAACTTGTTGGTCTTGAATTTTCCTTATAACGTGAATGTACACCGAGCTGGCCACCCTTACATAACCTCGCATAGAAATTTTACGATAGTAAAACCACAACGCCGTAAATCAATTGAAACTACTCTGAATCTTCCTCTCCAGAAGATGGCAATGCGATCTTACAAGTTCGCGCATTATGCCCAGTCCCGTTGCAAATACCACAGCGCCTCGGGCGCGTTTTTGCGCGTTTTTACGCGTTTGGAGGGTGCTTCGGGGGACTTGGTACGTTTTTGCCGCTTGTCGGAGACTAAGTTTTTGATCATTTTTGAGAGATTGAAGGGCTAGCATTAAGTCTGCTTCGTTGTATGACTTTGCCATAATTGGTTGTTGAGAAAATCAAACATTAAGTTGGCCGGCCGCGTTGGCGCATGAAAGTGGCCAGCTCGGTGTCTGTTGCAGAAAAGGTGTTAAATCGAAGTATATGTGATTGAAAAAGTAAATGTTTTCTCGCGATGCATCTTTCGCAGAGATATAGCTTTAATGCACTCAGGTCACGTGATTATTCAACACGTGATCCTGCAACAGTGTCATGGCCAGCTCGGTGTACATTCACGTTACTGTCATTGTGGCATTATTAAATTCCTCGGTCCAAATCTGACTCCTGTTGATTGATTTGCTGCTGGACTTTGGTGCATCAGCAATTTTTACAGTATTTGCAGTCTGCCAGAAGCCCCCGAACATCATGATAAACAAATCGCTAGGGTTGAAAGATATAGTAAGAGAGTTCCATAATACCACCAGTCAAAGAGAGTAGACTTCCTTTAACTCAGCGGCAGTTCTCAAAGTTGTCTTTATGAAGGGGTTGATCGTATTCCTTATGCCATCCCAATTCAACTTATGAACAGCAATGATAAGTGTTAATATTTCTTAAAGACTGAAACTACGAAAAGCTTCTCCACCGAGCTACAGAGACCGCTGTGAAGAACCGTATTGAGGCGGCCTTGGCTGCGTTCAGCTGCTCTGTGACAGAGGTCAGCACTTGCAACTATCACACTGAGAAGATGCCTTGCCAAAAATTGACAGTTAATTATTTGGTGAAACCTACGGATAAGTTCGCGGGGAAGGTCCAGGTGATCATGGTCGAAGACTCCAGGCATATGCTTCGTGATATCATGACATCGTGACGTACTGCATACAGCAAAAGACTTGGATTTGATGTTCCCGTTGAAGGAGCAAAAGGAGGGCACATATGCCTAACCTGTATGTATTGTAGCTAACTCTGGTCCTCTCTTCGAGGGTCTATGTATGGAAACAAAAGGTTTCTTATATAGTCAATGAATGGTAGACTTGCTGATTAATTCAGACAAGTTGTAGAAGCATATAGATAAGTAGGGAATGTTCTATCCTTGCCACATTTCTCGTAATAGAGGTATGTGGGGATGGTCGCCGTTCTAGGTGGCGATAGTGGCAAGTATAGGACCCACATGGCCCACAGGGCCCATATTGTCCAACTAAAAGCTTGCCGACATGGACAAGCACGTGGCCCTGAAGCACAGAAACAAAGCGGCTAAGGCCAAAAGAGTGACCCCCAATAGAAAGCTAGTAGCCAATACTATCTCGCAGTCAATCATTAGGGAAAATTTGCGTCCCAAGTTGGGTCGATTCATATCTGGGAGATACCCATCCATGCCGACCTGAGTGTTGCAGAAGCCAATTTGCGTATCCCTAAGTTCTAGAAGCTTTTCTTGGAGTCTTTTCGGCAAGTTAATGTGGTTGATTCGTGTAATAATAAGCAAATATAGCATGGGCTGTACCAAGCTATTTGGCCACAGTACTTTTGACTTGGCTAATCTGGTGCTCAAAGACGTATTTTTCTGATCCGCCGGGAATAGCTAGTAGAGTTTCGAGTCTCTACTGCTGGAGAGTTTGTAGTAGCAATGCTTTCTGAATAGCAGGTCCCTGAAATGTGCCTCAAGTATGATCTGGGCAGTTTACAAATGTGTAAAGTAACCCACAATTGCATAAAGTTACAGTATGCATTTTTATTTTCGGCGATCTTCTCTAATCCCCGTTCCACATGCCAAGAAATTGCAAGTCATCCTGCAAAGGGGTTTCGACCAAGAAGCGTCTCAAAGTGTGAGTCCGTGTGGTGGTTTGATGCTATGAACAGCAATAAATCGTGGATCATTCCGAATGTAATCAGACCTCGCCTGCGTCCATAGTCTTGTTGTCGTGGGCTGTGGTGCTGTACTGACGATATTTCTTCGCAGCCAGGATGATGTGCAGATGAAGCGAATGGACGCTTTGGTCAGGGTCGAGGTGGAGACCATATTGGAACTGGTCAACGTCGATTTTGTCAATATCAGCGGCGAGAACTTCGCAATGTTCTTTAGCAATCCGAGCCTGTAATCTGGCCTCCTTAATGTCCAACTCCTTTTCGTAATCTTCCATCAATTTTGTTTCTTCGCTGGCCTTGATCTGTTCCTTGGTTCTTGCCTCGATGGCTTCGAGCTGGTGCACAAGAATACTCTGCCGGACGTTGGGGTCTTCCCACGAGGCCTTGAAGAGTTGAATCATCTCATCGATGATGCCAACATCCGTGATGACGCCACCAGCCTTTATGACGTCCAGATTTCCTTTATCCAAGGCCACCGCATTGAAAGGGGTCCACATTTTATCATTAGGAATACCGAAGATGTGAATCATAGACATTCCAGACCTGGAAGGCTTTTCCCGATACTGGATGACGTCAAAAGAGGCGTGATTACTGACGAGGCGCACCATGGTGTTCTCGGCGAACACGACTCCTATCCATTCCTTCTTGAGGTAGGGGATACGTCCTCCTTCCTTGACATTTTTGTGGAAATTGGCAAAGCGTTCTGCAATCAATTCAGTCTTGTTGGTGAATGTTTCCGCAGGGTCGCCATCTTGAGTCTGTTTTTGATACAGAGGCTCGGCGAAGTTTTTAATATACATCCGATACATTGCCTCTCGATCCTCCTCAGTCTCAGTTGGCATGGGCGACGTCATGTTTTGTGATATAGGTTGTCCCTTTCCGAATCTCCTGGAGATAGATGGTAGTCTGGTCTGTCTTCGGCAAAAGAAGCCAAGATAATTGAGAGGCTACTATATGGTTTAGCCGACTTATATAGCATTAAATTATGATAAGCCCTCAGAGATTCCTTTAGCTCATTCATGTAAGTGAACGGAGACCTTAGAGGGACGACGCCCGAACAGGTCGTTCTAGGCCAAGTCCGTACATTTTCTGATGGTGAACAAGTTGGGTGCGGCGGCATTGCAGCCATGGGGTACGGATGTTCATTACCCCTCTCGGATCGCAAAAACTTCTCATTGGTTGATCTGGGTCAGAAATATGTCTAACCCTGATCAACTTATACCAAGCTAACGCTAACGATAGTCTAACCGAATGAATCATCACCACAGTATCAGAGAACAGCTCATACACGGAGTAAATGCAACGCATATGCAGCAATATAAGAGTATATATATGGGTCCAAACTGTTACAGTGCACATGTGATGCATACGTGTGGAAGAGGCTCAAAGAATAATGAAAATGAAGCACGCATAGATTTAGGTACTATTATACCCTAAACTGAAACGTATCATATAGGTTACATGCATATATGATATGTATTGAAACGGGGTCAGGCGGTCGGTAGGATGTACCTATTACCTAACACACTGAACAGACGGCTCCAGTACCAACAGATCCCATCTGTTGATCTGATCAGACGAATATCATGGCGATGGACGCTGGAGCGAAGCTCCTACTGAAACGGGGTCAGGCGGTCAATAGGATATACCTACCACCTAGCACACTGAACAGACGGCTCCAGTACCAACAGATCCCATCTGTTGGTCTTATCAGACGAAGATCGTGGTACTGGTCATAAGAGTGAAACTCTTACACGTCTGGTGCGCGAGTTGGTCGGATGTGCCTCTGAGACTCGTATCGTGATAATAGGATCTCGAACCTAAAGATAAGCTGAATAACTAAAATAACTAAATAACTGACTGAAAAGCGAAGGTGAAGATATAGATAAGAAGGAGATGATGATATGAAGATGAGGATGATGATGCGTGAAGATGGGGGACTCATGTCCTACTCTGCCTCTGTGCCTCTTAAAGAAGAGAAAATAAACTTTCTCCTAGCCCCGTATCCTATTTCCCTGATGTCCGGCCTTACCCCGTTACACTACAAGCCTTGGGCGCAAGTTGGCCGGATGTACTCTCTTGTATTCAGCTCAGGGGTGATTCTCAGAATAGGACTCTTGACTCTAGGAGTTGAAGCAAAGCTGCCACTAGCGTTGAATTGCTCTGATCAGAGCAAGACGCAATTACTCGTAGTTGTTAAGGCTAAAGTGGAAGAGATAGATGGATTCTTGAAAACTATGCCTGAACGTATAAATGAATCATAAACAGAAGCTTTGAATTGCACACACTGGAAAAGAGCTCGATAACTATCGACTCTGTAGAATAGAAGAGATGAAAGAGGTGATTAAAGGGGATGCTGTTGGAAAGAAACTGCAGCCACAAGTCCCCTGAAGAAAGCAAAAGATCCTCCCCGGTCCGTCACCTATTTTCCTGGCGTCTGGCCTTACCCCACTACAATATGAGGTGGAAACATGATATAAAGCTAATACTAAGCAATATATTTGTATTATAGAACCGAATTAACAGACTAAGCAAAACAACAGGTTACACGCACATGTCGTGGGTATTGACTTAGGGTGATGCGTGCACCTAGGGGGGAGGATGCTATAATGCAGCAGTGCGCAACGCTATAGTATCTAATTGAATGGGATTCACCTAACCAGTGGGTCCCCCTACCTTTTCGTATCATAGGGATAGGGTTTTGGGTTTTTTTTTCGATTTTCGGACGAACTATGTAAGCGTGTTCTTGACGGTATTTAAGGATCTGTGTATGTGGTCGTTCTCTTGAAAAGAAAAGGAGAGAATCAAGCGGCCTATTCCATAGCATTTTGAATCAATTCTCTTTGCCTATGGACGCTTTTGTTGTTTTGATGACCTGCTGAGGTCTTATCCTGTTTCACTACCTGTTGAGGTACTCGTTGTTGTGATCGGAGCAAGAAAGCTTTGATCTTGTTATTCTTCCACCTCCCGGACAGTAAGGTCTTATTGAGGATCTCGTTTTCCGTTGCCATCATCATCATATCTCGAACCTTTGGACATTCACTGCCCGTCGTCAGTATATATTTAGTAGGCACCATATAAGTTAATTACTCCTTATCAATATATCAAGCTATTTCAAATTAGCTTTGATACGTGACCCCATGGGTGTGTATCCTGGTCGATCTGACCTCACAGGACTCAAGTCACGAATATCAGGATTGATTTCGTGCCAAGTCAGTTGTGTGGTTCAGATCTCTTTTGATGGTGTTTTTTCTAGAAAGCTCAGCTATTTCCGAAGCTACGAAATGTTGCTTAAGAGCAATGATGTAGCCAATCAGATCCTCTGATTTGGATCCACATGGGGGTTATCCTGTAGCTATAGATAAGATAGATAAGAGCTATAAAAGAGCTCTGCCAGGCCAGAATAGCTGACCTGGCCATCCTTTCCCAATACAACAATTCACACCCCATATGCACTCGCATCACCAAGTCATACATATAGAAAGTGTCACGACCTGGGTTGCATCGCATTGGTAGAGACCTCGATTAGGTGCTATCGACGAAGATTCTACTCTAAGGAGCGAAGGAAAGAAGATGACAACTTAGGTTTGAGGGAGCGCGACTAAGTCGTCCACGCTTGGCGGGGCTCCTGCAGGGGTTATGATTGGCTTCCCATCTGGCACTGCCACGGCAGGTGTTCCAGCTGTAAGTCACCTGGTTGTAGTGAGTCTGCGAGGGTTGACCTTCACAAGTATATACTTAGTATATTAACAATAGATACAGATTTGGGGGAGGCCAGGCACAATCATCAATTCCTAATGCCAGTAGTAATTGGATGCAAAGAAGAAAACTTACCCCTCCAAGTTTCTTTGGTGTCTGGAGCACCATTTGAAGGGCCTAGAAGGTTTTCCTGAAACGCCCTCGGACCGTCATCGTTTCGCCCGCCTATTCAGGGTAACCCTATTTACATCTTGTAACGAAACCTCTAATAGTCTAGCTGCGTAAACCACTAAAGAGTCTGTAAGGGTTTGTGCTAGTAAGTAAGTCCTGCTGCGGAGTCCTCAAGCAATAATATTGGGGTTTGACGTATGGAGTATAGGGCTCTGGGTAACTGAAGTATTCAAGTAGGGTAACTGGGAATAGAGTCGTCAAGGCAGTTTGCCTCACCAATGGGTTAGATTTATGCTTAGATTGATCACTGAAGTAGAGACTGTCTATCTATGAAATGCCTGCGAGTCCTGTCCCTTATATACCCATCTCTCCTTCACTGATCCCCACTTGGATATGTTGGTTGTCCAATGTGATGTATTGTATATAACCACCTTTGCATCGCTTGGTATTCCCTTAAAAGAAACTTCGGACCAAAAGCAGATATAAAGCAATTTATGTTGAAACACTGATCCAGTCGTGATAGTCATATAAGTGGCAATATCTATCATTATTAAATAAGCCCCAGGCTTGAAGCCCAGGTAACTTTACCTCTACGAGTGCCTCCGTAGTCAAACAGTGCCCTAATGGCTGGACTAAATACATATGCTGCGTGGTCGGTTCCCTACCATACTACGTTGGTTCTCAACCCGCCAACAAAGTCCCCCAACGGTGGTGATGAAGAAAGAAGACACCAGGATATGACACGATCAGTTTCAGCCAGTTGCAAGCAAAAAGAAGACTCATAAGCGCTTTAAATCGATGCCAGTAGTTTCAAAATGCAGACATAGGTACTGACTTGAACATGTAAATTTGTCCATCCGGAAAAGATCAAAAATGCATAGAAACATCTGGAGATATGGCGGTGCTTTCACTGATTCACACGATAACCAGCGTTATCAAAAGAGAGTGATAGTTAGTTCATCATGGGATTATCCCTATCCCAAATCATTAGGAATGCAACAAACTAACTATCTGGCAGGCAATTCACACCGCCTCCACAAAGCCGTAGTTTTTCCACGACGAAAATGCAATCGCCACTAGTCTCCCCTTCATGGAATCACAATGCTAATCTACATCCGCATCCAGAGCAAGCCAGCAGGTCTCGGTCCAACCACAGTCCCTTCAGAAGCCCCAGATTGATACCAAATCCCGAGTTCTGAACCAACACCAGATTGGAGACTGCTTCAGGTAGACTCTTCCTCTTGTTCATCCTCCTAATCACAGCCAGAGCCTGAGCCGTCATTGAGCAGGATACAGGTACATACCTGATCACAAGTCCCCTCGTTACCAATCACAGACCCATCCGTCTCGCATCCCTCGCCCTGGTTCTTGCACCAGACAGTCTTGTCAGCGTTACGGCAATCCAGCGTCCAGATCTCGATTGGAGACGGCGACATCAGGCCCGGGGTGTATTCGCAGGTGCACTTGTCCAGACAATCGCTTTCCCCCGGTCCGGCGACTTGACCAAAGTAACAGCCAATGCCGTCGTCGTGGCATCTCTCGGTCTCTGCGCCGCCGCCGCAGTCGAGGGTCAGGTTGTACACGCTCGGATCAGTGTCACTGGCGTTCTTGTAGTATCCAGCTAAGTCATGACGGTGGATGTGCTTCGTATACTCTCGCTTCTTCATCTTGATGGGCTCTGGAGACCAGTTGCCAAGAGGCGGGTGGGTATCATCATTGTTGGTATCCGTAGGTCCATCATCCTGCTCATTGGACAAGTCGGGGTTGGCAACATCGGAAAGGGGTTGGCCGGAACCATCAGGGGCATCGATAATGGGCAGGTCGTCGGATTTACCCAAGGGAATGCACTTGCAATTGCTGATGCACCAGGTCTCATTGGAGGTGAGCTTGCCGCCCCAGCAGCGCGTCATGTTGTGGTACCTAAAAGAAAACAGAAAAGAATACCAAGTCAGCAACTTGACCAATCAATTAAATGGCCGAGGTTTAGCTGTAAAAGGAAATTTTAAGGGAAGGAACGAAGAAGAACAAACCAGCAGTCGAAAGCACGACCAAAGTCGCCACAGTCAATGCGATAACGATCATTCTGTGGCTGGTGGATCTCAATGAGAGCAGCGTTGGACAACTCAGATTCGTCGTTGGCATTGATGGTCACAGCAGCTTCCAGCATGACCCTGACACCAGCAAGGTCGGCTGGAGCAGCCGAGGTGGTGGGTGTAGAGACCGAAAGGTAAGCGGTGTCGAGTCCATCAACCTTGGCAGCGACGGCGACAGGCGTGCTCACAGCGGATCTGATGGTAGCGTGAGTGCCCACCAAGAGCGAGGTGAGTGTGGTGATTAGAATGATCTGTTGGGAGATGATCAGTCATGCAATTCTGTTCTTAGGAAGGAACGACGCGTCACAGGGAAGTGGCTTGCTTACCTTCATCTTGATGATTCTCGTTATTGAACGATGTGATTGGGACAGGAGTGTTTCTAAGTGAACCGCAGTAACAATATTCAAGGGTTGTGGTGAAGGCCGAATTTGAGAGAAGAAACAAGGGTGGTTTTCGTTGGGTGTTGTTCGGTTGAATCGGTAAGATCAGAAAACGAAGATCACAACACTCATCGGCGCTGTTTATTCTAGCCTGGCCACCTGGGGCTTTAAAATAATTAGCCGAGGTTCATACTGGAGTGCTGATTCGCAAACCGGGATAACAGAAGCGAAGTGGATGTGAAGCACTTGCTTGGATATGACAAGTGCATGGTCTTGAGAAATCACACAACGCATGATGGACATATGCCTGTGCCACTGCTCACCAAGATCCTCGAGTGTTCCCTTGCATGTTTTATGAAGATGGTCAGATAAAATCATGCAGAGACAAAATATTTTCGAATTAATAATCACTGTTGCACTAGCCATCTATCATAGCCAGTCGATATGAACATCATCATCCTGCCACCGGAAAGGGCAGGAGAATCGTCTGGCATCAAGCGTATCTCTGTCTGGCATTTTGTCACACAAGGTACAGTCGCATTGCGACTTCTATTGGTTTCGCACTTTCAACAAGAATATGTAGCAAATAGTTAGAGGCAAGGCTCACGCACATTCAAGTGATGGATATTTAGTAACTATAATGGGGAGTGACAGCTGGCATGATTGCAAGAACCATGATGTCCACCCTCAAGTCCTCAATGGCTTTCCGTCAGCATCTAGTGTTTGGCAGTCTACCATCTGAGAAGTAGCTTCTGCAAAACCCCAGCCCACAACAGCGATCGAGAGATTCCGAAACCTGAACACGTCCATTTATCTTCACCAAATAAGGCCCGCAAGTTGAGTCCATCTTCAAGACCGTCTTATCTACGACATAAGCAGCTCTTTCCATTCTCATATGACCTGCAACCACTGAATTATTCGTCCGAGTTGACTGCACGGTGAAGTATGCGCTTGTACACTGGCGATGCCAGGGTACCAGAGCAGCTTGAGCAGCGGCAGATCTCTTCTCTGAAGTGATGAAAATTAGAACAATGGTCCATGTTTGGGTGATTGAGAGAGGCCATGTTCTTTGCTTGTCTTTGCGTTGTGATCTGGGAGCTCATCATGAACAATGCCAGAACCTGCTGGCTGGACCCAAGAATGATATGGAGATGCAAGGAACAGCATTGATCCCGAAAGCACTTTAGGAACCCACCACAACCATGAACATCCCAAAACACAGCAGATGCACAATCAAATGCACTGCAGGCCCTCCCAAAGTCGACCCTCCCACAAGATCACCTTCAACCTCATTGCGTAAACGAACCCAAGCTCGGTAGCTTGGCCATGCATGATAAGATCCCAATGCAGCAGCAAGAAGTCTTTCTGTCTCCCTGAACGTGGGCTGGACAAGGACAATCACGCATATAAAGTTGGTCACAAGCAGGAGCCCGCCATATTGTCGCAGGATCAGTTTGGCCGCAGGAGAGCACCCAGGCAATTGCTTATCTGGCTGGAGGATGAATGAAAGTGCTGCAAATGACTCAATTACTGCGTGGAAGGCAAATGGGAGTTTTGGTATGAGCATGGTGGTGATGTGAAAGTTCTCTGATGTGCAGGTTCTCTGATGTGCAGTGATATCATGAAGTGAGGTCAAGTGACACCAAATTCGACTACTGAGGATGATTACCTCGAGGACTTGGTTATGTGTCGGTCTATTTGGCACTAGGCCTATTATGGTAGCACCGATAAGTTTCAATTGAGCTAAACCTCATTTAGATATCTCCTGCCACGATCACCAATGAGATCTCTTAGAGCTAAAAAAGCACAAATCAGCTCATTGGAACCTCTGTTTGCTTCATTGAGAAAGTGAGTAAAAGCAATGTTCAGTGGAATATCTTTGCGGTTTTTGTGGGATTAAGCGCCACAGTTATGCCCTAGACTGAAAGCTGCTTCTTTCCTTGGAGAGCAAGGGTACATTGCAGGGCAATTCACAACACCAACCTGAGTAGCATAACGCATAGAGCAGGCATAGCGATCAAAATGACATCCATCCAGACTCATCAACAGAGGGTCAATTCCCTTAGTATTCATCTGAAATTAACATTGGCGTAATTTGCAACTATAAACCTGACATTACAAAAATAAAGGAAGCCTCTGCACAAAAGTGTGTGAACTGGCAAGGGTCCCCTCTAGCCATAAGCATAGGTAATGTTGTAGATAACATATTGCAAGGTACTTAGGGTTATTCCGACCTGAAATGTTCGAACGTGCTAAGCACCGTAAGACAATCCCCTATAAAGCCACGGGCCACAGGGAACAAAAACCATCCCAAGTACCGCAAGCAATATATATAACTATTGATTGCACGAGATATTTACACGGCTGAAGGGGACCCCTGCTAATTCACAAACCTTTTACGTAAGGCTCCATATCTTATAGTATTATAAGGTAGCTAAACTATATACAATACCTGACACCTCATTTTACTATGGACTAACCAGTCTGATTGGACATAGATATCTTGTACCGGACTTCGTTCTCACAAGCTTCGATAAAGTTGATTTACTTTGGCCCGGGGCTGGTATCTGGAACGTGTCCGAGAATCTCATTCTCCACTCCGAACTTTTTGCTTTCTTTTGTCAGGGTACGGCTAGGCCGAAGGCAATAGTACAGAGTGATGGGGAGTAACGGGCGTCCCTCCTACGTAGCACCGGGTGGTCACTGGCGGTCTCAGGTAGGGGTGCCCACGGTGATGCATTGATCTCTACTCTCCCTCTATCTTCTTCCCGGGCCTCCGCCCCTTACATAGATAGCTAGAACCCGACGTCGGAGCCGCGGAGCACTAGTTTCCCCGATTGTTCCGCAAACCAAGACTTCCATATCGTCATGACTCGCACATTCCTACACCGGAGCCCCACCGGTGTCCCACCGGTGCCTATGGCATTCTGTTCTCTGACATCTTTATTGTTTCTTTCCCGGCGATATTACTTCCTACTTCCCTATATCGCTTGGAATCTCTAGACAAGTATTTGGTCAGTTTCACTCGTGCAAAAGGAGCCACTCACATCCACCTTGAGGAACACCCCTTCAAAATGCTGGAAAGAGCGCTCTGACGGCATTCACACAGTCTAGCTCAGATGAAGGCTCGGCTGAATATTCGAGTCGCCAACATGTGCCTAGCTACAACTTTGTACACCATCTGTCACGCAGAATCACTGCATGGGCCAGGGAAGTGAGATCGAAGTCCACGAACATGATGGCTGTCAAGTGTGCCAACGTGATACTGCGTGTAGTGACGAAGTCTCAGCACGGGGAATTTGGTTGAAGGCATACATTTCAGCACGAAGAAGAAATCAGATGTGAGGATGCGGGTCGTGTCCTACCAGAGTCTAATGCCAGAGATTGATGTTAATAGTGAATTTATTTGCAAGAACATCATGGGAGCAACTAAAGACGACTGGCATAACACCTTGATGTGTTGTGATCTTCCGCAAGTCTTCTAATCAAATAGTATGCATATGCATGTGCCATTATGAGTAACTTGATAACCTCTCTGAAGCAATTAAATTGCAAAATTATGACTCATGGCTCTATGAGCTGGAAAACTTTACGATAGTTTAACTCAACTGGTTGGACTGGGTTGCGGCCCAGGGCGGAACGACGCTTCAACATGCAATGCATTCCATAAGTCACATAATTACCCAAAGAAAAGCCAAATTTGCTTTAATCTGGTCATCATCAGTTCCTGCGAAGTCCTGGGTCCTGCAAGTGTTGCACCTAGTTGTTGTTCGTTGCTTGGAGCTGCCTTCATGGCATTGGGCCAGTTGGCCGCTTTCGCAAATGTCAACAGTTGTCATTATTATAGAGACGATTTTGACCACTGTCGTTATTGCGCACAAGGTGGATCAAGTGTTCATTATGCTGCTTAGTGATTGGTTACCGACTAGCTGGGACAGGTAAGGGGATATAACAGGGATTAGTGATCAACGCTATACAGCCTTCAGCAAGACCATGCATTCCCAATCTGATTCGCATGAGTTCCTAGCAAGTTGATCATTTGGAGCGACAACGCATAATCCTGCGAACATATGTACGGGTCTAACGGCAAAAACGAAGTTTCTGGCAAGGTCCTCTCAAAGTGCAATTAGCATTTCCTTAAGGCTTCTTGAAGTCATTGTTTCTGTTTCGCAAGGCATGCATACTGTGATTTGTCACCCGCTGTGTAAATCCAAAGCAACAAAGCTCATCAACCCACAGGAAGCAAAGGGAATAGGTTGATGCAAACTCATACGGTATCTTGCGTATCTCTACTAGATTGGACTGCTTCCCGCAACCAAAATCGCAGGTGCGATTTAATCTGGACTGAACTTCCAAATCAGATGTGATAAAAAAGCCAACGTCCAGGTTCAATATGCCCAGGTGCACTTCAGTTCCTTTAAAGCGCAAGCCAAGCCAACTCTTTCAACATCCGTCTATTGATTCTCATCATGGCATCGTCTTCTGAATTCATTATCCTCTGTGGGTATTCAAGCACCGGTAGCCTCATGTTTAACACCTTGTTTCTACTTTTACTGGCTTAATTTGCGTAGTCTATTCGATCTTAGTATTTCCTCATCGACACCTTCCATGTGCTGAGAAGCAAGGTCTACTGCGGCGAAGGCGCTGACTTGTTCAGACCGGAATGATGATTGAGAGATGGTGACGTTCATCAGGTGGGCAAGGGGCGTTGAGATGAGAGGAGTGAATGCCTCGAAGGTGAATTTGGTTATGGGAGATATAAGCGTTTGGGGAGACTCAGTGCCTTAATGCAGATGCAAAGTTTCTACCGGCGGTAAGTGCCAGCGGGAGTTTTGTTTTCGATGTCAACTGACTTATTTCGCAGCTGTTGAGACGATGTGACGTCACAAAAGCTCGTATCAAACGAGGGAGATTACAGCAGCAGTGGGCTTATCAAGTGCGCACCTCAAGAGGCTGTTGCCTCGTCCTCTCCTAAATCCCTATGTCCACATCCTATCGCTGTTGAAGTTACTTTTTCCCTCCCTTTGGACTTGATAAAATTTTGTCTCTTACATGTCGTACTGATCTGGTAATGTTGTGTGATGTGTGCGTATAGAAGAGAACTACCTAGTTAGCCGAAGTGGTTGGCCTAGATATACAGGCAGGCACACGGGTCACTGCCCTGACATGTAATCAAGTAGGATGCTTTCTGCAGTTATGACACTTGCACAGTAATCTCAGCTCAACCGTAGTTGATCGGACCACAAAATAGGTTGCTTTTTCGAAGAGTCGATTATGAAGACAAACAGCACCCGTTGCTGTTTGGCATCTGTGTGGCCGGAAATGCCGCTGAGTGGCCCACCATGTTGTGATTGACTATTTTCCAACGTTGTGTCTCCAACGTGCATCATCAGTGTTTCTCGTCAACTATGGCTGAACTTCCAATTAAATAGCTGTGAGTTCACGGCGGGTACATGAGAGAGGCTGCGGTCAGTTTCGATTCCTTGGTAATTCTCCTTTGACGCTCTCAGCTGCTTCTAAAAGTGGCGCACCCCTCGCGTCTAAATTAGCAAGCTTGGCTTTGTTGAGCTGAGAATGCGCAGTACATGACCCAATGTGCTATCGTCTCGACCACCCAAGCCTAACCCATCACTTATACTCTTTTATCGTCGTCAAAGCATCCGAAAAGTCGAGGACTGATCTTGGTGTGGTTTTTCGAAGTTGGGGGGAGTGTGTGTGTGTGGGGGGGGGGGGGGGGCGGGGGTGTTTCCCAGACTCCCCCAGCCTCAGCCGTCAGGGGTTGCACTCCTTCTGCACTCATAGCGACAAGAAGTCATGTTACAAGAAAAAGTCAACATCGCTGCAGAATGCAATACTCTAGCTTTAGGCGTTCTTTTGCAGCTGGCGACTGGACGAGTAGCTGGTGTTGATTTGGACTGAGTGAGTCAAGGATTGGCGTTTGACGGTGTTACTAGCGTTACCCAAGTAGGCAAGACGGTATCTTTATGCTTAAGCTACCTTTCAGCTGTCAGGGGATTGGGATTACACCTCCATGGCCGGTGCCTAGCCAAATAACCATGAGAGGTTCGCGATGACAGCCGATATGCCAAGAACGCCGTGGGCTTTGAGTAGAAAGATTGCGACTGCATGATCAATATGGTGCCCGTCCACCTTCCGTGACATTGACTGAGTCGGAATCTGTCCTGGTTTCCTTTGTCGACCTTCTCCTCTTCCACATCCCCCCTGTTTTCTTTTTTATTTCTTTTTTTGGCTTGTCATTCGTTTTGCAGAATGTGTACGACTATGTCGTGCCGGCTGGCATGGCTCTTTCTGAGTGCTTCGCTGGCAACGGCTACGGAAATCGTCTATGTGACTGATTTAACAATCTTTACAGAATTAGTAAGTCATCTGGACACTGAATTGCTACGCAAAACTCCCATTCCATTTGCGCCTGGGACTTTGCCTCTCATCAGCAGGGTTAGCCATCGATCGAGCGCTCGCCGAGGGGATCGGCGAGCCTTGGCGCCAAGAACGAGCGTATCGCCGAGTGGGTCTGGCATACTCAAGATCTCGACGAGTGATAATGGCTTTGCAAATTCTCGCGGCGAGAGGTCTTGACCTGGATCGCTCGCTAAGTCTCGGCGAGAGTAGGGCGCCCCTGGAAGTTACTAGGGGTCGGGCCCTGTTGACAGGGGTTGAAGCTAAGAAAGTGGAGCTAGAGTGGTATCGTGACCCTATTTTGGTGTTTAGGACCGTTAGAGTCCCCTAACTAATTGCCAATAAAGCCAATGCCTCGCAATCTCCAATTCCGACCGATTTACAGGATGACGTTGACCTGTTCTTCGATGACAATGTTAGCCTGATTAGATCCTCAAGTATGGCCTTACTACCAATGATTGGCGCGTGATCCGGGCTATTCAGCTCGTATTAAGGGACTTCGCAGTTATCTCAAAAAGCCTGCAATCGCGCGCTGTTGTCAACGATGACGAGGAGGGCAAGGCCGGCGGCATGTGGGATTACTTCCCTTCATTCGAGATCTTGCTTGACCATCTCGAGCGCTCTGCCAATGAGGGCGTTGTCTATATAGAAAAGAGGTCTCACAATGGTCAGCTAAATGGTGAAGATATCCCAATCTTTGAAGGTATGGCGCTTAACTTTTCCCTTAGCTAGTACTAATACGCGATTTCTTTACAGGACTTGACCTTAAAACGCGCCGCACACTCCAGGTTTTTTTTGCGTCTTGGTTGGAAAAAGCTCGACGAGTTCTATACCAAGATGACGGGGCTCGCGTACTATGCTGCCGTAATCTTCCATCCTTGCCGAAAGATGAAGCATCTCGACGACGCCTGGTCGTCGATACCTTGTCGGCAGCAAGATACGTGGAGGGCTGACGTAATGGGCAAGCTAAGGATGGAGTGGGTTAATAACTATAGTACCAAGGATGTAATTACCAGCGAGCGTCCAACTGAGCAGAGCGTGGCCTCGATGAGCTTTGCTCAAAGACGTCTATTCTTTAGGCAACGTAGTAACAACTCCACGATACCCGACCCCGGTACGCAAAGCATACAGAATACCCAGGCGACAAGAAGGACGAAGATATACAAGTCTAGGGCGAAGCGTCCGGCCCAAGTTACCCAACCGCTGCCGCCAATCGAAGATGAGCTCGATCTATACCTCGCCGAGCCAGTCTGCGACATCGCAGTATACAAGGATAACCCAATACGATGGTGGAGGGATGTTGGTCAGCGACGTTTTCCTCGGCTTAGCTATATGGCTATAGATTACCTTACTATAACTACGTCAACATGCGAGACTGAGCGTCAATTCAACAGCGCAGGGCGTATGTTGAGTCCGTTGAGGAATCGCCTAAGCCGATGGATCGTATCACAGGCCCAGAGCATAGGGTCTTGGAGTCTGAATGGCGTGTACACACCACAAATTCCCCTCCATTTGGTGGATAACAATGATTGGCGGCTTGTTGTAAGAGCAGCTGGCCTCTCAGGGCTGGACGACGAGGTTATGTAGTAATACCAAAACACCAAAAACTATCACCATTCTCGCCGAGCTCGCCGATCCTCTCGCCGAGCGACCCACCTAGCGATACGTCAACGCTCGACGAGCGTCCTTAAGGCCGCTCGCTGGTCAGCGAGCGAGAGTGGGTCAAAATGCCAGCGATACGATCGATGGCTAACCCTGCTCATCAGGAGACCAGTGGATTTCTTGTTCTCTGATTGAGTGTCTATAATGCTGCGTTTCGCGGACTTGTCATCGCAGTGATTTCATTCCTCGACATAAGCAATGGTGAAGCAGTATTAACTTTTGTAGGCACCATGCGCTGCTTCCGCAGTCTCCTACAATGTCATGTCGATGACTTATTCGGCCTGCCCCCAAGCTGTGACGGACTTACAGTCGTGCGTCTGCTCGAAGAACAACAACCTCGCCTCTTTTTCAACGGCACTGTCGAGCTCGGTCAGCTACAGCTGTGGTTCGACAGCATCCGATGACCAGGCCAGCGCCGCCAGCGTCTATAAGGCCTACTGCAACCAAGCGTCTATTATTCCGTTCGCCAAACCCAGCAGCCCGGTCAGCCAATACATCACGGATCTTGCAGAATGGGCCGACCTTGCCCCTTGTGCTGCCAATGCGCTTTCCTACAACATCATGTGGGTTACCCCTCTGGTGCATGTCTAGTGGACACAAGCTGACGTGATTGCAAGAGCATGGTGAGTGTGTGCCCGAGGATAAGGCATGCCTGCACAACTAACTCAAGGCGGAGACATACGACCTCTGTCCGGCAGATGCCAGCCTCCTGGCCACTTGCGTATGCAACAAGAACCAGAACTCTCTACTAGTGAGCCAAGGCATTAATACATCGGCCAAATATTCATGCTCATCGCACACTGCCGACCTCGAGTCAGCACAAGCCCTTTTCTCGGCATATTGTGGCTTAAATGAGGGGAAGTCGTCATTCCCAGTTACAGCTGAGCCTCCGGGTGATAGTACGTTGCTAAGTCTGGCCCCTTGTTCTCGTCGTGTTTGAATCTAACTTGCTGCTTAGTGACGTACTACATCACTGGCCTAGCCGAATTCTCATCGTTAGCCCCTTGCGCAAAGTCGGCTGTGTCGTGTGGTGTTTTCAGCGTAAGTCATGCTGCAGTGCTCTACGCGCCAAGAACTGGACTGACAATGTCTCAGCAAACATACGACTTGTGCCCTGGAGGACCCAAAGCTCTCGCCTCGTGTGCGTGCTTGAAAGACGGTATGCCCGGCCATGTGTCCAGCGTCATCACGTCCGAAGTCAAGTACTCGTGCGACACAACCGCGTCTGAGGATGTCATCTCCGCGTTGAGTGTCTGGGACCTTTACTGTAGCGCTGCGAAGGGACTGGCGACACCTGCAGGGGTCACGGAATCTGGTATGTTTGCTTTCGCTTCGTTGCATTACTGCGTTGACATCTCGTATAGTTGAGCAAACCTCAGCGACTGCCAAAGCCGGCAGTGGTGGCAGCATTTACGTGCCGCAAGCGACCGATAGTAGCGACAGTGACAGCAGCGGTAGCTCCGGGTCAAACGGCTCGGATAGCAGTTCCGGCAGCGCTTCATCCGACGTCCCGAAGACCAACACAATGGCCATCATCGCTGCCACGGTAGGCTTCATCGTGGGACTCGCTTTGATTGCCGGCGCGATTTTCTTCCTTTAGCGCCGCTGCCGAAACCAAAATGCCGGCAAGAACGGAACCCATGTTATCAGCATTGGAGACGGTGGCCATGGGAAGTCAGAGCTGGATAGTACTTCAATTATTCCACCGCCGATGGGCAGCCCAAGCCCAAGCATGGTGAAGGCAAGCTTGATATCCCGAACAGATAACGTGTCACCTGTTTCTGCCTACAGTCGACCTCAGACGGCTGAGTTACAGGGGCAGTACCCGTTTGCGCCCCCGTTCCCGTCGAGGTCGGAGCTCGGGGGTCAGCAGGCCTACTCTCCGCAGCAACACAATTCATATCCCAAACAGTCCGAGTTGCAAGGGCAACACGCCTTCGCGACGGCGCTTTCTCAGGGGACGGCGGAGGCGCATGGATGGCAGGTGTACGAAGCGCCGGGAAAATGCAGGCCGCCGGTCTACGAGGCGTATGGACAGGATGTAGGACCGCAGCGGGCAGAGCTGCAGCAAATGGGGTGGCAATCTGGACCGGTCGGGGCTTACCATGAGATGGATGGGGGTTATACTGGGCATGTGCGGCAGCCCGTGTAGATCGGTTCAACAAGGAATATAGAAGGGTGCTTCCAATGTGCATGTACGTAGCAGGGCCACCCTCTCGGCCAAGGCATGTTGGCTGTTGTATGGAGGCGCAGGGAGAGTGTTGGGGATATCGGGCCTCAAAACTTCGGTAGCTATTTACAACGTATTGTTTTTGTCAATGAGGCCAAGGCGCGTTTATAGGTGCAGTCGAAAATTTGGTCGGGAAGTGACTGAAGTATACTAGCCTGAGCCATTGCTCTTAAAGATGGGGACGTGAAGAGCTGCCCACTCATACCATATCTCTTAAGGCACCTAAAACATGTGGGCGGTCCCGTCTCCTGAGTGTTGATTAACCTCAACCTTTGGCACTGGAGACTTCCTCCCGCGTCGAGGCTCAGGCAACATTGGACAAGTAGCAGTAGCAGGAACTGCCGTTTGTGACTTGATGAGGCGAAGAAATCCATCCATATCGCAGGGAATGAGTCGACCTTTCTCAAGGGCTGCAAGTGGTGAGATCCAAATCACTACTAAGTGGCAAGGTCCCTGCCTCAAATCCTTAAAGGTAGATGGAAATTAGTGTAGCATCGTACAATCTCGACCTTAGACCTATGAACTGCAGATACTTGAAGTTCGGTGGCATAAATTTCTCGAGAAACTTCGATTGCAGCCATCTGGGAGCTGTGGACAGTCTGAGCAAAGTCCCACAATCTGGAGGACAACTGCCAACTTCCAAGCCTCTAAACTTGGCCGAGTCCGAAGGTTTTACAATGGCGACCTGACAAAACCGTGGAGAGGCTAGAAGCAAAAGTGGCTCGTGCATCGCAGCCTGGTGAAAATGGTCCAAGCTCCGTACACAGTACTACCTTAGTGAGGTCCACACTCAGCGATCCGCAGCCTTGTCCAGTCGCGCCTTCCCATCGCTGTAAACAGTGAAGCATCTTTTTCAAATAAATCGCATCGACGTTGCGGCCTTTGGACCCCCGTCATTTCACTGCGCCTACCAGACGAGGCTACGATCTTGATCCGAAGGTGATCACGATTAATCGCACCCAATCCTCGTTCATTATCTTACCTCTTTCCTTCCAGTCTACTATTGATTCTGCAGCTTCACGTTTGCTTGCGGTGGGGTGATCCCATTCCTAGGTGCCGCGGCGCCGTCCCCATTGAGATACATCACGAGAAACACGACCGTATTGTCTTGACCCCAACAGTCCATGCCCATGGTTGCTTTCCTCCACACGAGCGTTTGACGTGATGGCAACCGTCGTGGACGTAGGTTATCTGGCCACCCATTTGGGTGTGCCAGAGACAACATTGGCCACCGTCACCACTAACCCAACCGTCGCCTTGGTCAACGCTGTTTTGTCTGCTGTCATAGCCAAAAGCCAGGAGTATGAAGACTTGTATGCCCAAAAGCTGCAACTCGAGGTCGAACTCGAGACAAATGTCCGCGGAGCCGAAGCCCAACGAGATGCCAGCAACGAAACTGCGAAGAAGGCACTTAAGGATGTCGAGGAGATTCGCGAGAAGCTGAAGCAAGAAGGTCCGTTTGTTATCAGATCTCATTCTCCATGATCGAACCCGTCTTCTGGACTGCGCAGCTCCCACTGTGCTCCCAGACTCTAACAGATGCGACAGAGAACACGCGACAGGCACTCGAGAACGAACTGCAGAGCATCCGATCCTCGAGCTCTACTTCCCGATCCGAACTTGAGACACTGAAGGCTCGTGTCGAATCTCTGGAGAACTCGAATCGCGAGAAACTTGCCATCATTGATACCAAGAATGCGGCGAACGACACCCTCTCCCAGGAGCTCCAGGCTCAACACCAGAAGAACTTGAAGCTCAGCCAGGAAGTCACGAGCCTCCAACAATCGTTGCAAAACGCGAACAATGCCACCAACAGCGCCAAATTTAAGGAGCAATCACTTCAGCAGCAGCTGGACATGGCTCAACGCAGTGCCGATTTCTACGAGAACGAGCTTAAGACCAAGAATGCCGAGAACCTCAAATTCCGCAAGGAGAAAGGCGCACGGATCACGGAGCTGCAACGTATCAACGACGACGCCACGGCCAATATCCAGTCCCTCAAGGCAAGCGAACAGCAACTGCGCACACGACTACTCGAGGCGCAGAAGAAGGCAGACGAGGGTTGGACCAAGGTGCAGCAGCTTCAGGAAACTGCTGCCCGTAATGTCGAGAACTTCAACCAGGAACTCGCTGCCTCGAACCGATTGGTCCAATTATCGTCGGAGCACACTCTTACTCACAAAAACAGACTTCAGGAGGTTGAGACTCGACTCGAGCATGTCAAGAGGGAAAGCGAGGACGTCATAAGGCGTCTCAACGAGGAGCTTCAACACGAACAAAAACAAAATGAAGACGCCGCTACCCAGATCGAGACACTTCAGGCTGAAGTTGGTCGACTCGAGGCGGCGCTGGTCGGCTCTCGAGGCTCCCCGGGACAACCTGGCTCCGCACCGCAAACACCCCGACCGTTGAACGGTTCCATGTTCGGCCGCCCCGGTTCTCCGTTCGCAACCCCATCGTCGACGAGGAAGACGGTCTCGGCCACCCAAGCTCTGGACGAGATGTACCGGATCAAGGGCTTGCTGGCGGTTGAACAGCAGAAGACCAAGAATCTTCAAAAGGACATCGACGAGATGGTGGATCTGCTGGAGTCCAAGGGCCCTGAGATCGATGAGCTTCAGTCCGAGAACGAACGCTTGCAGAGAGAGATTCAGAACATGTCCCATATGTCCGATGAGAGCTTCAGGGAGCGTGATGACGCTAAGAAGTTGGCCAGAAAGGCCGAAACCTTGCTAGCGAAAGAGAAGGCCGAGGCCAACATCTTGCGAAACCAAGTGCGCGATTTGAGTGCGCAGATGCAAATGATGATCTTTAACTTGGAGCATCGTGACCAAGAACTCACCCTTGAGGAGACTTTGCAATTCCAGCGAATCCATAACGCCTCAGGTTTCACTACGGAGGACATGTCGGATGTCGACGCATTGGTAACACAGCGCCTGGTCGTCTTCAAAGACATCAAAGATTTGCAAGAAAAGAATGTGCAGCTTCTTCAGGTCATCCATGATCTCTCTGAGCAGATGAAGAACGGGGATGACGCGCTGGCAAAGCAGCAGGCTGTTGACGAGCACAAGGAAAACCTTCGGCTGAAGGAGAAGATGAAGACTTTCCAGGACCAGCTGCAGCAAATTGAAACTAGAGCGAAGTCCGTTATGAACGAAAGGGACATGTTCCGACGCTTAGTTGAAGAGAGAGCGTCGGGCGATGAATCGGCCTCGGCCATGGGAAGGGATGGTGTCCTCGCTAGCATCGAGCAAAACTCCACCATGAACGAGGACGTCTCGGACTACGCCTTACTCCTTCGAGAGTTGCAACAGAATCGTGACGCTGAACGTCAAGAGTACCTCACCGACCGCAAAAGCTTGAGGGAGGATGTAGAGAAGTTGTCTGCAGAGAAGCACGCTCTGCAGACTGAAGTTTCCAAGGTCTCTAGCCAGCTCTCTCTTGCTTCCGAACGATACGAAATGCTCAAGTCGAATTTCGCTGCCTTGCAGACCGAAAACCGGGAACTCCAGAAGAGGAACGAGTCTCTCTCCGAGTCGGCTGCAAGGCAGGATATTCGGACGCAACAGGTCGCAGAAGATCTGGTTGAGGCACGTGGTCTGTTGGACAGCATGCGCAACGAGATTGCCAATCTCAAGGCCGAGAAGAAGCTATGGAAGGATATTCAGGAACGCCTCAGCAAGGACAACGAGAATCTGGTTCAGGAGAAATCCCGCCTCAATGGGCTCCTGGCCACGCAGCAAACCCTCCAGAACGAACGCGATCTCAGCGAAGCGGAGGCCAAACGTAGGCTTCAAGCACAGGTCGATTCTATGGAATCCGAACTGAGTGCTACGAGGCGCAAGCTAGCTGAGGAGGCCGAGGAGGTGAAGAAACTGCAGCTTCGAAAAGAATTCGACTTGCAACAATCTCAGAAGCGCATAGACGAGCTCACATCCAACCTGAGCAAAACTCGAGAGGAACTCGTCTCTACGAAGACAAGCAAAGACCATCTTCAAACTAGAGTTGACGCACTTACCATCGAAGTCCGCAGTGCAGAGGAGAGAGCAGAGCGTTTGCAACCGCGACCTACTCCGCGACCAGGATCGTTGGTCTCGTCAGGCCAGGCCGAAACGCAACAAGACACGGATGAGCGCATCCAGGAGCTCATTCACGAAGTCACTGATGTGAAGCGTGATCTTGACTTGGCGAAGACTCAACTTGAAAATGCCAAGGCACAAGCCGAGCAATACAAGGAGCTTAGCCAAGCAGCAGAGGAGGAGCTTGCCGCTATGAACTCAACTCAGGATCAATACACCCAGGAGATGGATGCTGCGCTCAATAGCAAGGACGCCACCATTAAGGAACTTCAGCAACGTGTGGAAGACCTGTCGTCCGAGCTCGGCCGGTCGAACGCTGAGCTCACCACTCTCCGTGACTCCCAGGCAGAAGTCGAACATCGCTTCCAGGACGAGAAGACCATCCTGGATGAGGAGATCAAGCGACTCAAAGCCCAGGAGGAGAACTACACTGCACTGTCACAATTCCACCAGCAAGATCTCCGTGCTCAGGCTGAGATTGCCACAAACGCGCAGCAGTCATACGAGAACGAAGTATCAAAACACGGCGAGACGGCCAAGACGTTATCGAACCTGCGGGCTGAGTACAACCAAATGAAGACAGCTGCAGCCACGTTACGAGCCGAAGCTGAATCAGCCAAAGCCACGCTGTTGCAAAATCAGGGCTCCTGGGACGACCGACGAAAGAGGTTTGAGCAGGAACTCTCGGAGCTGCGCGAGCGACATGACGATGCCAATGCTCAGAACAAGTTGTTGCACCAGCAGCTGGACAGTGTGACATCTCAGATCTCAGCACTGCAGCAGAGCCGTGCCGAAGCCAGCGAGTCGCTAGATTCAATAGCAGCGCAGCCGACCTCTACATCTGAAGACAACCTCAGAGAGATCAACAATTACCTGCGCCGAGAGAAGGATATTCTCGAGGTTCAGTTTGATCTCAAGTCGCGTGAAGGCAAGCGGCTGCAAGAAAAGCTCGACCTTACTCAGGCGCAATTGGACGAAGCGAGACTCAAGCTCGAGCAGGAACGGCGGTCTCAATCTGATGCCGAGCGAAGCTCCATGTCGCACAAGAACCTCATGGAGAAACTCGAGGAGCTAAACCTATTCCGCGAAAGCAGCGCCGCCTTGCGCGCCGAAGCACGCCAGGCCCAGGCCCAGGTTGCCGAGAAATCGACCAAAATATCGGACCTGGAGGCTCGGATCCAGCCTCTCGAGGCTCAGATTGAGGAGCTGCAGAGTCAACATGCATTTAAGGAGGCAGAGATTAAGCAGCTTCAAGAGGATCGCGATCGTTGGCAGAAGCGTACGGAGGATATACTATCGAAACACAACCGAGTGGATCCTGCCGTGGTCGAAGAGCTGCAGCAGACTGTCGCAGCCCTCGAGACAGAACGGGATGCACTGCAAGCAGCCGAGGCGCCCCTGAAAGAGAAGATTGAAGAACTCAAAAACGCCCTCGCCGAAAAGGACGCAAATTGGCAAAGCACGAGAGAAAAGTTGACCGCCCAGTTTAAAGAACGATCTCGAAACCAGACGACCCAGATTCGGGAGATCACCGCCGATAGGGACCGCCTGCAAAACGAGTTGAACGAGTCCGACACACGCCTGACGTCCACCAAAGAGGAGTTGGAAACGGAGAAGAAGGAGCGTCTAGCTGCCGAAGCATCCATCCAGAGCTTCCAGCAGCAAGTCCAGTCACTTGCTGAGGCAGCTCAGCTGAACACGGGCCTGAACGCGCCGGTGCCAGAGTTGTCGTCCGATTCCGCGAACCAGCAACAAGTTGTAGATCTTGAAAAGCAACTTGCAGACGTCAAGGGTGAGTTGGAGCATGTCAGCGCGCAGAAGGCCAGCGTCGAACAAGAACTGGAGAATGTTCGTGTGCAACTTGGCACCGTTACGTCTGAACGAGATCAAGCACTGGCAAATGCGCAGTCTACCATATCCAATGGTGATGTCACTATGGAGAATGGTGCTGGTGCGGTAATGCCTATGCCGCTAACAGACGCCGAACGAAAGGCTCTGGAAGACAAGATCGTGTCGTTGGAAGCTAAAGCCACGGAGTACGAGGCTAAAGCCCAAGAACTTGAAGGGACCCTGAGCTCGAAGGTTACCGCTAGATGTGAGAGCATGAAGGCGAAACTGAACAAGACACTCACAGACAAGAAGGCGGAATACGAGAAGGAACGGGAACAGATGAGGCAGGAAATGGAGAAGAAGGACTCAGATTTCAAGCTGCGAATGGAGCAGGAGCGAAAAATATGGGAAGCCGAGAACTCTTCTGCTCCCGCCGAGGTAAAGCCACCGGCAACGCCCGCACAGCAGACCGCTGCAGGAACTCCTAGAGCGCCACCTGCAGATCCTGCCTCGGTACTGGCCAACTTGGGCGATGGGGAGGTGCGCAACTTTGTGCTCAAGAACACAACAGTTCTAAACATCATTAAGGACAATGTCAAGAACAAGGTCACAGAGGCTACCAAGAAGGTCAAGGAGGAATGCGAGCAGAACCACATCCCCAAGGCGGAGTTAGAGCAGAAGATTGCCCAAGCGAGAGAAGCGGCTGTGAAGATGGCAACTTCGAAGGGTACGTTACAGCTAAACATGGCCGAAAACAGAGCTAGAGCTGCAAATGCGAAACTTGCTGTTGTTGAGAGCGCAGCAAGTGAGACCCCACAGCGCCCCGTGGCAGAAGTGTGGGCGATTGCGAAAGACACGAAAGCACCTCCAGCGCCATCCAAGCAGCCAACGCCAGCCAACGCACCAGTGGTGACACCAGGTGCCAATGCGGCGCCCAACGCTGCAGCTGGTAAGTTTGAAATGCCCCCGCCAGAAGGACGAGGACATGCTAACATTGATGCAGCACCTGCTCAGCCATCTGCCCCGAGCAACGGCGCCCCGTCACAGCTTCCTAAACCCAATATGGGGTCTTCGCTGCCGAAACCGCCATCTTCAATTCCGGTTCCCGGCAGCATAGCGAACAACCCCTTCGCGTCATCTCAACCTGCTGCTCCAAACCCTTTCATGGGTGCCAGCAGCGTAGGGTCAAACGCACAACCGCCAACTGGCCAGCAGCAAGCTGCCCACGCGGCCCCGCAAGCCACACAACCAAAGTCGGGCATCCCACCGCCTAAGCAAAGCGGTATTCGCCAGCCGAGCGGGACACAATCGACAGGGGTTAGAGGTGCTCGTGGCGGTGCTCATGGCCGAGGCGGCAGAGGTGGTGGTCAAGGGCGTAATTCCATGAACCCTGGCGCGGACAACTTCCAGCCCGGAAACAAGAGACCCAGAGGCGACTCGGAGGTTGGTGGTGGTGTAGGCGCCAAGAGAATGCGCGGAGGTGCTGGTGGAGCTCAATAGGGGAGACTTCACTAAGGAGGGGAGGAAAAAGGGGGTGGCACTGTACACATACATGTAACAGAAAGATCTCTCTTTGCTTGACGGAGTAGAAGATGTGTTCCGGAACAAAACATAACATTGCCTTGCATTTCGCTTGGAAGGTGGCAGGAGGCATAGCATTGCGCTGGCTCAGGTTTCTCGGGCCGATTTGAGGCGTTGAGTCTATGAATTAGACGATATAATCAATTTTCTTTGTATAGCATGAACCTTGCAGTCGTTACCTAAGTGTCAATCGTTACCGCAAAACTGGGCAGTTGGTGACAAAATCGAATAAAGAGAGTGCATGTCATACAATGGTACGCCGAGAATTCGAAAAGGGGTAAGAGAGGCATATGGTTAACGAGGTTAGCAGCTATTACTTGTAGGCATGCCGCGGCTAACATCACGCGCTGCGTCGAAGACAGAAGTGAGGGGATTGGCTGCAGGCCCAACGGCAAAACGGGATAGGGTCCAGGTTGTTTGGGTACAAAATCTGGATGGTTGCGGTGTCAGGTCGATTTGGTCGTCTGACCAAAAATGGACTGAGCCCAGTATTGAAAACTGGGGGTTGATGCAGCGGCAGGTTTTCCGTACTCTTGGTTCAACTACACGGAGAAGAGTTTACAGTACTTGGACTTACTGCGAGCCTCTTCTATCTTGAACGGGACAGCGGGAACTATGTGCACGATACTACTTTAATGTCGACGTGTAAATTTTAGCCTCTTTAGTTTCAGTTTCCACTTAAATATGCATCCATTCAATTCGATCCTCTAACATACCTATTCTATACGTTCATAAACACATATTTGCCGCTCAACACCCTCCCTCTTCCTTGTCGTCCTCCCGCTCGCCCTATCACGTCTCAGCGCCGCAATCTCCATGGCCCAGTGCCACCACCACAAGTACATGCGCCGCAAACGGAGTGTATTCCATCTGCGACACGCCAGTCTTTCGTCCAGTGCAAAAGCTACGAGCCCGGCGTGTTTAGACAGGGTCATAGCAGGAGGTATCGGTGTGTTGAGGGAGATGGGGGACTGGAGTGGATGGTAATTTGGATGCGAAATGTAACCAAGGGACGGGGGGAGAAGCAATAGTGGAGGGAGCTGAATCGCTGTTGAGCTTACTAAGGGCGAGTGAGGTCATTGGGGGGTCAGAGATTAGGAGTGTGAAAGAGGAGAAGCCCCAGGGAGACTCTGCAACTGTTGAGATGGGCGCTCCACTGCCACAGTTAGGTCGTTGTGGGGATGGTGCGCCATGGGCGTTGTATATATGGGGCGGTTCACCAAAATCTGGAACAGAGGGATTCAGATGTCCATATATATTCATTTCATCACAGCTTTCACAAGACGATAGATAGCTACACGTTCATTGCTGTGACTTATCCCTTCCATTCATTGAACCCTTGCAAAAACCACTCAAACCACCGAAAACCCAAGGCTCCATACAGCAGAGACAGAGATAACAGGGAAAAGCAGTGGTATCCAGCCAAAGAAAACAGAGATGCAAACCGAGACAGAACAGAGGTATATCAGAGGTAATCGAGGGAAGGAGGTGTTGAGGGAACTTATGTATCCCGGGCGAGGTGTGTGTGGTGGGCTGGGATACACATGTTCCCAGGCGTCGAGTAATTCCCAGAGGAACAAAAAAGAGTGGCCAACGACTTATTTGACGGCAGTCTTGGGCTTGGCGGCAGCCTTCTTGGTCTTGCCGGTGGCTTTTGCTACTACCTTCTTGACCTAAAGTCGTCTTAGTATACGCATGAACACAGAAGGCAAGCATATCTTGAGAAATGGGAAGGGGTGACGTCGACAGCATCGTTCCAGCTGTACGAGCTAGCAAAAGTCCATCTCCAAACAAAGTGTTTCAACAGATTGGCAGTAGAGCGAGCAGACAGGTTGTTCACTCCTTGCTAGTCTGGTGAAACATTATGTGGAGAGTCGGGGGTTATGCCAGATCATCCCCAGATGTTCCAGGGGTTTATTTTGCTACGCGACTGGGATTTCCTCGTCGCAAGGGGCAGATGCGGAACTAGGTTTCTGTTTCAGGCAAGCAGCTGCCCAAGCTTGCAGAAAGCTGCCGCGACGAACAGTCGATCCTTGTCTGGCATGGAAGCACCCCCATGCTTGCTTGCTGAGCAGGGCCCTCACGCTTTCAGGGGAAGCAGCAGACACGCCGACGCACCAACGACCTTTGCAACCAGAAGAGCGCGACGGCAACGTCATGGGGCATACAAGCAGAACAGCAGCGGCACAAACGAGACGTCGGCGCATATCACAGCTCCCACGCGAGATATCGCGTTGGATAGAGGGGCGCAAGCGGAATCTGCACGTACCTTGGTGCCGACGGCCTCCTTCTTCGCAGGCGCCTTCTTCTTGGTGACACCAACGGGCTTTGCGGCCTTGACCTTGGTCTCGGGCTTCTCAGAAGGGGTCTTGGTCTTGGGCTTGGTAGTGCGCTTGATGGTGGGCTCGGTGTCGACCGTCTGGAAGACGCGCGGCGCCGAGTGGCCGGTGGCAGAACGGGTTCCTTCGCGTGCCATTTGATTGATATGAGGGGAGTTGCGGTTTTTGCTGATGTCAAGCGTTAATGTACGGTGTAGCGCGGCGGAAGATGCGTGGAGACTGTAGTCGCGAGGCGGTATGGCGACGCGAGGTGGAATGCGACAATGGGGCAGAACGGGCAGGGAAAGAGAACGTGGGCGGGTGTGCGCTTACCGTTTGTGTGGGATGCGAACGAAAAAGGTGCGCTTTGGAGCTTTTGGCGGTGGAAAAATGCGCAAGTGACTGGGTATGAATCGCGCTGAAGTGATCACACAGCTTGACGAGTCAAAAAAATTGGGAAAAGTGTGGAAAGTGGGAGGAGAGGAAGCAGTCAAGGTGGACTGATGAGGAGATGTTGTCGAATCGTCGAGTGCGGGTTGAGCGGTCGGTCGGTTCCCAGTCGCGCTTCCCTCCCAGTTATTATTTTAGTTCGATCCAGACCCTCCAGACCCTACTATCCGAGACGAGACATCGCGAAAACAAGGCGGGCCTAAAACACCTTGATAATGATTCCACCCAAAACGCAGGAAGCTGGGGTGGCAACGCTCTGATTCTTTCGCTCATTTGTTATGTCGACAGCAATTTCTTCATCGTCGGCTGCTATTGGAGCCTTGCGACTTCAGTCTTGTTGCATCCCCGATCTTCGCTCCCACTCGTCTGGGATCACTGCCACTGCTTGCATATCTACCGGAACAAGAGATGGCCCTCGCGAGTTCTCTACGGGTTGGTATACCGCTGCCGCGCGCCTGATCGGCATGAGGCACACGAGGGGCCTGGCGACATGAAATGGTTGGGTCTCGTCATTTTCTTCGGTTTCCCAAGCTACCCGACGGCCTGGCCCTCCTTGGTCGGCTGTTCTTGCTCATTTCGCCATCCTTGAGTTCATGAGACCAACCTGTGAAGATACAGACGGTGCCATTCTTTCATCAGCCTGTGGCAGAATACCTCGTCAAGTGGCTCCAAGTCAGAGCCCCCGGGGACTCGTTCTTGGAGAAATCGCAATGTTTGATCCAGGCTTCTCAGTTTGCCCGCGTCGTTCATGCTTGTAGGTCCCGGTCTGCAGTCCGTGTTGGAGGGCACCACAATCCTCATGACGATAGACCACGGAGAATCAAACGGTGAGCTAGCTGGCGCCACGACATGCTCCGGTGGAGACGCCTAACGGTTCGCGCCGCCCCCGCATTCTTCCACTACACCACACGTCTGATGCCATTCGCACCACGTATGTGGGCGGTATCTCGTCACATACGGGTTCGATGAGACCACATGTTGTCTTGAGAGCAGCCAACTCAATGGGTTCTCATTTCAACCACCGTCGCTGGGGTAATATCTTGGTCTGTTTTTTTGCTGGCGCACAGAGGGTTCCGCGCTGCAGACATGCGCTCGGAGCAATGCAATTCTGCGCCCTGAAATTCTGCGCCCTGAAGTCGTGGGAATTTGAGTTCAGCCGACAGACCCGACTGCAGGGCACCGCCGTTGAGGCTCTCTACCTGACCAACGGCTTAGATATTACGTTTTCGAATGTTCGTGTTTTCTATTTTATCCCCGTTTTGCCATTCTGCCATGTATTTCCCGCTTAGATTGGCCTGCTCCTCGCGCGACATCAGTCCAGGGGCTGCGGCAGTACGACGCGGAATATTAGACAACGTTGTCGTCGAGACCGCACTCACCGGTATTCGGTGTCGAAATACCTGACAACCAATTCTGCACCGCACTTCGTAGTGCAGTCGCCTCAACTGCGACTCATCATATGCATTAATTCAGTCTGTTCGTGAGACTCTTGAAGGTCTTTCCGACTCAAACGTCGAACCCGGGTAGCAGACCCACGGCTCGTAACTCTCATCGTACAGACGGATGCAGTCGTGGCAACTACGCATGGTTTCCCACCTTCTTCATCACGAGGCGAACCCTGGTGCTTCTTGTGCTCGACTTGCAACGCCCCTTGTTCTCGGATCAGACAGTGAACAGCAAGATCGTTCGCGCCCTAATATCCCCTTCTCATCTGCGCCACACCTAGTCTTTTACTTTGTTGGAAAGTTCTGCTTGCTATAACTGGTGCAGGACAGATGAGTTCCGACTGGCAAGCGGTGGTAATAACTCGACTGGTCCGCCTTCTGGCGCAGTCTTGGAAAATTGTGAAGGCGATGTGGCTAGAACTTCTCCTAAGACGGAAACCGGCATGCTCACGGGTCAGTGTTGTGCCACGAAGGCTAACGCGCATCCTGCACAATGAACATAACGAGCGGTTACCAGGATGGCCTAGCCGTTCATGTACTAACGAAGCAGGTACGGATTCTCTCTCTATACTTGGGCCCCACAGCTCCTCTGCAGTACACCCTAATACTCCCACGGTCATACAAGAATGCTTAGCTTCTCTCAGGAGCTTTATCATTATCGATGCGGAGTAATATATCTTCGAGTTTGCTGCCGAGCTTGCTTGGCCCTTGGCATGTCGGAGCTAAACAACCACGTTGATATACCAGTGAAGAGCCGGGATTGGCTGGAGACATTCTTAATACCACTACAACTTATCCCGAAGTTGTCGGCAATACCGAAATTTCCACGGGAATGATGCAAGCTTCGCTGGATTCCTGTGGATGTTCCAATCAGTAACGCTGCTATACTTGTCTTCCTGAACCAAAGTACCCCCCGATCGTTAAAACCCAATATCCACGCCTTGGGGTGATATGCAAGCTACCCAGACCCCAAAAAAGTGTGGCGTCAATATCACACGAGGGAGTCGGACGGCGTGGTTACGGCATGGGGTTTGCAGTCTACCATGTGGCGCCAGGAATGTTTCCACAACTATAACGTGGCCCCGACAAACTTGCCCGCACCATTCATCGGAAGATGCCAACTGTCAAGTGCAAACGATATATCCATCTAGGTGGCAAACTTCTTGTTCGGTTTTGGTGAAGCACAATAAATTATACTCGATGCGGTGGCCTCAACCAGTCCCGCGACAGGCCAGAGGACTTCAAAGAAGTGCGCGGCGCCATCACTCAGGAGTTCCACCACATCACCTACATAACCATCATTCTGCTAGTCGGCCTATTTTCCCTTGTTATCTGCGCCATAATTACGACTGGCGTGATGCTGTACAGCACTAAGACGTTAAGCGGCCGCAATTGTCGCCGGGCCTACGTTCTACGGTTGGTGTTTGACAGCGTCGTAGGGCGCTGGACCGAGTCCTCGGCATCTTTTAGGGCGGAAAGGCCGACGAATACGGCACTCCTGAAGTAGGCAGAGGGATACTATATGACTAACTCCGTCGTTGAGGAGAAGGGGCAAATGGCTGTGTCGATGTCTCCGAAATATTAGGGGAGGAACCAAGGAGAAGGGAACATGGACTGGTTAGATTTGTTCAACAAGGTAAGGGGGAATACAGGGCGGGGAACCGGTGTAGCGAGTGTGGATGAATAGAGTATAGCCTGGTCACATGATCAGAACGTGGGCATGAACTTCCTATAATACATTTCAACGTAAACGCTCTCCTCGTACATAGGAGCTCTATGAGCATGGAAACCCCCTCCCAAACACCTAGATTTACCATATCCATCTATGAAACCCTACTTACGAAAACTAAGCAGCCCAACCCACAAAACATGTAATACAGCACAACCTCGTCCCTAAACCACCACCGCTCACCTTTATATATACAACCCTCATCGGTGTTCCTTCCCTACTCCTCACATTTCACAACCCCAACCTCCGCCTGCAGCATATTCTTAACGAGCGTGTGCAACGTCTGATGCTGCCTCATCAGTCCTCCTCCAGCCAATCGTAGATTCCTCCCCCTTCATCACCATAGTATGCCACCGCAAAGACACATTCACCTGCGTGGGGTTGGTTGAGCTGTCATTCACTTGGAGTGGGTAGAGAAGAGTGTTGAGGTGGTCAAGGTAGGGTTGGCTCATCTGTTTTGCGCATTTTTCTATGGAGAGGTAACGTTGCTTCCGGTTATTCGAAAGTGAAAGTCCAAGTGTAAGCTTCAAGGCTCAGTAGAGGGCAAGAGATAGGTGTGGTAAAGTAGAACCACGACATAGCTCCAGGGGAGAAAGTGTATTTTGACAGTAAGTGTTTTATTACACAGAGCAGTTACTACGTTACATCCGCCATTATGCTTGAACTAACTACTGGCTATCGATTCAAAAGCACTCATTTGTATGCAGTGTGATTCTCCACATGTGCTATCCGCATCATATCAGTAAGTGCTCACCAAGGTGGTGGCGCTATAACAAGTTTTGAACCCCGGTATTCACAAGTAGTCGCTCTCTGAATCTTTCGGATATCCGTTGCACTCGTACGTGTTAGGACCAAGGTTGGATTGCGTACTTCTGACGGGTTGTATATTGCTATGATGAAGCGGGACTCTTAGGGTCGCGGTCTGTAGACAAGCCTGTCACGCTACGTATCTCGCCTTTATTCCCTTTCTCGACGTGCTTGGACGGGTTTCCTCGATTATCCCTCGAATGGCATGCAAATTGGCGAGGGTCCAATGCTCAATTGCAATACCAGAGTCCCGAGCCACGGCGCTATATACCCCAGCCCCAAGTTAAACCCGGAATTGTCCCATGATCTCAATATGAGTAACCGCCTACTCTTTTACCTCCTCTCGTCCTTCTGGGATGGCATACACATTTCCATCACCAACTTCCACACACTAGGCGTTTCCCCCTGGTAATGGTAAGACGAGACAGCCGTGAGACCATCGCGCTGTGTAATAACCTGTGGACCGGAACAAACGGTGTATAGCCGGGTCGGCTTTGTTGTCAGGGGCGGGGACTGGGGCAGGGCCCTGGCCATGACACTGGCCCCACAGATAGTGGCTGCGAGGGAGAGGACGAAGGAGAAAATCATCGTCACGAGGGTTGAGAGGGACGCTGTGGTGACATGAGCGGAAGAACAACTAGATATGAAGAAGCTGGAGAAGAAGTGATTTCGGAAACCGGAGCAGGTAAAATTATGTGTTATTTCCAGACTTGTTGCAAAAGTTAGATACGTTACCCCTTACTAAGTTTGGAGAAAGTGGCTGTTCTGGGGGCTCTAACGAAGGAATAGGCTCGCAGTATCCTTGCAATATAAGAACTCTGGATGTCTAATAAGCCGGCCGTTATCAATGGGTATGCAACGCTGAATACTAGACCAACACGTTTACCCCTGTCAGCAAGATGGCCAGCTCGATAACATTACCGTCGGGGTCGCCCGGTACCCCCATCCTGCCCTTTGTATGCTGTTCTTCCGAAATGGACTGTGATGCCTATTAGTATTGCTCATGTAAATACTACGCTTCCCTTCGCGGAGCCCTTCTCACAGAGCCCGATATAATGTCGCTATCCATATACCCACCCATGCGATCCGCCTTCCGTGGCCGTGAAAAGCATCATGTCGTTTGGCATCCAAAAACCATTGACACCTGTAAGCACCCTGAGACGCCTGAACCCTCGGCCAGTTGTACGCAACCATAAAACACCTGGCAAGACTGATCTTACGTCGGAAAATGCAGCGTCTGCCCCGGCGGCATGACAGTATTCTCCCAATTAACATCACCCCCTCGCACACCCTCACTAATGAGCTGCATCTCGCGCACCCCACAAAGCAATCCATTCCTCGCCTCGCGCTGAACCAGCTCCCAATGCCCCTTGTCGCCCTTGCCGACCCAGACTTCCTCCATAAAGCCGTCTTGTTCCTCGACGGTGCGATGGGGATTGTGCGTCGGCAGGTTTAGTACGTACGTTAAGATGGCTTGCGGGACGGAGAACAGCCGCTCCCACCGCTGAACCCAGGGGATCCAGCCGAGGACGCTCTCGTCGTAGGCGACACGGACGTAGGGATTCACATACGTGCCAACCTCCTTTGCGTCCTCTTTGCGGGCGACTTGGGCCACGTCGGCGAGGAAGAGGCAGCATTCGCAGGCGTCGAAGAAGATTTCGGGCTCGTATCGAAATCGAACGGGCGACGTGACGTTTCTAGGACTCGCCGGGTCGATGACGTGACTTCCGATGGATTGGAAATCGGGGTCGGGCAAGCTTTGGTTCATGTTCTGAACGTATTTCGCCTGCATGGCCACAATACCACCCCAGCAGGCCGTCACGGGAACGGCGTCACTCTGGGCCATCATCGCTGCCCGCGAGATGCCATGACCGGCGTTGGAGAAGATGGGGAAGATGGGGAGGCCGTTGGAGAAGCCTTCGGCATCTCTCTGGGCGTACAAGTCATAAAAGAGGAAGGGGTTATTGTAATCCAGTCCACAGACGGACAGGTAGTGAGTTTTCCCGTCTAGTCCCAGATTGGTGCTAAACAGTAGCTGCATCGCATCAACCGGGCGGAAAGCCACATCATTAAGGAACAGTATCTTGTCGAAAGTTCCTACGTCCGGGTCGTAAGTATCAATGGGTCGCAGGGCACGATTCCGCATTTCCGAGAGATAGCTTAGACGTTTTACTCGATCGCTCCCGTCGGGCATCCTGACGGTGGGGAAATCGGAAACTGGGACATGAGGCTCGCTGACAATCTTGTGCTTGCATCGAAGCTTTTCCTCCAGAGCCGCCAAGGCACTCGCTCCCTCCGGACCACTATCGTTCTCGTATATACTCAAGAAGACGTTGTTTTCACCAATGAGGTGGATGACTTCCTCAAGCGCCTTCCCCCATGTCCCACTGGCCAAGTGTCCCCCCTTATCATATAAGCTGACACTGATGTAGACCTTCTCCTTGAATGGATTGGCGCACCCCGGCTCAGCTGCGGCACCATCGCATCTAACTATTAGCTCCCGGTAGTGAGGAGGTGGTCTGGTGTACGACGGTGCGAATATTGGCGTTCCGATGAATAGCGCGCATATGAACAGCAAGGCGTTTTTGACTATGGTGAGTATGGGGTGGCCCGGATGCCTCCGGAAGATGCGCCGCAAGTTCCGCGGCCTTGATGTGCACCATCCGAGTAGCTTGGCCGCCCACGGATGACTTGATTGTTTTGAAAATGTCTCGAGGTCCTCGCGCGCGTAGTCGCCCAGTGTGGTGCTCGACGTCGATGATCTGTGGCCATCCTCGAGGGAGGCAATCCGCTCTTCCGGCGACACGGAACGAGGCATTCTGATGCAGGCCTCTACGTGTGGGAAATTCAGTTCATCGATACGGTGGTTGCGCGAACGACGAAACGGCTAGGGGTTCGGGCTTTTATGTCGTAAGCGGAGCGAAGGATTCGGTGTTAATTGCGGCAGGCAACCAAGTTGGATCGATGCGAGAAGGAGCAAGACCCGGAGGATGTGACAGAAATATCCGTTGGAAAGGGGAGGGGAATGCGCGATCGTTCGTGTAGCGCTCTAGGAGAAGCTCTGGTCGAAGATGAAAGGAGGTTTCGTGACGGATGGCTGCTCGCGGTATTGGACGATGGATTGCGGATGCCTGAACTCGGGATGCGATTAGCCTCCAACACCCAATGAGCACGCCAGGTTGAGACACTGCAACAGCGACTACAACAGAGCCCGGAGGGTGGTATTAGGTTAAGAAGGTAGTTAGCGACACAAGCGATAGGTGAGGATGGAAAGGAACCGCACGCTCCATTCACATTCCCCATGAAAAGGAGAATTGCATCAATCAACGCCAACGTCCAGCTAAAAGTTAGGTCGACGCTACTATTGGCATCAGCGTTCTGGGGCACAGAGGCTGCACAGCCACAAAGTAAGCCAAGAGCTGTCTGTGGCAACCCTCCAGCTTTCTCTCCACGAGCTTCCTCTCAGAATGACATCTTCCACCAAAATGTGGCTGCCGGCAACACAATATATTCTCCAACTTTGAATTGACGAGGTCTTTTCCTTATTATTTGCCAGATGATCACGCAATATTCTCACCATGCTGCACTTCCAGTGTATGGCAATGTACCAACAGCGAACAGGTATGGTCATAACTCGTTCTGCATAATGAAGGGCAGCATCCAAACCATAACAAGAACGAGTAATATCGAGGGACCGTCTACCGTTGGCTACCATCTTGTTGACACAGCAATTGGCCCTCGCCTTAACTATGATCTATCTAGTGCCAAAACATTTCAGGAGGCATTTCCATGTTTCAAAGCCGCATCTGACATGTCCCATTCTCCTGTTGCATTTCCTCTAAATTGGGGGCACTCGTTCGACAGTATGAAAATTGTTGTCCTGTCCTTCACTTTCGACTTGCAAGCCCAATTTGCACCGTTTCGTTGATTCTTATCGTGATGGACGGCGAGGAATACACCTTCAGCCCGAAGTGGCCAGTTCGAGAAGGTTTCCTGTCAATTGATCGCGACCTCAAAAGTATAGCAGACAGCGGTTTCAGAGATTCAAGTGTAGATTCCACGACGTTGTTGAGGAGGAATTCCCTCGACGACATCGAACTAAGGCCAACTACAGCAACCATACTTTCTGCTTCTGTAGAAATATACTGAAATGGATTGAATTTGTACGTATTTACATGCGAGTATTCGTACTTTCGACTAAAATTCAATCTGAGCTGACATGCTATCGTGTGTGCCCTGTAACCCCCCGACAGCTGATACGAGCTTGTTACGAAACCGTTGCACGAGTGGCGAAGTCTCGTAGACAAGCCAGGGGAGGTTGAGAATAACCAGCTGTCTATTGGGTATTCGTGTAGTTTGAGATGATTATTAACCACAACGTAGATTCCGACACCATCGAAACTGTTTATAGCGTTGTGAACCTCGTATTGTTGCACTGTGGTTCTTGTTTCCCTAACATGATCTGATAAGCTGAGTATCAACTCCGCAGTAATTCGCGCGAAAGGCTTGGGCCGTCACTTAGACCTCGATGAGGTACGCTCAAGGTGGCAAGACTCGGACAAAGAGGTTGTACCAGCCAATGGTGGTGGAATCATGGATGGGCTCCTAGAGACCTCAGGTATGAAATGGTTTGAACCTCGGTGTTCAGTTTGCCATGTTCTATATAAAACCGAAGTCATCTAAGCAGTCGCTGGTAAACGTCTCCAGGTCATGCGTGCAGTATACTGTAATTTATGATGGTAGGACGACGAGAAGAGCTTCAAGGAGACGGCAAAGGGGGGCTAAGACTCAGGTCTTGTGGCAACCTATCGGTTATGCATTTTTGAATAATTGAGATATAACTGTAGATTTATCATGCGATAACCAGTGACCTGCATGCTATCAAGATATCTGCAATCAAAGCTGCATACTCAGCGTCTCTTGAACCATGTGAGCACCGCCCCGACAAGATGACGTCACAGTACAAGGTGGAGCACTTCTTACGACGATATTACCAGGGGAACTATAGAATAGACTCTGTGCACGTGGAGGAGCCTCTTGATTAGGCTCAGCTCCATGTAGTCCCATAGCTGTTCGCATATGCATTTCGCTCCAGATCACGCAAAATGTAAAGTCTTAATCAAATAACAAATCAGCACTCCTGTGCGAAGCTGCAGCCGCGGGTATGGAGCGGCATGAGGCGGACAGGCATGAATTATAGTATTTAGGGACCCTCGGGACGAACTTGGGATTCGTCCCTCACGCAACTTCGTAGTACCAATACAGCCCCCAATACTTGGAATCCGACAGTTTCAAGCTATTCGAAAACGCTAGCGTCTGATTCCTGCTGATGCGACCATTGTTTTGGCGTTATGTGCGGTTGCTCTTCGAATGTTATTGTTTGCTTAAGTTGCTGCGTGGGTCATGTGTTGTTCATTGATGGAAGCCAGAACTCCAATAGCAAGCCACCCACCATGAATGTTGGATGTCACATCATGTTGAACTTCGGCAACACGCCCAGCCATCCTAGTTGCGTGAATTACGTATGCCTTCTCTTCAATGGCCTACTACCGTTGGCAGGGTTTGACAGGCTTGATTGCACACGACCTGCTCTCTGAGAGTGCCATATGATTTTCTATTCATCAAGATGCCACTTTCTCCTTTCCAGTCTATCTTTGTTCATTGTGGTGGTGATCGTAACGTTACAATATCCTTGTATTATCAAATGCAACCCAATATTATAGTGCTGTCCAAATAGGATCGGTCCTACTAGTAGATGGGAGCACTACGGGTGACCCATTTGATTGGGGTCGTTGTAACCACGGGACTTGCCTATTTCGGCATCTTTCGTTGACACTTGCTTGCCAGCGGCAATCTCCCAATGCACCACACCTTATCTCCCCACACAAGGCCCCTCACGCTGTTCTCTCCCCTATATACCCAGCATGGTTACATGGATTAACCCAAAAAGCCGCCGACTTCCAATTCAAGGTCGAATCACAGACCTAGAGCTTGTCATATTGCGTACAGCTATCCTGGACTTCTGTAAGGGCCTGTTGGTGGGTCTTGAGCTAGTCCAACTGGCAGATTGGGATGCCATCTCTATTAGGCTCTGACGTAGATAACGCTATAACGTCCACATGTCAAACATATATCAAGGTCAAGTAATAGTCACGCCTCCAAGCTTCAACTGTGTTAGAGAATATATATAAGAGACACATATCAATCATTGTGTGGCCTCGTGAGTGTGCCCTACGACCGTTGAGTAGGGGAGGGCATTGGGCTCACAATGTAACCCTGTGATAAGAGTGTACTCCAAATTTCGCGTGCCGTTCCGGGTCACTGCTATCCTTCAAGGGCCAGCAGCCACTCGACGCTTCCAACTTCAAGTCTCATCTCGGCCTTCGGAGATAGGGTGACAGTCACAGGCCCTATCCCGCCATCAGATCTATTGAACCATGATTAATCCAAGACAATCTTGTCGATCCACCTTCCACGTGAGGAATAGCATGGTGATAGACAGGCACCTGTCTACACCATGAGGGCTGTGTCTTCGATGCATCCTGGAATTGGAGCCTCGCGGCTACGTCTGCCTTCAAACATACCACGGTTGAAAATTTCAGATGATGCGTCTAAGAGACATATCCAGATCATGACCATTTCCCAGGCCCTGTCGACGTACCGGTGGTAATGAGATGCAAAGGAAGAAATGATGGGTGGCAACGTTGCTGTTTCTCCTTGAGAGGGATCAGTACATAGTTATTGGCCTCTCAATTAGGTGGTTCGGTTCGTCTCCTGATACCCGAAGTCAACCATCCACGACATACCAATGGACAGTGCATATATGGGACTACTTGTGATGAACTTGGCTTGCCTTTTCTCGATGCGTGTAGCTTGTCGAGAGATCTGTGTTATACTTAAAGCTGCTCATGACCTCGATCATGTCTCATTTCAAAGTCTGACGATATAACCATTAATATCCAGCTAAGTACTAAAGATCTAGCTTCTGTTATTCCAACTCAGTCTTTGATCATCTTTCTTCTTGGCGTGGAATTATACCACTTTCTTCTTGACAATGTTTGCCTGCAAAGCCTTGAGGTTGCTTGCAACCACAATCACACTCTATGCTATCCTTGGTATGTCCAGCCCTATCAACTCTGTCAGCCTTGTCGAGGACATCGACAAGCGTGACACTGGCTACTTGAACAGTGTGTACTTCGTGAACTGGTGAGTAATCTAAGAGAGAGTGATGTTATAGTGAATAAAAACTAAACATATACAGGGGCATCTACGGCCGAAACTACCAGCCAGCACAACTGCCAGCTAGTCAGGTCACACATGTGCTCTACGCATTTGCTAATCTCCAACAGGACGGAACTGTGTAAGTATAATAAACCCAAAGGGGCCCGGGATGACAATATTGACTTGGTGTAGCTACTCATCAGACGCTTACGCGGACTACCAGAAACACTACGACGGTGACTGTAAGTGCACTCCAACCGCATAAAATGCATGTCTCCATACTAACCGCAACCTCAGCCTGGAACGACGTCGGTAACAACGCCTACGGCTGCGTAAAACAACTCTACCTTCTCAAAAAGGCCAACCGCAATATGAAAGTCCTCCTAAGCATCGGCGGCTGGACCTACTCAACCAACTTCGCTGCCGCCGCAAGCACCGCCACCACGAGGTCCACCTTCGCCAAGACGGCCGTGACCCTCGTCAAAGACTGGGGCTTCGACGGCATCGACGTCGACTGGGAGTACCCCACGGACGCGACCCAAGCCGCCAATATGGTTTCGCTCCTGCAAGCGATCCGCTCGGAACTTGATTCTTACGCCGCGAGTGACGCGCCGGGGTACCATTTTGTGCTGACCATTGCGTCGCCGGCCGGGCCAACGAATTATAATGTCATGCAGCTGAATGCAATGGCGGAGGTGTTGGACTATTTCAACTTGATGGCGTATGATTATGCAGGGTCGTGGGACACTACTTCGGGACATCAGGCGAATCTGTATCCTAACCCGAGTAATCCCCAATCGACCCCCTTTTCCACCGACGCTGCTGTGTCCGACTACATCACAGCCGGGGTCCCCGCGTCCAAGATAGTTCTCGGGATGCCCATATATGGTCGCTCGTTTGAATCCACGGCCGGGGTGGGACAGACGTACACGGGCGTCGGCACCGGGTCGTGGGAAGCAGGGGTGTGGGATTACAAGGTTCTTCCCAAGACGGGGGCGACGGAGATTTATGATGAGGTTGCCGGGGCGACGTATAGCTATGATAATAGCTCGCAGGAGTTGATCAGCTACGACACGCCGGATATGATTACGAAGAAGGTGGCGTATTTGAAGGGAAAGGGGATGGGCGGGAGTATGTTTTGGGAGGCGAGTGGTGATAAGACGGGGGCGGCGAGCTTGATTGGGACGAGCTTCTCGAGTTTGGGCGGGTTGGCGACCAGTCAGAATTTGTTGAGTTATCCGAATAGTCAGTATGCTAATATTGTTGCGGGCATGGCTTAGGTGGACTTGGTGGATCCATCGATTCAGGGTTCAGGAGCTCAGGGTCAATTTGTGTGCGATACTTGTTATGAGCAATGACTGGTTTTTGTTGGTACATATATCTCATATGCATGTAAATCGGTTTGTATATGGCGGAAAGAGGGTGGAGGGGTTTATCTCGTCCATTACACCGACTGATATTCCGGTGGTGGTCAATCATACTTCTTGCATATATATACAGAACACTCAAACCTAACCCAGTGGTAATCTGGTATAATCTGGTGGTAAACATTAAAATAGGTCAGAACTGCGATCTTTACTTTAAAATGTAGACTGTGAGAATAGTGTCTGTTACGATTGCCTTATACCATGAAGAACTGATTGAGTTATCTTTGAACGTGAAGATTGGCAGGTATCCTTAGATCCGTGTTCATTTCAAGATTAGAACTGGTTTAGTTTCGAGGACATACCCCAGCAAGCATGATGGCAGCGGAACTCTTGTAATCTACACCGATTGCCACGGTTGCGTCAAAGCGATCTCAATTAAGGCGACGCCGGTTCGCCACCTGGAAGCAGAAGCAGCAATCCCGCCACTAGACCTCTATCTTAGTGCCCGGGCTGCTAAGTTTGAAGAACGGCTACGGCTTAGCGGGAAGAGAAATCTGCTTCGCAGCGCGAGCGCTAAAGCGTCACATATACTCCGGCAGGATAGGCCGGCGAAGAGGAAGCAGGCGTCGCAGCTACTCCGACCGGCAGGGTACACTATGGAGAAGGAGGCCCGGGGCTCCGAGTGGATGAGTGAGGAAAAGGAGGTCCCGGCTGCCCTCCTCGGCCACTGGAGGAAGAGATGGCTCACCGGAGCAGAGCATCACGATCGCCAGCGACGCGCTATCGCTGAGGAACTGGAGGGCCCTTCGATGCAGATACCGAAAGGGGGCAGGTATTTCGGCCTGAACCGACTGGAGGCGTCTACGCTGTGCCAGATCAGGACGGAAAAAATAGGACTAGCAGCCTTCTTATTCAAGACAGGGGCTTTTGGCGTGTACTCGCCGCTATGCCGCTGTGGCGACGCCCCTGAGACGGCAGAGCACGTAATCCTCTTTTGCGGGCTGTTGGAAGGACCGAGGGAACGATTACGGGCCGCCATCGCACCACGGCCACTATACTCTCGCAGAGACCTCGCAACGGCAACAGGAGAACCAGTAGTTAGTGGGACTATTGTAAGGTGGCTGCTAGGGACGGGTCGGACAGCTTCAAGGCCCAGATAGCATCGATCTTCTCAGGGGGGACTTTGTTGGTAGGTTGAGAACCAACGTAGTATGGTAGTGGACGTAACGCAGTCGCCAATAGGGCGAACCGACGACGCAGCGTATGTATTTAGTCCAGCCATTAGGGCACGGTTTGACATACGGGAGTACTAGTAGAGGTACCGGGGGCTTCGAGCCTACGGCGTATTTAATAATAATAATAATAATATATATATATTTCCCGCTCTGTTAATCGGTATTCATAGAAGCTAGTACATTGCTTGGTCGAAGTATCAAGGAGGGTGGACAGTATTCGGGGGGTTTTCAAGAAAAGGAAGTAGTGTCAGAAATGTTACAGGCAAATTATGAGATGTTGGTTTCTGTTTAGCGAGTAAACGCGCACACCTGCATCACTCTTCAGGCCACACTACTGTGGATGTTGGATCAGAATACATCCTTTCAAAGGCACAGAAGCTCGTATCTACAACTATAGTATCTTTGTACATGCCTCGATTCCCGTTGCGAATGGGGTTGCATTGCAAAGGGGAGTTGAAGCGGTTACTATATAATAACTACTAGGCTCCTTCATCCTCAAAGAGTGTCAATCTGCTTATAATCGCTATTTTATCTAGAGCCTTATATGAAGGAATTTATATTAATGCTAGCATAGGAATTTATAAGTTAACAGTTTACCCTATGTAGTCAGTCCCTACTATAGGGGTTTAATTACACTAGGAAGCTAGCACTCGGGACCTTCCTAATTGTGCTGCGAGTGCCCTCATTACTATAAGACCGCCGAAAATTCCACTCTATCTTCAATCGCATGCTTGGAAGAAAAAGACAGAAATTGAAACTTATTATATAGAGTAGTTACAAATATTTTATCCTTAATCGAATATACTGTTACGGTACTGTCATGCTGCGAAGTGATATTACCGACAGCTTGTAAATTGAGGCTGCTGACGCCGCCGGTTGCGGAGTCACTGATGATCAGCTACGCAAGCTGCTCTATGATATACTCTTGATAATGCATGTCGGAGGAAAGTGACGTAGCCGTTCTCAGGACCTTCTGTCATGGGTTGGGCATGGGGTCAACTATTGTATGGTGTTGTACCTCACCGTGACCTCAAGCCACCAATTCCACACTACTTAGCAGCATCAAATATTAATATTGCGGAGTCTTCTCCCTGATTACAGCCCCACGCTTTGCATGATCGCGGCAAATTCTCGACTCTTCTCCCTCTGTCTCAGTATCTCCTCCTGCTCAATCGCATTAGCAGGCCTTGGAGCCCAACAAGGACACCCCTCATCCAGAAAACTGTTCAACATCTGACTGGGTGAACCGTCCTCTACATAAAAACTCATCAGGACTTCCTTGCGCGTCTGTGCGTGCACATCCGGGATTGCATCCTGGCCGAAAAGGATGCGGAAGTTCTCCGGGGTATCGCGGCCGGTTATTACCAGGCGGCGTATGGGGTACCTATTTGTTTATCAGTCATTGTTTCAACCTCGGTGGATAGGGATGTGAGAAGGACTCCAATTGGATGAAACCTACACAAGTCCGGCTTTGAAGCCGTAAGGATCACCGTTGGGAAAGATCAAGCCGAGCTCGTTGGCAAGAGAACGAGCATCGGCATTTTTGTGGGCTTGGTTGAGCCAGAATTCGACGGGTCGCATGACGTCTTGCAAGGCGGCATTACGAGCTCTGAGGCCGCCTTTCTTGCGAGAATTTCTGGTGGTTTCGGAAACATCTGCATTGGTATTTGCTAGAATAGGTAGGCTGGTTGTCGCTCGGACAGTTGCTGGCAAGGTTGTTGGCCGATTGACTGCGGGAATGAGTCGCTTGAGTCGATCTTCTGAAACTTGCCATTGATGCTCTTCCTTGAGAAGACTGCGGATCTTGGATCGTCCTAAGTTGGGCTTTTCTTGGCGAATTGCGTTGACTGCTGCGAGGACTTGATCGTCCGAGGGAGTGGTGACCGTCATGGCATCAGTGACCAATCAGAGTGTCAACAAATGTCCGTATTGGTAACTTGGGAAGGATGCTCGCTTAGCCTTGTGGATTTTCGACAATGATGTAGATGCAAATTGTGGCCAGTATTATGACATGTTTGGTAAAAGGGTAGAGTTTATCAAGTTTCACTTCGCGCGGCACGACGTGCTCATGTTATTGACCAACCACTAGATATCCACCTGACAGCCCGATAACGCGATAAGGCCAGCTGGTAAGTACTGAGCTCTCGTTAGAGCACCGGGTGCATCCTCAGTGGGGAACCGGTCCAGGGCCTGCGGATCATAGAACATTGTGGGAGGCCGTGAAATAATTGTCAACGTAAAGACGCTTTCATAATTCGCCTAGATCGTATTAAATGTTTACTTCCACATGGCCGACTTGACAGATGTTGTTGTGCCCAAGCTACACACTTATTGCAAGCTATAGCAAAGCATATTGAATGTGTCTTTGATCTCCCCAAGTCTAAAGGAGTGAAGATAATGATGAGCCTGAAGTACAGAAAAAGGTGCCTTTTGGCTGCACACGAGAATCAGTTGCTGATACACCAGAGGTTTCGTTTCTGAAGTTCTAACAGTTGGCCGTGCACCAAAGATTTGGTGTGCAGGGTCCGTCAATCAGCAACTGGCCGTAATAGCAGTAAACGGATAAGACATTCGCCAGAGGTCGGATCGACATAATCGAATTAGCAAGATATTCGCGTCGTACCATATTTCCTTGGCACCGTGTCTATTGCTTTTTCTTTTTGAAAAAGCAAAAAATCCAGAAACGCTAGTTTATTGATGAGATCCCCAGAGGCGCCCTTGCTGTGCAGCCTTACTTACTAATTAGGCATCGCCGCCAAGCCCAGAAAGAATGCTCGACTACAGAGCGTACCATAATCATGACCAAAAAAATAATACTACTTAGAAAATGGCCGTCAAATTAATACCTTAGACCCCATGTCGCAAACTGCTACCGGGATGCAAAACAGGGCACATTCGTCCACAGGCGAAATCTCCTCACAACGTAGAGCCCAGCATGCCGTGTGTTTTCCTCTCTTGAAGAGTATTGTTGGACCAAATTGACCGTCAAAAGACGAGGGACCCACTCGCCGTAGAATGAGGTATTTTTAGTAGTTATAAGGTCTGACAAGTATCTTACCTTCCTTTCTCCATGTTTCACTTGGGTTGTTTCAGCCCGTCCACCGCCCATCAGCAGCAGCGAACCTTACAGCCAGCTCGAAATATACCCCGCCGAATGAATAGTCAGTCGCACAAAGAAGCGACAGTCTACCCTGAGATCCTCTACCCCCAAGCCGTGTCGCAATATTGATCTTTGGAAAGACAAGCCCACGGGTCATGACCTTGGGGGATGCATTGAGCAGCATGTTGACAAAAAGCCAAAACATACGATATGTAGTCTCGCTCTTCAAATATGCTATATTCTCGGTGCCCTCTTAATTTTAGACGTCATGGGAACAATTGCGGGAGAGGTCGCAGGAGGAACAGTAAGATATCGCAACCAATCGAGCTCGCCAGTCTTTGCAAAGTTAAATTTGACCGATCCAGATCCATATGCCGACTTAGATTCATTTCCATCGGACAACACAACGACCACGCAGCTACATCAACCTCGAACCCTTAATGCCCTCTACATCTCCAAAATACTAGCATTTAATTGGACCAACCCAAGCGGCTACAACCACCCCACCGTCTTCCTCCAAGAACCCTCCACCTCCCTCTTAGCGCCTCTGACGCTGCTCCCAGGGAAGACCCTGTTCAACGCATCCTGTGACAGCACTGGGGGTCTCTTTTACGCAGCATTCGTTAGATTCCCCAGGCGGGAAATTTACATCAACTAGGGTGTCTCCGACAACTCTATTTCCACGTCCAACCTCTTGCAGCACTGTAAGTACAATTTCAGACGTGGGAGGGGTGGCAGCTTGGCGCGGCGTGGCAAAGGTGTTGGAATGACGAGTATGTGGGGAACCGGCCTATGACATACCAGCGGCGTACCAGCGGCCGGACGGGGGATTAACATTGGTAACGCGAGTCATTGAGATACACCCGGTGATATTGTTAGCTTGAGTATTGTCGAGACCACGGGGTTGATAGAAAAGAGCATGTACGGCACTGATCAAGCGTGGGAGCCTAGACATTTCATTTGACGTCCGAATCAAACAGGTGTAAACGAGGGATTCGCTAATATGTGGCATCGAGATAGCCATTTCGTTTCAGATATCCGCACACCTTCGGAAGCTCAACCATTTGCGGTTATGTACTGGGGAGACTCGCAGAGATACCTATTCTTGGCATTGCTTCCAAATGGCACGGTGGCGGCCACTTACTGGGATGGTGCCACCTATACTCTCATCTCAAGCTCATCCCAAGTGTCAGGTTCCCCCAAAGACCCTTGGTCAACCTTTCAGTCATTTCCATAACGACTGATGCTAGGTTTTATGGCATATCCAACGATACAGTTTCGGAGTACTAGGGAGACAGTTCCGATCCGTCCAGTTCCATATTCGTGGGGACAACCTGCCTTGAGAGTCGAATGATGAGTTGATTCAAAACTATGAGGTATTAGGTGTAATCTGATGACGTTGTATATTATGGTGAGTCGATTCTCAAGTTGAGGTAAGATGGATCGCACTTCAAACCTACAATAACGTAATGTCAACCTGTGATCTCCATGCGAAGAATACTGTGTAGAGTTGCAAGGCTGACTTACGTACAAGTCGATGGTGCAGATTAATTACTGTGCTGCCACGTGGTCATGTTGAACTCAGTGTATAGTCAGATGGTTGCGGACGGGTTTGGACGAATCTACTTGTAAAGCGTACCACGCTAATAACATACTAAACTGACTCACCACAACACACGTGATTAGCTTCTCAATATGATTATCCATTCTTCAACAGCGTGCCGAAAGACATACTCCACGTAATTGGGGGGTTATTTGATATTCACTTGGTCCGAAACTAGTCAATCTAACGGAGTTGAGTGTGGCCAAGGTTTCATGTTGCCATCAAGTAATAGTATCTGGATTTTTGACTAAAAGAAGTTGGGCGTGGAACACGCGAAACCCACTACATTTGGAGTTGTTGCTCGTAGAGGAAAGGAGCGAGCCTCGCAGACTTTATGTATCATGCGATTGAAGGTTGAACTAGGTACTTCATGCAGGGTTACAGCAGTTCGGCATGGGTCACATAGACTAGTGATTAGTGGGTTGCTTAGAGAACACAGAACAGAATTTCCCCTCATTTTCCCAGTATTGATTGAAACGTATCAATTAATGCTAAGTCTGTGCCATTAATCCAGCGTCCTGGGTCTTAGTTGCGAGTGAATGGCTATAACCCGCAAGCCAGGTTATTAAATTATGTCTTGCTGGTTGGTAAAGAACAGTTCTTGCCGATCTTGAGTGGTTAGTTCTTCTTCTAGTGCCGGTTGTGGAAATTGAGCCGCCTCGTCAGTTCGCAATTCTTTGTTTCTTCATTCCTTAACAACCAGGTTGTCCCATAATAGTGTCTGCCTGAACAATGCATTGAGTTTAAACTTCACTTCTCTATCCTAAGACAGCAAGACAAGAACTTTATAAACCCCACTTCCGGCTCCACGTTATTCCTCTTCCAGGGGCCCGAAATAGCCAACCAACGACAACTTTGTCCAAACCAACTTTCCCCAAGACAAAAGCCCGAACAACGCGTTTCTCCCTCCTACATCCACAGCCATCTCGCCATGTCCAACCCGCAAACCAACACGGACGGGCAGAACAACGGCACTTATAGTGGAGACACGCCATTGACAGGATCCACTTCTCAAAAGGCCAACGTGTTCACATATACAACGGAAGCATCATCCACCAACGACAGCACAGTACGCGTTTCATGGCCACTGCATCAGGTCCAGCCAACCAACGCCATACAAAACAACGAGGGCTGTTATCTTGAACGCGTCGTCGAGATTAGCGGGGACCAGGCGCTGATCAAGTGGGTGGGGGTTGAGAGTCCGACCTGGGAGCCGCTGCGGGTGTTGCGTCGCGGTGCATTGCAAGGGACGGCGGAAGTGATTAGGAATTGACGGGGAATTATAAAGTGGACCGGGGTTCGGGCAGAGAGCTTATCTGCAACCTCCGAGAATTTTGCCCACAAGATACCAGGGCTGACAGAGAAGCCGGATGGCTTTACCAGCATAGATGAATGCTGCGAGTCTGCGACATACGTCAAATATGTCTAGGATACGATATTGTACCAACTCGTATATGAGTTACGAACAAGATACACCCGACTTAGGTAATCTTACAATGTCTATGATGTGATATATGCACTATGATCTGACTCGTACCGGCCCTATGGATTGCTCCTAGACACCGGTAAGCTAGAGATTTTGCGCGACTGCGAAAAAGATATATTTTTGTTCTCTTGTCTGATGGCTACTTCTGGCTTGATGCGGAATTTGTAGGCCTTCGACCTTGCACTTGGCCGTACCTTCCCATCTGCTAGCATCAGTACTTTCTGTACGAGCACTCAGATCCATACTTCTAAAACCAACCAGGGTAGTTGAAATTTTCGCGTTGCTAACGGGGACCATTCCCTATCCAGGATCCCATGCCCAGGGAAATCACCAGATGCCCAATGACACATCATCCAAGTTCCTATTCCGGTGCCAGAGTAACTAATTTACCAGCAAGCCATGCACTAATCGAACAGTGAAGCAAAAGGGATGATAATTAAAGTAAACATACAAATCCCAGAAATCTATAGCCTATTCAGTTGCACCAAGCTCTCTCATCTCATCTTAGCCTATACCGGAATCTACTATTCTCAAAGCGCATCTAACGAGAGGCTGTATTGATATTGAGCTCTACGACCTACAAACAGGCCGTATAGAGATCCTAGGCGTCGCCTCTACACCCAGATCTCCCGATTGGTGGCGCTCCAGGTCAATCTGGGGTCAATTCAGCCGGTGCGATTTGGCTGGACCGCACCAGCCTTCGATCTCCATCGACTATCTTTTTCGATTTTCCGCTACTACTACGGCCAGTTAACTGGTGATGGATCAACCCTGAGCGCGAAAACCTTGGCAAGAGCCAAATGGTAGAACCCTAGGAGCGAAAACTCTGGTGTATCAGCAACTGAGTCAAGTGTTGCAGCCAAAAGGCACATCTTTTCAGGTTACAGTTGGCCAGGGTTAGAAATTTTGTGGCGCAGCAAAGTTGATCAGGGTCAGAAATGTTCTAACCCTGGCCAAGTCTTGCCAAGCTAACGCTAACGCTAGTCTAACCAAATAAATCATCACCACAGTATCAGAGAAAAGCTTGTACACGGAGAAAATGCGGCGCATATGCAGCGATATAGGAGCATATACATAGGGCCAAACTGTCTGGTATACATATGCGAGGCATATTCTGACACGGCTCAGATAATAGAAAAAAAGCACGAATAGTTTATTAGGTAACGTACCACACGGTCCAATTGAACACTTCTTAAGACCTCGTACAATACGATATAAGTTAATTCAACTATAACGTAAAAAAATAATTAAAACTACTCGGAACTATCTTCTTCAGATATCTCTTTACTATTCTGACAAGTACGCATATCATGACCGGGCTCTCCGCACGTCCTACAGCGTTGCTGAAGTATCTCTGGCCTCCTCGTACGACTACGACTCCAGCGCGATTTATTATCTAACTCTCCGTTAACTAGCTTCTGAGACTGTAAATCTTCTCCAGCTTGTATACGAAGTGATCCTCCATACTGTAAACGTTTTTTTTTCTCGTATAACGCCGCCGGCTAAGTGTCTCATTTGCCTTTCGAAGCGTGGCGTTCTGATGCGAGTGCATATGGGGTGTGAATTGTTGTATTGGAAAAGGATGGCCAGGTCAGCTATTCTGGCCTGGCAGAGCTCTTTTATAGCTCTTATCTATCTTATCTCTAGCTATAGGGCAACCCCCCATGGGGTCACGTATCACGTTCTCACCCTCTAAAAGAGCAAGCCGGTGCATAACCTGCGTCGTACCCTTCGCAAACTGGTCAAGTGCAGTAAGTGTAGCTGTCGGAGAGCTATTTTGATGCCGTATAACTCGGTTTTTCACGTATTCGGTCTGGGATTGTGCCTCAATTGGGTTATTTGGGGTCTTCGACTCCCAGATAATAGGAAGGCCAGGCGAGGTACCCGGAGGTGTTGGAGTATGTAACTTCACATCTAACTGTGAAATCACATATTCCGGATCGTACGGTACGAGTCCTGCCCCTCGGAAACCTCCTTGGATATTTGATATCATAAAAGTTGCCTGGAACGCTTTTAAGAACGCGGAGAGGAAGTCCTCCTTCGAGATATGGGTAATATGTGCCCGCATAAGATCCTCAATTTCTTTACCGTACGCTCTTTTCTGTGCACGAAAACAGCCGATATCGAGAGGTTGGAGCTTATGCGACGAATGAGCAGGCATACAGAGTGTGATAATAGAGTTCTCTTTACAGTAGAGCTCGAAAGCGGTCGAGTGGTGGCTCTCGTGGCCGTCGAGAATTAAGAGGCGATAAACACCTTTCGTACGAAGCTTTGTATATTGATCGAAATGTCGAATCCAGTCCTCGCCTCTTTCATTTGTAGTCCAGCCATTTTTCGTAACCGCGATAACCCAATCCTTTGGTAGTAGGCTATTTTCGTACCACGAAGATAGGTGAGTTTTACCAGCAAAGATGATATACGGAGGGATAGTATAGCCGTCCGATCCGACGCCCTGGATAACTGTAACCCATTCCCTATTACCTTGCTGTACTGCTCTGGGTCTTCCACGTCGATCAGAGGTCGTTACAACTATCTCGGATGAGATTTGACCCATAAGAAACCCAGTCTCGTCAAAATTATAGATATCCTCCTCTTGAATTCCATACTTATTAATTGTATTCCGTACGAGATAAAACCACGCGCGGTACGCGTCGGGATCTTCTCAGAGGACTCTCTAGTAGTCGATTCTTCGATTAAAACGCGTCCGGAGGTCTGGTTGTCGTCGTACGAAGCTCGAAGCCCAGTTAATACCGACGCGTCCTGCGTCGCGTTGGTGGAGTAGTCGATTCACCATATCTTCAACACCACTTATTCGAGGAGGAAATGATCGTGAATCTAGGTCGACTATGTAGCGTACGATCGCGTCTTCTTCGGAATAGGTAAGCTTTTGCGTTGGTGATCGTATATCCTGTCGTGAAGTACCGCCGCGATATCGGTGACGTAAGGTTGTATGAGGGATATTATAGATCCGTGCTACGGATCGTACGCTTAGTTTGGGGTTATTTTGAAGCGCTTGAAGCGCTAATTGAATATCGCTTTCTTCCCAATTACGTGCCATTGTAGAAGGTGGAAAATAAGGGATAAAACCTAGGTTGTACGGAAATGCGCGAAAGTGTTCAATTGGACCGTGGGGTACGTTAAGGTTTATTATTATAAGATAGGGAAAGCACGCCCAACTTCTTGGTCTTTCCCTGCAATAGAGAAAACATTACTACCACCGTCGATCATCCTGAACGATAGGTCTATCTGGATAAATAGTGCTTTCTCCCATTGCATAAGCTATTCACCATAATCTTGAATTACTTGGCCTACGTCTTGTGCAAGCTCAGCAGGTACTCGATTCGGTAATGGAGGGTAGTGAGAGTGGTTCCCACGACAAATAACAATATAGTAAGGGAGTCGATACATATTCTGGGGAATATATATATCAATTCGGCATGTGCACGACGTAACCCATGTCTTTTTAGGTCCCCGGTGGTGATCAAATCCTATATTTATTATTAGCAGATATTACACATAAGCTAAACATATGTTCAAGTACCACAGTATTTCCGCTTCTGCTCTGGTCTCCCAATCCATACACACTGATCTTTTTCACCGGTAATACCACTCTCGCACAAGGCTCTGAGATATGCGATATCAATACTGGACTTATGCGAAGGTAATGACCACGCGGTATGCCAAGGTTCACCGTCAGAATTCTTCGGGCACCCAATAAAGGGGATCGAGAGATTGAAGAATAGAGTTAGGCATATGCTTACTATAAACATACCCTGTTCCGGTAAAATACAGTTAATCTTTGGCCCTTACAGCAGCGAGGATACCGGTCCTTTTTAAAAGGCTGGCATGGAGATGTACCCTCTGCCTGCCATAATTGCAAAAATGCGTTAAGTTAGTTATATTGACTATAATTAAGCTTAGTATAGATGAAGCATATGTTAATCTAAAGCATGCTTACTTACTTTTCAGTAGCCTCTTTAAGCATCTGTTGTATACTACTAAGAGTAGGCTTTGGGAGCTCCCGAACAATATTTCGGATTTTTGAAACATCTACACAATTATACTCCTCTGTATATGAAGTGACCTTCGGGTGCGCATGTCCACAGACCCGGGTACCACTACATTTGTATGGCATATTCCAAGCTTGATTTAGCTTCCGATTAGAACTAGCTATAGGTTAGCCTAAGCGTCTCGTATGCTGCTCATATGCTGCCCATACGCCCTGCACTTACTGGAGAAAACCCCATATATGGGATAGCTTCCGATGGAATATCCCATTGAGAGCTATATGGGCCTTGCTGTGTATCTTCATCCTGTGTAACCTAGTGTATATTTAGTATCAACGACGCTGATATTAGGTTAGTTATCTTACGCCATTAAGCCAGAGAATTAACTTCTCGTTGTCGCCGATGTTCTGCGTATGCTCTGTATATGTTCCATCCGTGCTGGGTGCGCTCTCATGTTCATAATCGGTTTCGTCCGCCATGAGGTGTATCAATTTTAGGAAAATAAGAAGTTATGAAATACTTCTGTGATAGCTATCTAATTAAAGGTCTACATTGATCGAGCGATTTCGGAACACTCTATATGCAAAACTTATAAGTTAGACTGATCTCTTTTAGAATTAGCATATGTAGGGCATATGCAACACCACAAAGATCTGATACTGTGCATTATACCTAGTTTGGTTAAGCTTCCCTTGGCAAAACTTGGCCAGGGTTAGAACATTTCTGACCCTGATCAACTTTGCTGCGCCACAAAATTTCTACCCCCTGGTCAACTGTTTCTGACCCTGGTCAACTGTACGCTCACATCTTTTCCTGTACTTAAGGCCGGTACAGCGACCTTCACTCTTTTGGGCTTGATGAGTTCAGAGCCACATTCAATCCTAGCTTGCAATAAGTCCGATCCATTTTCAGCATTTACAATTGGCCATTCTGGGCATGAATCCAATATTTGTCGCGCGCCGCTAGCGGAATCGTGGCCTTCTATCATCAAACTGAAACCTGTTTCGCGGAGCCGATTCACATTATTTCTCAGCCTTTTGCTCAGACACTAACGAGGAACTTCATTGGAAACGAGCATCCGACACAACGAAAATAGGGCCCAAAGACAATGCTGGGTCTAATGCCCACCATACCGCCGCTAAACCGCTCGAGGCCAATGCTGACGCGACAAACGAGACGCCACGGTTGACACTGGAATGACCGGTATCGAAACAGAAGACCCCGAACAGCCTAGCATTGATTCCGGCGCGGTCTACAGTACCAGCCTCAATACCGGAAGCACTACTGGGTGGATACCGACCAGCGACGTTAGCCCGGGTTCTAGCTTCGCATTTAACTCCTAACCTGGCCGGGGTAATCATAGCACTACCTGGCTGAAACCCGACCACGGGATTGGCCCTTATCTCGAAAGTCGAATCTCGACGTGAGCAACAGCGACTTGTTCGATTACCGAAGTCGTCAAACCCCCATAAGGGGATAGACTATTAGGGAGCCTGGATCAGTTCCAGAAGGCGGGGGAATATGCCAGGTCTATGAATATGGACGTTTGGTAGCCCCTCCCAGATAATGGGACTTTGAATCTTGATGATTTACTACTAGAGTACGTTTTACAGATTGCTGTTGTGAGCAATATTATCTTGCACTCGGCTAGCATTACCAGAACCCCCTTTTCACCGTATGTGCATACTAGATTGAGCAGGATCGCCTCGGTAAGCACAATCTTCAGCATCTTCTACAATGAACCTATCCGTATCGTTTCACCGCTTGTCGGACCTTCAAAACGCGATGTTCAGATTTCTCGGGGGAAGAAGTGCGCTGGCACCGATATACGAGCCCGGACACGCCCTAGACATCACGACTGGCACCAGAGTATGGGCATTCGAATGCGCCGAGGAAAACCCTAATTACACAGCGATCAGCAGCGATATAAGTCTTATCCAGTCATAGTGAAAGGGTCCACTCCCCAACTTTACTTTCCTCCACGGATTTGCGGAAGCGCCATGGATATTCCCGCACCAATTCCATTATATACATTTGCGCACAGCTTGCAACCATTTTGAAGAAACGCCGGCGGTTATTCATGAGGTGTTTGCGGACATGAACGAAAACGGGCGGATCGAATTCCAAGGCGTCAATCTCGGCCTTGAAGCAGTAGATGACAGATGTGAAGATTCGTCTATCCAGCGATTTAATGAATTATGGCGGCAGCCATTCGGACCATTGAGCGAGGTGCTGACAGGACTGTTGAGTACAAGCAGTGGCTTGCTGATGCGGGATTTGTCGATATTATGGAAAGACGGCTACCATACCTAGTAAGTGGACTGTTTGACCGTTTAAGAAAGGCACAATAGCGGCTTTGAACCGATGATTGTCTCAATTGACGACTGGCCGCTAGAGCCCAGGTTCAAGGAGATTAGGTGCTATCATCAAATCAACTTGAACGAGGTGATCCCTGGGTTGTCGATGAAGACGCTCCAGGCGCTTGGATATGCCTGTTCACCTGCGGAAGGGGTCTTTGCATCTTGGAAGCAATGCTGATCTGACAATGATTGCTTCAGATATATCGGGTATGGCCGGATGCCTTTCGCGTGGGAGAGCGAGTTGGACGAGCCGCCAATCCCCCAAGGTGGGTTGGAATAAAACCTCTGCTTGGATAACTAAAGGATATGTTTTATGTGCCGGAAGCATATTAATGTAACGATTGGAATCTAATTACCTGATCAGCCGGTACCCAGCTGCCCCCAGATCCACAATCTTACGACTCTGAAGATGAAAATGTGACGTGTAAGTAAAATACTTGCCTGATGTTGAGACCCCACTTAAAGCTGCCGGTGTTCGTGGAGTTCAGTAGCAAAAACAAAGCCCGCAGCGTCCGTGTTTACGATGACGGCCTTCTGGCAAACTGAAAGTTCCCCCGAACTGAGCGTCCGGGAGTGGTAACTCGATTACTCTTTTTTTGAAGCTGTATATGGGTTTACTTAACTATAGGTTCAACCATGCTATCTGCTTGGGTTAGGAGTGTGGTATTTACTGCTGAAGCTGGCCAATCGGTGCACATACCGAGTTCGGCTGTAGCGCCTTCTCGTCCCAACTACGTGCATACATGACCGAGATCTTTGCATACACAGGTCCTGAAAAGATGCAGACAAAACCCCTCAGTTCCTCAAATTCATCCCGTCGTTTCATTATTCACGCTTCTGTTGTACATCATTTCTCTTCCAGAGCAGAGATCTTGTCTCGATCTTTGAAGTACAATTCTTCACTTCGGACATTATGGACAAGTATCCGCCCCGGGAAAGCGGCCCATCTGGAGAAGATCCAAAGACACCCACCAAAGAACCTACCGCGGGTATGAGTACAACCGTTTTCATCAAAACGGAGCGCGCTCAATCTGATGACACTGGTGAATTCTGGTTTGAGGTTGACAGCAACCCTGAGACTGTTTCGCGGCGCAACCCAACGCACGTCTTGAAGCCTGGCTGTGGAATTCAAGTTGCTGACCTACTTTACAGCGGCGAGACCATCTCAGACTCAGTTGTGTTTGAAGAAGCCGGAAGAACCTTTCAGGCGTACAGGCCATCGAGTAAGCACTACCTAACAACGTAGCATCCAGCTGTCGCATCCAATTTTGACCTTTGCTAACGTGGTTCCTAGCTTACTTCTTGCCTAATGACGGTGTAGGCATCTTCTCTTTTGCTTCTGCATCTCACCATGATCATTCCTACTGGATTTATCAGCCACAACGCTATCGCTAACTATACCGTCATGATCAAAGATGGAACAAGATCGCTTAGGTTGGTTCATACGCATATTGAGACCCATTCCGAGCTGACGAGACGCAGATATGTTCCATGAAGTCTGGCTGCAGCTTCTTGATCGTCAGCTTGGGTTAGCACCAGTGAAAAGTCCTCTCAACGTTCTCGATATTGCCACCGGAACCGGAATCTGGGCCTTCCAGTTCGCCGATGACCACCCCGATTCTCGCGTAATAGGGACTGACCTCAGCATGATACAACCGAGTGCAGTGAGGATGCTACCGAATTGCACCTTCGTCAGAGAAGACTCCGAGGAGCATTGGATTTTTGATCACAAGTTTGATTATATCCATATGCGGGCAGTTTGCAGCTGCTTCAACGACCCCTTGACAGTTATACAGCATTCCTTTGACAATCTCAATGCAGGTGGTTGGGTTGAGATTCAGGACGTCTGCATGGAACTACACGGCGTCGACAAAACCATCGAAGACACCGAACTTCAGAGATTCTGCAGACTCGGAAGACAAGGATTCCAGCTTCTCGGACGGGACGTTGTAGACCGAGTATTTCGGTACAAGAAGTGGCTTATCGATGCGGGATTCGTCGACGTAATTGAGAAGCGCCTCCCCGTTCCAGGTACGTAATGTCCCGGTCATTTCATCGACGCGTAATAAATTCTCAAATCTGGCGACACTAATGTGCAGAGCAGTCAATCCATGGCCGCGGGATGCCCGGCTCAAAAACCTCGGGAGGTACAACCACGCACAACTATACGAGGGAATGAAAAGCGGGGCTGTGAAGACGTTACCTGCCGCCGGCCTATCGCCCCAGTTGGCCGAGGAGCTCCTAAATCGTGCCCTGAAAGATTTATCCAATACTTCTATTCACGGATACCTCCCATTGTAAGTTTAATAGCTATCTACCGGCAGTTGGTCCCAGAATCTGGCACTGATAACTTCTTTCCAAGTTATGTCGTATATGGACGAAAGCCGTACACTGACGAGGCCGGTTCGAATTCCGGGCACGGCACGACCCCCTCTGTCAGTTAGCCAGTTGAAACAGATGCATCGAAGCCGGAATCAAGAGCCGAGCCTGTCCGCAGCCGCCGTCATAACTGCATGGATTTGGAAAGACGGACGTTTTCAGTCAATGGACTGACACACCGGCCACCGACCGTTGTTGACGTATAATGCGGCCTTCACCCGGTACTGGAGTATTAATAGTTACTTGGAAGTAGGAAGGCAAAAGTACCCAGGCATATAATTTCTACACCGAATGTTGTGGGGCGGGGTTCTCTTTTGATGGATGAGGATATGCCAGCCTTCTATGCACCCCCTTTCTTTAGCTGATTGCTGTGGGAAGCTGTAGCCTCAGATATAGAGGGGGACAAGGAAGACAGGCAGGTACGGATGCAGTATTTAGAGACCCCTCGGGGGCCAACTTGGGATTGAGTCCCCACGCACCTTCGTAGTACCAATACAGCTCCCGGCAGTTGGAACCCGGCAATTACTACTTTTAGAAAAACTACGATACATCTGTATCGCTCTAGCTAAACATGTGCATGGAACTGAGTATCTCAAACAAAACACTGCTTAGCTTACTTCATCTCGGCAATCAGCACCCGGCACAGACGTTGTGCGTTGCTGCTGCGCCTCAGATCTTTGGATGCCGCTTACTGGCACAACACACACTATGTTTTGGTGGTGGGGTTTCCTAGCAGCGCCTCAGAAGGCCACTCTGATTATACTGGAACTCGCCACTGAAGAATCAACTTCAACCCCAGTAGCGAGAAATATTTGGCCTTTTACTATAGCAGCTTCTGAAATCCCGAGACTTTATTGAATTGCCTGGATGCAATGGCTCGCCCAATTGACAACTCCGACCACTTTCCACACACAATGGCAGACAACGGGGTCTTCGCATTCTCCTTTTGCTGCTCTTCGGCAACTACTTCAAAATCACCCACCGGATGGGCTGATTCTGCGTCGGCGTCTTCTCGAAATTTCGGCTCTTCACTGCAAGTTGCTTGCTGGGCACTATCAGGAACGACTCAGATAGGTCGTGGGCGGGTGTTTCCCTTTGCGGGTTGATGGGATGATTGGGTTTACTTTCTGACTTGTAGAGTTGGAGATAGTGTGAGTTCGCCTTCCCTCCATTTTCCACGCTTTTTTGGTTTATCCGGGCTTGTTAGGAGTCGGATTATAAGACGGCGAGTTCCGATGTTCTCAAGGAGAGGAATATATCAACGATAGTAACGACTTGTTTCTTCGCCTTTCGAAGGCATGGTGGAGTCGATTTCCACACCTAAGATTGTATCTTCTGTCAAGAATTCTCTCTTTGCGGAGAGTAAGGTGGAGTCCAGGGAGGATGACTCCAGGAACAGATTCGCGGAGGTGTCGGTTGAGCTTGAGGTTATCTATTACAGTCCTTGGGGTGGGCGAGGTAGCACTACATAGTTTTACTTCCTCAATAGCAACAAAAGAGCGATTATCAAACCCCCTATGAATTTATGCGCATTCGGAACCGAGGTACCCTGAGCAGTTAACGGAATAGACGGCGCACCAAGGGTGTAGTAATAGGGAATAGCCACTGTATGTCAGTATAATTAACAGTCATAACTTGAATAAACCAATAAGAGGAATTCTTATTTGCCTATAAATTATCTGAATGTGATAGTATATCGGTATGGTTATCATTTCGGTCCCTTTGAGACTCAAAGCCCAAGAACGCTAAATTACCCTCAACCTTGCTACGCTAAGCGACAACGAGAAAAACAGAAACATTTGTCCAAGTGATAGCATTTTCTTCGCTTTCTGTGTCTGGATTTAGAGATGGCCACAGAGGCCGTGTTAGGTCCCCTTTACTCACGATCACTGCAGTGTTTCCCTATTTGAAGCACTTGTGACGCTAAGCCACACCCATAACAACCAATATGGAGCATTAGGAATATATTGGCTGGTGGTGTTCCCCACTTTGTCATCTTTGTGGCGAAGTTCATTATGGCACCCCAGTTTATTATGTTGTGGAACACTACTGTCTTGGAATCTACCTATAAAAACAAATCGTGTTGCGGCCTGTACATCCATCTCAATATGTAAGCGCCTGTCGTGGGCCCTTCTCCAACAAACCAGGCTGGCCCCCAAATATGCGGTTGCCTACCAAAAGTCAGTCTGACCCCCAAATACCAAATCGGCCCTCAAATCCAACTTGTTTATAAAAACACCAACTTACCCGCTGACGTCTTTGGCTCAATATTGCACTGCAACTCAAATTTCTTCTCAGAAAAGCACCGAGGTCGTTGAAATGGCAGAAGTCTTAGGGTTGGAGTTAGCTGGGATCGGAAACAGGCAGCCGTCCCCAAATCCGTCACCTCTCTACGACCCATCACGTGGCCAAGGCAATGTCTTGACAACGACACAAGAATATTTCGGGGAGACTCGTCCCGTATCACCTATTGAGGACGGAGACTCTCTCCAGTGTCTAGGTGCATCAACAGAACGATACTCCTTGGAAGAGAATTCTCATCGTGGTCCTTACCAGGTTCTTAATCGAACGGAACACTTAGCTGAGACTCAACGAGACACCCCTCTTGAAGACCGATTGCCTCAACGCTTCAGCGATGAAGACCAACTTTGACCTGGCTCGGATGACCTTCTTGACGGGGCGGCATCAAACCATTATACCGACGACAGAGCCGCACAAGTGGAAAAGCACGGCGAGCGTCAGCGCCACTTCTTCCACAAGCCCACCGACGATTCGGTCATTTCATGGTGGTGGTGATGGGAAATACTGGCAACCTTTCTCAGTATTGGGTGCATGGTAGCACTCGTTGTTATCCTGATCAAGATCGACAACACGCCCCTACAAGAGTGGTCGCTACAAATCCAACCCAATTCCTTGATCGCCGTGTTAACCACCGTTGGAAAAGCGGCCATGATGGTACCGGCAGCATCGTGCCTCAGTCAGCTGAAATGGAGACATTTCCAACTTCGGCCTCAGAGGCTTGGCGACCTTGAGATCTTCGACGAAGCTAGCAGAGGCCCCTGGGGCTCGGCGGTTCTTATCTTGCGGCTGTGTAGAAAGCTCCGGTCACAGTTTTTGACTGTGTATGGCCTCGCCATATTGACCATTTTGGCGCTGGGCTTTGATCCGTCAGCTCAGCAGGTCTTGGAGTTTCCGCTGCAAGAATCAAAATTGACAAACGCCTCGGTTCAAATCGGAAGGGCGGATATGTATTTCTCCAAGGGCTTCCTCGAAAATGAAATCGGAAACTGTATGTCCTTCTCTTTAAGCTAAATTTCTTGGTCTTCTTTTCCTCAAATGCGCGGTGCTAACGTAGCGTTAGATATCTGGGTGCCAAATACCGATCTCTTAGCTTTACAGTCCTCTATTGCCAACGGCGCATCAGGTTCGGTTTTTCAACCATTTCTGGCTTGCCCCAGGCCAGCCAGCACTTGCACCTGGGATACATTTACCACTCTGGGGGTCTGTTCCGAGTTGCAAGATGTCACAAGCATAGCGACGCCCAACTGCACTCAAGCGACGGGTGGTGCATCGTATGTCAACTGCACATACACCTGGCCCGGGATGCTGGACAGAAATGGCTCGGAAGACCCACTCTACGACGACGCTGCCATCAACATGAAATGGGATCCCGAGAACCAAATCATCGATCGTGGCACTATGTTGTTTCGGTCAATCACCCGCTATCTCTCCACAGTCGACTTCCAATTCGGGACCTTCAAGGCCGTGAGAGCTACCACGAATGGGATTCCCAGCCAGCAGTCAGGAGGAGATCTAGCGCCTCCCCCTGTGGCCGTGTTTTCCGGGACGTTTACGTGGTGTGCACAAACCTACAGGAATATGACAGCCTCACCGATCGGAATAACTTCGTTTGATAGGATCGATGAGCCACTCACAATGCTTCAGACGATCGTTGATCGCGGTGATGCCACCAACAACATGGGACCCCCTTTTCATACATTTGTGGCCAACTCAACCGGATCAACCTTCAACATTTCCCGCATGGGCGTCGAAACTCTACCAAGCTACCTCCAAACCCTACTAACAAGCGTCGTCTATCACGACCAGAGTCGACCTGCACGAATAGAAGACGAGACACTGCAAATGGGCTACGCACTGTACAAAACAGACCTCTTCAACATGACCAAGAACGTCGCGGACGCCATCAGCAACCAAATCCGAAGCAACGAGCCCGTGGGGGATAATTTTAACGCTACCACGGTATCGGGCCTGGCCTTTTTCCAGGAGGCGTATATCCGGGTCCGATGGCCGTGGATGATCGTGCCGCTGGCCGAGACCGCCATGGCGGCCTTCTTGCTTGTTATTTCGATGATGTTTACGCGGAACCAGCCCCTGCTGAAGACTAGTATCTTCGCGTATTTATTTGCGGAGCTCGAAGGTTGGAAGGAAGGGGATTTACGGGTTTCACGGCCGCCGACGCAGGAGAAACTTGCAGCCTTGGCGGAGGGGATGCGGGCGCGTTGGGAATATGAACAAGATGGAGCTTTGCGTCTGAAAAGGGATAGCATCTGATAGATGATCAGGGTCTGAAAGAAACGTGGATATTTTCATCATTTGGTAGGGGACATTGTGGTGGACAGCTTTCTCAGTGATTGGATCGTATTACCGCCAGTATATTCGCCACAGTTATGCCATAGGCGCAGTTTGCTAGTGTAGGTAGGGGGACAGACCCTTCCTTCCTTCCTTTCTTCTGCTCAAGCACCATTACAGAGCCTCCCGAAAACCAAAGTACATAGCACGACATGTAGATCGGACATAACGGTCAATACGACATCTGTGTCGAGTCATGAACAAAGGACCGAACCCCTCAACTACTTCGGAATCCACTATCGCTGTGTCTTCCCTCTCTTGTAACCTTTGCGGTGTTGTTTCACGATGAAGGCTCTTTCATTTCTTTTCTCCCGCATCCCAGTCTGATACCGCCTTTAGGCCACCAGGGTATGTGGTCGACGAAAGGGTGAAAACTTTTCCACAGTACCATTTATTTGCAGCAGTGCTATAGATTTGTACCATCTATAGCTACTCCAAACTCGCAGATGGACTCAAAACCAACGTCTATGAATTACCGAATCAAATGCTGGATATAACGGGGCTATCTGAATTATATACATTCCATCTCAGTTTTGTGATACTAGAGGAAGTTCTCTGGGAGATAAAGGCAAGAGCGCTGCTTGGTGATGATGATTGTGATGATTATGGGCCAAACATAACAGGACAAGAAGCGCAACCATCACTGTTCAGGGCTAAAACAAATGAGACACGGAACTATTCTTATTCAAGCTCACCATGTCGTACTGAATGCAAACAAGGAACACATTCAATATGGATGAGCAAATTACTTGTTTGGATGAAACAATGAATACCGCATTTTGTTGTAAACTAATCATGGACCATCAAACCTCTCCTCCAAAACCTTTTTCAAACAAATCTGGGCATTGCCGATCTAGAGCCTGAGATTGGCACTGTCCACCCGTTAGCATTTCATTTCTTCCCGACCTCACAGATGACTTTAAAAGGAAAAAGAAGAATCACCATGCTGTAATAAAGCCCGCTCCTCTGCAGCAACTCCCCATGCGTCCCTCTCTCCAACACTCCCTCATCGCCCAGCACAAAAATCACATCTGCATTTTGCACAGTCGCTAATCGATGCGCAACCATAACCACCGTCCTGTCCTCTCTATTCCTCAGCAAAACCTCCTGCACCAACCTCTCCGTCTCTGAGTCCAGATTTGAGGTCGGCTCGTCCAGCAGTAAAACTTTCGGATTTCTGATCAGCGCTCTGGCGATTGAGATGCGCTGTCTCTGTCCGCCCGAGAGTAGAACGCCTTTCGTGCCGACTTTGGTGTCATACCCTTCGGGAAGGGACACGATGAAATCGTGAATTTCAGCTTCGCGGCAGGATTGATACAGGACGGAGTCCAGAGTGGTGGTTTCATCCACACCCAGCAGGATATTCTCTCGTATGGAGCCTTCAAAGAGGGATGGTTCTTGGGCGACGAGCGAAATGAGTTTGCGATGGGCTTGGAGTGGGATGGTGGAGATGTCGGTGCCGTTGAATAGAATTTGGCCGGAGTTGAGTTTGTAGAATCTAGAAATGGGAGTCAGGTGCGTCAATAATGGAGGGTATTCATGTCCTGACCTTTCTAGGAGGGATATAATACTAGTTTTCCCACATCCTGAAAATCTGTCAGTCTGGTGCTTCCATCAACTCCGACGTGTGATGTATGTGCTCACCTGACGGTCCGACGATTGCTGCAAACTGCCCTTTCTCAATCTACAAATAGTTGTAATTCTTTACTCTGGCGCATGAGACAGACAACTTACCGTCATGTTCAAGTCAGACAAGACAGGCACATCTCTGGTTGGATACTTGAACCAAACATTGTGCAGCTCGATCTTGACCCCTTTTTCTTCCATATGAACAACATTATCATTCAACGTAGTCTGAGAGGTTTCATCCTTGTCTCTCACTCTGGTCTCCTGGATACGATTGGCAGCAACGGTGGCTTGTGAAATATCTGTTGCGTGCGTTAGATGATGTCCTCGACCTCAAAACCGTGCTGGACGACACTAACTTGGCCCGAAACTCAACCATTGACCTGCACCGATTGCACCCTATACTCCAGATTGGTTATTACAATGCTCTGTGACATTCTCAGGAGTTCCTCATACTTGTATAACTGCGATGTATACAATCACTTCGCACCCAGATTAGCCAAAGTCCCATCCAACTCATGAATGCTGGCTCACGGTAGTTGAACGTCCCATACTCGCCACTGACAAGTAGCCGGCTTCCATACCTATGCAACGTCAGCTACCAGTCAAATAGTAGCAATATTCTCGAGGTATTCACCAAAGCACAAAAGCCATGCATAGCAACGGCAGACTATCACTAGCCGCAAACACCAACGTTGTATAACGATCTCTTCTTAGCGCCTTCGAAACATGATCCCGAAGCAACTTCTCGTACCTAGCACAGATACTATCCTCAAGAGTCAGCGCAGTAACGGTCCGAATTGCATCCACCGCCTCGGTGGCAAACTTTGCACTCTCAGAAAAGACCTCGAGCGTCAGCTTCTCGAAGCCTTTCTCACAACGGATACGGAAGAAGCCCGCCGCAAGCGCGAGCGGCATAGCGGATGATATAGCGACGAGTGTCAGCTTCCAGCCGAAGTAGAAGGATATCGTTAGACAGCCGATGACGTTAAGAACAGATATGGTGACGAAAGCCATATTAATACCGAGGAGCTGCTGTAGTTGGGCCGGATCGGTGGAAATGAGGGCGGTTAGAGTGCCGGTGGAGTGGTTCTCGGTGTCAAAGAAGGGGATGGGTTTTGAGAGGATGTTTTGGAAGTACTCGGCGCAATAGACCGTGGTTATTAGCTGGTGTAGTTAGTTACATTGGCTTTCTCTTCCTAATAACTTTACTTACGAAAGCGACTCGTGTCGAAGCAAAGCCCAGAGCGAAATATCCGATGCCGACAGCAATGGCAAGAATCAGAAACATGAGGCACCAGAAATTAGTGAGTGCCACCAGGTAGTCACCCCAGTAAGAATACGAGGATATTAGAGCGGCAAACATCAATGCCTGCAACGGGGCGCTTGCTGCGATAACTGTTAGCACGACTTCTATGAAATGTGGATGGAACCCACCTCCGGCAATCAGTGCGCCAACTAGCATGATGGTGTACCACGGCCAAAACGGCTTCTGCTCCACGAGCATTGCCCCGAAGCTCCTGAACGTCCCCTTTGGCTTGTATGCTGTTTCGTGTGAACCCGCACTCGCACTGTCACTAGGCTCTGTCTTGGCTTCTGTGTGAGTCACCAAGATGTCCTTGCCTCTAACATCAGCATCAGGGAGATCTGAGGACTCATCCGCTTCTTCGCTCATCAATAGTCTCTGTGAGTTAGACAAGAGCCAATACGCCCCGCCCTCCTGCGCCATCAAACTATCATGCGTTCCCTGCTGCACAACCTTCCCCTTTTGTAACACGACGATATTATCAGCTCTCTTCACCGTCGACAGCCGGTGGGCGATCATGATAGTCGTGCGATTCTTAGCAACTTTGTCCAGGGCAGCTTGCACCATTTTCTCACCCCTCACGTCAATCGAACTTGTCGCCTCATCTAAAATGAGAATTTTGGGCTGTTTGACAATACTGCGAGCTATAGCGAGTCTTTGCCGTTGGCCGCCACTGAGCTTGATTCCTGAGTTGCCAACTGAAGTGTCGTACCCCTTTTTTGCTCCTGTTAGCCTTGCATTTATGTTTCTTCGTCGGGGGAAATGCGCACTTCTGGCAGACGGGAGATGAACTCATCTGCGAATGCTTCCTTGCAAGCCTGTTCAACGAGCTCTCTTTTCTTGTCATGAGGAGCACGTTCCCAGTCGGTCCCCACAAGACCAAATGCAACATTATTCAATATCGTGTCATTGAAGAGAAATGGTTCTTGCTGCACGAGTCCAATCTGGGATCTCCACCACTTGAGGTCGAGTTCGTGCAGATTCTTGCCACCGGTCTGGATGAAGCCGTTTCGAAAGTACAGGATCTATGACTTGGTTTCAGCAACTCGTTGTCTTTCTTTCAGTGATGGGGCTAGAGCAGCTCACGAGCATCTTTTTATCCATGTCTCCATCCAGATCATACCAACGTTCAATCAGCCCCACGATAGTGCTCTTGCCCGAGCCAGAAGGTCCAACGATAGCAGTGACTTTGCCAGCAGGTATCACGAAGCTGACATTATCTAGAATCTTTGCCGTCGGTCGACTAGGATAGGTAAAATTGACGTTGCATAGCATAATGTCGCCGGTTGCCGAGACATCTGGGTCTTTGAGGCCCGTCGTTATGGGCCGGGGTGCATCTATGCCGATGAAGAGAATTCCTGCGGCGCCGGCAGATCTAGCAACAGCGGAAAATGGTGCAGCGATACCTCCGACAGCTGTCACAATCATCATGACACACATCAACACGCTACCATGTGTAAGCAAGGATTCCCGGAACTTGAAGGGTACACTTACATGATAAGTGTGGATACATTCGTGATTTCCGATTTCAGCAACATTCGTGTCGCGTACCAAAATGATAGAGCAAATGTTCTGCAATAGAGTCACTACACAGACTTTGAAGTACTTTGCAAGACGAAGTAACGTACGCGTAGACACTGAAGAAGACTGGAACCACAGGTCAGCAAGAACGAGCCACAGGGTAGAGTGCGACTTACTAGTCCCCTGCTGAACCGCCATAATTTTCGACAACCACATCCCCTTCTCCCTTGACTCATCAACCCAGTGCTGATACCTCATCCCCATCTTCTCTTCGGCCCCACAAGCCGCAACCATACGTATCGCGCCTAGACTCTCACTCACCACAGCCGAAGCCTTGACGTTTGACTCTTCGATTTCCTTCATGTTGCTCAATACGAACGGAATCGTAACACAATAGCAGATCGTAATCACAAATAAGCCACAGCTTGTCACAAGGGTCAACTTCCAGCTGCGAATTAATGAAATGATTACCGCAGAGACGATTAGGGAGATGCTTTGGATTAGAAGGGATAGCTTCTCGCCTATGCCCGTCTGCAATGTGTGCGTGACTGTTGTGACGATGGAGGCGATTTGGCCCGAGGGCTGGGTGTCTAGCAATGAGACTGTCTGCCCCAAGATGGCTTTGAGGTATTCTAGTCGCATTGCAGATGATATGCGCAGGCTTGCTGTGCGGAAGCCTAACTGAGGGGGTCGTGAGTAAAGGGGTAAGGGATATGGGCGCGAGAGGACTTACAGTTGCGATGTATCCAAGGACCAATCTTCCTATGAATAGATAGACGATGGAAAGCCTAGTTTGGATGAATAGATCAGTTCACGGGGCCATTTACATATTTAATTGTAAGAGGACTTACACGCTCTGGTTAAAAATGCCAGTGATGGTCTCTTTGGCGCTTTCACTTTCCCATGATGTAGTTGCTGAGGCAAAGCTGCCTACCATTTGGCCTGTCACGTTTGTTAATAATGACTGGTTTTTGAAAGCTCGCTTATACCAACATACCAAACACGATGATCAACAGAGGAAATGTGAGACCCGCACCAATCGCCGCCACGACCGCCGCGTTCAGAATAACGCAATCGCCTCTTGAAGAATAAGAAAATATTCGCTTGTTTATGTCAGCATTTTTAGTTTGGTGCTCTGGGAGCTATTTACAGTGAAGTTTGACAATGTCTTCTTGTATTCATCCCTTTTCGACGGTTTCTTAGGCGAGGCTGGCGTTTGACCCGCAGGTTGTGCACTGGCATTTCCAGCAGCATCACTGCTCACTGGCACAGTATAATTCTCATTGGGTTGTTCACATGTCGCCTGAGTTTTATCCGTATCTGTTACTGCTTCATGTCTAGTGCTAGAAGCCACCGGAGATGTAGGAGCCACAGAGTGCATCGCATCCATAGGAGGCTGCGGCATGAATGCCTCAGAGACCAGCTCCATTTGTTGTTCAGCTGCCAGGGGCGGGCTTGCGATAAAGGCATTTTCCGGCACCGAAGCTGGGGTTAGTCTGATGTCTGCCTTCCCATTGGGAATTTTCTCTTCCATGTTGCCGATAATTCATGCGATTTGGGGCTTTACCTGTTGGCGGCGGCAGAATAATTACTTCGAGCCGGTACCATCTGAAAGACAGTCAGGTGTATAATCAGCAGGCCAGATGAACCTAGGTCGACCTCATGGAAACTGCGTTGAGCTTTCTAAGCATGACGGCACGATACTAGTATTGCGTGTTGTCTAATCGCTTACAAAGTTATTACACCAACCGGCTGGGTAAATGGGACGGAGGCCACGGAGTATGTCTCCGTCCGGATCCTGGGAGGTAGCATCAAGTTTTAGCGTGGTGTGAATAGCCGCGTGGTCTACCCCTGAGCTCTTATTTCAATATGGGAAGCACTCTTTTCCGACATGGAGCATTGGCATGATTTTCCAATGTTCCTAGACCGATCTGGAAGTGGAGATGTCCATGAAGCACGTCATCACCACTCATCAGGTATGGTTGAGAATGGCCGTATTTGTAATTTAAGCTCTATTGTCTTTGTCACCGTAATTACAACATAAAGGCTGAGTGAACAAGTCAAATCTATGTTCCAACATTATTGCTTGCTTGTACTCGTCCCTGGAATGTAGCATCTATTGACCCAATGTGACCCAATTCCATTTGGCAGTTGATTCCACCAGATATGCGCTAGTGAAACGTGAAAAATAAACACACCGCATATCTCGGGAACAGCAAATTACGAAGAGACATCAGATATCATCGTGCGAATAACGTCTCCCAGTTCCTTCACGACACCCTTCTCCCTGGGCAATGTGTGCCCTTTTCCGTGGTCAAATATGTATGCTTTGTCAGGGTCACACGTGTTGTACAACGCTAAGGACCCTGCCACGTAGGGATCAAGAGATCCAACTGTGAATATCGTTAGTAATTTCCCGACGAAATACGTTGTGCACTTACTGATATGACACGTATGAACATCAATCATCAAATCAGACTCATCCGCCAACACCATCGAATACGTCACCGGATCCAGCGGCGGCCACCCCGCAAAGAAAACGGCACACTTAATCATCGGCGGTCTCCCTGTCTTCTGAAACCACCTCTGTTCCTGCAACGGTAAAGTAGCCGCCACCGCGGCCCCCTCAGAATACCCAATGATGCCCTCAAAAGGCCCTTCCGTCTCCATGATCTTGTACAGAAACTGGATTGCTTTCTGGGTACTGACATAGCTGCTCGCGCCCCCGACATTCATGAGCTCGCGCATCGTGTCTTCGGGGGTATCGCGCTCAGGGAAGTCGCGGATCCGCGAGAGGGCGTCGCCTTCGTCGTCGCTGCTTTCGTCGGGTTCGATGAAGCGGTAGTAGGGAGGCTTACCAAAGAAGTCCTCAAAGCCTTTGGGAGGCACCGCTTTGCAGGGCGCGTTGATGAAGTGGAATGAGGCAGAATCGTCGGAGAGGAGCTCTCTGATGAGGGGCGCTGTGTTGTGTTAGTAGTTACTTGGCACATATGATGCTCCGGCCGGGGCACACCGAGCTGGACTTGGAATTTCTGTTTAGTGGTCAGTACATTGAATGATTCAGAGAATTTATCAATTCATTGACTTACATCGGCACTGCCGTATGCACCGGGAAGACACAGAAACTTCATGTTGAAATATTGGTAAGAACAGGGTCCGATCGCCTGCTGGATCTTGCTTGATCTACGAGCAGAGTTTTACAGACGATGATTGCACACAACCAGTGCCAAAGTGTGCGAAGTCCAGCCACCTTCCAAATTGGACGAAGTGTCCCTTAAAACATGCGGCAGCCAACACCTCGAATATCTCGGTCTTTGCCATTAAAACATGCAGACTGCAGCAAGAACGCGTTCTTAACGATCGACATCTGGACTTCAGTCCCGCTGTAGATTCACATGTCTGGGATAAAGTCACGTAACATCAATAAGACTCTGTCACGAGAGATCGGGCCCTCGAGTTTATTGCCCCATGGAACTAGCCGTGACAGTTCACCCAACTAGGCTCTGCCGCCACAGTCCCAAAGGATACAAGTATGCCCGGGTATTTAATTCAGCACTGGGTCCAGCCTTTTTTCCGGACCCAAACCCCGGATAAACATATATGGAAGAATTCGAGATTTGATATCATGGCATGGCATGAAATTGAACCCTGCTATAATGTTACATACTCCGACTTTCAACACGTGGGGCCCATCTCGGACCATATTGCACGACTATCCCCCCACAATACCGTCAACACCATTTCAAATGCCGGACTGCCCCCACATAGATTCCCCCTTGTCCTCTTTGCCACCTTGCAGGAAGTGCCGTTTATCAAAGCCGATCTTGAAGACCATGGTGTAATAGAATTATATTGCGGTTATTCCGTCCCTGCATAAGTGAGTTGCAACCGCAACGTCGTCTGTTGCTTTTTCCTTTGCGACTTATCTTTACCCATGTAATTTTCCAGACTCTAGCGGGAATCCGTACTTGAACTATCGAAGGCTCTGCACTTTGCTGTTAGATGACAAGGAAGATAACATGCAAGGCATAGCGGAACAAGATAGCTCCGAGATGCATGTGGAAGCTTACGACGACTGGTTTGTGCGGTTGATAATAAACTGACGTATGCTGCAGCAGATTGTGGGCGGCCTGTAATGACGTAGACAAGTGGTGAAAGCGTATAGTAAGTAGGATGACTGAACAGAACCACTACGAACCAAAGGAACTCACATTGCAGTCTGATTAACCAAGCGCGCTTCCGGATATACTGGCCAGGACGGGGAACTGTCAATCGTTGATCGCTATTTACGAAATCATCCTGTCTGGTTCACGTTGACAGCCCACAATGTAGGGTACTCTAGTCGTTCATTATATGCTCAAGTATGACAGCAAATTCTCATTAGTTGAATCTTGGGCTTCTAGGGTTCCATGGATGATTGACACAATTTTCTACACATGTGGTAACGTGCCCTGGAGCGATCCAGGCTCGCGCATACTAAGCAACCAATTAAAGTCGACTATAACAAATATCTTATTCATACTCCAGCGAAATTTGGCGCCGCGTTCTGATGATACAATAATATCGGAGTTAATTTACCCAATTTCAACCCATTGGGCGTCTAATACAACCAGAAACCGTCCCCCAGGGTCCATGAAAATCATGCCTAGATCTTCTTATCTTCCTCGATTCGGCCACGCCCCTGTGAAAGGCCTTGCATGCACCGGAGATGATCAATGAAGCGGCATATAACCCAGTAACGAATGACTTGAGCCGGGCACAGCCTCAAGCGAATTATTGATGCTCAACAAACTCGATATTGGCCTAGTGAACCTGCTGAAAAGGGAGCACTCTATCATGGCTCCGTCTCGCCGAGGGAAAGTATCGCCAATCTACTTAAAACGACATCCTAAACTTGCTATTCGGTCTTTAGACCCGGCCAGAATTTACATTACATAGGTTCGGCCGGATAGGATGTTCCGTCTTCCGAAGTGGGCATCCTGCAACTGAATGGGGTCAAGCAGAAGAAAGGAGTCTAGCACATTACGCCATATGATGGAACATATCTGAGATACGGACAACATCATCCATTCAACAAGTCAAGCCTAGTCCAGACATATAAACTGCACTGGTCTCATACGGACGACATACCTGGTGGATATCTGATAGGGTTACCTACCTAGTATCCAAGTTATGCACAGTAACCCATAGCAGAACGGCATAAGACTCTCGAGTCCCTGCAGTTATGGCTGCGGCAGCCACTCACGGTCAGAGTTCCGCCATCGGTTCAGTGGACGGGCTGAGAAATGGTATCAACAACCACCCCTCTGACAATAACGGCCAGACCAATGGCCTTACCAATGGAACTGGCCATGGATATACCAATGGATACACCAACGGCCATACCAATGGTAATCTTCAAATCTCTCAGCCCAATGGGCAACGAAACAATGTCAGCGCACCGCAAACTCCAACCCAAATCCCGAATACACCCGTAATGCCCATCGCCATAGTAGGCATGTCCTGCCGCCTCCCCGGCTCCGTGTCCAGCCCCTCCGAATTCTGGGAACTCTGCGCCCGGGCCCGGAGCGGCTACACCCCAACAATCCCTTCCTCCTCCCGTTTCAGCAACGCTACCTTCCAGCATCCGAACCCCGACAAAGCCGGTTGCTACAACCCCGTTGGCGGGCATTTCATCGACCATGTCGACCTGGCGGCTTTCGACGCCCCATTTTTCAGCTTGACGGAAAAAGAGGTCGTGTCTATGGATCCGCAGCAGAGATTGCTGCTGGAGTGTACTTTTGAGGCGCTGGAGAATGCGGGGATGCCAAGGCATGGGATTGTGGGAGGTGAGGTTGGGGTTTTTATTGGGGGGTCGTTTCCCGAATACGAGGCGCAGTTGTTCAGGGATAGTGAAAGGATCCCCATACATCAAGCCACTGGTGAGTTTTCTGCTTTCATTAAACGGTGTCCTTTATGTGTGGGTGTTGAATTTGTGCCATGTTGCGTGAATATGTGTGAGAATGGCTGACTTATTTGATGTTGAACAGGTTGCGCATATGCAATGCAATCCAATAGGATTTCGCACTTCTTCGACCTCAAGGGTCCAAGTTTCACAACAGACACTGCATGTTCTTCGAGTCTCGTAGCCATGCACCAGGCCTGTCAGAGCTTGCGAGTGGGGGAGTCAAGTATGGCCATTGTAGGGGGTTGTCACCTGAACACGATGCCAGAATTCTGGATTTCTTTTTCGAAGTCGAGGTATGCATGATTTTGACCGAGACTGATTCCAGAATCGAAGTCGCTAATTTATGAAGACTCTTCTCCGACTCAGGAAGATCCTTCTCCTTCGACAACAGGGGTACCGGATTTGGCCGCGGTGAAGGATGTGGTATGGTGATTTTGAAACCGCTGGAAGAGGCCCGAAGAAACAACGACTCGATCCGGGCCGTTATAGTTGGGAGCGGAGTAAATCAAGATGGAAGGACTCCGGGTATCACGATGCCCTGTGGTACTGCACAAGGTGGGTATTTTATTTGCTTATATATGCCCTTTCAATCAAACAATCCTGACTTACACCACCTTCAGAAACTTTAATGAGGCAAGTCTACACCAAGTCAGGCCTCGACCCCAATGATACTGGCTTCATCGAAGCGCACGGCACAGGAACCAGAGTCGGTGACCCAATAGAAGCAACGGCCATCCACAATGTCTTTGGCACTCGTACACTAAGAGACCCCTTGTATTTGGGCTCGGTAAAGTCGAATATCGGACATTTGGAGGGAGCTTCGGGTGTAATCGCAGTCATCAAAGCCGCCATGATGCTGGAGCGAGGTTTCATCCTGCCGAATTACGACTTTAAGCACCCCAACGAAAAGATTCCGTTTGCCAAGTGGCACATGAAGGTATGTTCTCTTTCAAACACCCCCCTTTCCACTCTCCTCCCCGCAAAAAAAAGAGAAACCTAGCGACACAAGATGCATCGTCCCTAACACTTCACCCCAGGTCCCCACCAGCCAACGCCCCTGGCCCCGAACCAAAAAATATATCAGTGTCAACAACTTTGGCTTTGGCGGGACCAACGCCCATGTCGTACTCGAGCGCATTCCCTTCGTACCTCGCAACAACCCCAAATCTACCGACCTCTACTCGAACAAACCAGACGAGGAAGACAATCCCAACCGCAAACTCTTCGTTCTAACCGCCAATGACAAATTATCCCTCGAAGCCGTCATGCAAAACCTCGTAATATACCTCGAGCAGCGGCCAGAAATGTTTCAGAAGGACCTCATGGGCGATGTGGCCTATACACTGGGCCAGCGAAGGTCTTTATTGCCGTGGCGCGTGGCTATCCCGGCTTTGAGGTCATTTGATCTGATCGAGGCGCTGTCGAGCGGGCAGAAGGTGGTACCTGCCAAAACACTGGTTGAACCATTGAGGGTTGGATTTATTTTCACGGGTCAGGGGGCGCAGTGGTATAGGATGGGGAGGGAGCTATATGAACAGTACCCCGTGTTCACCCGCGCGATGGATTGGGCGGATCGGTGTTTGGCAAGATTGGGGGCGGAATGGTCGCTCATTGGTGAGTGTTTGCGTGTTTTCGGAATTTCAGGGGTAAAATGGAGGTGATGCTAACTATATTTGTAGAGGAGCTGGGTAAAGATGAAAATACATCCGTGGTTGGTGCAGCACATATCAGTCAACCTTCATGCACGGCCATCCAACTAGCCCTGGTCGATTTACTCCGATCTTGGGGCATCCACCCTGCAGCCGTCGCAGGCCACTCCAGCGGAGAGATCGGAGCTGCATACGCCGCTAATATCCTTCCTTTCGAATCGTGCATGTCCATTGCCTACCACCGCGGCCGCCTGATTCCGGTTCTGAAAGAAAGATATCCAGATCTTAAGGGAGCCATGATGGCAGTTGGAGGCAACAAAGAGGACTTTGAGTCGCTACTCTCCCAAGTAACAGATGGAGAGGTCAGGATTGCATGCTATAACAGCCCGTCAAGTCTGACAATATCTGGGGACGAGGCTGGTATCGACCAGTTGAAGTCCATAGTCGAAGAGAAGCAGCTCTTCAACCGGAAACTCTTCGTTGACACGGCATACCACTCTCACCACATGAACCTAATCGCCAAGGACTATCAGCAATCAATAGCCGACACCAAGCCTCCAATCTCAACAGAAACCCGGTTCTATTCTAGTCTTGTCGGTCGCCCTATCGACGGCAAGGAACTAGAAACATCATACTGGGTACAAAACCTGACCTGTCCTGTCCGCTTCTCCGAAGCAGTCCAAAGCATACTCGAACCCATCGGCGAGCACAGAATCGGGATCAACATGCTCCTCGAACTAGGACCGCACGCCGCTCTTCAAGGCCCCCTCAAGCAAATTCTTAAGGCCGTCGGCGGCGATGCGGCCAAGATCCCGTATGCTACATTACTATCACGCAAAAAGGACGCGGTGGAGACAGCCATGGACGTAGCAGCCACGCTATTCACCAAAGGTGCCACATTGAACTTCGAAGCCGTCAACTTCGCCAAGCCGGGGAACAACAAACCGCCTATCCTGCTTACTGACCTGCCGCGATATCCCTGGAACCACTCGGCGAAATACTGGCACGAGTCACGCCTTACCAAGAAGCAGAAGGATAGGGGGACGCGGAATGACATTCTCGGGACCCTGGCCAATTACTCGAATGACCTCGAACCGACGTGGCGGAATATTGTGAGACTGGATGATCTACCTTGGTTGGAACACCACAAGATCCAGTCCTTGACCATATTTCCCATGTCAGGGTACTTGTCCATGGCGCTAGAGGCTGCTGCGCAGAGAGCTGCTGCTGCTGAGGTTGAGTATGACAGATACCTGCTCCGGGATGTCTCGGTTGTCGCACCGCTTGTCATTTCTGATGAGGACGTGGAGATGACTACGAATTTACGTCCACATCAGGAGGGCACCCTCCTGTCTTCCGATACGTGGGATGAGTTCCGCATCTGTTCCTGGACGACGATTCAGGGGTGGAAAGAGCACTGCAAAGGGTTGATTGCTGTGCAGGGTCGCGAAGATAACGGGGTCGACGATATGAGACAGGCACACAGTTCGCAAGCCTTGCTGAGATCCGCCAAGTTCATGGTTGACAACTCAGTCCTTTCAACCTTGTGTTCTGAGAATATATACAAGCAACTGTTGGAGCTAGGTGTTGCCTACGGGCCCACATTTCAGTGCATTGCTGATTGCCGCGCTAGCAATAGTGGTTCGAAGGCTGAGCTTACTGTACCAGATGTGGCCAAGGAGATGCCCAATCACTACCTCTCCGACAGTATACTCCAGCCAGCCCTGCTTGAATCCTTGATCTCCATGTACTGGCCCATCGCGTCCGCAGGTATCAATACCGTGGAAACGTTGGACACAATTTACTTGCCTTCTTCCGTCGAAAGAATCACCATCTCTCGAGACGTTACCGAAGCAACTAAGGAGCCAGGCAAGGTGTTGGCCGCCTACTGCCAAGGAAAGATACCCCGAGTTGGGCCCAGACCGACCAAGGTTTCCATGATCGCAACCGCAGCAGATAACACGTCCGAGCCCCTTATTGCACTGGAGAACTTAACTATCGCCCCAATCCTTGAACACAACTCGGAAATCGAAGAGGGCTACCGCGAGCTTTGTTACAAGCTCGACTGGGAGCCTATTCTGGAATCCACCGACTCCGACGCATCGACTCAGGAACTCGCCGATGCCGAAGTAGCAATCATCCACGCACACAACACATCACAACAACAACTTGCATCAAGCCTGTCCAGTAAAATCGAGCGGCTTAGCGGCAAGAAACCCAACACCAGCAACCTTCTCGAAAGCAGCACCGAAGGCAAACTCTGCATCGTTCTCTCCGAGCTCGAGAAACCTCTTCTCTCCACCCTCCAGCCTGACGAGTTCGAAGCCCTGCAGCGCGTTCTTACCTCCGTACGTGGCGTCCTCTGGGTCATCCGAGGCTCCTACGATACTCCTACCTCCCCCGACTTGAACATGATTGCCGGTCTAAGCCGCACGATCCGCTCAGAAACTCTTCTCCCTTTCGCAACTTTAGACCTTGACGGCCAAACCCAGCTCCCAGATACCGAAATTCCAGACGCAGTTCTCAAAGTCTTTAAGGACGTCTTCCGCAACCCTCGCCCCAACCAAGAAATGGAGTTCACAGAACGCTGTGGCAAATTCTTCACTGCGCGCATCGTAGACGATGAAGCCATGAACGCACTCGTGCACCGCGAGACCCAAGCATCTGCCCTCTTGCCAACCAAGTTCGTGCAGGATGAGAGGCCACTGAAAATGCAGATTGCCAATGCGGGCGCGCTAGATACCCTGTACTTCACCGATGCAGCCTCTGGCTCGGACGACGTTACCCGAGACCTGCCCCTGGCCCCTGATGAGATCGAGATTTCCGTCCAAGCCATCGGCGTCAACCACCGTGACTTGACCACCGCGCACGGTAAGCTCCCGAATTCAGATTTCGGCATCGAATGCAGCGGGACGATTACCGCAATCGGCGCAAAAGTATCCCATCTCTCCACCGGCGACCGCGTCGCCGCCTTAACTCTCCAACCCGCCTTCGCGACCACAACCCGCACCAGATCCTCCTTCGCCATCAAGCTGCCCCATGACATGTCCTTTCAAGACGGCGCGACACTTCCCTTAGCATACAGCACGGCCTACCACTCGCTCCTCGAACTAGCCCGCCTCCACGACTCGGAACGCGTGCTCATCCACGCCGCGGCGGGCGCAGTGGGGCAAGCCGCCATTTGCCTCTCGCAAATGATCGGCGCTGAAGTCTTCGCGACCGTCGGCAGCGCCTCCAAGAAGGAATTCCTCATGCAGGAATTCCACATCCCCGAGGACCACATCTTCTACAGCCGGAACGCAGCCTTCGGGCGTACTTTGCGCCAGATTATGGGAGATGGGAGTGGGGTCGATGTCGTGCTGAACTGTCTTTCGGGTGATGCGTTGGGCGAGAGCTGGGATTGTCTGAATCGGTTTGGGAGGTTGGTAGATATTGGGACGCGGGAGGCGGGGACGAGTACAAGACTCGAGATGGTCCAGTCGCAGGGTCACAATGCGAGCTTTCTGTCGGTTGATATCATGGCGTCGGTGGCGGAGAGGCCCAGGGTTATGGGGAGGTTGATGGCCGAGGTGGCGGATTTGGTCAAGTATCGGAAGATTAGGCCGGTGGCGCCGGTGACGGTCTTCGCTATTTCGGAAGTGGAGGCGGCGTTTAAGAGACTGCATAGTGCTAAGGGATATGGGAAGGTGGTTGTTGTGCCAGGGGCAGATGATGTTGTTCAGGTCGGTACCTTGCTTTGTTGTTTGGTTTAGGGGTATGCCTTTTCTGACTGACTTGTATAGGCAACTCGTCCAAAGCGACCACGTCAACTTCTGAAAGAAGATGCGACCTACATCCTTATCGGCGGCACGGGGGGCCTAGGTCGCAGCATGGCCCGTTGGATGGTTGGCCGCGGAGCCAGACACCTAGTCCTCGTGTCCAGAAGCGGCTCCGCAACTGGCAAAGTCAAGGAACTTATCGAAGAAGTCGCTCAAGAAGGAGCCGAAGTCGCTGTACATCGCTGCGATGTCGCCAATGCATCAGAGGTCGAGAACCTTGTGCAGAGCTTGCAGGAGATGCCTCCCGTCCGAGGCTTGGTGCACGGCGCCATGGTGCTACACGTAAGTCACACCATACCCCAACATCCCTAGAGGAGTCCAAGGCTAACTTTTGCTAGGACGTTCTCTTCGAGAAAATGACCTACGAGCAATACGCCACCGTAACCGCCTCCAAAGTCGCCGGCGCCTGGAATTTCCACCGCGCCCTGCTCTCCTCTTCTCTGCCCCTCGACTTCTTCATCGCCGTCTCTTCCGCCGCCGGCGCAGTCGGAAACCGCGGTCAAGCCGCCTACGCAGCCGCCAACACCTTCCTCAATGCTTTGGTCCAACACCGCCTCTCCCTCAGCCTACCCGCTTCCTCGCTCGACCTCACAGCCGTCAGCGACACCGGCTACCTCGCCGAGGACGCCGCCAAAGCCGCAGAAGTCGCGAAGAACCTCGGCGGCGACACCATCTGCGAGGCCGAGGTGCTTGCCCTTCTCGGCGCGGCGATTGATGGCACGTTGGAGAGCGCGTGCAATAACCACGTCATCACGGGGATGCGGATCACTAATTTCCCCTCCGCGCCGCCTTTCTGGACCGGGGATGCGAAGTTCAAGCACCTCCGGCTGGCTGCCGAGAAGAAAGCTGCCGAGGAAGCTGATGCCTCGGCCGGCGATCGCACCAAGGCGGTGCAGAATTGGAAGGCTGCGCTCAAGGGGGCAAAGGAACTAGCTGAGGCGGAACAGGTCGTGTGCGATGGACTGGTGCATAAGCTGGCGGCGGTTATGATGGTGGAGGAGAAGGAGTTGGATGTCACGCGATCTCTGTCGTATTACCCGCTCGACTCGCTTGTGGCTATTGAGATTCGAAATTTCATTACCAGGGAATTTGAGACGACATTGCAGGTGCTTGAGTTATTGTCGAGCGGGTCGATACAGACGCTTGCTAAGGCGGTTTGTGTCAAGAGCAAGTTGGTGAACCTTTAATTGTTGACGGACTGTTACAATTTGCCTAATTATATGTTTCTTTCGTTGTACACGTCGATAGGGTTTGATTGGGCTCTGGGCCTTGTAGGATGCGTAAGGAGGAAAGTTAGTCGATAATAAACACAACTTATTTACTTGACTACTTACTTGCCTGAGCTTGGGATACTACCGTTTCCGGTGACATGAATAATTTCCGTACCTGAATCCTTGATGGTTGACATGCCGGAAGATAGACGCATTCGATCCAATATTCGCGCGACCAGGGCAAATAATGTGCTCACCAACACCGTGGTTTGACCCCTTGTGTCTTAACAAGACGCCCAGCGGTGGTGTCAGAGGCGGTGGAAACGGACTTGGGCGGACATTGAGGAGGCCAGATGTAGCCATTTTGAGGGGATAAGTTGATATATTTGGAAGATGCGAACTCTTCACTGAAAGTTTCGAATGGGCTACGGAAACATACGCAGGCACGGCGGGTGCTCCTGAGTTGTATGCAATGAATATAAGCTACAGATTACATGGCTCCGCTGTGTCTCCGATATTCTTTATACTCGAGCTGATCTGCCAGTATCAAAGCTTTTCTTGCATCAACGGATAAGACTGCCAGCAGGTGCCAGAACACCAATCACTGACGTTTCTCTTGTGTGACTTCATCTGGGTTCTACTGTTTCCAATGAAGCTGTGTTTGGGATCGTCGCATTGCACTCGAAAGCCCAATGTGGCGGTACCTCCCAGAGGCAACCCATCAGAAAAGAACTCGAACACTCTGCACCGCGCCTTCACTTCTCACTCGAGCTAAGGTCTTCCAACCTCGCACGCAGCCAAGCCTCGTACCCTGCAAACATACCGACATGCTGCCAGCGACCGCAGAAGTCGGCCAAACCGTCATACCTGGCCTTCACGTACCGAGCCTTCTCCGTGTCGCTACCACAACCCAACTCCCCTGCAACCGCATGTGTGATTTTAGCCAGACGCACCGGACAGAGATACGGCGGCTGCCGGACGTCTTCGGCCATTCCAGAGGTGCCCTGCATGACACAGGCATAGTAGGTGCAATGACCCATCCCCAAGCAATGTCCAAGTTCGTGGACCACAGTTCGAGCAAGGCGGGAAAACCAGAGTGCTCTGTGGTCTTCCGCGGCCAAATTAGGGTTCGTCCGACTTGCTGCATCAATGGCCCTGCGCAGGGGCGACGCAGAACTTGATGGAACTCCGGAACCACTAGTCGTGACCTTCAGGCCTTTCCCGGCACACAGGCCATCTGCATACGTCTTGCAATGGGAAGCAGGCCACATATGGGAATAGTCGATGCCAGCGAACTCATCCAGCACCGGGTGATATCTTGCCGTGGAGACGACCGCAACTCGGCTACCTCCGTACGCCCGCCCGCAACAGAAGTCATCATCCTCGTCCTCGTACAGATCATGGTCCATCAACAGAACAATGGCGAAGGCATCACCTGGTAGCATCTCGATCGCCGCATCTAGAATGTCTTCCAGATTCAACTGTCCGGAAAAGACACCATCAGGCGACGACGGCCGAGCTCGGATACGGACGCAGTTGTTGCTCGTGGCCAGACCTACGTACTTCTCCTTTCCCACCGGACCCTTTTCTGTCCATGGCACGAAGCGCAATCGCTCGGGGAACGGCGTCACCACCAGGCCATGGTAAAATACGCTGACGTACTCGATAACGTCCTCGGCTTCCGGTGACTGCAGCTTCTTAGCCTTCGCCTTGCCGTCGCCAACGCGTGGCTCAGTCCAAGCCTTCATGTACCCCATCTTGGTTGTAATCTCCGGGACAGCAGCGACATACAGGGTCTTACTGGCATTTCGGCCAGCTGTGGGCTTGTTGCGATGTTTTTCGGTCAGCCACGACCGGAAGCTCTGGGGCGGATGACGTGGATCCAGTGCGAGATAATCGTCGGGCAAAACCAACGGCGCTGGGAACGAGGCTGCGAGGTTGGCTACTGTTTGTTCTGTCTGATTCTCGGTGGCCTGCTGGCTATGGCCTTTGACTGACAGGGGATTTCGACCAGATCTGGTCGTCGCAGCTAGTTTGCGATCTGCAGTGACTCTTTCGAAGCCGACATGTCCAGCATATGCGGACGGCTCAAGTTGGAGCTTGTCATGGCGGCATGGAGCTATGTTCCTCGACATGGCGGCAGTTATTCAAGGCATAGTCTCCGCGAATTCCCCATGTCAGCCATGGGTTCTTATACCTTTTGATTGTTTGAGAGAGGTTGGTTGCCATGGCTGCCTAAAAGTGGTGAGGGTGCGCATGTCAACAATCAGATCAAACCAACGTCGAAGCAACCGTGAGATGGGCCAATCATGTTGGGGCACATGAGACCAGCAAATTGTTTTGCAGGAGCTTGGATCAGGCCGTCTTCTCTACTTTGTAATTGATGCGCCAACCCCGCGTCCTGCGCGACAGTGCAGAGTGTGAAGATTCGGCGTGCAAGCTGGCTGTTCGGCGCGTCAACATGTCTCATCGCGATATTGCAACTTTTGGAATTCGCCATGTCAAAATCAAGATGGCGAACACGCTCATTGTCAGATACAAGGGGTCACGTGATTCAACATTAGGGGTGGTTAAGACTACCAGCCACTTGGACTTAGCCCAAGATGCTCCTGCAGAGCACGCAACAATAATTCATTGGAACCGATCACAGCAAGATCACAGAGACTTCATATCAGAGTCACATCAGAAACAGAGCAAGGCCACACAGCAAGACAAGACACGTTCGCAAGTTACCGGAGTTGTGTCATCGGTTGTTAAGCTAGGTCGAGCTGCGTAATCTGACCTGGTACAATGTATACCATTTCGGAATCAAAAGACCACCAGTACTGAATTTGGAGGGTCCATTTTAATAACATAAATTCTCCAGTTGTCTAACTTGAAGATAAAGATGAGACGTCAAAACGCCTAATCAACCTTCTGAGGCCTACGCTTTCTCCGACACTGCCTCCTCTATCCCTCGTATGACCCTATACCTCTGTCCATCATGTCCTCTCCCCACCAGCACCAACAGGAAAAACTAATAAGGTCGGCAATCAAACGTTCCATCGTCCGTGATGAAGACACCAAGGCCACCCGCCTCTTCATACCATCTGCATGTACTTAGTTGTGTCGTCACAGACACCGGTCTTCACAGGACCCGCTTGACCAGATTGATGATCACCCTATTTAGACCAGGAGGTTTCCTCGTCGGGAAATTGCACTCCAAACTCAAATTCTTTCCCGTCAATTCGTAACGCCCGCAGGATTTGAAAGGCCCCTGTTCGCGCGGTAGATCATATTCCCAAAATTGTTGCCGTTGCACTTGTTCCAGTCGACGGTCAACTCCTTGGGGAATTGGCCGGTGGGGGAACAGATCCCTGTAAAGGTGCCGCAGCACTCTCGCACACAGGAGAGCTATTTGCATCTGTGTAGAAATGACTACCATTATTGACCGCACATCTTCTCGGCTCGTCTCCTCAGCCCTCATTGGATGGCATATTCCTTTTCCAAAATTTTAGACTCAAAAAGATGCAGGAAAGATGCAGGAGTTTGTCTAAACCCCGTCGTATCTGCTGAACGCTGTCATTCCAGATACGGTGCTCCTCCCTATTAGAGTGACAAGTAGTGAGATTAGCTGCCCAGCTCCAAAATAAAAACATCAATGTAGTCAATATTTTGAGCCACATCATCCACTGTAGAATTGGACTCGGCAATGTGTGTGATTTGCTCGGGAGCCGGGATGTGGTGTCTGTGTGGATGGATTACATCTGGGACATTGCCACCAACTGCTGATTGGTCGAGCGGGCACTGCCTCTTACACTCCGAAAAGGGTCATCTTAGCCAGATATAGAAATCACCAGTAATGGATTTCCATCGACTATTTTCTAGCTGAGATGGTAAGTTCGGTCATCCGAGAGTAGGTGGAAAAGATGGTTCAATTCTCTGTCTCGTTTCAAGTGCGTCGATATGAGGACCAAGCAGTCCAGGCAAAATCAAAGGTCCTATGGCCTAGCGCCACAGTGGCTAACAGACAGTGGCTGTGCACACAACTGACTAGCTGTGGCAAATAAACAGCATATGTACGCCTCCGGTAGAATGGAAACTATATGTATATTAGAAAATTGAAAGAAGACGAACTATGTGTGTTAGATACCGTCCCGCTGGGCCCCTATGCCCAAATCTTATACAAGTGTCCTCAAGCGGTGTGTCACTAGTTCTAACAATCATGTTCATGATGTAGCAGCACCCAGTCGGTGTCATCAAGTGGAGGTTCTAGGTCATTATCACTGGACGTATTAACGCTACAGAAGCCGTGCATACAATTCTGCCAGGAGCCAGGACTCAATCACAGCATCACAGCACCGAGTCAATGATCAGTGCCCAAGGGTCGTATCAGAATGGTGTCTACGTTGGCACTACCCCCTTTTGTATGTCTATCTATGGCCGCAACTTCAGGCATCAATTGCGTCTCATCTCGTCCAATCCACAAAGATTCTCATATCAGAATTATGAATAGCAGAAGAAATTATATGTAATGCTTTACCTAACGAACCATCCCTCCTCAAATTCCATTGAGTACGCCACCATTGAAAAGAAGTCTAGAATCAAGACTAAGTCGGACGGATGTTGGACCCCTGAACCGTGGTAAAGATGCACGACATGTTAGGAGGCAGCTTCAAGCATCATCCTCAGTTTTCTCCTTTTTGACGCTGAATTCGACATCTTCATCCTTGACAGGCTTGTTCTCGGAACGGGCGGGCTTGTCACTGTTTGACCCTTCAGAAATACTCCCCTCAGACTTGGTGGCCTCCGTCTTGACCTCGGTGTCATCTGCATCAGTATAGAGGGTACCGTCAGCAGCATCGGATTTGTCGAGGCCGGAGATGCGAGCCTGCAGTATGACGTGCTCCAACTGCATTTGGTCTATAGCGACAGGCATGGCCTTAGTAACCTGTTTTACTACCTCTTGAAATCCAAGGTTACATCCCTTATGACCCTTATGAGGAGCATATCCCTCACCGCGGAAATCGAAGAATTTGATATGACAAACGGCATTCTTGAGATCCTTGATACTGCCTGTAAACTTGTCGGGGTCGGGGACGGGGTAGAGGCCAGCCGGGACAAGAGCCTTGAGGGCTGATCCAAGCATGATGCTCTCACAGCTGTCGACGTCAATTCCAGTCCTGCAGAACTTCGGAGGGTCTAGTCTCTTGATTCCAGTGAGGTGGTCGAGAGGGACCTTGATTTGTTTGAGCAATTTGGCCACAGTTTCGGCACGAACAGTAGTTATGCGTTCTGTGAGAAAGGTAAGTTAGTCGTGAGATCACAGTGAAAAGAGTCTGATAACCTACCAAGAAGTCCGTTGGGAAGCCTGAAGTCCTTCATGGACATTCCAGCCTCGTTGACAATCTCTCCATTACCATCAACCTTGGCATTAACGACGAGTGAGTCTGACATGTCCTTGAGAAGTTGGCAGTCACCAAGCTCATAGGCAATCCAGGCAGCCTTGTGAGCTTTGATGGCGCAGTCCTCATCCGCAACAAGCGTGGACAGACCTTCGACCCACTTGCCAGACCAAGGGTAGACAAGGTGGGTGCAGGCATACTTGTTTGTGAGGATCGTGATTGCGTAGAGCTCGTCCAGGGAAGGAGCATTGGAGACTTTGTTGAAAGAGAAATGAGCGATGCTCAGTAAAGTACCAAGAGCCTTGGAGTCGTCTTCCTTCTCAGCCAGGACCTCCCAGTCATCGCCGTCCACACTAGAACAAGAGACGTCAGTACTTACGAGTTTCTGCAAACTGAGCGACGAATTGGGAATTCGAAGTGATGTCTTGAGAGACATTCCTTGCCCCCAAGACAGATGACAAAGTAGATGAAACAATTCTGCAAGGTACTTACGGTCGAGACGGGGCATCCTTTCCATAGAGGCGGCGCCGCCACTCAGCAGAGGCAGTCGCAACATTGGCGGCAGAGACCTTGTACTTGTACTTGCCGACCTTGATGGTTATGTCCCAGTCAGCATGAAATATGATGACAACGTCTCCATCGGCATCAATCGTGCCACCATGGACAGAAGTCTCGTCCTCCTTGATGGGTGTGAGGAGTCCGGGGGAGTGGATAGCAGCCATCGTGATGGGATTGATCTCCGCAGCAGAGGGCGTTGGGGTGAAGATGATTATGGGATATTAGCAAAATTTAGAAATTCAAGGCAGAGCAGAAATATTAGACGGAAGAGGCGGCTCGGAATTTCCACTCGGCGAAGGGGGAGTTGGATTTGGGTTGGAGAAACTGGTGTGAAGTTACTCGGCAGGGGAAGTGCCAACACAATTCTTCTTGTTATTGTTGTTGTTGTTGTTCTTATTGTAAACGTATTGCTGAGCCCTGGCGAGGAAATCAGTAGTGATTTGGGAAGGTGTCGATTTGGTGTCGATAGCAAGTATTCCGTGTCTAGCAGCTCGCAACTAGGAGTCGCGATGGGGTGGCAGATTGACGCTAGCACTATCATCACCGCCTTCACGGCTATTTTCAGGTCGTTGTTTCGACATGATCCTTTGTCTCAATATATTTATTAGTGTCATATATACGAATAGGTAAGGTAGATTGAAGAATGAACTAGCATGAATAGAGAAAAAAAGTATACAGCTGCCTAGGCCAGTGCCAGATATCCAGCGCCTTTACTGGGAAGGCACGTATCCTGTTGGTAATAGCCACGTTTGGCAGCACATGTACCGGTGTTGAATTTCTCTTCTTGATTTTCTGGTTCTCCATGCTGGCCTATTGGTAGTGTTCCTGCTTTTTAGATCTCGGTTTTCTGTTCTCCATGCCACTGTCCTAAGGATCATATTTTCGATTTTCAGGTCTTGGTATTTAGTTCTCTACAACTTGCCCTACGGATAATGCGCTTGTTATTATTTGAACCGTTCAAGGTCGACCGACAGTCGACTCCGCTACTAACAGACACTCGCACCAAGTATCGCACCAGGTACGCGGAACGGATGCATCACTTGCAGTTAGAGGGAATTTCTGTTCTGGAGGCTGAATTTGGCTGGCAAGGATTCCCATTTGTTGATAGCATGACAGCGAGGCACGATAGGGATGGTGGTTACTCTCGTGTACCACGAGGACAAACCGGACGGCTGCCCACGGGAGCGCTGCATGGACAGGATCGAAGCTAGCGTCGACATCGTCCACCGCGAGAAACTTGTTCAGTATTGAGACCGTATTTTCAACAAGGCTATCGTTTCGTTCGCTCGTGATTTCCCGCTCCATTTCCTCTTTGATGGCCGCTGCTCGGTCTGTTACAGTGGCAGGCTTGCCGTCGGGTGTTTCAACATTGCTGGCTACATTATTAGCGATCTCCTCGACAGTTTTGATGTCTTGGTCTTCTTCAGACTGTCGTAACCGCTCTAGGGCTTTATCCCATAGAGAACTTTTCGTGTCTGGTTGCTGCAGGGTGGCGGAAGCCGGGGGTACGGAGGTCGGGATATCTGTGATCGCTCGTTGTGCTGGCGCCGAGGAGGTTGAAGAAGTTCTACGCTCCAAAGTCTGGAGCTCGATACTTTCTAGAGTTGGTCAGTTAGGCTTACCGATTAGATTCGACGCTTTCTTACTCGAGATTCCAGTGTCTCACGACGCCGGCGAGGCGACTATGCCGGGTCCGTTGTGGATATCCTGTGCTACCTCGGACGCCGTCGGGTTCTTAGCGCCGTACCGCGCGGTGAGACGTCTCCGCCACCCTTTGAAATATGAACGACTAGGCATGACTATAGCCAGCACCGAATGAGAGGAAGGGACGTGCTTGGAACGTTAGTTCGCTTCTAAGGTGATTGGCTTAAGCGCTAATAGGACGTCATAACGCCGTAGTGCTAGTGCGGATGCAGCTGAAGCACGAGATGGACTTGCTTCGAGGTACCAAATGTAGACTTTGGACGTGAACTCCACATGAGCATATGTTCAATACAACTATTGTGAAGTAAGGGCGGAGATTTTCAAAAAAAAAAAAAAAAAAAAAAAAAAAAAAAAAAAAAAAAGAACGATACTCCTATTGCAAGATCTAATAGTTTTGGGCCAGCCCCGCCCTCTGAGGCCCTTCTGTGGCTAAGCACTAGCCACAGATACTTGCCGGTGGCCAGTACGTACCGAACGCCGTATTCGCCCGTATCCACAGGGCTTGGCTACATACGTTCAATGAGGACGTCGGGCGACTCCAGGCACAATTATCACGACACTGGAAGGTTGGCTACGCGATATTAAGTCAGCTGGGTGGCCAGACAGTAAACAGTCAAGCCGTCCCAGCAAAACAAGACACTAGACAGCCAGCTAGAGTGTACGCCAAAAGGGCCTCGTCAAACAGCTAAGATCTCACCAGGGCCTCGTCGGCGATAGAAGTAAAAGAGTTCGTAAAATGTATGATGCCAGAGTCTGGTGAGGTCACATTGAAGTGTTACAGGTCGCAGTAGCATGCATAATCAAGGTGGGAAGAGACAGATATTTGACCACCTATAGTACTAAATGAATGACATGTACTTTTTCTCTTCCTATAATGATCAAAATAAAATATCCGTCGCCCTTACAGCCTCATTCTCCAGCAATTTCTCACTTATAAGCTTCTCACATACCCACGAATCCCCGAACGAGGACGTCCTTCCCAGCTCAGCAGACATTGAACGCCTCGCGCTTCAGACGGGTTTGCACAACCTCCACGCCTAAATAGAAGCCGTCTTACTCTGTCTCGAACCCCTCTTACTCTGTCTCGAACCCCTCCAACAGCTCCCTTCTAATTTTGCTTCGCAGCTCCTAAGTACAGCTCCTATCTGCCCACTTAAGTAAGAACTGGTTCTTCTCGTAACGTGCTGAAAGGCAGTCAACCTCGTAAATATTTTCGGGTTTTATACGTTTAGGTGAGTACAACTTCTATAGCACAGTTTCTAACTATAAATGAGTAGCACATACCTTCGATATTAGCTATATTCTCACGAAATATATTATAAGGCTTCCGCCCCCGTCTAGTTCGGCCACGTTGTCAGCTCTATGGCCGGCTATTACGCTACAGTTGAATTCCTATTTGGCAACGTCTTGACCTGTCGTCGCCTCGCATTCCCGCCGGTCAACGATAGTCTATCTCTATCGACAGCGGGTGCCATCAACACACAAAACAAATAGCCTGAAAAAGGTTGCGGACAAGACAGGCGCAGCACAGGATGGTGGTTTTGCGACGTAGAGCCAGCCGATTCTCGCGACCCTGATCAGCCGAGAGTGCAAAGTGACGGCCTATGAGGAAATTGCGGGGAACTCGAATGTCCGCCTTGATCCTCCTGCCTTGGAACTACGTGCCATGGCTGTGCACTGGCAACAGGCTTGCACTAATCATCTCTCGTCGATATGCGCTGGCAAATGCACTTTGCATGCCCGATGACCAGCTGCTCGGCTAGTGGCCATGTGAGCAATCAGGCCGCGACACAGCCGCCAGTAAGTGTTAGCGAACAATTGGATAAGACAACGACGAGGCGTCCTTCATCCGACGCAACGGGGCCGCTTGTGCGATCGAAGCGCTGAGACTGGCCCGACTAGCCCGGCGACTACAGCCAGCAGTGATCAGTCCACAGAAAAGCCTCGGGATGACAGTGCAAGCACACGCACACGCGAGGAGTCTGCCATCCACTGTGTGTATCTCAAGGAGCATGTCGTTGAAGAGGCATACGCGATCAACCCCAAGGTAAGACTCAAACGTCGACGTATGCATTATAGCCGTGACTTGCGTAAAATACTACGACAGTATTATTGTGGTGAAAAGGGCCTAACAACTGTGATAATAGGCTTCCGTTCAGCGGAAGAATAGAAGGTGGCAGGCTCGATTGACCTGGCCAGACGGGAGGCCTCAAGGGGCGTAGATTAAGGATGCTCGGGTCAAGGAAAGAGGGAGAGAACGGAGTGTGTGATGGATGTGGGACGGATGTTGGAGAGTGAGGGAGAAGTCAAGTATGCGTAAAGAGGAGTTGGCGGAGAACCAGGCTTATATATGCACATTCTGGTTGCCAACAAGGATGCGCGGCCGCGCAATATCGAAACAGGAATGGGGGCTAAAACCGGGAGGTGCGACAACGCGTTCCTGACTACAAACGTATCTTCACATTATCTCCACTATCATCGTGATTGATATCATCTACGCCTTGGGAGCTGTACTGCTTCTTGCAGCATTCAGTGGTAACGTCCCACACCCACATCCGGGACACCCCCACATGTGGGACACCCAAAAATGCCTCTAACTTCAACCTCTTTTTTCTTTACCAATATTGATTCAATCGTTACGAAATTTTACGTACGTCTTCTTTACACTAATATGAGTCAATATACCGAAGATGATATTTATTGAGCTCTTCAAGCAATAGCTACCGGTCAAGGCTTCCGAAAAGCAGCATATGAGCATGGTGTCCCAAGGTCTACTCTTTCACGACGGATTCAGGGAGCCCAGTCAAGAGATATAGCCTTCGCTGACTACCAGAGGCTCTCTCCAGCCCAGGAATCTCATCTGGATCAATGGGTTCGAATCCAGGCTGCCCTAGGCCTCCCACCAACCCATCAACAGCTCAAAGACTTCGCCGAGCGTATCCTACAGATCCACGGAGACACCGAACCACTTGGAAAGAACTGGGTCCAGGCTTTTATCAAGAGGAACCCTTCAGTCAAGGTCCAGAGAAGCAGAGCTATCGATTCCCAGCGTATTAATGGAGCCTCAGCTAATGTGATCAGGCAATGGTTCAAATACCTCGCTATCCCTGAGATCAAAGCTATTAAGGCCTCGAATCGATACAATATGGATGAGACAGGTATTCTAGAAGGTAGAGGATCAAATGGTCTTGTTCTAGGATCATCTGAGACTCGTTCTATACGGAAGAAACAGCCTGGATCTCGAGCTTGGACATCTCTTATAGAGTGTATCTCTGCGACTGGTACTGCACTACCCCCACTTGTGATATACAAGGGGAAGTCTGTCCAGCAGCAGTGGTTTCCTCTGGACTTGACTCCATACGAAGCCTGGAGGTTTACAGCAACAGAGAATGGGTGGATGTCAGACTCTACGGCTATTGAGTGGCTACAAAAGATCTTTATTCCTTTGACTCAACCAGAGGACCCTGAAGAGACTAGGTTACTTATCCTAAATGGGCATAGTGGCCACGAAACGACAGAGTTTATGTACCTCTGCTTCATAAACAAGATACACTTGCTTTTCTTGCCGCCACACACATCCCATGTTCTCCAGCCTCTCGATCAGTCAGTCTTTGGACCCCTCAAGGCAGCCTATAAGAAGGAGCTTGGTTACCTCGACCGATGGGATACTACTACTGTCGTAGGGAAGAGAAACTTTCTCCTCTGCTATAGAAAGGCACGTCTAGCAGCATTGACTGCTAAGAACATTATCAGTGGATGGAAATATACTGGTCTCTGGCCTTCGAGCATAGCTAGACCCCTTATGAGCCCCCTGCTCCTTGAGAATACGTCAGCACCAATCAGACAGCCTAGTCAGACTTTCAAAGGGTACTCTGATAGTAAGGGTAGTCAGGACTGGGCGTTAGAGACATCAGCAGTAGCCTGGTCAACGCCTAATAGGAGAGATGAGCTCCAAGATCAACTCAGCTTATTCAGCAAGCTTGATAGTGATCCAAATACCCAGCGGCTACTCTTTCGGAAAGTTCAAAAGGGCTTTGATGAGAAGTACTACCAATTAGCTGTCGCACAGCGAAAGATTGAGGCACTAGAGGCAGAGCTTGAGGCTAGTAGGGCTAGGAAGCGGAGGAAGATCAAGATGAGCCCAAATTCGAAGTTTACTAATATCAAGGCTATTCGGAAGGCTCAAATCGAGGCTGGTGAAATTGAGGATAGTACAGATGAGTCTAGCGAGTCTGAAAACCCTAGTGACGGCGAAAGCTGTATTGTAGTCGCATTAGAATAAGTGTAAAAAAAGGTTGAAGTTAATGGTTATAATATACAGCATCATTTTTAGAGCGTCCCACATGTGGGGGTGTCCCGGATGTAGGTGTGGGACGTTGTAAGGTCCACAGTCAACGCAGTACGAAAAGGCCAGAGTTACATACTACCGGTCACACTAACAAACAGAACCTTGAAGATTTATTTAGACTGATCTTTCACGTCCTTGCCGTCGAATTCAGCATGCCACTGGAGAATTAGCAAAATATACAAGAGTTGGACAATATGGGCCCTGTGGGCCATGTGGGTCCTATACTTGCCACTATCGCCACCTAGAACGGCGACCATCCCCACATACCTCTATTACGAGAAATGTGGCGAGGATAGAACATTCCCTACTTATCTATATGCTTCTACAACTTGTCTGAATTAATCAGCAAGTCTACCATTCATTGACTATATAAGAACCCTTTTGTTTCCATACATAGACCCTCGAAGAGAGGACCAGAGTTAGCTACAATACATACAGGTTAGGCATATGTGCCCTCCTTTTGCTCCTTCAACGGGAACATAAAATCCAAGTTAGACCTTCAAGGCCATTGCACCGAACTACCAGTCTTGGAAGGACATATGGCCACTTACCGTACGTTATAGGCCAATGTGGCCACCACCCATCGTGCCACACAAGTCCTGCCTGTGGGACAGGTATCTTTCATTTCTATCTATATAAGGCCCTTATGGTCGCTGTTCAGTTCTTCGAGGACTCTCCAGAGATCATGACCTTCTCAATACAAGACCATTTGACATCCAGTCAATACCCTTGTAGGTATGAACAACCTTGCAAGACTAAGCAACAATCATACTATTCAGAAAGCAGATTTTTCAGCATGGATCGAAACCTTCAGCATTTTCCTTAAAATTATGCTGCCTAAATTTGGTCTAGTACGAAAGAAATCGGACGAAGACAGCTAGTTGAGAATGTGAATCGGATGTCAGAGGGCTGAAGTGAAGGACACCGGTATCCAACCGGTGGGGCACCGGTATAGGGATTGCGAGTCATGACCTAATATTCAAGTCTTGGTATTGAAGAACTAATGCTCTGCGGCTCCGATATCCGAGCTCTACTGCTCCGAATGCGAACTCCGGTTACCTATGTAATGGAGGTATCTTGGAGGAAGATAGGAAGATGGTTAGAGATCAATGAACTATTCTGGACACCCACCTAACTTAGATTCCTCAAGAATCAGTCTTGCAATATACACCCCCATAACACTGGCGCATCACAGCCGCTCTTTGCACTACCTGACTATTATCGTGAGACGTGTGGTATCCCCGTTACAAGCTTTAACAGATAAAAGGAGTAAACATTCAATTACTTTCTGCTTGTTACTTTACCTTCCAAGCTTTCCGAATGTCTATGATGCGTGCACCTAGGGGGGAGGATGCTATAATGCAGTAGTGCGCAACGTTGTAGTATCAAATTGAATGGGATTCACCTAACCAGTGGGTCCCCCTACCTTTTCGTATCATTCTACCTAGAATTTCCAGGTCCTTTTATGTCCTTAAGAAGAATACCAGTTGCATAAATTATCCAAAAACCGAAAAAAGGCCTTAACACCCTGTCCTTAAGTCAGTAAAATATTATTAGTAGTGATTACTATACAAGGTATAGTTAGGTTGCCTGAAGGTAATGCGCTTACTAATAGTAAATATCGTATAGATTTGTTTTCATGTAGTATATGTAATTTTAGCTCCTTCCTATGCTCGCTACTCCTCACTAGCCTGGCGTTCACTGCTTATATCGCAAAGTTCTTTTCTGAACATACACAGGCCAAGAATGCGGGACAATCGATATGTAAGCCTTCCATTTCCACTCGCTGCAGGGGTCGACCTGCAGGATATCGTAATCGCGCACGATGGTAGCCGCCATTTTGGTGATCTGCACCCTGGCTAAATGCTGGCCCGGACATGAATTATACCCAACACCGAACTTGGACAGTTAGCTTCTTACATGGACCACTTAGCTGAATGAATCTTACCACGAGCCAGAACTTTTCCTTAGTTCCGATATCATCAGCAAACCATCTGTTAGGGTTGAACTCCCGGGCGTCTGGACCCCAGTGCTCTTTAGACAGCTGCATCACGCTGGGATTTGTCAGTTTTGTTTATCCATAGTCATCGTCGTTGGCATTCTCTTACTGCCCGTGTATGGAAAGAACTGTCCCTTCAGGAAAGTGCCGGTCTCCTATTGACAAACCCCCTTTCGGTGCGACCCGCGGCAGGCCGGATGGTGTTGGTCCTAGGATGCGCAATGCCTCTTTGACACAAGCTTGCAGAAACGGCATGTTCTGTGCCTCTGAAAACGACACAGGTGTACCCTGGCAGATTCCGTCCTTGTTGACGGCATCGATCTCATGTCGGGCACGTTCCCACAGTTCAGGGCGGCGCATCATGTGGTATACAAAACTTTGGATTCCACCTGATATTTGTTAGATAGATGTTCAAACAACGTGAAGTAACTACTCACATGATATTGTGTCCGCTCCACCGCCAACACTGAGCGTAGCCTGAGCCTCGACCTGACGAAGACTCAGGCGATCCGGATTCTTCTGCTGCATCCTGAACCAATGAGCAGCAATGTCAAACCTAGCGTCCGGATTCTTCTGACGCTTCTTCATGGCTCTTGTAGTCGTGTCGAAGAGATGCCCCATGGGCAGTACCCCCAGCCAAGTAACAACTGGGTTCGCAAATATCCATTGGAAGACAGTCAAGAAGCCAAATGCAGCCACAACGGGATTCAGGATCTCGTTGTTCCGCAACGCTCCACCTACATCACGGCCTTCGGAAATGAAGCCAAATGGTTCCGAAAAGAGAGCCTCGCCTGTGTTGTCGAATACGGTGTAAGAGAGAAACTTGTCCAAGTGCATCGGCTTGTGATCAGCGGCATACTTGTCCATCCAGTCCTGCAAATGAGCAATATTCTTGTCAATGTACTCTTCGGATTTCAGGATGTTGGAGAGACTGTATCCGGATGAGAGCCATTTGGACCGCTCGACTTTCTCTTTGGGATCCAATGTCGACATGGGGTTTTGAAACCGCCAGTCTGGTAAGGCGAAGAGGGTGTACCAGTTTCCCTGAGTCGTGTCAGTTGCCAAGGTTTCTGTCACACGGGTGGGGGCCCCATCACACTCTTGTCGGTAAAAGGCCATATGGCCAATCGAACGAAGGAAATATGAAGTTCTGAGAAATCCCAACTAACCTTACGCAACGGTGCTAAAAGCAACAACCTCGGCCCATCCGGATGACTGACGCTGACCTCATTTGGCGCAATCCGGACAAAATGGCCATGTTTGTCATGCAGCGCCACAACTTCGAGGGCTTCTTCTCCCTTCAACAGATAACAGATCTGCCAGAGCCGAGTAATGGAGGCCCAGAAGGGCCCAGGGATCTCAGAAAGGGGATGAATATACCGACGGTAGACGACGACGCTGACGATCACCGCCAGTATTTGGGCTGCGACAGCCGGTGAGGAAAACACCGCCGACATCGAACTTTGGGTGTGATTTCAGCAAACAGCGCAACAGATGATTCGCGCCGACGGAAAAAAACCAAAACTAAAAACAAGAAGAGGCTAACAGAAATTCGACGCAACAAGCGGTCTTCGATATCTGTGGAGAATATTTCCATCGAGATTAGAGTCCAGCGCCGCACGCAAAAAGCGAGAACCAATACGACACTGTAGATTACTCGGATGCAGACCTGCTGGAGCCGGTAGAAATCTTCAGCGCCGGGCTGCCTATCCGAGCCTAGGCAATAAAACCTTTGCATGCATCATCCCCCGCGTTTTGGGTACGCCAAGTCCTGACACATCATTCGAGATACTGTCGCAGCTACTGATTGGATATTGTCGTTCAGGAACACCCGGGCCGCCGAAGTTGTTGCGTAACCCTGCCTTTTATCAAGCAGCTAACAGAATAAACGGCCCACTGGAAATACGCTGGAATGTCGAATGTTGGGGTAGTCCATGTTATTCCGCCCTTGGTTCGCCGCTTATTCAGGCAGCTCCTGGGCAATTGTCGCAATCTGATGCATATCCCACAATTGAACCCTGGCAATTGGCTGTGCGCGTTTTTTGTGCTACGAGAGGGGATATATGTGCGCAGTGGCCGTCGCATCTGACGAAAATGGACGTTCTTGTTCCTCGTTCTACGAAGTTGCTGCTCGGTTGAAAACTTGCAACTCGGCGGGTTGTCCACATGGCCAAATATGCTATCCAGAACTCGAAGCAGGTGGCCTTACTTGCCGCCGCCATCGTCTTTACCGTCCTCCCTACGATTGCCATAGTGTGCCGGATTTTGGCGCGCCGAGTAGCGAACAGAGCTCTGGATTTGGTTGATTATTTGATGGTTGTGGCATGGGTAGGATAAGCTAAATCTACAACGTTACATGGTGTGACTGACATAAAGTCAGTTTCTCTCTGTGTGCTTTCAAACATGTTGTTTCTTGGGTCAGTCTCTTCGCCGCACAGGTGCTTTCCCCTCTATATAAAGTACTAACGGGAGCTTCGTAGGTATTTTCGAATTCGGTGCCGGTATACACACCTCCGAAATTCGGGCCATGTACGGGGAGTTGGCCGAACAAAAGTTCTGGATGGTGAGCTCTTCTGTCTTTGATTGATCGAGGCATCCAAACCTGACCGGTATTCAGGTTCTCATCCCCATCGAAGGTCTTTGGGCCCTCAGTCTCAGCACCTGCAAGCTCTCCGTCCTGCTTCTGTACCGACGACTCTTTCCCGTCCCCTACATGACCCATGCAGTCAATATTACCATCGGCCTCATCGTGGTGTTCCTCCTGACAGCCGTCATCGGCAGCATGGTGGTCTGCCAGCCCATTGCATACAATTGGGACAAGACGATTGCGGGAGGACACTGCGGGGATCTGATTGCCATCATCAAAGCGACAGGGAGTTTGAATCTGGTGACGGATGTGCTGGCACTTACCATTGCCCTCCCGCAGCTCTACATGTTGCAGTTGCCGCTGTACAAGAGGGCAGTTCTGTTGTGCGTCTTTGGGATCGGAATGATGTAAGTTGGCTCGAGTTCTGCAGGTGCTCCTTCGCACCCAAGCTACGGAACTTCACTAACACCTTGTGTAAAATAGAACCTGCGTCATCAGCATCCTTCGCATTATTTCCCTCGCGACAGTTGACTTCGACGATCTCCCTTACACGTGCGTCGAGGCACTCATCTACAGCGCCGTCGAGCCGTCTCTGGCTGTGGTCCTGGCCTGCGTACCGCTCCTACGGCCGCTCCTTAACCGCGGAAGATATTCGGAGACGGGAACACGGGTAGATGCGTCTTCCCGGAGCCTGTCTAAGAGCATGCCGAAAGGGGTCCCACCGGGGGATACTTTAAAGCCTTGGGCGACGATTCGTCGCATTATCGACTTCGACCGCTTGGTCCAAGGCACAACGCACAAGTTTCAGCCAGCAGGGATAGGGACTTTGAAAATGACGATGAGGATGGAAGTGAAAGGGGCATCTTTGCCGCCGACAGGATGCACAACTCAATTCGGGTCAAACAGGAATGGAAAGTCAGTCAGGAGGTCAAAGACGATTCAAAATTATCAGCGGAATCTCCGTCCATGGCGTAGTGCAAGTCCGTCGGAGCACGCACAACACACGCCGTGAGGAATATCCAGAAATAAACAATTCGTTGAACCTAACACGGGATCCTATCGCAAAGGGTCGTGCTCGACTTTCTTCGGTCTTCGAATGAGCCCCAGGCCACCCCTATCACTGTACAACAACATACTCTAGACGTAACCGTAACAGCATATTGCTTGCGAACCGACCGTGTGTATCATGGTTTTTCGACTTAGTTTCTTTGCGAGAACGTCTATTTTCTAGGAATCCCGGGGTTATTCTCGTTTGGCCTGTACTTGACTGCCGGCGGGGTTGCCAAAATGCCGTGGCACCATTTTACCCAGAACCAGGCGGGGTTCGCCACAAGGATCCGGAACTTTACATTGAGGGCGGATAAGTTCTTTTGGTCTTTTCATCCACCCGTCGTGAATCGAACAGCGTTCCAGTAATTCCAATCCTCTCATCACAGAACAGAGAGAAATATGGCTCCGAATTGGACACATCTGGTACGCTTCCTGGCCGAGGAAGACGGCCAGATCCACCTCGGCCAAATCGACGCCAAGGAATGGCCGGATGTGGGGCTTGCGCTCCATGACGGCAAGAAAGTCACGGCGAATCTGGTGGAAGGCACCGTGTTTGATGGAGTTGTGACGGATAAGTACCTCACCATTGCACAGGTGTGTTGCATTCCAACGACATCCCTAATCGCCATCTCTCACATTGATTAGCTGCTCTCGCCTCTACGCATTGACGAGGTGCCCATCATCCGATGTCTCGGACTCAACTATCGGGATCATGCCAAGGAGGCCAACATGCCTATTCCCAATGAGCCGGTTTTGTTCATCAAGCCTCGAACCGCTCTGAACGGGCCTGCTCCGGCCAAGATCAACATCCCCAAGATTGCCCAAGATGGATCAAGCGACTATGAAGCTGAATTGTCTGTGGTTTTGGGCAAGTCGGGGCGGGATATTCCCAAAGAGAAGGCTTTAGATTATATTCTGGGATACACCTGTAGTAACGATGTTAGCGCGCGGATTCAGCAGATGAAGAACAGCCAGTGGTGCTTCTCGAAGGGTTCGCAATCATCTGTCATTGACTGTTACTTATCCCATGACTAACATATATCTCTAGGGCTCGACGGTTCTTGTCCGATTGGGCCAGTTCTGGTCTCTCCAACAGCCATTCCTGATCCGCACAAACTGAGCATCAAGGCAATATTGAATGGTGAGGTGGTTCAGGACTCCAACACAGGGTGAGTCTCGGAGTTGCGAAGTTGCTTGGCATAATGCTAACTTGGCTAAAAGCGAGATGATTTTCGACCTGGCCACGACCATCTCGTTCCTGTCGCAGGGAACAACTCTTGAACGCGGTACCATAATTATGACTGGTACTGGGCCGGGCATTGGGGCAATGCGAAAACCGAAGCTGACGCTGAAGAATCAGGATGACATGAGGGTTGAAGTTGAGAAAATCGGGACTCTCATCAACACCGTTTACTTTGAGTGAGTAGCTGCTTACGTTGGGTAACACTCTTTACTATAAGTAGTGTTTACGTACAATAGCTGTCTGCTTTAAATAACAATGTTTCCTCCAAATAGACGTCTATTGTAGATAGCCCTCTTCACTTCCAAGTATTTAGGCACGGCAAGATTTCAAACTTATTTGGTTGCTCACGGTCAAAGGCATCCAAGAGGTTTGCGGCATTCCTAGGACGATCACTTTTAAAGCTAAATGGTCTGATTTTGTCCATCTTCTATTTGTGCTTGTTTTGTTTCCATGAATTCCCTTTCCCTAGGCGCTTGTCCATCGTTGACCCCTCAGAACCATGGCGAGCTTAACCATCCCACGTTCCAGGCTTGGTCTCTTCTTCGATATCCTGGAGGTCTTTATTTTTTAGATCCTCAATATCAGCCATGTCTAAGTAAGTAGCCAGCAAAGTATCATGCACCTTCTTGGCTGCGGCCAGAATTATGTTTACTCGATACAACACGTACCGCACAGATTGCCTAGAGCTGCTGTTCAGTACCTGATATGCTGGAATATGTGGCTTAGCTAAAGGGGGGCGTTCCATGTTAGAGTAAGCCTGATAGTGATTATATGAACAATTTCGGGCAACAGCGAGTCATTTGTGTGCAGATGTGTTCATTGGTTTTTCTTTCTCCCCGCCCGTCATACTGAGTATTTGTGGAATGATATGTTGTAGCTCTCAAGCCTCTCAGCCACAGGTGGCTACTGGCAGATTATGGGTTGTCAGCTTTTGGAGGCTTGAGGACTGAGGCCTACCGAACTCAGCCCGCTTCAAGTCCGATAGCCTCCGCGCATCTACTCAGTTTCTTTAATTCTGTCTACAGATTGCCCGTTAGACGAGTTCTTTCACTAACTCCAACCAGCCTTCATCATAGTCAAACCTCCTCAGCAAATTTCACGAACATGAATCTACCCAGTGGGAAGAAAAGAGACTTTGCACATAGGAAGCGTATTCGCATCCGGGAGCCAGCTAGGGATATTGAGAACATGGAATCGATTCTTGCGATGCGAGTGAACTGTTGGACCTTCAAGGCTACTACACTAAGACAGCTAAGTCAAAGAGAAAAGTATATGGCCGCAAACCGTACGATTATGGGCCAATATGACCTCTACCTATCGAACCACACAAGTCCTGGCTGTAGGACAGGCATCAGTTATTCCTGTCTATATAAGGCCCCTATGGCCGCTATTTACTTCTCTCAAGACTCTCCAGAGATCATGACACTTTCAATACAAGACCATTTGCCCACAATCCAACATGAACGATGACGGTTTGTGTGAGAGTTGCTCCAGGATTAATCCAGCGCAGGCAAACCTGCAAAAGTTGATGCCAAATGGCCGGACAGCTCATCAGTCACGGGGTGCCAGCTGGGCTGCTTTGTGGCAACATCTCTCAAAAGTTGAGATCTGGAAGCTGGACATGGTGGCGGACTTCTGGGCGCACAGATCACCCAGAGTGGTGGCATCCAACCCCCTACGTTCTTCATCCCACGACCAACCTACTGGGTTAGCCCTTTCTGCGCTCCCTGACACAAAGGCGAAACCAGTAGCTGAGCTGGCTGGCGGGTTGATTTTGCCTTGTTTCCCAAATTTCGAGGAGCTCCTCGTCGTCAGCGGAAGCCTGCTGGACCGATGGCGCATCGACTTCGAGAATGTACAACACTTGTTGATGTTCTGCACCAAGCACCACGCAGCCACTTGCGGTCAGTCGGTTGCAATGTCTCTACCAGTTTCTTCGTGATCGACTGCATAGACCAGAGTAATGCTCCTGTGAGGCACGCGCTTATTCAAAGCATGAATCATATCTACGAAGGAGCTGAGATTACTATTATCGATGCTGCGGGATCAAATCCGGACTTTGGCCTCCCCGGCGTCTCCGCTCCGAGACTCGCCCAAACCTCAGTCAAGATACGTCGCAGTCGTTTCGTCGCTGTTCCTAATTCCATGTGCTTCTTGAAGATCTGCATGTACCAAATTTAACCAGGTTTTGCGATAACGGAAGACGACAGCGGGCATTTCCATCACGCGGAGTCGGAAAACTTCCCGAGGATATCCCAGCATGGATCTACCAGTTTCTTAGCAGGAAACTCAAATACAAATCAGACACTCTTCCGGCATTTCTTAGAGTCCTGGAGGCCTATGCGGATAGAGGTATGCTGATGCATCATTTTTGGGGCCTTCTCTGGCTTCCTCCAATATATGCAAGTTGAAGAGATTATGCAAAGAAGGACCTAAGGCGAGGTCTGTTGGCTTCCATGTTGTGGCAGCCAATACGTGATCATACAGAATCTGGGTCTCGGGCGGATTTCCTGTTGCGATCGAGAAAAGACTTCCCGTCCTGGAGTTGGGCACATTATCGAGGTATCCAGGGAATCAAACTATGTCTCAATCACTCTGCTGAACAGCCATACTATCCCGCCCTTCGTTTTGTGCTACATGCTTCGCTGGGCATTGGCTAGGGTACATGGTCGTCTTTAGATCTTCCATGACTAAATCTTAAAGGGTCACCACCAATGAGGATCCTCCAAGTACAGCAAGGCAATCAATCTACTTTGGACTCGGCCATATCCGAGCCAGGTCTCAAGTGCCGACAATTAGGATTGTGAAGTAGTTCTATGACTGCAGCTGTTTGTGCTCAATTAACGGATATATATTTTCAACCCCTTTACTCCTGACCCAGCTCAGAGCCGACACAACTGTCCATTCTGCGTCGGCAACCCTACAATCTGGCCCGTCACATACCAATCCTCACTCCCAACCCCCAGGTTCGCATAAAAAAGTCCCGTAGGATCAACCACCTTCTTCAAATTGTACAACCTCTCATACTTCTCCTTGCCATAGAACGATTGTTGGAAGTTGGGTTCCGTCACATCGCCTTCGCTGTTATATGCCCCTGAACCCGGACTGACCTCCCGCCAAGGAGCCATCCACTCGTTAGTTAGTTTCATGCTAAGTATAGCCACTTCTTCCATCGAAGTCCCATCTGCCCAGCTGAGCATAGAAATGACGTGCATTGCGGCCTCACGCCAGGCCGGGTTTACTGCATTGTCTGGGTAAGGACCAGGGCCGCCGGTAATGCCGAAGCCGACCAGCTGACCGCCTTTGTCGACGACGGATTTGATGGCTTCAAAAGTGGCATTGAATTTGGTTGGGTCTTCAAAATTCTCCCTAGGGTGGGTTGTCAGTACGTCTTCTAGCTGAGAATAACGAGAGAGAAGCGCCTTACTTGGGAAAGAGTCTCGCTGCAGTCTTTCCAGACCAGTGACCAATCGCCTCTTGTGAAAACCCAGCTTTCCAGGCCGGGTGGAAACTATTATATTCTGAGTACACTGGCTCAACATGGAGGCCAAGTTCTTCCCATTTGGCGAATAGAGGAGCAGTAAGAGCCTGAAGCTGTACAGTAGTCATGTTGGGGGCGAACCACGGAGCCATGGTGAACAAGACGCCCGTCTCACTCGTGTGAAAGATATTCCAATACTCGTAATTCCCAGCATCGTTGAACGTGGGTATGAGTTCCCAGTAGGCCTTGACAGCGGCCCAGAAGGTGGCAAGTGTAACGTTTTCGTTGGTCCCGAAAGCGAACGTCATGACGGAAACTATGGGCAGCTTCGGGTAAACTTTGACGGTGTACGAGGTGGCTACACCAAAAGTGCTGCCTCCTCCGCCCCTGAGAGCCCAGAAGAGTTCCGTGTTTTGCGTTTCATCGGCTGTGATAACCCGACCATCTGGCGTAACAAGATCGATGCTCAGGATCTGGAATTGATTAGTCACTCGGTTAGTGATTGAAAACTAAAGAAAGCTTACCGCGTCCGCGCCCATTCCATAGTGGGGAGACATGGGCGAGTGACCACCACCGGCAAGATAACCACCTGCGTATCCAACAGTCATTCCCTCGCCACCCACAGCCGTGACGCCGTACTTTTCAGCAGCTTCATACAGCTCGAAGCCCTGAACACCAGTTCCAACCTTAAAAGCAGGTCCGGAATAAGACTTTGTCTCATAAGTCTCGTAAAACTTGATGCTCTTGAGATGGTGAGTCCATACAGAAAGAGAACCGGCGCCGCTAGACCGACCATTGAAATCGTGGCCAGTATTTTTGACCACAAGACGAATGTTCAGATTCCGCGCAAAGTTAACAGCAAGTTGGATCTGTGCCACGTTTGTAGCTTTGATGACGTACGAGGGAAAGCCACCCAGTGTACATTCGCCAGTCTCGTTATACTGGGGCATGCAGGTCAGGCCCTGGTACAACGGCGACATGACGGAAGTTGGATCCTGGTAGTGAAGGGTTGAGTTGTACCACTGAGTGAGGATGTACGAACATCTGGCTTCGTCGTAATGACCAGAATCATCGTAGCATGCCGCCCCGATGGGGACGGTCTCGATGAGTGCACCGCCGGTGAGAAGGTCCAGGAGCTTCCAGATGAGTTTGTCGGGCCAGAGAGCGGTCCCAGGGTACGTCTTGCATTCAGGTAGGGACCCATTTTCGAGAGTGGTGTTGCTGGCAAAGTCAAACAGGGAGATGTTCGTCAGAGACAAGTCCGTGAGATTGGAGATTATCGTATCCGTCAGTTGCACAGTCTCCTCATGCAATAGATCGCCAGTGATAATCTCAGCGGCTGGTGCAACGGTTGACTCGTTGGCAGGGACCAGGACGCCATCGACAGTGAGGGTCTGCGCATGAATCAAAGGAAGCACAGCAGAACCTAACGCGAGAAGTTGGGAAACGCGCAGCATTGTGGAAAGAGAAGGCAAAGGAAGCCAGGTTTTGGAACACCACTGGGCAACTGAAGCGAGGACAAGGAGAAAATGCCGTGGTTGGCAACCAACATATTTATATGTCGTCCAGATTGCGTTGCATCCTACCGTACTTTTCGACCGCGGCGAGATATCCATTAGCAGATTATCTGACCAGAGTGAGATGGAAGCCCACAGTATCCTAGTACCACAAGCGGGGTTTGCTCATAGATGCCATATAGGTCTGCTCCGATCCAAAGAGCCGAGCTACTGTCTGGGGAATCGGGCCGGTCTCCAGAACTGTGCTTCGCCTTGCGGCCACGAACTTTTATTTTGAGGTGTTCTTACGTTAACGAGGGTACATAGAAACCCAGAATTCACAAGAGACTGCGGAGAACCCGCCTCAACTGCAGATGTTTGAGATATGGGGGAGAGCGAATCAAGAGGCGTACAGGTTGCTTCATATGGTGCGAAACTAAGTCAATATAAACGAGATTGTGTGTTGGCTTTCGGACTGGGTATCCTATTACGCATGACTGGGCAGGCTTTATTGGTTTCTTCATGGGAAGCCAGGATCTAACCGAAGACAGTGCCGCTTCGCTTACGGGTTAAACTATTGGGAGACTAGCAATCTTTACACGAACCAGGCGTCTTTTACAAGGGGGTCTTCGGCCCCTCGCGGAGCACCATCCTGTTCAGCAGATCTGCCGGGCTTGGCATTATCAATCAGCCGGGGCAATACCCTCATCTCGTGGTCGAAGCAAAATTCTGGGTGCTAGGTAGATCAAGATAACAGTTGGCCTTGATTTTGGCTCACGTATGAAGTATTCATACTCTTCATACGTCAGAGTTACATGCATGTTCAGAGTGCGGCATGGACTCCATAACGCCTGGTTCAGGACTAGCCAGCAAGGATCGCTAGTTGCACTGATCCGTGCTAACCGCGTTGACCACGTTTTTGCATGCACCCCCGTTTTGCAGGGCTCGACTGAATCAACCTGGTTAAATACTTCGTCCGCATTTATTATGTATAAGTGTTGCAGAAAAGGTGTGAATTCATGTAGAAGAGTGCAGATTGAAGATGACTTGTATTCTCTCTTGAAGGGAAGTCCTCACATGCTCCTATTTATAGGTAAGCGAGAATTATAGCCCTAGAATAGACTTTCCTGTCTTGTTGGTAGCGATACCTTCGGTACCATGACCAGTGAAAGCTTATAGCTTTAGATTACGTAGTTTCCTTCTCATGCAACAATAAGCGCCCGAAGACTTAGATATATTCTTTCGAGCCCTCTGTTTAGGAGGGGCCTTTCCTCCAAGAAAAGTATCAATATCTAACTACTTATCTAGTAAAATAGGCCGTATTCGCTTATTTCCCTTATCCTGGTGATGCGAGTGCATATGGGGTGTGAATTGTTGTATTGGGAAAGGATGGCCAGGTCAGCTATTCTGGCCTGGCAGAGCTCTTTTATAGCTCTTATCTTATCTTATCTATCTTATCTATAGCTACAGGGTAACCCCCCATGGGGTCACGTATCACCCACCTGGTCTTAGATACAAGTGGTCACATGATTACCACCCACTGGGACTGGGCCAGAAATGCCTCTCCAGAGCAGAAGACACAGAGAACACACAACAATTGTCGGATATTCACGTATCTTACGGTGTGGCCTTATTGTGGCCTTGATCTTACGGCTGAACGTTCGGTGTGATGGATTGATTGTTGTGTCTGTTGCCTATCTGTTCTGCTCTGCAGAGGGTTTTCTAGCCAGGACCCAGTGGCTGTTAATCACGTGACTCTTGGTATGTCACGGGACCCCTTGTATCTGACAACAAGTAATCCATCACACTGAACGGTCAGATTACCGTAAGATCAAGGCCATAATAAGGTCACATCACAAGATCCGCGAATATCCGACAGCTGGGCTGTTCGGATCGCTAATAAGTTGACGCATACTTAATTCAAATCAGGCTCCGGAGGATTGCTAGCTACGTTAACTACTCCTTCGGAGCTTAGGGGCTATATATTCGTCTTCCGCTAACTAGATATTGTGACGACTGACACATGGACGATAAGCAGGGACATCCTGACATGGCATGCCCTGATCTGGACGAGCGCGTTCCCCTTATAATAGGAGAACGGCCAGACATACTTGTAACCCTTTCCTTCTCTTTCTTCCCTAGTTTAGTATTCAACAATAGAGATGCACTGATATGCAACCTTGATTCATACCTATGTGCCTCTGCCTCGTTACAGATATAATATTCTCCGTCGTAAAGGCTCTCTCCGAGGTACGTAGATATACTTCTAGCATACGTTACTTATAAATTAGGGCCGTAGCCTTATAGGAAGCGTAGGCCCTAAGCTCTTAGTGGTAGTAGGTTTTTAAAGGTGAGAACGGCCCAATATGTAACGAGGATACCACACGTCTCACAATATAATAGTCACTTGAGATCATCTATTTCGACACCATTCATCATCAACCGCTAGGCCTTACTGGCTGGCGTTACAGCGTTCACTTTACAGATGGGTTTACTGACATGCAGTGGACTCGCTTCACTCGCAAATTGGGTGACATACATGCGGAGATCATTGCCTTCGTCACTGAGGTCGAGCTTCAAACTGGTCTGAAAGTCCAAATATTCCACTCGGATAATGGCAAGGAATTTCTTGGCGACTCAAAGCAAATGGAGACATTCGTCACTGAGAAGGGTATTCAATGGCATCGATCCCCTGCTAACACTCACGAACCGAATGGACGTGCAGAGCGCTCAGTTCAGACCGTCATCACACCAGCTCGTAGTGGTATCATCGGCGGTAACTTACCCAAGTTTCTCTGGCCGTGGGTTGAAGAGACTGCAGATACGATACACAATCTTCTACCAAATGGAAAAGACAGTCTGTCACCTCGCCAACGTCTTGGATTCTACCTCAACATGACAGCACAGGTCATTAATGGCAATATTACCCATCTCATCAAATACGGAGCCGTAGCTTATGTCCACAAGAAAACACCAGCTGATCTTGCCAAAGCTGACAAGGTGGAGCACAGGGCATGGAAGGGCAAGCTCGTCGGCTATGCTGACCTTCGTACTAAACTCTACAAGATCTGGGTTCCCGAGAAGCACCGCGTGATGCGAGTACGTGACGTTCGCTTTGACGAGACTTTGGACGATTCACAACAAGATCACGATTCTGAGGCTGACTTCGTCGTTGAATTTGAAGATGAAACTGCTGACGTTCAATTCTCCGATCTGATAGCTAACCCCGTTGACTACGGAGTCGTTACGCACACAATAACCCAACCATCTACTTCCCCATCCTCTCAATCAGCCGATGATAGGAAAAATCAAGAGACAAAAGGAAATATGCAGCGCGAAGTTGAGAATGACAGCGAAGTAGATGACGACCCACTCTATCCTACACCTGAGCCTGAGCCTGAGCAGATGGCCAGTCCAGCGCCATTGACTCAAACACGCGAAGAATTGAGTTTCGACTCTGATGATACTGATTTGGAAGACATCGATGCCGAACATCCTTTAGGCCCCCGAAATCCCGAGCCGAAACCCGAGCCGAGTCCTGAAACGAATCCTGTACCGAATCCCGAGTCATCGACAACCTCGAATTCACGCCCTCGTCGGGCTGCGGCAAGACCAGTTGTAGATTATCGACATCTCGCTGGCATACACACATACAACAAGAGAAAGGCAGACCAGTTGTCATTACTTTCGGCCAATTTCTCCAAATCTATCAACAAAACTCGCTATCTTGAGCTCGACGCCAAGATTGGTGAATCCACACATCTATGTCTGTCTGCAATCAAGGTTGAAAAACTCTTGAATCAATCCAAAACCGCATCAGACTTCCCTTCAGCCAAATCATACAAGGATACTCGACACTCAGAGAAATGGCCGACTTGGAAGTCAGCTTTCGACGATCAGATACACGAACTTGTGTCTCGTGAAGCCTTTGAGCTTTCAGATCTCCCTCCTGGAGCCAAGGCCTTGCCAACGAAATGGGTAACGGACCAGAAGTTCCATCAGTCACCAATCAACACTTTGAGAAACAGAGCGAGGCTGGTAGCTATGGGTAACTTTGAAGACTCTGGCAGCTATTCAGTCGAGGAAATGTATGCTGCGGTCGCTAGCCTTACATTTCTCAAAGTGTTTCTCGCTCTCATGGCCACTTTAGGTCTACACGCCGAGCACTGTGATGTCGTAACAGCATTCTTAAACGCTAAAAAACTGCCGGACACTCCAGACATCTACGTTCGCCAACCAGAAGGATACGATGACGGCAGTGGACGCGTTTGGCGACTGAAAGCAGCCCTCTACGGTCTCAAGCGAGCACCAATTTGGTGGTTCAATACCCTCGTTACCGCAATGAAGGAGATTGGATACGAACCTGTCGAAGCCGATCTCTGTCTTTTCAAAAACGAGAAGACTGGCGTTATGGTACTTGTCTATGTAGATGATCTTCTGCTTGCGGGACATCACAAGTCAGACATTGCGATCGCTAAGCAGAAACTCGCTGCTTATTTCCGCCTCAAGGCGCTTGGAGATGTGCGAGAGTTTCTTGGCATGCAGATTTCAAGAAATCGAGATGAAAACAAGGTTTTTATCTCACAAGAGAAGTATGCGATGAAAATTCTTACCAGATTCGGCAAATTAGATCTCAAACCCTCTGCCGTGCCCTGGCCATCTGATATCAAAATACCAGCTGTATGGCCCAAGATTCAGCTGGATGACCAATCAAACTATCTTAAGCAGACGGCATCGCTCAACTATCTCAGTATTGGTAGCAGACCAGATATGACAAACACCAACAAGGCACTTTCTGAGGCACAGAGCAAGCCAACCAAGGTTCATTTGCTTCAACACCTTTGGAGATATCTCAAAGGACAGCCTAATCTTGGCATTGTTCTGGGCGGAAAGTATCCTATTCATGATCTGAAACTCAATGTCTGGGCCGATGCGGCACATGCTAATGACCTGGCAACTCGAGCGTCAACAGGAGCTCATGTTGTATTCCTCTGCGGTGGCGCGATATATTGGAAGTCCAAGAAGCAGACTCGCATTGTCATTTCAAGTACCGAAGCTGAATTCATCAATCTCACGTCAGCCGGTCTATCCGCTGTTTGGATCTCACGCTTGTTGCACCAACTTGGGTTTACCCAAGACACACCGATTCTCCTCATGACTGACAGTCTCAACGCCAAGTCAATCGTTCTTAACCCAAATAATGCAGCCAGAACCAGACATATTGATACAAGGTACAAGTGGACCATTGACCGTGTCCAGCGAGGAGATCTCGATATTCAGTACGCCAAAACTGGAGAGATGATTGCAGATGGTCTCACGAAGCCATTGACGAAAGAGAATCATCTCAAATTCGTCCGTCAACTCCGTCTGACGCCGTGTCCTTGGTGATTTTGATTGAGGCGGTATCAGGTGGCAGAAACGCATGCAAATTGGACGTCAAGTTGACGAAAAACGGATATTCTGTACGTGTACGTAGTTCTTTTAGATGACTAGCTCTGTTGGCCTGGGGGGTGTGTGTCAGAGGTGGTACTTGCGCAGCCACCACCACTACTTAGTTCCAGACCGACAACACTAGCCTAGCTTTCTTTCCTCACCATAATACACTTCATTTCTATTGTGTGTCCCTCAACAACCCATCTCTCCTTCACTAATCCCCACTTGTATATGTTGGTTGTCCAACATATCCAACATATCCACCCCTATATGTCACGTGACCTGTCGGTCCTTTCCTTCCTCCGATGCGGGGTCCCGTGATCCTAGTGTCTGTATCCACCTGGCCTGCCGACGGGCCTGTAATGTTGGTTCAGGGCCAACGGTTCGTAACAATCTAATCGGAAGCTAACTTAAGCTTAGTATATACTATAAAACGTAATAGTATCTAGATCTATAGATATACGTAGCCAAAGATTACTTTATAGATATTTCCTAAAGCTAAGCTATATATATACGGTATATATACAAATTAGATGTCAAGACCTGGGTTGCATCGCATTGGTAGAGACCTCGATTAGGTGCTATCGACGAAGATTCTACTCTAAGGAGCGAAGGAAAGAAGATGACAACTTAGGTTTGAGGGAGCGCGACTAAGTCATCCACGCTTGGCGGGGCTCCTACAAGGGTTATGATTGGCTTCCCATCTGACACTGCCATGGCAGGTGTTCCAGCTGTAAGTCACCTGGTTGTAGTGAGTCTGCGAGGGTTGACCTTCACATTAGATAGTTTAGCCCTATATACATACTCCTATGTCGCTGTATATACGTTATATTTACTCCGTGTATAAGCTTTTCTTTAATACTGTGGTGATGATTTATTTAGTTAGACTATCGTTAGCGTTAGCTTAGTAAGACTTAGCTAGGGTTAGAAAATTTCTGACCCTGGCCAACTGTAACCTGACTTTGCTGCGCCACAAAATTTCTAACCCTGGCCAACTGTACGCTCCTTTGCTGCGCCACAAAATGTCTGACCCTGGCCAACTGTAACCTGGCTTTGCTGCGCCACAAAATTTCTGACCCTGGCCAACTGTAACCTGGACTTTGCTGCGCCACAAAACATCTACCCCCTGGTCAACTTTTTCTGACCCTGACCAACTGTACGCTCCATGCCCTGCTACGACCGAGTTTAGCTGTCTAAAAACCATTCCATTATGCGAACGGAGCAGCTTACGATTGCCAGTGGCCTGGCATAAGGGCTCTCAAACAGGCTACCAATATCATGAAATGTGGCTCTCTTAGTCACGTTCAGAACAGCTAATGAGAACAACTTGCGACACTTTGCTTGCTTACTCCGTCGATGCATCTCCAGGTTTGGGGGTTTGAGGAGCATGCCTCGCAGGAGTCAAAGTTTCCGAGCGTGAATGAACAAGCTCAACACAATAATGTACATTTAGAAGGACAAGTAAGTTCTACATACCCGAAATTCATTCGTCGTGTAGACGACCATACAAATGCATACACACACGGGGAATCTTTCGCCCACCATGCCCAAATCATGCGCCGTCGCCGTCTAGAAAAGCATTACACGCCATCTCCCAGCCCGCCACACCTAAAAGCAGAAAATTTGATCTCCCATCTTGGACATCGCCCCCGGCTTCTCAAAGCCCAACTCCACGAGGGCCTTCTTAGCCGCGCCCACCATTCCCGGCGGCCCACAAATCATAATCGTAGCCTCCTTCCCATTTGGCTTGGGGAACCGTTCGGCCATGAGATCCTTCGTCACGAATCCACTGCCGTAGGCCCAGTTCTCGGGCGGCTGGTCCAGCAGATAATGCAACTTCAGATTCTTCGGATAACGCCTCGCAAACGCTTCAATCTCCTGTCTCAACAGGATGTCCTCCTCCGTGCGGTTCGCATAAATCAAGCTAACCTCGGTGGTATCCCTGTCATCCTCGCAAATTGCCCGGATGAGTTGGTACATGGGCGTGATGCCCGTGCCGCCAGCCAGCATGCCGATCTGCTTGCACAGACCGCGACGGTAACGCATGGCTCCCTTTGGGCCGCGGAAGGCAACCTCGTCGCCTACTTCCAGGTTGGCGAGGTAGCCGCCGGTCAAGGCACCGGTGGGATAGCATTTGATGACGAGGTCCAAGACGCCAATGTCCGCGTTGTTGGAGACGGGCGTGTAGGAGCGGGAGACAGATTGGCCGCCGACGTCGGCTTTGATCGAGACGTGCTGGCCGATGGGGAGGCCGAGGACGGTGTTTGAGGTGGGGAGTTCGAAGATGAAACGGTACGTGTTGGGCGCGATGAGCTCCTTTTTGGTTAGGGGTAGATGCTGGAAGGTCAGGGGGTCAAGCCAGCCGCGTTGGAGCAAGGGGTCGGGCTTCACAATCTTAGGCATCTTCTTGTGGGGGGGATAACCGGCAAAACCCTCGGTGAAGTGAAGAAGTTTGAGCGCCTTGTTGGCTAGAACGGAGCCCGTAGCACCGAAGAAGGCGGAGGCTACGAGGACACCTTCGAGGAAGCCGAAGCCCGGGCGTTTGGAGCCTGTGGACTTGAGCCATTCTGCAGCAGAAGCATTTAAACTGGGAAGGGTAACGTGGCCGTCGTTGACTGCCAAACGGGTGGCGTAAAAGATGCCTGCGGAGCCAAGGGTGACGGCGAGCACGCCGGCTGCTGTGGATGCCATACGGCGCTGTTCTGTGATAGCAGACTTGGATGAAGATCTCGGCATGACTTTGACGGCTTTGGATGCGGGCTTTTTGCCGGCACCCTTGAGGGTTCCTATGCGGTACTCGGCCATGATCTCAAAGGCATCATCGGAGTGTCCGGCATTGTCAAATGGCTCACTGGCATCGATGCCGGCTGTCTCAATGAGAATATCTGCGCCTCCAGGATGGTCATCCACGTACTTGGTGATGTCATAGACTGGATATTCAGGTCAGCAATGCGTGTATGCTGGGATTGCAGAGCGTCTCACCTGCGCCGTGTATCACCATCCACGCATCGTTCACCTCTCTATGTGCTGCCACCTCCTTGGGCGTAAATTCTTTTGAATCTGCTGCAGCCATTTTAGATCGAAAATGTGACTTCGAGAATATGAAATTCCACAACAGCAAGGGCTCAGCATAAGAGGGTGCTCGAAAAGAGACACAGCAGCTTTAAAGGGGGACAAAGGAGTCTCCGAGGTCCACGATTGAACATCGCTGTTCGCTCGGAGCGGGTCTGCCGCTTTAAAATGGCCATGCTCAAAATAGTGAAATGCCTCGGTTCCTGGGAAAAAGTCAATGAACCGCACAGATTGCACCACGAATCATCGGGGGACCCGTTCGGCGGCAACGCGGCTTTATTGTATCTTGGACATTGGCGCCGCCACGTGGTCCCGTCTTGTTCCTTGATTCGTTTCAAGATAAGACAAGATCCCGATATTTGCATTCACAATGAAAAACACCAACCCAGAACCTGGATTCATGCTGCACCTGAAGTGCGCAGCTTGGCCTGATCACACGATGATGTCCCAAGCCGTCCCGAGCTCGTCAAGCGGCCATGCCAAGAGCTCGATTCCGAAGATGCAAAGTTTTCAGCTCCAATGGCACTCTGCATCATTCGCCCTGTCATCCGGCAAACAAATCCCTGTGTTGATCTCAGCTCCACCTGCGCAAGCGTCATAAAGTTCGTTGGCTCGGTGCAACCCCACTCTGCCGGATGACAAAAATTCACACTCTTATTGCTGCAGACATGGTCTTGGATCCGTTATTTCGTCTCTCAATCTCCTGCAATCCGTTCTGCCGTTGGTCTCTGAAATCCCACTCGTTCGATTGTTCGTAGAATATAGCGGATACTTCAAAAAAAAAAGCCGAGATGCCTCGGCAGTCTTTCGGATAGATCGGACCCCCTGAATTTGTGGCTGAGGAGATGTTCTCGAAGATTTCTTAAATACAGCATTTGTCCATTCCCGTAATGGGGTTTTGGGCAATTTCTGGTTTCAACACAGTTTGTCACATAGCTTTATCCATGATGTCTTCAAAACAGTTCTACCTTCTGGGCGAGGACCCTTCAACCGCCAGAGAGATTGAGATTCCCGCTGAAATAGATGACGAGGGTCTACGCCATCACATTGCGTCGCATTTTGCCATTGTCGATTCCAAAGGTATATATAGACGTATCACTCTTCCAGAACTCCCACTTACAGCCAATCCAGGTGTCGGCTTCGTCTCTCAAGATGTAGCATTGAGCTTTGCATCAGATGTTCTCGCAGATGATGGTCCCATCGCCATCAGCATAGATGGGCGCGGAGTTCGCGAGGTTCCCGGCCCAGAAGGTCTGCCGTACATCGGCAATTACTTTGAGGTCTACCCCGACCATCTGGGTAACCACCAACGGCTGTTTGAGAAGTATGGCCCCCTTATCAAGACGACCAATATGGGCAGCGTCACATACCAGACCAACGACCCCACGTTAGCCGCCATCGTCTTTGGCGAGACCGACTTTTTTAGCAAAAACATAATCCACGGGCATCCCCTGCACCCCATCAAGAACAAAGAGGCCGGCGTTTTCCTCGGCGACACCGACACAGAGGAGTGGCGGACTGCGCACAAGTTTCTCCCCCCTGCATTTTCTCCCAAGGCCGTGCGTCATTATGCGCCAACGATGCAGAAGACGATCGAGGAGTCATTCAAGGTTTTCGACGAGCTGGACGAGAAGGAAGAGTCCTGGAATGTGTACCTGTACATGTTGAAGCTCGGCTCGCAAGCCGTGGGCAAGCTCGTCCTGGGGATGGATTTCCGGCACTTTGGGGCTCCCGACTCGCCTTTGCACGAGATGGTCATGCGCATTGCCCAGTCGCTCGAGTTGAACAAGAAGGTCACCTCTATGGGAAGCTGGTACGCGATGATGCCGTTCGGTGACCCTAAGAAGCTGCGAAACGCGCGGGGGCGCATCGTGGAGATGATTACCGAGTCCATCGACAAGGCATCTAAGGGCACAGAGGATCTAGAGCTGCAAGATGCTGCCCTGAAGGCCGAGAACCTGGTTGGTCAGTGCCCCCCCTGTTCCCGCACACCCATGCATAGTTAGCTAATACCGACCAGACTACGTACTCCGCGCGACGGATAACAAGGGTAACAAGCTCCCGAAAGACCGCGTCATGGAGCCTCTTGTGGTCGCCACTGGTGCTGGCTTCACCACCACCTCGTCTCTTCTCTCCTGGCTCATCTATGGCCTTGTCGCGTACCCAGGAATGCAAGATCGTCTCCTTCAGGAACTTATCGACAACGACTTTGACGAGAGCACGCAGATTACCGCCGAATTCACCCAGAAGTTGACGTTCCTTGACAAGTACATCAAAGAAACCCAACGCCGCCACAACCCCTCTTACCAACCTGCACGAACGGCCAAGGTCGACATGATTCTGCCAGGTGGCTACAAGATGCCCCGGGACAGCATCGTCATCCCGGCGCTCCACCACATCCACAACAACGCCAAGCTGTGGGACAACCCCACGTTGTTTGACCCGGACCGCTGGGATACGGAGAAGGTCAAGAACCGGCCGACGGGAAGTTACATGCCTTTTGCGACGGGCCCGCGTATGTGCATTGCCTTCAACTTTGCGTTGCAGGAGGTCAAGGTGTTTTTGCCTAAGCTGGTATACCGGTACAAGTTCGCTATGGCCACTGAAGGGGCTGTCGAGTATGATCCCATGTTCCAGTTGATTCGGCCGAATAACTTATATGTGCGGGCCGAGAAGAGGGTGAAGTGGCCGCCGAGGAGTGATGCGTAGACAAGGGAGACGTACGTGGTAATAAACGGTTGCAGGAGTATTCTGGGCGGCATTGGTGGCGTCTTGGTGTAGATGTTTGGGATATTCTTCTCGGATATAGATATTGGCATTGATACCACATAGAACAAGCTTGGTTAGAGAACCCTCATGGCTTGAACATACAGCATATAAGCCAGTTATGGTGACCCCGGTCAGGGGAAACAAGACTAACGAAAGGTCCAACAGTAGTGGATTCGCAACTAGACTGTTTCCTCAGAAGTTGGACACCGGGAGTAGACAGCTCCGCCTTCAAATTAAAGGGGAGATCTCGTATTAGATATTAACGTATCTTGCAGTGTGACCTTGATGGGACGGTGCAATGGCCTCTCTGTGAGATGGCTGTGACCTTGAGGTCGCTAGTCCAATTGATTGATTGTTTTCTTGTGTAGAAGTTGAACGCCCCTTTGGAAGGCTCTTCGGCAGGCTCTTTGGGCTGCCCTATGTGGCTGGTAATCTTAAGCCCACAATACTGGTGACTGACGCGACCCTTGTATCTGACATATTGGACGCCTTCACCTAACTTAGATTCTATAAGAATTAGTCTTCTAATATAGTACCTGTATTGCCCACGCATTCCCGTTTACTCTGCACTACGCAACTAATATCCTGAGACGCGTGCTATCTCCGTTATATGTAGCTATATAGACATTCCTTACACATATATTACCTATTAGTTGCTGTTCTTAAGTACTAAAATGAACATAATCCTAACTAGACTGATGTTACCTGATTAAATACAACAAAGTCGCTAATGTGGCATCGAATAAGCTCTTTATAATTATAAGACGGGTTTGGAGGCGATGCGAGTATATAGGGGTCAAGTCGTGTGTATTGGGAAAGCTGTCTTGGCTAGCTAGCTGGCACCCTGGTAGCACTATCTTATCTTATCGTGCTGCCTTCTGTACTACGTAGTACGCTCAATGCAGGGGTATTGCCGAAGACCAAATAACCTAAGTCACACGAATCGCTGTGTTCTGAGGCGAACTTTCAAGCCAAATTCGGCGCAGCGGGAGCTATGAAGGCTTCAAGTCAATTGACAGGCCAAATTACAGTTGCATCAATGTTTCTAGCTGCTGTATGTTTGACTTTGAAGGCGGCGGCAACTAATGCTAATGTGATGGGGCTAATACTTTTGACTGCGGCCGGGGCAGTGCTCTTGACAATGTATGTGCTTTGATGCGCTCAGTATGGGGAATCATATGGTCGAAAGGCGACGGTGATGGGCTCGATGAAAGGGATCGGGATCCAAGGGAGTTTGACGGCCGTTGGGTGTGGGTTCAAGAGAGACGTGATGAAGTGTCCCTTGAAGGGGACTTTGATGCAGTGGATCGGCTGCAGTAGTGGGTGCCACTTGATCGAAGTTTGTCAAATAGCTGATTTCTTGACTGGAAGAATTCTTGAGAGTAGTGGGGGCGGCTTGGCTCAGGGCTTGTCGGTGTGCTGGCTTGGCTGCAAATTACTCGTTCGAGTGGATTGGGCTTGAGTGTCCCTGATTCATGGGGACTGTCTGGAGGAGAAGGAGATGAAGCTATTCGCCACTGCGAAACTGGGGTCGTAGGCGCCGGGGCTGGTCTTGGAGTTGGTAACGGATTGGTTGCGGGAGCCGGCACTAGCGGAGTAGTTGAAGTTGACGAAGTCGGCGGCTCTGGCGCAGAATCTGGAGGCGGCAGAGTTGATAAGGTCGGTGGCGGCAGGTTCGGCGAAGTTAACGGCGAAGCCGGCTCCATTGACTCTGGCGGCGGCGAACTTGTTGGTAGAAGTGGTCGCACTTCGCTTTGTAAGCTGGCTACTTGCTGACGCAGCTGTTAGATCTCTCGATCCGCTTCTTGAAGCCGGAGATATTCTGATTGTTGCTGTGAAGTCTAGCGTCAACATCAGTCAACAAGTACGTGACTTACGCAATCATTGCGTGAAGGGAAGGCTTCGAGGCATTTCTAGCAGGTCCACTGATACTGACTGTGGTTATCGACGTGTTAGCACTGGTGTTAGAGCTCTTCCTGTCGACGACGGCTTCGATCTTCGGCTTGTTAGCGCTGTTTGCTATCTTTATATGACCCTCTATCACGCCTGTTACAGTCACGTTTATAAGACGGATCGCGACGCCTACAGTCTTGATTGTAACGAGGATACCACACGTCTCACAATATAATAGTCAGGTAGTGCAAAGGGTAGCTAGAAGTAGGCCAGTGTATGGGTGCGTATATCGCAAGACTGATTCTTGAAGAATCTAAACTAGGTGCGAGCGTCTCGAGTTCTCCTCTTAAGCTGGGCGGTTCCGGGGTTTTACCGGATCGGGGCGAATCCCTCCCGACTCTGAGACCGGCCCGCCACAACGGCTCTTTCCTTACATTGATCTCGATCGTTAGATCGGTCGTATCTACAGCGGGAACCATCTTGTCTATTTCAATTGGATCGTCGGTTAGTTATATCCAATTGTCATAGCTCTGGCAATAAAATAGACACAGTGCTGTATACAGTAGTTATTTGGACGAAGTGTTAGTAATCCACTAGCATTCGACATCTTTTAGTCTATTAGCCGAGGGTCTTAGTCCTACCCTCTAACACCTATTTATACTTTTATTTGATAATGGCTAATTAAATCATATCATATCTAATGATGATATACTCGCTGAATATATTACTAAGAACATACGATAAAGTAGAACTAACGTAGTCCACGGTCCAATTGCACACACGGTCCAATTTGTCACGACCTGGGTTGCATCGCATTGGTAGAGACCTCGATTAGGTGCTATCGACGAAGATTCTACTCTAAGGAGCGAAGGAAAGAAGATGACAACTTAGGTTTGAGGGAGCGCGACTAAGTCGTCCACGCTTGGCGGGGCTCCTACAAGGGTTATGATTGGCTTTCCATCTGGCACTGCCATGGCAGGTGTTCCAGCTGTAAGTCACCTGGTTGTAGTGAGTCTGCGAGGGTTGACCTTCACAGTTTACGCAGCTAGACTATTAGAGGTTTCGTTACACAACTGTAATCTGTTTTAATTAGTACTCTATCATCTAGCCATGTAACCTTTGTGCAAGACACAACATGACGTTTGCTCATCTATTGTGCTCTATGCTCATCTTCCGCTCTAGAGTAGGGGCTTGGCGGCCTGCAGAAGTTGATGCAGTTAGAGGATTGAAGGGTGAGAGGGTTGATGGATCTGTTGCAATTTGAACGTGGTGATAGACTACAAAGTGCGGTAGGAATCCTGATGCACTGCAATCTGACTAGTCCGGATAAAACTAGAAGTCGGTAGGTAGTACGTGAATAGTGCTCCGAATATAGTTCGCAGTATACTGGATTTAAGCTCAAATTTAATTACTTAACGGGCTACTAGCTAACTAGAATATCGGCGGAATAGAACGATGTAAGCTCCGTACTCCCTGAAGCTACCATAGCGTGATAGTTAGTATATACGGCTGCTTTACTTCCAATATATCCGTGGAGACCATGGGATCAAGTGCCACAGTTATGCCGTAGGTCGAAGGCGGTGTAGGGGCAAGTTTAGCTAGTGGGTCCGACCCTTCCTTCTAGAAACATGCTTCTAGCATCCAACGCAGCACAACGCATATAGCAGACACAGCAGTCAATACGAGATCCACACAAAGTCACCAACAGAGGGCTGAATCCATCAGAAACACCACAAGTAGATAACCAGCACTAGAAATTTCAGTGGTATCCACCACGGCTTGGCGGATCCATAACACCATCTCGATTTGGGGAATGGTTAGGTGATCAACTGTGATGCTTATGTCACGTATTCAATCCCTCCTATGTCAGCCCTAGTCGTCCGTTTCCAAATCTACCGCTGATTATTGCTTAATCTGGGTCAGCAATCCAATTTGGAATCCGGGGGGCGCGAGCTCGCTTTTAGCTAAATCCGAGGACGCGGGGAGCCCCCAAATAGAGCAGGGGTCTCGCATGTCCATCATTTAACTATTTATCTGTACAACGTCCCACAAAGATTCCATCTGTGTCCCGTTACAATGGCGGCTGTAACAGAGCCAAGCGCTACGCTTGGCAATACAATATCACCAGCCGCTTTCCACAGCGCATCGCAGACGACCCTCGAAACAAGCGAACTCCAACTGAAGGCATTCAATGCAGAGAAAAAGCAAGATGAGGAGACGCGATCATCAGACGAGGTAGTCGTTCCCGTCAACGACAATGACGCGCCCAACAGCACCCTCCCCACAGCCAACCACCAATCCGCCATCCCGAACGGCGGCGCGGCCGCCTGGCTCCAAGTTGTAGGGGCTTTCATGGTCTTCTTCAATTCGTGGGGGATCCTCAACACATTCGGCGCGTTCCAGACGTACTACGAATCGGGCCAGCTGTTCGAGGAATCCTCGTCCAACATTGCCTGGATTGGTGCCATCCAGGCGTACAGCGTGTTGTTTGCCGGATTAATCACGGGGCCGATATACGATCGGGGCTATCTCCGGAGTCTGCTCGTTGTCGGCGGGTTCGGCATCGTGTTTGGGCATATGATGTTGAGTCTGAGCCATACGTTTTGGCAGGCGCTTTTGGCGCAGGGCTTTGTACGTTGCCCTTGTTTATTGGATTTCCCCTGGATGCAACCCGAGAGTGTAAATTTCAGATGAATCGGAACTGACAATCAATCCCTGTAGTGCATCGGCCTAGGAGCAGGCATCATGTTCACCCCCACCCTAGCCGTTCTCCCCACCTATTTCAACACCCGCGTAGGCCTCGCCATCGGCCTTGCCGCCAGCGGCTCCTCCTTCGGTGGTATCGTCTACCCCGTCGCCTTTTACAATCTCATCGACACCATCGGCTTCCCCTGGGCCGTCCGCGTTCTGGGCTTCATCGCCTTCGCCACCATGCTCGTCCCCATCTTCTTCATGAAGCAGCGTGTGCGCCCGGCTCACGCCAGGGCCCTCTTGGACCTTTCGGCGTTCACGGATTGGCCGTTTGTCACATTTGTGCTTTCCACTTTGGTCGGGTATACGGGGTTGTACGTCATTCTGTTTTACCTTTCTTATTTTGGGCAAAGTTCCAAGATTACGGATGCATCCTTGTCATTTTACATCGTGGCCATTCTGAACGCGACGAGTATGTTTGGTCGGACACTGCCTGCTGCGCTGTCAGACAAGACGGGGTCGTTGAACCTGATCATCCCCGGCGCTTTTTTCTGTGCATTACTGAACTTCGTCATGTTGGCCGTGGATAGCGTCGCGGGGATTGTGGTGGTGGCGTTGTGTTTTGGATTCTTCTCCGGCGTCTTTGTTTCGCTGCCCCCGGTCTTGTCCGTTGCTTTCTCCCAGGACAAGAGCAAGATTGGGACAAGAATGGGCATGGGCTTTGCCGTATTGGGGTTTGGCGTTTTGATTGGGGGACCGGGAGGCGGGGCCATCTTAGGTAGTGGAGGCGTAGGAGGAGAGGAAAATTGGAGGGGCCTTTGGATATTTGGTGGTGTGACGTCTATGATTTCTGTCGTGGTGTATATCACGCTGCGGATTTGGAAGGTCGGGTTCAAGATTAATGCCAAAGTGTGATGCATTGGGAGCAGGTGGGGGAATAGCATAGCATCTGGACTGTTCATCTAAAAAGTAATAGAAGTTTTAATTTGATGCTGATAGGAAATCTGAAGCTCAAGGCGATTCAAACAACTCGTAGGTATTACAGTCTCCACCCGAACCTAGCAAACGACATCCGCACGTAAGCCTTAATGAACCCGATGTAGCATGACCACACTTTTTGTAATAACTCTGATTGGCTATTATGCAGCGCTGTGATGTAGCGACCTTCTTCTCTGCACTTGCAATTATCGTGGACAAGGTATCGGCCGCCTGCTGCTTGACTTGGTGGGCTTCAAGGATAGTGGCAGCAGGAACCATAACTTGTTTCTGTTTGCCTTCAACTGTCGGGACATCAAGGACTGGCTCGGCTCTATAGAGCATGGGATATGGCTGGGGTGCAGACACAGGCACAGGCACAGGCGCATTTCGGACTGAGGTTCGGGCGTAGCTACACTCGAGGTCACGCTTAGAGTTAAACTCAGTGCGCTCGGAATCTAAGGCAGAGAAATTCTGTAATAGTAAGTTAGAAATGACAAACCTCAAAATAGGTAGGGATATGTAACGAACCTGCACATAATTCACATAAATCGGGGTTGAGGACAGGACGGGGAGACTAGCCTGTGTTCTAGCAGTTAGTAATGTACCAGACTGATACTTTTCAAATTGTAATTTAGAAACTCAGAGGACGATTGAAAAGGACGCAGTAAACATCCGCTTCGGGTTGCAGGCCAGTTCTGATCTTCTTGGCAGGCCTGCGATCGAGCTATAGATCATTTTCGCCTCTGGATCCGACCAATGCTGCACAACAGTCCTTGAAGATTGGATGGCGGCGTCTTGATCCTCAATTATGCCCTCTGGCAACTGAAAGCCAGCTTCCAAAGACTTAGAGACGGCACATAAAGACCGGAAAACAATTCCTGACGAACGAGAGCCCGCCACGGAAGTCATGCGGTCGTTTGAAAGCGGACTCTGCGGCTGAGCTCGAATCTTGACGGTCCAAGTCTCGCCGTTTGTAAGAGTCTCCCGGTGGTTATTTTCTGAGTCTCCTCCTAGCTTCTTCCTTCAAACATAGTTAGAAGGTATCGTGTGCATGATATCTTATCCTGTGTCTCAATGTTTACAGTCGAGTATGTTTACCCCTGAACCCGACACAGCTTCCCATTCTCCTTTGGCAACCCATCCACACTGTCCACAGCCCAGAATTCGCTCCCAACCGAAGTAGCTGCCCAGAAAACATCCAAGGGGTCATACCTCTTCTTAATCTCCAACAATCTCTCATACTTGTCTCCATAAAAGCTCTGCTGGAACTCGGGCTCCAGGCGATCCGACTCAGCCAGATAGCTCCCCGCCCCAGGTGTAATATCCCTCCAGCGCTGCATTGTCCCGTACGAGAACTCCTTTCTGGCCTCCAAGATTTGTGCCGCAGTTGCGTTCAGGGACCAACGGACTGACTGCAGGGAGAAGAAGACGTTTTGGCGCCAGGCGGGGTTGACGGCGTTGGACGGATTGGAAGGGCAGATGTTTTTCATGTTGAAGCCGACGATGAAGTGGTTCGTCTGCGAAGAAAGTTTGATGTTGGAGAATGTCTTGTTGAGCAATTCCGGGTCCTCGAAGTTGGCGCGTGGGGAGAGTCGTGAGCCAGATGTAACGTTGACTTTGGAGACTACTTCGAGGGGAAAGGAGGAATGCCAAGCGGGGTAGAAAGAAGGATAATGTGTTATGTTGGGGTCAAAACGGATACCGAGGTTGCTCAGTCGAGTAAACCAGGGATCGAGAAGGGCGTGTGCTTGTCCAAGGGTTTTGTTAGGTGCAAAAAACGGCGTCATTTAGAAGGTCCAGGTCCCTAACGTCACGTTGGGAAGGAGGAGGAAATATGAGTAAGTCCCTGCATCTGCGTTTGGGATGAAGTAGTCAAAATAAGCTCTAACCCCACCCCAAAAGGTCTCGTTGGACATGTTTGCCGTGCTGAAACTGAATCGAGAGACAGTCACGGGCATATCTGGATATGCTTTGATAGTGACAGAAGTAGCCACGCCAAATGTGCTCCCCCCTCCGCCACGCATGGCCCAGAACAAGTCGGTATTCTGCGTCGAGTCTGCAGTGACGAAACGGCCATCTGGAGTCACTACTTCGAAAGCAAGGACTTGGTCCGCACCGGTGCCGTAGAGGGAGATGAGTGGGCTGTGGCCGGCTCCCTGAATGTAGCCTCCCATTACTCCGACAGTCTTTTGAGCCGTTAGTTAAGTAATCACCATTGGCTTCCCCTTTTCCGTGCTTACCTCGCCCTCACCCCCAACGACAACTCTACACTTCTCATGAGCAGCCTTATAAATCTCAAAGGCCTGCACTCCGGTACCACACTTGAACGCAGGCCCAGCATAACCCTCAACCTCGTCCACATACTCCTCCAAATACTCAATTTCCTTGAGATAGGTGCGTCCAGATACTCAACGAACCCCCGCCACCCGATTTCCCACTAAAGTCGTGTCCCGTGTTCTTGACAAGTCTCACTCCAGTGTTTCGGGCAGAATTGACACCAGCCTTAACATGCTTTGGCGTAGTAGCATTGATGATATAGAGTGGGAGTCCACCCTGAGTGCATCCTTTGCTGTCGTAGATGTTTGGCGGGACGCAGGTTAAACCTTGATATACGGGCGACATCATCTCCAGGGGGTCGTCAAAGTGGGTATGTGAGTTGGTCCATTTGGCTGTCATGGCTGCGCAGCCTTCTGCATTGTACTCGGGGTCTGGGTAGCATGGTGCTGCCTGGGGACGGGGCTGGAGTAGGGATCCGTGAACTAATTCATCCAGGGCTGTCCAAGCATCTTCTGAGGGCCAGTCGGGGTCTTTGGAGTACACTTTGCACTCTCGTTGTGGCCGCGTGGTGTTTGGAGAGCCAAGAGACCCAAACTCGAACAATTTCGTGACTGCTGGAGAAAGAGCGCGGATGTCAGCATTTGTCAGCTGGATCTTCTCGGATTCGAATAGAGGCGGGGCGGCATTCGAAAAGGCAGTAAGAAGTAAACACAGTAGCAGATTTGCCAACGCCGCCATGTTGTGCAGTTTGATGCTTTATTTCAGGGTTCTTGTCAATCAGAAATTTTACGATGAGAACTTGACATCCATGCTGTGAGGAGCAGGATTTGGAACAGATTCCGTGAGTATATACTGTAGAGATCACGCACCCTCAAGGCTAGACTTAGCGAGGGGAAAGTCGATCACTTCCAATTCCACCTATGCGCTGTGACATTAAATGACGAACCATGGCGCGCAGCTTCTGCCGACAGGTACTTGGCAAGTTGGCAAGTTGGCAAGACTGTGGAGGAACGCAGCGATGCTACGCTCTTCGACCATACGAGACTTTCATATTGCACTCGAGGATAGTCCTGAGTTGTTCAGCTTGTGACAAATTGGCCGCCGCCAAAAATGAAACTTGAGATAGCGCAGTCACGTAACCCACCCTGTTCTAGAAACTATACGCAAATTGTATAGGACAGCGGTATCGTCGGAGGTCAGCTCTTTGGGATATGTTCAATGCCGACCAGCTCTTGAGAATTCGTGACTTTTTAACATTGTGTCATTGTTGCCTCCATCGCAACTTTACACGCAGCCCAGTAAGCTATAACACTGGTCTGATGATGCGAATTCAAGAAACATAAACAATATTGCAAAATGTTTGAGAGCGACACCTATCAACATAAGTTGAAGCTCGCAAGTACCGTGAGATATGTGTAGGGAATGCCACCAGTAAGCGTGAGTATTGTAGCGCTTTCACAGCGCCTAGCAGTAAAGAAAAGAGAAGACACAGAGTAGGTAACACTGCTTGAAGACTATGGATTTGCCATGCGATTGATAGTTGGGTTTATTCAACTTACGATTACTGCGCAACGTTGCATCTCCTGCACAGTTCTCACTGCGCAAATAGCAACTGGCTTCTGATTGGCAGCGGTGAGATTGCAGGTGGCTAATCTCCGGACAATCCCTTTGAATAAACGTCAGTGGTGAAGCTCTAGCTGAAGGCCCTGGAACTATTTCCGCACCTTTGATTGACAACTGCTCTCTGACAAGTCAACCCTCACAAATTACGACGCGAGATGACTTCGATCCTGTCACCAAATAGGATACCTGCGACCCATTGAGGTTTTGCAAAGGAGTGTTTTTAAGCACGGGGGTTTCCTCCTTTCTCTTTTCGCTGCAAGTCCAAAGCCAAGGCATACACTTGCGACTCCCCAACACCATGGCGCCTCGAAAATCCAAACCGTCCCGTCCGCCACCGCCTTCGAGAACGCTCGTCCTCGACAACGGCGCCCACACGCTCAAAGCCGGCTTCGTCTCCCCCGACGAAACCTCCTCCTCCCCTCCGCGCATAATCCCCAACTGCATCGCCCGCGACCGCGACCGCCATACCTACGTCGGCTCCGAGATCTCGCAATGCAAAGATTTTGGTGAAATCGCGTTCCGACGCCCCGTCGAGAAAGGCTTCATCGTGAACTGGGAAGCCCAGAAGGAAATCTGGGAGCGCGAGTTTTTCGATGCAAAAGCGCCGCAGCAATGCGATCCCTCCGAGACAACTTTACTACTCGCCGAGCCGCCAAATTCGCTGCCCGTGCTGCAGACAAATTGCGATCAGATGGTGTTCGAAGAGTTTGGGTTCGCGAGCTATGCACGTTGTAATGGCCCTGCGCTGAATGCTTGGCATGATGTGCAGGCCATTTTCAGGACGCCCAGGGCCCCAGATATGGTGGCGCAGTTGCCGGCCGAGGTGTTGATGGTGATTGATTCGGGGTACTCGCATACAACCGTGACACCTGTCCTGCGGGGGCGGCCTGTACACCCTGCTGTGCGAAGGCTAGATGTCGGCGGCAAGCTTATGAGCAACTACCTGACGCGGCTGCTCTCGCTGAGGCACTACGACATGCGCAACGATCCGTACATCGTCAACGAGATCAAGGAGCAGGCGTGCTACGTTTCGCTGGACTTCAAAGGGGATCTGGAGCGTTCGTGGAAGGGCACAAGGGGCGAGAGGCGAGAGGATTTTCTCACTGGCGGTGGTGTGGCCAGGGATTATGTGCTGCCTGACTTCCACACGAGGATGAAGGGTATGGTGCGAAACTACGACCCCTCGCAGAACTCGCGAGCAAAGAAGTTGGCAGCTGCAAGGGCGGTGGGGGCAAACGAGGACGTACTTACACTGCGAAACGAACGCTTCACCGTTCCGGAGCTGCTCTTCCACCCCTCAGATATCGGCATGCGGCAATCCGGTCTCGCGAATCTGGTCATGGAATCGCTGTCCGTCCTTCCCATCGGTTTGTGGCCGGGACTGCTAGCCAATATTGTCGTTGTTGGCGGCAACGGCTTGTTTGATGGGTTTATACAGCGTCTACAGAAGGAGATTGTGCAGCTGGTGCCGGATGAATGCATAGTACGCGTCGCCCGGCCGGCTGATCCGATCACGAGCACTTGGTTGGGAGGAGCAAATCTGGCCAAGAGCGAGGAGCTGGCGGGGTTGTGTATCACGAAGCAAGAGTACGAAGAGCATGGGGGTGCCTGGGTTGCGAGGAAGTTTGCGAATGGCGTGGGCGACTGAGGCTCCTGAGGAGTCTTGCATGCACAGCACACGCGCAATTGGGTATCACGTCCTCCGCAACACGGAAGTGTTCATGTTTTGGGGACGGAATTGATCCTCCATACAGGCACGCATCCAGACGACCTCCTCTAGCTAGACACTAAACGACGCGTTTCTTCAACCCCTGTCATTCGCACCATCAGCATCACCAGATCCATCACGGTGCGAACCAATGCACCTGCGCAGAACAATGCTGGCAGCAACCGGGAAAGCCGGTGATTCAATATCGATATTGGTGCGCATACGAACAGTTGGCAAACTTTATGTGACCTGCAGCTTGGCACACCCAGAAACCCGGGCAGAACTTGACCGAGACGGGGTTTACAGGCGGAGAAATTGATAGGCGGGCCCTAGCCGGGGTAATATTGCCAAGATCTCACAGGATTGCGAGGTGTCGCAATTTGAGAAGACGGGGAAATCTGGGGTGCTGCATCGTTGATTGGTGTGCTTGGGACAAACCATGAAATGCTACTGTGGTATTCTACGTCTATTGGGATACGATGCTTGACAAGCAGCGTCGCTTGACCATGATCCCCTCTTGGATGATGCGATGATGGGAATACGAATACAAATAGCCAGAATCACCCTTCTTCAAGTTCTGTCACATTTGCGTGACAGTCTTTGGGGGGTCGCGAATCAAACTCCAACATGACTCTCTCCGCTGGCCTTTGGACACTCGCCGCCCTCGTTGCTCTTCCCAACGTGCTGGGAGCCGGTCTAGACACCTGCGCCCTCGCCTCACAGCACTTCGGCAACGATGCACCGTGGTACATTGCCAGAATCCCCTTTTTCGAATCCAGCGATGCCGCCATCACTGAAGTGTACTACTATCGCTGGAAGATCTTCCGGGCGCACCAGCGCGATCTAGGTACCGATGGCTACATCTCCACCGAGTTCATAGACGATGTTTCCTGGCAGATCTACCCCTCTGCCTCGCTCGTAGACGCCTCGGGTTTTCACTTGCTTGAAGGCCGCTGGAATCGGGATAGGAGGTTCAAGGAGGACTATGCCACGTTCATGTACAGTGATGAGAGCAATCCACGGCGTTTCACCGAGACCCTGGCCACGAGTATATGGCAGGGCTACCTCGTCGATGGAGTCGTGGAGGATGTGCTCCAGTATCTAGACTCGATGCAAACCGTCTACAACGCCTGGGATACGGACTCGTATGACACCTCCAAGGGCCTGTACTGGATCGAACCCCTCCTCGACGCCACCGAGTACACGATAGCCAGCATCGATGCATCCTGCGGCGAAGACGGGTTCCTACAGGGGTACGCCTTTCGCCCCAGTATAAACAGCTACCAATACGCCAACGCGCGTGCCATCGCCAATCTCGCCACCCTCAAAGGTGGTCTGGACTCCGTCGTCGAGGACTACACCTCCCGCGCCGAGACTCTCAAGTCTCTCGTGCAAATCTGGCTCTGGAACTCGACACTAGAACACTTCATCGACCGCCACGAATCCAACACCGCCTGCGTCAGCTACTGGGAGCCCATCCGCGGCCGCGAGCTCGTGGGCTACGTGCCCTGGACGCACGACCTGCCCGATGACAACGCGACGTTCGCCCAGTCGTGGAAACACCTGGTGGATACCTCTGAATTGCTGGGCGAGCACGGAATGCGCACCAATGAGCCGAGTTACGAGTATTACATGCGACAGTACCGGTATGCGGAAGAAGACGGGGCGCAGCAGCCGGAGTGTCAGTGGAACGGTCCCGTGTGGCCGTTTCAGACGACGCAGGTTTTGACTGCACTGGGGAATTTGCTCGATCATTATCCTGAATCTGCTTCCACGGAAGTTGTTTCCAGGGTTGATTACACGAGTCTGCTGAAGTTGTACGCTAATTTACACTACAACCCCACACGCAACAACGCTTTGAATCTAGAAGAGGACTACTACCCTGACACGGGCGCCCCCATCGTCGGGCTAGACCGGTCATCGCATTACTTCCACTCGGGCTACATCGACCTCGTCCTCTCGGGCCTAGTCGGCATCCGACCCCGCTCCGACGACGTGCTAGAAGTGAACCCCCTGGTCAGCACCGATGTTGCCTACTTCCGCGCAGAAAACGTGCTCTACCACGGAAACGACGTCGCAATCCAATGGGACGTCGACGGATCACACTACGGCGTCCAAGGGCTGCAAATCGAACTCAACGGCGTCGTAGCAGCCTCATCCCCATCCCTGGCCCGGCTCACAGTCGACGCACCCCGTAAATATCCCCCCGAGTTTCCGAAACCAGTAGCAAAGTCCATCCAACTCCAAGATCTAAACCAGTATCCCGAAGGCCCCGCATACCCACTGGGCAGCGTCTCGCTCGCGGACCAGGATAGTGCCAAAGTGCAGGACGCGATTGATGGAAGGGTGTTCTTCTTCCCTGAAACGGATTACACGATTGCGCACGGGTGGCAGACGCCCGTGGGGGACGGGAGTGAGCTTTGGTATATGGTTGATTTTGGGGCGCAGACGGAGACGCGGAGCGCGGAGATTGCGTTTTTCGAGAATGCGGACCAGGGTGTTGATGGGCCGGTCGACTATCGGGTGCAGGTTGATGTAGATGGGAATGGAGCGTGGGAGGACGCAGCAGGGGCATTTTACGGGGACGTGGTTGGGAATGGGATTACGTATGCTGAGTGGGGAGCTGTGAGCGTAAGGAGGATTAGATTGGTGTTTACGCCGAAGGAGGGGTTGAAAGTGAGGTTGGTGGAGTGGAAGGTGTTTGATGAGGTTATCAGCAGTTCGGATTTGACAGAGCGGTGTTCAAGTCTAGGGAAATGAGGATGAAATCGGGCCAGCGTACGTGTCAATAAGGTAGTGTGGGAATTCAGATTGGTTCTCAACACCTGCAATGCATGCACGTTATGTCTACGTGAATGATGAACGGCGGCAACATCTTAGGGAGACCTCGCACTCTAGTGTGGAAGAGAGACCGAGTCCTGCTCTCACATGTAAGCGCAACAACTTTGCGAATCGAAGAGACTGATTCATTCGAAATATCACTTCAAACTGAAATGATTCCATTGCCTCATCACTGTTGTCTATTTTGACCCCTGATGCCTCGCCATAACCCCATCATCCGGCACGATACCAAAATCTTCCGTCCGGCGCGTATTGACGAATCCAGGCTCTGGACTATCCCAGCTGTAATCCTTCCACTCCCCCAGTACCGCCCACATCTTCTCGACAAGCCCCTGGATCTTCTTCCGCCTCTGTAAGCTCCAAGCGTGCGCTTCAGCCACCTCGGGGCTCGAGGGTTTAATGTTAAGCCCCTCAACGACGCTGTGGAAGACACGCTCCGTCTCCTCGAGCTCGGGCACACTAGCAACGCCCATAACGCTGACCCCTACGCGTGTGCCTTCTGGGAGACGGCTGGAGGTCCCGCCCAGCGAGGCGCCGTCGCGGGACCAATTGTCCAGGGCCCAACGGATGGAAACAACTTCCAGCTTCTCGTCGGCTTCTTTAGCCACAGAAACAAGCTGCTTTACTTTACCCCTGAGCTCGCCGGGGCTAGGGTGCCAAGCAGCCGTTGGTCCGGCATCAGCTCCTCGGGTGGTCAGGAGACCCATGCCGAGCATGCTGGCGTTCAGAACAACATCCACTCCGGCTGCTGTGAACCGTTTCACCGCCGATGTGCTCAGGGTGGTGTTCTGGATGGTGAAGTGGCTATAGCTGAGTACTGCATCGAGCGACTCTCCTGACTCAGCTTGTACCAATTCAGCCAGGTCGCACAGCTTCGAGACCGGGTACCCGCTGATTCCGACGTATCGGATCACCCCTTCGTCCCTCAACCGGCGCAGCTCGCCGACAGCCCCGAGCACTTCAGCAGGGGACATGAATTCCACATCGTGCATGTACACCAGGTCCAAATAAGTCGTGTGTAAGCGCTCCAAACTGCGGTAGACAGAATATCGCACCCACGACGGACTGTAGTCGAATTCGTTGCCTCCAATGCGGCCGGCTTTCGTGACGAGGAAGTACGACGAGCGGGGATATTTCGCATTCACGGGATGCGCTAGGGCGTCGCCTAGGATCGTCTCGGACGGCCCGTAGTACGGCGACGTGTCGAAGGCGTTTATCCCCAATTCCAACGTCCGCGACACGATGGACAGAGCGGGGAGAATTTCGGGATTGAAGGGATCCGACACGTATTGCGAGTTGAAGGTGGCGGTGCCGAGGATCAAAGGCGGGATTGCTTGGTGGAGGGGCTTGCGCTCCGATTTGGGGGGTGGTATGGAACCCATCGCGGCGGCGTTATTGGTGGTGGCTGGACGGGGCCGAGGGAACGGTCGAGGGAATAGATGTCGCGGTTGGCTTGAGTTCGGCTTTGCGGACTTGAAAGTCGCGATTTGCTGAGGAGAGGTTTCGTCGAATTCAAATAGCACCACGACTCGCGCCAGCCGCGGCACTTATTTTCAGTCTCAAACCCGTAGTTGCGCGGCCGTCAGGGTTTCAATACGTCGTGGATTCGTGGTGCCGGAAGTGGACACACGATGAGGGGCGCTCCAAGTTTGACTGCCGCCTCGACTTTCACCGCACTTGAGAAGGAAACGGGCTCTTTAAGGCAGGCGGGTCTTACACCTCTGCCGATGACCAAAGATGCCAGCCATGGTGAAACGAACCCAAACCCCCATTGGATCGACGGTGGTGCTGCAAGATAATGAATCACCAGATGCCGTCGCGAAAATCGAGGCATGGAGGGGTAGATGGAGATTCTGGAGTTCTAGAAGCAGTCCGTCGCCGGTCCAGTACAGGGATTTTACGACGCTTAGGGGTCTCTAGGGCCGAATTCCGCTAGTATCTTCACTATATCACTTGGCAGTAACCTTATTGGGATAGCACCAGGTATCCGTGGTAAGCACGCCATTGGCTTTCTAACCGTGTAAAGTCCGCTGCGTAAAGGTCGTCGGTGGAGGTACATAGGTAAGAAACCTGTAAAGGCTAAAAAGGTTAAGTGCATTGTCTATCATTAAACCAGCTACATGATACGTTCGCCGTTCAACCTATAGACCATTGGTGCTTAAAGGTACGTACTGTAAGATATAGAATAAGATTTTAGAGTAGCAGTTGCTGCGGCGTGCCCCAGGCATTCCGGCTGTGTGCTGGGTGCAGCGCTCGGGCCGACTGCCTATAAATAGTCTTTCCGTAGCTGCAGCCTTCGGGAGTTAGTCCTATCGTTACCAAAACAACTCCCTTGCCTATATTGCCCACAGTATAGTTACTTAGTTTCATATTCGATAGATCTTTATATATTAACTTGGAGATACGGTGTTTGAACGTTATTCTCGGATGATTTGTGCAATTTTCTTCTCGCAGAATTTATAAGGATCTGTACTGATCTGTACTGTTAGGGCACGCAGAGAGATAGTTGTCGTGTATTGTGGCTAGGATGTCCAGGCTGGTGCTGGTCGGCTGGAACCAAGTGGTGGTGGCTATGCACTGACCATCTCTGATATATACTGTCCAAGGGCGCACTCTGGAAAATGAGACATGTACAGGATATGACGACAAGAGACGGAAGAGAGAAGAAGACGATGAAGTCTTGCGTTTCTTTTTCGTCGCTAGCGCCTTTTGTGGCTCCATTCCGTTGCATCCCTGTTGAGGTGGATCTGTGAAGCATCCTTTTGCCGTCCTATTCTGTTATTCTGCCTGTTGAGGTAGTTGTGTTGACTGGATCAGAGCGCTAAGGCTCTTGTTTTCTGTTGTTATCCGCCTAGACGGCAAATCGTGTTGAGGATTTGTTGTCCACCTCAACCATCTTCACCTTTACACTGTGGGCTTCTCAACCGTCATTGATAAGCCTAAGATGAACTTTACTGAAATCTGCTGACGACGGGCAGCAAGGCCCGCAAGATAAGGCAATGAAGATGGAGACGGATAGCAGGATCCTCATTCAAATCTGCTGTCCGGGTGAATAACACGACGGACTAAGAGCGTTGTTGCTCTGGTTAGATCAAAAGATAGCCCTCGACAGGCATGAATAATCAACTGGGCCTCAATAAGTGCAGAAAACAGAATAAAGGCTCCACAGGTACAAATCGTCATGAACAATTTGAAATCAAAGAACTCTTCATCTCTCTAGTCGTCTTCCTCTGTTTTTGTCTTCTGCCATTGTCTGCTGTTATCCGCTGTTGTCCTCTGCACCTCTTTCATCAAGAGTGCGTCCTTGGACTTCCCCAGATCCTTCTAGGTTAGATCCTTCCAGAAGCAGACTATTGTATATTTCATCCGAAATTAGCGTTCAAGAAACTGCTGTCTTTACGTCAGTCTAGTACATATATACACGTGTTTTAGACTAGAATACTGTAGCTCTTAACTAATTAGCTATGATACGGGCCAGTGTAGGCGAGTTTGGCCTCCGGTATATAGAGGTACAAAGCAGACAGGCACGGACTGTAGTATTTAGGGGAACCCGGGCCAGTTTGGGAATGGTCCCCCACGCATACTCATAGTACAATACAGCCCCAATAATCGGGATCCAACAACTATCATATTGACCTATCTACTCATAGTTAGTTGGGTCAATCTGATACGTAGATATGCTCTATGTTTTCCCATGATGCTTCTAGGAATTGGAACAGTTTGCATTGTAGAAGCTTATCCAATAGAAATCGTGATTTTCAGGTCCTTGGCCTAATCTTTCTCTTTTTGTTTGGCTATTGTGTTGAAAAGGAAAGCAACGAAGGAGTTGGGCGTATGCCAAGCCACTCACCACGATGCATAATTCCCCTTGTAGATTCAACATAAGCTTTGGGAGATTCAAGTGGTGTCCTAATATTGAAATCCATATGATCACCATAACTTGAATACACTGGTCGTTCTGTGGAAAGTTTGGGCTTCATGTATGTAAGCCAAATGAGCAGCACATACTGGCAGCAGTCGGCCCCTGATCATGAGAAACGTCCAGATTTAGCCGCGACTCAAATTCGGCCCAGAGGGTTAATAGATCTACATGATTTACGAGGCAATGTAAATGCTTAGCTGCGCAACCCAATCCTCACAAGGAATTACAATTATAAGGACGTAATGCCAACTCCGTGTGTAAGCCGTGCTGCGATGAGCCCCTTTCAGAGCGACCTGCTCCCCTTCTCGCAGACAGCGTAGTTGTCTGTAAGAAAACAAATTATTCTTGGCATAACGTGAATGTACACCGAGCTGGCCATGACACCGAGCTGGCCACCCTTACATAACCTCGCATAGAAATTTTACGATAGTAAACCCACAAGGCCGTAAATCAATTGAAACTACTCTGAATCTTCCTCTCCAGAAGATGGCAATGCGATGTTACAAGTTCGCGCATTATGCCCAGTCCCGTTGCAAATACCACAGCGCCTCGGGCGCGTTTTTACGCGTTTGGAGGGTGCTTCGGGGGACTTGGTACGTTTTTGCCGCTTGTCGGAGACTAAGTTTTTGGTCATTTTTGAGAGCTTGAAGGGCTAGCATTAAGTTTGCTTCGTTGTATGACTTTGCCATAATTGGTTATTAAGAAAATCAAAGATTAAGGTCCTTAATATATAGTGTAATGATGCACAACAGGAGTGAGGGATCTTCATATGACGTTCCTGTGACCCATTTCCTTTCGAAAAAGACTACACTGATTTGATGGGGTTCGCGCTTGCTTGACATGTCGGTGATCAAGTTCCCTCATAGCTGCCTTCCCGAACTTCCGCGCATTGACAATGATTTTTGAATCAAAGCCGGCTGAATCATCCTGTTACTCCCAGGCACCAAGTAAACACAGCCCCGGATTTATGCGAAATTTAGGAGGCAAACGACGAAAGAATCGTAGTGTAAAACCTCAAACCTGTCAAATGCGAGGAACCCTAGCTTAGCTCCCAAAGTGTAGTCCATCATGAGTTGTGACCTAGCTATAATCCAGACTAGGTACGTGAACATCGCGGGCTGTGGATCTTCTGCAACTTCCGTATAACTCCAGAAGTGCATGTCAGCATTAAGCGTTCCATTTCGGGTTTCCCAGCCCAAAGTTCAAATTATGGGGCGGCTGAAGAAATATTAGACTGCCACCATGCGTAAGCATCCCAAAAACGCTTCATAACAGGGGATCTATTCTAATTCATAGGCTGGGGCTTAATATGCTCTGCCGGTGCATGGAATCCTTTACAGACATGACAACGCATTGGATAGCTGGAAAATAGGGGCCAATCCTACGCGGCAGATGGCAGTCGGCATTCGTACCAGCTAATTGGACAAGGCACGACAACAACATAACAATTAGCTAGGCGATTTATTGCCCGAAGTCGTCCAGGTACGAAGTAGTGTACAGCAGCGGCAGAGCTGCGCTATACGTCCATAAACGATACGACGTGGCTACGTTGCGACCCCGTACCGGGATGGACTGGAGCAGTATTACGTTCGGGGCAGGCCCGGACGCCCTTACAATCTGGTCTATCTATTCACCAAACCAGACCGGGAGCCGCTGGGTCAGCCCGCTCCAAGACCTCCCTAATGGGGCGCCGGAGGGGACACAGGTCCTCGTAGGGGACTTCAATACACATCACCCGCTGTGGGACGTCCACGGACGGTCGTCACGGGGCAGCGACAACGTAGTGGAGTTTGCGCGACGCTGGCGATTAGAGCTCGTTACGCCGTTCGGGGAAATCACACGGCAAAGGCACAAACAACGAGACTCAACTATCGACCTAGCCTGGGTGACGAAAGGGGCTAGGATTGATTACGATGGGGACCCGGGCCTAGAGGGCTCAGACCACAGAGCGCAAGTGATTAGGGTAATATCCAACGGGGAAGCAGTCAAGGAGGGCCGCCGCAGTGTCGAAGGGTGGAACTGGGCGATGGCGGATAAGTGGCTCATCGTAGCCGAATCAAGCCAGAGATTTATGAATTATTTGCCGGTTGAGACGATAACGGAGTTGGACCAGGCTGTTGACTGGGTTATCCGGAACCTCCAAGAGATCGCCGACGTGGCGGTCCCGAGACGCACCGTTGGCCGAGGCGCTGGGGTCCCGTGGTGGTGCCCGCAGGTTAGCAAGGCTTGCGCTGAGACGAAGAGACGACGGCGGGACTACCTCCAGGCAAGGTCGCAGACCAACTGGGACGAATATACAAGAGCCGGCCAAAAACAACGGCTCGAAATCAGCGAAGCGCAGACGCGTAGCTGGCACGAGAAGCTCGAGGGGACGGCGAAGGATCACAAAAGCCTGTGGGCACTGCAGAGGTGGGCTAGGCTACGGAGCTGGGCCCCCCCTGAGGCCCACGGCTTGCCAGATCTCCGGAGGGACGCCGGCGACACGCTTACAGCACGTACACATGATGAGAAGGCAAAATTACTAGCTGAGAGGTTCTTCCCAGACCCGTATATAGATCTATCGGACCTCGATCGCGGCCTATTACAGACGAGACCAGAGCTGAACGTCCCTAGGGAGGTGACCACAATGGATATCGAGTCTATCATCAAAGGAACGGTTGCTCGGAAGGCTCCCGGCGACGACCTGATCCCCACTGGCCTGCTAAAGGCCTGCGGTGAACCCCTATGGGAGATCCTAGCGGATCTGGCAACAGCTAGCTTTAGGCTGGGGTACTACCCGGAGCGCTTCCGCTCAGCGAGGGTGGTTGTTATCCCTAAGCCTAATAAAACGACAGCTCAGAAGCAGACCCCTGGCGGCTGGCGCCCCATTGCCCTGCTTAGCACGGTAGGGAAGGTAATAGAGACGGCGATGAGCCAGCGTATCACCAAAGTAGCTGAGGCGGCCGGCCTACTACCAAACGGCCAAATGGGTAACCGCGCTGGGAGGTCCACCGAACTGGCAATACGTATAGTTGAGGACGTGGTCTATACGGCGTGGAGACGCGGGGGCATCGCCTCGCTGCTACAGCTAGACATCAAGGGGGCATTCGATACGGTCAATTACAGACGGCTGATTTCCATATTAGCCCGGAAAGGTTACCCGGAGTGGGTTCAGGAGTGGGTACGCAGCTTCGTGGAGGATAGAACGGTACGCCTCCGGTTCGATGGCAAGGAGTCAGAGCCAATCCCCCTACGAGCTGGCGTCCCCCAGGGGTCACCGCTATCCCCGATACTGTTTATATTATACATTTCAACGCTGTACGAGGAGCTAGCGGAGCAGCATCCACTACTTTTAGTAGTCGGGTTCGCGGACGACACGAACCTGCTAAGCGTCGGCACCGATCCAGACACGACCTGCCGCCGGTTGGAGAGCGCATGGGCTACGTGTCAGCGGTGGGCAGTGAGGCACGGGATGGAGTTCGCTCCTGACAAGAGTGAGCTAATGCACTTTACTAGGGCCCGAGAGCCCTTGCCGCAAAGTATTCGCCTTGGGGATGCCACAGTGTCGCCGGTAGTCTCAGCCAGGTTCCTAGGAGTCTGGTTCGACCGCAAACTGACGTGGCACGCCCATGTTGAGCGTGTTAAAACAAAAATGGCAACTCAAAAGCTAGCCCTGACAAAGCTAGTCAATATGTCGTGGGGCTGCGATCTTATACGGGCGAGGCTGTTATATACGGTGGTTATCCGTAGCGCGATCGCCTTCGGGGCAACTGCGTGGCATACTATAAGTGAGGAACCGGCAGGGCCAGCTAAGAGCCTGATGGGGATACAGAACGAGTGCCTCCGGGTAGTCTGTGGCGCCCACAAAGCGACGCCGGTTCGCCACCTGGAAGCAGAAGCAGCAACCCCGCCACTAGACCTCTATCTTAGTGCCCGGGCTGCTAAGTTTGAAGAACGGCTACGACTTAGCGGGAAGAGAAATCTGCTTCGCAGCGCGAGCGCTAAAGCGTCACATATACTCCGGCAGGATAGGCCGGCGAAGAGGAAGCAGGCGTCGCAGCTACTCCGACCGGCAGGGTACACTATGGAGAAGGAGGCCCGGGGCTCCGGGTGGATGAGTGAGGAAAAGGAGGTCCCGGCTGCCCTCCTCGGCCACTGGAGGAAGAGATGGCTCACCGGAGCAGAGCATCACGATCGCCAGCGACGCGCTATCGCTGAGGAACCGGAGGGCCCTTCGATGCAGATACCGAAAGGGGGCAAGTATTTCGGCCTGAACCGACTGGAGGCGTCTACGCTGTGCCAGATCAGGACGGAAAAAATAGGACTAGCAGCCTTCTTATTCAAGACAGGGGCTTTTGGCGTGTACTCGCCGCTATGCCGCTGTGGCGACGCCCCTGAGACGGCAGAGCACGTAATCCTCTTTTGCAGGCTGTTGGAAGGGCCGAGGGAACGATTACGGGCCGCTATCGCACCACGGCCACTATACTCTCGCAGAGACCTCGCAACGGCAACAGGAGAACCAGTAGTTAGTGGGACTATTGTAAGGTGGCTGCTAGGGACGGGTCGGACAGCTTCAAGGCCCAGATAGCATCGATCTTCTCAGGGGGGACTTTGTTGGTAGGTTGAGAACCAACGTAGTATGGTAGTGAACGCAACGCAGTCGCCAATAGGGCGAAGCGACGACGCAGCGTATGTATTTAGTCCAGCCATTAGGGCACGGTTTGACATACGGGAGTACTAGTAGAGGTACCGGGGGCTTCGAGCCTACGGCGTATTTAATAATAATAATAATAATAACAATTAGCTAATGAGAGCTGTGCCTTTGAAATGTACCAAATTGTTCTTTCTCCTGAAACTCTAGTTAGCCAGCTGTGCCAAAGAAACTGAATTACATACATTTCGCTGACTTTAAACTGTCTCGAGAAACGCTCATTGCCGCCAGCCAAGCTAATGTTGATCACCATAGTAATCCGGGCTAAAAATGAATCCAAACGAAGAGTGTTGCCCCCTTTGACATATTTCTATTATTGAACCTGGAAAAGTCGATTTTGGATGCCTGGAGCTCAGCCGCAAGACTTTGGTGGATACTGTACGTAAAATGGTCTTGGTATTGGGTTTTGTGCGTGGATTGGATCTATTAGCAGCGATCGTTGGCCGAAAGTCGAATATTCATATCCCTAAAGAAGAAAGATCGTCACAAAGTTGTAATCATGGGTCTCATGTCAGGATGGAAGGACGAGACGAGAGTCTTAGACATGTTAGCTTGTAGCAAAAGCCCTTGAATTAGAAACCCACAGGAGGGAGTATGGACCAGTTCTCAAGTATATAAGGAGTCAAGATGTCGTCCAAGAGCAAACTTCATTCAGTCCAGCTCACAATCCAACATTCGATCCAATATCACCATCACAACCTTCTCCGAATAACAAACTCAACCTCACTGTCCACCCACACCACCAACTATCAAAATGAAGACCACTCAGACCATTCTCTCCCTTCTGGCTGTTGCCGCCGCCGTCATCGCCGCCCCTACCGAGGACAACGCCGCCTTGGACATGCGAGCTGACAATGCCAACTGGACCGGAGGAGACGCCGAGGTAAGCTTTATCAGTGGCTTCTGTTCTCCTGTCTTACGTTTCTGCTCTTTCCGAGGAGAACACAAGTCTCAATCTTGGAAGTGACTAACATGCATTCACCTCACCAGATCCTCCGCCGAGCCAACAAGTTCGACTTCTGCAACCCAGGCAAGGGCGAATGCACCTCAGGTGGATGCTGGGGCTGCCAGGGCCACACCTTCATCTGCCAGGACGGCCCAGACAGTGGGAAGTGCTGCTGGAGAGACGGGGACTCTGTGTCTTGCGTCAACGTTTAGATTAACTGCAGTTTTGCCAGTGTTGTCTAGAAGTTCAGGAATAGCTGCGTTGGGAGTCTGTTCTAGGGGAGGTTGTGTTATGGATATTTTGCACCTCGGTTTCATACGCTCGTTAATAGCGGCCGCTATCATTTAGAATTTACATTTACTTTTCCAAAAAGGGAGGAAAAAGAGAGCACGAGACAAGTGATTGTGAGAGTGCTTGTTGCCACTCCGCAGTCATTCTGCTTTTACGAGGTGTTGTAGTCGTGTTTTGCGCATGAATTTGTTATCCTCGACTGTCCTAATTTTCGTCTTGTCGAATAGTTAGTCTCACAGGTATGATGGGAGTTGCTTGATGAGCAATTCACGTTTGGTATCGAAGTTGGTATCGAATTTGATATAACGTAGTCCACAAGCGAACGGGTCACCCAACCGAACGGGTCACGCCCATAGCAAAAAATAGAACTAAACTTCCTAACTTTACCACGCAACTAATTCTCGATGAATTCTGCTCAAAAAGAATCTCAATTACTCCTTGCAACTCAGGCTATCAGAAATGACTCAACACTTAGTATCCGACGTGCTGCAACAATCTACAAAGTCTCGAATACTACTCTCCAGGCGCGTCTTCAAAAACGTCAATCACGTCGCAATATTGAAGCCAACGGTCGGAATTTAACAAACTAGAAGAAAATACGATTATTCAAAGGGTAATTGAGCTAGATTCGCAAGCATTTCCTCCCCGGCTAAGTGCTGTTGAAGATATGGCAAACCGACTGCTACGCGACTCGCATATCACAAAGGAGGACTTTCTTCCGGTATTTTGCGACGCGTTCAAGAAGAGCCTGACCGAAAGCAATATTCGTGCAGGCTTTCAAGGGGCTGGGCTTGTGCCTTTAATCCCAGATATTGTTATTGAGAAGCTGGATGTGAAATTACAGACTCCAACGTCCTCCCGGCCCCCTACGCGGGAAACCCTTCTTTGGGTTTCTCGGACGCCAAACAACCCAACCGAGGCTACTTCGCAATCCGAATTTATTAAATCTCGAATTTCTAGGCATCAAAATAGCTCCCCGACGTCAATTTACAATGCTATCGATCAGTTTTTGAAAGGAGCACGGAGTATTATGCATAAGATGGCTTTACTCCAAGCTGAGGTCGCCGAACTTCGAGAGGCAAATGCTCTAATTAACAAGCGGTGCAGGGCCAAAAAAACACGAGTACGGCTTGGAGGATCATTTAATTCACAAGACGTACAAGATCCTCAAGATCAAAAGGACGTTGCGCAGCAAGTACAGCAGGAAATGCGTGGAAATAGCGCTGGATCAAATCGTGGCCAGCCACGGCAACGGCGCTGTGGCGTATGCGGGAAGACCGGGCATAATGCGCGAACCTGTCAGGTAGAGATAGAATCATCTGGGCAAGAGTATTCTGAGTAGTTTTAATTGATTTACGGCGTTGTGGTTGCGAAATCGTGTTGAATTCCATGTTTTGCTAGCCCGTTCGCTTGTGCACTACGTTACGCGTAAACGGTGATTCTATATTTCATTGAGGATTTTCGACTATCAAACAAATAGCGAAGACTGAAGACGTACCTAACGTATTTAGAGCAGAAATATGGCGGTTGAAAATTTACTTTCTCGAACTTCTGTTAAGTTTCCAGCTATTTGCACCAAAATATGGGCAAAATTGAAAATATTCCCATTTACTTCATGTTTGGCTACCTACTGGGAAGTCTTGTGCATGTGCTGACAACAACTTCGAAGATCTTCATAAAAACATGTTAATGAAGACAGCGCTATGTCGAAGAAATACATCTAGCATATAAGTGTATGCTGCAAAACTGGCGAACTGGTGAAATTCACATGTAAAATTACTACAAGCGCAAAAGGCATGTTAGCCATAGACTTGGCCATTGTGACACTGCCACCGCAAGACCTGCGAGTCTTGAATATTCGTAGTAGCTCTAAATGTACTCCGATTAGCCTAATTCTCCCATGGCAGGTTCGGCGATACTTAAAAATGATATACCTAACCCCTGGAATGTTCAATCTGCCTGTTCAAGGCCGGTTCAGGGGTGTCCCAATCGGGACTTTAACCTACCAATCACAGTAGATGCAAACCAATCCCTCAGCTTCCGTGATTCCTATGACATCGTGCTGCATGTGGATGATTTACAGAGTAGCTACCTTGGCATGCCATTGATACAGCATTTACCGCAGAGTGTTCCGGTCGGTATAGCTTAATCTGTAACGCAAACGGAACGACACTTTCCATTCATGTTTTCATTTCCATTTGCATTTATTCCCGATTTTAATTTGGGCTCAGTCTTTGCTGTAGCTGATTTCGCGTGTAAACGCAGATTTACACAAGGAAATGCCCAATTAGTGAGGTCGGAAGGACAAATAATTCCCAAGCGGGAACCACAGTTAGACAGTCTTCTCTACCAGACCAAATTTCCTGGAAAGTCGCATCGCATATCACCAAAATTGCTTTCCCCCGACTGATTTCACTGAGTCGGGAAGTTTCTTCCATATTAATATACATCTCGAAATGCTGTTTCTGATCTATGACGTTTGCCCTGAGGCTCCCTACTGTATTATATAAGTCTTCCCAGGCCATTGGCATTCTCTGGAAATGATGCCACCTACTCCTCAACTTCCCAATTCTCAATATGAGGTTATCTTCAATTGCGGCAGGCTTCGGCCTCGCCTGTTCGGGCATGTCGATCCCTCCAGACTTTCATGAATGAGCTCAACGCACTAACATGTTACAGCCATTGCCCAGTCAGAGTCAACATCATACACCGACACCGAGACGGGCATCACCTTCCAATCCTACACCAGTGACGACGTGTCCTTCCGCGTGGCCTTACCCGAGGTAACCACCGGCGCCTTCGATGTGATTCTGCAGATAGATGCACCAGCAACGATCGGCTGGGTAGGCTGGGCCTGGGCAGGTACAATGACGTACAATCCTCTGACACTCATTTGGCCCAACGGGGACGACATTGTGCACGCGTCTCGGATGGCATTGTAAGCCCACCTCTGCTCACTTCCCAATACATCCAGACACTTACTGGTAACTACTCCAAACAGCGGCTACTATGTCCCCGACCCTTACCCCAACGCGACCTACACCGTCCTCAAAGGCACCGGCACCAGCGGCGGCCGCGTCAAATTCACAGCCCTATGCAGTGGCTGCACGACCTGGGCTGACTTCGAGGGTAACCCAACGACCATTGACGCCAGCCAGCCCGCCCCCTTTGCTTTTGCCTTCTCGCAAACACCTCCGGAGACGCCTGCTGACCCTGTGTCAGCATTTGGCATTCATGATCTAGTTGGACACTGGAACCACGACCTGCCTGCTGCGAAGTCAGCCGATTTCCAGAGCTGGGTTGCTGCGAATGGAGGGACGGGTTCGAATGGTACGTTCGTAGTAAGCCCGAAGTTGAGGGCCAGTAGGGGCGCTTTGGGGTTGTGAGAAGAGTTCAGGGATTGCTTGAAGATTGGGGAACAGTAATAAGAGGTTGATGTACACCCTCGCGTGACCGAGGTCAGATCGGTCTGTGTTCGCAGAAGACCTCGTTTCAGCGAGAAAACTTGTCGCACGCTTCGCCAGTACCCAGCATCAGGGAGTGCGTGTATATAGACTGCAGCTTACTAGATCTTGCACATATTTATTTAAACAACAACTAGTTCAGGGGGCAATTATTTTGTGTGTAACAGCATAACAATCTGAAGTTGAAGATAGTTATTCCGAGGGTGAGAACTGTGTCTTAACGCTGCTCATACCATGGTTGGTGACGAGATGCGCCCCACGGCAAAGTTTTCCCTAGATACATAACCTAAGTTAGTAACAATGCGTTACAACAAAAAGGGCCGATGGTTTAGTGGTATAATACTCCCTTAGCATGGGAGTGGTCCGGGGTTCGATTCCCCGTCGGTCCACTGAATTCAAGCATTTTTGCATACAATCCATCCCCCGAGTGGTTAGTTCGCGTCAAAATGTTTGTTTCTGGTGTCTCATTCGTGGAGTAAAAACACTTTTTTCCTGTTAAGACCGTGCTGGCTATGGGCGTTCCGATGGATTTGGCTAAAACTGTGTTCAGTGGTACGGCCAAAGTGCAATGACCTTGGCGTATGATACTTACTACACACACACGATGGTCAAGACCAGGTGCGCTACTTTTTTACATTTCCAAGGTGTCCCTGTGTTCCTGCACAAAGTACATGTGCATTGTGAATGCAATGTTCGAGTGAACCGGCTTTCTGTATGGTGGTGACGGGGCAGGAGTCGAGCATGCTGTGCAGGAATTTTAGACGAATGAAATTATGTTTGGAGGACTTTGAAACTGGAACCAGCATGACGGAATAGCTCAGGTTTTCTGATACAACTTCCACTCAAACCCACCACCTCACAAGGAGTATACGCACATTGTCCACATCCGGAAACCCCAGAGCCCTAAAGCAGTCCTTGAGAAAGTAGTCCTCGAAGAACCCAGCTGTTCGCATGCACTCGTCAGCAACTTGAGGGTTCTCCTGAAAAACCGCCAAAATGTTTCCAAGTGGTTGAAGGAAGAGACAGCAAAGGAGTCAAGACTTACAGTTTGGAGGCGTTACAGCACTGTGATCAGCACAAGGCCGCAAATCGATACCCTCCCCGTCAATCAGATTCCGCTCTCTTCCCCTTCGCATATTTCGAGCTGCTGAGCAAATCAAAAATGCAAGTAGTGTCAGGGTTCGAGTTTTGACCCAATGTACGGGGGAGCGAGGTGGCTTTCATACAAAATTATGTCTTCAAGACGTAGGCAGAGATACGGAGTCATCCCCGGAGCACCACCCGTGTCCTGGACGCTAGACGAGCCTTGCCAACCACATTGATGATACGTCCATCGCAGATGGTCAGATTACTTCATATCATAGTATACGATCTTTGAGGCTGATGCATGTCAGTCACTTTCCCCTTTGGGTCCATTCGCATGCAGCCACCTGTGGCTGTGTGCACTGCACCTCATTTAGCCCAGAGTTCAATAAGCACTTCTTAATCTGATCCTCGTGCTTCTCCATTCCACCAAAGATACAACAAACCCAGATAACTGGCATGGCAATCTGCATAATCTCGCAGCTTGTACGGGTAGTGGCGTCGCCGGAACGAGGATCGGCAGCAGGTGTGGCTTGGAGCATCATCGCAAACGCGAAATACAACCAACGCGAAACCCTTGGCGCGCAGGTCTTGGCTTCCAGCAACTCATCCAACCACAGAGACAATATGTGCTCTTTAGTGCAGGGAGTTGAAGATCGGCAAGGAGTGATGAAAAATAACGCTAGGTTTCATTGATACCAGAAAATCTATCTATCCCGCTGAGCTGTTTTGCTCCCCTCAAACTCCGATACTCCTAGACCATTTTGACATGATGAACAGTCTAAGATCCGATAATTATTTCTAATCATACCAATCAGTTGGTTCCAGGCGTTGTAACTACCACCTCCGGCTGCGCATTCGCCGCGACGGCATCAGAAGTATCGACTTTGTTGGAATCCAGACTGGATGTGTTGGAAGGTGGTTCATTCGCATTGTTGACAGGCTTGACCTCATTAGAAGCAGGCTCGCTTGCTTCGTTGGTGGTGCTGTTCATGGTCATCTCCGTCATAGAGGCCGTAATGTTAGTCGTAGTTGGTGCATGCTCAATGTGCTCTCCGTGTCCCCCTTCAGACTCTTTTTCCTTCCTTCCAGCTTCGTTTCCCTCCCGCCCCTCACCGTCAATGGGAATACCAACGACCTGGGCCAAGCTGCGGAAGTTGAACATGGACTGAGCACCTTCTGCTCTGTCCGACCCCGCTGTGACTTCAGTGCCAGACGCCTCATCTTCACTGCGACCCAGACTGAGCCCGCTAGACCTTGGATCTAGATCATCCACCCCACCATGTTTCTGGCCATAGCTGCCGGTCACGCTGTCAATCCCACTGGCACTAGATATCGAACTAGCATTGCTCATCTGCCGAAGATGAGAGGATCCCCTGGATGGCTGCGCGCTTAGAATGGGTACACCGGCAACGCCGGTCGGAGTCAAGGATGATTGGGACGAACAAGCATCTGGACTTTGGGTGTCTCCGCGGTCCACAGCTTTCCCCTTGTCTGCAGGTCCGGAGGCAGGCCCAGCATCTGGCGTCGACAAGGCCTCGTTGCTCTGGCTGGCACTGGCCGTAGCGTGTGCAGCGGCAACACTGGCATCCATCCGCAAACTATTGCCTCTCCTTCGCCCCATGCCGGACAGGCTCAGACTCAGGGAACTAGCACTAGCAGTCGAGGTTCCAGTTCCGCCTTCGCCGCCATATACGGTGCGACGCTTGCTGGCCTTACGATCTTCCTTTTCCCGCATCTTAGCCTCCTTACGAGCCTCCTTGTCGGCCTTCTTCTTACGTTCCTCCTCGTCGGCTAAGGACAACCGTATCGCCTCGGCCATCATCATGCTCTCAAGATGGGCAGCGTCGATACGCTCCCTACTTGGTCCATTGCGACCCGAGGAGCTGCGCTGCCCAGGCTCCATTCCTGGCGCAGGCGATGGTTCCGTATCCGCGGTGATATTTACTTGGGCCGTGCTGGAACTGGGGCTTTCGTTGCCCCGAGTGGCGGGACCCATATTCCTGCGACTGAACCGCCCGCCACGGCCAAACAAGGACCTCCCATTCGCTTCATTGTTACCTATGACAAAGGCGGCATGGTGGAGGGCGTCGGCGGCGGCGGCTCTTCGTCGTTGCTGCGCGCGAGCCGTGGCCAGCTTAGTCGACCAGTCCGGGCGGATGCGATCTGTCGAAATAACACCAACCGCATTGGCCGATAAACTCTGCGCCCTACGCCGGTTGGCCAGAGATGGCGTTGTCGTTGTCGCCGCCGCGGTTGGGGAAAGATTCGAGTGGAGGGAAGAGGTTGACGACATGGCGGTTACCATAGAACCGACGCCGCCAGAATAGACATACGATAGACCACGGCGGAACGGTGGGGCCTCGTACGTCACGCCGAATTCGGTCTGGGTACAGTACGGACAACTTGCGGGCTCCATTGTCAGCTCGCTTGATCTTCTGTCCTCATCCGGAGGTGGAGCAGCAGGTTCGGAGCCATCCTGAGGCTGCTCACCGTGATGCTCCGGCAGATGAGGATCAGCACGCTTGATCTGCACGAAGCACTCGCTGCAGATGAATTGATCGCAGCAACGCGTCTTGTTCAGGTAACGCGGGTAGTACATGCAGCAGATGGGACACTCTACGCCGTCCTTGTACAGAAACACCTCGACAGGCTGGCCGTTGACAAAGGGATCATGCGGCAGGTTAATCTCGCGCGGGGCGATGTCTTGCTGCGACCCGTTGCGCGACGAGATGCTAAGTGCCGCGGCAAGGGACTTCTTTGCGGGTTTCAACGGCGAGCTTATCCGTGGTGGGGCCGGTGATGTCGGAGATGGGATAGAGGAGCCGGGATTCGAACCCGTCTTGTCCGAGGCGGCCGAGAGCGTTCTAGGCCCCATGGGCACCGTCAAGTTGTTCAGGTTCGGAAGGGATGTACTGGGCGAATCCGGGTGCGTGGGCCGGGGTTGAGGGACGAGGTCTTCGGGCACGACATCCGCAGGTGGTACTTCTAGACCGCGGGCAGCGGCGATGATCTGGTGCTCGGCCCAGGTCGGATTGAAGTCATCCAGACCTCTCCAGAACGGTGCTATCCTTCTTTCGATCTGCACAACCACCAATGAGCATCTCTAGAGACGGCGTAGCTGCAGACAGCTCCAACTCACCTGTAATTGCCGGACCACGGGTTTGCTAAAGTCCTCCATCGCCGTGTAAATACCCATTGTCACAACGAAGCCCCCATCTACGTGTTCTTCCTTCATGCTGCGTTCGCGTTCCTTGAGACGGATCACGCGTTCCCTCTCGAGCCGCCTCGCTTCTCGCTCCGCCTTGGTTTCTCGTCGCTCGAATGGAGCGTCAGGTCTCGCTGATGGCTGATGCCTCGAGCTGCTGGGAGCACCGCCCAAAATAGAGCTCAGATCTGGCCTTGAGCTTTGTCTTCTTGATCGATCGCCGGACGACACGTCTCCAGGGTACCCGGCGCCGCCATCATGGCCATCATTACCGCCAGGACCCCTAGACCCCCTCCCACCTTCTTTCGTATGCGCGTTTCCCATTGCGGGTGGCGGGTGGCCCCGGGTGTGTCGAAGACGGATTCGATGGTACGCGAATGGATGGTAGCAGGGTGGGTATCGGATACGATCGATAGAGAATGACCTTTATAATCGGTCGAGGTTCGAGGTGCCAATCCGGTTCCAATTCGGTTCGTTGGGCGAGCGATGTGGACGGGAGGTTCTAGAGTTGACCGGGTGGTCGATCCAAAGTGGGGGAGGATGGCGACAAACGCAACTGGGAAACGATGGAATCAACCGGGATTATTGCAAGGCCGCCGTGCGTTTGGTCCATAGAAGCCCCCAGCTGACAGGATTCGTCTGGGGTCACGCCGCAACGTGCCAAGTTGTGGAATGGCGAGTCTTGTTCGGTTCCCAACGATGATGTTGGGCAAGTTGAGCGTGCCGTATTGCCGCCGCGAGTGGTGGTTCAAAATCCAAAGAGTGAGTGAGCGACCGATGGCGTAGATTCTGCTGCTCACCAAAAGTCAAAGTGCTTGATTGATGCGATGAAATGATGGGAAAACGGATTACCTGCGAGCCGAGAGCGAAATGCAGACGTCGGATACAGATATGGACTCTGGGGAGGGAGTTTCAGCACGTCAAGCTCCAGTATGGCAGTATGGGAGGAAAGGGGAAGCGGCTATGGCGAGAGCTCCAAGTCATCCAGGCGCAGCTTCGGTGTCATGTTATTAGATTTGAGCGAGGTGATGCAATGCATGCAGTGCTGTCTTGGTGCCCCCCCATCCGAACAAGCTTTGCGCCTGTCTACCCCTGCTCCAGTGCTTTACTTGCCTCGAGAGAAGCAAACAGTTAGAAGCTCAGAACAGCACTTTGGCACATCTCTGTCAGTTGCATTCCGATTCAACGTTGCATTTAAGCACTCCAGGCCACCGGCAAGTGCTTGGCATTGCATTGGGATTTGAATTGAGGATGCTACTTCCTCCATGGGAATCACCAACTTCCCTTAGAATCATCCCACCTGCGCTGCAAATGTCGCATTGAGATTTAGCTACAAGTCGTCTAATCGTACCTGCCCTTGCATCCATCCTGGCCCGTCACTTGGGGTCGCATCGAACAACACCAAACATCAGGTGCAACGGCACACGTTGTTCTTCACTCTCCACAGCCGCCAATATGCTGTCATTCCTATCGTTTGCAGCGCACACAAGGTCTCCCAGCGTGTCCAGCAAACAGCAGGTCGCAGCATTATCACGCGCGATTTGAGACGAGTACAAAATTCCCCCAATCAGCATTCAACCTAGAAGAACCCCCGGGCCGACGTTCTCCACTATCCCCAGTTTTCAAAGCACGAGCCAGAATGACACCGAGGGGCATCATTATCATCCTTATCGCTCCTTATCAATATCTCGAGGTCCATAATATCATTGTCAACCCAATGAACCATATCCGACCACTTTACTTGAAATATTTGAAGTATAAGCTCATTCAAACGATCAACTTGCGAACTCCAGGGACCGTGTGAGCTTCACAGCCTACCTCATGGACTACACGGAGTCTTTTGACCTTGATATGCCCTCCCCCCCTTAACTCGTCTCCTTGTCATAGTCCAGTCGCACGACACTATTGTAAGTCGGGTGCATATTGCAAGGCTATCTGTCTCGCTTCTACTTTCGTGTGTATGCAGCATTGATCTGGCTTTGCGGCACTTGTTCGACTTCGTAACGCTCTCACCTCGCCTGTGTCAAAAAGTACCCACCTGGCCTGAAGCTATCCCAAGTACTTCCAGAGGCCCAGGTGAACCAATTCTTCAATGCTTGGAGACGAGGGTATGATAAAACATGATGACACATGGTTATTATTCCGGGGAGGGCCTGTGAAACCATTTGAACCGTCATTAACCGTAAGGGAATAAGGTGTGACTTGAGTTCACTGGGTACCATTTTTGTCTTTATTTTCTTTCGCATGCCCCTTTTTACGTCTCCTATTGTGCTATACCGCCTGGCTCTGCCAAGCCGCACCGAGTGTACTTTGACACTCATTGAGGTTTCATCAATCCGTTCGCTACATAGAAATATGTCGATTCATATGTTAGCATTGCCCAAGTTCATCAGGACCATCCATCAGCAACCGGCAGCTTTCCTTCCAGTGTATATACCAATCCCTCTAGCTCACACACCACGTCCCTGTATATCGCATTCTGCAACTCAATCTGTGTCAAATCCTTGCCATGCCCAAAATCGCATTCCAAACACTGTTGCGTAATTTTCTGATATCTCGGCCCCAGGCGTGAGTCTCGCTCCGCTAGATCGGCAACCCTTCGCAATTCGACAATGTCGTCAGGTCTCAGCGGATCCCATTGTCCGATCTGCAACAGGGCCACGCCGAGACTGTGCATAGTGAGATTGCGAATCCCGTATGCGAGCTGGGCATCTAGCATACCGCTGCCGTTTGCATCGGCCATCACCGCATCACATGCTTGCTTGTGCTTTTCTGTGAGCTCAGCGCTGATGTGTAGTGTACTCATGGACGCGGCTAGCCCATCAGTGGCTTGGAAGTAGGATAGATCCTGCAGACGCCAGTATGGTTGCAGCCAGGGGGTGGAGTGGAATTGCAGGACGCCTTTGACCAGTTGGAGAGCGAGTTTGACTTGTTGGGAGACCGAGATGGACTTTTCGACTGGAAAGCGGAAAATGTGGTTCAGCGGGGCGGGTTCTCCTAAGCTTCTCGAGTTGAAGCATTCCTTCGGATCGCACACGGGGTACAGGTGGTGCCTGAGGTTGTCTGCGGTGTCGAGATAGCCGCCGCAGGCGGTGGAATGTGCTTGAGAGCATAGTTGCGTACACAGGTCCCCCGACGAGCACAGGTTTAAAGATGTGGCGGTGTTGCTATTCAGTTGGGCTTGGTTTGACGAGCATGATGTTGTCGTGTTCGGTTCAGATTTGGCCGTTGTTACGCTGGCAGCGCAGTCGTCTGAGAATCTGACTCTCCTGGTTTTAGCTGGTCTCTCTTCTTCGATTTGAGCACCCAGAGCAGGGTTCCCAGGGGCAGCGGGCATGCTGATGTGGACCAAACGCAGTGTTTGAGACTGGACCAGAAGATCTAACAAGCCACTATCAACCATATTAGGCAAACGCTGACTCATAAAAGTCTACTATCTTGTGTGACTTACTCTCGAGCTTCGTAAACTGTCTGCGTACGATAGCGTACTATGACTCGAAGACTTCCATCATGCCTCGAGTCTAGCAACAGACGTACATCGTGACTCGTATGTTGAGATTGCAAACAGGACCAAAATGTCCTCAGTGCGTCGTAAAAGGACTTGGAATGCTGGGTAACCTTGTGGTAAGACGATGGGAGAGGTCTCGACCGCTTCGTGCAGGCCTTGAGTTGGCATTTTTTCAAATTGGCTGCAGTTTTCCGCAGTCTCTTCAGGTCTTGGTTGGCCTCCTTGAAGCCCTCTATCGATGCATCGTACTTTGACTTGTTCAGCATGACATCGATGGCCTCCTTCGTGCGTTCAGACGTTTTCAACTGGAGTCTATCAGCATTTAAGCCCAGCTCGAATTTGCGAATGCATACTTTCACTTCTTGTCCACCATGCCCTTCTGTGGTATTGAGCGAGTCACTCAAACAAGCGATATGATCGCGGATATCCGATATGGTTTCCTGGAAGCTTCCATATTTCCTTCCCAGGTAAATCTTGATCTGTTCGTCCAGTTGCGGTGAATGCCAACCTGAGTGAGTAGCGCTCCCGACCAGAGATTCAGCCTCTTCTGGGTCCAAGAACTCTTGAAGCAAGAGCTGGCACTCGTCCAGAAAGACTTCAGTTTGGAGTTTAAACTTCTTTCGGAGGCGCTTGACCTCCTTGTCCCGGTTTCGGAGGATTTTCAGCTTTTTTCTGGCAACATCAATCCCCTTGATGGCACTTAGGCACAAAGGCGCGATGGCGAGGGCAAGTTCCGCCATTGGTATGATTTGAGAAGACAATTCGGCATCATAAGAACGACCATGTGAAGAAACTGGTGATAGTGAACATGCCAATTTCACGACCTTCAAACGTCATCACACAACTGTAGCGGGGTGGCGGTGCAGGCGACAGGGGATGACATCCTTAGATGGCAGTGCAAAAGCAAGAGAGGCAACCAGGGACCCTCATGTCAATAAAACATCCCCTTCCATCTTAAATAAATTCTTTCCATAATTATCAGCACTTATTTCGTTCCGAAATTTTGCATAGAAAGAATAGCTTTAAGTGCAAGTCTTGTTGACACGAGGGTGCCGGGCAGGTTCTACCAAGACTCCGCCCACTTGTACGTACGCCATCACATCTTGCATGCAACTAGTTAGTTATTCAGCTGAGGAACACGAAAACCCGCAAGTCGAAAAACATATCCACACAATTCAAAGGATAAAACATCGTTTTCTATAACTTTAGATCGGCAAAAACGACGTGACGGCCTCGGTTAACACTCAGTCTTGACAAAAGCAATCGCGAATATTATCCATGTCCGAGTCTAGCAGTACTTATGGCCGGCATCGATTACATTGCAAGATGGCAACAGGCAATCAGCCAAGAGCGGGGTTCTGAAGAGCCGCCATTGTTGGCATATGCCTACAAAGCGTGCTCCGAGCTGTATGCTGCCCTGCTAGCAGGTCTGCGCGATGACCCATTAATCGATCCCCTGGTTAAGATCAGCCTGGAACGAAGTCATGGCTATCTTGTGCTGTGGGCCGACGGATATGGGGTCAGCGAAGGCCAGCTAGACAGCTCGCTGGACAGGTCACGGAGGGCACGCCACTCAACAATTCGTCTTCTTGTGAGTATCTGTAAGACGCTGACTAAATGTGAGCCATACTCGCTTCTGGTCCATATTGATTGTTCAGGCTAACATGGGCAGGTCTGTTACCTAACGTTGCGAAAGAAAAGCAGGCTCAGCTGTCTCCAAAGGCCGCCGCAGTCATAGAAGCGGCAGACAAATTGAAGTATCTAATCCAGCAAGATCAAACAAATGACTCAGAATCAGATAGTGACACTTCGAGTGACGCGTCTTCGACCTGTGGCGTTTCTGAACTGGATGACATCGCAGAAGATCTCCAGACTGATGTCCAATGCCTTTTAGACCTGGGCTCGAGATTCGTGGAGCAAACTGTTGGGCCAGTTCCAACGGAGAAAGCTGTTGATCCAGCCGACATTATCGACTGGCATCCGTCCAAGAACTTCATCGATCGTATCCGCTGGCGATTTCCACGCTGTGACGAAGACGTGGCCAAAAGGCTGGGAATAGCCAACTGGGAGAGAGTGCTGAGATATCAGGATACCAAACACAGAAACACTCGACCGCAGAAACTCACGTCTGGGGAGCCAATGGCAACCCCTGTGAAATCTGCGGCGTCCGGCATCGTAGCCTCGACCACATTCCATGACTCAGGACTTGGCTCTTCTATCCCTTCCGTTCCATCAATTCCTGCCGCAAGCCAGTATGCAGAAACTGTAGTGTCATACTGTGGAGGCCAAGGCGATGCGGTTCGCCTACCACCGCTTCCGCAAGAGGCTAAACGAGGTATCTCTTTCCCCTGTGTGGGTTGTGGCATATTGATAAATGTCGGGAACAAATCGGCATGGAAGTGAGTAGTCCGGCATCTCCTTGATGTTAACATTGCTCACAGTGTACTAGAAAACATCTCTTTCAGGACCTTCAGCCCTACATGTGCCTTGACAGAATTTGCATCGTCAATGGGGCCGCCTTCACCACAAAGGATGCCTGGGAGAACCATCTGGTATTGGATCACCGCTTCTCTGTGAATTGGGATGGCATTGTTTGTCCTGTCTGCAAGGAGACAATCAAAAGCGGCAAATTGCATGTCACTACGCATCTAGCCCGCCATATGGAGGAAATAGCTCTGACTGTGTTGCCGACGAACCCAGATTCTGAGGATGGAACTGACGTTGATTCTGGTCTGGCATCGTCAGAAATCTCCGTTCGAGATAACCTCGCTGGTCACTTTGACGGTATTCCTGATACCGACAAGGGCGCCGACGTCAATGCACAGGGCAGATTATACGGCAATGCTCTCCAGGCTGCTTTTAAAGAAGAGAACGACAAGACCGCACAGGTAACTAGTATACTCAATGACTACTCTGCTTCTGGGGGAGACTGCTTTCTGGAAAAGGGCGCCGACGTCAACGCGCAGGGCGGAAAATACGGCAATGCTCTCCAGGATGCTTCATACAAAGGGCACGACAAGATCGTTCAGGTGCTGGTAGACAAGGGCGTCGACGTCAACGCACAGGGCGGATTATACGGCAATGCTCTCCAGGCTGCTTTTAAAGAAGAGAACGACGATATGGCACAGGCAATTAGAGATATGATCGCCCGCTCTGCTTCTTTGGAAGAATGGCTTCCCACTACTGCCATTGAGCGTATTGACTCGTATCTCCTGGAACCTCTGTTGAAAGACGAAAGTTTGGAGTCATTCTATTCTCTCATATCTGAAGTACGGGAGAGATTGGAGACAGGCATGTTACTAAGGGAGGTGGAGACGGCCCTGATGGTCGGGGCTCGAGTAAGTCTTCCCACAAACCCAAGCCACAACGAGATAGCTGACATGATTAGGAACGAGCTTCCAACGCTGGAGAATACCAGAGATTTTGCCTATTGTTGCTCAATTCTATCAAATTGGTCTTTCCAATCATTAAAGAGCCAGGCCATACTCGACTGCGTGGACAACCTTACGATGATGAATACTTCTATGATGCCGAGAAACGAATCCTACGGACAGCGAGACAGATGAACGACGAAAAAGGAAGCACTGCAGTTTATACAGCTAGAAAACCTAAGGAACACTCGACGGACTCTGCCAAGGAACATGTCTTATCAGCACAAACCACAGAACCTGAAAAGGAGACACCAGATCAAAACAGTATCGTCGAGCAGCCAACTGATAATCAAGGAGATTCGCCCGATCCCATGCAATGCAATTACCCCGGCTGCAGCAAGATTTTCAAACGGCCCTGCGATCTTAACAAACACCAGAAGAAACACGTACGGCCTTGGAAGTGTCCCGTGCCCACCTGCAAGTACAGCGAGTACGGCTGGCCAACGGAAAAGGAACTGGACCGCCATGTCGGGGACAAACACTCAGCGACTCCTGCTATGTTCGATTGTCTTTTCAAACCTTGTCCGTACAAGTCAAAAAGGGAGAGCCACTGTAAGCAGCACATGGAGAAGGCGCATGGATGGACGTACGTACGGAGCAAGAATAATGGAAGTAAGACGGTAAAGCCGCAGACCGACGAGAAGATCGAGCAGGCAGGAGGATTACGAGGGAAAGTGTCGTCATTGGCTGAATTGCATAATCCTGAAGGTAACGGACCTGTTTTTATTTCTTCCTGTTATTCAGTTGTCATTTTCACTTCTACATTAACTAAGTACAGTGTGGTAGAACCCTTCGCGTCCGAAACCTTCTAGTCCAAAACCTTCTTATCCACGCCCAACGCCGCCGGCAACCTATCTAGACTCAACCCATGCAACTACACTGGTCAAGACAAGACCACCAGCCCAAAGACCACTGAGCTGCACGAGGCAAATGCGCAACTACCCACGCCCGCCGTTTCGTCCCAGAGCAATGTTCTTTCACCTCCCGGTACCTCGTAAACTAGAGGTTTTGGCCAAGGCAGAATTGGCCTCGAACACCTTCCACCATTATACGTGCCGCTGCATTTGGGGGTGTTGATGAGGGATTCAAAGGATTCCCGCCGAAGCTCTCGCCCAGCAATGATTCTAGCTTGTCCCAACTAGCTATAAAGCGCCCGAGGGGACGGAGGATCCATAATTTGGCGTTAATTTCCACCGCGATGAGGCTCGATGAGTGACTGGACTGGGCGGCGTCTGTACTGAAGGATGAGAAGGGGAACAATAATGAAGAGTGAGTTGTCCTGGGATGGGGTGCTTGGGTTACTTCGAATATATCGACGATACGGAAACTTACGGGTAGAAGAATACTAGTCACTGCGTTTTGTATCGAAAAAAGCAATCCATTTGGTGAAGAAACTATTCTGCCTATTTTAGAAAACTAAACCTCATAACTCCTGCCTTCCGATCATTGTGTGTGTGTGTGTGCCCTTTCCAGCACTGAATCCTTATGCCTGGCAGTCCCTACCAAATGATATACATTTTTTTCTCTTTTTCTTATTTTCCCTTTTCTTCGTGTTGTCCGCTTCGCCATTGTGAGTTCAGATTCCCTTGACAAGAGCTCTCGCATCTGCATAGTTGCTGTGCCGCTTCATCAAACAGCAAATTCGAGAAACACTATGAAACTCCGCATGAGCCTTTTCCAGAGGCTCTTCTTGGGATTTTCAAACGCGATCTGAAGCATCATACATATTCTCAGAAACTTCATGGCCTCTCAGGCCTTCTCCCAATCCTCCGCATTCTTGGGCTGCTTGTCAACGAGTCCAGCACCATCTTGAGAATCATCCGCCTCGTCCAGATCCTCGCCTGAGGGGCCTCGGGGATTTTGAGACGACAGGCTTGCTTGGGGGTGAGTGTTGACGGGACGAGATTGCATATGGACTGGATGAGGCGGCATAAGTGCCAAACGGGACTCCTCCGCGAGGATTTGAGGGTCAATGGGGATCGGCAGTGGTTGAGGAGACATGACCGCTTGCTGATGCGGAGCTGGGACTAAGTAATGCGGCGTAGGGAATGGTTGAGAAAGAGCAGGCATGTACGCTTGATGAGGCGGCACAGGCGGCTGAGGGGGCAGCATAGGCGGTTGAGTAAGAAGAGGAGGCGGTGTACGTGGTTGTCGGCGGCGCCTATGAATCGTTTGGATCCGCTGGCCTCCAGGAGTGAAACCACGTGCCAGGCAATACTCCTCTTCGGCGAAAATGTGTTGACGCAAATGTAGAACTCTAACATCGCTACGCGTTGAGAGCCTGTGTTCACATTTAGGCCACGGGCACAGGGCGTTACGCCCATTATGAGCATGAAGGAGGTGATCCGTCAGTCCTCTCGGAGCATCGAATTTGGGGCAACCGTCCGGGCATGGGTGCCACCAGCATTGTGTGGTGTGCTTGGAAAGGTGGCGGTACCTATTGCTAAGGAGGCCGTCGTCGTTGCAAATGGGGCAGGTCCAGCGCGCGGCTTCGGCAGCGGCTGGAGCGGGAGCGTCGCTGTCAGTGAGAGGGACAGGAATTTGCTGGAAGAACTGGATTAGAAGCGCTAATCGTACTGGTACGGCGGGCTTATGGTGACTTACCTGACCGTGACTTGCCATTTTTCTACGGGATGCTTGTGAAACGAGGGAAAGGGAGCTGTGGATTGATGCCAAAGAGAGAAGGAATGATTTCTTGCAGTGAAGAAGTGTACAGGCGTAGAACGAGTTGTAGAAATCGGATGTTTGATATTCAGCAGACTTTCATACCACCATCAACCGGTCGAACAGAACGATTGGGCGGTTCAGTTGATGGATTATGGATAGAGAGGGAATTTTCTCAGAAGTCCAGCTTTTGCTGTCCGGTAGAGTTTCTTGGTGGGAGGAAAGGGTGTAGGGAAAAACAAGCAGGTATCTTAAGCCTTGTTGCCGCAAGTGATCAGGTTGGAGGGCTTGGTCAAACGGAGAAGAAGCAGTGCTGAGTGTGATTACCGCAGATTGAGCATAACTTCGTGGAATTTAAGAAGGCATGGAAATACGATTTTCGTGGTTGATTACCGTCTACTGCCCTGAAATACCGAGTCATTAGTTCACAGACCGAGAGAAGGGCTGGAACGACATCTTGTGTTTCATGGAGTAGGTGAATACGGGATTCGTTATTGGGTACGGCGGCTGCGTTGGCAGGCGCGCATCTGTCGGAAATTTTCAGGTGACAAACACGTGAAACAAGCATTTTACAAACCATTGACATCGAAGGACTCTGAAAATTCTGATGTCGACCTAAATCAAGATCCTGTCTGACTGGGGAGGTGTGGAAACGCATATGAAAGCGCGAGTCGACAATATCCATCAAAGTACACTCAGTAGCCGTCTTACAAAGACTAAAAGAACTCAAGGAGAGACTGTGAACAAGCTTCATGCAACATGTCACATAGCTGGCAACTTTCATGCTGTCGGTTCAGAGCATTCCATGTCTTCGTGGCATTATGAATATAACGACAGGAGTCATGGATTCTAGCAAGGCACTTGTTGTGGTGGAAATCCCAGCAACCGCCTACGTGTATAATGGAGAACCCACGTGTGGCAATAGGCAGCGTACTGACAATCTTGTGAAGAGAATGGCATGGTGACTTCACCATATGCCGCTGGCTTGAAATACTTGTGTCTGTGATATCCTCTGCACAAGTTTGTGCCTTGCAGCACTCGTTCTGAAAGCATACAATCGCTGCAAATGCCGCTGGGATTATACAGTTCCTGTCACTCTCAAATCAGGTTTTGGCGTCCAACATTCTGACTTCATCTAGTTTTTAATATGCCATAGACGTCCTAAATCAAGTTGAGAGCCTTAGATCAATGCAACTCAACTCTTGGATTGAAGTTACATGTCATTGTCTGCCGCTCGACAGCTTCACACAACATTTTGGCGCAGATCCTGTCCATAGTGGCCAGCCAGCCTGCTCGACACTCAAAATACCACCCCGCCCTAGCATATATCAACCAAAGACCGAAGTGCTGGCACGGCTGCAAAAGCTGGCAGAGATGTGGAGGCTACGGTTGCCACTGTCCTTGTCAATGTCCCCAGCGGTGTTGGCTTTGCTGTAGGTAGAGTGGCAAAGGAGACACTGTTGAGAGACGATAATGAGCACAAATATCAGAGACGATTTCTCCTTTCTATGATTTATCTTGCTCATTGAAAGTAGAGGATATCGAATAGCCGTGATATGTAATTTGGCTACTAGGGGCGAAGCACGACAAAACCGATAGTACTTTTAGCGAGCACATCTTCAGCGTTGTAGCAACAAACAGCCAAACGATCCAAACCCTGGGTGACATCATTTTCATGCAAATCTGTCCCCCAGAAAAAACTTGTCTGCATTTTTTGTTTTGTTTTTCTTTGTTGTTTTTTTTATTTTTATTTTTTTGACTCGGTGTATCCTTATCATGGGTGTCCCAGTATAAGCTGCACCTGGCGGCTAACCCGACAATCGGAGCTACAGCTGTTGCGGGCTCGTCCTCTGTTATTTCATGCTGAGCGATTCTTCCCAATTTGACACGCTTGCAGGCAAACGCACCACTTTGAGCCCAAATCAACAATTGACCTCGTATCACAGCCACTGGCCCAGCTTCCAGCCAATCGCAACCCAGGCCACTAAACGTCCCGTGGAAAACAGGCACCAACAGGCAGCCGGCAGTTGCCCATTTTCAATTTGAGGGCAAGCTAGAAAGCGGACCTCCATATTCGGTCCCGCATCTCACCAACATTGAGCCGTCACTTTGTTGTCCCTGGCCCGCTTCACCCCTCCCCCTCCTTAGCCAAACCACAACCCACCATCATGAGCGACACCGACAGCCAAAGCCCGGCTGATTCGCAAGTGGAAGATATCGCCAACCTCGTCGCATGGCGCGCATCTATTAATTCCCTCAAGGTCGATATTGTCGGTGACTTTGCTGGCAAGGAGCTCTTCGCAGTCCACGGCGAGTCCCTCGTCGCCCACTGCACCAGCCAGGCAAACGTCGACTATCAAGGTGAGTGCAGCACTCCTGGCGGCCGTACCTTGCCACCTGAATTGACAGCACATCTGCACTCGACCAAATGCTTACCATACGCGCACAGATGGATTCCAGCTTCTTCACGCAGTGTATGCGGTTGAAACATTCCTCAGCAAGCTGAAGGAGCGCGGGTGCAACTTTCACGTCCTCTGGTTCGATGGGCATAAGAGCCTGACCGTTCCCCAAGGCGTGCTGCCCCAAAATGAGCACAAGTACTATCTGACACGTGCTGTGTTGATCGAACATCTTCGTTCTCATCAGGCTGGTCCCGACGCAGCTTCAGAAGATGGCGTTGAGGACGCCGCATCGCAGATGAGTTTCTGCTTCCCTGCTCTCGACAGTGAAGAATTCCGCGCGTACACCAAACAGAATGCGCTGCATTTCGTCATGTGCCTGGATGGTGTGGCGTCCGGCCAGGAGGAATACACGGCTCTGCTGTACCTACTGGCGCAAGCTCGGTACAACCTTGCTTTCATGAACACCATCGAGTTTCGAAGCTCCAAGGTACGTTTTTCGAAAAAGAAAAAAAAGAAAAAAAAATTTCCGTGGCCAGCGGCTGGCTGCTTTGTGGATGTCTCGAGATGGTTCCTTCATCCTGCTGCACAGAAGGAATGATGGAACCGCCTCTGCAGGCTCTGCGCATTGCAGGTTGTCTCATTGCCTAATTCCACTCGTGGCTGTCATGAAGCGAACACATGCTGACTGATCCTAGGCCTATGCTTCTGTCACCACCCCCTCCGGATCCATGGATGACATCGAGGCTGAAGAGCCCGAGTCAGAACCTGAGCGAGACTTTGGTTGCCTAGAAATCTATGAGAAGTTGGGCGAAATCCAAGGACCGACCGAAGAACTTAGCCGCGCTGATGTGGCAGTTGTTGTGTGTTCCGCAATACTTTCCAACACGAAAGACCGCACTCATTATCCCCGATTTGTCACTGCGCTTCTGGTACATCTCACCCTGCTTGAGCATACAGACATTACCCAGAGATCGTATGCTATTGGAAACAAGGCAGACGAAACGCTGGATGGCTTCTTGATGAAGTTCTCTGTCGTCGCTGCCCGCCTCCTTGGCCAATGGCCTTCAAGCCAGGAAGGACGCTCTGTGGGTGCCGTTTTTGACTTGATCGATGGTCGCCTCTTCCTTCAAGTATTGAGCTCTCTGGAATCTCTTCAGCTGCCAGCTGAGAGCAGTATCCTGGATATAGTCGAGACGCGTGTCAAGCTGGTCAGTAGTTTGACAGGTGTGCAACTTCCACCCATTCCCAAGGCTAGTGGCGGTGGGAAGCACTCGGGTTCCAAGGCTCCCGCACAAACGGCAGGCCGCTCAACGGTTTTGCCTTTTAGCCACCCTGTTATGGACAAACACCTCCAAGAGGTCAAATTGGCGATAGATCCAGCGTCTGAGCCCGACAGCAACCGTTCCAAGATCTTCCAGGAGTTGACCCATTGGCACAATGCCAAGAAACCCATTGACCCCAAACGCTCCATCATCAAGAAGCCACTGGATTTCCGCGCCGCCAGGAGAAACCAGTGGTTTATGCGTGATACTATCGCCTATTCGGCTAGTTTGACGAACGCCTCAGGCAAGAACATCGAGCCTGAAATCATTGTCGTCGAGAGAGGTGTGCCCCAGAAGAAGGCGGCAGAGACTACGTCCAACGCTGCGCAGGCCGGCAAGAAGCAACCGAAACAAGCCCAACCTAATAAACCAGTGAAAGGCGGCAAGCAGGCCCCCAAGGGTGGGAAGCAAGCTGCCCTCGAGACTGCCATGGCTCGACAGGCTGAAAAGCAGGGAGTCAAGTCGCAGGCCGCCGTGACTAGTTGGGAAGGACGTTGCCGTGAATTCCAAAAGGAGCGCTCTCCTTTGACACGTTTTCTGAAGGTCAGGAAGTATCTGGCTAGTCTATCCCGGCCTGACATGGACGCAGTTGGCGGCGAAGTTTTGCTGTATGCATGCGATGCACTGGGCAGTATCCGGGGATCGATGAAGAACCCTGGGGACACGACAGGTATGTCGAGATTTGCTCCCTTGGACCGGCTCTCATGGCTTCATTGCGCTTCCACTGTAACAACGTATGCCTGCGTCAAGTACTCGTTTACGCGCTAACACCTCCTACAGGTTTGAGCACTCTCGCATTGCTGTGGTCCGCCGTGCAAGATATGCAGCATCTGAAGCTCACCACAGAGACCCAAGCCCATTTGGAGAAGCTCGCTCAAGCTGTCCGTCTCCCACTCAGTCTTGGCACCGAGGTCCCCCGGCCACTCATCCACGCCGGTCACCGACTTCCCTTCAACACCGAGATCAGCAAGCCTGCCACTCACCCTAAGCTGCCTGTGAACCCCCTGGGATTTCAACTGGAGCACTGCGGTCCTTACCTGGAGCGGAGCTTTAACTCGGCCGACGATCCCCGTGTTCCTTTCCAGCCTGATGAGTGGCAACGCAAGGTTCTCGATTCTATCGATGCTGACAATAGCTTGTTCGTTGTTGCGCCAACATCAGCCGGAAAAACGTTCATTTCGTTCTACGCCATGAAGAAGGTCTTGCAGGCAAATGACGATGATGTTGTGGTCTACGTCGCACCAACCAAGGCCTTGGTCAACCAAGTGGCGGCCGAAATCCAAGCTCGATTCACCAAGTCGTATGGTCATCAGGATGGAAAATCTGTCTGGGCCATCCATACGCGCGACTACCGCATCAACAACCCCTCAGGCTGTCAGGTTCTCGTAACGGTCCCCGCCATTCTTCAGATCATGCTCTTGGCCCCCTCAAATGCGCAAAAGGCAAACTCCTGGTCCCACCGGGTCAAGCGAATCATCTTCGATGAAGTCCACTGTATCGGACAGGCAGAAGATGGCATCATTTGGGAACAGCTGCTTTTGCTCTCACCTTGCCCTATCATTGCGCTGTCGGCTACTGTGGGCAACCCGGTAGAGTTCTACGAATGGCTCGCAAGTACCCAGCAAAGAAAGGGGTTCAAGATGGACATGGTGGTACACACCGCTCGTTACTCCGAACTGCGAAAATACTTTTACCTTCCGCCTGCGACAGCCGAGTTTAAGCCGCACGCGCCCGTTGAGGTTCTCCCCATTCCCGGGTTGGACACCCATAACGGCGATGTGGAACGGTTCGCTTTCGTCAACCCCATCGGCGGCATTTCAAACACGTGAGTATAAAGCTCCTAGCTAGCCCCCGTCATTATATGCGCTATGGGTACTAATTAAGCTCGTAGACATCGTGAAACCTTGACTGATGTGAGCCTGGAGTCCCGAGATTGTCTTCAGCTCTGGGCAGCCATGTGCAAGCATGCGACAGCGTCCCATCCAGTCAATCCAGCCTTGGCACCCGAGAAACAGCTTCCCAGTCTGTTGAAGAAATCGGATGTCCTTGGCTGGGAGAAAAAGCTCAAAGACCATCTGCACAAATGGATGGTCGATCCTGATTCACCTTTCCCACTCGTTCAGAAGGAGTTGCAGCCAAAACTTCCAAGCGAACTGGGAGACCCGAAGAACAAGAGCATGCTGACGAGCCGTGCAAAGCCTGAAACTCGAGACCCATCAATCTTATCGTTGCTGTCCGACTTGAGAACGCAAGGCGCATTGCCGGTGCTCATCTTCAATTATGATCGAGTTGGTTGCGAGTCGGCCATGCTCAGTGTGCTCGAGCTGCTGCAGGAAGCAGAGCAAAAATACCGAGATACGAGCAAGGAGTGGGCCAAGAAGATGGTTGCGTACGAAGATTGGAAGAAAAGCAAGACCAAGATGAAGAAGGTCGTCGGAAAAGTGGGAAAGAGCAAGGATCAAGATGCATCTGCTACGACCAAGGCCGATCTGGCCCGAGAAGAAGCAAACCAGGAAGCCAATCCCTGGGCCAGTTTCGACCCGGAAGCACCACTCCCAGAGTTCAGCTTCGCCAACACCACCAAGATCTCCAAGGAGGAATTGGAACAGAGAATCCATTCTCTTCGTTACTCTCACATTCCACAACATTTCGTAGACGCCCTGCGCAGAGGTGTTGGCGTGCATCATGCTGGTATGAATCGTCAATACCGTCAAGTGTGAGTCTTTCCTGCCTCCTCGAGCCGGAATGCGTAACAGGGCCTGTTGCTAACTTGAAATAGCGTCGAAATGCTGTTCCGAAAAGGGTTTCTCACTGCAGTTGTTGCCACAGGTACGCTTGCTTTGGGTATCAACATGCCTTGTAAAACGGTCGCGTTCCTTGGAGATTCCGTCTTCTTGACTTCCCTGAACTACCGACAAGCCTCTGGTCGTGCCGGTCGTCGTGGTTTCGACGTCCTCGGAAACGTGGTCTTCCACAACATCAAGCCGAACCGAGCCATGGAGATCATGTCTTCGCGTCTGCCGGATCTCAAAGGACAGTTCCCGTCCTCTGTCACGCTCATGCTTCGACTCTTCGGCTTGCTCCATGGCACCAACAACTCGGAGTTCGCCATCAAGGCAGTAGAGTCTTTGCTTACCCAAACCCGTCTTTTCCTCGGTGGCCCCTCTTCCCAATTGACTGTCAAGCATCATCTGCGCTTCTCGATCGAGTACCTGCGACGCCAGCAGCTGCTGTCCGCAGAAGGTGTTCCATTGAACTTCGCAGGTATGGTGGGACACTTGTACTTTACGGAGAACTCGGTCTTTGCCTTCCATTCTCTTTTGAAGTCTGGCTACCTTCACGAGCTATGCGCAAAGATCAACCAACAACCCAAGGAGGTCCTTCAAAGTCTTGTCCTTGTTCTTTGCCATCTGTTCTCTCGCATCAGCTGTCCTAGATACAAGGACCAGAAGTGGGTTGACACGGTTGTCCACAAGTCACCGTCTCTCGTCATGCTCCCAGCTCTCCCGGAGAAGGCAGAGCGCATTCTGAGGGGCCACAACCAGGAGACACTGGAGATTTTCGAGTCTTACGTCCGTACTTACGTCGAGCAGCACCTTCTGGAGACGCCCGACAACAAGCTTCCTTTCACAAATCACACGGTTGCACCCAAGGAACCCATTGACCTGGACGGGACTGGCATCACCGCCGCGCCCAAGACCACATCGAGGTCTCCCTTCGCCGCCCTCTCTGGCCTTGGTGACGAATTCAAGTCAGTTCAGGATCTCTGCGAGACCGTACGTGCCGGCGTATTCCTCGAGGAGGCGGCCGTCCCTTACATCCCTATCTACCCCGACGATACCAACGGTGTGCCCTTCAATGCATACATCTACGACTTCTTTAAGCATGGCGACATGACAGCGCTGGTACGCGATAACGGAATCAAGGGAGGTGATGTCTGGTTCCTTCTTAAGGACTTCTCGTTGGTTCTGGCCACCATCACGGCCAGTCTCGAGAACATCCTGAGACCTGATTCCGATGGCGATGACGCAGCCATGGTCGACATCCAAGATGCGGGTGACATTATCGAGGAAGGCTCCGGCGAAGTCGACGACGATATCAAGGAAGAGTCCCTCCCGGGTAAGATGAACGGATTGAAAGTTGAGGACAAGACGGCAGCCGTAAAGCCCAAGGGTAAGAAGAAGAAGGTAGTCGACGACTGGATGGACGCCGAGATTTCGGATGACGCCACGCCCGAGTCAGATGGCGAGGAGTCTGACTGGGAAACTAACTCGGCTACTGGTGCTACTGGAAAGGTGGGAGTGGGTTCGGAGCAGAGTTTGACGAATGTTCACAAGGCGTTCAAGCTCCTCAGGGAGGAGTATGATGAGAAGTTCAGGAAGGTGTGGTCTTAGATGCTGGGCAACTTTGGTTGTTGCTGTTACCTGGTGCAGATGAGGAAAGGTAGACGGTGTCATTGTGGGTGGAGCATGAGATCCATAAGAGGGGTAGGAAAGGGGTAGGAAAAAGGGTAGAGAGAAAAGAGGGTGCTATTCTCATAGACCTGTTGGGCATAGAAATACTGGGTTGATATAGATTTGAGGGCATGGAAACGATAATGCCATTGTGTAGACTTGAGAAAATGAACATAGACTTGTCAACATCAAATTTGTGTTGCTGTGCATACTGCCTGTCAATGTGACATGAGCTTCTCGGCTGCAGAGAAACTTCCAGGTCCCATTGGGAAAACAACGAGACAAAAGGTATGAAGTCAAACCGGCCCTTGTTGCTGTTTCACAGGATCAGGTACTCGCATCTTGAACATGGCGTAAGTGTGGATGGGGGAAAATACCCTTGATCAGAAGGACAATTCTCAACGTAGGGACACCACGGGCAAACTCTAGGAAACAAGACCGAGTGCAATAGTCATGTAGATGGAAATGCATGGCATCTTGCCGCATGCGGTGGCTTGAGGAGGTAATTAATTAGAGGCCGTCAATCACCAAGCCCCGACCGAAAAGCAACTACGAGAATCTATTGTTCAATATCTTGGGGGCGAAGGGGTAGCCGGACCTACGTGCAGAGGGAGTTCCACGATCACACAAGCCGCTGTGAAATAAGCACATGCAAACGGGGCAGCGCGACAGGAACAAACATGTCAATACGTTGTGTGGTAGCGGGAAACATAATTCTGGTTCCTGTCTTGGTGCTGTTGCTCCGCATTGTAGGCAACTCGAACATTCAAATGTCCACTTGCTTTCGAGGTTGAACTCTTGAGACTCTCCGAAACATAAAGATGTGACAGGAGATTCCACGATCCCGCGTCCTGCACTCTTCAACTCCATTACGCAATTTCAAATGATGTATATGTGAGTAGAGACTTTACTGGGCATCCTTGGAGCCCGACTATAGACGGGGAGACAATGTTTACTGTACTCTAATACAGCTCCCGAATCCGGCGGCCGCGAGTCGAACACCCTGTGGCAAGGTCAGTTGTAGTGGATCGGGAACTTTAACAATATGGCGTGGCATACAGTCACACAGAGTCATCGTGGACCCATCGTAGTGGATTATGCAATACCCGCCGCCGCAGGATTTACAGCGGCGCTGGGTGTGCGCGATGCAATCTAAGCACTGATTAAATGTCAGTCGGAAGGGGTTCTATGTATTGCCATGGTGGAGGCGGATACACGAACGTTGTTCTCGCATTCCCAGCAGCTTCGTGTAATCTTGCGGGTCTGGATACCGTTTACGTCAGCGCGTACTCTTCACGAAACTGGTGTGAGGTCTTGGGTTGGTCAGGACGGGGTCTCGCCGCATACAATTGGGGATGAATCAAGCCGTCCACACACAAACCAGGTTGATGATGGGGCCCACTCGCTCATCCCTGCATGGCCAGCTCGTGAACCGGCCCGGGTTGATTGGGGCAGTAGCGGCAACGGCGGCGGATCATGTGAAGGTGAAGGAAATATTGTGAATCCGTATCGTGCTTCCCGGCTTGGGGTTCCTCGCATGTATGCTAGACATGAAACGGGCTGTGCACTTCATACAGTGATCATTCCGTACCTTGGCTTTGTACTGCTCGAGTACTTCGAGGTTCGAGAGCCCATGGGCCTCGGCATCGACAATGTGCACGTGACTGTTGAGTTCAGAGGACGAAGGGACCTGGTAGCATGCCTCGCACCACCATTGCTCGCAGCTGAAGCAGTAGCGGTCACGAATGCAGTCCCAGCATCGGGGTACAAATCGTGGCTTTTCAGCGTCTGCTGCTCCTGAGCTTGCCGAGTTGGGAATCGACGCCGCTTTGACGTTCGAAGAATGCAATGGCACAGGTGCTAGCAGAGGCAGCTCCTCCGTCGCAGAGTCTCCGTAGACGGTAAAACCCTCAGGAGCAGAACCACAGGTAGCGCATCCAGACATGGCGAAAGTCGCTACGTTCCAGAGTTGCGGGTTCGTGACACCAGGGACCGGGGAAACTGGGACGCGACCGTAGGCAGCTGAGTTGGCATGCCTTGGGCCAGTGCAGAGAACCGCATCAAAACAAATGGCGTCGCGGCACTCCAACAGGATCTTGGCCCAGCCGTGGGCAATAGGGCTGGAAATGATGCGACCCCTCTTCTCGTACCAATCGTCCTGTTCGGTGCATAAACCCGCGTAAAGCGTATTTGAAGACTTGCGATTCCAGTTGATGCCGATTTCCGAGCTGCGCACCGAAGGTGTCGATGCTGCGGACGGAGTCCGGGTCGATGCCAATGCAGAAGCCGGCATGTCTCGCTTCCCGAACACATAAAGACCTCTCAGCTTGGGTGACCCGTCGGGCCTTGTCCTGCGGCAGGCATAGCTCAGTGACTGCATCAACTTGCGCTCGTTCAAATTCTTGGCCTCGCGGATCGAGAGGATGCGGACATTGTAGCTTGGATCGACGAGAATGTCGTGTACAAGCTCGGCCGTTACCGACAATCCATCAAGGACCAGCGTGTGTACATCCTTCAGGATACCTCCTCTCTGTAGATTGTGGGCTATGCCCCTCAAGGGACCCGAGTAGAAGTCATCTTCAGTCAGGTTCTCATCCAGCTGTACATTGCGCCAGGTTTCGCCGCCGTTGTCGATCGGAGCGATGTTAAATTGTGCGGTTTTGACGCAAGTGAGGTCGAGATGTCGAAAGACGCCGGGGGTCTTGAGGAAGAGTTTACGGAACTGCTTGGAAGTCGCTGCGATGGATAGGAGCGCGGAGGGAGGCAGGTAGGGGACGGTTTGTTGGAGGACAAGCGTGTTAGACAAGAGGTCTAGGAGATTCAACTCGGATGACTCGGATAGATCGCGCGTGTGCTCCTGAATATCCCCTGATGCCATTACATGCAGAGACGGGCTGTTTTAGTAAAAGCGCAAGTAGACAGTCGTCGGACAGTCGGACAGTCGGACGATTGTTAGTAAGCGGCCTCGACGGCGAGGCGACCGGGGTGGAGTCGGAATCCGGAGAGGTTGGATCGGAGTTGGGAATATTGGGGAATCGAAGGCGCAAGCGAAGGGCTGCTGGAACTGCTCTGGTTCAACTAGAAATACGCAAACCAGATGCTCAAAACGATGGTATGCGATGAGTTGCTTGCATGTTATAATTTTAACAAGACCGAGCGGTGTTGGGGTTTTGTCCAAATTGCGTGTTGAGCTGACCACCTCCCTCCTTCGGAGGTAGATACATTGGCTGTCAAAAGAGAGCTCTCGGCCCACTGGGGTCTGGAGCTATGCACAACTATGCGGTGAGGGCACCCCTGCCTCGCAGCTGCGGCTGTTTTCAACGTGCTGGATGTTTCTTCTTCGAGAGTCCTAGAACAACAAGATCGCTGCACTGTTGAGTATGTTTGGGTGCTTTAAGTGTTCAAAGTCTTGGAAGTCTTGGCCCTACTGCCGGAGCTCACCTTGAAGCGGTAGTCATACAAAGCTAGGCCCAAGCGGTAGCAAGTGCCTGAGCAACGTTTACTTTCCGTTCATCTGAAGTCATGATCTCCATCTTTGGTACATCGCAATGCTGGACGAGTTGTGTGTTGGACTTGGCAAGTTGGGACAGGGTAGCGTGGGGGGTATTGTAGGATGGAGTATCTATCGTCTCAGAACTAATAAGAACTTGCAATACTTGGGATGTCCTGGCCCATAGCATTATTAACCTAGACCTTGGCATTACTTTGCACGACTTGGCAGTTAATGTCCAGCTTTAGCCACATCAGGCGCATTCGGCAGCGGAAATTGATGATTTGAGCATGTCGTGAAAGTGGCTCCGACCATCGTGCCGTGTGTTGCAGTGCCATCAATATGTGCCTGCTTTATCGCCGCTGTCCTCGAAGTGGCAGGTTCGAAGTCGAGGTCGGAGGAGTAATCGGGAATCCATCGTTAATAGTCAGGCGAGGTCATGAAGCTCCATTGCCCGGTCGCGGCATGACCGAAACAGCCCATGCTGCTAAGGAGCATCTGGCGGAGCATGTAAGATAGTATATGGCGGATAGCTACCAGCAGTAAATCTAAGGGAAACATTCAACGAAGGGCTATACCTGTTGGATTCCGAACGGGGGCTGTAATGGTACTACAAAGGACTAATCCCAAGTTGGCCCCGGGGGGTCACTAAATACTACAATCCGTGCTTGCCATGCCTCCTACCCCTCCATACCCGAGGCCACAGCTTCGCACAGTACCAACTAAATTCGTTAATTGCTGTGAAATGCCAAATGCATGAGCTTTTTGCAAAGACGCGGTCAGAAGACCGGAGATAAGCCGGCCGACCACTTTTCTGGAATCACGAAGAACAAATGAGGCTGACCGATCTTCTGTCGATGACGATGATCTTTTCCCGCTCGTGGCCCTCATAATCCTCGCATGCAAGGCCGTCAGCAGCAAGCAAAAGTCGGCAAAGATCATCTTCACGAATCCACACTTGTAGCGAGTACTGTCCCCATTTCTCACCCAACCTCGCCATGCGATTCGCGTCTGTCCCGTCGCTGATCCACTGTGACTTCCTTCGCGTCAACTAAAACCAAAGATACAAACCTTGGCAGGTGCTCTCATGAGGACCTTGAACACAAGTCCAACACGCGTCGCGATTATATCTCCTAATCCTCGTCCTCGTCGCACACACACTCCTTCCATACACTCTTTCAGTCAAGATGCCTGCGGCTTCGCTCAAGTGGTCGGCCGCTTTCAGTGTCGCCCCCGAAGCATTCAAGCGGAAAGATCTTAGAGGCGACAAGATCATCCTCCCCCAATCTGCTCTCGAACAGCTCCTCGCAGCCTCAGCATCGACAGCGACCACACCCTCGACCTTTACTTCGTACGATCCTTCCAACCCATACCTAGGTCCAACAAACAGCCCTCGACATTCCTTCCTTGCCGACATCCACCAGCCCCTGCCCAACCCGCTCATGTTTCGACTCGTCAACAAGGCAAATGGGAATGTGGTCCATGCAGGTATTCGAGAGTTCTCAGCTGCCGAGGGCCGCATCGAACTAAGCCCGTACTTGCTGGAGGCTTTGGGGCTTGAAACGCCCCCCATTCCCGATGCATCTCAGGGAAATATAGCAGAAGAAGGGGCCGAGGCCGCCGATGAGCCGGCGCTGCCGGAAATCACTGTCCACGCGAAACAACTCCCGAAAGGCGTCTATGTTCGACTCCGACCCTGTGAAGCTGGCTATGACCCCGACGACTGGAAGCCTCTCCTCGAACGACAACTGCGCGAAAGCTTCACGACTCTGTCCAACGGTGCCATCCTGTCGGTTCGCGGAGTCAAGGGCGAGATGTTCCGCTTCTTGATTGACAAATTCGAGCCCGAGGAGGACGGAATATGCGTTGTGGATACCGACCTCGAGGTCGACATTGAAGCGCTCGATGAAGAGCAGGCAAGGGAGACAATGAGGCAAATTATGGAGAAGGCCAAGCGAGCTCCCGGCACACCTGATGGAAGCTCGATTGGCCACGAAATCAACATTTGGAAGGCAGTTGAAGGCCAGGTGCTTCCAGGAGACTATGTGGACTACGAGCTGCCCTCTTGGAGTCGATCCCGGCCCTTGGAGATCGAGCTGAGCGGACTCAATGATGAGTACGGCGTTGATCTCTTCGTAAGCCCTCAGTCGGCGCGGCAAAGAGCATCACCACGAGAGACGGAGCATGTTTTCGGCGTCTATACGGCTACCTCGAATGGATCCAAGAAACTGACGATCCAGCCCTCGAATGTCGAACTGGAGGGGGCAGAGGCCATGTTTATTTCCGTCCACGGCTATCTAGCCCCGGGGGCAAAGTCCAACGCGGCTGTGATACCTTTCAAACTGCGAGTGAAGTCGGTAGTCGAAGGCTCCGCCCCGTCGACCCCTATGGATGCAGACGCATCCCAAGAAACTTCGGCAGACGAGGAAGAGTGCAAAAACTGTCATCAAATGGTTCCGAGGCATACCATGGCTCTCCACGAGAACTACTGTCGACGCAACAATATCGCATGTCCGCAATGCGACAATGTCTTCCAGAAGAACTCGGAGGAGTGGGCACAACACTGGCACTGTCCTCACGATGCTGCGTACGGTTCTTCGGACCTTACCAAGGTCAAACATGACGACATCTACCACACAGAGCGACAATGCCCGATGTGCCCCTTTGAAACCAATTCCATGGCAGATTTGGCCCGTCATCGTACCACCCTATGCCCAGGCAAGATCATTCTGTGTCGATTTTGCCACCTCGAAGTTCCGCAAGAAGGCGACCCCTTTAATCCCTCGGCAGAAACTATTGTCTCGGGCCTCACAGAACACGAAGTGGCGGACGGTGCACGCACAACTGACTGCCATCTCTGCAGCAAGATTGTCCGACTTCGGGACATGGAGACGCACCTAAAGCATCACGAGTTTGACAAAGCCCATCGCCCAAAGCCTCCGATTTGCCGGAACGCCAACTGCGGGCGCACGTTGCACGGCGTGGGAAGGAACGGGCAAACTGGGGCTGGCACGCACATGGGACAGGGCCCCGGTAATGATCTAGGGCTGTGCTCGCTCTGCTTTGCACCTCTGTACGTACAGATGCACGATGCAACGGGTAATGCTCTGCGGCGCAGGATTGAGAGGAGATACCTGACGCAGATGATGATGGGATGCAAAAAGAAGTCGTGTGCGAACCGGTGGTGCAGGACCGGCAGGGCTAACCTCGGTCTCGACGCCAAGCCGACGAGCTCGACTGCCTTGTTGCCTTTGGTCAAGCCGCTGACGGAGTCGGTCAGACAACTGGATGAACCCATGTTTTTCTGTGTTGATGAGGCCAGCCAGCGAAGACGAAAGGTGGCCGAGATCCTTATGGACGAGACGTCCAACGCATGGGATCTTGAGTGGTGTGTTGCTGCCTGCGAGGCAGAGGGAGGGAATTTGGCCAAAGCCCACGAGTGGCTGGGCAACTGGGCTCCGACCAGAGGTTAAGAATATGTATGCTTGATGGAATTCAGACGGAGGTGCATTGAAGGCGTTGGAAAGGTTGGTATCATACGTGACATAATTCCCGAGAAAGGGCACGAGTCGCAATAGAAGGAAAGCATAGAATCGACAGAGAGACTTATAGGGGGGCGGGGGCTGGGACGAGCATTAGTCTGGAAAGGGTGGCATATCACAACCAGGATGCATATACACTGATACCCATTGCTTTTAGATTTCGAACCAGCACGATTGTTGGGGGATTTATAGATTTTTCTAAATGAATGGACGTTGATACGATGACTGACAGATAAGGTTGGGGAAGGAGAATGTGTGCAACATGAACGTGGTTGGGCTTCTTCAACGTCTCGACATCTCCAGCGTCCTACTCCGTCCTGCTCAGTTCTTCTCCGTCCTACTCGTTCGATCTCCGAGCGACCGTCTCATGTGCCGAGTCGTTGGTGCTTAGTGAGACTGGAGCTTAGGTTAGTCGTCATTGTCCTTGGCCGTCATGGTGGTTTTGGGCATCGGTTTGGACTTACGCAGCAAGAGCAAGACTTGCTGTAGAAGTTGTTAGTCGAGCTGGCTCTGCAGAGAATGTGAGGATTGGGAAGCTTACCAGTCGTTGCAGGAGCAAGACTTGCATCCGCATTCAGCGCCCATTTTGATGGTTTTGGTTGGGGTGGTTTGGGTGGTTTGGGTGGTGGTTTGGTTTAAAGCTTGGTATTGATGTTGATGATGTTGAAGGCTGTGATTCTAGGAAATACATTTCAGAGAGAGCTGGGGAAAGGAAGGGGATTAAATAGGCAGGCGTTCGTTCGCCTCGTGCCGATTTTCATCCCATTCCCTCATGACATCCATCCCGAGTTCCCAACCCATCACCTCCATCCCAAGTTCCCAACCCACCACGTCCATCACATCCCA